GGCGATTTCCTGCCCAACCGGCCAAGAAGCAGCCAAAAAACCCTGTGCCAAAAAAGACGCCATTTGCGGCACCCAAGATGTCGTTGGTATGGCCGTATCCGGGGAGCGTTGCCGATGCCACGAGGTTGAGTGACGAGTAGAAAGTCGGCTGGCCCAGGGTAAAGGCGAAGACGGCGAGGGAGTAGCCAGTGAAGAGAGAGCCAAACGCGGCAAAACACACCACCTGTGGCCTATATTAACGCTATGCTGCTGACTAGACGATGCGCTCAGACTTACTCGGATGTTATACCAGCTGTAGGTTTCCATTGCAGCGGCCCTATGGAATTGCGTCAACCACTGAGAAGACTATGGCAGATATCAAGGGAAGCAGGACCCAGGAGTTGGGGTTGCCCCAAGTTATACAGGATCGGCGGGGATGAAAGGCCCTGAGGGCGTGGAGTACATGAGCAACGGAGCCACGCGTATTCCAATTTTCATATCGGGAACAGGTAGTCAGCCTAAGACAACTTGGTAGACAGTATGTGGGCCGGATCTTGACCGGGACTATACCTTGAGCTATCTAGCGAGCTAGGTAGAGGGGCCCCAGACTATGTGGATGCCCCAAAACGCGCTTCGGCAGTGGAGCCGATAAGAAAGACTGATTTGCAGGTCAGAATTGAGGGGCACGGCATTCACCGACCTGCTGACACGTCGCCAGGCTTCTGTTCGTGGCCACTTGGTATAGACATCGATAATGGAAGAGACGGCTTGTACCCGGCTGAAAGAGCTGAAGCCGGGACGAATTGTGCTGCGCTCGGCAACATGCTGGGTCTGGATAGAAGTGGCGGGGAACTAGCCGAAGTGCTCCTGGCTTCTCTGGGGCACAGACCGAAGATCCCCGGATTTGTCTACGGCAGGTAACCTGGGTTCGGGGAAACCAAACTGCCCAAGGTATACGTTGCGCAAGTGAGGACTCATATAACGCCCGTGGCATATCAAATGCCTATTTCCACACCCTGCCGCTTTACTGAACTGTTGCAATTTGCTCTTGTGCAAGTGATCATCGATAGGAGACAAATACCAGCAAACTCTCCGTCGCTATATCGCTCATGACGGTGTCCAAGAAGGCCGACTACGATGCAGTCGTCGTCGGCGCTGGCTTCAGTGGCATTCGGACCATCTGGGAACTGGTCCAACTGCGTCTGACGGTCAAATGCTTTGAGGCCGGGTCGGATGTTGGTGGTGCCTGGTATTGGAATTGCTATCCTGGCGCTCGAACTGATAGCGAGGCTTGGGTCTACCGACTCAACTTTGATCCGAAAATCAAGGATGAATGGGGCTACCAGGAGCGATATCCGTCGCAGCAAGACGTTCAGCGACATTTGAGTCATGTTACTGGTCCGTTGATTGTGGTGGCCCCAAGGACTGAAGAGCCTCGTTTGCTGACAGTACCGAAATACAGATCAGTACAATTTACGCCAGTATATCACGTTTGACAACCGCGTCAAGAGCGCACACATCGATGAAAATAACATCTGGACCATCACCACGGTGGATGGTAAGACGACGACTTGTCGCTACTTTCTGCCGGCCACGGGACCTTTGTCAATCGCAAAGGAACCCCCATTTCCCGGGCTGAAATCCTACCAGGGCGAGTGGTACCAGGCGGCCACCTGGCCCAAGAAGAAGATTGATTTCCGCGGCAAGCGGATCCTGGTTGTAGGCACGGGGGCCACCGGCGTCCAGATCATCCCCAAGATTGCGCCCGCCGCCAAACATCTGACCGTGTTTCAACGTACACCAAACTACGTGCTCCCGGGTCGAAACTACATCATTGACGAACATCAGGCCGCAGACATCAGGCAGAAGCACGAGGATACGTGGGACCACGCATCGAGACAGAGCTCGGGCTTGGCCATGTATAGATCGGGGCGGACACTTCAGAGTGTAGGGGATGCCGACAAGATCAGGCAGATCTTTGACGCCGGCTGGGAATGTGGTGGCTTCCACTTTCAGTTTGAGACATTCGATGACCTCTTTACGAGCAAAGAAGCGAACGAGGCCGCCTCGGAGTACATCCGCCAGAAGATTCGCGCCGTGGTCCAGGACCCCGAGACGGCGGAGAAGCTCTGCCCCAAATATTCCTTCCTGTCCAAACGACCGCCGTGCGGCCACTTTTATTACGAGGCGTTTAATCGACCCAACGTCGAGCTGGTCGACATCAGCGGCGACGACATTGAACTCTACGAAAAGGGCATCCGTACCAGCTCGGGTGGGGAATACGAATTCGACATGATTATCTTCGCCTTGGGCTTCGACGCCGCCACCGGTGCGCTGAGCGAGATGGACGTCAGAGGCAGTCAGGGCGTATCACTCGGCGATGTCTGGGCCACGCAACTCGAAACCTATGCCGGCGTCCTCGTGCGTGGATTCCCCAATATGTTCTTGGTCTGTGGCCCCCACATCCCCTTTGGAAACATGCCGGTCGTGCTGGACATCCAAGTCAAATGGATTGGCCAAACGCTCCGTCATATGGAGGACAAGAGACTGGCCAAGATCGACGTGTCCGAGGAGGCCATGGCCAAGTGGTCTTCTCACTTGCATGAGGCGTTCGAGGCCACCCTCTTCGCCGAATCGGCCAAGGCTGCCGGGGCCTGGTTCGTCGGCGCAAATATCCCCGGCAAGGCTTCTGATATTCTGTTCTATTTTGGCGGCGTCCCGGCATGGACAGCTTGGTTGGAGAACGAGAGTAAGGCCGGATGGCCGAGCCTTGACTTCGGTGCTGGAGAAGAAGTCCCGAATGGCCATATAGTGAACGGTGATATCACGATCGATTCGCGCCAGCTGGTTGATGGTGTCTGAATCTTGGAACTTCTTAGAACTTGGAGAACGCTGTAGACTTGAGATAAACAAGAAATATCTAAAATATTGATGAATACCTTCTTTTCTAAACCAAGATCATCCAATCGTCTATTCGATATGGACTTTGAGCCAACGGGGTTATTGTATACTTCGCTTGCAAGGGCTATACTTGAAAACTACATGCCACCTCTCCCTCCAGATACCTTCACTGGTGATTAGAAGTCCGATGACTAGGAACCTGGTGTAAGCCCGACTTACCATGATTGTCTGTAAAGTTCCGATCATCAGCATCGCTTTTCTCGCTGCAAACTGATTGCTTAGACTCACCTGTCCAGTCACATATCCGAAGAGAGGAGAGACCACCCCAAGGGTAGCGCGTGCAGCATCCGTGGGAGTCCCAATCCGGCGGAGAGGGATTTCGCTTGCCCTATATGAGTTTGTGGTACAGGGGTCAGTGTGATTCGAACGATGAAGGTTTGCTGATTTTTTTTTGGATCACCGTTACACATACCATTTCGCTTCTGCTTCGTCGTAGCCGCCGTGGAATCCAACAGCATGCTTGGTGCCGTCGGGCCTCACCACGTAGCCACCGGCAGGAGCTTGGGTTAGTCTGGTTTTGATAGCTCCGAACGCGACCGCTGGCAAAAATAACAAAAATCGTGGTCAGTCTCGAATGGCTGTCGACAGAAGAAGGGGTCATGGCATACTGTTGGCTCTCACACTGTACCCGGGCCCCCATTCCTGGGCCAGTGTTTTGGTCAAGCCTACCAGCCCGGCTTTGGCCAGAGCATAGCTGGCCTGTCCCGCGTTGCCGTAGATGCCAGATGTAGAAGAGATGTTGACAATGTTCCTGGGTTCGCCGTCCTTGACCATAAAGTATGGCGCCACTGCCCGGATGAGCTTGAACGGCGCCGTGTTGTGTAGCGTGATGATGGTTTCTGGCGTTCCGTTAGATCCATGGACGGACAAGGCACAATGCACTCTCACCCCACTGCTTATCCTGAATCTTCTCGACCGGGTCGTCCCATGCATAACCTGCATTGTTGACGATGATGTGGATCTTACCACCGCCAAACTCACTGGCTTTTTGGACCAGCTTGTCAATGTCTTCGTTGACTGTGATGTCTCCGGCAACGGCAATCGCAGCGCCTCCATCCGCATTGATGGCCTGGGCAGTCTTCTCTGCTTTGGCTGGTGGCAGGGCCCAACCGGAGGGCGAGCATTAACATCACTCTCAGCTCTGGAAAGAACCATTGTTTGGTCAAGGTGGTAGTTACCGGCATCAATGTCTGCAATGACGACCTTACACCCCTCGCGCGCAAATACTGCTGCTGTCTCAGCGCCGATGCCTTGGCCCGCGCCCGTGATAATGGCCGTTTGCCCTGGGATTGTCGGTTAGCGGACTTCTATAGTTCTGTTCTTTCGAGCCTCTGGCTGCATTTACCTGCTAGCATCCCTTCCGGGAAGTTGAGGCGCGGAGCTACACTCATGGTCGTGGTCTGCAAGGAAGATTTGCTCGAGACTTTAATGGGGAGAGGAGATGATGTCTTGTTTGCACGCAAATCTGTTCTCGGTTGTTGTCAAAACTACAGAGTGGTAACGCTTTAAAACTATCTAGAGGCGTTTGGGTTTGGATAGCGGGGCAAATCTACGATGTGCCTTTATCCGGGGAGGTTTTGGAAGCCAACAGGCTGAGATCATCCAGGTCCATCTAGAGTTTGGCATCTCTTCAGTCACTGGCGTGGCTCTACGGGCTCCTCAACACCACCACTGTTCGGCCGAATACACTTCAGCAAAATTCAAGACTGAGAATAGAGTCGAGATCGAGATGGTTCTATGACAGCCAAGTGTCAGGCTACACTGGACGAACTCCAGAGCATCGGCATAGACCGAGAGCTGACATCCCACTCTTTCCCACCCGCGTTTTGTTCGTGGTAGCATCTCCGGACTCCAAGCATCACCCCATCTCGGTCCACCCGGGTCTCCATCCCCGGGTATCGACCCATTTCTGCAGAGGGAGGACAGGAAATCGATGCCGCCAACTTCAGCCAATATATCAATGTCTGCCCGTTGACCCGGAAAGTTTTGAAAGTGCCAAACTCGCCAAAGGTGGCCCCAATCTGATAGGAATCACCCGCATACAACTCGAGAGCTCAGCCATGATCACGCCTCTAGAATCTACAGACCTCGATGTTCTCATCATTGGCGCCGGCTTCGGCGGGTGCTATGCGCTATACAAGTTCCGCCAGCTGGGCCTGAAGGTCCACGTTTTGGAGGCGGGCACCACACTTGGAGGGGTCTGGCACTGGAACAACTACCCCGGGGCCCGCGTCGACTCGGAGATTCCATACTACCAATTCTCGATGCCCGAGGTCTGGCGGAAGTGGAACTGGACTGAAAGATTCCCCAGCGGTGACGAATTGAAGGCCTATTTCCACCACGTGGACAAAACGTTGGATCTATCGAAACATATCACTTACTCGGCCAACGTCGTAGGCGCTGGGTACGACGAAGCCACGGCCAGATGGACTGTCACGACGGAGAAAGGCGACAAAACCGTCTGCAAGTACCTCATCTGCGCCACGGGGAGTTCGTTCAAGCCACACTACCCCGATTTCAAGAACCTAGACAAATTCCAGGGACAACTGATCCACTCGACTCGCTGGCCTAAGGTCGCAAATATCGAGAACAAACGCGTCGCCATCATCGGATCCGGTGCGACGGCGGTTCAGTGCACCCAAGAGATCGCCAAAGTGGCGAGTAAGCTAACCGTCTACATCCGGACCGCCAGCATCTCGCTACCTATGTTCCAGCGTCCCCTCACCGAGTTTGAGCAACGGGTGAATAAGTCAACCTATCGGAGTATGTTTGCGTACTGTCGACAGTCAAAATCGGGTCTGGGCTACGACCCGCAGCCGGGCTCGGTGTTTGAATTGAGTGACCAGGAACGCGAAGAGCTCTGGGAGGAGCTGTGGAACCGAGGAGGCTTCAACTTCAACCAGGCAAACTATCGCGACTTCCTAGTTAACGAGAAGGCCAACAAGCTTATGTATGAGTTCTGGGCCAAGAAGACGCGCCCGAGGCTGAAGAACCCGGCTAAGGCGGCCTTTCTCGTGCCGGAGAAGGCCCCCTTCGCCTTTGGGACCAAGAGAAGTAGTCTGGAACAGGACTATTACGAGTGCCTCGATCAGGACAATGTTGACATTGTGGACCTCAAGGCCACCCCTATTCAAGAATTTACCGCGGGGGGTATCATCACTAAGGACGGCCCGGACGGGCAAGCCGTAGAGCGCGAGTTCGACACGGTGGTTATGGCCACGGGCTTTGACGCCATGACGGGGAGCTTGACGAATATGGACGTCCACGGCCGAGACGGCCTGACCTTTCGAGAGCGCTGGAAGGACGGCGTCTTCACCCATCTGGGTCTGTGCTGCAGCGGCTGCCCGAATATGTTTTTGATCTATGGACCTCAAGGTAAAAGTTTTCCCCCCGTTATATATACACTTTTTTTCGTCTTTGAGATTATGGGCCCCTCTCTCTAACTCTCTCCTCTGCCAGCACCCACGGCATTCACCAACGGGCCCGTCTTCATTGAAAGCCAGGTCGACATTGTCGTTGACTTAATCAAGAAACTCAGCGACGAGGGTGTCAAGTCGATCGAAGCACAGCACAGTGCCGAGGAGCAGTGGAAACAGGCAATTCAAGACGCGAACAACAAGACCCTCCTGCCCTTGACCGATTCCTGGTACATGGGCGCCAACATCCCCGGCAAGAAGAGGGAGCAGCTCAACTACCTGGGAGGCATCGCCATGTACGAGCAAGAGTGCCGCAAAGCACTCGAGACCTTGCAGGGGTTCACGGTCGTCTACGATTCTGACAAGCAGGCCAATAGCGTGGGGGCCTAAATCCGGCAGGGCCCAAGAGCCACTGACGGCCAGTTAACCAGGCTTTTTCCCAAGGTGGTTTTCATAACCTTACCGCATGCCCAGTTTGGTGATAGTAAAGATGATGCTGATGATGAAGGCGAATGGACCTTAGTTCTTCACGTCGAACGTGTATACCCTGGACCAATTCAAGCCCGAGATTTTGAAGAAATCATCTTCGACGGGCAGCGAGCCACGTGAAGGGGGCCCGGACGGTGACATTGAAAAGAGTCAGCAGGACTCGCTCTCGAAGAAGGATCAGGTTCGTTCGTCATAGATTTGCTACAGTTAGAATTCTTTTTGCCATATCCCAAAGACAGGACAATCCGAGAACTACCACAACATTTCCTGTTCTCCTGGCGTAAAGCCGCTATAGCCCGGCTGTAGAGAGAATGAGGCGTCGTTGAAAGGCCAGTCTTGCGAAAATCCGGCCACCAACTCGCTCGGCAGATGTTGGTTTCCTAGGGGCGGAAACTCAAAGCCGTTGGAAAAGTGCCGAAACTCCTCGGCCACGAAAACGTGGTCAAATTGGTCCGAAAAGCCAGGCAGAGCCGTGGACGACGTTGAGCGGTAGTTCCGAGGACCTTGCTGATCTGTAGAAGGTACATCTTGCTGTACATGGCCGCTGTCGATGTGGTTGTTGGTGTTGGTACTCGCAAACGCCGACAAGGCGACGGGGGCGTCGCCTGTCGTCGAAGACTTGGGCCGAGGAAGGCCCTGGCCGCCGCTGAAATTGTCCTTTTTGGCCACCTCGTTGACGGCGTCTCTGATTACGGCGTTGCTGAGGCGATTGAAGAGTTCACAGGAGCTGCGAGCCACGCTCCAGCGCTCACAAATGGCCACCAGGATGTTGGAGCACGCGCGGGTGTCATTGATGATGTCCAGGTAGTCCGGGACCGGCGCCCTCTGCGTCGTGTCCTTGAGTGCCAGGCCGATGCCGTACACATAGGCGAGGCCGGCGATAAAAATGCCGTGCAGCGTGATCCACGAGTAATTTAGTCGTCGCTTCCGATGGAGCTCATAGTACGACGTGATCGACGCCTTTGCCGCCGAGAACAATTGCTGGAGGTCACCCGATTCGCCGGTTTCGGGATTTGTCGGCGTCACCGGGTATGGCAGGTAGGGAGAAGGGCGATAGAGAAGAAGGAGGGCGTTGTTTGCCACGGCAGTATACCAGGCGGGCGTCAAGAAGCAAGACACATAGCCCGAGCCCTGGTGGACTTGTTGGTCCAGCTTCAACAGACTGGTGGCCTCCTTCCAGGCCATGATTTCTTCATACAGTTGCTGGCGAACCCGGACCTTGTCCTCAAGTGGAATGTCGCTCTTTTGGTTTGCCACGTACAGCGTGCTGAGAATCTTACCCGACAAACGTCTCATCCGAATCAAGTGGAGGAAAGGGGAGATCTTGGGCTCGTCCGACTCGTATGGAGGCTGGATCGGCCGATCTGGCCCAAACTCTTCGTCCTCCAAGTGAGAAGGTAATGAGAGGCTGATGTCTTCGTCTCGCAGGGCAACTGGCCGTCCCAGCGTGAAGCTAACAACCCTATGACTTATCAGCAGTGCACCTTTCACGAGAGAAACCGGCGGCAGCGGCGACGAACCTGTCCAGATTATAGAAGCACCAAAAGGTCCGCTTCCGCATTTCTGCCTCAAAAGTGATGGGCACGCTGAGAGCCGAGCCTGGCCCCGATTGAAGATTGGACCGCTTGGGTTCCAGGTGAAGGCCCAGCTCAACGCAAATGCGGGCACCAATGCCGATGAGGTGCCAGATACTCGCACTGGTATCTCGAAGATTACTGAAGATGCCGTGCTGCGAGAGCAGGGTGATGGCATGGAGAGGAATCAGTCCTCCCATTTTGAGAACAGCATTGAGCTTGGTCCGGGCCCGTGCATAATGGCGTGCTGCGTCAGCCACCGACTCTTCGAACCGGTTGAAATTGGATCCCCCTATCGACAGCACCATGTCAAAGGTAAAGGCATCGAAGGGATGCATCGAATAGTAATTCGGGTTGTTGTAGATCTCTTCCACGGCCGCTAGGAAGCTAGGCCGGTGAAGCAGCGGGAAGGTCAGATGAGTATGCTGGAAGTAGGCCTCGATGATCTGCATTGCAATATGGCGAGGCGGGAAGGGCGCCTCGCTCGGTGTGGTGTTGCTAGGTTGTGGGCTGCGCACATCAGACTGTATGTTGTTGCCGCTGTTTTCGATCCAATTGGGGTCGACGTTTTGTGGATCAAGTACGGAGCCGATAATGTTTGCCAGACCCATGCCACTGCTAGCCCCCAGGTAGCGTGTCTCGCCGACAGCTGTCAAGGTGAGATATCCCACTTCGCCGACCACGGCATCATCGGCAGGGGTTCTGCCACGCTGGTGGTGGCAGGAGGTAAGGGGTGCACTGCTGGAGGTACGGTTGCCCAGGACGCTGGAGTGCAAGTCCAGATTCTCATTCTGAGAGTTCAGGGGAGAGGTGGTATCATGTCCGGGGGTTGTGGCCATGGCCACGACCGGCTGTGTGCTGGTCACATTTCTATTCTCGGCGAGCTGGCCGCGCAGCGCCGCGATCTGTCGCTCGAGCTCAAGGTTGTGGTCCTCTGCTTTCTTCAGAGCGCTCTCGACGCTTTCGACATATCCCCGGGGCAGATTACGTGACCGGAGCTTGTCAACATGGAGGCATAAGGCTCCGGCTTTCTCACAGCCGCCGCAACGAGGGATTCGCCGGTCGCACCGGGTTTTGCGGGCATGGCACCGATCACAGGCCTGCATCCCGAACACCAGATATTTGGTCTGCAAGCAAAGGATCGGATTCTTTCGACAGGTTCTTTCGATCGATAGAGTTGCTCAGAGGCACGATAAGGCTGGATCGGACAAGGAATAAAGATGAAAACGAAGGGAAAGGACGTCAACAAGGCCGGCATTCACCACGAAGATCTGGTAATAGGAAAATATAGATAACCTCGGTCGAACGGAGTTCCGTCTCCGCTAACTGCTCCATTGCCCTGCGATGCTCGGCATCGTCTTATAAGCGCAACCCCCTAAACTATGCGGAGGACAAGCGACCCCGGCTGTCAGGACAGCTATTTGAGGGTGATTTGTCTTCTTCTTTATATACGAGGCTTGCATCTCCTACCCCTGAACGTTTCCTAGTGAATGATATGATGGCTAGTTCACGTCTCCTTCACATGTGTGGCCTGCACCTTCCACCCCTGAACGCTTCCTAGTGACTGGTATGATGGCTAGTTCACGACTTGGTGTGAGCGTAAAAATTAACATATGCAGGTATGGATATATAACTGAAATTGATTCTGCAGGACTCCTTCTCACGACGCAGTACTGCCCTACGGTTGGAGGATGGTGACTGCCAAATGAGGCATAGATTCGCCATGTGCCTCTGCCTCTTTGTGCGGTCTTCCCGCTGTTTTTTTTTTTCGGCGTTTGCCGAGCTTCATGTCTCCACTTCAAGATCCAGGCCCAGGAGGCGTCCCCTCCTCACAGACAAGAGAGTCGCGCGCACTCTTCATGAAAGAGTTTACACATCCGAAGCATGGCGACCGCGAGCTGGTGGGTTCTCAAGTTGAGCCGAGACTTCGATTCGCGACAGCTGAATCGTGGCAGATCGAATACTAGAAACGTGGTTTTCTGTTCTTGAGACTCTTGACTTGACTTGTTCCCAGTTCATTCCTCCATCTACAATCTGCAAGAATTGACAGTGAGCAAGCTGACTGAAACATCATGGCTCCAGCAAGGACGACGGAGACCCGGCCGCCTATCGTCATAGGCAATGTTGCTGGGGCGATGGAAGACTGCCCCTATGCAATGTGAGATTCAGCCTGATGTGGCTGTCCTAGACTGACGAAGGCACCCAGGCATCGCATGGTGACCGAAGGCTACTTGGATGCCATTGCCGGAGACTGGCTGTCGGAGCTGAACATTGCCTGGAATGCCATCCGCAAGCACGACGACCCGACCAAGGGCTACGAGGTGGGATTTCTCGAACAGTTGGATGACTGCATCGATATCATCGCCGAGAAAAAGATCAAATGCGTCACCAATGCCGGCGCCCTCAACACTCCTGAATGCGCCAGAATGGCCATGGAGATTTGCAAGAAGCACGGCCAGGGCCATCTCAAGGTGGCATATGTCCAAGGCGACGATATATCAGAAATCGTTACCGACCCGGCCCGTCAGCAAGAGCTCGGCGGGATTGTCCATCTCGACCATCCGGAGCGTAAGTTGGGGGACTGGGACCGGAAGCCCTACTGCGGAGTTGCTTACATTGGGGCCTGGGGCATTGTCGAGGCTCTCCGGAACGGGGCAGATATTGTCATTTGCGGTCGAGTCACAGATGCTAGCCCCGTCATTGGGCTGGCCGCCTGGTGGCACAACTGGCCTCACGATGCATGGGATGAGTTGGCTGGCGCCCTCATCGGTGGACGTAAGTCGAGATACACGCTTTACTGACGGCCATCTCACGAGGTTTTAGATCTAATTGAATGTGGTCCCTACGTGACCGGCGCCAACTTCTCCGGCGTCAGGCCACGACTAGAGGGCCTTGTGGACTTGGGCTTTCCCATTGCAGAGATCGCCAGCGATGGGACAGTTGTCATTACGAAACATCCCGGGACAACGGGATTCGTGGATGAGATGAATGTGCGCGCACAGTTTCTTTACGAGATACAAGGGACCCAGTACATCAATTCCGACGTGTCTGCCGACATCACCAACGTCCGGATTGTGAACACGGATAAAAAAGATAGGGTACTAGTGTCGGGAGCCGTAGGAACCCCCCCACCTCCTACCACCAAAGCCATTGTGGTTGCAATCGGAGGTTATCAGGCAGAGACAACCTTCTACATGAACGGGCTCGACATCGACGCCAAGGAGCAGTTCATGCGTCAGCAACTGGAGTACGCCTTCAAGGACGCCAATTTCTCCGAATTGAGCATCGAGAGACACGGTTCTGCTGCCATGAACCCCCCTCGTCAGTCCCTGGGTACGGTGGGCTATAGAGTGCTCGTCAAAGCACGGAACAAGGAAGACATCCGTGAAGACGTGTTCCGAAAACATGTCTATGCGCTTCGAATGCAGTTCTACGCCGGTAAGTGCACGGTTTTGGGGCTGGTCGAGGCAGGTTAGAGGGTTCGCTGACACCGAGTGTTGCACAATAGGATACCACATGTCCCTGGACTTCCGAACAATGTTGCCCAAGATGTTTATGGAGCTATTCCCGGGCCTGATCAATTACACCGATCTGAAGCACCGAGTCGTCCTGGACGGAAAGGAAATTGCCATCAAGCATCACGGCATCACCAGACCGCCCCCAGGCAAGAGGCCCAGCAAAGAAACCGACACACCCACGCCACTGGAGACGTTCGGACCGACCAAGTTTGTGCCTCTCGGCTCGGTGGCCCATGGCAGATCGGGCGACAAGGGCGACAACTGTAATGTGGGCCTGTTCGTCCGCAGCAGCGAGGAGTTCAAGTGGCTGCAGTCATATCTGACCGTGTCCAAAATCACCGAGCTCATGGGCGAGGATATCAAGCCAGGCACGACAGTGGAGCGATGCGAGTTCCCCAACATTTGGGCCGTCCATTTCCGGTTCCTCGACTTCCTGGGAGGGGGTGCCGCCAGCAGCACCAGAATCGACATGCTGGGCAAAGGGGTGGCCGAATACTTGAGGAGCAAATTCGTTGACGTGCCCGTGAAGTTTTTGGACAACCCCATCAGCGTAGCATAAACGACTGTTCGCAGCGAGATAGAAATTAGGATACCTTCATTCCACACGCGACCAAAGCGAGCTCTCCGTTCTGTACACAATGCAGTTTCCACCCAGTAACCTTTCTGTCTGCGTGTCGCGGCTTCTCCTGCCCAATCGGTATCGGTTCTCGGTGTATAGATGAGCCTATCTGGACGTGAGGTCTGCGACTGGCCGCCGATACTCGTGCTTGGTCCGTCGTTCCAGCCATTGCCTAGAACCTCTCCTCAGACCCCATACCCCGTGTCCGGCAGCCCATCGGCATCCACCGACGCTAATCTTCGACGGCTATTGCCAGAGTGCCGAAGTCGTCCGAAGACTGATCTCGGAAAACCCACCCGAATATCATGCTGTGTCTTCGGGGCCGACACCTAATCTTTCCCCGACAGTCCATAAACGGGTGGATCCTGCGGCGAAGACATAGCCGCGGTAATCGGGAATGATCAACTCTATCCTTCGAGGTGAAGCCACGAAGTACGGACTCATGATATCTCGTCGTGAGATCCCTTGTAAGAACCTGGACATGTGCGGTAGGCTATAGCATTCCTAAAGCCGGGTGTTTCCGTACTTGTACGTTGCCTGACATTGTAGTAGTCGACTGGACTCGTCTACAATCTACTGAGCTGCACCGCAGTCGGCGTTGTCGCGCCCTCTGGGTTCCAAGTCAGTCGAACCACCCTCGGCCGTACTCGACAAGAAGCAAGAGAAAAGCACCATATTCTTTGCCCTATACAAGAGGCACTACTCATTCGACGTATTACCGATCTCGATACCACTGGCGCCCCTCACTCTTGGCTGAAGTCCGCGAATTCGCAGGGCTAATATCACAAGCCTCGGGAGAATCCTCTTGGGATGGTGTTGACTGGATTCATCGCTTCTTGAATCGCCATCCAGATATACTATCAGAAGGTAGGTAGAAACATTGAATACCTCCGCGCTGAGAATACTTCGCCTGATGCCCTACAACGCCTTTTTCGATCTCATTTTATCTGTTGCAATGTTCACACGGCAAATATCTGGAAAGGGAGTCTGCACAAATCAGAGTTCTCGGACGCGATATCACGGGGCGATCATATATCAAAAAGCTCGAAAATCGCGACTGAGTTACGATCAGACCCTGACGTGACGTAGCTCGGGTTTCAAGTGATTCCTTTGCAACCCGACCGGCCGAGACTTTGAAGCTTATTTTATCATACGTGGTATACTTGTATATTTTCGATTATAACTAGCTCGTGTTAGGGTCTACTGCATTTGTAAGTATGTCTACTCAAATGGCATGTAAACGACGTCGACGTCGACGTCGACGAGGATGGAAGAAATTGAGAGAGGTCTGTGTGTGGCGACACCGGTCCATTAATGGTTGGCCCATTAGAAGTTCGCCCGATGGGAGTTGGTCCGGGGCGACTGAAGTGGAGTAGCCAAAGGCATCGTTTCGAAGCCGGGGTACCCCACCATCACCACCTGCTGCGACATACGGGGAAGTAGTACGGAGACCCCTACCCTCCTGAAGCCCTTGGGCTTGTAGCCCCTCCACTTTGGTGCGCGCTTTTTCCAATTTTCCCATCTTCAACCTCACCGTTCCCTTGCAATTCTGGGTCAGCCTGTGCTTTGATCTCGCAATATCTCACTCATTCGGTCATGGCCAGACGGAACACTGGCTCTGATGCCGGCGCCGCTCATAAGCCAGCTCGGGCTTCAATTGCCTGTCAAAACTGTCGATTGCGCAAAGTCAAGGTTGGTCAAATTGTGCTACTGATGCATCTCGTGGATTTTACTCGTACTGAGAGAAGCACTCCAGTGCGATGCGCAATTTCTTCCCTCGACGCAATCCTGTTCCCCGTGTCAACGCACAGGACAAACCTGCCAGCTAGACCCGATGTCGGACGGCCGAAGGTTCGCAGAAACCAAGGAACTCGCGCAATTCCAACCATCAGCTGACGTTGGACATGGTAAACTGTAGGTCTGTGAGCTGGAAGTACGTCGACGAGCTCCAGCAGCGGATACGTGCCCTTGAGTCTCTCAATCACCGACAAGGAGATCAGCGGCCTTCACAGTCGAACAACCACAATGCTGAAGGCTCGGCAGAAGATGGTACTTCAATACCAGCCGACTACCCGTAAGTTACGAGTAAACACCAACGCCCAAGGGCGATCATACCCCCAGCTCGAATCTCGTACTCGCACTGTGCATATTCTGACGGCCTGAAGTGCGAACCAGTCTCCGAGCATCCAACAGCCTTCTCCACCGCCTCCCGCTTTGAGCCACCCACAACCCGAGCCCGTTGCCGAGACCTCGCTCGGCTCTCAGCACCGACGGTCGAACATATTCTATCCAGTTAACGCCGGAAGTCCTCGAGAAAAAGGATCCGACGACATATCGAGCTTCTTCGGTCTGACATCCCATCCTCATGTTGGGTCTCCGGTTGAGAGCTCAGCGGACAGCTCGATGACCGCTTGTGCGGACGAAGTGGTGACGCTGGGCATCGATCTCGGTGCCAATTCGCCTCAGCTGAGAAACAACTTGATCCAGTCTTTTTTCAAGTATCAGACACTATGGGTCGACATTGTCGACAAAGAATGTTTCTCTGGGCACCGAAAGCCGGGCACTCACAGTCGCTGGTATAGCGACTTTCTCGAATACACCATGTTGGCGTGCGCGACCCGGCTCCAGACATCGAGCGCGGTGCGCTCACTCGGACGTGAATATGCCCAGTTGGCCAAAAACGAGGTGTTGGGGGGTCTGCATGACCCAACGCCTGCCAACCTTCAGGGCTTCTTGCTTCTCAGTGAATACGAAGTGACCCAGGGAAACGACCGACCGGGGTGGATATTCTGTGGTGAGTACTCGTCGTTGCCCATCGACCGAGAGAGCGGCTTTCCCTCAAAACTTCCGGCATACTAAGCCGTTATAGGTATCGCGTGCCGAATGCTTTCTGACCTGGGTCTGCATGAGCTGGCGGACCGTAATGGCGATACGGATGGGAAGATGGACGAAGAGACCGCCAAAGAGAGCGCATTAGCATACTCCCTCCTGTCTGCCTGCATCACCTACGAAGGTGTCTGGACTCTGTACCTAGGTCGGCCGAGCTCCATCCCGGCGTCCATCATGGACATTGCCGCCGCACGGTGCCGCGAGCGCCGCCCATCGGATTCTCCACTTCTCAACGCCTGGCTCGGACTATGCGTGCCCATGTGCCAGATATCCCACGTTCTGAACAATCAGGACAGTGGCTACGGCAACCCCTCAGACTCGTCCTCGCAACTCTTGCAAAGCCTCTTTGCGCAAGTGCAAGCCTGGTACGATAACCTCCCGCCTGAACTGGTCTACGACGAAAAACACTTGACGAACTTGGACATGGCGGGGTACGGCTTGCACACGCAGTATTGCAAAGTCCAAATTCTCCTGAGCCAGGCAATGGCCCGACCCCGCCATATTCGGAAACGCAGATACTCGCAGATTTCGGGCGACGGCGTCTCAGATGTCATGTCCAAGGACTCTGGGAACGCCATCTATCAAGCGTCGCTGCGCATTGCTCGGCTGGTGGTCACATATCGCGAGGCGTTTGGAGTGGAAAAGATCCCGTCGATTATGCTTGACAACGCTGTGGTGGGAGCGACCGCGTTGATTCGGCATGTTCAGCGAACACAGCACGGGCAAGATGCGGTAAGCCGACGGGATCAGACGTGGATCCGCTCGCTGGTCAAGAGCTTGGAGGCCGTGCAGCCTCATTTTCCAGTCACTAGGCGAATGCTCGACGTCCTGAAGTCTAGCTGTGCAGGGACGTCTCTAGCAGACCTCTTCCACTCACCCGTTCCAGCAACAAACCTCGCCTCTGTTCCGTCCGGTTCGTCCACCTCGATCCATCCGATGACGCATACGCAGACTGCGTCGGACATGTTTGAGGCCAATCTGCTCAACCCCATCCATGATCTCGACGGGGTCTGGGGTTCCTTTGGGCGTAATGTTAGCCCAACTACCTTCTTCTGGAGTGGGCTCGATGCTGTTTTTCCCGAAGTGACTTGTTCGGACGGCCCGATTCTGTGACGGCAAGAATCCCTGTGCTGATGAAGCGAGTATTTTGTACGCGTATCCCACGGAGTGAGGTTCAAAATTGGCAGTATTGGTCTATGCATCGGGGGAATTGATCCATTTAAGAGCGGTCTAGCTTGACTACGTATCTACTTGTTTGTTGCAGGGATGCATCTGGGTATGATAACAACTACCTTGAAGTGGATTGCAAGCAGTTCGAAATCGAAACTCTGCAACCTGCATCGCGCCGATAAGCTAGTTATTTGATGATCACTTTAAACGTGAAGGGAGTCTCTTCAGATAGCCCTCCGGTGGGTCTCAGAGTCCTCGCGCAATGGTGTGAATTGCGTGAATGCCCTGTGGTCTCAGATCGATCTGCTCTTAATGGCAGTATACCTCGTAGTCTCTCTGCCTTCTCCACCCGCTCTAGGCATTGGCCGAAGGCCGAGCGACATTCGGAAATCTCTCCGCCTCCCCGTGAACTCCGAACTGCACCAAAATCGTCCGTATATCGTCAACCTGGCCCAGACTCTTTTCGCAAGCTTCGGAGGAAAGCTGAGACAAACAGCAAGTCTCGTCTTTAGTAACAATTACGTCTAGTGTTTATCCAGCGACCTACCTAGAGTACAGAAACGCGCATCAGTCCCCAACTCCCCCTGCGATCTATTCGCGTCACCCGAGGTCTTTCAAATGTCGGCGCCGCTGAACAAGGTCTGGCAGCATCCAGACGTTGCTGCCACCGCGATCGAGGCCTTCCGCCGTCTTGCTAATGAAAGACACCATTTACAGCTGAGTAAGCTTCGAATGGCCCCGGGAGGCTCCTATGAAACACACTGACGGCCTCCTGTTGCGTGTAGATGACTATCATGATCTATGGAAGTGGTCGACTGAGAGCTTGAATAATTTCTGGATGCTCGTGTGGGAGTTTACAAAGGTCAAGGCCTCGGTTCATCCAACTTATGCCATCGCGACGTCCGAAGTCAATCAGCTCACGCCAACACCGACGTGGTTCCCGGAAGCCAAATTGAATTTTGCCCAAAACATCCTCGAGGCTGCCTATCGCGATCCGCAAGACGCGGACACGCCTATCCTGACGTGGGTTGGGGAAGGAGGAGACCTAGTCGAGCATGTCTCTCTCCCTGGGCTTCGCCGTCGCGTCGGACTTTTGGCAAATGCTTTGAGGCGCGCGGGTGTGCAGACTCTAGACCGTGTCGCCTGCGTCGGCTCAAACAGCATCAACACATTTACCGTCTTGGTGGCAGTGGCGTCGATTGGCGCCATTTTCACCTCTTGTTCCCCCGAGGTCGGCGAACGGGCCATCTTGGACCGCTTCCTCCAAGTTAAGCCCAAGGTCTTGTTCGCCGACGACTGGGTCGTTTACAACGGCAAGCGGATTCCCTACTTTGACAAGGCAATGGCGGTGGCCGCTCGTCTCAGAAAGGAAGCCGGCTGCCAGGAATTAGTCTTGATGGCGCGATATGGAGACAAGCCCCGAGCTCGCCAGGATGGCGATGTGTTCCACACCCTCGAGTCTTTTATCGTAGGCGTGTCGGACGACCTCACGTTTGAACAACTGGCATTTTCACACCCGCTCGTGATCGTCTACTCGTCCGGAACCACCGGCCAACCCAAATGTCTGGTTCATACGCTCGGGGGTGTGCTACTCAAGCAAAAGCTGGAGCAGATCCTATGCATCGACATGAATAAAAGCAGTGTTTACTTGCAATACACAACCGTAAGTTTGACCTTTGGGGGCGGTTGATCATAACCATTCGCTTACACTAGGCGAATTGTAGACGAGTTGGATTATGTACCTCTACTCCGTCTCCGGGCTACTCAGCGGGGCAAGATCGATCCTATACGATGGCTCACCGGTCAAGCCCAGCCCCCTACGGTTCCTCAAAGTCCTAGCCGATCAAGGAGTCACACACTTTGGCACGAGTGCCCATTATCTATCTCTCCTGGAGCAAGCTGGAATCACCAAGGGTGACGTGTCCGGCATCAACCGCCTGAAGGTCATTACTAGTACCGGCTCAGTCCTGATGGAGCCACAATACTACTGGGTATATAAGACGTTCGGCCCGGTTCAACTCAGCAGCATAGCCGGAGGAACCGACATTGCAGGAGCTTGTAAGTCGTCCGGCCCGTGAGGCACTATGCCGGAATTTGGGAACATGAATTGACATTGTCTACCAAAACAGTCGTCGGAGGTACACCCAATCTACCGGTATATGCGGGCTGGTGCCAAGCGCGAACACTGGGGATGAAAGTGCAGATATATTCTGACGACGGCAAGCCCATTGAGGCCACGGGCGAGCCCGGTGAGCTTGTTGCCACGGCGCCATTCCCTTCACAGCCAGCCTTCTTTTGGGGTGACGACGGCGGTAAACGGTACAAGGCGGCGTACTTCGAGACATTCCCCGGTACGGTGTAATTTCAAATTTGCTGGAGCGAGAATAAGGCCTGGTTCAAAACTGACTTTCCTTAGGCATTTGGCATCAAGGGGACTACATTCGTATGGACCCTCAAACTCAAGGCATACAGTTCCTCGGTCGGAGCGACGGTGTCCTTAACCCCTCAGGTCCGTGCCGTCCTCTACTGCTGCGGGTCGCACTCTCGAGGGTAGTTCGTTACTGACGTGATTCTAGGTGTCCGTTTTGGGAGCGCAGAAATCTACAACTCGCTGAGTGTCTTCTCCGAAATTGAGGACAGCCTATGCATCGGACAGCGCCGGCCCCAGGACCGCGACGAGCAGGTCTTGCTCTTCTTAAAGCTGAAACCTGGCCACACCTTAACACCCGAGCTCAAAAAGGCCATCAATGACCGCATCCGGCAAGACCTGAGTCCCAGACACGTCCCCAAATTCACCTTTGAGACCCCTGAGATCCCCATTACCGTCAACGGGAAGAAGACAGAATTACCGGTCAAGAGAATTGTTTCGGGACAGAAGATCACCCCGAGCTCGACCATCATTAATCCGGAGTCGTTGAGATGGTATGAAAAGTTCGCCTATCTTGACAGTAAAGGTTCAACGACGGCTTCATCCAAGCTGTAGGTTAGGACAGTCTAAATCATACTACAGCAATAGGGTCGTTGGATCTCAATTTGCAGTTTTGGCATGATATACCACAAGGAAAGGGCACTATTCTGGCACGTCTTCTTATGCAAGGAACAAGGAGCAGTGACCTCGGTTCGTCAAGGCACATATGTTATGAACTTGGGTAGCATGTGAGATCGACGGCGCGGCCCTGGCCAGTTTTTATAGCTGTGGATCCAGAACAAAAGGGAATGAATACGGCCGTTGGTTCTGGAAATAACAGAACGCATTCGACAGCTTATGCCTAGACAGAGCGTTAGGGCACTTGTGAAGTGGATCAGGGCCGTCAGGACCCACCACGAGAATAACAGCAGTCTCCGTGACAATCTTCTGCCACTCGGCGAAAAGGCTACCTTCCTTGTAGTCATCGAGGTCGAGGTCCATGACCCCCGGGGCTGCGTGGAACCGGGACACAACGCCAAATGCTCGGCCTGCCCACCGAACTCAGTCACCACCGCACGAGCATCATGTGCGATTTGGGAGCTGGCATACCATTGATGGTCTTGTCCGAGGCAATGATCAACATAGCCTTGCAACAGTCTTCGACAAGGGCAAACCCCACGCCCTTGCCGTCAAGGTAGTCCTGGACCGGTTGCGGCAGGATCGGAGTCTGAATATACCTGGCGACAAGGTCAGAATCTGAAGAGGTGTTTGTTTTGATTTTGTCCCCCCGCCTGATTCATACCATGGGGCCACCAGATTCACTCGAATGTTCTCCTTCCAAGAGGTCGTGCGCAAACTTCGCAGGATGCCTCTGACGCCAAACTTGCTCGAGTTGTACTGGATCGACCCGGGAAGATCCACGTATCCGGCGAGGCTGGACTTGAGGATCAGACACCGGTCCCGCGAGTCGCCCAGGGGCTGGCGTCGAAAGTAGTGGATCGCCAGCTTGACCGTGTAGAGCAGACCCATGAGGTTGACCTCCATGGTTTTCAAATTGGGCTTCACTGGTGGTCCTGCAGGGTCTGGCTTACAGTCAGCTGTTTTGAGACCTTGGTCAATGTAAGATACGGGCCCGACTTTCAAGCTTAGACATGTCATCGCTGCCGACGATTCCGGCATTGGCGATGACAATGTCGCAACTTTTGTGAGGTGAGTTCTGCACGGCCGCCTCAAACGCGGAGACTTGCTGCTCCCAGTTGGTGACGTCGCATTTGACGAACTGAGCCTTTCTATATCGACGAATTAAGACAAATCTGCCAACTTGGACGGAGAGAAGTCCCTTACCCGTGGAATGGGGCTATGGTCTCGTTGCCCAGGATTTCATTGAAATCGACCACCGTGACATAGGCACTTGATAAAAGGTCACGCATGAGCTGTTGAACAACCCAAGAAACAGGGCGAAGATTTCTTCCCGAGTCGCCTCACCCCGCATTCACAAATGCCTCTGTATAGGCCTTGCCCAGTCCTCCTCCACCTTCACAGTCTGCTTAGAGAATGCAGAAGTGGCTAAATCGGGAATGGGGCAAAGCGCTCACCTCCAGTGATTAGGACCGACCTGCCTACAAGATCATCAAGGGTGAGAGAGCTTGGGATCGCCACGGGGCCCGTATCGTGATACTCTAGAAGAGACATTTTCAAGCTCGCTTTCGGTGTTGTTAGTGCCTGAGCGCGCTTAGCAATAGTGTGTGGACGACAACGTCATGCTATATAGCTTGATCAAACGCCCGCAGATTGTCAATTAGACTTGCCGGATATTGACGCCGACATAGAGTGGATCGAACGGCGGCAATTCAATCCCCAGGTCAAGCAAGATTCGGCCTCGGCCGAAAGCTCCGACAATTACCAAACAGACCGACTCTTATGGCTACTAGTCCTTTCTTGCACAAAGCGATACAACACTGAGGGAGTGGTAGATCAAACGTCCCTAAACGCTCGTCAGACACCACCCTGGACAGGCCGACACGCACGGGTTCTGGGCATCATCAATAGTCGATATCTGCAATGTCGAGTTCTATCCCCAAACATATGCTGGACTGGGCGAAGCCCTCGACGTCTTGGGCGTCGGTCGACGCCGCACAGAGAGAGATTGATAAGATCTCGGCTAAGATACTCGAGCTTCCGATTGCAGAGCTGCGCCAGATCGGATACCGAGCACCCCCGTTACCGCCAGACGTACCTGAGCCGGGGAGAGACATCGATATCTCAACCATCGAGATTGCAGTCACGGACGGGACCAAAATCCCTCTTCGAATCTACAAGGCGAAAGTTGCCGGCGCCGGTTCTCCGCTATTTTTCAATATTCACGGTGGAGGTATTTGTTTTATTCTCTGGAAGCTCACTGAGAATCAACGGCCTCGCGTCTCCTCGATTTTTGGCAAAAGGCTGACAGTTATTGGCAGGATGGGTCATGGGCGTTCCGGAGACCGAAGAGGCGCAAAGCCGGATCATTGCGCTCAAGAACAAGGCCGTTGTGGCCAGCGTTGATTATCGCAAGTCTGAATGAGCCCTCTGATTAGATGTCAGGTATGGGGAAGTCTAGATCTGACTGACTCGTCCTCAGAGCCCCAGAATTTCCTTACCCGATCCCTCTCAATGATTGCTACGACGTGTTTCAGTGGGTATGCTTTTTTTCTGAGCGAAAGTGGAATGAGGATTCCTGTTCGATTGGTCTTTTTGCGCAAGGGATGACAGTTCTGTATAGTGCCTAGAGAACTCAGCTTCGCTGGGCGTCAATCCGCGTAAAATCATCGTCGGCGGCGGCAGTGCGGGTGCCAACCTGGTAGGCAACTATACCCCTTATCACCATCCCTTTTATTCCAAGAGTGCTTTCACATATGCTAACATATAATCGCGGTCCCGTGAACAAGACTGCTGCCCTTTTATTCAAGCTCCGCGCTCATGACGCTACTATGGATATTCTGGGTCAGATCCTCAACATTCCCGTGACCTGCCACCCGCAGCGTTTTCCAAAGGAACGATTCGCCTATTTCAGCTACACACAGAACGCGGCGTCGCCTATCGTCGACTCCGGGAAGATGGATTGGTTCTGGAACCAATATCTCTCGTCCTCTACCGACGGTGACTTGTTTTCGAGCCCGACTGTGAGTCCGCTGTTAGCCTCCGACAAAGCCACGCAGGGTCTTCCACCTACACGTAAGTTTTGTGCCCCAGAGTGCAGCCCGCTGAACTCCTCTTCTCCCTCTTGTTTCCTCCAAGTCAGTCATCCCCTGGCAGGAGTGGGCCTGGGGGGATGCAGTGGTCAAATTCCAAGCTTTGCAAGTGCAGAGGAGCTGACCTAAATAACAGTGATCCAGGTCGCTGGAATGGATCCTTTGCGCGACGAAGGCCTGGCATATGCTGAAGCGCTGAAAGCCAACCGGTATGTCACACTTTCCCTAGTCCTTGTCATGCATCTGGTCAAAGGCGACCGATCCCGTGAGACAACAGATGCGCTAATCGAAACCGCAAATGGCACAGAGTTCCGGTGACGGTCAAGGTGTATTCAGGCCTTCCACACGCCTTCTACATCCATCCAAATCTTCAGGAAACCTCCGAATACTTCCAAACAATGGTGGATTGGATCAACCAGCTTCTGGGCGAGAGAAGTACATTGTAGCCTATGAGGCCAAGAACGAAAAATAGACATCCAAACTACCTGCTAGAGGCTAGTCGTTTCCAAACGGGTGCGAAGACTAAAACTTGATATCGTACCGCGACTCGGTATCGTAAGCATTAGTTCAGAAGACAATGGCTGCGTCCGAGTAGTCTCTTTGGGCACTCCTGTCCTTCGGCGACCTGATCAAGCACCTATGGCCTTGCAATTAGTACCCTCACGTAACACACTCTATATTCCAACCACAACGCCGGGCTGAGGTTGAGCATATCTATCAGACTATACCTAGTGACTAAAGAGCATTAAGGAGTTTTCGTAGCTTTCTTATACGAGCCGTTCACCTATGAATCAAGTGTGGGAATGGGAATCTTCCTCGAGCAGTGGGACCGCGATAATACGAAACCCAAGTACCGACGCGTCAAAGTCGACGGCGAGATATGCATCAAATCACCTTTCCACTAACACAATATTCATTCGCTATTTCAACCGTCGTATCCAAGGACGTCACAGCTGACTGTGTCACGGGCAGGTGCTCTACCCCGGTATACAAGAAGCCCTACAGTATCCACCCGCACGTATCCACATGAGAGGGCGATACCGGTCACATATTCGGGTTAGCAGACGTCTGTGACAGCGAAAGACAAGTCGCATTGCAGCAGATGTAAGCTCTAAAGCTCCAGACTGATGAAGCATAGAAAAGCGACAGCCATCCACTCAACCTCGTTATTCTACTCGGTCGAAGAAGCCCTTCCGACCATTCGCTGCCGAGCGTAAAAGTAGTACGGCCGAGAGCAGAGGGAAACTCGTTGGGGGACAGTACGCTAAGTAAGGAGGATAATCGATGAGAGCCTTAAACTAGAGATATATAGGGTAGTGACGGCTATAAACTACGTTCTAGGTAAAATTTCGAGCCTCAACTACTAAGTGGAGGAGAATAATATAGCGAGGGAAGGGCGGTATAGTTATAACATAGAGGACTAACACAAGGCTAGCCTTCCACTAGGCGTCCGAATAAAATAGGTAGAGATCTATCACTACAACGTAAGAGAGTAGTATAGGAGGCGCCTAACTAAGTAGCTTAAGGATATTAGAGCGGGCGACGGAATGGGATCCCCTAGTATCTCGACCGGGCCCCGTCGTCTAAAGTTAACGAAAGTTAGTGTTATGAATAAAAAGGAAGAATGAATAACTAAGTGCTTAGGCAGCCCTTAGGGAGCGCTTGGGGATCGCTCAGGGAGCGGTAGGTGAGCCGAGGGTGAGCAAAGCGGCGAGCGGCTAATCAAAAAGAGAAGACGGACGATAGGTTTTTGGTCGGAGACTACCTAGGTAGTTAGTAATCCACATCCTGTCCGTCGTCCTTGGCTAGACCTCCGATTTTCCTCCGGCGGCGTCCAAAGAGGCGGGGACGGACCAACCTTGTGGTGCTCGGAGCGTCCGCGCCCTAGAGACCTTACCCAGCGGTAACTTCCCTTCGTGTACGGAGAACGTGTAAGGCGGCTATTTCGGCTCTGGAGAAAATGCAGGGGAGAAATGGCCTCGGGGATGGATGTGCGTGGTCAATCGGCGTGTCTTTGGCATGGGCAGTGATCCTCCTCGGATACGAAGATGGGAATAATGCATGCAGCCCAGCCTTGTGGGATTGTATCATGCGGGTACACCAACGGAAAAGGAACATGGGTGGCTCTAATCCACCTGCCTGCCATGGCGGATGCAACCCTAGCCCCTACCTTCCTGCCTCCTCGCAATAGTGTGCGTTTAAACGAAAGGTCTAACGGATGACTCGATGTGATAATGCGGAATGTGTTCCGTGGTAATGCAGCTTCAGGTCGTTGGGAATTCCATCTGCGCTAGAACCCCGGAGTCCTACTCCTCGTACGAGGCCATTTCGGATCCGCGACACATCTCAGGCCATGACTACCTGCTTGTCCTGTTGGCCTGCTGCCCCTCCGAATGCGGTTTGCAAGTGAGCTCGACTTGGTGCCAGTGCCACACAGACAATCTTTCTTCCTGTCTCGGCATGACACCGACGGTGGCCGTTGCTCACTACAGCATGTAGCGGTAGTCCGGGCTCATATCCCCCAATTCGGTCTTCTCGTACTCTGTAAGCCCGACGTCGTGTGTCTTCTCTCTATTGCGATTCTGGGTCAGGCAAGCAATAAAGTAGATGATGCAGGCGGCGGCGCTAAGGCAGATGAAGCCCATGCAGATGCTGTAGCCTTTATGGAAGAACGTCTTGGCGTCGGTGGCCTCGAAACTGTAGCTTGCAATGATACCTAAGACCAAATGTTAGGAGGAAGTCTCCAAGACTGGTGGGCCATCAGCTGCTCACCTCCTATGTTACCAAATCCAATCTGCCACGCCGTGCCCACTGCGCGGCGATGGTGACCGCCCAGGTTCATCGAGAACCAGCAGACAATCACGGGCATGGCACTGTATGTTCCCGATGTAATCATGAACAGCGCCCCGTATTCCAAATCAGTATTGTGATGCACGGTCATGAGTATAGCAAAGCCTGCAATGGCAATGCAAATGTTGAACATGGCAAACAAGAATCGGTGGCGAAACCGATCCGAAAGTGCGGCAGTGAGCATGCTCCATCCAAAGGCCGCTGCCCACGGAGGCACGGAGTGCAGCTGGGTCTGAATGGCACTGTATCCGTACGTCTTGATGATGGTGGGCGCAAAGTAAGCGTAACTGTAGGCTGCACCATTTGTCAGTCTCTTCATCTTCTCACCAGGACAGTCGGAGGCCCCTACCAGGCACAATCAAGCCAAAATACATGAAGCCACCCACGATGATCTTGTAGTCTTTGAAGCAGTTGATGACGTCCTTGACGGTGATACGTCGGTCGATGGCCGACTTCCCCTGATCATCTCGGAGGCGAGCCTTGATATACTCGCGCTCGGGCTCCGTCAACCATTTCGCGTCTTCAGGAAAGTCGGGAATGGCGAAGAACCAAACAAAGGAGACGACACAGGTCAGACAGCCTTCTAGGATGAAAACCCATCTCCACCCAAGATAGCCTTCCATGCCGTTCATTTTGCCAATGGCAGACGCGAGCAAGCCACCGAAAGCCCCGGCGAGAGTGGTGCTGGCGAAGAAGAAAGTATATCTCTTCTGCGCTTCCTGTCTCTTGTACCACATACCAATGAGGTAGAATGCTCCTATATGTACGTTAGAAACATGGCCTGGGCATTGTATCCGCAGAGTCGCCTACCTGGAAACATGCCGGTTTCGAAGAAGCCAAGGAAGAATCTGGTGGTGAGGAAACCGCCATATCCTTGGACTAGACCTTGACAAATCGTCACCAGGCCAAAGCCAAACATGCAGATGGACAGCCAGACATGGGGGCGAAGTCTTTTGAGGATGATGTTGGATGGGATCTCAAAGATCACATAGGGCACAAAGAAGATGGTCAGGGCGGTGCTGTACTGAGTGCCGCTCAGTCCCAGATCTTTTTGAAGGCCGAAGATGGCGGCATTGGCGACATTGGTTCGATCCAGAAAAGCCAGGAGGTACATGACTGACAGAACAGGAATAATGCGCATATCAATCTTGGTGACGAGTTTGCGTTCGGACACTCCTGGCGGGAGCACAGCTACCTCGCCGTCTCTGTAGCCGGCCGCTGGGTGGGCCAGATCTGGGTCATAGCCCAGCTGGTGTTCGCCCATGCCAGTCGTGTCGTTGAAGGCATGCTGGGCCTTTTCATCTGTTGGGTCCATTAGTTGAGGGACGATATGTCATGGCAGACGCAGACTTACTGGACCCGTCTATATCGAACCGCATGATGACGACGAGGACGAACGACTTATCGGGAAGAGATGCGATGACGAAAATCCGGGGGAAGAAGAAGATCAAAGAGCGTCTTTAGGAGGGCAGCGGGTCTCTTTGTAGAGTTACTGGGAGCCATGCGATTGCCGGGGTAGAAGCCGCGCAGGGACTAGAACAGGAGTTTTGTCCGAAGCGAGTGGCAACCCTGATGGTGATGGTCGCACACATTTTTCTGGAGCTCATACTGTGTTTGGCCAGCGGTGGGGTTGGGGAGAGGGCGGTGGCTCGCAGAGAGCAGGCAGGTTTGACAGCAGATCTTGTCATGGAAGCGGCATGGATGCAACATTGGATTTTGTGAAGCACTGGCTTTGAGTGGTTCAAGCGGGCGGCTTGGCTGGACTAAGCGACGAGCCTTGGGCTGGAAAAACAAGCAAAGGCCGACTTGTTGGAGCTGCAGATTTGCTTGGAGCGGCCTAGAGGCTGGTGAGGCCTAGGGCCGTAGAGGGAGAACCGCCCGTTATGCTTAAACAAGCTTAGCAGTGGCGTCTGCCCCGCATGCCAGAGCAGGACACGGTGCAAAAAGACCCGGCTAGAGACCGATAAGCCCGGGGATGGTGGATGGTGGGAGGAGATAGAGGAGGCGGCGAGGAGGTGGAGGAGAAGAAGGAGGAGGAGTTGAGGTTGGGGGAAAGATGCGGAGGACGAACGAGACCCTTGATGCGGTTATGCCCGGTCAGCTCACTGTGCAGGATGCTAGAGAGATACTCACTGCGTTCTTGTGCCCATGACCAGTCGCCAGTACTCATCTCATCGAGGTATACCCATCACTCTGGCCATCTGAGAGGAGTAGGTGCCTTAGGCTCTGTTAGGAGGAGGAGTGGATAGCCACCAATGTCCGGTTTTCGGAGCCATCACCCAAGCTGCTGAATTGCCACTGCGGATTTCTCTGCGCTCTCGTTGAATTCCCTAGATAGGGCAGATGTAGGAGTCGATGGGTGTCATGTGCTGGTGATGGAGATGGTGATGGTGCTAGTGATGATGCTGGTGCTGGTGCTGATTGCTGGCGTCGTTCTAGAAATTCTAATACGATGCGGGCTGAGCCGGGAAGAGGGCGATCTGGGGGCCTTTGGATGTTCTTGCCTAGGCTGTTGTCCCAACTAATACGGAGCACAAGTAGGTGTTATGCCCAAGTGGGCATGCCTAATAGAACACCCAGTAGACACCCAGGCATGCTTTGGGATGCCCGGATTACCGAGCAGTTGCTGCCCTTGGACCCCCCACGCCACCCTCCCAGCGCAAACCGCCCACGCGCAATGCCCAGAATAAAAACAGCAAGTCATCATGCGCCTGGTTTGGTCTAGTGGCCGTCTGGGGGTCCAGGCGCCACGGCCATTGGGTGTCGTGGGCGTCCAACTCAAGAGAAGCGGCCAACTTGGAGAGACTCATACGGCTTGTCTCAACACCTCACAACGAACCTCCACGACCGCGCCAGAAACCAAACACACAGAGTCCATGGCTGCTCGACGCGGCGTCAGGCAGGACAATAGACGGCAAGGACACTTCTCGGCGTTAGGGCATGGGACACTGCGCCCCACGACGGGTTTTTCATTTTACCCTGCCTCAGCTGCCCTCAGCCCACCATTGCTTCTTCCCCAGCTGACACTTGCAACCTCTATCTTCTTGATCGCAACCAGCCATGAATCCCTACTATCCTCCTCCTCCGTATCCTCTGCCCGCTCCCTTGCCTCATATGCCCTCGTCCACGGCCCAAATTCTGGGTAAGCGAAAGTATGAAGATCCGCCACCGAGCCACGCAGCACCACAGTCTGCTTATGTTGGCGGCTCATCTTCCCATGCTCTTGGCCATCAATTCCCTGTCCGACAGTTTCGCCAGCCGCTGTCCGTAGAAGACATGATGTCCAGGTACAACAGCGGACCACCGGCTCTGCCAGAGGCGCCTTTAACCTCGAGGGTAATCGGACCCTCCCGCGTCCCAGTTTTCATCCACAACACCGTCCGGAGTATTCAGGATGGTCAGAGACCACGAATCGATCGAAATCTGACTCGGTCGTTGATATGGGATAAGGAAGACGCCTCAGCCGAAAAGCGAGACGTTCCAACTCGGCCAAAACGGCAGACTCTCCAGCCTAGTCGGCCCTTGCAAAATTCTAAGCTTGTCCACACCGACGTCTGGGTTGATGTCCTCAGCTTTTGCGAGCCCAAACTCCTGCTGGAAGCAAAAACTCTGAACCGGTTTTTCTACCATCTCCTCTCCGACAACTCGGCCATCTGGAGAAAAAGCAGAATCAATCGTTATGGTTCGGCCATGCCGGAGTGTCCCAAAGGACTCACAGAGAAGCAGTACGTCGAGCTCTTAGCTGGTCGTGGCTGTCAGAGCAAAGGCTGTCACGTTGAGAGGACCTCCAAAGTTCATTGGATGTTTCAAGTTCGCTTATGCCCGGATTGCTTCAAAAAGAAAACAATGAACGTAAGTCATCATCCGCCCGTGTCTACAAATCTCTCTGACATGGACGATCACAGGAAAGTGACCTCCCACCCCAACGTCATCACAACCTGCCCGCAAAGGAAAACCACATACCTCCAGGAGACGGACGCCCGCTGTGGGAGCTGCTGCCGCTGGCACGGACAGACGGGTAAGTGACCACCTTTGTCGCCATGGCTCCCAGGCCTTTCCGCTGACAATTTACCTTTAGTCGCCGTGACGCAAACTCTCGCCACGTCAGCACCGAAAAGAACGACTGGGTGCGTGATCGTGGGAAGTTTGCTTTTCTGAAAACATCCTTTGCCAGAATTGAAACCCAATACCGGCATCTCCGCGCTTCAGATCCGACAGACCGTGCACTCATGGCATGGGCAAGCAAGATCCATGGGGAAACAATGGAGTTCATGGCCGACGTAAACAAACTTGAGGCGTGGTTCAAGGAGCATACAAAGACGGTACAGGGGTCCAAAGTTCAAGCTTGGCGACAAAAGAGAATCGACTATTTTGAAGCACGTGCTGCAGAGCTGTCACCGCCTATGGACCGCCAGATTCTGTGGAAAATGGCGGCTTTCACCCGGATCCTCAAGGTTCAATCAGAAGCCACAGAACGGTCGTGGGAAAACCTCCGGATCAAGATCGAACCGTACAGATTGCACGCACAACAGGTGGAGGAATTCGAGCGATTGATGGCATCCGAATTTCTCGAGGCGGTACCGCAGGTCCGACTGTTCAGGCGACTCCATGAACATCGCTGTGGAAGGGCAGCCGTCCCGCGCTCCTATCAGCCAGAGCAAAAGTACGTCCTGCAACTTGCGCAAGCGGTGTTTGTCCGATGCGTCAATGACGGAGTCGCCGATGAGGATCTTCTCCTACTTTGCCTGAGGAAAGTGTTTGACGTCTACAGCACGCGGAAGGACCGCCCAAGAGGCCTCAACTTCGACGGTACCACTGGTCCATATTGTCTCAGTCTCGACGACGCCCGGATGATTGTGGAGGATGTACTAGAAAAGAGGATCCCACCCCATTCAGAACGAGGCAGAATCGTGTTTCAGAGCCTGAAATGCAGAGGGTGCCGCCGAGCCGACCATGTCCGAACGTGGTCTTTCATCGAGGCGTTCGAACACATTCTTCAAACCCATGCCAGGCACGTGGGCGAAGGGCTAGAGTACTATCAGTTTGCCACCCCGTATCCTTTGAACGATCTGCCCGGGTTGTCCGCAGACGAAGGCGGAGTCGAGTACAGATTCCCCTGGTACACCGTGATCTGGCCCCGGAACCTGCCTCTTGTGCCTCGCCATCAAGACATTTCGCAATTGGACGCCTGGCACCCGGCTGTTCCTACCGAGTTCATTCCGTTGTCGGAACCCTTGAGGATGTCCGCGTTTCATGGACGACAGCCGCTTCAACAAAAGCATGCAGCCGACGACTTCGGCCCGAACTTGGTCTATGCGGCTAAGCAATTGAACGGAGTCTGGCTTGAAGGGCCTTCTCAGATGAAGATCGCATTAAAATACGCTCTCGATCTCTACCATCAGGAACATACGAGAGAACCACCACTGTCCACGTTCATGGCATGTCTAGAAGAGCTGGCAGCCGCTAATTCGGCGATCCAACAAAAGTTCCGATGCGGAATTTGTGTGGTCGAGGATAAGCGCCCTCGGTCGGTCAGACGATCCAAACACAAGACAAGTATGGAAGCTCTCCAGAATCATTGGGAGGACAAACACCTGGATGGATCTGTCCCCTGGACTCAGGGTTTCATGCATCTGCCCAGCGAGGATGAAATCTCACAGCAGATTGTCGCTGTCGATAAAAGGCTCCAGGACCAGAAAAACGCGTTCCTCGAAAGAGCCACAGTCATGTCGACGGACATCCGGAAAAGAGCAAAGTCGAAAGGCAACGTCTTGTTCGAAGTCAAGAAAACGGCGGAGGTGTTTGATGGACTCTTTCCTAAAATGGCGACGAAATGAGACCTTACACAAGTGATTTAATGGTGCGGTTGTCAAGATCACGGTGGCCTTGTGAGCGAGGTTTTATGGTTAGCACAAAGAGTGCGACCAGCCCGTTGTCAAGCGGGCAAAGGTCGTTGATGTACAAGCATTGATCAAAGGATGCAGGGCTTGGAATGCTGCAATCCGGATGAAGGGAGCCACAGCTGGACTAGCTGCATGTCCTCGTGACTACACACTTCACACGCTGCCGGTCTCATGAATGAGAGACTGCCTCGTTGGTGGCGAGAATCTCTCAGCCCTGCGCGAGAACTGAGTCTGCATGTGATCCAAAAGGCATGTTGCCCGAAACTGCCTGAAAAGGATAGAACCACCGAAGAGTTCTCAGACTATTCCCCCTCTGGCAAATGACAGCGAGACATGAAACCCGAGCCCTCTGGCGGGCGACCCGGCTTTGGCCGTTGCGAAATCTGACGGAGAAAGACGTGCTTTTTCGTGCTGGGTCCTTTCTTTGATGGCGAGAAATTGACGGTGCCACTTGGCCGCCCATTGCCGTGGCTAGCATCCTTGGGCATCCCAGTCTCCCCTGCCAAGCCCGGATGAGGCTTACCGAGCGTGATACAGGAGACGGCATTCCATTGGCTCCGCGGGCTGCTAAACGGCGATTAAACAGCGTTAAGGTCTCGCTAAATCGCGCTGAACTGCGCTAGCGCCGTGCGTTTGCTGATAACGTCAACGTCAGTTTCCATCGCGCCCTTTGATAAAGAAAATCTCATGATTTTTTCGGGTCCTTTTTTCTCTCTCTCTGTTCCCCTTCAGACCTGCCATTCCCCGTCCCGCCACCCGTGCGTGCACTTTCGTTCCCACTCTCGTTCTCGTTTCCGGCCTCAGTCGCTCCTTCGCTGTGGGTCGTCCGACCTTCGTTTCATCCTAACAGCTGCGCATTGGCGTCCAGTCGCTGATTGCCCATTATTCAGCCTCGCCGACTCCCACCCATTTGTCCCAGCACGTCTCGCCGTCAGTAACCTCTTCGGGAAAGTTCTGACTGTTCGGCCCAATTTCTATAACTTGCTCCATCCTCTCTGCTCTCTTCATCCTCCCTTTCCTTCTGTATCTGCGTTGAAATACCCCCCCTTCGAAAGAAAGACACCCCCGTCTGGAACAAGTGAACAACCACTTCAAATGGCTACTGCAACAGCAACCCGGACCTTTTCCAAGGCCGTCGCGCGCAGCACCGCTTCGGCCACCTCGACCCTCCGCCTCGCCGCCCGCTCCTCAAGATCCAATGCCGCCGCCAAACAGTTCTTCCAACAGTCCTCCCGCCGTCACTACTCCTCCGAGTCGACTCCCCCGAAATCCTCAAACGCGACCGCCATTTACGGCAGTGTAGCAGCCGCCGCCGCTCTCGCAGGAGGCTACTACTACTTCACCACTCAGAGCACGGCCGGACAGGGCAAAACGATTCTCCTCGAGAGCGCCCCGGAGGCTTTGAAAAAGGGCAGCGCAGGACAATCCGCCGGGGTCTTCAAGCCCACGGTGGAGGATTACCAGAAAGTCTACAACGCCATTGCGAAGCAGCTGTGGGAGAAAGATGACTACGACGACGGCAGCTATGGTCCTGTCCTCCTCCGTCTCGCGTGGCACGCCTCAGGTACATATGACGCCGCCACGGGCACCGGCGGGAGCAACGGCGCCACGATGCGCTTTGCCCCGGAGTCCGAGCACGGCGCCAACGCCGGCCTGAAGAGCGCGCGTGACTTCCTCGAGCCCATCAAGGCCCAGTTCCCCTGGATCTCGTACTCGGACCTGTGGACGCTCGCGGGGGTCTGCGCCGTCCAGGAGATGTCCGGGCCCATCGTCCCCTGGAGGCCGGGCCGCCAGGACAGGGACGTGGCGTTCTGCACGCCCGACGGGCGCCTGCCCGACGCGTCCAAGGGCCAGGACCACATCCGCGCCATCTTCGGGCGCATGGGCTTCAACGACCAGGAGATGGTGGCCCTGTCCGGTGCGCACGCCCTGGGCCGGTGCCACGCCGACCGCTCCGGGTTTGACGGGCCGTGGACCTTCTCCCCGACCGTCTTCACCAACGACTACTTCCGCCTGCTGATGGAGGAGAAGTGGGGGTGGCGCTCGTGGAAGGGGCCCAAGCAGTACGAGGACGCAACCACCAAGAGCTTGATGATGCTGCCCACTGACGTGGCCCTGATCAAGGACCCGATCTTCAAGCAGTGGGTCGAGAAGTACGCCAAGGACGGCGACCTGTTCTTCAAGGACTTCTCCAACGTGCTGTGCAAGATGTTCGAGCTGGGCGTGCCCTTCCAGTCGAAGCCCGAGGACCGGATCCGGTTCAAGCCGACCATCGACGAGTCTTGAGTTCTGGCCCGATGATGCAAAGGGAAGACGTATTTTGTCGAGAGAGTACGGCGAAGATGTCGAGGGATTAGGATTACCTCGTCCGGCGCCTCTTGACCGTTCTAATTCATACCACGTGTTTGATTATCAAAAAAAACCCTTCTCATTTGTCCATGGCGAGATTGAGGAAGACGCATTTTCCACGACGTTTGTCCGAGAGGGCTCGAGAGAGGTATCCAGGACAGGGGGCTCCTGCGCTGAATAATCGAGCGCTTTCACACGTGGATGGATGTGTTGGTGGTCTTCTTCATGATGGAGGGTGTACCAACAAGCACCACTTTCCTCTCCCTCTCTCTCTTCCCGCTTGCCGCGACTGATTATGCGAAGCGAAACGCGGATAAAGCAGGCAGCTAGGCAGGTAGGGGGCGCATGGTGCATACACAACGGTGGCGGAATCATTCGATTGGAGCATGAGCGAGCGTCACATCATTATCATAGATCGATCGATAGAGCATAGACTGTAAATCAGATCCGAAGCCGACGGGCCGGTATCATCACACTCCTCTTCATCACTACCAACAGACCATCCATCGAGCGGCCCCTCCTCTTTTGCTACCAATTCCCTCTCGTGGCGGATGGACGTGGTTGTCGGTGGGATTTCGCCCCCGTTATTTCCTCCTGAGAGATATTGGCAGAGACGGAGACATACGTGTAGAAGGAGACTTGGTTTATGCGAGCATAGAAGGATGAGAGTAGAAAAGGCCTTTGAAGGGGTTTCCTTGTGGGATGCAAGCTCTCTCTCTCTCTCGATGATTGGGGTGTGCTATCCATCGCACCACGTCTTTGCATCATCTACTTGTATCTCTTTGTTGTTTTAATTTTCTCCTAGCTAGCCAGTCCGAGCCCCAGCCCTGTAAGCGGTCGTTGTGTTTATCCAGCGTGGGAGCATCTGTCTTGTCTCGCCCCAGCCCTGTAAGCAGCCAATGTGTCTATCCAGCGTGGAAGCATCTGTCTCGTCTCGCCTCAGGTCTTGTCAGCTCGCTCGAATCGATTCTCCTCCCTTGTTCTGCTGCGTTCCCCTTTATCGCCGTAGCCCATAAATCCATGGAGTTCGGGGGCACATTGTTTGGCTTTGGTGTTGTCTAGCTCAAGTTGTGACGCTGATTCGTCTGCTCTTGATCAGTTGCTCTTCGCTGTTGAAATCGCTCTTGATGGCTCGAGTGCGAGGAGCGGCCCCTTCCTCAGCAACGTTCTTGTCATGGAGAATATCTCGTCAAGTTGTGCGGCGCCGGCTTTCCCATCAATCGTCTGCTTCATATGCCGTCAGCAGATCCGTGAATTCTTCGAGGGACATCCTGCTAATGTCGGCGAAGGTGATTTCCCGGTTGAGGCGCGCGACGTGTTCCGGCTTGAGACCCGAGATGATCTTCAGTTTGGATTGAGACTCCAGGAAATGTCCTCCAGCCGTGGCGATCGCGTTACGACAGTGTGTGAATTGGGTCAGAAAATCGGCCAGCGATGCACAAGCACTGGGATCAAGCTCTTCCATTTGCTTCTGCGCGATTTCGAGACGGTTGGGTTCCGGCTTCCGGTACTTTCTCTTCAGATAGGACCAGGCCTCGCTGGGCTTCTTGAATGCTTGGATCTTGCGGCGAATGGCTGGATCGACTCGATCATGGAGGTATGACAGGGTGCGTTCAGCCCGGTATTGTGCTTGCGTCCTTGGTAACATTCGGGTACGTCGATTGTTCCGAGTAGCTGTCTTGTCGACCGACGCTGCGCGGGGATTCTTGCAGTCTCCTACAATGCGTCCAGGTTTCGAGGTAATGTCTTCGGCGATGAAGAGTCTCCATATGCACCGAGACACGCAGTCGTGCCGGAAGCGTTTAGCCCACTCACGATAGTTGGCATGACCTGTAAGGCAGAGGTTGTCCTCAAAGGCTTCAAAAGTGGATGAAGACATGATGAGCGATGATAGAGACGCAAGTCACAGTGGTTGATATATTGAAGAGAAGGGGTGTTATGTTTCCGATCAGATGGACGAATTCGAAAGGTAGAGTGATGAGTCTGAATCAAGGTAAGAAGAACCAAGAAGGTCAAGCCTCGATGGAAGAAATACCATCGATGGCTAGGGGAGATCTTCAAGTGAGGTCCTTCAAAGGTCGATCACAACAATTTGTTGACTTGGATCTTCTAGGCCTTGAAGATGCAAGTCGAGTCTGCTCAGGTTCTCTTTCCTTTCACTTTTGGTATACCATCCTAGGGAACGGCGCACGACTTCGTTCCGAGGTGGTCTTCAGGTCTGTTGCCGTAGTCTAGACCGGTCGTTGGAAACTTCGTGTCCTTCTAAGAGCGTGGTGTGTTGTGGTGTCGATGATCTATACCTCGTGAGGTTTGGTGCTCTGTATCTGGTCTATCCACAGCTTCAGCCTGCATTTTGACTCAAATACCCATGAGTTTTGTTGCAGTCAAGGAAAGGAATGCCTATGCCTGTTCCAGATTCTTCTGTGTTTGGCATGCCATGTCCGAGCTTCTTTGTCCCTGTTGCCGTCTTATTGAGTGTTCTCGGCGTTGCTGCAGGCTCTCAGCGGAAAAGAGACATGCCGTTGCTGCCTTCTCGATCTAGGTATTGTGCAACGGCTTGCATTACCAGCACCAGAACCTTTTGTCGTCCTTGCTGAGCCCCAACCCGCGAATAAAACTCACCGGGATGGGGTCCAGCAACCACATACCTCCACGAGCCATGTCGTCAAAGAACAAGCCACCGGTTCCCCAAAGCCATAGAAAGGTAAAGGCGACATTTGACGCTTGACGTACCAGTGTTGCCCAGCCGCTCGGTAGGCATGAGAGAAAGGAACGGCCGAGAATTGCGGAGCATGCGCTTTGAATGGCCATACCCAACGGCTGCAGCGCAAAGAATAGAAATGTTCTAACGGGTTTTGTACGGCCCAACAGCGTATAGCTTGCACATGCGTGCAATATCCCACTGAGAAGGAACACGGTCACAATTCGGACAATATGTCTTGCTCCCGGCGGTTTCTGATGACCAGATGGCTTCTTGTCTGGACCTCGACACGCAGAAGAACCCGGACGCTCATCGCCCAGCAGGACATCTGCTACGGCGTCGCCAATGCTGACAAAGTGCATCCTAAAGAATTGATGCCACGTTTCGCCCCAGAAGCCTCTCAGGCCTCTGTGCAGGATAGCGGATGGGCTACCCCAAATCCGTGGGAACGTGGAGGGCGACGCATTCAGTCCGAGTATCCCAGGACCAAGAATGTTGACCTGGAGCAGGGCTGCGAAAGAAAACTCCAGATCGACGGCCGTGTACATCCCTGCTGTGCCAAGGAGCAGGCGGTATGTGTGCAGGGCCCATGACGAGGTGATGTATGGCGATAAATGAGGCGGTGGTCCTTGCGCGGGGAAGCCGATGAAGTACGGGTCCGCGATCATGATTGCTTTGAGCAGGTCGATGATGAAGTAATCAATCAGAAAGCGAGCCACATTTCCGGCCTTTGAACGCGTGCGATTTGAATGAGCCTTGTTCGAACGAAGAACCTCTGGAGGCGAAGCTGAAGGACCCCAGGACCAATGGACGCCGCGGACGCTGGTGACGAGGTCCAATACCCAGAATAGCCTGCGCCATAGATTTTTGGGCATCGGCTCCCAGACTAGGAGCTGCTCCGGGCCTTGTTCATCATGAGAAGCAAGCTTTTGTGTCAAGGCGGTACATCCCTCTGCCTGCGATGGTTCTGTAGCCGGGCGCAGGATCAGCCTCGTGAACTTCCGAGGATCGTGCAAGAGGACGAAGTTGACAGCGAGCACAGTGCACAGAGCCGCGTTCAGACCGACACCTATACTGCCCACCACGCCGATCGAGCGGGAGTATAGCAAGTTCCATAGCGAGACGTAGCAGATGCACAGAAAGACTGGCAGGCGGCACCTTTGAAAGCTCAGCTCGGATATCGAAGGAGACACGAACAACCAGCCAATCAGAAGGACAAAGTTCAAAGAAGCGACAACCGACGACGCGGACGTCACGGCGCCGGCCTGGAGGGCAGCCACATAGTCGTCATGCACTCTTTGCTCAGCCTGTGCGTATGAGTAGAACATTGCCGGGATCGGGATTGGCCGTGGAAGGGGCAGTTGGTTTTGTGGCGCACAGAATGTCGGTGTCGGCTCCGATATTACTGCACGATAGGAGTGTTTAGAGGAGAGTCTCGCGGCTGTGGATCTTTTGGTAGGAAGGAGCCCCTTTCTCGCCTGGCCCCCTTTTCTCTTCACCAATAGTACAGGGTTAGTGCTATATTAGGAATAGACGAGTTCCGAACCCGGTTAGTCCACGGGGTTAGACAATACCACAGGTCCACAGGATAATAACCTATTCCCAGTCCAGAGGGACTCACTGCTCACTTGGGTAATTTATTTATGGGGCCCCGCGCTGCTAAGGATGGGTATATTACCAGAAGGGCAAGGTGGATGCCAGTGATAGCACGAGGGCCTCAGATACGTCCATACCAGACCCTGCAACCAGATGGAAATCAGCTTCCGTGTCGCTGTCTGCGCCACGCCGGTATGCTAGCACAAGGATCGAAGAACGGTGGGCAAAACCCTAGTGCTGAAGACCTTAGCTGTCACTACCATAAGGCGCCCCAGGGCTGAGTGGCGCGAAATGAAAGATTACTAGTCTGAGGAAGGGATAGGAATCGGGTTGCCTGGTAAATGATGCCGTAGCGAAGATGCCACATGGCACTCGCAAGAACCTTGGCCTTGCATATCACTCGCCGTCCATGGCTTCCTGGGAGACCTAGCTGGTATCAACAAGGATTTAATCAGGCCCACCTCTTCCTCTTTCTCATGGGGCGCACCTGAAAAAGATAGATAGTGAAGCGGGTGAGCCTGGTGTCCTGAGGTGCAACTCCTCCATGTCACTCAGACCAGACAACCCATGCAACCTTGACAAAAGAGCGAACAACACCATGGAGAACCCTGCAGGCGCACTTATGTCTTTTTGTTCTCTTCTCTTTCCTGTGGTGATCCCTGAATCTAAGGCCCAATGACTAAAACAAAAGTCAGCGCCAGCTGGTAGGTGGAGGTTTAGTATATAAGCGCTAGCTTTCCTCATGGCTTTTACCGATTTTGATATACGAAGAGGACGTTTCCCTCTGGCAGATTCGTAGCTAGGTAGTTGCCGGCTGGCATCCTCGTCAGTAGCTAGTAGAATATAAATATGAGGAGATCGCTGCAAATGCAAGTCCGTAGCCTCGAGCCGTTGGTCCTGTATCTAGTTCGAATTCTGCCGTCATGCATCTCAAGGTGTTTGCGCCGATCTTGACAGGGGTTGCCTTTGTCTGCTTCCCCGTGGTGTCTCTGAGTGCTGGTATTGGGCTTCAACCAGGTATGCTCGCCCATTTTAGACATCCTCAACGTTCGGTATCTTGGAGTATGATTCCATGTCTGTGGCAAATCCAGAACGGCGTGAGAGCCAAGGGCACTGGATATAGATGTATAGACGGGTACCTGACCTGACGGAAACTTAGAGCTATCACTCTCGCTCCTCCAAGCACACCAGATCCCTCGGCACCCAATTCAACTGCGGACCCCGCCGACCTTCAACGAGGAATCCTCGAAGCCATGGGATCCTCTGCCTCCGAACTGGTTCTTGGGAAACTGGTTCATCACCTATTCCAACCAAGAGCTCTACCACATCTTTCGGAATTTCATCTGGACTCTGACGCGGCCTTGTGCAGATGACGCCTGCTATTCGCTCGAGGCCGCACACCTCGCCGACCTGGCGTCTTTCCAGCTCGTGAACGACACGCAGAAACCCAACGCCACTTACTTCGGGTACTCGCTTGACACGGCCATCGCTGACGGCGGCGACGGTGCCTATCACAGCGTGCCAACGGGATCCCTTGCCCCGCAGAACAACACGTACGAGGTCATCAGCTGGGGTTATGACTCAGAGGGAGTGGGCTTTGTGGTCGTGTATGAGACGCCTGCCGCGTCAGAGACGGCGGCGTCGCTGGATATCTTCAGCCGGGCACCATCAGGCCCGACCAACGACACTCTCGACGCCATCCAAACCGGCATCCAAAAGCTAGGCAACAAAAAGCTGATCGATCTTTTGAAAGACGTGACCAGGACGCCGCAGGACGGAGGCAGGAAGAACGACCCGTGGCCCTCATGCAATGCCACTTGCAGAACGAACGGTAAGGAATTCCTTTCCACTTCCCCATATTTCACAAACCTGTTCCCTTGATCTCATCGCCTCCGACTTGTGCGGATGAAGTCCAGTTGCTGATATCCTCACCAGCATACTCCGTGCCGCTTTGAACAACAGAATGATGCAATGGAGAGCAAATGCCCAGCCAACCGATAGTTCAAGCTCAGAACGAAAGCGGTAGATATGGAGGAACTTAATGATGAGAAATAATAAGTACCAGAATGGAGGGCAGTGCAGTGTCCAGCGAAAACCGACCTCCTCCCAGGAGGGAGGTAAGATATTAGAATCATGTCGTCGTTGCCAGTCATGTCAGTTCCTCAATATGATACAATTTCTGCCAGACATCTATATTTTCTGTTTCTGACCATCAAGTCGAAAGAGTGATCCTTTTGCAAGGCGGAACCATATCATCGCTGGCGCCGTCTGGATCATGTGAAGTCGAGTCTCAAGTGGAAGTTGGATTAATGTCCTTTCTGATTAAGTGCGATGTCGGGCACTTTTTTGTTTCGCTCGCAGCTTCGAGACAACTTGACCGGACTGCTCTCTGACTTCGACGGTAGAGAGCTTTTATTTATCTTTCCCAGTCGTGATATGGCTTCAATCAACTCGAATGTAAAGAAAGACCCGCGGTAGAGATGAAATTAGGTCAGCAATGGGAATAACAAAGCAATGCGTGAGATGAGCTTGAGGTGGACCTCAATATCAAAGCAGAACAGTCACAAATCATTAGTGCTGCACTGTCTGCAGTCAACGATCTCATCATACTTGGCGTTGAACTGCCTCACCTGGGGAAAATATCTCTTGCGCGCCCAAAGAACGCAAAGAAAGTCTATCCCGACGCCATCAACACAGTGGTCGACGGGAGGCTGCATCTCAAAGATCGACTGCAGCTGATGCCAGTCAAACATCAACCGGTGCAGAGATGGAGACTTTGTGGAGTAGGAGAGGGAGCCACAGCACCAATAGTGTCTGGAGTTGCCACACTTTCGATCAGCTCATCGAACTTGAGTCCGTTCCTCCCGTTCATAGATGCGTGCGCCGACATGATGCAGAGATGAAGCAACAACCTTTTCCACTAGCAAGCAAGCCATTGGGTCAAGTCCTGAGGACATCTGCGCGAGAAAGAAGCCGTGAACTCTTGGAGCCCTTGAATGGATGTGGTAAGTGAATGGCCCGACCTGATCTTAGTGAGAATATCCCGGACCAGTCCACATAGCGCTAATTGGTGCATCAGATTATCATCTCTACCTGCGCAGATCCGGACAACAAACTGAAAAGCTAGTTGGGGCACTCTTCCAGCTTTTGGCCAGTCCCGACGCAAATGAGACAATTCAGTTCATCATCCGCACGAACATCCGGGTGCTTCGCGAATTGCAAGGTGTGTGCCATGACCAATGCAAAGCGGTGAAGACGAGGGCGTTGAATGTCATCCACATGGATGGCAAATACAACGGAGAAAAGAATAAAGCTCGCGTCCAAAAGTTTGTGGAAGAATTCTGTGGAGCAGCCGAAGAGCAGAAGAGCTGGGTTCATATTCTAGGCTTTGAGATCGGTGTATCAGAAATTGCTCTGAAGCGTCTAGGGATCGCAAATGAAGCTGCGGCACTGGTTGAAAAGCAAAAAGCCCAGAATATCAGCGAGGAGGAGATCGAGAACTTGGAAGCTCTGTTCATCGAGTTTCAAAGCTGGCGAGGTGTGTTGATCCGTTGGGTGCTGCAGCTGAACAAGATGACTGGGAACTGCGATTTCCTGCGCCGCCATCGGAACGAGCTTTGGGATATCGTCGATCGTGACTTGGAAGGCTGACAGGCTGAAGTGGGAGGAAAGGCTGGAGGTCGGATAACGGAGGCAAAGCTTCTCGTATTGACCATGCTTGTCTCGGAAGACGGCCACAGGCCCGTGGGATTTCCGCAATGGCTGTCACTCCCACCACCCTTCTTGTAAGTCTTGGAGGCTCAGGAACAGCGATCATGTTTTGGTATCCCTCTTTGTCGTGAGGCACGTTGGCTTGTGGTTGATGGCAACCGGCCTCGCCAATTGTTGGATCTTGTCCGACGGAAAGGCAGATATCAGAGAACTACTTGTTCAGATGAGGACATGAGGTTAGGCCGAGCTTAAAGGTAGCGACCGCATCACATGCCAATCCTGGGATATCATAATAATGAATGAGAGAAAACGATGGAGGCAGGAGAGACGGAATGACAATGCGGCGAAGCCACATGCAGTCGAGCGCGGCAAAGTTTCTCTTTCTGGACTGTTCCTCTTGTCCTTGTTACCAGGCCACAAAGACTCCACGGTCTTCCCAATCATGCTGTTGGCATCTGATACAGGAGAAATCATACTTTACCTGCCGAATCTGACATTCTGGAAAAGTCAGAGGTGGCGAGAGCAATCTCCATCCGGTATACTGGTCGCTGGTAAGCTTTACGGCACCGGCCGAGGGGGTCCTGATTTGATCTAATCTGTACACCAGTAGTATCGATCTAGACCTGCGTGACTATTGTGCACCGTGGGACAACACAATTCTGTATGCGTTGCTTTTGCATGGATTCTTCCTCGCCTCGGCGGTTGCCAAAAACACATATCGATGACAATAATTGCGTTCTCTTCCACCACTGCCTCAAGAGGGGAGACATGATGGCTGGACCCAATAAAGATAACAGAGAAGAGAAGCAACTGTACCAACAGGAACAAGCATTCCGCTGCGGCACACTCAGGTGTAGAAACAAAGTGCTGAGTATGAAACAACGCATCGCAGATCGCACCCCACCGTGGAAGTATCTGCACGCGGGGATTCGGTGTTCTGGACGGGGATGATACCGAAGGGAAATAGCGAGCCCACAATACTGACGCTCATGAAAGAGCCTGTCCAAGAATTAGTCGGTACACTTTTGGCTCAACTCGTATCGAGACCGGAGAAGCTGTCTGATGAGCAAGATGTTTGTGCAAGAGCAGCAAACATCGGTTTCTTTCCATGACAATGAATGCATCTCCAGATGGGAAGTAGCTTCAAGGTAAGCGTGCCGTCCCCTTCTAAGCAGCGTCTTGGCGGATCGTGCAGACGCTTTCGAGGGATATAGACATGGAGCAATCCTCAGCGGAGGCCATCGGAACTTGAGCAACAAGCGTGGGGGACGCAGGGTCCCGGGCATATCGTCAGCTGGGGACCCGGGATGTGCATGATGCTGCTTCCCAAGGCGACTGACTACCCATGCCTCTGACCGAATTCAGAAAAAGGAAAGATGGTGAGTGATGATGCCCCCAATGACCACGTAAGCCATGAGGGGTGATTCTCGAGACTCCTGTTTGTGGCATATGGAGCCAAGGCTCGTGCGCGATGAAGAAGATATCCCTACCCGGGGCGGGAGGAGGTCAGAACAATCTCATAGCCAGCTGGGAGGAGCTGGAATCGATAGAAAGAAATCCCATGTTCAGCCTTGGGACTTGTGTCCTCCGTAAGAGGCAATCATTGCCCATCTTCTGGGTCTGATATGCATGTCAGAAACAATGGAGTCCTTCTAGAAGTGGCGAAAGAAGAATATGACTCGGGATATGCACTACCCGGAGGGCGAGACGGAGGGCGAGAAACCAAGGGCAGATGCAAGAGTTCAGCCGGGAAACGTTGGAGATGGTGTATATGCCGTGGTTTCTGCGCGGAGTAGAAGACTCTATGACGAAAGCGGCTGCTGATAGGATACCTACCTCGAACGCCTAGGACTTTTTTACGACTACTAAGGCAGATGCGTTGGTCGAAGGAAGCATCCTCGCAGCCTTGCAGCCTCGCAGCCTCGTGTTGATGTCGATAAGGAGACGTGGGGGAAGGTTATGATGTCATCAGGGCTTCCAGATCCAGCGAAGAAAAAAGGACGAGGACGCCGCCGCCACCACCACCACCACCACACCACAACCCCAACTATCATCGACATCACCATCACCATCACCATCACATGCACCAACCCTTATTTGGTACTTACATCTACTTGTATACAGTGCATCAAGGACCTGGTCCAAGACAGTCAATCAACGTCGTGGACGCACCCACCTCCGTTCACTCCCGAATTTCACGGCATCGGAATCCCCCATGTCAGCGGCTGCGCCCAAGATGCAAAACTGCGCAACCTGCATGCTCGGACGGATGTGACCCGCTGCCGTTGCCGCTGGTGTGATCATCATGCATGAACTCCTTGCCATCGCCGAGCAAAGAGCACCAATAGGCGATGACCCATTTGGTATTGAAGCTGGGAAAGATTGCTTTACCTTGGGTTCTTGCGCTGATTGGCCTCTAGCCCACGAGGCTCTCGCCCTCCAGACGCCTCGTCACGCGAGCACCTATTGTGTGCCTCATAGACGGAAAAAAAAGTGTCCCAAGTATCTCCACACGAGCTATATCACTCATCCCCCCCCCCCTGTATACCATGAACCACTCACTCAGCGAATCCTCTCGAGACCAGCCCACTCTGTGACCAGATCTCACCAAGCAAGACCCTTCTCCTTCTCAAAATACCTTATCTCTGCCCTGGACTTCCGGGGCATCCGCACACAGATGAACAGTGCTCAACCTTGCCATGACTTCGACTTGTCAGTACAACATAATCTCAGCCCAGAACAGTGCCCAATCCAGGGCTACCCTGAGAGGGGGGGTCCCTCCATCGAGGTCCAGATGCTATCCCGCGTTACAGCCGCGCCGTGGAGGCGGATGTTGATCAGTTGCAATCCTTGCCCCTGCTGCTGCACCACCACCGGAGAGCATGAGTCCGAAATCGCTCTCCAGGCCGTCGGTGGTTGAAAAGGCTGGAGATCCCCCTCGATTTCCATATCGTCGAGATCTCACCTTTGGAAATTCTCCTGACCATCACGGCTGCTCCTCTTACCTGACTTTCTCGTAGCTAGAGTTCATGACCGTTGTGAACAGTCGCACGCCCCCCTTTTATTGAACAACTTCGACAACAACACCAGGTTGCTTGAACCATCAAGATGGATGTTGACGTTGAGAAGAAGCAGGAGCCCAGCCCCGGAGCTCCTCCCCCCGGCCAGGAATATGGCCAGATCGTCTCCACGCACGAGAAGATGTCGCTCTTCGCCCGTGTCATTGACGGTTTCCGCGAAAACCCCAAGTGTGTCTTCCCGCTTCATATGAGATGGTGAAAAAGAAAACACAGATGCTGACGGCGCACCCTCTTCTTGGTGTTCAACAGCGCTCGCGTTTCGGAGCTCCTCGTCGACGACAATGGGAAACCGCTCCCCGACCAGCCGCCGGCACAGCCAGCGTTGGCCATGAAACTCAAGCAGCGACATTTGCAAATGATTGCCATCGGCGGCTCGATAGGGACCGGTCTCTTTGTCGGTTCGGGCTCGGCTCTTGCAACAGGGGGTCCCGCGGCCCTTGTCCTTGCATACTGCCTTTTGGGGATCATGATCTTCTGCACGGTCCATGCTTTGGGAGAGATGGCCGTCTTGTAAGTGATCAAACCTGATAGGAGACCCGGTGTGGTGGTCCTTTATACGGGCTGCGCATTGGCGCTCTCCGCTTCTTTTCTCTGAAGGTGACATTGCTGATATAGAGTTTGGGACAATAGATTTCCGGTTGCTGGCTCCTATTCAGCATACTCCTCGAGATTTCTTGACCCAGCGTGGGGGTTTGCGATGTCTGTAACCCTAACCCTAACCCTATCTCCTCACCCAGGCTCTCTTTTCTCCCTATCACTTATAGATCGCCCCTAAGCTAACAGCACATCATTAGGGGCTGGAACTACGCCATGCAATGGCTAGTCACGTTACCAATTGAAATTATGGCCGCTTCTATCACCCTAAACTACTGGCAGGGTGCACGTGACGTTAACCCCTGTGTTTGGGTTACAATCTTCTATGTTGTGATTATCTCAATAAACCTCTTTGGTGTCAGGGGATATGGGGAGGCGGAGTTCGCTTTTTCGATTGTCAAGGTCATCGCAACGTTAGGCTTTATGTGAGTTACACCTCTCAAGGTTATTGGGGTGGAAAGCTGACTCTGAGCGCCGCGCAGAATATTCGCCTTGGTTGTCGACGTCGGAGGAGGACCTACCGGACATTATTTTGGAGCCAAAACCTGGGATGATCCAGGTGCCTTTGCGTACGGATTCAAGGGCGTGTGCTCGGTTTTCGTCACAGCTGCATTTTCGTTTGGTGGGACTGAGCTGGTGGGGTTGGCGGCAGCTGAGGCGGAAAATCCACGGTTGGCGCTCCCCACGGCCATCAAGCAAGTGTTCTGGCGGGTGGTTCTGGTAAGCTGATTCAAGCATGCCCATGTGGTTTGCGGTCGCCCTCGCTAATCGGTGCCGCACCAGTTTTACATCATCTCCTTGACCTTCGTCGGATGTTTAGTCCGTTGGGATGACCCTCGGTTGCTCAACAGCGGCAGCAGCGCCAACAACTGGACATCGCCATTCGTGCTGGCCATCAAAGTAAGTGGCTCCAGCATGGTGTGATGGCGTCGCAGGGATATTTTGTGCTGACAAGAAGTCAGAATGCGGGCGTCGGGGGGTTGCCCTCGGTTTTCAACGCTGTCATCCTGATCGCGGTTCTGAGTGTCGGCAACGCATCTGTGTACGGGGCATCGCGCACGTTAGCTGCCCTGGCGGATAATGGTCAGGCACCGAAAATCCTTGGCTATATCGACAAGACCGGCAGACCGCTCGTGGCCATCATCTTCTCGTCGGCGCTCGGGGCTCTCTGCTATATTGTCGCGTTGTCGCCGTCGCAGAGACAAGAAGCCTGGAACTGGATGTTTGCCGTCAGCGGTCTGGCAAGTATCTTCACCTGGGGATCAATCTGCCTGTGTCACATCCGATTCCGCCAGGCCTGGAAGTACCATGGCCACACTCTGGACGAGCTTCCTTACAAGTCTCAAGCAGGAGTGATTGGGTCATGGATCGGCTTCCTGTTCAATTGTCTGGTGCTGATAGCCCAATTCTGGACGGGATTTGCCCCCGTGAGTTGCCCTTGTTGTTCCCAACATCAGAGCTGACGTGCACGGCATATGAGTGTGCCATTGGTTCGGAAAATCTGTTGAATTGTTCCAAGAATGAGACTGACTTTTGATCTCCTGTCACACAGATTGGTTACCGAGAGATGTCATCATCCGAAAGGACCAAGATCTTCTTCGAAGGGTATCTGGCAGCGCCGGTCGTCATTGCCTTCTACATTGGGTTCAAGCTTTGGAAGAAAACCCCGATCCGACGTGTCAAGGACATCGACGTGGTCTCTGGTAGACGTGAGATCGACCTGGAACACATCCTGGCAGAAGAAAGAGCGATCCGGGCGACGTGGCCATGGTGGAAGAAGACGTGGAATACTTTTTGCTAGGTTGGCGGGCTGGAAGGGATGTTTTGACAGACACGAAGCTTCGAGGGATGAAGGCGACTAAAGAGTTAAGTTTGAAACCTGAGGCTGCAAAGTAGCGGATGCCAAGAGATGGGCAAAGAGCGGGCCAGAAATGAGCACCAAACAGAGGGGGGCAGGATCGAGCTCGTGGAGTTTTCGCCATCGTCAAAGCATCGAAACATCGAAAACGTCCCAAACGTCAGAAGGGTCGAGACGTGGGTCCCGATCCCCTTTGCAGCCCCCGGGAGCGAGTAGTAGACGCTGAGCGTCAGCTCTTCGATCTTGGCTCGCAGCTTCTTCGCGGCATCTGATTGATAGAAATCCTCCGGCACGAAATAGCCATTGCGCAGCGCATCAGCACTGCCAAGCCCATTACGTGCGAACTAGGGGACGCCTTGGGGGTGTCTGGTGGTGTTGGGTGCGCCGTGGTGCCCCTGTGGTTGCCAGCTGAGGGCGATGTTCGTAACCATGACTCGTCTGCATCACTGATGATCGGTCAAAGTACGGCGGAAGCAGGATGGGAGGACGGGGGAACCGAGGAGGGCATGTAGAAGGCGAAAAGAGGCAATTCGGTGAATGCGTGTTCGCCCTGTTCATCCACACCACCCCGAGTGATTATGTTGGTGGCCGCCTTCTCTTTCTCCGTTGGTCTGCTCTTTCTTCTTTGGGACCCATTGTCCTTGTTCGGCGTAGTTGGATGTGGTCCTGGTCGACACGTGCCAATGCTCGATAGAAGGAAGACAGCAGCAAGCCAGATCAAGCGTTGGCGACCTGGGGCATTTTGCAGGCAAAAGTGGAAAGTGACTGGGAAGGGTTGACGGGGGGTCCCCTAACTACGGAGTCCCTTGGCTGCCAAGTGGCAAAGTGATTGGCCGGAGGGCGTCATACCGAACCAACAGTGACGGGCCTGCCATTGGCCGCGGGGGGGCGCATCAGGGGGGCTGTTCATGCTGCCCGTGGTGTTCGGTGCCAGGGGACGCGCGGCGCAGTCACTCTTTGCTGGCGGCCGTCGTCGTCAGCCTCCCAGAAGCAGCAGCCCGAATCCCCCAGAATTGGCCTTGGAACGTCGACTCTTGTCTTCGGGGGGCCAATCCAGGGCCTGCCAAAGCTTGCCAGTGGTAGAGACGCAGCGAGTGGCTCCCTTTTCTGCCTGGGCCATTCTTGTCCACGTCGGCCTTCCACGTCCGCTTGGCCTGCGTCCACCCAGCGCTCAGTGGCCCGGTGCCCCCAGTGCCCCCGTGCCCACCGCTACTCGCCCATCTCTCTCTGCACGCACACGCACTGCGACTACGACCGGGAGTGTGTGTGGCTCGCATCTCGCTGCTCGCCCAGGTCCTCGAGGGATTGCTTGGGAGGCTCACGCAATCATCGTCCACGTACCACTCCCGCTGCACTTACTGACCACCACGCATCCAAACTCATCCTCACTGTCGCCTCCTCCTCCTCTCTCTTCCCCTACTACTACAATACACTGCACCTTGCTTTTTAGACCGTGTCGATATTTCTCGATCCCCTTTTGCACCGTCCTCTATCCTCGCCCTGGCATTGTTGTGAATGGGCTATACCTGGAACTCCATTTGCCTTTCCGATTGTGGCGAGGCAACTCGACTCGGGCTGTGCTCCGGCGACTGCGCCAGTTTTGTCACAGGCACTGGTATCAGATTGATTTGATCAAATCAGATTGACCCTCACACCTCTCTCCTGCTCGGTCCCTTGAGTCTTCGTCCTCGGGCCTCTCTCCTCTCCTCCCTCTCCTCTTCACCTTCTCGTCGGCCCATTGACTGCAACATCGATTCCGCTCTGCAGCCATGGCGGGGAACGCGCGGCCGCGCATCCTCGACGATGAGTTCGACTTCAATGCCGCCGACCTCTCCAAACAATTCGAGCAGTTGCTGCGCACGAGGAGGTTAAACGAACTCGAGGAGCAAGCCAGAACTCCTCGTTCTGCGTCTCCCCATCTCGCACCTCCTGCTTCATCGCACACCGCACACCACCCGAACTCCGCACCTGCGTCCGTCGCTCCCAGTTCTCGCTCTTCGCAACACCAACCGCCCACCTACACCTCTTTTCGCAGCTATCCTATCGTCCCTTCTCCTCCGCAAGATGGTCCGTCGCTCAAGTTCAGAAATCTGCTCCTGACCTTGTCTATGACCCCCGTCAAGTATGAAAACCCCGGTCTCCTGGACGAAGCATTAACCCACGTCCCAATTGATCGAATTTATGTCGAGGCGGAAGAGGAACATAATCTGCTGAAAGCTCTGGCTGCCTCCAAAGGTGACAATGTCAAACCAGAATGGGGCTACCAGGACTGTGTCATCAGGTCGCTTCTCAGGTACGTCTTTCTGGAGCTTGTAATCCTCGATGCTTGGGATCTAACTTGGTCTTTAGGTGGTTTAAGCGATCATTTTTCTCATTCGTGAATAATCCTCCTTGTTCCAGATGCCATGGTGCCACCGTCGCGCGAGGTCAGACGCCCACCACACCTGACGAAGTGGCCCGCGGAGCCACAAGGACCGAACTCTACCAGTGCACAAATCCTGGTTGCCAGGCCTTTGAACGGTTTCCCCGGTACTCGGAGGTCTGGACCTTGCTCGAGACTCGGAGAGGTCGCGCAGGAGAGTTCGCCAACTGTTTCAGCATGTTGTGCCGTGCTGCGGGCGCCCGAGTACGGTGGGTGTGGAACAGTGAAGATCACGTATGGACCGAGGTGTATAGCGAGCATCAACGGAGGTGGATCCACGTCGACCCCTGTGAGGAAATGTGGGATAACCCGAGGGTATATACTGAAGGTGAGCAACTCGATCCCGCAATGGGCTCCCGAGTTCTGTTCTGACGCAGTCTCTCTTAGGCTGGAATCGCAAGATTGCCTACTGTATCGCCTTTTCCAACGACGGAGCTACCGATGTCACCCGTCGATATGTCCGCAATTCTCGCTACCACCTCCCCCGAACCCGCTGTCCTGAAGAGGTGTTGCTTTGGATCATGCATGAGATACGCAAAATTCGACGAGAGAATATGGACAAACACGTAAGGAATCAGTTGATGCGCGAAGACGAAAGAGAAGAGCGGGAGCTTCGCAGCTATGTGGCCCAATCCTTGGCTAGTGACATGATCAGCTCGATGCCTGGTCCCGTCAATGCTGAGCGGCCTGACGAAGTGAAGCATCCCGTCGACACTCAACAAGAGGTTCAGTGGTCCCAGCAACAGATGGATCAGTCGGGCCAGCGGTAACACCGGCGACCCGTGTCGTTCGAAAGGGCATCGCTGCCCTTCTACAATTTCCTTTGTCATCCCTCTGCACGATAACGTCGTTATGCTCGATCTGATGATACCACTTTTACATTATCCGAGGATACTTACAGTGTCCATACGCATGCACGGTTCGAGGCGCTTTGGCGAGTCAATACTGCATTTTACGTGGCCCAAATGACTACCAAGGGGGGAGGCTCTACATTTTCAGGTCTCATGGTTGGGCGGGGTTGCATTTTGTTACATCTACGATCTACAGTCAAGAGGCATTGCTCCTTCATGGTGCATTGGAGTTCGACGGTGTCACGTGCTATGTGAACGAGAGTTATGGGAAGCATATGCGTGTTTGGGTGGGATTTGCATTGCACGGCTGAGCATGTTCTTTGAAGCAGCTGGGAAATATCTAGCCCGCGCGCCACCACAGGATTGGAAAATATGTTCTGGAGCGGTCGATTCGATCAGAAGGAGACAGCCCGGCGAAAGCGAAAATAGGAGTGTTGTTCCACGGGTCTAATTGGCCATGTGTAGAGAAGACAAAGACTCAATACAGACTTGCACTGTCCGCCCGCGAGAAAGATCTCCCTTCCTTGCCTGTCCGTATCTTCCTTTGTCTCCTTCGGCTGCGTGAAGCCAGGATGGGGGTGAGGACGAATCCCCGTGCCAAGGGCCATAGTACGTACTCCAGACTCCATACTATGTACCCGGATCGGCAATGAAGCATCGGACAAAGTCGTCGTAATCCAGGGCCCCGGCAAGATTCCGGGCGGCGCTCGTTTCTCTCTCTCTTGTCATCTCCATTGGACTTGGTCCGTTTGGACGAGGTCGAACGTCTAGGGCTCGGTTCCTCGATTGGGCATCAACTATTCGATCCCCTCTCCTCTTTCTTCTCCATAATTCCACGGCCTTTTTGGGGGACGAGGACATTCTCCCCCGTTGGGCATTTTCCGAGCGACTCCCCGGCACATTGACTGTTTGTACGTGTACAGAGTACAAGGGAAGTTGTGGAAGTGGGCATGTAATACTCGTACAAGGTACCGAGTCCATCTCACGCGCGGGCTTTGAAGATCCTTGCGTGTCCCGAGCACATACATGGCTTGATGGTTTGGGTACCTAAGTAGCTCGGTAGGTCACCTGCACGGGTGCAACACAGGATTCGTAAGTCCCGACGTCTCTTTTTTCTACCGAGTAGGTAACTCAGTTGCCTACAAGGAAGGGTACCTGCCTACCTACCTACGAGTACCTAGGTACCTAGGTACGTAAGCGCGGCAGCAATAATCAATCCGCCCCAAGCGTTATCAGACCAATGTCCACGTTTCCTGCGCGGGTGGGCGACTGTGCGGCATCCCCTTTCTCCGATGGAGTCCCGTCGATATGAGATCGTGCCATTGGTCCCTTGAGAATGGGGACGGATAGGAATGTCAGGAAAGAGAGGTAGAGGGACTCTGTAATATCTGTCTATTATGGTACATGGTACACGGTACATGGTATTTGGTACTCGCAAAGACGGGAGGCCAGATAGGTGGTCTGCCTACCTATTTATCTGCCTCTATATACCCGGGTATGGATCTACTTAACGCATCCTTGATCAAGCTCCAGGCTTTTTGTCCAGGTTGATTATTTCGCAGCACAGTGGTATTATCTCCATCCATCTGAGCTATGGCGGATCGAGCTTATTCCCCAGAGCCACGGGCGCTGTCGAAAGCGGCTTTAAGCGAGCTGTGCGCAGGTACCAAGTCCTTTTGTACACTAGTCCTCGAGCCAAGAATATAGAACACCATACCTTCCAGGTCGTCAGGCACGCCGTACAGGCCAGGGTGAGAGCCATGGCGATCTAGAGACGTATCGGGGGGGGGACGCTCAAAAGCAGCATCTTGTGGCGTGACATGGGGCATATATGGCACGGCGCAGGATAGAAATAGGCCCAGGCTCCCAGCACAGCCTCGCCGCCGCACGCCCCCAACGTCCATGGGTATGGGTATGGGCATGGGCATGGGTCCTCCCGTCTCTGCGAGGACATAATTAGATGTGTCGTCTCTGTCTGTGGGTGGGCGGGCGGTCTAGACGTGCCATCCATCTATCTTTGTGTCTTCGTATCTATGTACGGATGAATGAAGGATTGATGCGAGTACTTAGTCTGGCATACTCTCTCGGTTCCTACTAAGGCTAATTGATCTGACCACGGTCCACCGGTCGGCAGCCTGGTAGCGATATACGTGCAATGCACTATACATGGACAATAGACGTTGCCTGGTCTATAGCTTCGTCCCTGCCCTCGTCCTCATCTTTGCGGTCGTGCTTATAGTTGATCATCATCATCGTCATCATCGAGAAATTGTGCTTGTTGTATCGACACAGATCTACCTAGGTACAGTTCGTGCCGGGTACGGGACCAAGGTCCCTGACAACAGGCGTCACAAATAGACAGAATCCACAGCCAAATTGGATCTCAGCAGTAGGCCGCCACATCTCGAATGAGCTGCATGAAACAAGGCATCTCGTCCATTCGCGTACATGCGAAGCAATCCCCCATAACGGTTCACACATCCCACTCCTGCCCGCCGTCGAAGCGAGATCCCTGCTCAACATCGTGCATGGGTCGCTCGACGATGATGACTTCGATATTCCCGCAGGAGCCCCCTTCCATATTTCCCCCAAGATGGCTGCTTTCTTCCGGCTCCTTTCCCTCGGGCGCGGCCACTTCAATGGCGGTGCCATTGTCGGTCTGACGGGAGGGCTCTGCAGGCCCAATAACTTCTATCCCCAGGATCGAGTGGTATTCGAACGTGGACCAGTACATCCTGGGCGCCTTCTGCGCAGAGACTGACACCGTGGTCTGTTCGTCCTTGCCCGCTTCCTCACCCCGTCTCATCAGGGCCAAAGCGTCGTCTTGTCCTTCATCTTCATCCAGCTCATCATCCAAGTCCATCTCGTTCGCGGTGTTATTGATGTCGAGATCAACCACTTCCGCATCATCGCCTGAGCCATTCTTGAACCTGCGCAATTCAGTCCCAATCCCGCCCTCTCGCTCTTCGAGCCGGATCTCGTCCCCTGCTCCCGTGTTGCGCTTGCGCTTCCTGCCTCTTCTGTCGCCCTCTCGTTGTCCGTTGACAGCGGGCTGGAGTAGCTTTCGTTGTTTTCGATTAGCATCGCCTCCCTTTATGAGCGGTTCCACCACTTCGTATCTTCCCAATCGTCCGGCTTTCTCGACTTCCCCTGCCCTAGAGCCCCCTATTGCCCCCGTCGGGTGGTCTTTCAATAAGTCTCTCGAAACGTCAAACATGAATATCCAGGTGGATCCGTACAACCACAACCTTTCCCCTTTGCTCACCCTATCAGAGCAGTCCCAGAAGCACCCCACAACCCGGTCTTTGATTTTGGTGAAATCGTGTGGCAGAAACCGAGAGGGATTCCGCCGTGACCAATCACTCAGCTTGGCAGTGAAGATGTCAAATTCCACGAGTTGATGTTTTGCAGTGACAGCTATGAGTTTAGCATTCGCCTCGTCAGCGAGTGCACGGCTGACAGGGTGCGGGTTACGGCGCGTTGCGTGTAGACCCCGATTATCGTGAGTACCTGGTGATGATGACTTGGTGATGGTATGTGAAGGTCGAAATGTCAGCGCGAGGATCGAGGAGTCAAGTTGTGGGAGGCGGGAACCAGATGGGTTGCGAATCCACTTTTGGCCGTGGATGACGGGCGAGAACGAGTCGTCGTCTTCATCGTCCGAGTTTGTAGAGGAGGAGGAAGACCCAGATGAGTTGCTAGAGGAATCAGGTGCTGCGTCGTGGATGAAGTTGACGTCTTCGTGACCTTCAAGCACCCAGACGTCGATGCTGCCTGATAGGTCTCCCACACCGAGAACACGACTGTCTGTCGAGAACGCGACTTGATTGATGATTTGGAGATAGTTTCCGAGTGCAGACTGCGCCGTCTTTCGGGGCTGCCGGTAGAGCTTGACAATTTTCTCATGAATTGCCGGACGCTCTTTCGGGTCGACCGAAGGAACAAGCTTTAGCATGACCACAGCGTTATCTTTTCGAACACACCACAGCCACTTGCCGTCTGGCGAGAAGCCTGCTCTCCTTGCACCTAGGCGGGTTATGGAAGGTGGAAGTTCAACTTGTCGGGTCCGCAGACATGTTTTACCCGAGACTTGAGTCTTTCGTAGTTGAAACAGTTTGACGCTATTGATGGTTGCAGCAACAATCAGTCGTCCATCTCGCGAGATCTGTGCATCTTGAATGCTCTCGTCGTCCTGGATGACAAGCCTTGTAAGTGTGTCATAACACGATTCCATGGCTCCTTCAGGGCCTACACCGGCCGGTGGCAGATTCGAAAATTTGCGCACATGATAAACCACAATCTCGCGGTCCCACCAGGAAATGAACATCCGTGAATTTTTGGAAGCAGAAATCTGTGATCGTTGGGGGAGGTGGGAAAGACCACGATGATACTCGGTCTGTGAGCGGCGTATGGGGACGACGACAGGTCGAGCATCCATGCCTCCCGAGACCAGCATGCTCAACTCTATACTCTCAAAGCTGGCTGCACATTTGACGTCGTGTTGATGGAACCTTTTATGGGAGACCTCGGCCCACCTCGTCTTCTGTGTTCCAGAATGCAGAGGGACCGTCTTGTAGGTCACGGTCCTCCGGTCAACACCAACTGAGAAAATCGTGTCCCCAGAGGCATTCATGGCAATGTCGAGGATGTCGGCTTTGTGGCTTTTTAGTCGCTGGACCAAAGAGTAGTTCTTTGAGTCCCAGACCTTCAATTCACCCGATGAGTCGCCGGAGACGATCGTCCCATCAGGGAGGCATTTGACAGTCCAGACGACAGAGTTGTTGCCCTCTATTGGCTTTCCCAAACTCATATTTCGCATGATTATTCTGCTCGGAACATCAATGACGCGGATCGTGCTGTCTTCATATCCAGCAACCACGGTGTTGCGGTCACGCCACACCAAGCTGAGGACTTTGGGTTTCTTTACGGGAGGTTGTGCTAGAGGTCGGAGGTAGCGCAAGTCGTCGTCTTCGGTGGAGAAGAGAATGATTGTTCCGTCGGAGCACCCAGCTGCCAGTAGTTGTGACCCTGCGCCACCCTCGAGGGCTTCTGAGGTTTTCGCATCTTGGAGTTGAGGTTGTGCCGCGAAGCACCAGATATCCCCAAAATTTCCTTCCGCCTTACTTCTGGGAGCCCCTGTATTGAGATTCCATTCCGTCACTGAGGTCGACCCGCCAGTGCTAAATAGCCGTAAAGGACCCCTTGAAGTCTTCGGCGCATTGGTGTCATTCACCTCTTCCCAGACTAGGTCTTGGGTCCACACGAGCTGTTCAATTGTTGCGTTTTTGCTCCCTTCTAGAATGGTTTCCTGCACCCAGAGACCATTTTGAGGATTCCATATCTCAATGTCGCCGTTGTTTCGACCCAGGGCCAGGCGCAGATCAGCAGGAGCTTTTTTCTTTGGATTCGAGGAGTGAGAAAACGCGAGAGCGTTAATCGGCTGCGGAGGATACTGCACAAAGCGGCACCTGTGAATATCCATGGTCAGGGGATCGCACGATGTCGCAGCATCTATATCATTGTGTTAGTTTGCAACGGGAGCCGTAGAAGGCATTGTTCGTGTGTTGTGTGCGCCGCACCTGTCTGGAAACTGGGTGATGCATGGACATGAAAAAAAAAGTTCGCAGTCGGTGACAATAGGCGCCGACTATCGTTATCGATAAGGCACTAGGCCTCCCCCCTCGCATGTCAAGGCTCCGCACTTCTTTCTCCCCTTCAGACAAGCCATTGCTCACTGTATTGTGCTGCAGGATCTCCAAATGCCCATGAGTTGCGATATCCACGTCTCTGAGGATCAATACCTACCCAGAAGCACACCAGTTTACCAATCATACGACGACCACCGGAAGAGCGCAGCCTTGATTACCTCGAGACCCCGAACCTGGACCTTGATGACCACGGAGCCGACGATCTGCAGTACATAAGCCCCTGCGACCCTACCTGGCAAGATCATCGCCAGTAGACAGGCACACGGGAAGTCGCTAGGGGTCCGACAGCGTCAAAAGATTCGGTCTGCAACACCACTAGGGCTGATGGTTGGCACTGCCTGGTGGCTGAACTAGGCAAGAGACGATGCCGGGGCTGCGGAGTTTGCGTTGAGTTTCTCGAGCACCATTTTGCTTTCACCTAAGTTCTCACTCCCTTGTTTCGATTATGGTGATGCGCACTGCTCCCGCATGCGCTTGTGTCGTCGGTTGTCCAGACGCTGCACTATCATGACCGGAAAGAACTAGCAAATGGAAAGAATTGGCTGGAGTCGGCGACAATATCACTCTTCCAACGACAGAACTCACACCCAAAAGTGTCGCATCAGTATCGTGGAATCTCTTGAGCGCTGCCCAGAACCCTCTCACAGAGCCCGTATCTTCAATTTCCTCTGGACTAGCGAGGCGGGCTGCATCTCGCTTGCCGGGAAAGGTCTCTGGTCTCGACTTACCGCCACCAACTAAGCTTCAACCCATCCCCCACCGAGGACTTTGGAGTTCCCGGACGGTTGGTCGTCAATTCGCAAAACCGCAGGATTATTACGAGACAGCCTTTATTTGTGCTCAGTTTTCCTGGCTGGCCTATTCAGTTGCTGTTTCTAGGCCATGATTGCTGGCTTATCGACTTTCACCCAGACGTGGAGCGAAAAGCGCTCACTCCGACACATTGATCTGCCCAGTATGAGCATTGACGCTTGTCATTAGCAGCGCCATGCCGACTCTGGTAAATTACAATCAATCAACCTTCAAGGACCATGCAAAGCCCAACAAACGCCGCCTTCAAGAACTCCAACACTCTGAAGCCCGAGCCCACGCCGCCCGGGTGGCATATTGGCGCAAGAAAGCCGGTCCGGTGGCCAAGCCGGGGCAGCCGCAGCGCAAAGGGAGTGACAAGAGCAGTGAGGGAGGTTCTTCATCGAAGGAGCCATCCGACGCTGGGGCTATTATCAAGCAGGAGCCAGAGAAACCTAATGAAATACTTCAATGGAAGTGTGACCCTTCTCCAGACTCGGTCTTTGCTAGCGAACCAGTATCAGCTGCAGATGTCGACCGTAAATCAGAACAAAAGCACACCCCAGGCAGCCAGTCCGGCTCAACTCAAACGCTCTCCTTTTCAAATTCCACCCCGAGCCATGAGAAATGGCGGCGTCGATCACCAACGTCCTCATCATACGATAGCAAACAGGGTGTGATTGGCGAGAGCCCGGCAGATCTGATTAGACTTGCTCGACAGCCGACGTCGCAGTTATTTGACCCCTTTGACTCTGTACCAGTCCGCCAGGGCGATGAAGTTGTCACAGCGATGGATCACTGTATTCTCCCCCTGCCTGCCTCCACAAGCCTTTGCTAATACGACTCAGTTATACACAACTGGGCGCCCTCGCAGCGACCTGGCCTCCAATACCAGACAAAAGACAACCCTCTCATCAGGGACACTTTCCCCTTTGCTCTCCAACACGTCGAGCTATTCGAAGCCTCTGTGGCGCTTTGCCTGAGTTTCCGGGCAGCAGGTCAAAATTTCCAGACAAGGATGTGCAACTGGTCGCTTTATCACAAGGGGCAGGCACTCAATGGAATGCGGACCAAGTTGAACTCGGGGTGCGTTGACGAAGCTGTTATTCTTGCAACAGTCTTCCTCATGATCATTGATGTAAGGACTGATTGCTCCACTTGGTTGGACCTTGTTAATCAACACAGAATGTGTTCTTGGATGTCGACGCCTATGAAGCGCACTTGAATGGCCTCAGGAAGATGGTTAAAGCTGCTGCTGCAAGCACCATGGAGGCATTCGGAGGTTCTCTGTTCTCATTTGTATCCTGGTATGTCTTACGAACTTCCCAGCTCCCGACTGCAGATGAGATCTGACGGTGCTGCACAGGGCCGAATCCAACGCTTTGCTGATATTCGGCAACCATATCGCCGAACACGATCCTGAATCTGGCGGAATTCAGTTGCGCTACCCAAGCCAGCCATTTCTGCCGGCAATAACCAAGACCGTTGCGGCATTGACCGTCGGATTCCAATCCGTGGCGGCAGATGGCCACCTATCTTATGACACCCTTTCTATTCTCGCAAATACTGTGCGTTGGACGAAGCTCATCGACCGAAACCCAGGGTCCGAGGCCCCATCGAAGGAAGATCAGGTCTTCCTAATGAGCCTCGACCCGCGACTGCAAAGTGCTCAAGTCATGAAGTTATGTCGAGTTTCTACACCGGGACATAATGTGGAAAGGGCAATCTGCAAAGCTGTATTCATCTACTATGCAAACCTTCTAGGCTGGACCTGTCGATGCTCCGGATATCGTCGAATCGTCGAAGAGCTCGGGGATGCGCTACGTTTCTGGGTTTTCGAAGAGTCATGGGACAGAGATTTATGGGAGTGGCTTGCTCTCGTGACGGCGAATGCGGCTCGGCGAGGCCAGCTGCATTACTTGCAGATGGAAGTGATGGCCAAGTTTGTGGCCCTGGGCTCCCCGGTGGCTGGATGGGACTCCATTCGCGGGGGCCTGCAGAAATTCTTGTTACACACCAGATTGGAACGAGAGTGGAAGTTTTGCTGGGAGACGGCAACGGTCTCTCTGTCGGGATGATGCAGTCAGACTGCGGGTCTGCTGCATTTCTCGGGCTTTGTATTCTACACACGCACCTGCACCTGTTCTGTTGATGAAGACGACTGTGACGATCTCGGAATGACCTGGTGTGATATATATAGACCACGCGCAGTTTGGAATTGACGCGCAACAGATGTGACGATCTGAAGCTGGCTCCTGTGGCATCTGGCGGCTCGCATCCTGTATCTGTGTTCTGCATGCTGCGGTCCAGACGAGGCTGTATTACCTCGCTGGGTATAACAAGTCGGAGTATGATAGTCGGACTGGGCGGATGCACGTGCCCTGTAATCCCGGAGGCTCGGCGCATCCAGCCGGCATGGTCCGGCGACTGGCATTATGCAATCCCGTGGTGGCCCTTGTGGCTCCTGCGCCCCCTGCGCCCCTTGTGTCCCCCTCCGACGCTCTCGGCAAAGGCAGCTTCGACCGCCCCGGAAGTCAACTTATCCGTCTCATTTTCTTTGACCTTTGACCTTTGATCTTTGACCCTCACTTCAATGTCGCCGTCCATGTCTTGTGCTGTGAGCGATACTTGAACCTACTTCTTACGACCTCAGCAAGGCCCTTCGATGCCCGTGCCCTGGAGAAGACGCGTAAAATGAGCGAAGTTGAGACCACCCCGTAAGTCCGACCACCGCGTCCCTTCACCCACGAGGTTGCCTCCTAATCCACCAGACAGAACCGATGGGAAAGTGATCAAGAGAGCGTGCACAGAATGTCGGCAGCAGAAGGTATGGACATTGACGCGTATGCTTTGTGTGCGCCACGACTAACTGAACGCCGTTGGCGTGAAAGGCTCGTTGCGATGCATACCTCGATCCCGACCAGCCGTGTACGAGATGCCGGAAAATGAACAGACAGTGCATCATCTCCGAGCCTTTCAAACGAGAGCACAAGCGCAAGTACGCATGACTGCTCGCTTTCCTACCTGCAACCAGCCTCATGCTGACCTAGCGCGTGTCCATAGGAGGCTGTCTGAACTCGAGCATCGGACGGATGAGCTTCAGGAGCGCCTCAGATCGTCGAGCCACCATCCTGAGGCAGCGGCGCCTTTGCCACAATCCTCGTGGGCAGCTGTTAATGACCTGCGGACAGCTAACGCCGAGTCCGAAAGTCGTCTGGCCTCGGTCGCGCCGTTCTTTAGAGATGCAGCAATCGCGCCAGTCTCGTTTCGATCCTTCTCTCAGGCGGCCGCCGAATCACTGCAGACTCCGGAAAGTCTCGCCCATGACTATCAGCCTTCAGGCACCCTGCCAAGGTGTCTGGAAGGACAATCCGTGGATTCCAAAGATATCGACGCCATGTTTCAGCTGTAGGTGTATTGGGTGGCATCGTGAATGACCTTCTAAGCATTCTGCAGGTATTTCCGCGAGTACGCCGGTCTCATTCCGATTCTCGATCCTACACTTCCACCGAACGGATATTACAACCTCTCTCCATTACTCTTTTGGGCTATCATCGGGGTCTCGTGTCGTACCTATTCGAGAAACCCAACCTTAATCTCTATTTTGCCAGCCAAGATCAAGACTATGGCGTTGATGTCGCTCAACGCGACCATCACTTTGCCCGTTGTGCAAGCCTTGCTGCTGATCCTGTATTGGCCGTTCCCGAAATCAGGCAACGGACACGACATGACCTACCCGCTTAGTGCTGCCGTGTTACACATGGCCATGCAAATCGGATTGCATGTTCCAGTCGCAAGTCACGAGTTCTGCAAAAACCCGGTCAAACTTACCGAAGACGAACTGAAGATTCGTGCCGAGACTTGGGGATACTGTACACTTGTCTACCAGCGGTACGCTTTGGACCAATGTTGGTACCTGTATTGCACCGACTAATGCTTGTTTTTTTTTTCCCCAGGGGCTGCTGCTTCAAAGGAAGCCCGCCGACACCGATGCTGGATGTGCCGCACGATCTCGAACAGCGACGCGCGCTCTTTCAGAGGATATCGTCAAACTTGAAGTTTGAATTGAAATTGCAGGATGTGGTCACGAGGTGCTGCATTGCCGTCTCGCAAAACGGGCTCTGGAGAATGACTGCAGACCAAGAAAGGTCGCTGGATTCGCTATTGAGCATCTTTCAGGCGCAGATATCCAGTGTTGCATTGGAGCCTTCTTCTGGTAACAAGAATCCATCTGACCCGTTTCGCGACTAACCGTCTTGCAGACCTTGACCAACTCTACGTGAACATTGCAACGCTCATAATCCATGCCTTCAACTTATACAAGTCCCCCACGGCCCACGACCCGAGTACGCTTTACGACCTCTGTGCGTCGTGTTGCCAGGTGATTGAGTCCTTCGACAAGTTGGACAAGTCCGGGCAGGTTTGTCTATCTGGTGCGGGGCTGTACTTCTTTTATAGCTTGATGGTGACCTGCCACGTGCTCTTACGGCTGCTCAAGACCTCTCTCAGCCGGTACATCGACGTTGAGAGGGCCAAGACCGCGCTCTTCTTGGGGATCAGCCTACACAAACGCATGTCGGTGCAGAATGATGATCTGCCAGCTCGCAACGGTGTTGCTTTGACCCAGCTCTGGAATAGTACTCGCGTCTTCAAGAGACCTAACGGGACTGAGGTGATTGCGTTACGTATCCGGAGCCGTCTGATTGGCAGTGTCGTTTTGGATGGTATTGTCTGGTGGAGGGAAGAGTTTGGGGGTTTCATGGGTGTCTATCCGCCCCCTCTTAGTGACAATCGGACAGGTAAGTGTATCTCATTGCCCGAGGGAACACATTACTGATGTGCAACAGAGGGCACTGAGGCCGCCAACGACTCGAATTCGGCTGCTCCGGATGATGGCTCGATGCCGGTGGCAGCGAAGCCCGATTACTCGACCTTCTTGGACGATCCGATGCTGACCGAATTTGGCTGGCCTGTCACAGACGACGTCTTCTCTTCTATATGGACCGACGGTCCGATTGCCACGATATGATTGGGGTAAGGAAGAATGTATGAATAACATGTTTCGGGCATTGGGTATTGTTACGATACGAATCAAAGCGGCAGAGTTTGGATTTCGGTTGATTGGGGAAAGGAGAGGCGAGGACTCTAATACTGACGCGACGATTACACACCGATAGTTTGCAAATCCAGCAGCGCTCCATTTGGAGCAGCAATTGACGCCTCTCAGTCCCTCTTCGCTTCCCTAGCTGTCTCGTCGTCCTACCATTTCTGCTCAAAGATTCCGATCCACTCCCCCCATCCGCAAATCTTGCCCTGCATCTCTCTGAGCACGTCGTCCCTGGTGGCCACGGGCTTCATCTTCTTGGTGTCCAAGCTGTCCTTCAAGGCCACCACCTGGAAAAAGTACCTATGCTCGCCGTGGCCGACGGGCGGGCGCGGGCCGGAATAGAGGGTGCCTCGCAGATTCTTGCCCAGCCGGAACCCGCCCGCGAGCCACTTCGCCTCGGGCTCGTCCGGGGACGCAGGCTTGGAGCTGTCGACCGCAAAGTCCTCGGGGCCGACGGACGTCTTGGTCGCGGGGATGGCGTAGTAGAGGCCGTGATTGGGCACGAGCGGGAGCGGCGCGTCCGGGTCCTCGCAGATCAGCAGCCACTCCTTGACGTCGCCGCCGCCCTTGGCCGCGTCGCCGTCCAGCGACCACGCCAGGTCCGGAAACCGCGAGCTGCCGAACTGCGAGTGCTCCGTGGCGAGGCGGGCGGGCGAGCCGCCCAGCGTCGGCGACGTGATCTGGACGTTTTGCGGGGCGCCGGCGAAGACGGCCGAGCGGGTCAGCAGTTTGGCGTCCCGACCCTTTTGCGAGTACAGGAGCCGCGCGAGGAAGTATTCGAGGTAGCGAAAGAATCCCATCTTTCGGTCTTGTGCGGTGGTGGTGGTGGTGGTGGTGGTGGTGGTCCTAGCCTGGGAAGGGAGGCGCGCAGGGAAATTGAGTGACGAGGGGGAGGGGGTCCGACTTTTTCGCTGGAGAAGGGCTTGAAGGGTGGTTTGGTAGAGGTAGAGGTAGTCCTCAGCAGAACAAGGACACACAGCTTGCGAGCGGTGGCTCGGTATCGTTGAGTGCTGGTCCTAAGCAGAGCGATCGGCTTGTTGCGTTGTATAACTTGTCCAATGCACTGCCTTCTCGTCTCTGGTCAAATGTCTCTCCGACGCGGCGGTCCTTGTCAAGTTGACAATCAACACGTCGCACCATGCGTTACGACAAGCACGATGACGAGCACGAGGGGAGAACCTCTTCCTATTCATATACTGGGCAAGTAGCTACGAGCTCTCTCAGAAACCACAATTTTTGTCTCCCTGGGGGAAATGCCCGCTTTTTAATCGCCCCGTACATACCTGGGTACCTACCTATGCTCCGTACGGTATGCAGCGCGCGACGACCGGGGCGCCGGGTCTGTGCTGGTACCAGGTCCGGCGTGGGAAGGATGTGTGGGGTGCAAGGGGGACACGGCGGCTCTTGTTGGATCGGGGAAGTACTGGGTACAGAGTGGCGGGTACTGGATATGGAATGGTACTCTGCGCATTGCGTTTGCGATGTTCTCATGAAAGTAGGAATGGGAATGGTCAGGTACCAAGGTAGGTAGGTACCAAGGTACTGTGTAGGATGTTGGAGGAAGTAAGAGCGGCTAGATGATGGTCGCACAAACAATCTCGGACTCGGACTCGAAACCGGCCTTGTCGGGATTGGACGATCGCGAGGAACGGGTCACGTCATCGAGAAAACCGGCCTTCGACGCAGCACCCTCAGGTGGCCATTTGTGTCCCAAGAGGGCCCCCAAAATTTGCGAGTGGTTGATGGCAAAGGGCAAGCGAGGCCGGTACCGGGCTTCCATCAGTTGCTAGAATTCCAGGCTCGGTGGGATTCTTGTACAAGTAGAGAGGTTATCGTGCATGGGCATGAGACATGGCGTGGTATGGATGGTGTGAAGATCGGCGTACGTGGCGTTCTGCGGCGAGACTTGGTTGGTGGGTTTGAAATACTTGTTCCTGTGCTGATAGGTAAGGGAGCTTTGGATGCTGATAACAGGTAACTGATACTGATGCTGATGAATACTTGTGGCTGCTTGGAGGCGGGAAGAGCAATGATACGTGGGCGAGGGAGAAGGGAGTAGAAAAGCTCCTCCGCTCTTCCGCCGCATCAGGGGGGAAAGGACTCGGTAGTGGCAAGCTATGCGTCCTTGAGTGCTGTGCAACAAGCACGCAATATCCTCCATTGAACACCAGGTTCTCTATCGGCTCGAAGATTGGGTCGATGCGCCGGCTTAGGGTCGTAGCTTCTCGCTAACCATCCGTGAGATATCGATAAAGGGCGCAGGGTATCGACGCGATATCTTCCATCTGCCCTCCGGCTGTCTTTCCACTTGCTGTCCCGGACGCGGAGACTCTTCTGGGCATACGGCCCACCCCTTTGTTACCCTTTTATCTCCTGCTCTTTCACTTTCCCTCGCGGTCTCCTGCGATCACCATCTCCTTACGTCGCCGCCTACCTGGCCCTATCACCCACGATGGCGCGCCATTAGTCCATCCTTGTTCTCCTGACATGGTAGAAGTTTCGCGCAGAAGATTGAGCAAAGTATGCTGATTGTCAATGTCTATCTTTCTTGCTTGCTTTTGTGTCTTGGTGATTACAAGGAGTTTTCGTCATCAGGGCACGCCCGCTGCATCGTTGACAATTTGTCTGGTGACATTAGCACCCCTCAATCAACAAGCGACGACCACTCTCTTTGAGCTGCAGTGACCCTGATGAGGGATATTTTGCTCATGACTTTCCAGAATCGATCTTCATCCAGAACGATAGGAAGAACTTCCTACCACACGAGGTGAGGTGATCCCACGAGGGCCCTTTCTTAGCCTCATACAACCGTTGCGTCATTTGCGCTCTCGCAAGAAATCGAAGACGAGAGAAGAGGTCCAGGATTAATACCAAGGAAATAAACGAGTGGTTGCGCGATATTTTGCCGCAGCCTTCATCAGGATGAACCTATAACACCGCGGCAAAAGACCGGCTTGTGGGTTAAATGTTTTGGACTAGTGGTGTTGAGCAAATGCCAGGCGTGTGCGTGCATCCGGGGTAGCATGTGGATGGCCAGATGATGGGTTCCTGACTCTGCTGCATGGCCGAGAATATTCCATCTGTTCCATGCGGATCTGTTCTTGTGTGAGGATCTGCGAGTGACTAAAATGCGATGAGATCTTGGGTGATCTTGGGTGATCCTCAGAGATCAAGCGGGCGGCATGGACTCGGCCTGCGAGGGGGCCCAGAAACCCGACAGGTCTGTAGCTGGATGGCCTTTCACGACGTGGAGGTGGAGAAGGAACTGGATGTCGATACAGAAGAGATGGAGAAGTGAGAAGCCGCAACCAGATGTAGGACTGAACCTTGAACGAGCTATTTGCGGGTGAGCGGGTGAGCGGGAGAGATACAGGACACAAGAAGGAAGAGCCTGCGGGGGCCGTTTTGGTGTGAGGGATAAAAATGGCAGCTGTTCCCCCTCGGTGTGTGTGTGGGTCACGTGAGATGAACCTCTCGGGGGGCTGGCTGACAAAGTTGCGGGCACTTGGGCCCCCTGGGGCCTTTTTGTTGGGCGTCCAAGCTTTAACCAGCCCAGCGCCTAGGGGAACTGAAATCACCTAGCGCCCGCCCAGCAGGTGGTTGTCCGTGAACCAAGCCCCGAACCAAGCTCCAGACCCAACTAATTAACAAAGGAAGTAGTACCTAATGCGGTCCCCTAAACGGTCCTTCGCACGTACCTAATTGTTTATCAGCGGCTAACCTGTCGACAGCCCACCAACGTCTTTTTCAAATTGACATTCAGCTTCACTTCTTGCCTTCAACCCTTCAACTCCTCCCAGATATCTTTACCGCTCCCTTTTCTGACTTCTGACTACCATAGTTGGTCATCATCCCCTGCTCGTCGCGTGCCCTGAGGCTGGCACTGCGATTGCGACTCACAAACCCCTCGCCCCCCCCAAGCGCCCATCACGGACCCAGCCCATCCCATCCTCCTCTGCCCTATCGGTGAGTTTCCCGTGGCATTTTTGACGCACGGCACACGCAATCCCCTTCAAGCAGCAAGTATCAGCACGAACCAGCACAAGACCTCGTACCCTTGCACTGCATCTTCGGTGCCTGAGAACCATCCAAAAAAGAGCTGGGTCACGTAAGAGGCGCGCGTCGGCCCTCCCAGGATCGATCACTCATCCCGGGTCACAGCCCACCGTCACCCACCACCCCCGTCGTCCATCGTCTGAGAAATCAAACTTCCTCTTTCTCCTTTTCGCGAATAACAATGCGCCCTGGGCCATGTGCCCAAAACCCATCGCGCATACTCTTTGATAGCATTTGGCGAACCTGGCTTCCAGAACCCTCTTTTCCCTCACACCAGGTTTCGCCATCCCCCCTTCTCCTGTCCGCCTTCGCCCGATAGCGTCAACGATCTTGGTCGTACATTCCTGAACCCTTGGCTGACTTGAACAGCAACCTGGAACCAGGATTTCCGGGGTCCGATTTTGACCTCGCCGCCTTAGCCGATTCATCCGCCCTGCCGGCCTACAACTACAAGTTTCAGCTGTGCTCCAGCCTCACTCAAATTTAACGACCATCATCCACCCCAGCGCAGAGCCCATTCCCTGAAACCTCCCTATTTTCGCACAAAGCAATGGAAATCGACCGTCGCCATCTTTGTCTGTGATCCCTTCTTGATCCGCTTGCTCTTTGCCGTCGTTCCGTCACAATGCGTCCCAACTTGCTCAAACGGGCACACAGCCATAACAAACAGACGCTGAATAATCTATTGCATTCGCGGAACACTTCGCCACATCCTCAGGGCGATACCATCTCCGGCCATAAGCAGATCGAGGAGGAGACTCTTCCCAAGTACAATCCAGACCACTGGTACCCGGTGCGGCTGGGTGAAGTGTTGCACCATCGCTATGAAATCCTCGTCAAACTTGGCTTTGGCATGACGGCCACGGTCTGGCTTGCCAGGGATCTCCAGGCGTAAGTCTCCCGTTGATGGCAGTAGCTTGGTGACGTTATTGTCTAATGTGTGGGGGTTTTGCCCAACAGTGACGGAAATGCCGGGAATCACAAATATGTCACCATCAAAATTAACGTCAACACCCTCGGCGAAGACTTCCAAAAAGGCCGACGAGAGATTGCACAGAAGCTATTCTCGGCCAACCCCAAACATCCGGGGTATGGCCATGTCCGATTCATGCTCGACACCTTCAAGCTCAAGGGAAAACATGGCGACCATTTGTGCATCGTGTACGATGTTCTCCGTGAACCCATCGATTTGTGCATGGAAAAATTCCCCGGCAGGCGATTCAGCTGTGGGAAACTCCGCGTCTTGCTCCCGGCTCTGTTACAGGGTCTGGACTACATGCATTCCGAGTGTCATGTTGTGCACACCGATCTGAAAGCCGACAACATCATGATGGGACTGGGCGACCCCAACATTCTCGACCACTTTGTACAGCACCAAGTGGAACACCCGGCACCCCGAAAGGCGCCCGATAGCCATGGCCGGGTCATCTACACATCTTGCAGTGACTTTGGGGAGCCGCCGAACGAGGCTGTGATCGCATCCGCCAAGATCACCGACATTGGCCTGGCAGCATGGGGAGACGAGAAAAACACGAAGCCTATCCAGTCTAATGCATTTATGGCGCCCGAGGTCATCTTACAGGCCGGTTGGTCCTATCCGGCCGACATCTGGAATCTGGGAGTCATGTTGTGGGATTTGTTTGAGCATTTTGGACTATTTGATCGGATAGATACGAAACCTGGCCACTACCATCCCGAGCAGCACCTAGGTCTAATGATCGCCCTGCTAGGTCCTCCACCCAAAGATTTCCTCAAGCGCTGTGCCAAGGCACCAGTCTATTTCGATGCGGACGGCCAATTCAAGTTTCCCGATTACATCGAGGAACACACATTTGAATCCTCCATTGTGAGGCTGAAGGGGGAAGAGAAAGATTTATTTATTGATTTCGCGAAGAAGATGATCACGTGGGTGCCTGAAGATCGATGGACCGCCAAACAATTACTGGAACATCCTTTCCTGACCAAGGAGCGAGACTTTGTCTCAGCCACGCCGAGTCTCAGCAGAGCCTCTACAGCCTCGATGAGCTCGATGATTCCCTCGCGAGCAGTCACACCGGGCATTCCTGGCTCAAGTTCACCAAATTCAGGACCGAATACCTCGCCTAAATCACTGCCTCAAAACACATCAATGCTCCCGCCTCGGCTTCTGGAGCTGGTACCGTCCCTTGCCTCGACAGAGAGCGCAGAGACCAAGACGGAAAAGCTTCCTACAAATGACGAGAGGTCTTCATCGAGGACCTCCCTTTCATTAAGGCCAAAAATGGAGAGTGTTGTAGAGTCCCACAATGAGCCGGACGTCGAGACCCCCAATCCTAAGCGCCTGTCGGCGAATACGGCGAACAAATGCTCGCAGGACATCATCGACGCCATCCTCAGCAAGGGCAAAAATCACCGGGTAGAACCAGAAGCCAAGTGACCGAGCTGAGTCGCGTGATTTCAATGCCGCGGGATTCCCCCATTGACTGTTCGTCGTTCCGCCAACACCGCGGTTCCATGAATATATCAACCACAGTTTTCTGAAATTGAGTGTCCGCAATTAGGCCCTTCGACGGTGATTTTCCATTGGCCTTCTGTCAATAAGTGTGCTCGCCGGGGTATCGGGATTGACATTGCAAAAAGGCTTGTGTGATGGATGGTCTTGGTCGATGCGATGGAGCGTCTCGGATGTGGCCTCGGCAGAGCGAGGGCATATGGCCGAGACGGACATACAGAACAGGTTGAGGAAGTGCTACGGAGGGAGGTATAGAAACTCTGATGCATTTTGTTTGAGCGGGAGGTCGCTGGCTGGTCTCGCCCAATTTGACTGCCCTTGTTCGGCAGAAGCTACATAACTTAATTGATACCCCTCAAAAGTCTGATTCTCGTTCGCTCTACAATTCTCACTGCTCAAATTGGACCAAGCGGCCCCTTAGTCAATGTCTTCAAAACCTTACCAATCCGAGCAGCCTTGTTACCTGATATGGCATGTCGACGTTGTCCGGTTCTGTCCCATATTCTGCGCATCGTGGTGTTGTGGTTCTCACTAGAGAGCAACGCATACGGCGGATCAGAACAACTGCGGATGCCACTTCTCAACCTGTGCCTCCTTGCCCCCTTACAAGCTGAACTCCCGACTTCACATCCTCACCTTCTATCTGCTGATTTCCTCTGGCATTGCTGCACTCCGTTTCGAGATCCGTCTGACCGGCGAACTCATTCACGTCACTGGCTGATTACATGTTGCAATTTTACGATGTGCCAGACATCGCCTGGGTGCTCCGTCGTTGGCCTTGCCCGGACGCCCTACCCTGCTGAGCCATGATGGGTCCTCGAGCGCTCTTGCCCGGATAATGTCGTCTCACGATGGTTCGAGACAAAGATGAGTCTTTTTTCTTTCGACATTGCCACAAGCCTGGAACCTGTCTTGGATGGTCTCTGGTCTCTGGTCTCTGGTATCTCACAAGGTGGATGTGGGTCGTCGCCGCCATATTGTCCCATATCCTACCAGTGCTTTTGGTCGTGACACCGGTACGACATTGCGAGATGAAATCTTACTCGAAGTTTCTGCTTTGCCCTTAGTTCAGCCTGCGGCTGTGCAAACGCGAACCATCTGAAGGCAACCAAAGGCAACTGAATGGAACCGCTTGCCCTCTTGCCTTCTCTCCTCCCAAATCTGTACTTGGCTTATCTCGCGGCTAGTGTTGAAAGGAGGTGGTCTAGCTTCCAGCCAACCCGAAGCTGTGAAGTCTCAACAAGGGAATGCTCCTGCCCACTACAAACACTTCTTTGGCGGATGGCCTTTGGGACGTTGACGATGTTCCTGGCCGGCTGCTGCAAAAGAGGCTTGGAGACCCGTCACGCTCAATCTCGCCCAGACGGGCCAAATTACCTTCCTGCCTGGGAGAGGGGCCTCCATTTCTCACATGTGGAGTCGATTGAAATACCTCGATGATAACTTCATTCACATTGGCTTCAAGCCTCCGTTTCTTACACCAATGTCCTGCTCGTCTGAGGATTCTTCCTGGCGAGGCGGACTTGTACCAGAGGCATTCTCTCCTGATCAGAGATCACGTTGAACATTGCAATGAAGCCTCTGGATTTACCGCATTGGACATGGCGCAGCAATTGACAATGGTGGAAGGCATTCGTGCCATAGCCACAGCCAAAGAAGAAACATAAATTTCACTGATTTCCTCGTAGAACTGACCTACCTCCTTCTACTGCACCACCGCATTCATTTCGAGAATCCACAAAAAGGTTGAAGCAAACCCAGTCCGCTACCACCGCAGGAACAACCCTCCGAAAATCCACCATGTGGTGAGTGAGACTCAGGCATGAGACCTTGGAAGCCTATTAACCCCAAGTGGCAGCTACACACACGGATATCCAGCAGATGTGTTGTCCCACGACTTCACAGGGTCAGAGAGCGCAGTCGAGACCAATACCATAACAGACCAAGACCAAGGCATCTATGATATCACCGACCATGCTGGCCTGCCGCCGGTTTCTGCGCCGTCTGGTACCCCTAAACTCCATGGCCCGAAAAGCGAGTACTGGTATTGTTGTTTCTGCGAAAACGGGCCCATGCTTGCCAAACACAACACTCACTGTTCGAGCTGCCATAGAAAACGCTGTGCAAGTTGTCATGTCGAGTGGCGCTAGTGCTTGACTCGACTAGTCCGCAAGTCTAGGTTGTTCCTGGTGTCGAGATTTCGGACTCACAGAACGAAGAGCATGGGGACTGAGGCTTTTTGTGGAGTTACGGGGAGGCAGATGCACTCGTTTAGAGATCATGATGTATGCGGAGAGGCTGTGGTGCTAGTTAAGGGTGTTGTTGGGTGTTTGAGTCCGCTTCCAGCCTTGTTGTAAGATCCATATGCACGCCTGGGGATCTCACTTTCACTCCAACCGCTTAGCGAAACTTGGGGAACGTCTCCAAGCCAGCACTGTTTTCGGCGAGGTTAAATGGGCAACTTCGGTCGCTTTCCAGGGTTTGCAGCTGCAGAGCAGCAGAGCTGGCTACACACCAGCATCTAGTGCATTCGTTTAGGAGTTGAATGACATTTGCTTGGGATCCTGACGAATGGGATTTCTCAGGGCAGAAAAGAATGTACGGAGATCCTTGCAGCTCTGCACCATGTGCAACGTTTTGCCATATGAGTGAGCGATTTTTTATGAATTGGACATGAAACACCTCGACTTGTCCACAAACCAGCAGCCGTTCAATTCTGTCAAAAAGTACACAGCCACGGATACAGTAAACCTCATAGGAGAGGCGGGAGTGGAGAGAAGTGGTAGCATGGCATAGCCCTGGTCTCCAGTTTCAGCCCCGTGCGCAAGGCTGACCATCTAAGCCGACAGCGGGGAGAGGCCGTTTTCGCACGTGTGAGGATGAATCAAGTGTGCATTCCAGAAGGGTTTGTTCAGACAGGTTGCTGTGCCCGTGCCGCTCCTGTCCTGCATGGCTTCTCACCTTGTGGTTTAGCCACGCCACTCCAAGGGATGGGAAGAGTACTTCCTTCGTATTCGGGATGTGCGGCCACCAGCCCGCCCGAGATCCACCCAGCGACGGGAGCCTGGTCGCCCAACGAGGCTGAGGCTCAACTGCGAAACCCATTCTATGATTTTTTCCAACTTTCTTCCCCCCCCCCACTACCTAGCCTGTCATTGGTGTTAAGTGGTTGATTAATTCCCTTACGAGGATTTTAAATGGGAATTGGGATTTCGGACACGAGCAGCAGTGGGTGAAACGCCCCGGACGCCCTGCCTGAGTCCTGGCCGGGCAAGACAAGGCAAAGCAAGGCTGCAACGCACCGACGGGGCGCGAAGGCGAAACCAGGCCATGAAAAACGTGATGAAACACACACGCAGGATCACGCCCCAGGATACGAGCCCCCGAATCGCGGACGAGATCCGGGGTTGGTGGGAACCCTCGTATGCGTCTTGCGTCGTCTCATTGACGGACTACCTCATGAACGGGGCAGGAAATGCACCAGCAAAAGGACGTTCTTCTAGCGGGAACTATCTAGCAATCCAGGCGGCGTTGGCGCAGACATCGACATACACCCGAACGAGGAAGAGGGACGGTGGGAGGCTGCAAGGCTCACACACCCTGCTTCCCTGCTGCCCTCGTGGCTTTCGGAGCCTCCTTCATTAGGGCGCCAAACAAAATAATCGTCCTGGTTCGGTCTGGCTGACTCACTTGACACCGCATTCTAGCAGCTGCTTCTCCCCAACGGATTGACGAACTTGGCGTTTCAGCCATCTTCCTCGTAGATCAACCCCTCCGCCCAACCCAACCTGACAAGCCCTAGCCTGGTCTGAGCGGCGTGCGTGCATGCCCTTACTCAATGCCCCCGTTCTGCTACTGCTGCTGTTGCTGCTGCTGCTTTTCCCAGAGCGTGTGCAACGTGGGATTCCCCTTGGTGATGCCTAACCACTCGGTGGACTGCAGCTTCGGCTTGCCGTACCGGAGCACGTCCTCGGGCACCAAATGCGCGCGCTTAGCGTCCAGCAGTCTCGCGACGAAGACGACCGTGTGTGCGTCCAGCGCGGTGGGGCCGACCTCGTCGCCGAAGATCCACGTCTGTTCTTGTGGTCCCCCGCCGTGCGTGGAGAGCAGCCGGCTGATTTTGTCCAGGTAGGCCCTCGAGTCCGCCTCGACGCTGGCGATCGATTGGTTGTTGTCCTTGAACGTCTGGAGTTTGTTTCGGTGGCTGTGGTGAGATTTCGTTAGATATTGACAACGCGTTGGTATTTGCTAACAAATGCACGCCACAAGCCCCCATATGATAGAGGGACGGAAAATGCGCGTGGAGTGAACAGGGCAAAGCACTCACTTGTCGAACTTGCGCTGCAGCATCTCCCGGTACCTCGGCGACGTGTCCGGCCGGGCCATGATCTCCTGGACGGCCTCCATGACCCCCTCGGTGCGGCGGTCTTCGGGCTTGAACGAGATGGTCACGTACGAGATGCCGTGTAGTTCCGCGAGCAGGGATTCAATCGTCTGCCGGTGCGCCGCGGGCACGAGGCTCGGGTACCGGTCGCACAGGTACCGGGTGATGTCCGTGCTGTCGATCAGTTTGACGCCGAGCGACGGGGCGAGCAGCGCGGGGACCTGTAGCGGTTGAGGCAAGTCAGAAGAAGATAACACACGCGCAGTCCTGTGAAAAAGTGAATCATGGAGAAGAGAATAGTAGCCCAGAACATTAGTCTCGAACCAGCCCAAGATGTCATGGCCGCCGTAACATCACCGCGTCAGAGCCAGAACACAACTTACCGTGCCTTTGGGATGCTTCTCCAGGTACGCCTCGGACATCTGCTCGCCCGTGTAGATGTCGATGAAGCGCTCCTCCGGGTCGACCGCATCGGCGGGCGTCTTTGGCTGGCCCTTAACACGCAGCGTGTAGAGCACCATCAGCGAGCAGATGGAGAAGGGGTTGTAGTAGAGCTCGTAGGGGGAGGCGCTTGGGCCGTGGCCGTTGGGCTGCGCCATTGTGTCCGTATATGGGATTTTCTGGTAGTTGCTTCGACGCTGTTGGTTGGAGATGCCGAAGACAGACAAACGCGCGGAGGGATGAGGGAGATGGAATGTATTTGTATAGCTGAGATCTCGTGCCGGCTGTCAGTATATAGATCTCTGTCCTTGGGCGGTAGTTATTCCGACGTCACAGACGAGGGCGTCCGTCAGCAAAGGGCCTAGACAAGAGCTGATTGAGGGCTTTATATCATCCAGTTAGTCGGTCAGTCAGTCAGTCAATCGAGGATGTCCTAAGGCGTCCAGCTCGTGTCTCTCGCATCAGCGCGGGCATGGCTAGGGTTCAAGTAACGAAGCAAACCAAGGCTCTCTCTGGTCCATGTGTCTCTGGCAACGAAAGTTACGGAAAGGACGGGTTCGTGTGAGACGGATGGCTTTAGACGCTTTTGGTTACGCGGTTTGTTGCTTGGGCTGAAATTGCGGGGAGGAGGGAACGGGGTTGGGATCCTCGTGTAAGGTATAGTTACCTAGGTAGTTATACAGCCTGCGGAGGAGAGTAACCATTAGTACCTAGTGACTGGCCGGGGATTTCATGCACCCCAGAGCTATCACAGCGTAGAAGCGCTACGACTGGTATCCATTGAATTGGATGCTTTACTGCGATGGCGATGCTCAATCAGGATTACCCTCCCCCCCCGATACACACCCGAGTGCCATCTATCCGTTCTCCCAATAATAATGTGTCGAACACACCCAGGTGAATAGAAGATGGCTGACATGTTGGACGTCCCACCGCCTTACTTGACAGCGTCCCCGCCGTCCCACGGATTTCTGGATCGAAACCCCCCACTGGCCGACCTCTTGAGGGAGGAGTGGAGGAACAAGTCTCGCGCTCTCGCACTCTCGCGCCTTCGTCAAGGCCCGAGGTTCTGGGCTCGGTATATATGGACATTGCTTCCTCCGTCCCACCGGCCAAAGAAACGCGGATGCTTCTCGCCTGGCCTTCGACGCTTACTCTACCCACCTCGCCCATCTCCTTTGTCAGCCCTCAGCCTCGCTCGTTCGTGATGTGTCTTGGGCTCTGTCGTGTCAGATCGCCAGCCGTAGACCAAAGTATTGGCGCCTGCTCGGGGACATCGGGGAAGCCTCGATGTGATGTGGTGAGGATCTGGGAAACGAGTGAGCCTCAGCGCATTTGGGAAATCAAGGCCAGTTTGGGAGAAAAAAGCTGGACCAATCTCTTGGGCGAGGGTGGTCTTAGGTAATATGCATTTCTTGATGCTCTGATCTCCCCTTCCGCTGGTGTCCCTTGTCGACTAGCCCTCTGAATGGAACGGAGACAACGAAATACTAGGAATGATAGTTGCTTTGATCAGAGTCCCACGAGTAGAGAAGAACATTGAGGAGTATCACTAGGCAAAATAGCCGTCTTGATTGAAACCATCTTTCTAAACACGCTAAAGTGACCACAAACCAGCTATCTGTCCGTCTTTTCTATTTCCTCCGTCTGATCATACATGCAGCCCCATACTGACATGTAACTTGACTACGCCTGCACCTCCGGCGCGAGCGGCGGCCGACTCGCGGCCAGATTGCACTGGCGGAACAACCTCACCTCGTCCTTGTCGAAGGCGCCCACCACGCTGTGCAAGACGCCGTGGTTGTTGAACAGCACGCAGTCGCCCTCCTCCCAGTCGTGCGCGTACACCAGCGGCGGCGCGATCCCGGGCCGCTGCAGGTCGTGCACCATCTCCCTCACCTTGGCCAGGTCGTCGATGACGGTGCCGTCGCGCAGGTGGATTTTGCGCACGACGGACGGGTGGATCTGTAGGGCGAACCGGCCCGTCACGGGGTTCTGCCACGCCATCGGCTGGATCTGCACGTCGGTGGCCTTTTCGACCGGCGGCAGTTCGTCGACGGGCACTTCCTTTCCCTCGGAGACCATGCCCAGCCCGTCCGGCCGCGATTTGGCAGTCGAGATCCAGACGTAGGGGTGTGGGGCGTATTCGACTTTGGAGGTGAGCACGAACTCCTTTTGCTCGGCGCTGAGGTTATCAAACATGGTATACCCGGACACGAAGGCGGTGGTGCCGAGCGGGACCTGGAGGGTGTCGTTGCTGCCGTCGTCGTAGAGAAGGGTTTGGGTCCGGCCCTTGGGGACCTTGACGGCGAGCAGCGACGTCACGAGCGGTGGTTGCAGGCCCCCGTACAGGGCGGCGTCGATGTGCCAGCGGTAGAAGCGCGTGAAATCCAGGTCCTTGTCCTCCGGGATGACGGTCGTGTGGAACGTGCGATGGTGCGGGTGCTTCAGGGTGATGTTCTCGAGCCCTTCGTACTCGGGCACAAAACCGTTGCCGATGACCTGGACCTCGGGCTGGTGAGGCACGGTTTTGAGGTCGGGATGCAGGATCGACCGCTTGGCGTCAATGGTCTTGCCGTGGCCATACGACATGGCCTCCGGGTCGAAGCGGCGCGTCAGTTCCGCCTGGCCCTTGGGGGTGAGATGCGCCTGCGACTTGACGCAGACGACATTGTGGGTGTAGAGGGCGTGGCGGAGGGCCTCGAAATCGGCATCCGAGAGATTCTCCAAGTCCACGTTGTCGATGAGTGCCCCGAGCCCGGGTCGAGACGGAGTGATGGGCGAAACCGTGATTCCTGGCATGGCGGATGTGTGATTTTACTGTGCGGGAAGATTGGCTGTATTGTTATGACTTGAACAGTGAAAAGCTCGAGATGAATTGCGACACAAATGCTGGCGAAATTGAAAGGTATATATACATATCCTTGCTTGGGGAGACATGTTGTAGCTGAATCATCCTTACCACGTCACTGACTTACTGCGGCAGCCTCGTACAATGCAGAAGAGTGTCTTCTCGGCAGGCACCTATCTCACTTTGCTTGATGAAGCTTGTGATTCGACGCTGAAGCTGTGACGACTGAGATAAGACGATCTGAGCTGAGACGGTATGTCGCGCCGCCTCGGCCATCGCCGAAAGAGGGATTTTGGGGCGAAGGCGGACAAAGAGGAAAATCTGTGCGAGCTGATGCCAAGACCCGAGCATTGGTACGAGCTCGTACGAGGCTAATGGCGGCTTCCGCCAAATTGCCTGTTTGGGGAAAACTCCCCTGATCTCGCTCCAGGGGTATCATTTTGGTCGTATACACATCTATCACCCTTCATATCCTGCCTATATCTGCATGGTCTTGGACTTTCTCAGACCCAATTTGGCCGACAACTTTCGCGTACCTCTGGAGAAGACGCCTTCACTCTTGGTCCTTTCCACCGATGTCTCTGTGGCGGGCGACAATGTTGACTGTCGCGTTACTGACTGGCTGTGGTCACTGAGGGTTTGCGACATCGTCGTCTTCTCTTCCAGGCTGAGTAGATCGTCTGTAGTCGTGGTGGTGCTAGTGGCCGACGCCATACCTGATGGCACCACCTCTTTCTCGTGGACTGGCGACGCGATTTTCACCTCAGCCGGAAGCTCAGCAGGCAGGCTCCTCCCACCAGGCAATTCAGCTGGACTCGCTGTTGCGTCGAGCTCTGCAATTACCTGCCCACCAAGTTCTGGAATGTTTGGCCTGTCGTCTGCCTTCACTGGTCCAGACTTCTGAAATCGGTTCTTATAAATAATGTCCTCGAGACCCGAGCGAAGTTTGTTGAATTTCGTCGCCGTGGATATCTTGGTCAGAGGTATTAGCCGATCGACTTCATCATGAACATGCTTCTGTAGCAGGAGCTCCTTGCCAGCAAACGTCTTCGTCATGGCTGTTGTATAGTAGACGGCCGCATCTTCGATCTGCTTCACCGAAACATATTTGCCCTGGTACCGGAATGCTCGCTCAAGGATGAGGATCATGTCGCAAGCACATTTGAACAACATCCTCGCCGTTGGAGGCGCTGCCAAGATGCATAGTGATAGCGCGAGTGCTCCGCCAGCTCCCATGGTGCCGACAATGACGCCTGCAGTCACCACTCCAACCCCGACAAATTCCGCGATTGTCACGGTCATAAACTTCTTGAGATGGCCGAGGACCACCCGTGTCATGATTTCTTCTACTTCATCTGGCAACGCCTTGGGGAACCCAAAACATTGGAGGACATGCTGACACAGGATTCGAGCAACAGTCGGCGTGCCTATCGCGCCCGAGAACGGTAGCGGGACCATGGCCGTGCGGACCGCGTGGAGGCCCAGACGCATGCATTCTGTAATTGCGGAGTCAATCTTTTGCTCGACATCGACGACTTGTGCCGCGACTGCGAAGATTCGGACCTTTTCATCTTGAATCAGATCGAGGGTCTGCGTCAGAAGTCTCTTGACCCCTTGATCATCATCTATCAGACCGAGTCAGTATTCTGATCCTGCGCGCGACATTGACGGACTACCGACCCTTAGATAGACAGCAGTATCCATCGGCCTTGTAATGCTTGATTTGAGAGAGCTCCTGGCGGAGTGCCATAAACTGTTCCTCCGCCAATTTATCCGCTGCTTCGTTGGCGAGTCGTTGTGACTCGGGGTAATTGCCAGTCTGTTCCATGTACTTTTCCAGCAATTGCATCTTACGGAAAGCGATCAGCTTATCCTTTTTCGTCCCAATCACAAAGACCGGGACGTGGTTGGAAAACTGTGCAATGGTTTCAAAGGTCCGCTTATCGGCCTCCTCGATACGGCTGACGTCCGAATCGACGCAGAACCTGTAGTTTTTGTGAGCAAATCGAGAATTTGGGCCTGGCGTCAGAAAACCCACCAGATTACGTGCAACGCTTCAGCCGGATCCTTCTGAAATGCTCGATGGCGGAGGAATTTAGCAATCAACTCAAGCTCCCTGTCGCTTCCGGCTTGCCATCCTCTGGAATCATGAATCATCAATCCAGGGTTGTTGGGAGATTCAAAGGCTTCGTTGATGTCGTGATTCCCTTGCTTGTAGCTGTCGGACTCTTCGGTCTAGATAGCATCGTAAGTCTGTGAAGCTGGACGGAAGTGATGATCGAGAAATGCCTACCATTTCAACACCAAAGATTTTGTTTATCAAAGTCGACTTGCCCACACCCGTCTTCCCACAGACCAGTATTCGGAATGCCTTCACACCGCTCGCCTGCAGCTCTAGGCCTTCCAGCCACGGAGGGATTGTTTCCCCTTCCTCCCGCAAGTAACGGTCTCGATAATCGGCGAGATCTTTCTTGAGGGACTTGAACCGAGACTGTTCGTAGAATCGCGGATATCTGTCCAGGACGCAAAATACTGAAGGGTGGATTATCGTTCCGTAACTGCCTGTAGCCTTGTCAGAATCGGCTGAGTGCTGAAATCATCGATCTTGCTATTTACCATCATCGCACCAACCGATGAATCCCCTTGAATTGAAAACTTTGCGCGAGCTGTTATAAAGTGAACTTGAAGAATTGATTTGTAAATTGTGCGTTTGGTTATCATCGGTAAACCCTCCATGCAGAGTCTGCAGATCGTAGAGGCTGACTTGTATGCCGTTCGAATGGTAGATTTGCCATTCGATCTTTTCACTCCCATCGAGCTTTGGCACATCGCCTGCGTACTGAGGAAATGCCAGGGACAGGGCGCTCTCTCTCTCAACAGGCAATGACCCCTCCTGCGGGGATTGAAGAACGAGTCCAGCTCGCATGCTCTCGATGAGAAGCCATTGGAAAGGGTACAAGGAGAAGCCATCCTCTCGAGTGCCGCCTCCGAGGTCTTGGTTTGACCCCATGAACCATGCTTGAACGAAACTTCTCCCCGTCATATCCTGAGCAGAAGGTGGATCGAAGACCTCTGGATTTACTTGACTGCGTGTTTCATTCAGAGCCAAGGCTTGTCGGAGGTTCTTTATGGATGGGACAAAAGAGATGTCATGCATGTGGCCCTCGGCAGTGTACTTCACGGTGTCCAGGACTCCAACGAATTGTATTAACGGTGGCCGGGTTGTATGTGTTCGCAAGAACTCGATCATCTTGGGCCCATTCCTGTTATCATCCTCCTTTCGTGCTCTGTAGACATCCACCGCTGTCTGATAGAGTCTGTCGAAGTATCTCAGCGACGTGCTTTTGGGCAAATACATGGTATCGAGCAGTCCGGCCACCGCGCGCACAATGAAAGCGCCTCGTCCGAAGCCGTAGAGGAAGAGCTCATCCTGTGGTTCCTCGAGCGTCTCGCATATAACACGAGAGATGGATTTGATCTGATCCTCATAGTAGGGTGTCGCCACACGGGTCTTCAGCCTCTCGATCAAACTGGGTCCATCAGAAGCGGCGCGGTAGTAGCGAACAATCTGCTCGACCGCTCGACCTTGCGAGTCGATAGAGAGGCCTTTGGGGACGATGCTTTGGATCCGGAAAATATTGCTAGAGTTTCCGTTGCCTTGGGCTTTGTTAGCTCGACTTGCTGAGGGCGTGGAAAGCCTCTCGCACCTGAAGTTCCATCTTCCCCGCTGTACTCTTCGGCATCGACACAAACAATCAACCGCTTCACATGCGTCCTCGCGGACATTGTAGGAGGGAGCAACTCGAGACGACACTAAGTGAGGGTCAGTTGCTGATGCGGAAGCGGGGTATGTCATAATTTGAATGGTGAATCGAGCATCATGAGCGGTGGTAAAGGGCAGTGAAGCCCCTCAACTGCAGTCCAGGGAACTGGGGGTTCAAGAAATGAGAGTCCCAGTACGTACTTAACGAACCCATGGCAGGATCAGTTGGCGGCCTGAAGTCAACCGATATCGTAAGGATGCCCGCTTGAAGTTTGGCGGTGCCTGGGTACCTGCAAAACGACGCCATAGAAGCCAGGGGCGCTTCGTACACCAGCACCCCTAGGGTCACCGTGATCAGTTAATCAGAGGTCCTTTTAGGCACTAGCCGCAGGGCATTGGCCGCCTCCATTGGGCCCAGGGGTCTCTTACCGGGGCTCGAAACCCTAACAGTCTCGGCGGACGGATCTTCAAAACGGGGCCAAGAGGCTTGCAACGAATAAGGAGGCTTTAGAGCTCATCCCGCTTCCTCTGTGACCGCAGTCGCAGGCAACCACCTTCTACTGCAAGCAAAGACAAGCTGCGCTGTGCCGATCGCGTAACGCAAGGTGATGACATTGATCCACTATTCTACCTTGCGTATTGTCGCTGGATTATCTCGTTTTCTGACCGATTGGACAGCAGGTTCAATACGATGAGAACAGTCGCCCCGGATACGCTGCGTATGTCCCCTCTCGAGCTTGAACAGACTGCCACTGAGCTGGGAGACACGTTTCAAGCCTTCTCGACCTCCTGTACACCTACTCCGGCCTTGGCTGTCGAGGCACCGACTTCAATGACCTCGACTTTGGCCTTGTCACCTTCCATGATCACGGCAACTTCTTCGAGCGATGGCCCACGTGTTTCGGGATAGACCAAGAAAATCACACTGGTCTCCACCGCGAGCCACGCCACGTACACGATGTAATATCTCCAAGTGATATCCTGAAGCCCAATGGGGTTGACGAATTGATTGAAGGAGCTGCCGCCTCGCGAGAAGAACTGTGTAATTGCCACGCCTTTGCTCCGATGGATGAACGGGAAGATTTCGCAGATGAAGATGTAGGTGAGTGGCATCATGAGGTTGTAGAAGCCGTAATAGATGAAGATCAGTGCGACGACAGCGATTGCAGCTGAATTGTTCGTGTGGTCTTTTGCATACACCGCCGAAGCCGCAGTCCAGCAAGCAAAGAGCACAGTCATGCCACAGTACGAAATGAGGTACTGGCGTCTCCGGGGAAGAATATGAGCCAGCAGAGCACCGGTGACGCCGGTCACCAAGTTCCAGCAGGAAAGGCCGAGATTGATCTCATTCTGCGTTCTCTTTTTGGTGATTCCAACAGTGGCCAGGACTTTGCTCAGGTAGTAGCTGACGAGACCGTTGCCTGACCACTGCGAGAACAAGCCGACGCAGGCTGCAATGAATACTCGTCGTCGGTTCACACTAGATGTCACGAGCTCTTTCCACGGCCTCTTGGTGTTCTCTATTTCCAAGCGGATGGTTTGCCGAATCTGCTGGAACTCGGCGGCGACCAGTGGGCTTAATCGGTCACCTTCCGCATGATATTTGATCAGAATTTCCAGGGCTTCTTCATGGCGGTCTTTCGAAATCAAGAAACGGGGCGACTCCGGAATGAACCTGGAGACGTCAGCTTGTCTGCATCATCGAGAGGTAGATCTACCTACCAGATGAACATGAGCTGCAACGATGAGGGCAAGAGTTGTAAAAGCGACGGCAATCGCCAGCTCCAGTTACTGTCCCAAGAATATGTCCCCAAGGTGATGCCCGCGGCCAAGATGGCTCCAGCATACCAGCTTTCGTTGAAAAGACCAGTGATCACAGACCGTTCTTTGGGATATGTCAGCTCGGCAATGAGCTGGGATGCTCCGCTGATTCCGTATACGATTCCCATTCCGAGGATGATTCTGGCGACCAGGAACATGGCAACTGTTCGATCGTGTCAGCGGATGACGGAAATAAATGGCCCTTCAGCCACTTACTGTCAACTGCTGCAGCTTGCAGGATCGCACCAATGACTATGATAACACTTCCAAACACGATGCAAGGCTTGCGACCAAAGCGATCATTGACATAGGGGACGAGTGGCACCGCAACCACGGCACCGATGGAGAAGGCCGCAGTAATCACACCGAGGAGGGCGCCATTTGGGTTGTTGAAGTCTGGTACAATGAGCTGGGTCTGAAATGCTTCGAATGCCGGTCGACCTACAGTCTTCCCAGGGCTGGACAGCCTGAAGCCCGTTGAGCACGCTTCCGTCGAACCCACTTGTGGCTTCAATTCCAAGCCTTTTTTGTGTTAGGATCAGCGTCTGTTCCAACCGGGAAACAAATATCAGGGACGCAGAGACTGATACCAAAACCAAACGGAGCACTTTATCATGGACTTGAGGAAGACGGCACTTACGCGGCTGGGACAAGAAAAAGATAAAGACGCCGAAGATTCTTCTTCCTGTACCATGGCGTCTTGTCTTGCTGGACTAAGTGGGAGATTTCAGAGACGTTCGCAACGTCCCTAGCAGAGATGTCATGGCCGGCAACCGCCTTCGACATGCTGGCGCTTTACCTCGAGGAGGAGAAGCTATTTGCTTTCACTATGTAAGAGAGTGGGACTGTCTTGTGCATAAAGGCATGGGAACCAGAAGGATCTTATATAGGGAAAGACAACACTGGCATTCATTCCCACTATCTGCCGAAACGAATAGACCACAACACTTATCGAGCTCAGCCTTGTGGCCCCATTTCCCCGCGGAGTGTCTCCACAGGTCCCCAACTGATTGGAGTCGACCCTGGGACTCCGATACCAAGAAATGAATTTAGGCAAAGAAAAGATTGAGGCAGAAAGGCAAGTGGTCTAACATGTCCGGAAAACGCCCGAGCATCATGCTACCATGTGCGCTCGTGGGGAGTGAACCGGTGTGAATGGCCGTCGAAAAGTCGGCGCTGACTGTATTTGACCCGATGCGGGTTGTTCTTTGCCTAAGCTAATCACTGTTCAGGTCGATTTGGACGCGACGGCGGCGTAGTCGGACATGATCTTGTTCAACCCCTCCCTCTGCACGCAGTTCTCGAAGCTGAAGCTCTGGGCTAGCTTCTCCAGGGCGCCCTCATCCTTGTCGCGAAACAGCTCGGCAAATTCCTGGCAGAAGGTCTCGGCCAGGAAGGTCTGCAGAACGGCCCGCTCAATGTGCCTTGCAGTGTTCCACGTGGATGGGTAGACGTTCTTCGCGGTGGGCGAGACCGAGTCGATCCAGCCGATGAGGGGCAGCATCACGTCGTCGACTTCCTTGGACGGGTATTTCCCCCATGCGTCCAGCTGCAGCCGCTTCTTCTTTTCTAGGATAGGCTCGATCAGCTTGTTCCAGGGCGAGTCGGGCGACGTGTACACCATGCCCTGCAAGCCGACGTCCTTGAAGAGCCAAATCGACCACGGGATCTGGAATTTGTCGTAGATGCGCAGCTGCTCGCCAAGCATGTTGTAACGCTTCTGGTTGACCGCCTCCGCATCTTCATCCCATTTGGGATTTGCGTACACGGGGCCGAACTCGCCGTTCCAAATGGCCGTTTTGTGCGTCCTCTGGAACTCTGACTTGCGCAAGAATTGCGCCTCCAATCTATCCTTTTGCTCAGACGTGCCCTCATACGGGCGTCCAGTGGGGAACCCCATCATGCTGTAATCGTGCAGGGCATAGACACAATTTGGGAGCACAGTGTCAAAGCCCTTCCATTCGGCCGCAAAGGTATTGCCGTCGAGCCACAAGATATGGTCTGGATCAACGGCTCTGATTGCTTTCTCCAGTCGAGCATAAAATGCGGGTAGGCGGACGTGTTTGGGATCACAGGGCTCATTGATCGGGTTGTACCCAGCAATCCATGCATTTCCTTTGTAACGGCGAGCGAGCTGCTCCCAAAGCCAGACCGTTCGGTCTTGATGGTCCTTATAGTCCCAGAATGCGGCGTAGCTCGTCGTGTTATCAGAGTGCCACCCGGGGCTTTGGCCGCCGGGTACAGTGTGCATATCAAGGATGGTATAAATACCCTCCTTTGCACAGAGGTCAATCACCCGATCCAGGTGCTTGAAGCCGCTCTCCTTGAGCACGCGGGGGTTCATATCGTCTTCGAAGTGCCGGTAGTTGAAAGGAATGCGGATGCAATTCAGACCAAGCGACTTGAAGAACTTTGCGTCGGCCTCTGTGAAGAAGTAGTAGAGCCATCGGTCGAAGAAAAAGTCGTACTTTTCCTGGCCCATGACCTCCAGCATCGCAGCACGAATACTGGATTCATGGCCGGGGTAGCCCACGATGAAATTTTCCATACTGTCTCTGTCTTAGACGATGAAAGCGGAAACTTGATGGAGCTTACTTGAGCCATCCTCCTATCGCACAGCCTCGTAGAATGACTGGATTCCCGCCATCATCGACCACCTGGGTGTCTTTCACTTTGAGTATTCCCGTCGCCATTCTGTCATGCGGCTTGAGTGAAAGTGTTTAATCGGCTATCCTTGACCCAATGCGAACCGCAATGCCCGTTGGAGAGAATCTGTGCTGTTCATGGTTTCATTCCACCATGGAGAGTATGTAGTTCTCCGATTCATGCAAGGCTTTGGAGATGGGTGAATTTAGGCTGAAATTGAACGTAGTCGCACATCCCCCTATAGAAAGAGATCCGTCGGCGTCGAAGTCCGATTCAGCCGAGAAGCTTCATGCCCAGGAACCAAGATCTGCCTTTTCGGCGGGCTTGGTGGACCGACCTTTGACTTGTTTGAGCAGCGGCGGGCAAGAGGCATAGGGAGAGGAGAAAGGGCATCGGGGTGAATTGCGTGTTGAGGAACATGGCCCTCAGTAGCCAAGGTTACGGTGGGCGAATCCAACCATCCACGCCTTCAACATTCAATCCCTTGTTGCCGCGATACAAACCAGAGAATGTCAAGGCAGGTCGGTCACCCCGACAAGGCAAACAAGCTGCTGGAACGCGCTTACTCCAGGGGCCCACTGGCGAATGATTCTGGACATGACCCTGTGTTTGCTTGCTCTTTGTTATGTGCCCCTTTGCGTCTTAGACAACTTGGAGCCTGTCACCAGTTCTACGAAGCGCTGGAGGCAAGGAGAGGGCCGAGAAGCCATGGTATGCAACTACAGATTAACTTTCCACAGCATGCCTTTGGTCGTGAATTGCTCGGTAACGCGCAGACCGTTCACATTCCAACGGAGTGACGTTTGGGCTTCCTTCACCAGGAATGTCAACATTTATGCGCAAGCCCTACAGTTTAAAAAGGAGCTGTGGAACACCTCGGCCACAATCTTTTGTGGTGATTAACAAAACCTCTACGTCTCCCAAAAGCTCCCGTTGTTGAACTGCGACACTACCAAACAGCATGAACCCAGGCAGGCGTGATGGCAAACGCCAGTCTCCCAGAAAGCGAGACGCAGCAAACAATGAAGACAAGGCCGACGCAGATCAATCCCCTGGTATGTTCCATGAGCACTGCCTTTGAAGATGTGTAGCTCACCATCATTTACAAACAGCTCGGCGCACGATGGAAGGAGGTATCTTCGTTGGTATACCAGATTTCAAACCTGCTGCTGTGTATTTCAATATGGTTGGACAGTTTGGCGGTCCGTGTTTCGACAGATCTGCCAACGTCTGGAAGAAGAGCTTGCCGGTAGAGGTGGACGGTTCTATCGATGTGTCAGGCACTTGGGAATACGCTCAAGTTCGACATCTGGCGCAAACCCCCGAACAAGCTGAAACTGTAAGTCTCTCCCAGAGCTGTCAAAATGGTCTCTCACACTTCCAGGCTGCGAATTACGTCGGTCAAGTCGCAAAACAAGTCACAGGCAGGATTTTCATTACCGTGCTTCGCGAAGCTCCGAATCGGAACGGCGAACTGAACCTCGAAGAGGTGGACGGGATAACCATGTCCGGCTTCTGGCTAGACAAGACGAAATTCGTGACATGTGCCCACTTTCTACAGACAGTTTTTGACACCAACGCCGACGAGACAGAGAAGTTCCTGAAGACTGCGAATCCACCGAGACCACGAGCTTTCGTATCCAACAAGAAGGCGGCGAATCAAGGATTGATGCCAGATAGTATGCGTACAGCCCCAAATCAGATTGATGTCCAGGTCCTAACAGATTCCAGGCCCCGAATCGTGGCCGGTGTATCTACTCAGGGTGTCACGCACTTCAGATATTGCAATTTTCGAGCTGACCAAGGCGGCAGCGAAAGGCGGCAAGCATCCACCGCATTCAATGAAACCAAGCGACTTATCAGCATTGCTTACTGCGACAACATCTGAAAACGCGTCGGGTTTCTCGTCCAAGGAGACTGATGTGTCATACCTGCGACTTTTTGCAGCCTATTATCCAGGTTCCGATCCAACTGTGGAGGCTAGCGACTTTTCTCCCGAGAGAAAACAGTTTGCGAAAGATGCGAACATAGCAGGCGCGTGGAGATTATTATGTGACGAAGGCCGAAAACTCAACCCCGGTGCTACAAAGAAGCCAGCCGTAAGTCAACGCTCTCGATATGCCGATAGCTTCTAACAGAGTCTCCAGGACTTTGCAGATACATTCGCACCTCATACTCGGAGTGTGGCCTTCGGTCAAGTCGAGACAACTCATCGCGCCATTCCATGCCACGCTAAATCAGGGAACAGCCTTTTCGCACAGACCAGAGAATGCAGCATCGTAGGAACCTACGGTTGTTCGGGGGGTATGGTATGCCACGTGTACCGGGAGGCCGGTAGTTGGCGATCTGTCGTCGTGGGACTCTGTAAGCCGATGCCCCCAATCAACGATTTGCCAAAACGAAGAGCTGACTGGTTGTGCCTTAGTCCATGGGGAAAGTTGGAACGATCGGAGATACAACGAAATTGTGGCCTTCACACCTGCCTTTGTGGATGCTGTCCGGACCGGGAGCTTTTGGGACACTGCCTGAGCGAGAAAACGACCTGCCTAGGCTCTGGAAAGTTGCATCAATCTACACAGGCAGCGGTGTGGATTGGACAAGGACATGGATGTGAACGACGAGGAACAACAGCAGGCTGATTGTTAAGGGATATCGATTGGAAATGTTGGACTAATGAAGGAAGGGGGAAAGGGGGTAGCGAGGCTGAGCTTTGGTGATGCAATCCATTTTCAGTCAACCAATACTATGGCATCTTTATCTGAGGACTGTTGAATGCAAGAAGTGTTCCGAGACTTGTCTCATTACGCAAAATTCTTAGTCTTTATCCACTAATGTGTCGCATACTCTTTCCTAGGTGCAGCCCGAATTGGTTCCCAGCTCACTTCTATGGCAAAGCAAAACAACTCATAATTTGTCAAACAACAAGAAGGGACGTCCATCTCCAATGTTGTCTCGGAGAGCAGCGAGGCAAAAAGCACAAGAAGATGGAACTCAGGAAATACTTATTGACTCACTCACTAAGACATGGTGGGAATTTTGAAGAGTTGGCCTCCAGCGAATGCTTTCCAGTGCCTCAACCCCCTGATCCACGCCAACCACGGAGGCCATCGAGGTCACGTCCTTGCAACCATGTCCGAATCCCTTATGTCCAGCACAATCATGTGTCCCGGAGCGTGTCCAATGACGGACCCCTTCAAAGAAGCCTGTCGCACTGCCTCTTGTGGCGTGACACCACATCCCCAGAAGACGGGGACGAATTCCTCAGATCCAGCCCCAATGCTCTGAACGAGAGGCGAGCCGTCGTGCAAGATTGGGCTGTCTCCAAACTCGGGCTCACCGATGTCCCTGATCCCAAGGCGCGTCGCAGCGTCCCACCCCCAATCGATGGGCTCGCCATGGGTCGCGACATATGTGCGCGTGATGTCTCTCACCTTCTGGATCTCGTTCCTCCGGTACGGTCTCATTGACACCACGTACGTGCACTGGCTGAAGACACCGGCGGGGCACAGGGGGAGGCTCGTGCGGTACATCGGCACGTTCCTACCGCGTGCCACATGGGACGGAACCAGCCCCTCAGCGGCCAGGGCGGCTTCGAAACTGAACGAGCAACCGATCAAGAAGCCAACGTGGTCGTCGGTCCACACCGCGCCAACGTCGCCGCAGTGAGACTTTGCCAGCACGCCGTCCTCATAGACCATGTACTTCGGAAAGTCACGGCGAAGGTCGAGGTCGTTGGCGATGTCCTTTCCAGCAAGGCCAGGGAGCCAGGACTTGAGCTCGTCCCACCTCCCCGCGTCCTTCGATTCAGCCAGCAGAGGACACGGGACAGGGTTCCGTTGGCACAGCAGTCTGAAGTCCGCGGCAAACCTCGATGGCAGGGCTATCAGGTTTGCCTGGACGTAGTTCGGGGCGGCGCCGGAGGTCTGCTTGTCGTATGCCCCGGCTCTCGCAGCGAGACGAATGTTTTCTCCCGTCTCTTGCGTGCTCGGCTCTGTCTTTTCGTACAGGCCCGGCCGGTCAACAGTCTGGTCAAGTGCGATCGGAGCCATCGCAAATAACGCTGAAGAGATGAGTCCGACTGGAGTACTTGCTGTCGGGATGAATGGTCAGCCACAATACTCTGGGAGACACGACAATCAACGACCACTCCACATGCTGTTCCTCCAGAGGGCAATGCAACTGTAGACATCCCCAAAAAGAAAGGAAATGATGACCTCTTGCTCTCCTGCTCTACAAAGTCGCACTTCTCCGGCAAAGGCAAGGGTGGCATACGTCAATGGGTAGAGCGATCGACAACCACGCTAGGGGGCAAAGGGCAGTCTGATAAAGCGCTGTCGTTCTCCGCGTCGGAAAGCAAGGACGGGGTCTGTTTCAGCCTGCGGGTTTTATCCTCAGCTACATAAGCGGTTCGCTAAAGAGAGCCCGACCTCCCTTGTGCGTCTTTCGGTTCGTGTCTATCGTCTCGATGCGTTTGTAGTATCGGTCTCGGGGGTACATTCAACTGGTTTGCCACCCGGCCGGTGGTATATATCTCCTCGAGGGTACGAGGTTTGTTATGGGTTTCGGCTAAGAATGAACATAGCAGTGGTCCTGGAACTCACTACGTGCTAGGCCCTTGGGTTGTCTGGTTGCATGCGAACGATTCCTTAGCATTGCGCAAGAAGAAATAGACGGAACATTCTCTGTGTCACTCGAAGAAGCATTTGTCCGAAACATCCCGAGGCAGCAAGTTGTGCTCATCATTGTTCATTCTTGAATCGGTGGCTGCACCAGACCTCTTGGTTGAGGACTGATGAATATCCTCGTCTATTGATATTCACTTCCCTGGCGATCGTCAACTTCCGCTCTAAGATGTCCCCACAAGCTCCCCTCCGAGGAAGACGGGCTGCTTGTTGCAGAAATTGGGGATGTCTCCAAAGACAGGCTTTGCGTCCTCCGAGGCCAATGCCGCACCCAGCTGGTCAGGCGTGTCCCAGATCAGGGTCGCGCCCACACAAAACTTGGGCTTTGCGCCGTCTCCACCGGGCTTGTATTCGAGCACCTCCCATCTCTTAAGACCGTGCTTTTTGAAGTTTTCCATCACTAGAGGCATGTGGGTCTTGAGGTAGTAAGACATGTCGAACTTGGTATCGTCGTCATTTGGGTAGAGGACTGTTGCGTGGAAAGGCATTTTGAGCGGAGGTGGATGCCTATACAAGAGGAAAGAAGTTGGTTCTGGGGAAGAATCTTATTGGGGAAAGCGACCGAGTCCGATGTCTTAAATTTGCAGTTGGTGTACTCAGAAAGAGCCTGGATTCTTCGTCGAGAATGAGCCACCCAGCTGATGTTTATATCAATGTATCGACCTGTGCGGGGAACGGCAGAGATGGACGAGGGGCTGGCTGAGACGCGACAGGGACATGTCGACTCGTTTCGTCCGGACGATCCAATGGTCCGGCACCGAGGTAAAGTCTGCTCCCTCTGCCCCTTTGCCAGAGCATCGCCCACTCAAAGAGCTGCCTCTTTGGGTTCGTAACAGTGTAACCTCCTCAATCGTGGGTCGGCAGAACGGATTCTTTGTGCGCTAGCCCGCGCCGAAAGAACGCCTGGTGACGAGTCGAGCTTGGATCTCATGGCATTTCTCTGCGTTAGCCGGGAGGAAGAATAGAACTTGCGTACTCAAGTACTTCTTTGCTCCCTTTTGGCGGGCAAACACCTTCCATGTTGGGCGTTTTGATGCTCAGTTTGGCAAGCGTTTCTGGAGCCGAGTTGACAGTCCCCTTCCGCAGTTGAAGAGGATGCGGCCACGCCGCACTTACCTCTAGCTCTCACATCGTGAATGGATCAATATGCAATCTCTTCGAAGTTGAGGAGAGCACAAGGGAGAGAAAAATGGATGAAGAGAGAAGAGGGGTTGAAGTGTGAAGCTCGGGTTATGAAGCAGCTGGCTGCAGGCACTTGGAGAACATAACGACACCGTTGCCCTTATCGATAAGCGCACCTCCACCCAATTTTTTCTTCGTCTCAGATGTAAGTCCACTGTTCGCTGCCACTTTGGTTGGTACCGACGAACCTGGAGAAGACATTGATTGTCTTCCTTGTACAATGGTATGCCGAGAAGTCCTCTATTGAAGTGCCAAAATTGATTAAATTACATCAGGCTCCCGTTCGCGAACCTCTATCGCGGAGTGTGCGACCTCTGAAATACATCCTGAAAAAGACCTCTAAGGCCGTGGATTCAAGTGCCACAACCAAGTCTGAACCGCTCTTTCCGTCTTCGAAGAAGGACAAACGTCGAATCAAACATGCTGAGCTCATGAACAAAGTCGCAAAATCCACCGCGAAAAGGCCCAAACGAAGGCGACCGAATAAGAAACTTGTCACGACCCTTGATGCACTGGCTGCTGCACTTCCGGATGACTACGACGCAGAGAACGATGATGCACAAGGAACAAGCGTATCAACAGGCGATCGGCCTCAAGATCAGGTCAATATCATTAGGCGAAAGAGTCTAAAATCACGGCCGGGTGCACTGAAAAGGAGGGAGAAAGTCGATAAAGGTGAACGAGATCGATTTGCGAAGAATATGGCCCAGCTTGCAGCACCAAGGTCTCCGAATGAAGGGACGGCAGAGACTTCTGGGAATGGTGTGGGTGGGGGAAGCACCACTACCGCCATTCCCTCGACAAGCGAGAGATGGGCAGCTCTGAGGGGGTTCATCGCTCAGACGCTCGAGACGAAACCCGAGTTGAAGGTCAGGACTTGAGAGATTCATGTGGTGAATTGTGGTGAATCGTGCCACATTCGCATTTCCTCAGCCCATCGGTGAATGGGTCGGTGGTCTTGCGGTCACGGAACAGCCTGCCGCGAAGAGCGCTTGTCTTGATACAAGCGGATGAAAAGCTTCGCCAACTCTCTCGATGCAAGGGGAGCCGGGCTTGCGCTTCGGCTTTGGTCGAGGAGACGTGCCTGAAGCCTTACTTGTGTCTGGCTACATCAGAGAGGTCTCATTGGGGGGGCTAGATTGCCATGACCATATGTTCTCGCCTGACGAGATCGATGATAATCCACATCAAGTCATACCAAAGTGTTTGCACCACACGGCAACAGCGAGGAGCCACCAGCCAGCAAGCCCGTACAAGGATTGTGTGACTGACTCGGACTTAACAATGCCGGAGATAAGAATCTTACACTTCATATCACGACGAAACCTCCAAGCCGGCTTCAGCTTTCGTCCCTGCAACAACCAAAAGTCCAGGTTAGTGTTACAGCGCTCGCACTAGTCCCCTGACCAAGAATAATGGCACCGACGGGCTGGCTCGATGTTCATACACATTTCTTTCCTCCCTTGACGGACGAGCAAGCGGAGGAGATGGCCCAAGCACTATGCAAGGGCAACTTCATGGTATCTGCGGCGTCACTCCATTGGAGCGCCGAGAGGGTCATTGAGCACAATGACAGTGTCGGCGTGCAGATGTCTCTGCTCAGCTACTTACCTTATCCGCACGAGAAACTGAGAGCTGCCAATGATCTCGGACACAACATTGTGATGAAATTCCCGCAGCGATTTGGGCAACTTGCCGCTCTCCCCACTGACGACGCAGAAGCTTGTCTGGAAGAGATAAGAAGAGTAGATCAATGGGATCTTCGGCCTGATGGCTTTGCGGCAACCACGGTGTACAACGAAGTTCCACTCAGCGACCCAAGGCTTGAAAGGGTATGGGAAATCCTCAACCGCCGAGATGCAGTGGTCCACATACATCCGAACGCATATGTCGCAGGGACGTATGGAAAGCCTAGCCCCCTAATCGATGTTGCATTCGATACAGCGAGAGTCGCCACCGATATGCTGTACAAAGGGGTGTTTCGACGGTTTCCGAATATTAAGTTCATTTTCGCCCACTGTGGAGGTGCCCTCCCAGCACTCTCTGGACGAATCAGCCTCCTAGGAACAGAATCATGGGTTCCAAATCCAGAAAAGTTGACGCGGGAAGAAATTGAGAAGCAGCTATCAAGTCTCTATATCGACACTGCCGCAACAGCCAAAACTGGGCTAGCCCCCGCTGCAAACATGGTCGGCATTGGTCATTGTCTTTACGGGTCCGATTGTGGAGTTCCTTGCTCGACTTCAAGCACCATGAACGAGAACAAGGAGGATGTAATGGCTTTTGAGAAGCTCCAGGGGTTGCCTGCAGGCTCGATCGCGAAGAATACATGGGACCTCTTTCCCGATGCAGCCAAACGGGCGGATCAAAGTGCTCCATTGTCCAATGGTATACATTGAGCAGTGATTTTCGGCAATCTTTGGATTGAACTGTGGAATTGATGCCCAAATTGGCAAGTGTGGTACTACGGTTGAGAGTGCATCCCAAAGTCTTTCACCTTCGATCGTCTGCAGCAAATTTATCATTCCAGCGACCTCTGAAATGTTTCTCTGCACCTAATTTGCTGATTAGTGCTACTTCTTCCGGTGGCAACGATGCATTCAGAGCCAACAAATGATCCTTCATACGAGCTTTCTCAGTTGAAGTTGTCACCACCGCAATGTCTTGCTGCAAGGCCCAGCGTATCAAAGCAAGAGCTGTACTTATTCCGTGTTTCTCTGCGATGGACGTCAATTCACTGTCCAGTGGTCCCGGGGTTGCTCTGACAATTGGCGATAACGGTGAGAAGGCAAACGTCTGTATACCGTGTTTCTTGTGGTACTCCTGCAGTTGGATCCGTGGGAGGTATGGGTTCAATTCGACCTGGTTGCACACCGGCCTTATTCGTGCAGTTTCCAATATCGTCTCGATGTGGTCCCCAGTGAAGTTCGAAACACCTATGGCGCCAACTCTGCCGGAGTCGTATATAGCCTCGAGCTCAGCCCATGCCGCCTGAAGATCCTCTTTTGACTTGGCAAAGTATGGGTAATGAAGCAAATACAGATCGATGTAATCAACACCAAGTCGTTGCAAAGTGCGACCAAACGCTCCTTGAATGTCCGACATGGTGAAAACTTGGAACAGTTGTCAGATCTTCGACAATCACAGCAGGGTGAGCAGAAGGATACACACCTTTCCCGGTGATGTAGATTTCTGAAACAGGCACGCCGGATTGCTTTATTGCCTCCCCAACCTCCCTCTCCGTATTGTAGACTAAATATGGATGAGCGACGACGAAAGAATGTGGCGCTCGTTGGATTTCTTACGCTCAGCTGTATCAAGGTGGCGATACCCCAACTCCAAGGCCTCTTTCACAATCTCGATAAGTCTGGTGTTGAGAGCCTCGGGATCTTCCTTTCGCCATGTTGAGCCGGTCCCAAAAGCCAACTGAAAAGCGCTGTCAGTCTGAGGTCAATGTATAACACCGCATTTCTTGCTGCATTACCATGAAAGGGCCATCCAGAGCCTTCATCTTGTGACCAGGCATTTCTTCTACTGGATAGAACGAGAATGCTGTCCCCACACCTCAATCTCTGGTCAAGGATCGGTACCGCGATGAGGGTTGAAATTTAGGCGCGAAGACAACTTATACACGTCCAACTTTGATCGATATACTGACAGGATACGAGTGTCTCTCGGCTCATAAGGCGTGACAGTATCCCAATTCCTGATTACTCTTCACGAACCCTTGTCCTTGAGACCCCCTGCACTACCGATTGGACTTTACCGACAGACGGGCCTTCGTCACTACAACCGGTTAAACGATTGATGAAGGATGGTTTGCACAAGTGTACCGCACTAGGCAAAGTAGAAGCTGCTCTGCTGCCTTTGGCAGAGGCCAATCCGATGGTGAGGTCGCACACGAATCCTATCGGACGAAACTCGGCTCTATTCTCAATTTGTGATATACATCTGGTCCCCAGCATATATTACTATTCAACCCAAGAACACTTAGTCATCTCCACTCTGTCCCTTCGAGGACTTCGGCTGATCCCTTACTCATACTGGAGGACTTTGGTCGTTGGGGTACCCTTACTAGGTTGCGCGTATGTCGAGCCATGGGAAAGTATTCCAAGCACTACTCCGACCAACTTGCCGATGAGGTCGCAACATCGGTGCCGTGGTATGGACTTACAAAGCTTGATCCATTTCTATGATCTCAGGTGTGGGCGATCGGGACCGCATCAAGACATATTTAAAACTTTGTACACTGAGGTCATGGTGTTCCCCTTGTTACCCCAGTTTCAGGATTCCCCTGTGGCTTCTATACTTGGTAGGTATATCCAGGTGTGACGAATCACCAGATTGGACATGGTGGGCCTTGCTTGGTCATTCGGGAATACCATCTGGTGAGCCCTGGGATGAGTGGCCTTTTCCTGTTGGATCTGGGTTTGTCTTGCGTTGCTTGGTCATCTCAAGTGGTTGCAAGACCACCTCCTTTGTCTGATTACAGTGCACTACGAACTGCCGATGGAAGGAGAGGTTTTTGAAGTATATATGCTCCGAGTTGCGAAGCGATCGCTCCTTCAAGTTCCTCCCACGACAACAGAGATATTTATCATTTGGCCATTTTCCTGGAATTGGGTATTTCAGAGCCTCAATAGCCATGTTCAAATCAATCCTTTTGGTTGGCGCCATAGGTGTGGGTAGCTTTGGTGACTATGTCGCCCACGAGCTCATCAAGGACCCAACACATTTCACTCGGATTGCCTTCTTCAACAACATCTCGAGGCCCACCGATGAAGCCAAAAAAGCCCGGATCCAAGAACTGAAAGCACAAGGATTTGAGATCATCGATGCCGCCGATTATGCTTCCCCAAAAGCCTACGAAGGCTTCGACTGTGTGCTGAGTTTCCTCGGAAATCATGGGCTATATCTCCAGCCTGCCATCATTGACGCCGCCATTGAGGCTGGAGTCCGCCACTTCTATCCAAGCGAGTACGGCGCCGATATAACTGAGGGCCAGAATTGGACTCAGCGCTACTACAAGTACAAAGTCCAGACGCGCGAGCATCTTGACGCAAAGGCGCAGGAGATCCCTGACCTGGGATGGACGTACTATCTGCTTGGCCGGTTGACGGAATGGTCCGTAATCTCACACTTTGGCTTCGACAACAAGAACGCAAAAGCCAAGATCTACGGCACGTCATCGGGTAGACAGAGCCTGATCAGCGCCCAGGATAGCGCCCGATATCTCGTCGAGACGTTGAAAGAACCACTTTCTCCTCAGGCCAAGGGGAGGCGGAGAACATATCGCATCTCCGGAAGCGATCCCACGTACGCGGAGATATTCGAGATCCTCGAACGAGTCACCGGCAGAAAGTACGATGTCACATACCTGGACGTCGAGAGCGCAAAGCAAGAGGAAGCACAAGCCAAGGTATCAGGCGATATCGATGCAGAGTTGGCGGCAAGCCATAAATTGATTCAGGGGAGGGAGGGGACCCTGCTACCACGGCCCTGGGATAATGACCGTTTCCCACAGATCCATCCCAAGAATGTTGAGGAGACGCTGCGCGAGGCTTTTGCATCTGAGCGCGCGAAGCTGGTGTATGGATTGGAGTGAATATCTCTGTTTAGAACCTCGCCATTCGACGGCAAGGTGCAGGCGCCTGACTAGATATCCATCATATTCCATGGTGGATGCGCGATTCTTTCTTTATACTTGGATGCGATAAAACCAAGCCTCCTCAGACCTGCAGCTTCAGCTTCAGCAGATCCTTCTCCACAATTTCATCCCTCTTTTCCCAGAGTTCTTTCATGTCCCACGGTGCATTGACGTATCGCCCAGCCAGCCTGTTACCCGAAGTTAGCTATCTGAAGCTAAGTTGTCTCTCAACTAGTCGGGTGCATCTCGACGCTTACCAATCTCTCCGTTCCCTCGTCAGCCAAACTAGGGTGTCTGCAGGTAGTTCTGGCTCTGCGACCAAAAGGTGGTGCATGTGCTCCGGCATTGTGGTTCCAACCTCCGTCTTCACGCCGCCAGGGTGGACTGCGTATGCCAGCAAGCCCTAAAGAAAAGTGTCGAGTCAGCCTGGAACCATTTGAGCAGGCAGGATACCAAGTGGAAGCGCACCTGCTCGCCATATTCTTTCATCAGGAAATCATTGAACCGTATCTGCGCTGTTTTGGTGCCCTGGTATGCGCTGCCCCCGGCCCTTCAGATCGTTGTTAGCTTTCATATCTAGACGACGAACTTCAAGCATTCAGATAGGAACTCACGAGGTGGTCAATCCTCCGGCACTGGAGATCACAATCATCGTCTTGTCTTTCCCTTTCAGTAGCAGCGGTAACGCTGCACGACTGACAAGATACGTTCCCTTGATGTTCACCTCCCAGGTCGACCACCAGTCCTGTACGTCCGTCTCGTGGATGGGCTTCCACACCTCCATTCTCGAAGCGTTGTTGATGACCACATCCAGGGCGCCGAACTCCTGTTCCACCATCTTCATGGCGCTGTCCACCGCCGCAACATCAGTCGTGTCGACCCTCAACTTAAGCACCTTAGGCGGCTCTTTGCGCCCTGCCTGTTTTGCAGCTTCGACGACCTCCTGGGCGACCGCGTCGAGGTCTGAACGGGCGAGCAACGCAATTGCTGAGGCGCCGGACTTTGCGAACGAGACGACTGTTGCTCGTCCGATGCCTTTGCTGGCGCCTGTGACCAGGACCTTGAGATTCGTGGCCTCGCCCTTGAGGGGGTTGATGAATTCATAGGTGTCATCGTGCCGTGTGGCCACGAAGTCGAAGCCCGCTGGGACGTTTGTGATCTTGGACATATTTGCACAATTAAGGAGTCGGAGTACCAAGCGGATGAGCAGTCTTGTTTCTTCTGAAGGGCCTCCTACTACTCACACTCACACACTCACATATATATATTCAACCAATTTCCGTTGTGTTCAAGCCAACACTCTGTCCGGAACCGGGCTGATCCCTCGCCGACCAGCTTTGCGTCTCGCTCGATGCGGAGATAACAGCTGGGGCATCTCCGCCTATCGCCTGCCAGCGAGACAAAGTCCAGAGATCTTGGTCTCTACTGTCAAGAGATCTGCTCCACGTTGGCGTCAACCAGCATCGAATCAATGTTTGGGAGCTTGCGGTACGAAATTTTGCCATATGCGGCATAGCCAGGGAGTTAGCCATTCGCCGCTGCCAGAGATCCAATTCAGGGCAGGGGAAAATCCCCAGCTTGGATGATATCATCATGAAACAATAGTCAGGGAGCTCAGTACTCCGTACGTCTTCTGTAGAGCCCTTTTGGGAGATGGGCAATTCGCACGGTATTTTCATTCACGATATCTAGCAACTGGACATGCACGATTTTTGTATATGCGCTTCCCCTCTATCCATTCCCGTCGTTGATGCTACGTCCGATTCCCCAAGGTTCGGCCTAACAGCCGCTAAAGAGGCCCTGCGTCGTATACTAGCTACTCTCCACTATGCATCTCTATCGGTGGTGGTGATGCCTCAAACACATGCCTCATTCCCATACTCGGGCATTGATTACCTGATAAACGAGCGCATACCAACCTAATTCCATCCTTTAAGGCCGCCGGCGCCGACGAGGCTGCTAATCACGGAGCCTTGAACCCACGCTATCACTCTCCAGAGCGTACCACGTTGCACGTAGGCAACAGCTTCCACCTCCAAGCTTCTATGAAATATTTTAGCAATGGTATCCTTCGAGCTCTGGCCAAATGGCCGGCTGTCTACCGGTTCCCTTCACCACTCTGCTTACATGGGACGGTCAGCATTGGCTTAGTTAGCAGCAACGCCGCGATTGGACCACCGTCCGTGTTGCTTTGTTCAGAGTAGATACTGGCCAATCCGCATATTATGCTTACACCTTCGCAAACCTCTTTCAGGTCATCCCAGCATGGCCTGTGCGTCAACCCCGGGCGCCGTGGCACACCGTCGTTCTCGTGAAATGCCACAGGATGTCCCCGGTGATGTGCTAAGTCGGCCATTGAGCTGGCTCAGATGGATTCCTCGTCAAGGCGGCTGAGATTACACCACTTCGAAGAAAAATTTAAGGCCTACAGTCGATCAGGGATCAAGTGAGCTGCAGCAACTCTACGCGGGCACCACGGTCAATGGTGACGCCGCTGGTTATATAAGATGGCACCACCAACTCACTCGATCTCTCACTAATACTGCAGCATTGCAAGACAGTACTAGCATCTCAAGGTGCTGAGCTCTCCAAGGATCTTAAATATGCTCTGGTATCTCACCTTCGCCTTATTCGCGGTAGTGCTGTACCTTTCGCTCGGGCTCAAGAGTCAATGGCCGGATGGACCTCGAGGCATACCACTCATTGGGGTCTTGCCGGACAAGAAGCTGACTCTCAACCAACAACTCACCAATCTGGTACCTCGATATGGGGACTTCTTCTCATTCAACATGGGCAGGTCCAAGGTGGTTGTCTTAAGCAGCCCAACAGCTATCGATGACCTGATCATCAAAAGAGGCCAGAACTACTCCTCTCGCCCGTCTTCTTCGGCCCAGGCAAAGATCATTGCCGAAGGAAGGTTGATCCAAATGGAATACGGTGACGAGTTCAGAGTGAGTGGATTGCATCATAAATAGCGATGGGCAATTTGCTGATATAACTGTGCTCTACCTCCAGAAACATCGAAAGGTCATCCACAGTCTCCTGGGGATGCAGAACTCCAAGATTTTTCTACCGTACCAAGAATACGAGAGCCGACAGACTTTGAAGAATCTGCTGCAAAACCCGAATGCCTTCTACACAGAGGTGGCGCGGTACTCGGCGAGCGTTACTTTCAGTCTTCTGTGAGTCGCTTCTCGGCACCTAAAAGACTGTGCACAGATCCTCACAAGAGACAGGCTTGGAGCTCGTTTTGCCAGCAGCAACACTCAGATTCCAGAGGCTATCCGTCACATCGCACTTGATATGTTTGAGAGTATGGTGAGGATGACGTAGAATTGGAACACATACTAATCTGGTCTCAGAAATGCGTCCGGGCCACTGGCTGGCTGATTGGATTCCGGTGCTGAACTATCTTCCAGACAGCCTCGCACCGTGGAGGGCAGATGCTCGCAAGACCTTCGACAACCTCATTGGATTCTGGAGCGTCTTCTACGACTCAATCACGGATCGAATGAAGACGGGCGACGCGCCGGATTGTTTCCTGAAGCGGTTCTTGGAAAGCCCCGAGATTAATAGTTTCTCCGAAGTCGATAGGCGCGTTATTCTGTCCGAGCTACTGGCGGCAGGCTCGGAGACCACTGCGACCACACTCCAATGGTTCTTCAAGGCCGCTGTCCTCTACCCGGATTTTATCAAGTCCGCGCAGGAAGAACTGGATCGCGTGGTCGGGCCCGACCGTCTCCCGCAGTGGGAGGACCGCAGCAAGTTGCCCTACATCGCCGCGACCGTGGAAGAAATACACAGGTGGGCGTCCGTGACGCCTCTTGCGTTCTTCCATGCCACCAGCGAGTCGGACAGCTACCGGGGCAAGACGATCCCCGCGAGAACAACGGTAATCTACAATCCTTCGGCGATCCATCACAGCAGCGAATATTTCCGAGACCACGAGAGATTTGTGCCCGAGCGGTTCCTGTCGGAGAAAGATCCTCGGTCTCTGCCTCATTATGCATATGCCCCAATTCATTATGGGTTCGGTGCAGGGAGGAGAGAATGTCCCGGGAAACATGTCGCCGATGCCTCTCTTTTCATTGTCATCAGTCGCCTCTTGTGGGCGTTCAACATCGACCTGGGCGCCCACCCGCCTCCCAGCGACGACGTCAGTATGTTATAGCTCTTCATCGTCTAATCTACCCATTGTTACGCGTTCAAGAACACCTCAGAGACTGACTTACAACGCTTTGTATAGGTGGAGGAGTCCCGATCTTCAGACCCGTCGCATTTGCATGCAACATCACTCCCAGAAGCAAGAAGGTCGCAGATATGATCCTGGCAGAAGCCGCAGCCCAGGACGCAGCGTTACGGGTTGAAGATGCCGCACAATACGAGCAGAGAATCATGAGGTTTGTGGAGGAGCAGAAGGTTGGGGCGTGATGTCTTGGACTGGGCTGGGGCTGGCACCTACAGATATGCTATTGAAAGGGGACTCCATCAGGGGGGGAGAGAACAAGGCCTTTGTTTCACAAGAACGGTAAGTAAAGACCGGCAGATCTGACGAACAATTGGATTTGAGACTCGAGACAGAGAAGCAGCTATGGTGGCAGGAACGGCGAAGTTATGGACTCAAATGTCATTCGGGAGAAACACGGGCATATTCAGTTGCGTAACGAACTAGTTCCAAGCACTTCAAAATCACTGTGGCTCTCATTCTTTTCGAGACCGGACCTTCAGTTGCTTGCCAGCGTCCCACAGTCGTCGACCGCAAGATCCGAGTTCCAACACGTCGCCCCCGCCTCTTCGGCCACCTGAGGCTCGTCGTCGGGATCTGCCTCATTGTACGTGGCGCAGACCAAGGCCCACGCATCCAACAAGTCCTCGTCCGCCTCGGATCCCCCGAACCCACCGCACTTGTAACAGATGATGGCGCTGCCGTAGTCGAGCCCATCTAGGGAGAATTCGCTGAAGTCGCCACACATCTGCAGGACGTCCGCCCCGGTTATGGGAGAGCCCGGAGTCAGCACGTCTTCGGTATAGATGTCGTCGGTGTTCTTGAGGTTGAGCTGGTAGGTGTCGCACGCATTGCCACACAAGGCTGCGTCCTGGGCGTGGGCGAGGAAGACCGGAAGAGAGAGTGCAAGCATGGCTTTTGCGAGGAAGGAAGACATGATTGGTTGGTTGGTTGGTTTCTTGTGTCCGCCTCGTGTGCGTGGTGGTATGTGCAGAAGGCCCTGACATGACAACAAGATGAGCTCAATGGTTTCTTATATCTATTTGCCGTGAGAGCCTCACGCTCGGTCGTCGGGGCGATGCATGCATAATAGCAAGCAAGAATACGGGATCTAGACTGCCGAGTCCCTCGAAGGCAACGAGTCAACGACCAACATGGCAAGTCAAACTGTGGTGGTTGCAGTAGCCTGTGCGGCTGAACTACAGACTGGTCTTTGACATCGACTCTGCCTGCCCCGTCCAGGTAAGGGCGTCGTTGGGCGTCTGCATTCAGCCGAACCTAACGTTTAGGGAATTCACCAAGGCCCAAAACGGACTCAGGCGAGGCAGTTGGTCCATCCGTCGAAATCCTTTCGGCTCGCTAAGACGCCGCCTGTCGAAGCTTGTCCTCGGTAAGAGCTTTAGTAAAAGGCTTCGCCCCCCCAACTTTCTTCTGATCTTGACTCTGCCTTGCTCGTGTATGCAAGACCCGACCTGCCAACAAGTGAGAGGCTCTGCAGGAGTGTAGAGGGGCTGGACCGACCGTTCTAGATTGAGCCTCCAAGTCGCTTCTCACGCTTCACTAACGCCACGCAGAAAGATCCCAGCTGAACTCGGCATGCTCGGCAACAACAAAAACAACACCGCATCGAGCATATGTATCCTCTTGTGTCAAGGCGGCTCGGATGCGGTATGGCAGAGGCAGGATGCAATTTTTGTTATTGTCAGCTTCTAGAATTTGCAGCCGCTGTTATAATGAATTCAACAGCTGGCCACACTGAGGGTTCTTGACCCGTGGGGTGTGCTGGTCGTGGGGGCCTTTCCATCTTCGGAAGCTGGTCAGATAATTAATACATCCTTTCACTAGTCTTGATGCGGAGCCGATCTCGTGCCAATGGTCCAGATAGTATTCAACGCGTTCACAATGATCCAGGTCATCTTTATCATCGGGGACAAGTCACCTCGAATTTATCACCGCAAGGAGTCGGCATTTAACGGCTCGGAGGCTCTCCAAACTACGCGAAGCAGTCCGGACGGACTAATCTTTGCGTCATCAGCGTTCATGCATGTCCAGGAGTTGTCTAATTAGGCGACCGAGTTTATTCCTGCACACCACATCGACTTATCTGACAGGGTGGAGGCGGTAAAGCAGTATAGTTGGCCGAGGCTCGAGACTCCTCGAGCATTTATCTAGCCAGGAGGGGCTGCAACCGCTGTAGAATAGAAGAACAGCGGAGGGAAAGGCCGTGAATCCACTTGGTAGACAAAGCGTGCAGCTACAGGTGGTCTCACTTCTGACATAAATCGACGTTAATCTTGGTCTGATTCCGTTGAAGTGTCTATTCTCCCCTCACAGTTGCGACGTCTACACTGGTGTTTCGAGCCAGTGATTGACCCAGCGTGGGGACAACGGTACAAACCCATTCTTGCGCCTCGTCTGCAAAGGGGAGTTGATCACGCAGATAGATCTTATCCACGCTGATTTCGGCAACACAGCCTCCTTCATCGCCGTCCAGAAAGCGATCATGAGCCTTCATCAGAGTGGAAAGGGGGGTGATCTTATCCTTTGGTATGAGGTTGACGATAGCATCCGTCAGTGCTGTGGGCACCATCCCCGGACAGATGCAGTTGATGGCGATGTTTGATTCTTGGAGCTTCGATGCCATCGATCGCACGAGTCCCGGTATCTACGCATGATTGTCAGCCTTTGAGAACTTTCCAAAAAGGTCTTGTCAGGAGACGCACGGCTGCTTTACTGGCGCCGTAGAGCGGAGCAAAAGGTATGGGATACAGTGCCGCCGAGCTTGCGGTGATTGTGATCTTTCCTCCAGCCGGGCTACGGGCCAGATAGTGCTGAGCTAGATAGACAGTGAAGAGCACCGCCGTCAAATTCACATCGATCGTCTTGAGGTTCGGTTTGGCCGGCGTTCCTGACGCCGACAGAGAGCCATAGAAATCGACCGAATCACCGATTCCTGCATTTGCCGCAACTGGCGGCAGCATGAGCGGTGCGAACGAATGTTGGAATGCAAAGATCACGTACCAAAGTCCAGTCGTCCCCACGTCGCCCAAGCTTGGTCGAATGCTTTCGCTTGGTCCTCGTAGGACGTCGCGTCACTCTGGATGAAGATTGCATGTTCACCCAGCTCAGCCATGTGTATCCGGCCAGCCTCAGCATTGATATCGCACAAGGCTACATTGTAACCACGAGTGAGGAGATGTTTGCTGAGTGCAAGGCCAATTCCGCTGGCTTTGATTCCGCTTAGCTTGTGTCGTTCAACGAGAGAAATGGGCGCTGCACACCTGCACCGGTCACAAGGGCTACCTTCCTGAATTCCGTCATTTTCTTTTGGTTGTGAGGCAGCTTGTTTTGTCTCGTGAGTGTCAAGAGATCCGAACAGGTAAAACGGAGGTGAAGTAGAAGGACAGTATAGCAGCGCCTCGTCTCTTTCCTATCGACCGGATTGATTCCGACTCATTCGGATTGCACGGCGAGCGTGGAATCCAAAACCATTTGCGGATTCCTGCATTGTCGCCTTGAGGACTGCCGAGGTCGAGCGGAGATCACGGATGCTCCAAAGGATGGGTGGGTGTACTTCAGATATGTTTTCTTGGGTTTGTAGAAAAGGAACTGGTAGACGAAGCGGCCTGATGCTATCAGGGCACCGTGCGGGATTCAAAGACTGTCTGCTCTAGGCTGTGCGTAGAGCCTCGGTCACCTTGGAGTTCCTGGTAAGGTTCGGATCTTTTTTGCTTCCTCTTCGACCTGGGTGGAGCTACTCCACAGAAAGTCTGGGGTTCCCCACGGGAAAATGCGATGCAAGGACGGGATATAAATGTATAAGTAGGCTCCGCCCACAACGAGATGCTCAGGAGCAAATCTTCAGCTTAAAACTTACTTCACTGCTTGTACTACAGACGCCTTTCTCCATGGCTCCTGGAATCACCCGACAGTGGAACGGATGGAACTTTTTCATCTGTTTTCTGGTCTCGTTGGGCCAGGTCGCGTTTGCGTACCCGGCTTCAGTGATCAGTGTGACTTTGGCCCAGCCATCCTTTCTCATTTATATGGGCTTGCTTGATCCGACTACCGGGGCCCTTTCTCACAATGCCAACGGCATCATTGGCGCCATGTCCGGCGTATGTTTTCTCCAAAACCATGCCAGGAGTTTGATTTGGTAATAAATTCTTCTAGGTGTTCCTGGCTGGCGGCGCCGTCAATGTTTTCATCAGTGGGTGGATCGCCGATAAGTACGGCCGGAAACCCGCATTTTACTACTGTTCTCTCTTGGGTATCTTGGGCTCTGGCTTGATCACTGGATCGAGGAACGTGGGCATGTACATTGCAGGCCGCTTGATAGCGGGAGCGAGCAGTCTGGGATTTCTGGCGACAAGTAAATCCTCCCTCCCTTTTTTTTCAGTATGATCACTAACGTTGAGGTACGATAGCTCCATTTTTTACAGCAGAGCTGGCACCACCTGCACTTCGCGGCTTGATGGTCGGGATGAATGGATTCAACATTGCCGTAGGCTATGCCCTTGCTCCTTACATGGGAATCGCCTTTTATTTCTCCACCAACCCGGCCGAGCAGTGGCGAGCACCTTGCGGAATCGCGCTGATCTTCCCGGTCTTGATGGGCGTAATATGTCTGATAGTTCCCGAGTCGCCGAGATTCCTGCTCATGAAAGGTCGACTCGAGGAAGCCAGAACCGTGGTCTTCCAGCTGCACGCCGTCAAAGGAGACCACGGCCAGGACTTTGCGCGGGGGGAGTTTTTCCAGATGATGAAGCAAGCTGAGAAAGACAGGGAATTGATACCTAGCTGGGTAAGTTTATGGCTTGTGGAAGCATCAGGTGCCAGCTTCAGCTGTGGCTAACGTTCTTGCCCAGCTGGAGATGTTCCGCAAAAAAAGTTACAGGAAGCGACTAATGCTGGCGGCCGTTATCTCGTTCTTCGGGCAATCTACCGGTGAGATCCAGGTTGCTCGGGTTGCATATTCTATGTTGGCTGATAAATCTTGCAATAGGAGTCCTCGTTCTTAACAATTACGGTAGGTACCTCCTGTCACAATGCCTCGACATGGACTACCGTCTGGACCCGACAACAGGCTAATCAGTCATGGTGGACAGGTCCCACCATCTACGCTGCTCTGGGCTACGACACGGAGAAGCAACTTGCCTTCCAGGCTGGGTGGGTCACCATGGGTGTCGTTGCTAACCTGGTGGGAGCTCTCATTGTTGACAAGATTGGTCGGAGACCTCTTTTGATGTTCTCTTTTTGCGGGTGCTGTGTCTGCTTGATTCTCGAGGCAGCCATGGTGGCCGTTTATGGTGGACAGACTGCCAACCACGCCGGCCTGCAAATGGGGGTGGCCGCTACTTACCTGTTCCTGTTTCTCTACAGCATGGGTGCCGACGTATGTCATGCACCCCCCAGTGCCTCTCTCGTTCGCTAACGACAGGTCCAGGTTGCTTCTTATTGCATCTACAGCGAGCTGTTCCCCAATTTCATGCGCGCACGCGGATTGAGCGTGACGATTGCTGTTCTGGCACTTACGGATATTCTGTACCTTCAGCTTGCCCCGACAGTAAGTGCAATCAATAGACCTCACCTACACCGCCCATGTCTCTGACTTGAGGACTTGCCAGGCCTTCGCCTCCATCGGCTGGAAATACTACTTGGTCTTCATCATCCTGTCCGCCATCAGTGTTGTTTGGATATACTTTGTCGTCCCCGAGACAAAAGAAATCCCTCTCGAAGAGATGGCTCGGATCTTTGGTGATGAAGTGGTCGTCTACCAGGCGGATATCCATCCTGTCCCCAACACAGACGAGCTGGTGGTGGAACATCACCACGCTCATGGTGCAAGTGTCGCTCAGGAGGTTTGTTTGGAGGACATCAGCATCAGGGGGATTCCGTCGCCCGCAACAAAAGACATCGAGCACGGCGGGGGAGCCCAAGCGACTGAATTAGAATATGCGGACAATCTGAAGTAGGTAGTCTGCACCAATTACTGTCCGCCCTTGAGAATTTCATGATTAGACTTGGAATCGAAATGATGAAGTTCGGCGTTCAGATTCAGCCTGGTCATTCCCAGAGACATTTTCTAGAGGTCCAGCCATTTCTTTTCGTCAGCTTTCTTGTTGTTGGCACTAGACGTCTCCCAATTCGTCGGGTTTCCAACAGCTTGTGAACACTTTTCAGTATACTTACCTGGGTGCCAAAAAAGCTTCGTGATGAAGACTAAACTCTTTCCAAATATCACGTCCAGATCTAAATCATATTCAGGGAGGATTCAGTGCCCGTGGCCAGTGGGGATCATCGTGTCTCGCTGCCCCTTCCAACGCACACGTCCTCACGAGGCCCTGCAGCTTCCGTCTCAATTATTCAACATCTCCGAGTAGGAGAAGCAAGAGTGCTATTCCATATGCGGATGTACATGTGAGGATTGCTGAAGAGCATGATGCCTCAAACGTTGTGTTCGACTCTCATCGTAGATTTGATAATGTAGTATAGATCTCTGCTCACTTGAACCTGGTTCCACTCCAATACACAGAGTCCTTGCATAAAAGTCGATCTGCCTCGTCTAGGAAATGTCGATTCTCCTCGAAGACTGACGAATTGACAAAGTCACTGCGAGCCTCCATTGACCACCATCCAAAGACCGCCAGGTATGCTTTCCCATCGTCTGAGGTGCCGGGAATGATCACATCCTCGACAGCCCAACCTCCGGAGAATCCCAATAAGGCCGATGTTTTGGGCCTCACATTTGCCACGAGCATTTCCAGCCCTTCTTGGAACTTTCGCTGTCCAGCGCCCCCGTAGTCTTTGGGGAAATAAGCTGTGAGAAGCTCGGTAACTGGCGCACTCTTGTGGTCGAGAACTTGGTCAGCTGGGTAGGGCGATAGATGTGTATGAAAGGCTCGGAGCTTCGTGACGTCGGTGATTTCGTCTAACCTCTGCACGAACGGAAGGTAATATCTGTAGAATGTGTCAGCGATGGGGCGTTGCACGCAATCTTCGTCGACCCCGTACTCTTTGCCTTGCAGAGCCTGATGGGCTGCCACAGAGTCCCAGTTCACCAGCATATGAATCTTGGCTTCGTCCCCGACTGCTTGTCCCCAATAGCCCTTCTGGACCCCGTCTTCTTTGACAAGTAAATCGAGGATATATTCTTGCAACAGTGATCCGACAGACCCCTGGCTCGATCTTTGGCAGGCTTCCTCTCTCAATGAGAAACTCACTACCTCGTACGCCATTTCTGTCACTGTTGAGTCCCTGGGTTGAGCCCAGAATTATGTCCAAGTCAAGGTACTCAAGGCTTCAGCAAGTACGCGTGGGTAGTCACGATATGTCTCAAAGGGGTGATTCCCTGGCTCCTTTGATTGAACGGCAAATCGCGCATTGACGACGGAAGCTTTTTGGTTCCGTTTATTGCAATAATTGGTATATTATTACCGAGGGTTGTCCTTCAGCGAAATAGGGCTTACAAACACATCCACTTCTCGGAGATTGCATATTAGCAGACTAGGCGAGTGGAAGAGAGATATGTGCATTCGCCGGCTCCCGGCTCTCTATCGAAGTAAAAGTGCTTAAATTGTAGACAGTCTTGTCGCGCACAGAGCCAATAGAGAAGAAACATGGCCTATAGATACAGTAACCTCTGCTATTCGCTCAACGATGTTCGACGATAAAGGCGCTTCTCGGTACGACCTTGTATGTTGAAAATGTGCCACCAGAGCAGCTGAGCACACCGTCTCTACTGAACTACTTTGACCAACTTCAACTCCACCGAAATGGCTCACCCGCACCCTCAGTGCGGCCCGCCTTGTGCCTGGACCAGCCTATTCCTGGCCATGAAGCTTCTAATTCTTTTACCATAGATATACCTGTTGTGATCTCGGTCAGCACACAGATCAAGATATATGCTGGCCAATGACCTACATGGGAATCGCAGAAAGCGTGATGCCTGCGGTAATGCCGCCCAAGGTGAAGAAGACACTCCGAACACCACTGGTAGCAATCCAGTCATTGGCGTAGTATGTGGAGCCAAACGCAAACATGTTCTTGACCATGACCATGACTGAGACAGCCTCTGCCGCATGGTCGTGATGGGAATCAATTGTGTATGTTATCGCGGCAGTGACGGCCACCACGACTCCAAAATTGATAAAACTGAAGGACAGAATCACAGGGATCTCCCATGCCATTCCATGGCCGAGACTTTGGCCAGCGGAGAAAAAGCCGCTCGCCGTGAAGAGGAGGTAACAGGCTACGGCTGGTAGTCGAAACTCCGGTTCTACAAGATAACGTCAATAGAACGATATCTCAGCGCAGGGGACTTCATACCAAATATACCCTGGTTTTGCTTGGCTAGGAATCTGGCCCCTCCATCAACCAGAGGGCTGGCGACAACCGTACCGATAATTGAGGCCACAAACGATGACAGGAAGGTGTTGCCCACTGCCGCGATGCTAAAGTTGTATGGTGGACCTGAAAAGATTTGCGAGGCCCCAATGGTCAACATCACGATCCAAGTAATAGCTGTCATGAAGACGAGCGAAGTCCAGATCACGATCGGCGACCTGAAAAGCTTCAGGGGGTTAAGCAGAGTCTGCCAGAAGGGGGCCGGGTGTTTGTAGCCGCTGTAGACTGCCAACTCAGACCGGAACGACTTCTTCGTCGGGATTGCCGGTCTGAGAGCATTGCCGCCTGCGTCGGTCGCCGTTCGTACAGATCGAGAAGACTGCTTAGAGTCTTCGATTTGTTCTTCCAGGTTGCCAAACTTTTCCTCCTGAAACAGAGTCAGCCTGGAAGTTATATAGGAAGAGGAGTTGAGCCTTACCAAGCGGATGCTCGTGCCGATGTTGACCGCCCCAGCCCTGTGGTAGGCAGTTTCGGGCATAAAGAAGAAAGTGAGAATGAGATTGATCACCAATGCCGCTGCCATTGCATAGGAACATACTCTCCATCCATAGTTTTGGATGAGCTGTGACGCAATCAGTGGTCCTACACTGACGCCGGCCATGAATGCCAGATTGAACAGGGCTGTTCTGGTCCCTCGCTCGTGGACAAACCTGAGATTACCACCTCGTCAGAAAGGAACACTTTCAACGTATTGGATCATAATACCATATGTCTGCGATCGATGCTGGCACCAAGCCTTCCAGCGGAGCCATACAAAAGCCTGCGATAGCTCGAGAAGCCACGAAAGAGCCCCAGGATTTAGCGGCCGATCCCCAAAATCCAGTTGCCACCAAGCCGACCGAGGCAGTGAGGTAGATTGGGCGTTTTCCGTACTTGACCGCAAGGACGTTGACCAGTATCGTGGCGCCTGCAAGGCAGACGATGAGCCCGCCGTTGGTGCCCGAGGAGAATGTCTGCAGAGATACCCCCCACGTCACTGCCAGCTGAACGTAGGCCGAAGTCAGGAGCGGTCCGATGGCTGCTAACGGTGAGCAAAACCAATACCCACTTACGCCAATAACGTACTTACCACCGACGCAAGAGACACCCCATATCGCACTGACAATGAACATCTCTTTCCTCCAGCGAGGCCAGTTGAGAGGGTCGTTGGGATCATCCGATGGTTGGGGGACGAGAACAATCTTGCCCGTTTTGTCGTGTTTCAATGCATTGCTGTCGACAAGACCAGCTTTGGGGCTAGCAGCGTTTCTCACGGTCTCGAGCGGAGCTGTCCCAGGGACATGCTCCATCTTGGAGTCTTCCAGTATTCCAAGAGGCATTTTGAAGCTTGCGGAGTAGGATCATCCAGGAAACCAGGACCAGGTCTCAAAGGCGGAGCAGACAGTAAATGTGTCCTCAGGAAGAATGGAATTTACGCTATGTTTGACGGAATTAGCCTCTTATACCATTGAAAGATTCTGGGGTAGTGTTTCTGGGGCCTGAATTCTCCGGAATGCGAATACGGAGAGTGATCTTCAAAACTGCCTCGGCCGGAAGTAAATCTAGCCGTAGTGTCCATCGACTAAAAGCCTAACTTTTCTTGGTTGATATTCATCTAGATCACTGTGGAAAAGGCTGAGGCGTCTAGAGCTTGCTTAGAAAAGATAGAAGTTGGCGCGAGCCTGAGCTGGGATTCTACGCAATAATCTCAATTCCCAATCTGAACCACAAGCACTTCAATTGAGCATGTCCTCGTCCACCTATAAATCCGTCGTGTTGAACACGAGACCAGAACAGCATATTGTTCTAGGGGAGACATTCCAGATCACGCACACGCCGGTCCCTACTCTGGACCAGCTAAAGGATGGCGAAGTCGTCTTCAAAACCGAATACATCAGTGTTGATCCGGGAATGCGGGACTGGTTGAAAGAGCCTGGGTCATACATGCCACCAGTTGCCCTAGGCGAGCCCATGCGAGGCTTTGCTGTGGGCACGATATCAGCAAGCAATAATGCGAACCTCCCAGTCGGGTCTCATGCCACAGGCTTGGTAGGCTGGTCGGAGCTGAAAATCATCCACGGAGATCAACTGCAAAAATTCGAGATCCCAGCTGGCGGCAAGCTTGCAGACGCCTTGAGCCTTCTTGGTATGCAATGATATGTTCATTCTATCGGCTTCGCTAACACCGACTACCAGGCATGACGAGCCTTACAGCTTACTATGGTGTTATCAAGATTGGTCAAGTCAAGCCAGGTGATTTTGTCGTCGTTTCTGGTGCGGCTGGTGCAACTGGAAGCATCGCCGGACAAATCGCCAAGATCAAAGGTGCAACTGTTCTCGGTGTTGCTGGCAGCGACGACAAAGTTCGCTGGCTGAAGGACATCGGGTTCGACGACGCCCTGAATTACAAGGACGAGGACTTTGTCCGTAAGTTCGAGGCTGCGACCATAGTCAGTTTGATTCCCACTACCACAAGTCCGATTGAAATTGCGCTGACCCAACGAATTCTTCAGGGTGGAATCGACATGTTCTATGACAACGGTTAAGTGGAACCCACGGCTCTCAATGATCCAATATCCTGACGACTTTTGAAAGTGGGCGGTCAAGTTCTTGAATTAGCCCTGGAACAGGCGAAAATCCATGGCCGAATCGTCCTGTGCGGAGGTGAGCTACATCAAACCTGCAATTGATAGTCCTGACGGAAATAGGTGTGAGCCAGGTCAATACAACAAGTCCTCAAGGCCCAAAGGTGAGCAAATCGCCTGCTCTGATCACTCGATTCACTGAGGCTGGATTTAGAACTATCTGAATATCATCTACAAGCGTCTTCGGTGAGTCGGTCTTCCTACTGAGGTCACCCTCCTCTCACGCTCCCGCCAGTGTGGAGGGGTTTCTAGTTTTCGATTATCCTGAAGAAAATGCCCAAGCGTTTAGCCAGATCAGCCAATGGTTCTCCGAAGGCAAGTTGAAGGCCAAGGAGACAATCATAAAGGGCGGACTGGAACAGGCGGAAAAGGCCCTTCGAGACATCTACAATGGGGTCAATACAGGTGGGCCTCATAATACAGACGTGACCGAAGTTGCTAACGAAAGAAAGGCAAATTGCTGGTCGAGGTGTGACATTCACCATACTCTTGACGGCTGAAAATTTGCAAAAAAAATCTGTGTTTGGAATAGCTGTGAAGCTCACGAAATGCCCCAGTGCTGCTTCCACTCTATAGATAGGACTTTGAGAGATTGATGTATCTGAGTCGACACCTCTGACTAGGGCAGCCACTAGCAGAGAGGGGACTATCTGCCAAAATCAGTCTGAACTACTGCATAAATATCACTTATCGGGAGCAATACTGCCCGTAGTGTCCCGGCGTCTTTTGGTCTGTAGGACAAGGCAGTGCGGCAAAGTGGATCCGTGAGCACCACTATCCTTCAAGCCATATTGGGAGAAGACATGAGATCTGGCTAGGTCTAGGCCCTGAGTTCACCTCCAGTAGATCAAACTCTTCTGAGTCCACGTGTACCTAGGTATGTCCCGAGTTTTGTCAGATTCCGCTGCCTTCAGCGGCTGATTTGCTTCCGTTAACAGAAAACATCTTCAGGTTGAACTGTGTCCGAAGCCCCCATCCGTGCCTCGGTAGCAAAGTTCTGTATTCTTTCGTATATAGAACATTCGTAGGTATATTGGGTTCAACTTTTCTGCGATTCAAGTATAACCGTCTTCCCTGAATACCGACAGAGCATCAAGTGTCCCGGGCTACACCACCATGGCCACTGACGTTTCTTCCCTGCGCTATACTCCAGTCTCAATATCACCAGTAGCTCCGTCATCATCAGCTGGAAACGGTGGTTCATCAACATCCGCCACCTCAGTCAATGAGTTAGAGACAGAACCAATCACCAAGACCTTCCTGGATACCGAGGCATTGAAGGCCAAATATGACGCGGAGCGTGACAAGCGACTGGCCGCAAATCCTGCCGCGTTTGACCAGTATCGTTTAGTGGATCGCAGCGATCCGTTCTTTGGGAAATTTCTTGACGACCCTTACATTGAGAACAAGATAACAAGAGATCCGGTGCAGAAAGAGACTGAAGTTGTGGTCATCGGTGGAGGATATGGGGGCCAACTTGCCGCCGTTAGACAGATCGAGAAGGGCATCACCGACATCAAGATAATCGAAAAGGGTGGTGATTTCGGGGGAACCTGGTAAGCCGACCCGCGACTTCGCAAGTGTCCCGAGACTGCCCAGCCGTACTAACAGGCCCAGGTACTGGAATAGGTATCCGGGAGCCCAGTGCGATATTGAGAGCTATTGCTACATGCCGCTGCTTTACGAGACAGGCTACGTCCCGAGCGAGAAGTATGCACGATGCACGGAGCTCCTTGCCCATGCCCAGGCTATTGGTCAGCGATACGACCTCTACTCTCGAACATTGTTTCAGACGGAGGTCAGGGGCCTCGTCTGGGACGAATCTACGTCTACTTGGTCGGTGCAAACTGATCGTGGGGATTCAATAAGAGCGCGATATGTCATCTCAGCATCCGGACCCATGCACAAACCTAAGCTTCCAGGGGTCCGAGGACTAGAATCTTTCAAGGGTCATAGTTTCCATTCTTCGCGATGGGATTTCGACTACACTGGCGGCGATAGCAAAGGCAATCTACACAAGTTGAAGGATAAACGGGTCGGAATCATCGGCACCGGCGCGACGGCAGTCCAAATCGTTCCTCAGCTCGGTAAGTGGGCAAAGCAACTCTACGTCTTCCAACGAACACCTAGTAGTATCGACGTCAGGAATAATCGGCCAACGGATCCTGAATGGGCAAGATCCCTAGGCGAAGGCTGGCAGCAGGAACGCATGGACAATTTCAACACCATCGTGAGCGGGGGTCACCAGGACCAAGATCTAGTCGCGGACGGCTGGACGCATATCTTCTCAACCATCGCACCCAAGCCTCCGGGGCTGCAGCAGGACGAAGAGGAAGATGTCGCAACCGCGGATAAGAAGCGTCAGTTGGCCGATTTCGCGAAGATGGAACAGATCCGTGCCCGTGTTGACTCGATCGTCAAGGATCCCAAGACGGCCGAGAAGTTGAAACCCTTTTACAACCAATTCTGCAAGCGACCCTGTTTTCACGACGAGTATCTACAGACGTTCAACCGACCCAACGTTACCCTTGTAGACACCGACGGCCAGGGCGTCGAATCCATCACCGAGACTGGGGTGGTTGCTGCTGGTACAGAGTACGAGGTCGACTGCCTCGTCTACGCCACGGGCTTTGAACTGGTGACCGATTTCACACAGCGAAGCGGTTACGATCTCGTCGGAGTGCAGGGACTCCCTTTGTCTACCAAATGGCGTGATGGCCCTTCCACGTTCCACGGCTGGATCACTCGAGGGTTTCCCAACCACTTTTTCGTCCAAGTCATCCAGGCGGTCCAAACCCCCAATGTCATCCATGGCACAGGAGAACTAGCCAACCACTTTGCTTATGTTATCAGTGAGGCAAAGAAGCGGAACATCAAGTCCTTCCAACCGACACAGGACGCGGAGGATGCCTGGGTCCAGACAATCATCGAGGCAAACAAATTCAAGACCGCGTACTATAAAGAATGCACGCCCGGGTACTTCAACAATGAAGGCAAGCTGGATCCCAAAGCCGCAAAGAGCGCCACGTACGGCGGGGGTCCGCTGAGATATTTTGAGCTGATTCGGCAATGGAGAGACAAGGGAGATTTTGATGGGCTAGAACTGAGCTGAGCTTGGGAGAATAGATTCACACAATAAAATTGGACGGTGGACCCTGCCTACATGATATTGAATCGGAGAGCTGCATAGGTGAATTGAAGCAGTTCAATATCCTTCTCCCCACGCTGTTTTATAAGGAATAGTCATGACCAAGGATCGCTCGTGCTCGGTGAATGGCGACGGTGCTGGAAGGCCTCATTACCCAGGTAGTAAATACCACTCCCCGTCGCCTTGTTTCTCCATCTTTCCGTTACGCAGCTCCGCTTATCTCGGCAAATGCGCGCCTGCCCATGATTGATATCACAGTTGCAGCATTTCCAGCTCGATCACCCAACCGCGCGACTGCTGTCCTGATGCCACGTCTCGGAGGCATTTTCTTTGTGCTTGGATCTTCTAAGTTCTCGGCTTTGGATTCCATTCCGACAAATGGAACTCCTGACGACCCAGCCTCGATCTCTGATATCGGTTCTTCCGTAACGGTTGGTTTGTCCTTGACGTTAATGGCTGAGCGTACCTCAACCTGCTCAATGACAAGCCTTGTGCTGTTCGTTGGTGCTTCTGACGGCTGCATCACCGAAGCTTTCTGGCATTGGTATCCCAAAGCCGGCGACCGCTCGGCCGTATCGCCGTCGGCTTCTTTGCCGCCATAGATTACCCCAGTTACGATGTAGAATTTGGACTCACCATCCTTTAGGCTTTCTCTCACAGCCTTTAACTTCAGGGCAGCCTTCACGTACTCGACTGTGCGATCTTTCGACCACTCCTCCCTGACCACGGTCCTGTAACCCGCGGCCTCAATGTCAGAATTGAGAAGATACTTCCAGTACTTAAAGTCATTCTTGATGATGCGCGACGCCCCGAAGTCAATTATATCTTTGTATTGGGAAGGCACGACATCATCTCGCGTTGCAATGGGTCGGTTTGTCGAACTCGGCAAGTATATTTCCTTGATGATGTCGCCCAGCGCCACGCTCACAGCAGGCATATTCGACTCGCCCTTCCAGCTCAGAATAGAGTAACGTTTGGCCGATTCTGGGTCCCACTGCCAAGCTGGATCGTTGGACCGCGACGAACCAGCTAGGGATCGCAGCGGGAGTAGATCATGTGTGGGCTCCTCCCCCTTTTGTATTGCTTTGGTCCAGTCTGCGAGTCTCTCGATGATGTACGTAAGATCCTCTCTTGCTGTGTTGATACAAAAATGGCTCGAGTCATGGATTTCGATCGCTTCGACAGTAGGAAGGCAGCAAAACTCTGGAGACAGGAACTATTGCAAGTCAGGTTTGTCACGAATTACGAAAAACAGAGATGGTGCGGCAAGAAACAACTCACGAGTTTTGTCACCGGATCAGGTTGCTTTGCAAAACAGCAGGCAAGTTTGACCTGGCTTCCTGACTTCTCGAAGATATCGGCAAATTGAGCCTGCATCGTGGATATTCTGATGAAATCATCCAAGCACCCTGACCAATCTTGATCCTGCCTGCTCCTCGCCGTGGTGAGATTGAGTTCTTTCGCAGTCAACAAAGTCCACTGCGCCAACCCGGCTCGGAAATGTGGTGTGTTGAAAAGAAGCATCCCGCGCAATCGTTTCTTCGCTCGGGCCAAGGCTAGGCTCGCTGAGTTGGTTTGTAGCCGCATAAAGGCCTGTTCACAAATCAACCCCCCATACCCATGTCCAACAAGTATCTCATGCTTGGAATCAAGTTCGCCTCGGCCTAGGAAATCTAGAAGCCGGTTTGTATGACTATCGAGCTCAGTCTGGGAGAGGATCCTGTGTATTGAGCTGATGGGTTGGTTGATATACCGAAATGCGATGCCACCGCTATTAGGTATCTTGTTCGCAAGGGAACGAGAGAGTTCCTGAAAGTCCTGAATACCAGATTGCCGCTGCAACCGAGCCTGCGCTGCTGAAATTTGATTGAAAGATGTCACAGGGTTCTGCTTCATTACTTTTGGTTGGAGCGGACTAACAAAGATGACATAGTCGTGTAGTACTACAAACCTGATATTGTTAGTCTGAGATGTGAAATGAACAGAGCCAGCAAGAGAACACTGATTGCGTATCCGCATGAGGCCAAAAGGTAAGGCTCAGCTTCCAGGCATCCCCGTTTACTAGACAAGAACAACGACTGTATAATGAGAAACCCCATCCCTCTAGTGAAATCCTCCGACATTGTGACATACGACAGCCACCGCATTGACCCTCATTCTCCATTTCGTTGCTCACGGTGAAACTTACCTCAGGTCAGCATCCGGCTCTCCGAACAATTGATGGTTGCCTTCTCCCGAACGCCAGAAAGCTCCATCAGGAGAGTGAATCTCTGCGCTTTGAGTTTCTGCCATTCGATAAGTCTGGGTATTACTGGAAGGTATAGACTGAAGGGTAGCGTGTAATAATCACCACCATTTTTGGGCTGGTGATGTCGATGGATAGATAAAATGTGACGGCGATGTGGCTGTGAGTCCCGCTCTTTCGTCATCCGTTCGCAGAGACACGAGGACAGCCTGGTAGCACAGCCTGACACGGGCACACGGGGTGGAGGTGCCACAAGGTCAGACTTGGATTCGGGATTAACCGAGCAAAAGTGCTACGATTACTCTAGGCTAGCACGTGACGAGCTAAGCAGTACCTACTCATTTTACTTCGTACTATATATGTCATTAGCAGGATCTACCTCGGAAAACTTACCAATTGCTGAATTGTTGTAAGTGCGGGCAGTCATCGTCCTGAAATCAATTATTTCCTCACTTTCCCTGGTTCGAGCACTGGAACAAAGTGGCTTTTCAATACGAGGTAATAGATGTCACCTAACCATTGCCTGATGCAGTCTCGAGCAGCGCAGCGACACGTGTGATCGCATCATTGGATTAGATCAAGCTTACCCTGCTCTCTCAACCCAGCCACGGCGCTGTTAGGCATTGGCACCTGCTACTCGTATTCTCAAGCCACCTTTCCAGGCTGCAGCTAACTGAGACACAGACAACTGCGCCCGAAAATGTCGTCCATTACGCATTACGTACATTCTCGTACCCTGACAGCCTGACTACCCTGGCCATCAGTGCCCGACTGCTATGATCTACCATGGGTTGTACGCCGAGCCGCCCCAGCCTGCACGCCGCAGTCAGGCTGAGAGCTGGAAGGCGAATGTTGGGCTGCACGCACCACGCCGAGCTGAGCGGTTTCGACGAATGGCACCCCATTTGAATGGCTGAAGCCGCAGCAGAAGCAAGTGTGACACCCCTGCTCCAAAAATTGGCGGCCGATTCTCCCTTTCGGAGGGGATGATAATTACCGCGTTGTAGAACACATCCCATCCTCTCTCAATTCACCTTTGGACTGACCAGGAGACTCGACACGATGTCTGAACAGCCCAGCAGGATCGTGATATATTGTGACGGGACTGGCAATTCGGAATACCAACAAGGCAATCGATTGACAAACGTATCACGGATCAAGAGTTACGTCAAAGCCACCACCAGCGATAACACCCGTCAATCAACTTTCTATGTCCGAGGGATTGGCACAGAAGGCTTCCTCACGGATAAACTGCACCAGGCCAATGCCAAAGGTGGGCATCCAGACCAATCCGCCATAGTAATAGCGATGGTTCCGATGCTGTTTCTGTTTCGGAATTCTTGGACCCGTTTTTCAAATTGGCTTGAAAGCTTCGATGCTGCTCCTAATACCTTCTAACTTGTGACGTATAGGTATCGAAGACAGGATCAAAGAAGGCTACACCATCATTCGCGACAACTATAGCCACGACAATGGCGATCAGATAATCCTTCTGGGATTCTCCAGGGGTGCATTCATTATGAGATGTGTGGCTGATATGGTCGGCAGAATCGGGGTGCTCACAAAAGCTGCCGACCGTCTTGCCGACCATCTTGTGGACCTCGTCTTTGAAAAATGGAAAGCAAGCAACGGGAGCCTGTACCCACTACATGATCCCGACTTAGTGCAAGTTGACTTTGAAGATACTCCCAACAACGGTGATGAGCAAGTTGCTGCCTTAGAAGTTCTTCCAAGCCTGGATGTGGATCGAAATGATAAGGACGCCCTTTTCACATTTTTGTTGCGACACAGCGCGTATCTACGCCGCGACGTTCACATCAAGGTCTGCGCGCTCTTGGATACAGTTGCGGCAATCAATACGCCCCTTTCTGGAATCCAGCCAATACGGGTTCCCGGCGAGTTCGCCTTTGTCAACTCGGAACTGGGTAACGAAATCGAAAATGCGATACACGCACTTTCCCTCCACGAACGCCGTAGGCCTTTTCTGCCGCTTGTCTGGAGGATATCTGATACCGGCGAAACTCTTATAAACAAGAGTCGACGTTTACAACAGTGCTGGTTTGTAGGATACCACAGCGATATTGGTGGCGGACGCAAGTTCCAGGGCCTTAGTCATATTTCACTCGCGTGGATGATCGCAAGGCTTCAACCTTTTCTGGAGTTTGAAGTCGCCAATTTTTCTAATCCTCTACCAACAAAGTCAAGCTGGAAATTCCATGAAGAACCTGACAGTGGTGAATCATCTATCGGTGAGACGACTCTTATCTTCGAATCGTCCTTTCCACTTGCAAGGTCCACAAGCATCTCCTTTTTAGACCTACTATGGAGTCCGTAATGGCTGACAATTAAGCTACGGTAGTACGTCCCAAAATCATTGGGTCTGACTCGATGACACCAATATTTCGTATAGCAGGAAAGAAACACCGGAAACCACGTCGGCATTTCTGGACAACAACAGCCTTCGAATACCTCAAAGAGCCAAATGTCAACACAGGTAACTCCAAGGAGACCATCCACTGGACGGTCAGTGTCATAACTGGTGTGAAGTGGTACCCGTCATGTAAAGCACTCACGTCAGCCTTCCCGGGGGTAGGCTCGATCGCAAATTGCAGATGTGAACAGGACAACAAGAGGCACCGGCGACACTGGACACTCCAACTGAAATCCCCAGCCATTCCAAACTACCGCGTCTGCGAAGAGACGGCCTTGGAGGCGGATCCGAATCAGGGGGTTGATAGGTGGCTGGAGTTGAGGCTGCTGTTGAAGTGGCTCTCGTCCGAACTAAAAGCCCTCCAAAGGGACAGCAAAGAAGGGGACCCAGATCCGCGGACCTGCATGGTCGAGGTGGCGGATGCCATAATCAGGCAATTTCAAGGAACGGTGAGAGGAATCTAGTGAGTAGCCATTTTGACGTTGGAGCAACCATTTGTTTCCTCCTTTTCATCGTGGCAGCTAAAATGACAAGGTGACCGAGACTGCAGTGCCACCCACTGCTGATGTATGCCCCCAGCGGTCCGATTGGTACATAGTTTCTTGGTGCGTTCACCCTACCAAAGCGCGCTTGTTGTTTAGTTCCATGTTGTACGCACTAGCTACCTACGGAGCAGTATGAAAGCTATCTCCGCACATGCAATGCGCCTCCTCTTCTTTTCTTTTCTCCTTAAGGAGTCGAGTAACCTGTGTTGTTCGGTGCTAGCCACGGACTACTCGAGCTGCCATCTATTCTTTTCGAAGCGCGGTACCTCCGGTGAGCTTCGGTCCTCCAGACGCAACTTGTTTCTAGTAGTTCTTCTTCGCCCCGGCTCCAGGTTCCAGAAATTCGGTTTGCTGCCATCAACAATGCCGGCCCCTTGTTCAGCCGCCCTTATCTTTAGCTTTACGAAAAGTCTCCTCGGGGGTCCTGCTTTCTCCCCATTTAAGTAGAAACCAGAGTAGGCCGTCAGGACGGGATTTCAGGAAATGAAGAATTGAGAAAAGAAGAAGAATCTGCTAGCTTAAATGAAAGATGTCAAGGTCGCTACCGTATACGTGAGGTGCGGCGTGGTCTCGACTCAATATTTACTTGAGTGGAGGGCAGGGATGTGGATAACCAGGCAAGAGATGCAGATAGACTTGAATGTCTACGTCCCACTGATCTGAAAGTTGGAACAATATCAATGGTGGAGTAGGGTTTGTTTGACGAAGTTGGCTACGTAGCTGTATCCAAGCTAGGGAAGACCCAGCTATATACCTTCCCATGGTGTCCCTTAAGTAACACTAGAAAACGACATGATATGTTGTTGTGGCTCGCCATAGCCCCTCAACGACATAAGACTATATCGACACCTTCCCTTTTTTAAAAGCTAGGTGCTGTTGTGTAGCTTGGCCAACGACGCTGGTCCTTCGGTCGACCTTCCTTGTGCCATGGCGGGAAGGCTGCGTGAAGGTCAATTCGAAACAGTGGAAATGAAAAGGAGGCGCAGGGTGGCGGGCGGACGAGACAAGGCAACGTCCGAGATGAAGGACGGATATGATTGGAAAGACATGACGTAGACAGCGTGCAAGTTCGCTATCAGGAGAAAGGGTCATCCAGGTGAATGCAACGTAAGGTACGCGCTCCATCTTACACGGAGGGCATGGGCTGCAAGAGATTGCATCCACCGTCTTTGCAAAGATTCCTGGTTTCGAACATTAGGTTCCCAAATCTATACCCTCCCTCAGAGGTGGTCGTATAAACTTTCTACATCCTTAAAGAGAGACGCGAAGTATAGCGCCAAGCATCCAATAACTACGGGACCCAAAAAGGGACTGAACACGGCTGATGAGAAGGGTGAGGAGGGTGAGAGGCGGCGTGAGCAAGCTGAGAAGCATTCGTTATGCGGGAGCTCTGCTGCTGTCCCTCGCACCCATGTTGCAACATGCCACAGATGGCGATGGTAGACCAGTTCTGCGCAAGTATAAGTGTGAGTTCGACATATCTCTAGATAAGCATCAGAGCTTCTGTGATATCGCTTCTAGCTGACCACCTCTATAGTTAAGTCCTCAGGCCATCTGGGCGCGTCTGTTCCATTCCCTCGACTGCCTACGGTAAAGCCCAGTTCGACTTCACCATGGGGATATCGGAGCACCGGCTTAACACATCTGATGTCGACATTGAGAGCCTTGCTCCTCTGCACACTGAAGAATTCATCGCGGAAGCTGTCTTCGCGTTTCTCCATGAGCTGCAATACCGCCGGAGTTATCACTTCCATGGGCTGGTTGGCCCGGAACTGGAACCGGCCATATTTCTCCCACAATTCCCGCCAGACCTCGGGAGGGTACTCGCCGCAAGATCGAAGCAGCCACTGATTGTAGTAAGTCAGGGCGAGATCGACTTTGTAGCTTCCCCCGAGCTCCCCACGCTGCAGGATCGCGGACAGGATCGCGGTGACACCTGCCAAGCCAGTGCAATAGTCTGAATTGGGGCACGGGGTGACGATGGGCTCGTCGTCTTGCAGCCCTATCGCCTTCCCGTACCCGTGAGAGACGCCGACACATGCGTCGGAGGTGTTCTGCCATCCCGGTCGGTGGCTGAACGGACCGTACCACCCATAGCAGTTTTCTCGAACGGATATAATGCCCCGAGGGCGGTCAGCCACCATGGCGATGATATCGTCTTGGGAAAAGCCATGTTTGTCGAGAACTCCCGGGCGATAGCCGTTGATCACAACATCAGCATCCTTGATGAGGTCGCGAAGTTGTTCCCTTCCATCCGGGCTCGTGATGTCGATATATGTGTTCCACTTTCCCCAATTCAAGTCGATATGCAGACCGACAAAGTCTGGTACACCAGGGCCCATTACTCGCATCACCGATGCCCCGAGTTCGGCAAGTCCGCGTGTCACCGTAGGAGCAGCGATGATCCGGGTCAGGTCAACTACCTTCAGCCCCGCAAGAGGTCTCGATGGCACCGTATGACTCGCCGAGGGCCACCAGGCGGGTAGATGGTTCTTGTTCGCAACCCGCCAAATTTCAAAGAGGCCGACGTGGGCATTGGCTCGGCCATGTTCTGACCGGGTGTACTCTTCAACGGAGTTGCATACGTGGCCAGCTTGTCCTGCTCTGTCTGTGGCTTCCAGAAGCTCCGCGGCGGTGAATTTGGCCACGCTCTCCTGGAACGGGACCCATGCTTCTTGCCCAGGGCCAAGTTCTTGGTTTCTGGGGAGTCCGAGAATCTTCAGCACCGGGTCCGGGTTCAGCGAGCCATGAGTCTGGAAAAATCTCCCATCGGCACACTTGTAAATGTTTGTGGTCGCAGCTCGGTGCGGAGTGGTGGCTCGTTCGTACGGGTCGTGGTCGACCAAGTACTTCTGCAGCTTTTTCGCACTGAGCGTTGCACTGATCTTCTCGCCCTGCGGATCGATGGTCCAAAGGAAGAGCGACATCAAGAAGAGCTGGGCATGTTCGCTGCAGTGTCCCTACTGTCAGCTTCCATTGACTCGCGGGCTTGGATACGAACCCACACGTCAATCTCCACCTCAGGCGCCGGGACGCCGTATTTCTTGTTCAGCAACAGCCCTACAAGGGCCGCCTCTAGCGCCAGAAGAGCGCTCGCCGACTCGGCAAGCCTCCAGTGCACAGGCAGCGTGGGTGCGTCCTTTCCTGTAAATCGGATAGTCGAGGCGGCGACTCTGATGTCAGGCGGCAAGTATTTGGAGACGAGCGGATTTTCCACAAGTTCTCTCCAGAAGACTTGTTCAGCTTGCTTCGGGACGGAGTATTTGGCATCGCCATTCTTTGACGGCACCGTCGGGGCGTCTGCAGCAATCGAGCCCATTATTGGTCGCGAGAGTCGAGAATAATTTTCGAGGGAGCCTTGTGAGTTCAAAGAGAGTTGAATACTCTTCGAACATGAGAAGAGCAATGCGCCAGTCGAGACCAAACGTCGCTGATTGTGCCGACTCAGTCCGAGATATCGTTGTTCGGCACTCCCTATACCCTCCCAATCTGGAACCGGGTGGCATGCAGCGAGTCTTCGATCGCATATTCATACCCTGAGAGATCTCCCGGCCTCGGCTTAGGGTACGTGCGGCTGGAAAAGCTTCCGAGCCTTGTTTACCACGGCGGACTAGACGGATTGTAGCGGATGGATGTGCTCCGCTCCCCGCCACCTGTCAACCGTCTTCTGAGTCCCCTGGTTGAAAGCGCCGATAGTCGTCAAGTCTCGATCCAGCACGACAGGCTACTTAATAGCGACGACCCTAGGCATACGGCAGTGGGCATTCCACTCCTCCTTACCGAGGTCTCTAGGTAGCCGCAGACATGAACTGGTCTATTTAATATAGGTTTAAGTTGGATACATTAAACGGCAGCTTTGTAGTATCCTTGTGAGAAACGCACGTTGATACATCTTTGTTCATTCACCCTTCCCCAACATAAATCACCCGAAGAATTCTCTCTTAGAGTTGAGCTCCCAAGAGCACTATACCCCAGCTTCATTCACAGCCTCGCTATACCGTAACTTACTAAGAGCCTTTCAAGATGGCCACGCTGCTGGGTCGCAACATTGGACCTGTGGGGTATGGACTTATGGGTTTGACGTGGCGACCCGATCCACCAACCCAAGCCGAGTCTTTTGAGTTATTGAGCACTGCCATTGCTTCCGGAGCCAACCTTTTCAATGGTGGTGAACTGTATGGCACTCCAGAACGCCACACCTGCCATCTGGTAAAGGAATATTTCGAAGCGCACCCAGAAAACGCCTCTAAAGTGCTGCTAAGCATCAAGGGCGGCATGAAGTATGGGGTTGCAGAGCCTGATGCCAGCGAGGAGAACCTGAGACGGTCGGTGGACGAGTGCAACCGTGTGCTCGCAGGGACCAAGAAGATTGACATCTTCGAATGTGCGCGCGTCGATCCCAAAGTCCCCATTGAGGACCAAGTCAGGGTCCTGGGTAAATTGGTTGAGGAAGGCAAGATCGGAGGGATTGGACTCAGCGAAGTCAAAGCCGACACGATTCGACGAGCACACGCCGTTCACCCGATTTCAGTGGTTGAGGTGGAACTTTCGCTCTGGACGACGAACATCTTGAACAACGGCGTTGCCGACGTTTGTGCTGAGCTAGGAATCCCCATCATTGCGTATGCACCGTTGAGTCGAGGTGCTTTAACCAGCGACTTTGGGGATAAGAATGAAGATCTGCCAGTTCACCGAAGGAATTTCCCAAAGTTCCAAAACGACGTGCTGCAAGCAAACCGACGGCTGACGGAGGAGGTGAACAAGATCGGGCTCAAAAAGGGCGTCAAATCTTCCCAAGTCGCACTTGCTTGGATCAGAGGACTGAGTGCACGGCGGCCGGCGTCGAGTCCGATCATCCCTATACCAGGCGCAGAAAAGCCAGAGTGGATCCGGGAAAATTGCGAGCACGTCGAGCTGACCGACGAGGAAATGAACGAAATCGACCGGATTCTCAAGGCCAATAAGACTGTAGGGGAAAGGTATGGGGGTGCATTTGCTAAGCTTGCTGAAGGCTAGGTGGGCGGTGATGGATTCAGCCTTACTTTGCAGGCGGGTACTCCGATAAGGTCTACCATAGTAGAGAGGCTGCGGTGGGTTGCAAAGCCAGCTACTCGGAAAATGACTATGAACCGGGTTAATGCAGTTGCTACTACCCTCAAATACACAGACGATTTATAACTGCTAGATGGTCAACATTATAGTAAATGACTTCGTGATAAGAGAGGAGAGAGCGGCATGGACCTATTTCTGGGAACCCTCTCAGGCCAAGGACACGAGCACACGCGGTGCTAGGCCATCCCACTCATAAAGACCAACTCGACTCGCCCTCGCAGGGTCAAGGAGGGAATATGCCGTGGCGCCTTCCCAGGAACCCCTAGAGCCTTCCTTTGGGCACTCGTTGAACTTGACAGGCTGAAGGAGGGAGGAACTTGGGCCACTACTGCTAGCCTGAACAAAAGCAGCGCGAAGTCACGCTTCAAAGTAGGTGGACTGGCGTCGAGAGATTCTGCCGGTAGACTTTGTTCATCCATGGGTTCAGTTTGGGAGACACAGAATCGCCAGTGTTTTACTCCTTCGCAGCACTTTGAACGGCATCCTCGACCGGACCATCGACCTTGGTCGCCAGCTTAGCCATCAACGCCTCGATCTTGGCCATCATTTCGCTCTGCACCTTAGCCGTTTCTGCCTTTGCGTCCTCCAGCTCCTTTTTCAGCTCTTTGGAATCTTTTGCGGCGGCGCCGCCCGTGCTGACATATAGATCTGGATAATTTGCCTGCTGATCAGCCCTTGCTGTATCGAATAGCTTCTGGAGCCTGTCCTTTTCTGTTCGCGGATCAAGTTTGACGCCACCGCCTTGATCACCACCGCTGTACTCGAGGTCCAAGAATGATCGTTCCGTCATCTCGATCTCGAGGATCAAAGCCTGATACTGGTCTTGAGCTTTGCGATATCGTTGTGGCACACCTTGGCCCTTCTGCCAGGCTAGGCAACTTATGATCGAAAACAATATCAGTCATGTGTTGTCCAACGTGGAATTCTGCCTTGGGGACTTACCCAGCCAAAACAGTATTCAAGGCTCCCAGCACAGTCAACGTTACACGATGCGAGTCCTTGTACGCAGACAGGGCCGTGAACGTTGCTGCGAGAAGGATCTGAAACATGTACAAAGTGTTGCTGATGATGCTTGTGCACAGATAGGCGATTCTACTCGCCCGTTCCTGCTCTCTGGCACGCTGATAGAGACCAACGTTATCCGTCCGAACTCGCCTCGACTTTGCTCCGCGGGCTCTGCCGAGATCAACACCATCTTGAGTAAGGGACGATGGCGTGGTTATGCCGACCAGCAGCTGGAAGAGCTGGAGGGGTGTGTGCCCACTGGGCTCGTTGATGATGGCCTTGTCAGGAGCAGACGAAGTCTGTGAAGGTACTGCAGAGGGCGCCGATGTAGACACAAGGCCCTTCTCAAAATCTCTGGTATCCATGACCAGGTTATCCAGGCGGAAGAGTAGGGAGGTAGACCAGTCCTACCCTCGAGACTGGAAAGTGTTTGCATTCTGTACCTATTTTGTATGGCCACATTTTCCTGGCAGCGTGCAGTAGTGATGCTTGCAGCTGGCTCACCCATCGAGCCAGGCTGGCTATCATGTCTGTTTGATTGGTGCGATATTCGGGGTTGAACACGAGTGTAGAGAAGCGAAGTGGTCTAGGCTCGCGGGGCATTTTGTGGCGTAGCTGAATGGCAAAGGCGTAGCTGAAATCAATGCTCTGTAGCACGCAGCATGTCCGCCGCCAGTGAAGTCGTTGCTACAAAGTGCCCATGGACTTCGACAACAATGTTCAACGCTGAAATACATGGACTTCGCTGTGCCAATGTGTCAAAACCCCCAGCTTTGCCGTAGTTGGCCTACTACTGCTTCTTCGTAGTTTTGGCGTCACCAGGATGCTCACTGTCTCAAAGAAGTGTAGTATCTTGCAGCTGGGCAGCTCTGACGGACCTGCTGGGTCTTCTGGCTATCGTGTTCTTGTAAAGGCTGCCACATGCGGCTTGCACAGCTCTGCACACGCGCCTGTGACTTGTGCGGCTGAAGACAGATCACTCATTGCCGTTTCCTATCCTGACTCTGAGAGCTCTCGATTGGCTTGCCATAATTGCGAACGGCGCACCGGTGCCACGTCTGCTGGGAGAACTCGGTCTAGATGCTCGGTGGCTGCAGATGTTGCACCGTGTCCACCAATCCTGGGAGACTGTGGTTTGGCCACCTGAGGAGCCTGGACATCTTGGCACATGGTGATGCCCACGTCGCCCTAACCTCCTAATCCGCTCGGGATCTGCAAGGAAGGCCTAGAAGTAGATAGGCAAAGGGAATAGTAGGTTCAAAGGTCAATAAGGTCGATCCTAACCGCTCGGGTCATGCAGGGCTCGAAGCATGAGAGAGAGATGACTCCCATGCGAGAAGGCTGGGTTTCTATGTGGGCTGGCTAGCCTCTTGCATCTCTGTCGGCATCTGTCCGGAGTTTCTGACAAGATTAAATGATAGGAAAGACGCGGTATATATAACCTGTAGACCGTTATCGCAAGAAAGGTTCCTTGGGCGAAGGCAAGAAAGAAGGCGCTACCTGTAGGAAGTGAAGGGTATAGGCGTCGAGAGATTATATCCGCGATCTTTTATGGGGTGTCCTAGTTTCCCTACCCTGGGTCTTAAAACTATACCCTCGTTAATAGTCGTATAAAGTTTTCATATTCTCGAAGAGAGATACCCACCAAGTATGGCTCCAGTACCTAATGACCGCGGGGCCCCGAAATAGGACTAAACGCCGGTAAAGAGAAGGATAAGGAGGGCGAGTAGCGGACTTTGTCGCCGCTGAATACTATCGGCATCGGAATTTCTTGACACCTGCTACCTGAAATCCATGGTGATTACCTTCTTCAACAGAAATTCTTCGATACCATGGCGCCCGTTATTCGCGCCGTAACCACTTCCTTTGACCGGGTTTGTGGGGAAAGTCGCTTGATAAGGTCAGTTCGTTGTTCAATAAAGCATGCGACCTGTAACATACCCTCGTGCGCGACGCTGTTGATACGGATCCTGCCAACCTGCAGCTCTCGCGCGATGTCCATCGCCCGCCTCATGTCCTTTGTGAACAGAATGGCATCCAGACCATAATTTGACTCGTTTACAACACGAATCGCCTGCTGATAGTCGTCCACTACAATAACGGTGGTTGAGGGACCGAACGACTCTTCATCCCACACCTTCATGTCTCTCGTGACGCCAGTCAAAATAGCCGGTGAAAGACTGGTCTCTGACAGATACTCTGGCTTGCCCAGCAGGAACTCTACCCCTTTGCTTTGAGCATCGGTAAGCATTTCGTACGAGGTTTTCACGATTCGGGCATTCACGCCGTGGGACTGGGGCCACTGAAGCGCCTTGCTCTTGAGGAGGTCGATGAAGGCGTCTGCGACAGATTGCAAGACAATTATCCGTTCTGTAGAAAAACAAATCTGGCCGTGGTGGTTGAACGCTGGAAAAGGGTCAGTTCTGAGATCTGGAAATCAACGTCGCAAAAGAATCCCACCTCCAATGACGCTCTTGGTGGCAGCATCTTCTAAATCGGCGTCTTCAAGAACGACAGCAGCACATTTGCCTCCCAGTTCCATCAGGATGGGTTTGAGATACTTGCCGGCAAGAGAGCCAATAATGCGACCAACGGGGGCACTTCCGACGAACTCGATCTTCCTGATGGCCGGGTGCGCAATCAAGGCTTCGGTGACCGCCGGCGCGTCCGATCGCTGCGTTTGAATGACACTGATGGCGTTCTTTGGCAAGCCAGCTTCGATCCAGAGTTCGAGCAGGAGATGATGTGTCTGTGGGGACAACTCGGACGCTTTGAAGACTGCGGTGCAGCCGGCACTCAAGATTGCTGCCAGGCCTCTGGTCGCCAAAACAACTGCTGCATTCCATCTACCACGCAGAAGTGAGCTCGTGCCAAACAAGACGCATGCTGGCTTACGGCGCGACCAATAGCACTGGGCCGATGGGCTCTCTAATGACTATGCCGAATGTTCCATCATTAGCCATGGGTGGAACCTCGCCAGTACACGCCGTGGTGATCCTGGCGGCCACCTCATTGATCATGCCGACGGTGTAGTCGATATTGAACTTAGCCCACGCTTCCGAGCAACTGGTCTCGTCAATTTGGGCTTGAATGAGCTGGGCGGCGCGTTCCTGGACGAGCTCGACGTATCTGAGGACGATCTTTCGTCGGGCGGCGGCGGGAGTTTTCTTCCACGACACAAACGCTTTTTCTGCTGACTCTGCTGCTCTGATCGCAGATTCCACGTCGGCAGATTGAGCAAGGAAAACGTTTTTCTGTTTTGCGGCAGAGAAAACGGGGAATGTTGCTTCTTTCGCCGACTTCGCTGGAGCGCCATCTATCCATAGCGGAACGACCTCAAGGCCGGTCTCTTTGTCGGTAGTTGTTGGCATGTTGGATGCTGGGAATGCTCTGACGAGGTTAATTTAGTAAATGAAGGTACTCAGCCTAGACGCCTTAAAGACAGCTTCAATACATTCTTTTATATCGGAGATAGGCTTCGCTACGATGTACATACTCGGATTTACTTGGAGTTGCCCCGAAGGTTCGGAGCCAGAAGCCCAATACTACGACAACCCTCGGCCTGAGGTCAGATCACAAATACTGAGTGCTCGGTAGTTTCAATCCTGGCTATCCGATGCACACTTATACTACTAACCCGCCCGCAAAAAATGGTTACAAGTGAGGGCCTGACAGCTAATGACGAGGATCGGGAATGACTGTTACGCTCCCCGGACGCAATTTGCTTCCGCAATCTAGTGGCCGCCGAGGGTTTCTCTTAATTTGATCTAGAGTAGTCACCCTATAGTTATCCCACTGTAAATTCTGGGATTGGCACAAGATGAACGAATCTTGACTGTGGTCAAAGCTATAAAGGAACTTCACGTGTCTCGTTCAAGAGACTTGTTGTAGCATACTTTGACCAGAATTCCTCGGACGACCTTTTTACTTCATTGCACTGGAAGCCCCCTCCCGGGCCAGGAACCTCAACGCCCCTTCGATCATCCTAGTTGACGCAGGATAGACTTGCCAGTTTATCCCATTTGAATTCGGTGTTTTGCTCATTACTCCTGGCTTTCTCCGACATCATGTCACCCGAGCTTGATTCGCAGAAGTCGGCCCTCGACGCCAAAGAAGATGTGGCCATGGAAGAGGACGTCCTTGAGCATGGGGAGGCCTACTCTCCCGCAGAGCTCATACAGCTCGACAAAAAGGTCCTTTGGAAGCTTGATCTTACGGTCATCCCTCTCGTCAGCATAATTTACTTGCTTGCCTACCTCGATAAAGCCAACATCGGCAATGCAAGAGTGGTAAGTGACAGCGATTCGGTCCCCAAAATCCTTCACAGACTCACCTTGGAATTAGGCCGGCCTTGATGAGACGGCAGGCTTGACTGATTGGTCGTACAAGATGGCCGTCACGGTTACCTACATCCCTTACATGCTGGTGGAGATTCCGTCCAACATCTTCCTCAAAAGGATCGGCCCCAAGATCATGATTCCTCTCATGTGTACTTCTTGGGGGCTGGTGTGCGCGCTACAGTCCCAGGTTCACAACTTTGGCGGACTCGTCGCCTCGCGTTTCTTCCTAGGACTGTGTGAAGGCGGGCTGTTTCCGGGCATGGTGCTTTACCTCTCGCTATTTTACAAGAGGAACGAGCTTCAGAAGCGGATCGCCGTCTTTTACACTGCGGTCTCGTTGTCCGGCGCGTTCTCGGGCCTTCTCGCGGCGGCGATTGAGCAGCTTGACGGCAAAGGAAACATGAGAGGATGGCAGTGGATCTTTTTGCTCGAGGGACTCGCCTCGATTCTGTTCGGCATCCTCGCGTTCTTCCTCTTGCCCAATGGCCCGACCACGGTTCGTGCCTTTACGTCCTTTCAGAGAGAGCGATGTGTGAAGCGCCTCCAGGAGGATTCAAACGACTTTCAGCAGCAGGCGTTCAGCATGCGAGATGTCTTTTCCATCTTCAAAGATGTCCACATCCTGCTGTCGCTGCCTTTCTTCCTCTGCACCGGCGCCCTAGGGTATGGCCTTGCTGTCTTCAGCCCAACGATCGTTCGAGCACTTGGATACAGCCCTACAGTTACCCAACTGTTGACTGTTCCTCCCTATGTGCTGGCGTTCCTTACGACAATTGTCACCTCTTATGTGTCGGACAAATATCGGTGCCGTGGCTGGACGGCATTCGCGGCAGGCATTCTGTGCCTCGTCGGTGCCGGCATCATGCTTCGGGCTCGTGGCTTTGGTCCTCGCTATACGGGAATCTGCTTTCTCGTGACAGGTGCCTTCTCCAACGCACCCAGCCTGTTGGCATGGCTGCCCAACAATACTGCGGGCTACACCCGCCGGGCGACCGCCGTGGCCGTCATGGCCATCATGATCAATCTCGGCGGAGTCATCTCCACCTGGATGTATCCGACTTCGTCCGCCCCTTATTTTAAGGAGGGTGTCATCTTCAACATTGTCCTCACCGTCGTCATGCAATTGCTGATTGTGCTGTTGATCTTCTGGCTCAAGTATCAGAACAGGAAGAAGCTGGAGAAGAGGGACGACTTGCTTCGAGGTCTCGAGCACCTGGATGAGGAGGAGCAGTTTAAGATACTAGGAGACCGCCACCCAGATTACAAGTATTGCTACTAGAAAACTTTAGTTCTGAACGCGGGAAAAAAACGTCTAGATTGAGCGCTCGGTACTAAATTCGTGTTTATTACATCTTCGGGGCCTTTTAATTTCTTCGTTGCTCCTTTAGGCTGACAGCTACTTGTTTATTTCTTTACCTTCACGCCTAAGAGCTTCTCGGCGTTCTTATACGCGATTCCTTCTAGGACGTCATCCGTGACCAAACCGTCATCCCTCAAATCCTTCATGAACTGCAAACCCCATTCGTTGCGAGTGAATGGGTAGTCGACACTGTACAGGATGCGATCTGGCTTGCACTGCCTCAAGAGGGTCGCCATGGGCGCCACGGCAAACATGCCGCTCGTCGTGACCCAGATGTTCTCGTCCCAGACCTGGCGCAGCTGTCTGTCCAACTTGACGCCAGCCATCGGCCATTGTTTGGACGAGACCCGGATGATTCTGTCCAGCTGGAACGGGAGCATCTCTCCCATGTGGCCGAGGATGATTTTCAGCCGAGGAAACTTGTCAAAGACCCCGGCTGCAAACAGCCGGATCAGGTGGAGGGCGTTCTCGCTGTGCCAGCCCCACGCGTACATGCTGAGAGTCTGCGCGACCGCCTCGGGATAGTTCCCATCAAACAACAGGGGTTTGACCTGCTCGTTGTACGAAGGATGGAGGTAAATAGGCACGTTCAGCTCCTGTGCCGCCTCGAAGACGGGCCAGAAGGATGGATCGTCGTAGAATCGCCCATTGCAGTTGTTATCGATCAGGGCTCCGACGAATTTCAGATCCTTGGCGCAACGGTGAAACTCTTTGCTGGCCGCCGCCGGGTCGATCATTGGCAACGTCGCGAAGCCGGCAAAGACGTCTGGGTGTTGGCGAATCTTCTCGGCCAGTTCGTCGTTGACTTTAACGCAGGTTTCGACGTCTAGTGCAATGGCATTCGCGGCGTGCGAGAGGACTTGCACCGAGACTTGGTTGTCCTCCATGGACTTCAGGCGCACGTCTCCGACGTCCAGAAGGTCTGTCCGGCATCGTCTTAAGAGGACCGTCTCCTGGTATGGGTCGAGGCGCGAGTTTGCGGAATAGTAGTCGACCACATGTTCTGATAGGAAATGCTCCTCCAGCGTTATGAGGGGGTAGGGGAAGGCCATTGGCGAATACCGTGCAGGTGGTTCTTGTCGCCTGCTAGGACAAGAACAATGAATGCGAGACACGACAAGTTTGTGGGTGTTGTTCAACTCTGCGGGATGGACAATGGGCTAAGCAGGTGTAAATGGGAGGATCAGAATGATCGTGTGCGGCGTATGCCACGTTTCTGGTTGTCGAGGTGGAGGAAACACAGGGATCCGGATGCTATGGCTCCATTCGCCGAGGTCGCTTTTTGACGGAGCCTTTTTACTTCCGGTATCTTCACGAGCCTCTCGCCGCACAATGATACCGGAATGCGTGTAATCGACTTCGGCAAGATCAAAGATGACAGATAGATGAACCGCCGCAGCCCAACGCTGCTCGCAACAAAATGGCACTGTTCTCCCAAAGATAGCATGGTCGTTGCCTTGTTGTGTCGGTTTCGGTCGTCATAGATTAGTACAGCTGAGATGGCATGCTGGTAACTTTCAGCCACGACATGTCCCAGAAGTCGTTGACATGAATGCCTGACGTATTGAAATGGCGGACGATATTCTCTACCGTAGGCGGTGCTCTGCGCGAGAGTTCCGGCTCTCGACCACTTGGCGCCCAGTCGTTGGTGTGTACTCCCATGGCAACGAAGGCCGAAGGGCTCTCAAAGGACGATTGAGCCTCATGGGCCCACGATGCCGCTGACGGGCTCGATATCCTTTCCGCTCTCTGGTTGCCGTGTGCCGTCTCCTGGTGGTTGGATTGGTGCATCACCTGATCCAGAAGCAAGGCTATCGCGGCTGAGCATCGTCTCGCGTGCGGGCTGAAGACATCGAGTCGACTAAGGATATTCATGGCCTTTGTCAACGATTGATGAACCGCCTGTTCTGTCACCTCTGCAAGGAGTGAGTGGTTTAATCGAGCAGCAACTAGAACTGTTGCAGCTGTGTAAACATAGAAGATGGTATACCACCAAGCTGGCAGCTGGTCATCGAGTTCCTCCACCTTTTGTCCAGCCATTAGCATGTCGAAATGCCCAATTGTTCTAAGAGCTGCATTGACACATGCCACTGAGAATTGGAGAGCGATCTTTCCAGGTAAGTGGTCTTCCGTCGAAGCCGAGTTAGTGCTGATGATTAAGTCTTTGGAGCAATACCTGGCCAAAATGGGTCGGAAGAGCAGGATCCGTACATGGCTGTACCTGATTGCGACAATGTTGGCCTGACGATGATGTATCGGATGTTTGCCAGCCATTTCATCATGGCGGAGGTGAGGGGGTAAATTTTGATACCAGGTGGAGAGCTTGTGGTCCATCTCAAGTAGATTACCCACCGCATTCGCTCCTGAGATTCCAAAATATGCAAAGGTTGGGTCGTTGCTCAGGTCCTCGTCAGTATCTGAATCATATAGTATTTGCAGTGTCTGATTCATAAGGCTGTATAATTTCAATGTTTCGATAAAGAAGTGATAATCCGTGGCATCTGTTCGAGACAGGGCTTGAGTTGCGCACAGACAAGACGTCGCGTCTGAGTGCGGCAGAGGTAGTGGAACCGACCTTGTGGCCCGAGATGGTATCATGGGCGGCCTGCCAAAAGTCATGGACAGTGTTTCATCCATGAGGACGCAGCAATGCCAAACCCGCCGCATAGCCTCCCGCCGACATAAAGGCTCATTGGCGCTCGTTGAGGGTATATCCAATTTGAGGCTCTGTGCAATACGAATCGCATACCCCACAAATATCCAGCACTGTTCCGGATTGCTACTGCTCTGGAGGTATAGTCCTAACAGTAAGAAGCATTGAACCTGAAGCATTGAGGGTTCGTGGACAAGATTCGACGGGAGCACCTCCTGAACACGGTCGTAGAATACCTCAGCATTGACAATTCGGTCTTGGGGCGCGACAGAGGTGTCTAGGTTGCTGGCCAAACTAAACACCACATTAATGAGGCAAATAAACGTGACACTGTCCGGGCCTAAATCTTCGCCTGTCCACAGCCGCTGGTATAGGGTTTCGATCTCGTCGAAGTCTAGGAAAGGGTAGAGAGTGGACACTAGCCGGCGGTACACTGCGAGAAGGTAATCAGCTCGTTGGCGGGAAGGCAGGACATAATCAACCAGCTGCTGTTGGCGACAATGCTTGCGTGGGATCCGCTTCCGGGGCGAGTCTGCTGAGAACGCTCGGGAGGCCTGGAAGTTGGGCGACTCTCCGCCAATCAACCGCTTTATTTGGTTCACAAAGCCTGTCGCGCTGGAGTCGTTGTAGTATGTCGGGCTAGTCTGGTCCACGTTTTCGACAAATCCCATCATTGCACTACTCTCGGCGCAGGGTTCTTGGTCACCATCTCCCGACGACCTTGGATCATGTGGAGGGGTAGAGACTCGATGGACCGCCGCGTTTGTGGCTGGTGAAGTGGTAAATCCTTGACTAGTGACTGCGATGTCCGGCCCAGGAGATAGTGAAAAGGGAGTCTGGCCATCTACGCCTTGCGAAGTGGCCCCCAGCTCAGTAAAGGGTTTGTCGACTCTGGCGGAGGCGACCACATTGTCATCGACTCCGTGCGTTGATGCAAGAGTCTTTTCGCGCTCTAACTCCTCTATCCTTTGAGTGAGTCGAACCAATTCCTCCTTCTTGGTCGTGCCTGTACCCCTGCCTCTGCGAACACCCCATTCACAAACCGGAAACGGCCCCTTCCGGCGTATGCAAGGCGTGCAGACTGCGCCGAAAGACGGGTGTCAGCAAATGCTCTTCTGTGAGCTTCTTGAAGGTCGGGCCTCAAGAAGATGAAGACACTACACAATCTCAGAAATTGAAGCTGACCTGGCTTGGTTCCATCGCATTTGATCTTTTTCGAACGACATTGGTCGCATGCTGCGGCAACCTTTTGACGCTTGGTTGGGGGCAACTCCTCCGCAACGTCTCCTCCAGCTGTTGTTTCACTAGGGGTATTTGCCATGGGAGTGAGTCAAGGCAAGGTCATGTAGAACTCCCCGAGTCTTTCGTTGTTGAGGAGATATAGTGCTGATGACAATTAAGTCAAAAAGATGCCGAGGTTAGTGGCCGTCATGTGATTCTTGTCGGCGGACTTGCGCTCTGAGAGCTTCCTGAACACTCCCTGAGTAAACACATTAGGGGCCTAAACTGGCCCCTTACGATCGGCTATACGTACCTCTTAGTTAGGGCGTCTGTTTCAGACGGGCGTGCAGGGAACCTAGGGCCCTTACGCCGCTGCCTAAATTTCCTCGCTCCCTTGCGCCCGGCAGTGAGGCAGAGTGCGCGGTTAGATTATGTGTCGCAGAGCAAGGAGTCTAATTAAGCAGAATGATAACCCAGGTGTAGAGACGCCTGGGTCCTCCATTAGACTGCGAGCCCACAGTAACCCATTACCCCAGACATCTTTTCTGTCCAGCCTCGCAATAGTACTTCTGCGTCACTGTGGAAGCTCCTGATGCTGCACGACGCCGCTCGCTGGACATTTATGAAGCCCTCGGACCGGAACCAGATTATTCGGCCCTACGGGAACTCAGGTTGTCTCGACTCTTTCAGGCCAGGGCGTCTTCTCAACTTCAAGCCCGATTTCGAACACTGCGGCCTCATCGTATAAACAGAGGCCAGATCTAGCGGCTAGACGGGGCTACTGTGTTGATCTTGATTGCGGCGGCAAGACAATCCATCCAAAGGTCACGCGGCAAGACCGGATCATTGAAGACGAGCCTGGGGTGGAATTTAAGTACGTAACTGTCGGGAAGAGGCTCACAATCCCTTGAGGATCACCTAAAACGACTCAGAGTCCTGTCATTTCATGACGGGACTTGGGACCTCTTGGCTTATATGCTTGTCGGTTCATGACAAGCACGCAGCAAATTTCACGAAGCGGAAAGAGGAGGAGACTGCGGAAGAAGGCGAGTTGATCCACTGTGATTGTATTTTGAGGCTGAGCAGTTCAACGGCTCAAAAATTATGTACTTTAGCAATGACGGGTATGCATGGCCTTTGTCAGAGGAATCGTCAGGTGCTGGCCAACTTGCTGGCTGGCAATAATTGGTCTGGATTTACACAAAATGCCGAGCAAGGCATTGAGCAGCCGACTGCCAGGTGGTACGCCCTGTTTGGGACCCTGAAAGATGCACAGTCTTGGAAATACCCATGCAAACACCCATGAAAGTCGGTGGTTTTCAGCCTCACTAGCCCGAACCAGACTGGGCCGCGGGTAATAGGCCCCGACTAAGGCTAATTGGGCGTCAGGGCCATCTTTCAGCCTGATCGTGATTTTCTGCTTCGATGGTCTACCCCAGCGTGCTTCGCTAGACCGGGTAAGGAGTCGCAATGGCTTGAGACTATTCTCCGTATTCCTTTAGGAACCCAAGTAAGTCAAGGATGGTCCGCCAGATTTCGGAGTACTGGAAGAGACGACATTCTACAAAAGGGAGCTATTGGCTGTAGAAGAGGACCCTGAGTTCCTCAAGCCAAGCCCTCCCCAGCCCCCTCCCCAAAAATGTCAGGCTACCAATGATTGCTGTTGATCAATACATGGATGTCGAGACTGGTGCAGGTTACGGGGGGCCTCCGTGGTCATCATGGAGGCCCATGCAGGGAAGGGGGCAGGTTCCAGGTTCAGCCTCAAAGGCAGGGGTGGTTTCACGACGTCTTGCCAAGGATCGAATCCCACTCTGCCAGCTGGCCTCTAGCGGGCTTTTGCGATCTGCTTTGGATGACCTAAGTCCTACGAACGCTCGAATTAACGCTCGACTTAACGCCCGCCTTCAGCAGATGACTGCGCCTTGCAAGTTCACACTTGCTCCGTGGCCATAGGTATCACAATCCAAGGCGCAGGGCAACCGTCTTGCCTGGCGCTCCCAAGTGGTGCCTCAGCCTGACGACACAAAGCTCAAATATGAGCTGCCGCCACCGATCTTGTTCTCATGAGGCTCACGGCTCTTACGGTATGGGATTTCCAGACATCAGCTCCAACTTCGTGATCGTGGTGAGCGAGCCTCAAAACTATCGGCACCAACCTGACCGCGTCCTGAGGGACCGGCCCCGAAAGTGTCCTTGCCTACTCGGGTGCTGGAAGAGGAAACTATTCACATCAAGACCCATGGTGAGGCTCAGAGCGCTGACAAAAGTCATCCCGTAGCTGACAGAAAGGACAGCCTAGTAACGGAGTCGTTGTGTCGGTCGTAGCCAACAGCAAGAATGGGGGAGTATCTATGCCGGGCTTCCAGGACGTCAGAATGTTCGAAGACGCCGCCATAAACCCCGCTTGTTGCTTGATCTCCGAGTCCACTGCGGCAAGACTCCGGGGAAAACATGCAGCAGATCAGCTGGCGGATCCATGGATAGTCGAAACCAGCGATGGGAGAAAGTATAGATGTGTTCAAAAGCTCGAGGCTCGATGGACCCGGGCAAGGACTATTCCGGAGACCGAGGCAATTACTCTCTATATAGCGCCTGACCTGCCGATGGAGGCACTGTTCTGCAAAGGTGTGTCAACCAATAGAAGCTCTAGTTCTGGTTGTATTGCTACCATCGAAGGGCCTCCTCAAACTCCAGGTATGTTTTACGGAAGTTGAATCAGCATCCCTTGCTTAATGGCCGTGGCAGAGCAAAAGGCGCAAGCGGCAGCTCGTGAAGCAGCCGCTCGGACCACAAAGGCGAACGTTATCAAAACAGACCGAGACAAGAAGAAGGAGCAACTTGCGAAACCAGTCCCAAGGCCGACAAATTCAGGATGATACCGTAGTGCTTCAACAAAACGCCGCGGTACACGGGGGTATTTTGGTACGGAGTAAATCACACTGGGATTCCTTCACGGCGAGGCGGATGATGGTGTGGGGGCAAATTTGACAGTCCTCGCTTCGGTTCTGAAGTCCTAGCATTCTCTTCCTAGATTTCATGTCTAGGATCCCTTCTTGGTAACATAAACAACGTCAATTCCGCCAACAAAGACGACCTGGACCGCTGCAAGTGCGGTGGTCGCAGCAAAAACGTCCTGTCGTCGCGCCTGCACAACAAAGGTCATGACGATGGCAAAGACAAGATTGAAACAAGCGATAAGTATAAGGCGTGCCAGAGTTTCTTGTACCGCGTAAAGTGCAAATATGCAGCATGAAGGCAGCAGCGAGGATAACAAGATGCAAACCGCGTTGCCAATGTGAATGAATGGTTCGTCACTGTAGTGCCAAAGGTCACCGAGATCGCCTCGTTTGATTTTCTGGTGGAACCAGTGCCCAATGCGACGATGGTATGTTGGGATGACTGTGTCGATGATCCACTGGGCAAACCGATCGTTTTGGGGTTTGAGACTGAGCATATCGTCAAAGCTATCTTGGTCCCAGGCCGTTGCCTCGATTCCCGCTCCAGCCAGGAAATGGTTGCCGCCTTGGTCACTCCCGAGCCAACGCCTGAGAGATTCCAAGTTGTGTCGTTCTGGTTTCTGGGTCTTCATGATCTCTGCAACCCGGAGGAGGAACGAATCTGGAGATACATGTCATATGAGTCGGGAGGAACGAGATGGGAAAAGAGGGACTGACAATATCCCTCCAACTTTTCCCGCGCTTCGACAATCTTCCGTTTCCTGAGGTCCGCCCCGTTATGTGCTTTTAATTCCGCTTAGCTGCCATGCCCGTTTGTCGTCTTGGTGAAGAAGAATGTCAGCTGGGATTCTGTTCGATTGATTCTAGATAGATATATATTCTAAACAATTCGCGGACGGGAGTCGCCAGCTCCTCTATGGTCTTGTCGGGATTGACATGCCCATCCTGCCACTCCAAGTTTTGAGTCTGCTGGACTGATTTGAGGGGAAGGCTGAGGGTTTCACGAAAGTTGTCAGCCATAGAGGTGGCGGTGAAAGTGCCCTCAGGTGGAGATTTCGCCGCTTTGACTGACAATTCAGACGCGCCCACGTGTCAACGAATCTCCGGCGCACGACGCACGTTAGTAAAGCGAGCAAGCTTCTGGCGAAAGTTCGCTCGGTCTGTTGGGTTCGTTCGAGCGTTGGAGCTTCCTTATTACTTAATTCCCCAAAAGCCCTTACCTACTGCGCTCGACGTCCCAGTCCATTGAAAAGATATCATACTCTGGTTTCGCTGTCCTTGAAGTCCTTATCCGCCAGTTCATTTCGAAATTTCGACTCTTCAGTCCTACCTGTTCCTTACCTAGAACGTTTTGCCAACCCCCAACTGCGTTATTGTCGCCCTCCAAGGCCCGAACATTGCTCAGGCACCTGCTTGTCAACCACTGGTGCAGGAACTGGCCACTGAAAGCCAGCGGGTTACACATGCAAGCCGCCGTTGTGCATGTGCAGGCAGGTCGGTTTGCTGTCCAAGGATAACGCAGTGACAGGTGTCGAAGCCGGCCAACCCCAGCTCCGACTCGCAGACTGCGGTGAACATGAGCGAAAGTGCCTCCGATGGTGAACAGAGCCAAACCACGAATGACCATCGAAAGCCCTCCAAATGGCACACTCTCAGGAAACGTTTCCTCGCCTTCTTTACCCCAGGGCACAGACCTGTCTTGCGGATGCACGCCTTCACTGCCATCAACCCTCGGACAAACCTGAAGGAGGTTAATGCAATCCTCAGGGACCTCACGCGTCCCATAGTGAACGAAGATGAAGGACGTATCTCGGAATTGTACGTTCCGGGGAACAACGTTTGCCCATATGCCACTCTAGGGTTCCTTGCCAGGGTCGACCCTGGCGCCTTGGGGTTTTCCTTTGTCAAAGAGCACGTCGTCAATGACATTCATGGGCGGTACACTCCAGTCGCAAACCTCTCTCCTGCACAACGAGATAAGTGCGAAAGCCTTCACACAGTCAATGGGACCCGGCTAGAAATTCTAGGAATCGCCCATATTGCTCTCTATCACAGAGATGCCCCCAACATGCTCATCAACTGGGCATACATGGTTGTCCCAGATGACAACCCTGTGCGATTCGACTTCATTCTGGGCACGGACTGGGAATATGCTATTCAGGACCTCGCCAAACGGCTCGAGAGAAAATCGTCATCCCCTCCTGCTCCCACGGTGGCCGTCATCCATCTTGAAACGGTCAGCGTGATTTGTTGACTTGAATCGGACCCAGGCTAAAGTTTTGTGGATTGCAAAGGAGCATATGACGAACCTTCTCTTGACGTGTGACGACATCAAGATCGCAACGACAATGTTGATATGAAACACGAGACATGGATTTGGCAGCTTCTCTCAATGGCGCATGGCGGACTGGGGGGGGGGGGGGGGCTGACAGAGATCCAACAGGGAAGATGGCGCAAGACATGCGTCGGTTTATGGGGAGAAAAAGGGGGCTATACCCAAAGAACTGTTGCTGTACAAATAGAATTCTTTTCAGTTGGTTTGGGACATTTTGGAGCAAGCAGCATCCGAGACAGCGTCGAAAAAGCATTGTGATTGGCACGGCGCGAGCGTTACGGGGGACTAGACAGGCACTCGGGCTCTCACAGACTATTACAGCGAGAAGAATAGAGCAATCTTTCAAAACGCCTCTCGAGAGTCATTGATTCGAGTGCAAGATATAGACGTCAATTGAACACAGAGATGGTAGAGCTGCCTCAATTGATCTCGTGTCATTGATTGCTGAGTCTTTGTCACCAGCTCTTGTCCCCAAAACTGGAAGCTCAACTGGTCCGAGCGGACTTCAAACACATGGTCTCCGTGGTCGCGATCTCCAACTCGACAACACCTTTGGAAAATTTGGTGTTCGACACGTGGCCTGGCGAGTAACCCCAAGGTGAGGTGACGGGCATGGTTACCTGTTCCTGGTTGCCCCTCTTGAAAAGCTTGCTGACGAGATTTTGGCCTTGACACGCGCCCCAAAGCGGCCTAGTTGGGCTCTTTCTTGGGTTCTCCCTGGGCGCTCAGGAAGCAGTAGGTGAGCCGAGGGTGGGCAACACCTCAAGGGGCGGCGGTCAATCAGAAGGAGGACGAGAGACAATAAGTTTTCAGGTTTTCCCGGAGACCACCTAAGTAGTATGCTGAGTCATCTCGACGTAGCACCAGCAAGTGGTGCATTGGTATAGTGTCCTTTGAGTAGTCTACTTGGGAGCTGTCTCACCAACAATGAAATGCTCAACCTCCCTAGGCAGTTCTCAGAAATGCGGAGTACGAATCAACACTTCTCCGACAAAGAACTCTTTGCCAAGCCGTCTTTCAAGGTCTGATGAACAAGCATGTTTGCCTATGCCCCCGGCGATCAATTCTCATACCTGCTCCGATGATGCTAATCGAGAAAGCAGTGAGAGTCCTGCGCTCTGCAGAGGTTCGCGTTTGACTCAGAAGCGTGGAAGTGAATGCGAAGACGCGCGGAAAAACCAGCGTGTTTAGCTAGGAACTACAAGTAAGCGCCGGATCTTCCATTCGCTTGAAGAATTGTTCTGCTACTGGTTCGAACGAGATCACTGTAGCCACCACAGTCGTCGAAGCTGAAACGCCTGTGTCCCAGGCTTGCCAGGTGTGCCGATCGAAATGGTCAGGGCTAGTTCAGGCGTTGACATTTGTGACGGTTCCTCTTGCGCAATCCCGCCAGTCACCTTTCTGATACTTCGACATTATTCCTTCGACAACGTTAGCTTAACCCACCTCTTCCAACAATATACAAGGAAACAGGGTCTCATCAAGCTCAGCCAAGACGACGACAAGTTTACCTTGGTCCTTGGCGGCGACGTAGCAACCAAGCCACCCACGGTGCTGTGAGATCCGACACGGTCAGCCAGATCGGTCCCCAATTAATGGCTCAGGAAAACGCCCTGGCGCGCCCTCCAAGGGAAAAGTCTACTTCCAGTCCTTCAAGCCTCGCCGCAAGCTCGTATTCCTTTGCGAGGCATGCAGGCGACTTTTGGCCCTCGTTTTGACTCTTGAATTGCCAAGTAGAGCAACCACCCTGCTTAGATCCCTCTTGATTGGTAGCCGGGGTGATGCCGCCCTTTGCTGACCTCCGCTGCGCCCCCAGCCGGTTAGATGGGCTAGCGCCGCAGGAAGGATGCTTTTGTGCCCAGTTGACAATTTTCAAAGGAGATCATGAATCTTATTATGATTAATCCCTACTACGGTGACCAAGGTTGCTGCTTGTACCGCGTTGCACCCTCAACATGTTCTTGCAATTATCACCCTGACTATACTTTTTGAGGGTTGGAAGGTAAAGCTAGCAACCGCAAAATGTCAGATTCTTAAATTCGGGTATGATATATTACTCCTTATGGTTGTCGAGTTCCATAATGAGTCCGTTGCTATGACGCACGCTGGGGGACTACCGACTGACAGGTTCAGCGTATAAGAGCTGGAGATGGCCAGGAGTTGTCGACAACTGAGACGAGACGGCGAGAAGTAAGAAGGCTACAGCAATTCATCACGCTGCAGTCTACCGAGAAGCTTTTCCTACATATAATTTATCACAGCGATCATAATGAAGATTTTATTTCCTTTTCAGATGGTCCTTGTGTCAGTGGGAGCCCTGTCCTACGCGCGACCTTCGACAGATACAACTTCAATTCCTAGGGGACTTGCGGCTCGCAACGCCTGGGAGGCTACCTTCGCGTTCTATCCGTCAAGCGGTCAATGTGAGGGGGGGAATTCCCAGGTCTTCACAGTCGGCACCTTGAATGAATGTAAGTGAGCACCTCCTCTGGTTTTCATGGGGCATCGAAGACTTCCCGAAAAATCTTGGTCTGGACTTCACATACAGGCGCGGCCGGTGTATCCCTGTCGCGAAAGGTGCATCGTCCGATCATGCACGCAATGCCAAAACCTATTAGTACTGACAGAAAAAATTTCAGGCCACAACCTTGCATCCCCGGCGCTCACTTTCTCAGCTGTCGAAGTAGGATCCCAGATTCAAAACGATTACATATGGACTTTCACCGGGTCCAATTGCAACAGCGGCGAGATTGTTTTCTATCGACTGGGTGCCCTCGGGGCGCCAAACGACTGTATATACAGATCAGGTCCTACCTATACCAAGTCCTTTCTCATCACCAACGGGCCATTCGCTTGACAATGTCATGGATGATATCCGAAGACAGCGAGGAAGCTCGTCGATAGTACTTCGAGAGTTCTACAGGAGGAGGAACGATCTTAGTAGATAGAGATAACTTTCGAAAGATCTACTCATGGGCGACCTCTCCGAGAATAAATGGGTTAGACTTTGGACTCGGGTCCCGATTCTCAAGTCGTCCGTCCGTCTGGTAGCTCATAGTGCATTTAAAGGAGTCATCACGGTCGGTCCTTTTCAGTCTCCCAAGGCCAGTTGTTTATTCTTGTTCGTCGTCACCTTGACAATTGTTATTAAGGTTAATTATAGGAGACAGATGATAGAATAGCCACCACATCAACTTCATCGATCACTGCCTATCCGTTTGAACGCATTTTGACGTAGACTAGTGACGAAAGTATGCCGCTGGGATCGGCTCAGGGAAAGCAACTCGTAAGCATATATATTTGGTGTGATTGCGCTGACTTGACTCCGAGCACGCGTCGTGATTATGGTCTCGATTGCTTTCGCCTCCTCCAGACACTCGAGAAGTGTCGAATGAGGTGATGTCGAATGAGGTGACATGGTGGGTGGATGGCTGCTGGGTGGATGGCTGCTGGGTGGATGGCTGCTGGGTGCCAAGACATAACGACATCGCCATGTCGCTATGTCTTGGCACGACCACCACGGAGACACACGCACTCACCCACTGCGCTGTGCTGCTCGCCGTCACTTGAGAGTTGCCAGTCCTCTGAAGTAGCGTAAGGGAAAGGCCTAGACTCAAAAGTTGTCATTTCACCTCATCTCCGTTGCTCCCGCCGATAAGCTCCGAGGATACTGAATGTGTCGATTTGACACCAGCCAACACCTATGATGCCAACAGCCTGAGGTATACTCATACCTGTTGATGATGTCGGGTCGAGTCCTGTGCTTGATTAACAACTGCAGTAGCTGATCTGCTACTGCGAAAAGCTCGAGCCGCCTGACGCAACGTCCTGAACACCCAAGGAATGAATCTCTTGGAGTAGATGGCGCGTAGGGCGAGCCAAGGAAACAAACCGGGAGCGCCCATTAAAACTCCCAAATTGCTGAAGATCCAGAACAAACTAGAGAGCACGACCACTATCTCAAATATCAACCAAGTGATCTTGCTTCCGGAAAAGCCGTCTGCTAAGCTGTCCCGCCTTGTAGAGGCTACTAAACATTTGTGAACACCGTAGAGTCCAAAGTAGGTAAGCACCAGACCGAGGTACAAGCCAAAAGGTAGAAAAAGGCTCAACATGACGTTGAAGCCACAGCCGAACAAGATGAAAATACTGCGCAGAGCTGCGCGGCTCTCTCGCGTGGCTAGGTGGTTGTTCTTCAGGTGGTCGATCTTGTTGAGAAACATGGGCAGTAGAGGAATCCTAGCAGACAGCCGATCAATATTGGCCATTTCGGGAAGAGGCCTGTCATTCCAGACCCAGAGGTAGAACAGCCAGAACGGAGCCACAACCCCAGTCAGCGAGGGCCATAATGTGTATCCAGATCTCAAACTCGAGATGGATGTCAAAATCGAGGATTTGGGATCAAATGCCCAATTCAGGTGCAAGAGGTCGAAAGACATACACCCCGCAACTACCGAAGCATAGAGTATCCATCGATTTACCGGCTTGTCATTGGTGGGTTTCCGTGATCTTTTGATCAGCATGAACAAGGCTAAGAAGGCTTGTATTGTCCCAAAGACGCATGCAGCGATGAAGCCTTCCAGGACGCCGAGAGTAATGGAGCCGGTTGCGAGGGTTAAAAACACAAGGAGCCTCCAGACTTCTCTGTGGTTGTAAGAGAATTGAACAGTGGCTCGAAAGGCTGGTCCGACAACGATTGGCAGAAAGATGGTGGCAGCCGTCACGGACACTGCGATGTACCAAAACTGTTTGAAGTTGAACAGATATGAACCAGGCTGACTGGCAAGGGCTGCGGCGAAAGAGGCTGTAAGATTCGCAGAATCTGTCGAGATCAGCGCAGGTGCTGGAGACGTCGTTGTGGCATGGACGATTGCTGTGGCACTTGAGAGTTGACTTTGAGTAGTCAAATTGCTCTGACTGCTGACCAATTTCGAGGATGCAGAAGTTTTGTTGCTTGTATGTGACGTGCTCGTTGACCATAAAGGATCTTTAAGATTCATGCCAAACATCCCCTGAGAGCCGCTACTATTATTCTCTGAATCGTTATCATTTGGTCGAGACGCTTACCGCTGTGAATGTAAAGGGCAAGTATATTGCAGCGAGCAGAGCCAGTACCCCCGTGAAGCTAATCTGCTCCAAGTCAACCTGCATCTTTATCTGTGCTTGAATCAGACTGAATTATGTATGCGAACAAACAGAGGGCGGCCATACTAACCATGTCACTTGTCTCCGTAAACATTTCCCCCAAGCTTCTGAGATCATGTTCAAGGTTTCCCAGATCTCGGGCCAGCTTGTCACATCGCTCGCTTACCGCATCCACTGCTTGCGAGCGTGCTAGTTGCACCTGTTTAGCAAAGTCTGAGATGTCCTGTACCAGGCCTTTCGTCCTCCGTATTCCTCGGAGCCCGCATTGCCTGTGATCGTCCAGATGCAGAAGGAAGTTGATTTTCTCTCGGGACGGCCGTTTGCGTCCGCTCAGCCTCTGACGGGGAATAATCTTCAGCGTCTGTATCTGCGCAGCAAGACGCAAAAGGGAGAATGGATTCGGAACGTACTAGCTGAGATATGCGATTCAGGCATGAATCGCGGAATTTCCTGTTGTCCTCGCAAAGCAGGGAAGCAATTGAAAGCATCAATCTAATTGCAATCAACTCGGGACATTCCAGATCGGCTGGTGTTGCACCAAAGGCGTTCCGAGAGTCAACTAAGAGCCTTCTGGGATTTGAGTAAGTTTCGTCTTGAGTTTGCCTATATGCAAGCAGTACTTCCCAGCGGGGTTGCACCTGTCTGACGTAGACCGTGACTCCTTCGACCTTCGGCTGGGTCGTATGCAATGCCCAAATGTACATGTCGAAGGATGAAGTCCAGTTTGGGGGATCACGGCACCACTCAAACTCGAATCTGTTCCAATCCAGGTCACGAAGGAACGGAACGGACTCCGAAGCTGGCAGAAGCAATAAGCAATGTAGTGGTCCGTATCAGAACTTGGATTGAAATACCTTGGGCAGTAAAGTTCTCAGCCGGTATCAAAAGACGCTCTTCTGCATTCGTAATTCCTAGTAAGTTTTCGCAAATCTCGGTGCCGAGGAGCCAATATTCGTCAATGGTGAGGATGATGCCAATCCGTGGGGCTTCGTACTTGCGACGGATGCGAGACGGTGAACCAAACATCTTTGATCTTAATGACATGATCGCACCGACGTCTTCAATGGGAGTGGGAGCTAAGCAACTGCAATGCATCTATTCAGCCTTACCCTGTTCCGTACTTCAAACTCGACTTACCAGATGCTCATCATTGCATCACCGCTCTCAAATAACTTTTTCCTGAACTCGCCAAGGAACTTATCCAAGTTGTCGTCTGGCGAGAGCTGATCCACGGGACTATCTGAGCGTTGAGGTATTGTTACAAAAGACAACATCAAGTCTTTCGTCGCGAGCTTCGGTGCGTCTGGAGTCGTGTTCCGACCTTGAAGCTTCTTTCTTCCAAAATTGGCTAAATCGTGTATACTGTCCTGGAGATAGCCACGTAACTGGCTATTTGGATCGTATTGTTTCAAAAGATCTAGGACATGCTGCACATATGATCGCAGATTGCTGACTTCTGGGCTGAAATGTCCAGCTGGGCCGTAGACTACATTTGCCATATCTCGACCTTGCTGTTCTGCAACTGCGTCGGCCATCGTTGTTTCGAGGTTCGAGATAGCCGTAGGAGTAACAATGAGACTATGTCGGCTTGCTGGAGATAAGAATGCCTGAATAATAAATGTTGAGGCTCTTTCAAACATCTAGTGGGGAGGAAGATCTCCTCAAAAATGAAGAGCATCAGGCTGAAAATGCACTTACCTAGGCGCTTCTTAGCCTAGGCCAAAACATGCAGCCTGGGAGACCAGCCTCGCACCCCGGTTCTGTGGACAATGGAGGTCATCGGTTTGCCAAGTTCTGGCGTCGATGCAAAGGTTGCTCTCGGTTTTTAGTGGCGCCATGGGTCCAGTCTTAGCTGTGCCCTGTAATACTAGTCTTAGTGGCGTGTCGTATTTGAACTTGGGCTGCGCGTAAGGCTTTGCACTGTGTTAAGGATGTCCAGTGCAGTCCTCTTTTGTGACATTCGCTCCTGAAGAAGCGCCTACATCATCCCCCAATGACCCGCATGGGTATCTATACAGGAGGGTCGAGATCTGACTCGTCGTTTGACTTGCGATGATATGTCGGCCGTTGAGCTGGAATGTTGCTTGGGGGTCGAGGCCGCCATGCTCGAAGCGCTGAGGCTGAACGCTAACGGAAGCACTCTACGCCACCCAGCGCAGATACCCTGTAATAGGCCAAGTGCAGAAAATCAAGTCATCCAGCACGTTCCTTTGCCTGGTTCTTTCTCGCATCCAACCACAGTATCCCTGAAACCTGTGTTGATCCACTGCTCCGGCACTGTCACGAACCCTGCCTACCTACGGGGTACTAAAGACTCAGTCTGGCAGGGAATGGCAGTTGCCGCACCCTCATCCTCGAGCAATGGTACAAATCCAAGTCGCTAGTCTCTGCTGAACGACTGGCGCAATTGACTTCTGTTGTGTAACATTGGTTTCCGCCTGACTACTTTGCCACGTCAGCGCATCGGAGTCAATTTGCATGTTGCTAGACCTCAGCCTCACCACGCTTCGAAAGTGCCCATCCACATACGCAACACAAAACAGATAATTCATTTGGGGAACAAAGTTCTCTGGGCTAGCTACCTGCAGGGGCATCACCAGGACGAAACTGATTCAACAACAAGCACGCACCAAAAGTGAGGCTCGCCCGTCGCAACGAGCGAAAGTGCAGCCGTGCATCATGGGTTGTGATATAAAAGCGTGCACATCATGCTGTATCTTCTCATTCATCCCATCGTGGTCGAAATTTACTAGTCCGAGATGGCTTTCTCGATTATATAACGTATCTCATGAAAGAGTACTACTTCCCTTCCGAAGACAGTTCGGAAGTCCTAGATAGGACGGTGGTAGCAGGAGTCCACGCTAAGCTGCCGAGCCAGATTCCTCAGCCGCAGGCATAGCGAATGTGTCACTCTTGCTTACTGTCCGCTTCACCATCAAAAGCCCCTGCCGTGGCCCGGGGAGTAGCAACAGAAACCCTTCTCTACTCATAAAATGTGGCTTCAGGAATGCAAGTAAGGGCTCGGTAGACGAATGAAAAGAGGAATATTGTGAGATGAACGTGTGAGAAGCTCATACGTCTTCTAGCTGGTATGCTACACGCAGCCGTTAGCTTCTCGAAGTTCGGCTGAACCCTTGCTGGAAATTCTCGCTTTCCTAAACAAAAAGACATGAAAAGAACCATGGCTGAGTGCGTGTGATGGGAAGGCGGTAAGGCACAGTGTGGCGTAAAGATAGGAGGACAGTGATACAAACTACTTCGCGATCGAGGTTCGCCATATGGTCTCCAGCCACAGCCTTCTCCTGCAGAGTTCGTGATCCGCTTGATGAGCCCGCCCTCAGTTCCAAATGCTTATTTCAGTCACTTGGCGTTTGCAGATGGGCCCAGTTCCTGCATTCGCTGCTTTTGAATTTGCGTAGTACCTGGAGTGTCGTTTGCAGATGGTCAGTGAAGCATAATGACAGTGGAGGTGTTGCCTATCTACCAGTGAGAATGCCAGTAGCTTGGAGGCAGCATAGGGGGTGGTTGGCCGTCATTTTTTGGCACGGATTAGCTGGCGACACCGTGAAGAATCAAATCATGGTAGCTTGACGTATCGTGACGAGGCTTGGGTACGAGCCCACTGGCGGCCTAGATTCGTCCCCAAGAACTGGAAAGTTTCACCTAAGTAGACAGATTACCATATCGTACCCCAGCGCAGCCTGTCCGCAGTGGCTACAGCACGAATGGCCTTGACCCGCAACTCAATGAGTGGACGGGCCGACACGATCACGCTGGAATTTGCACATTCCCTCGTATTACCCATAGATTAACCTGTAAAAGCCTGTCGGAAGGTACACGAACACCAAATATAACTAACTAATTGATCTTAATTACCAGTCCCTCCTTTTGTCAGGGACATCAAGTGGGTCGTACTAGAGCTCTGGGGAGTTTCCGCTCTTCTCTTGGTGCCAAGTAGTAAAGGTGTCTTTCAGCTGCCAGATTGGTGCTAGAACCAGTGCTACCCCGTACTCGTATATTCTACGTATTCTAAATAAGATCCACCAATGTCCCCGCTCTGCGCAAGCCTGGAAGTAAACGTCCCGGAACTCACCCGGAATATCTGCGTGGCTGCACTGCTGGATTTAAGGAGACGTCCTGGCCCCTTGGCAAAGGCTTTTACGATGCTCTCAGCCACAACGACGGCGTTGCCATATCAGTTTGTCCTACAGCACAATTGCAACTGCATGATAGCCTCGTGGTTTGCAGCGTTCTGTTGTGATAGCCCGCTCGCTGCGTCACCAGGAATCCGTTCGGAAATAATTCTCAATGCACCCTTTCTCCCTAACTCACGATCGCACGAGGTTGTCGCTGCTGTCAAGATGCGAGATTCTAAACACCCGCAGCCTCAGATTGGCTTCGGACGATTTGCTTGAGTGCCAAGTGTTGCTTCTCGGAGACCTCCCGAGCAAGATTCCAGCACTTACGCAGCTTCATGGGCTTTGAACACTTAATTTAGCATCGACATGAGACTTACAGTGAGTATGCAAGACATCTACTCACTGATTGGACTACGGGCGCCGTGAATGTGGAATCTGTGGCATCCGATGCGATGTCCAGCATGCGCAATTTGTCTCCTAAGCACTCTGGCCTGCTGGCAAGAAGAAAATATAAATTGAGGGGAGTTGCGCATCTAAAGAAGTACTTTCAACTTCCGCAACTGAGCCCTGCATCCTTCAGAGATGAAGCTCCCTCTTGTCTTGCAAACTTTGGTTCTCGCAACGTCCGTGAGTAGCACGATCGCTCTCACTGATGTTGGTGGTCAACCCGGAACGATACCTGCCATGTTTCCTCCTTTTCTTGGAGGTAATTCACCATGGTTCCCAGGTAAGACTCCGAACACGCTGTGAACAAATTTGATTTCTCGCCTCTAACTCAACTTTGTAAACGCAGGCCCAAATGTAACAGATATACCTTACGAAATCCCCGAAGGATGCACCATCGACATGGCTTCAATAACCAGCCGCCACGGCTCTCGTTATCCCGACCCAGCTGTGTACAAACAATGGCTGGGCCTCCAATCCAAGATCCAAAACTCCTCTGCCACGGGCCAAGCTGCTTTGTCTTTTATCAGCACCTGGAACCCTGTCCTGGAAAATCCAAGCCAAGTCCTCACCCAGCTCTCCGTTGGTGGCTACAAGGAGTTGTACGACATGGGTGCCACATACCGGTGGAGGTACTCTGACCTCTATACCGACAACAGTCCGTTCCTTCTCTGGGCCAATGCATTTTTCCCCACGTCACCCAGAGTCATCGACTCTGCCAAGCTCTTTGCTCGTGGTTTCCTGGGTCCAAATGCTACTACACTCGGGACAGTGTATGTGCTGAACAATACGGATCCGCGAGGCCTTGCAAACTCTCTAGGCGTGTCCGATTTATGTCCCGCCTACAACGATACCATGGGCGGACCAGCAGCCGCCACGTGGGCCAATGTCTATCTTCCTCCCATTGTGGCGCGGATTAACGCCCTCACGACACCCAAAGGGGCTGTCAACTTCAACACCACGGACGTTGCCATGTTTCCACTCCTCTGTGGCTTTGAGAGCGAAATGACCGGCAAAAGGAGTCCATGGTGCAACGTCTTCACCGAGCAAGAGCTGCAAGCCTATGAATACTCCCAAGATCTCCGCTTCTACTACGGTCACGGGCCTGGATCACTCAAGAACAGCACCTTTATGCTTCCTTTCCTCTCGGCCCTGGTCTCGCGCTTCATCGATGGACCGAATAAGACATACACCTCCAGCGACGGCACCACTTTCGCCCCACCCCCTCTGATCGTAACACTCACCAACGACGCCCAAATCAATCAGCTCGTCAGCCAAATCGGCGTCTTTGACGATCAAGCGCCGTTACCACCGGACCGCATCCCCGACAATCAGAGATACATCTCGTCACGCTACGTGACGATGCGCGGCACCATTGGCTTTGAGCGTCTCACCTGTACGGGAAGTGGGAAGCGCGGCCAGACACCAGGGCAGTTTCTCCGCATCATCCTCAACGACGTCGTGTATCCCGTCGTGGGCTGCGACTCGGGGCCTGGCCGTTCTTGCCCACTACCGCAGTACGCGCAGCTCGTGGTGCAGAAGCAGGCTCAGGCGGGAGGCTTCGTGGACGCTTGTTTCGGGGCCAACCAAACCGCGGCGAAGTTGGCTTTGGCGGCGGCGGGCATCACGGGCACTCCCAAGACGACTTTCTTGTCGGATCTGGCTGTCCCATTCGCGTTTACAGTGAAACCGTGACGGGGTGAAGGTCTCTAGCTGATTAAATGATGCTGATGAATGCGTGGATTTCTAGACTGAGTGTTTGATGAGTGGGTGTCTGTAGAGTGCGTTGACGTAGGAGTTGTCTGGAATGTTTAGTACACGGGCAGTCAATCTCTAATGGCCGAATGTGCCTCCCAACCTGTAATTCAACCATGGAAAGTCCATCTCCGCTGATTCTTGATACTATGCCGTCATGTATTTGAGTATGTCAAGAGATTCTATCACTGCAGCCGTTCCACGAATCGGGCTGTACCGCCATGTACTCTGCACGTTGAAAACACGCTTAAAGTTCGTGACTATCTTATTGCCCTTCACTTGGCAAATTTCATGGGCTTGAGGGACCCTCGCTGTTTGTGACTGCCGTTGCTAACAGCCAGGCCCTATTTGCTCTCGACTGCTGCGGCAACTTCCACCATTTGCTCCCGTTGCTCTTGTTCAAGCTTGCGAAACTTGCGTAGGACTTGCAGCGTGGCGTAATAGCTGAATGGCAGCGCAAAGAACCAGAGCGCGAAGTTGATGCTTGCCGTTGCGATCAGCGCCGTCGGAACCGCCTGCACTCCAAACCCGACGGCAACGCCCGCGGTTTCGATTCCTCGGAGGAGAGAGCTGTACCGAATCTGGTCTCCAGGAGAGTCTGAAAGATTGCTGATGCACCAGTAGATGTAGTTCTCGACCATGCCGAGGCTGATGCGCTCAAACATGTACAGCCCAAACCCACGTCCAAAGGTATTCTGATTACCCCAGTCCAACGTGGGATCTGTATGCCGATATTCGTTTTGTATAATCACCGCCCAGATCCACGTGGCGCTATTGAGCAGGGCTATCAGGACGTATGTCACGATGGCTCGCGTCTTTCGGTCTTTCGTCCACGGCAGGTCCACAAGCGTGCCGCAGAGCCAGGTGGCAAGCGTGCCAACGACAGCCGACATGAAGCTTCCGAGGGCACGCGACCTGACGGTGAAGTATGTCGCCAGATATGTGCCGGGATATGCTTGGATCCAGCCAAAGTACCAGAACAAGGGAGTCAGCAGGAGGATTGATTTGCTGCGGATCAAGCGCCACATTTGGGCCAGCTCTGTCCTCCAATCGATGCCTCTGGCGGCTTGAATTCGGGTACCATCATCGCGTCGCACTTTCTCCGGGTTCGAAAGCAGCAAGCCGAAGAAAAACCCGAGGCACTGAATAGCAATGAACGCTTGGTACGTCTTGTAACCGACTTTGCCGCGATGATTTGTGGCATGGTTGATGGCAAGCGAAATGGCGCCGCCGATGATGTTCCCAAAGTTCCGGAAGGTGAACCATGTGGCGATGTAGCGTCCTCTCTTGTGCTGCTCTGGGTACCCCGTGGCAATGGCACCCTCGACACTCCAAAAGAAGCCAGCACTGATGCCACAGGTAACAGCCCCGAAATACACCATCCAGGTGGCACCGGTGCGATTATTGAGATATAGCCCGGCTGCATACAGGGGATATCCCAACGAGCCAACCGCGAGCGTCCACCGGAAGCCGATGGCGTTGGTGAGCCACGGCCCAGCAAAACAAGTTACGGTCATCAAGGCGTAGAGAAGTGCGTTGGCGGTGTTCACGAGATTGGGGCTCTGAGAACCCCCGACCCCGAGACCGTTCATGGCGCTCCAAATTCCTGGTGCGCAAAAGGCACACAGACCCACGACTAGTATCTGGAACAGGGTCCTGCGGAAAAAAGAGGATCGAAGGTGCGCGGGGGAAACATCATCTGCTGAATCTAACTGTGGAGCGGAACCGTTCTGAAACTCCGTGTCTGAGGAAAGTGCAGTCTTTCCATTGTTGGATAGCGTCGCCATCTTGAAGGCAGAGCGCAGCCGTGTATCTTGGAGTAGAACTGAGAAGAGAAGCCTTGATAACAACCACCATGCTTTGAGAAAGAAGCCCGCCTTGCTCACCTGTAGGGCTAACTTTATTATATCAGGCCCAGGGGATATACGCCACTGCTCCTTCCAGACCTCGAAGTTAGACAGAGCGCGGAAATGGGCGAGAATATCCTCGCCATATAATGGGGCGATCACGCAAAGCACTCAAGTCGTGGCATGATAGTGAACTAATCCTCTTTGGCGTTATTCGAACCGTTGCTAGAGCCAAATGCGAGCTTTGGCCGGGAAGCTAGAGCATTGTTTCCAGCAGGTCCAGCCCCACCAGGTCCTGTCAGTATGATAGACAAATAAGATGCTCAAATTGCGAAAGAGGAACAAAATGGCGGACTAGATACTTTGTCTCTTCGGGGCTACTATTCGGATCTGGCCCTGTTTCTTCTATTAAACCATGTGCTCGCTTCGCCGCATCACCCCATTCCGACGGTCCAGCAAAGTGGACTAGAGTTAACACGGGTGTAGAGCTCTCAGTTCTCTCGATTAACGAGGTTGTATTTCGTCTCCACGACCGTCCTCGGCTTTTCCTCGTCGTGGACCCCGCACACCTTGGACGAAATTGCAAATTGTCTCGCTTCCAACACGGGCGTGTTTGGCGAGAAATTTGGAATGAAATCGCTGACCGTCCACTGGGTGCGATATACCAAGGGCTGAAACCCTACAGTTGGCATCATTCTGTTGAGTTGTAAAGTTACCAACAATCCCTTGACGTTTGTGAGGAGAGTTGATCGGTACTTTGTCAGTCCCTCTTCGCAGTCCAAAATGATACGTATAGCCTACCAAAGGTGACAGCACATGTCGGTAGAATCCAGAACTTTGCGTCCTGTTCCTGATCATAGATGTGGACGTCGCTGGGAAACATTGGCTATGCCATCCTTACATATGGATGATTTAAGTTGGTGGTGGAAGTCTAGCTATTGCTCGTGGTGAATAAGACCATTCCTCTTGTCAGACATGAAGCAGCGATGAGTGGTACTTTAGCCCGAGGACAGGAGGAGCATTGGAGAGTCTCTTTAGACCAGAGAGGTATGTCCCAAGTTGGTCAAACCTGTAATAGAACATCTTGAAAGAGCGGATCTGCCAGACGTTGCTCCAAATCAGATAATGCAAGATTACTTTCAGGAGCAAAGCACTTGGAGTCATTCGCCATACCTGGACATCATCACCGGATGATAACATTACGGTTCACTATTTTCTTGAAGGAGATCGCTTTCTATAGCATAGAAGCGGAAAACTGAGCGATGATTCCTGCTGCCGAAGTTTCCATTCACGGCGATTTGACGGAGCTTTCGCGGCTCGGTATTCGGCGTTTGGCACAGCAAACCGCATCGCGGGGTGTGAAGATCCTGGGGAAATCCGTCTCTCTTTTGCCGTCTCCAACCAACTAATCTTGGACTGCTTGACCAACTGGTACTGGACATGGAGTAGAGATTGCTGTTCTGAAAAGCAGGACGATATATATGTGTCGTGTCAAATACACCTTCTAGAGTCCTTGGATCCAACGACTTGATCTGTTCAAGAGAACACCCAGCCGGCTGTGAAGACAACAACGATGGCCACGATGGGTTCGTCTAGCCGATGCTCAGCCACTTTCCGAAGGCTGCTGCTTATACCAAGACCAAGGTTTATCCAGCAACGTGCGATGAGTAATAATACGAAGAGAAGCCCTATCCTTGTTGCGCTGTCTGCACGCTCGGCTGCAAGAAACGTTCGAGTTCCAGGGACGAGAGGGCGCGATGTCATGGAGGCGGATAGACTGGCTGGCCGACAGTCCCGACGAGGACTCCATGTGACCCCGGTCCGCCAGCAGAGCGCCACAACTTCGAGCAGTGACAAGGACAGCAGCGGTGACATTATCTGCTCTGTGACACCTTCGCCGAGCGGAGATGGACGGACAGTCGCAACCGTCACAATCTCGAACGCGGCGCGACTGAACAGTCTGAACAGCAGTCTGATCGGCAAGCTGACGTCGACACTACGATCGCTCGCCAGTGAGCCAAAACTGAGTTGCGTCGTCATCAAGGGCGCTGTTTCAGAGACCAAGGTTGCTGCGTTCAGTTCCGGGGCCAATATCTTTGAGATGGCCGCGATCGACAACTACAACGACGCGAAGGACTTTATCTCACGGCTTCATGGGGCGTGTCAGGCAGCCAGGGACTTGCCCGTCGTCACAGTTGCACAGATTCACGGGCTGTGCTTTGGTGGAGCCCTGGAACTGGCGGCTGCGTGTGACTTTCGATACGCGACACACGAGTCGTCCTTTAGTATGCCGGAGACCAAGTTCGGAATACCTTCGGTTATCGAGGCGAGGCTCCTGGTCAATATCGTCGGCTGGCAAAGGACCAAAGAATTGGTGTATCTGGCAAAGGTCTACAATGCAAAGGAGATGGAGAAATGGGGCTTGGTTGACGCCAGCTACGAAGACGCTCGACAGCTCCAGCAGGGGGTCGACAAGGTAGTCGAGCTCGTCGCCTCCTATGGGCCGGAAGCTATGAGAGCCCAGAAGAGACTGGTCAAGCTGTGGGAAGAAACGAATCTGACCTTCGGTGTGAAGGCGGGAATCGACTCATTTGCGAGTATGTTCAGTGATGGCGGATCCGAGCCAGCTAAGTACATGAGAGAGTTCACGGAAAGAAAGCACAGTAAACGTTGAAGTCAGTATATTATTAAAGTCTCGTGATAGAAGCCTAAAAGTGTCCCAGTGTTGATACTACTTCTAATATCATCGTCTTCAAAGCTTCTAACTGGTGTATACGGATCATCGTCCGGCAAGGAGCGAGTCTCAGCGAGAACGAATTTCATACAGCACTGTAATGTCTTTGATTTATGAGCCACAGGGTTCATTCAGACAATCCCTGCCTTCCGAAATTCTGCCATTTGAGAAGTGGTATATTCGAGTTCCTCGAGCACCTGGGCGGTATGTTCACCCAGAACAGGCGGCTTTATCCTGACCCCTGCGAATTTGGTGTCCTTAAACGTGACCGGGGGTGCAATAAGGCTCAAAACTCCGTCTCTCGCCGCTTCAAAATTCTCTATTGTCGTGACCATCCCTCTGGCACGCGACTGAGGATGCTCCAAAGCTTCCACCACATCATTGATACCTCCATATGGCAAACCTGTGCCTTCCAATAACTGCATCATCTGTTCTTTTGTCCTTTTCTGAAACTCTGCCTGGACGACGCGGTTGATCTCATCTCGATGCTGGACTCGCCCATCATTCGTCGAGAAGCGTTTGTCGCCTGCGATCTCGTCAAGCTTGAGCGCCCTGCAGAATAGTTGCCACTGGCGATTGTTATTGGCGGCGATAAAAATTCTCTTGTTATCTTTTGTCACAAAACCTCCATAGGGTACCAGACTAGGGTGACCTAGACCATACCTTTCACCTCTTCTGCGGGCTGAACTAGTCTTGTCCAAGTTCAAGGCCGTGAGCCCGACGTTGATCAGCATACTCAAAGAAGTCTCGAACAGACTGCATTCAATCTTCGTTCCACGACCGGTTCTTTCTCGCTGAGCAAGGGCAGTCAAAATCGCTCCATGTGCATACAGTCCTGTACACATATCCGCCATCGCAACGCCAGGCTTGACAGGGGCGCTATCAGCTTCTCCAGTGACATGCAGAATACCGGCTTCAGCAAGAGCTATGGCATCGTAGCCGGCGCGGGAGCGACTGGGTCCACTTGTGCCGTACCCAGAAATGCTCGCATAGATCAATCGCCGATTTTCTGCGCTCAGAACATCGTATCCTAGCCCCATGGACTCGGCTTTCCCAGGCACGAAGTTTTGGACTAGAATATCGCTGTTCCGAACCAGTTTTTGGATGATCTCCAACCCCTGAGGAGATTTCAAGTCCAGAGTCATAGACCGCTTGTTCCGATTGACGGCCGCAAAGTAGAGGCTCATCTGTGGGTATTGGTCCTTCCACATCAGATCTTCACCAGAGACTCGCCATTGCCGAGTTTCGTCGCCAGTTCCGGGTTGTTCTATCTTGAGGACCGTCGCTCCGTAGTCGGCCAGGATCTGTGTGCAGTACGGTCCTGCAAGAACGCGCGAGAGGTCAAGGACACGAAGCCCACTCAGCGGCAAGGCATTATTCCTGGATCCAGCAGTGGATGATAGTAGCCTTTGGTGGATGCGAGGTTGCAAATTCTTGTTGCGCCTTGCGTTATGACTGTATATTGAGCGAAGGGATGCTGAAGAAAGGATTTCGGGCATTTGGCATTCCAACGCCTTCGACATCGTCTGTCGACGACACATACGTGTGGCTCTGTGCAAGAAGCAAAGCAGGCTTGCTGGACCGTGGCTCTTTGCTCACTAATGCGGGGGCTCAAGTATAATGTTCTTATACTCAGTATATGTAGGCTAACAGCTGCCTCAAGCTCTGTCGGAGAAAACCTCGTGGAGTGGATCTGTGCACTGCCACTCGATGCTTCCGCAAGGATGGGTACGAGTTGTCGAATCTATCATACGTCGAACTGATAGTGTGAAGACTTGATATGGGGCTTGTAGCATGCGCAATCATGGCAGTTGACGATAAGTTTGGTGAACCGATAATCGCCGTCAACTAGCCGAATCACCGGAGAGCCTGCGTCGGCGCCTCTAGCACCTCCTGACATGGAACGCATATCGTCTTAGCCCAATAGCTTGGATAGAGATCGCACATAAGTTGGTCTGGCTCTCTGTTTGTGCGTTCAGAGTGACAAGCGGAACTCGTTCTTCGGTGTATATAAGTGTATTATTGCCATTCCTCTGAAGGACAATCTTGTATGGTTGATTCTGGCGCCTATATTGGCAAATCTTCATCTTTCCAGTTCCAAACAGCTTTCGGTCTTAGATATTGCGGCGCTGCAAATGCCAATTCTCAGGATCCCATTTCCGTCGTTGGTTGGTCGAGGACATGATCACCACAGCCCTTCATCGTTCAAGTCAGTCAATAGCCACGTCCCACTCGAGTCCCATCCAGGCCAGAATGGTGCAACCTGTCCGTGAAGTCCATCCACGCCTTGGTGACCAAAAGCGCACGGCGAGTCGAACGACATGTCCGGGACTGATGGAGGCTCAACCACCACTGTTGGGTCTATTGACGTTGACGGCTCGAAGTGTTCGGCGTGGTCGGTCGCTGCTCTGCAAGCCCCCAGGCTGGTAGTCGGAAGAGAATTTGAGAGGCGATCCTGGCCCACCAGTATGCTCCATGCTTCGCACAATTCGGGGCCAAAATCTTCGAAGAAGAGAAGGGCGGTTGACGAAAGCTTTGGGCATGGTTCCGGCCACTGCGGCTGTTGCGACATGCTGCTGGCGACGTCCACCAACGATTTGAGCGCCCCCTTCGCAGAACGCCACTTCACGGAAAGCTCTTGCAACGACAGTTTGATGACATCAATTTCATGCTCTGCCAAGCTACGCAAAGCCGAGTATCGATACCCCGTCAATTGAGACAGCCCCGCAGCCAAGCTGAGAAAGGCGAAGTTCACCCTTAGATAGCGTAGCTCTCCTCGAGCCAGGAAGTCCTGGAAGATGCCACATATAAAAGAAGACGCCAGAAGACAGGTGGCAGTGTGCTTCCTTTGCGAGTCCGAGCTTCCAAACAACATCACCAAGCTTACGAAGTAGTGGATGAGAAGTTGTCGAGCTTGGAAATTGTATGAGCTTAAGGTTCGTTCTGATCCGTGATGGAACAGACGGAGCTCAGGGGGCAGATCTTTAACCCAGCGGTAAAGAGCGTTTTCAAACTGAACACGAGGACTGCCAGATAACTTCTGTCGCATTCGGTGTTCCGCAATGTCGCCCATGATTTGACAAATACCCACATAAGCCACGTATAATCGGCTGGTAGGACCCTGAACAGAGAAATCTCTCAAAGAAGGTGGACTCACATCACAATCCTCCAAGCATATTGTCCGCGGCCGGCCGAGGGAGGCAGATATCATGCAATCTCTAGCCTTGATTCACTGTCAGCGGTGCCGCCCGCCGAGGTCAGTACTAAAAACTTACAACGAGCGTCCACCATATCCTGCGTTTGAGGGCTGCGTGCTTCCCATCTGTTGGCTGCTTGTGAAGACCAACTTGATAGGCATACCGTACCCCGATACTCAACCAGAAATCACTATTGTCCGCTGGGAGCTCTTCAGGGCCTGCGGGGCTCCACCAGTGCAACAGGCAGAGTGACACAATATTGATGATTCTGTTCTTTTCATAGCCACAGTAGAACAAGGCTTTGGCTCTCCGATAGAAGTCCTCGGATGATATATTGGGTAAAAGACCAGAGGCCACCCTGCTACCGGCGAGGAAAACTGATTGCAGAAGTAGTGGAGATGGCTTGAAGTGGTCCTTTTCTTCCAGCCATGATCGCTCGACAATGGGCATCCACGGAAGGCAAAAAGTCATGAAGTTATCGACGAGGCTATTTTGCACAGACCTTGAGGGCAGATCAAATGCTCTTTGTAAGTATAGAATTGTTGAGTCAATCTCGGAAAGTTGAGAACTGCGTACACTGCTGTCTGCTTTCGCTTCGTTGAACGGGATACCCGGCGCGAGGTACTCGCTACGACCAAGGAAACATTCTCCCTTATCTGGGAGACTGTCATCAAGGTCGGTGCTGTCTGACAGCGTGCTATCAGGGATCAAGTGCGATAAAGGCACCAAAGATTGTCTGGACTGAGCCGGCGGTTGCTGTATAGAAGGCTGGCGCGACGGGGACCTCTGAAGTTGAGTGTGTTCTTCTCGACCTTGCGCAGGAGGGGGAGATGGACTAAGCACATAATGTTTACGTTTCCTTTGGTGCGGCCTGAAACTGCATTTTAGCTATCTGGAAAGCAGCGCGGATATTGACAGGGACTGGATCAACGTATGAAGAGAGCCGGTGCTTACTTGCAAACGTATTTTGCTACAGTGCAATTCGTACAAGGAAACTGACTTTCGGACAAGTCACATTTGACCTGGTGAGCCTCACAAGTCAGTAAGGGAGAGTATCTGTGCGAAGGCATTGGTCAGCGACCTTCTTCTTGTGACAGATTTGACAAGCAGCGCTTGAACGAGGCCGACTCCGCCCAGCGCGCTCAGAAACCGGCAGAGCACCATCGCTATGGCGAGATTGTGCTTCCGAGGTCATATCCATGTGTTTGGGGATGGTCGGGGGCGGCACCGCATCCGTGGTCGAGCGCGTAAGGGTGGCTATGCTCCTCGAATGGAGAAGTTTGGTGGTGAGGGAGAGACACTTTCTCAAAATTACCTACGTCTCTGCTAACTCGACACTAAGCCTCAAACGGAAGGAGCGAAATCACAGTAATTTCACTTCCCTCGGTATGGGCGAGTATGACGAGAAAGTCTGCCGACATCACCAGCCTCACCCTGATCCTCAGTCTTTGCAACATTCCTCTAAATCCATACATTTAGCACAGGGTGCGCTCCTTGGAAGCCGCTTCGCGCTCTGCTTCTTTATGCTCATTGTGCAGACAATTCAGTTGTAGCGAATCTTATTTTCTGGCCGCGTGTGGCCACTGCCCCGCCCTGGCTATTCTGTCGAAGCTGCCCGTTCCTGTTCATTGGCTTTCAAACTCTACTATAGGATCTGGAAAGAGCAGCATGGTGTTGACCGGAGAACAGAATGCGGACGCAAGTCGCTTTCGTGATCTTAGAAACGGATGACGCCACGCCGCCTAACTAGTACTTAGTTCGTCCGCCGGAGAAGCCCACTGACGGTTGTTTCACTTCTCTTGTGCATCGAATATATATCGTCAAAAAGTCATCCTTGACGGACAAGTCACATCCCAACTTTCAATCTCAAGGATTTCCATTTCGATCGGGAGCGATGGCGACTACAGTGCGGCTACTCGGGGCGCATTCAGCCAAACTCGATGCTGCCCCATTACCCTCAACGCTTATCACGTTTGAGCCTTTTGATCTGCCATCGAGCAACCAGCGTATCCTTGGTGCGCCTCACCCTAAGGACACAGCCATTCCGCTAGCATTGAGACCTTCTGTTCGTGATAGCAGCGAAATCGACCTAGATAACGTCGTCGACACTATCAAATCACTCCAAGCGCAAGGAGGCATTTTGACCGAGGCACTCGCCCGCCACGGAACTCTACTATTCCGCGGCCTTCCTATCCACAACGCCCAAGACTTCAGCAAGTTTGCTCACGCTTTCGGATACCATCCGCACGAAATTATTGGAATTGTCGTCAACAGACCAGTACTGGCCCCAAACGTGGCACCGGCGAATGAGGCGCCAAAGGATGTTCTGATCTACAATCACAACGAGTCTCCACAGGTCCCACATGCTCCCGAGTATATCTTCTTTTATGGTCACCGGGTTCCAGAAAAGGGGGGTGAAACACCCATCTCATCATCTCTGGAACTGTTTTATAGAGCGCAGCAGGAGATTCCCGAGTTTGTTTCTGAGCTCGCCGAGAAAGGAATTCTCAGCAAAGTCACCTACAAGGCGGAAAAGCAGTATGAGGGCGGATCAACTCTGAAGCAAGCATTCGGAAAAGAAATCCAGGACGGGGACAATGAGGCCACAAGGCGGGCGAAGATTGAGGCTCAAATTGCTCGGTATGGTCGCGGCAAACATACCACGTGGGAGTGGACAGAGGACGGTAGCATTGTCTTGACGCACCGATTGCCAGCTGTCCGAACCCAGCCAGAGACGAACCTCCCAACACTCTTCACGGGCCTGGCAGCTTATTATCAGAACAACCTGCACAACGCTAACAAAGGAAGAAAGAATTCCGCTCAACAACTTTTCGGCGACGGAACTCCTATCCCGGACAAATACCTGGCTCACCTGGCTAAAATCACCGACGAGATCCGAGTTCTGCACAAATGGGAGCGAGGTGATGTTCTCGTCTATGATAATATCATTGCTCAGCATGGCCGACAACCTTGGGAGGGCGAGCAAGAGGATCGCGTGGTTATGGCCAGTCTTTTCGACGGCCACAGAGTGCCTGGTGCTTACGGTGACGAAGATTGGGCCCAGGTTGTCCAGGCCCTTGACGGGTAGTACAAGACCCCGAGCCTAGAACTTCCAATCTTCGCTCCCTTCCCGAATGTTGTCAACATTACATTCTCTCAATCCTACTTAGGGTAGGTATGATATCTTTTTCGAAAGAAAATCCTATAAACAGGTCTATCTGTGCACCTAATGCTCCTCTTCAGACGGTTGGCCTGTTTTCGCCGCGGTGGCCCTCACATTCAGGAGCACTGATTTGCTTCACGCTAGAGTCCAGCAACCATCCCGTACGTTAGCACACCTTCACCGTTTGGTTGGGCCCACCCCTCGGCATTGACAACTCCCTCGCCTATTCTCACTTCCTCGACGGTCTTGAATCCCAAATGGGTATAGACTTCTCTTGCGTGCTGGTTGGTTGCTTCGAGCCAAACAGGGATGTTTTGTTCTCGGGCTTTCTGCAGGAAAGGCTCCACCAGATTCCGAATGGCGCCTGTACCAGAATCCAAGAGAGAGAGAGGTCAGCAATGCTTCAATAGACCTTGGTTCTCCCAGCCCATCAATCCCCGTGGTCGGATCATACCTTTTTCTAGCCTAGACGGCGACCGTGCAATCAAATTCAGATACCAGTAGGTTCGATCGCCCAAATGCTTCTTCTTGAGGGCGTCGAATTTCCGTCTATACTCGACAGCTCCTTCAGAGATAGCTGCAGAGTTTGTGACCGGCTTTTCAATCCCAGGAGGAAGCCTGTCGCCGCCTGGTCAGCTCGGAAAGGAGGGGGCCAATTCTTCGTCAAGCGGAAAGACTGAGTGGAGTGTTGTCTTGCGACTTTTCTCTTACCAAAGCGCCACCCCAGCCCATTCGAAAGTTTGAATTAGTATGCCTCCGTTCTCGAACCGGGTTTTGATGTGTGGCAGCCAGTATTGGACCCGATGGTCGAAATTGGCCAGTTTGGGGTGATCTGGCTGTGACTCACGGCCCAAGAACAGGTACCGATTGAGGGCGTCATTCGAAAACGCCGCCGCAATCACATGTGCGAATTTGTGCAAGCCATCCTCCCCGTGAACTGTAGTGGCAGTGCGACCAAGGGCAACAGCAGCCATAGTATGAGATTTAATCAGCTGAGGAACTGAATTTCTCGCACAGTCTACAGGCACCAGAGAAGGAAAATTGATTTCTATGTCGACGGTTCAAGGCTCGCTCCCTACGACAATCGGAGAAGTCCGTCGAGGATTGCTTTCAAAACAGCCTTGTGTACCCACCTACTAATGTACATTCGACCTCGCCAGTTGCAAAAGCGCGGGATTCGATCTGGTCGTGCTCTGTTTGGCGGATAGTTACGAATTGAGACCACAACATTTTGCTAAAGAACGCATTTGACCCTCATATCCCCTTTGAGCCTCTGCTGCCGAGGAGAAAACGGCTTTTCATTACGTTATACCGACATCTGGTTGGTCCATGGGCTAACATGATGTTAATATAGTCAAGATAATGCAATAGCTTGGCTCGAAAGCTTCATTTCATGAAAGACTTTGTTGCTTTAACCGTCCCGTGGGCCTGGAGATTCTCCATAGCAAAAGACTTTCACCCCCAAGGGAACCGATTGTGGATATGTCTCGGTAACAATGTGTCGAGGGGGTTCAAGGATATCGAAACGATGAAATTCGGGGAGAAGATTAGATGGCAAATGAAGAACCAGAGCCGTTGGATGGTTGGTTGGATCCGGGCCATCCTGGATCGCGTCTCTCCTGGGCGGATTTTCCACGTTTTTGTAGCCTTCTGCTTTAGTATGCCTACTAACCGAGTGTGCAGCTGGTCTGACGCTGATCCAGAAGACGTTACGAAATGTGGATCTTCCCACATTCTGGGCCTGACTCGAGTGATAGCACACCAGAGGAGCGAAAATTGCGCGACTTCGACTCTCGGCGTACGTCCACGCGCGGTCTGGGGCACTCCGAGATGTATCGTCTCTACAAGGGCAAAAAGCCGCACCCATCAAGTCGGAACCGACGGTCGCGGTGAACGCCGGACTACGTTTGATGGTGCAAGATCCTCTCAGAATCGCGACCATGATCCAGGCGCTGGATAGATCTCTGCCAGCCTTCGCGAAGGCGAAGAACTGCCGCCACGTGGGAAACACTCAAAAGTGGATTCAGTGGCATTCAGCGCCCCAGTGTATCTGTCCTATAAAGTCATTGCATGGACCTTAAGAAGTACCGTCAACTGTGTTTTTGCAGAAACTGTCCAGCATGGCTTTCGAAGTGGAGTCCAGCAGTTCAAGTATTGACCATGGCACTGCGACTTTTGTAGTAGGGCCTGAAAAGACAATTACTGCGTTGGAGGTGACCGACGACGTGCCAGATAGCCATGCCGCCAGGAGAGACGTTTCTGGAGATGTCCTTGACGACGGGCTACGGCGAGGTCTGAAGGGAAGACATTTTGTGATTATCGCGCTCGGCAGCATCATTGGTCCAGGCACATTCTACGGGCTAGGCTATGCGATCTACCTGTCTGGTCCGCTGGGGGCATTGCTTGGGTTTATCATTGTTGGCAAGTCAAGGGTCCCCCTAATTAAACGCTGTTTTGTTCCCCATGCTCATCTTCTCCAGGAATCTCGGTGTGGGTGCTCATGCAAAGTGTTGGCGAGATGACTACGTTGTTCCCGATCCATGGCGGTTTTGTCGAAGTAAGAGTGTCCTACCTATACCTGCAACCAAAACTAACATGGTGACAGCATGCCGGCCGATTCGTTGATCCAGCGCTGAGTTTTGCCATGTCGTGGCTGTATTATCTCATGTGGAGCGTCTTCCTCGCTGCAGGTGCGTTCCCCATCCCAAGGTCGATGCCCTTGTTTGATTAACGCCGAGAAGACTGGAACTCGGCCATCTTGATTTTACGCTACTGGGTGCCAGAATCCACGATGCCTTCTTACGCTTGGGCTCTCATCTTCTGGGCAGTCTTCTCCGTGGTCACGCTTCTGGGCGTGAATGTCTACGGCGAGCTGGAGTATTTCTTCGGCATGTTCAAGTTCCTCTCCCTCATCATCCTTTTCATCCTGTCCATCGTCGCGGATGTAGGTGGGTTCGGCGGTGGATATATTGGATTCAGATATTGGACGAAACCAACCGGTAAGTCCATAAGAACCTAGGCTGCTTTTGCCGAGCTAAGTCCTTCAGGCCCTATTATACACGGAATCGACGGATTCGGACAGGTATTCGTGCTCGCGGCAGCTTACTACGTCGGTACGGAGATTATCTCCCTCGCTGGCGGAGAATCGAGAAATCCGAAAAAGGACATTCCAAGGGTACACTACTTCAGAAGTCGTGAGCATTGCGACCTGGCTAATTCACATAGGCCATCAACTCTGTGGTATATCGCATCTTGGTCGTTTACATCGGCATGCCCTTTTTCCAAGGACTTATATGTCCATCGGACTCTCCAGACCTTCTCAATGCAGACTCGGTGGTTGCGTCATCGCCTTTCACGATCGGCTTTACAAAGGCAGGGTGGAAGACATCCGGCCATTTTGTCAATGCTCTGATAACAGTGGCGTTTGTCTCGGCGGCAAATGGCGTGGTATATGTGCAGTCACGCACAGTCTACTCGCTGGCGTTGACTGGAAGGGCCCCGAAGATCTTTGCTCGAACGACATCCCGAGGAGGTAAGCCTCACAAATGGACATGTCTCTTTCCACTCAAGCAACTAACTCGAACAGTTCCCTGGGTTGCTATACTTACCTCGAACCTTTGGGGTTTCCTATGCCTGATGAATCGAAAGCTCTCCGCGGGCCAAGTATTCGCATACATGACAAGTGTCGGAGGCACTGCAGCTTACATTGCCTGGGCGGCCATCATTTTCACTCACTTGCAGATCCGAGCAGCGGCAAAGAAACAGAACATCGACGTCAGCACCTTCCCTTACAAAGCGTTTGGGAGCATCTGGATATACCGCCTCAATTTTGCGTTCAATATCTTCCTCCTGTTCATTCAGGGGTATACTGTTTTCAAACACCCCTTCAACTGGAGATCGTTTATTGCGTGTTACATCACCATTCCCACCTTTTTCATCCTGTTCTTTGGGTTCAAGCTCTACTACAAGACTCATTGGTATGTACCGTTACATCTCCTCACAGGAAGAGTTGATGGGCTGATCGCTCCCAGGGTTCGTCTACATGAAGTTGACTTCTCGGATCGCCGAGAATGGATTGCTCCGGCGTCGAAAGCTTCATATGACTCTAGATCGTGGAAGAAGAAACTGTGGGACCTGTTCAAAGACTGACATCAAGACGAAAAAGATTTGCGGTCTGGGCTAGTTTGGTGCCTTCTCAAGAACGTCTCGACGCGAGGAGGTTCTCTTAGCCGATAATAGGCGCAGTCGTTCTTAAGAAAATCGTACATAGGCAAGTAAATCTGCATCAGTAGAGGGAAAGAAACTCCTTCATTTCTGCTCTATAAAGTGGTCAAACTCTCATTATATCGGCGATATCTGGGTATTCCAGGCCCCCTCTAACTTTGCTGTTGGCCGGTGTTAGGTCGTTCTAACACTTTATACGCCCTCTGCCATAGGGTCCCTTTGAGGCCGAATCCTGCTTTTCAAATGTCAGCCCTGGAGAAAAGAAAAACATGGGGAAGTGTAATTAGACTTCACTGAGATGATGTCCACTAACGGAAAATGCGGCAACAGGTGGCTCAATGCGAAACTTGTGTCTAAGAAACTGGGGACGTAAGTACACTGCCTTCGAAGGCACAAACCTTGGCCAAAGAGCTCTGGTTACATGATTGTGAGCGGGGATGGGGTCGACGAGCTGCATTCCTCAAGTGGCAATATCGGAAGTGGCACGTATTGCGGCGCCGGTGTCGGCCCAGATCGGACATGAAATGGTTCGCTGCAATCCTCGCAGCCTTGCCCCAACAGGGGTATTTCGGAGTCGTTAGTCCGGCTGTGCGCTTTGTGCCAACGAATAAAAGCCAATGGTATATTATTAGCTCCTTTAGGGTCTTTTGAGCATTGTAAATAGGGTCTGTAAGCGCGGGGCCAGGTGAACGCTGGTAGTCTGTTGCTATCTCATACTGTGAACGCAGCGGATGTGATGCTGCTGTCGAGCGTTTATAAAGACCGTCCGACCAGCCAGAGATACTACCAAGAAATCCTTTGCAAAGTGAACTTCAGAACGGCTCTCGAGAGTGGATACATAAATCGTACCCCAGACTTGGCCGAGATAAAATGAATACCATAACTGTAAATTACACGGCCGAGTTGGCGAAATTCGCGGCCAATGCCACCTTTTCCGCGATCCCATCGAGCTTCCTGGCGCTTCTACCGGTTTTCATCCTCGACACTTTCTCCGCTATGCTCGCGGGAACGGTCCAGCCCGTCTATCGCTCTGCAGTGAAGGCAGTAAATATCACATATGGAACGGGAAGCACGCATGCAGCGTACACCGCTCTGGACGGCACAGTCTCCTCGCTGTCGGGGCAGATGTTCTTGATGGGCCTAGCTGCAGCCGACTTTGAATTCGAGCATGTTGTCAATTCCGCTCATCCAGCTTCTGCAATGTTTCCAGCCCTACTATGCGTTGCGGCCGCCCACCACAAGACTGGCAGGGAGCTCCTCACTGCGATGGCGGTCGGATACGAACTCGCAACTCGGATCGGCGCAGCAAGCACATCGCAAGTGGAGTCGATCAGAGGTTTCCACAATCCCGGGCTGAATGGAGATCTTGCAACGGCTGCCGCGATTGGGCGTCTCATGGGCTGGGATGCTGACACCATCGCATCAGCAATGGGCCTGGCTGCTTCCAGTTCAGGTGGTCTCCTCGCCTTCGTCAATACCGGTGCCATGACCAAACGCCTGCATCCTGCTCGTGCAGGTCAACTTGGCGCTGAAGCAGCCTTCTTGGCCCACGCCGGAGTAGTCGGCCCTGCAGATATCCTCGAGAATCCTCTAGGGTTTCTCCATGCTTTCTCACCCAGTCCACAGCCTAACCTCTTGACCGCCGGACTAGGTACAAGCTGGACCGGCGAACAGATGATCCTGAAGCTTGCACCTGTCCATGCACGCGCCCAAGCCTTCGTGTATGCCATCAACGACTATCGAGCCAGTACGAACCAAACTTGGAGTGCGGAGGATATCAAGAACGTCACCATCTTTGCAGGGCCTTCGGTTCTGACGCCGAACAATTGGATTCCTCGACCTAATTCGCTTGTATCAGCTCAATACAGTGTTCCCTTCGGGATCGCCGCGGCTATAACGGTCGACTTGCGAGATCCACTGAACATGAATGATGCATTGGTGTCAAACGCAACCGCACTGGCGATATCCGCCGGAATGAGACACGTCCAGATTACGGAAAACGCCCAAGACATGACCGGATACATGACCTTCGATCTGAAGGGCCAAGAAATCAACATCACGGCTAACAAGTACCCGGGCACTCCTGGTGCTCCAGGATACGTGCAAGCGGCAAAGAATAAGTTCGCAAGCGTTGTCCAAGGCCTGTCTGTGAGTGCCCTGGGGTCTTCTGTGGAGAAGAGGATTGCCGATGTAGTTAACATCGCCGATGTGACGGTACTGTTAGAAGAAATGGTTGAGGTTGGATCCACTGCTGCAGCAAATTATGTGAATTGAGAAGGTTGTTCATAGTTTGTAGAGAAGGCGAGAGGAGTACCTATACATTGCAGATCCAGGTCCCCGGGTGGAATCTATTTCAGCAGGGTTCAGCATCTGTTCAAGAAATCTTAGCTTCAGCACGCAAGCGATCTTGGATTAATCCTCTGCCTGAAGGATTCTAGTTTAACAGTAATGGGGAATCAATGATGGGCAGGAGGTGGACACCATGTGAAATGGAAATAGCGGCGTGACTCCTGCTCCTTAGCACCTCAAGTAGCGTCAAAACGCCTGGAACCTCTAAAACCCTTGAAAAAGTGACAGTTAAGCTCTCTTCACAAAGAATTCCTCCTGGTGTATTTGTTGGGAAGACAGGTGTGCTAGGAGTCGTAAGTAGAGGCAGGATCTGGTCAAGCTGGCTTGGAGGCTGAGTGCGAAGTTAAGTGTAAGGCTCAGCCACATTCGTCTTATGTCATCGAATCACAGAAGCCCACGTAAGTACACCCGACTTCCATGGTGCACCTGGGCCATCACCAACCAGTCCCTTCCCAGCCATGACTACGGGTCAAGGCTGGATGTTCGTTTCTCCAGGTGGCGCAGCTGCCTATTTTTCTGCTTCTGGGAAGAGAAAGAACACGATAGATGTACCCCTCAAACAGGAGCCTTTGATATCATTACCATTCTCCCACCTTGCTAAGTGTCCTGGCCGTTCTATGAGGAGCTCCATGAGACCAGGACGATGTATGAGAAACTCAAGTTGGAAAATGGACTCAATATCAGGTTCCTCAAACTCGAGCCTGGTGTGACAGATGATCCTATTCGTTGCCGATTGCTACCTTCGTCACTGGAAGGAAATCCATCATACGAATGCATTTCCTATGTCTGGGACGGACTTCCTGGGAGTGCGACCATCGTCTGCGAAGGACAGCTGGTCGAAATAAAGGCCAATCTTTACGCCGCTTTGAAAGCCTTGCGATATGCAAATAAGGTCCGCACAATATGGGTTGATGCGCTCTGCATCAATCAACGGGATGACGCGGAGAAAAGCCAACAGGTTCCTTTAATGGCACAGATTTACGGGCGTGCACGACTGGTTCTTCTGTGGCTTGGTCCATCCCAGAGCATCACAGAGCAAGCTTTCGACAAATTGAGACTCCTTGCAATGTTTTGGGGACAACGAGTCGCCCAAGGCGCCGATAAGATAAAGAATCCCGATGAGCAAAAACGGTGGTTGATTGATGACAGGTCTTACCTGGACGATAAGTCGGTCTTCGATATTACCAGGGAACCTGCTGCCCTGCACCAAGGCACCGCGAAGTTACCCCATCCGCTGCAAATGGGTGACAAATGTGGCTCGCAGTGGTTCGAATTCGACAACTTAGTGCTCTGGGAAGCCGTCGACAACCTGTTTGCCAGCCCGTTCTTCTCCCGGGCATGGATCGTCCAGGAGGTGGCACTGGCCCAAGATGCACTGATCCAATGTGGGAGGTTCTCGCTCCCATGGCAGATATTCCAGAACGCACACAACGGGCGTATATATCTCACATTCTACAAGTCAAGATCAACCATAGGTACATTGCTGCATGGCGTCCCCACAGCCAAAATGGCAAGACATTGGTTTCGCCACCCCGACTACACCATCGACTTTGCCTGCGTCGTGGGGTTGTTCGGATTCTCCAAAGCAAGTGACCCACGAGACTACATCTATGCTGCGCTGGGCATGGTCAAGGTCGATCACGGGATTTTACCCAACTATCAAAAAGACGTCGAACAAGTGTACCTTGAAGCGGCAACACAAATGATATCTCAGGGTCAAGATCTATTCCTTTGGAGATCTAACAATCCTCCTCAGAGGAAAAGGTACAAGACACTACCCACCTGGGTCCCGGACTGGTCGGTTGAGGACGATCCATACTGTTGGTATCATCCAAGCCCGAAATTTTGGAAATGCCTCCCAAACTATTTCACGATAAACGAACGTCGACTGGGAGTCGTGACGCACTTCCTAGATAAGATTTGCTTTGTCGCCAGGGTGCGCGCCGATGATACAGTACTTGGGCCAGCAAGAAATCTCATTCAGACATTGGAGGGTTTAGGGTTCGCCCCCTTTGACGTCTATCGAGCCGAGCGCCTCGTTGAAGAGATGCCACTGCGGACAAGGCAGAGCCTGAACGAATGCCAGGATGTACGTCTGTCAAGGCTGGGACATGCATTCTCAATACTCACCAAACTTGATGGAGTGCCGGACTCGGTGTTGAAAATACTGTCAAGGCTCCTTGATCCGGGGCATCGAGCTGAAGACCACAAGATGCTCAATATCGAAGCATTGTGGAATGCTTTGTGCAATAGTGGATCAGATCACGCGCGAAGCACGAGGCCTGGTTTCACCATGTTTCTTGCTTTCTGGTATTGCTCCTCCGTTTTGAATGGCCAAGTAACCAGGCTGCTTGGCGTTAGCAAGCTCCCGAAGGCGTACGACGTCTGGGTGGAGGCCGCGGTAAAATTGCTCCTTTCCGAGCAATCGTGCCGGACGTCCTTCGAAGTTCTGATTTCCGAGCATCTCTCCCACGTCGACGAAGAGGAGGACCTTTTTGTGACCCAGTCGGGCTATATCGGTCGCTGTGCGGCCGGCGCTGCCAAGCCGGGACATCAGGTCGCTATCTTGGGAGGTGCGTTTCGACCGTTCCTTCTTGAGAAGCAGGTCAGCGGAAACTTTCGGTTTGTCTCGTACACGTATGTGGAGGGCGTTATGAGCCTAGATAGTCCGCTTCCGGCCCACGCTGAAGTCCATCTGATTCAAATTGAATGATAAAGGAATCTCAACATCGGCTGGAGAGGGGCTTATAAGAGAAGCCCTGATGGGCTCCAGGCGTAGCGATCATTATGTTTGCTCAAAGGTCGACTTGCTTCCAATTGCCCAAGCACGTTTCTTTTCCATGGTACGGAAACACAAAGCGTGGACAACCATTGTTTTGGGAGTGTTTCTGATTGAAGTGTGGTCAAGAAAAAGAAACAACGCCGCTCGCCTGTTATGTTCCTTGATACTCCTCGCTCTGATCGTATTATTGAGCCAGAACAACGCCATTCAACAGAGGAGTTTGAAAGGAATAATCTAGCCTCTAGCACTCACATAAAACTGCTGCACTCGTGACCCATCTATACACAATCCTTACAATATCAAAAGCGAACAAAGAGCGACCACGGCCCAGAGACAGCGCCTCACGTCTACCTTAACTATGACGCCTGTATTTGCTGTCCCGGCGGTCCCGCAGCAACTGTCCCGGTTATAGCTCACGCCGTTCGCGTCCGCCGCGACCTGGAATACGCTCCCATTGAAATTTCCAATGTTGTAGTAGTCCACCAGCAAGAAGTTCGGCGGCCGGTTCCACATGGTCGTACAGTTGTGCACGGTCCGGCCGGCCGAGCCGAACCCACTCACCCCGTTCGTCTCGTTCAGCAGGGTAAAGAAGGGCACGTCGATACTGATCCCCGCAATGTCGACGTCCAGGTTCAAGTTGTGGTTCGCCATGTACATTCTATTCTCGCGAACGTTCTGGCCCTGGTTCGGCGGTCGCTGGGGCGTGCAAGGGAAGTTTCTGTCGGTGGGCGAAAACGGCGTTTCCCACATCTGCGAGAACTCGTCGAGGAGCCAGGGGATGGCGGTCTGGTTGGCCTGGTAGTCGAGCATGACGACCGCGCGCTCGTTTTTGAAGATCATCTCGGCCAGCGTGGGCCAGGAGGCCAGAGGCATGGGCTGTGTCGGAGGAGTGTAGACGAAATCGATCAAGCCCGAGTTGACCACAGGCGCGGTGAAGTTCCCGGGGTCTACAACGTCGTAGTTGCCCATGAGGACGGCGATGACGTCGTACGGGTGGTTGCGGAGCCATTTTGTCACAGTGGTGAGGTAGTCTTGTAGCGTGCCGACATTGAGCAGCTCACAGGACGTGTGGCAGAGGTACATCGTCCCATCCTGTAGATGAGCTTGGAACTGTACTGTGGTAGTCCATTAGCACTGAGTCGCCGCACAGAGAGACAGCCAAACATACACATTCGAATGCCATCGTTTAGCTGCGTCTCAACATCCAGCATTTGATTTGAGGCGAGATTCCCAGGACGCACGAAGGGGCTGTTATGTGCCGCAACATGGGTGATGTTGCTGAACTTCCGGTTGCAAAATGAAGGGTGGCCATTACACGGGACTGTGTTTGTGGGTTGGGCGGAAGACGATGTGCTCGAGGCGGTTTGATTCGAGGTTGCTGTCCCGTTTAGGGTAGTCGTTGTCTTTGAACCTCCGACCAACAAAGTCTCAGTAGCAGACGACGTCGTCGTAGCATTGCCGGAGCCCGTGCTCGAGGATGCTGCGGTGCCGTTTGATGTTGCAAAGATGCTTGAAAGGTCTGTCACGGTAGCATAATCGGTGGTTGCCGTGATGGTCAGCGTGCTGGATTCATCAGCATATGTGGTTCCGCTGGTGGCATAATCGGCGCCAGTTGCCGTTGGACTTTCAGTCGTCTCTGTTGTCCCGCTCAGCGTGACAACATCAGATTGCGAATACGCCTGCAGCAGGAGGCCAGCGAGGACTAGAGAGGATATCAATCGCATGGCTAAACCTCACGCGATCTGACTCAGGTGTACGCAGCTCACACCACAGCGGTTAAGAAATGGAAAGCCGTGAAGAACATTTTTCGAGGAACATTGGACTTGGCAGAAGGCAGAGACAGCGTCGAGTTACATGGAGCCGAATGGGTACAGATTTCACGTGATTTTCAGGGCGCATCGCCATCGTCTTTTGATGACGCGCGTTGCTGTCTTGGATCGGAGAAACTCCCCCTGAGGCTTCACTACGAGAGGGAGTCGCAGCAAGGCGGGCTCGTCGACACCAGCGTTACCGAGCAACATCCTGTTCGTAGTCGCAGTTCTCATCTCCCATTGAACACACCTTTGATTTGATCAATTCGGCCCAAAAGACGTGGTGCTTGTTTATTGGCGGTGCCTCTTTGGGTGATGGTGGCTTTTGACATAAATTTGTGATGAGGAAACAAGGTTGTTGCCCAGCCGCTGATCCCAGCTGGGCTCCCCACTCTCTTATACCCAGAATGGAAGCGATACGTCACACTAGTGCACTTAGCGCAGGGCAAGGCTGCAACTCTATGTCATGATGTCATGGAGACTCGCTGAAGGTCCATTGGGAACATCCACCCCTCGAACCACCCAGCTCCGCTCCCAGCATCCAAGCCACAATCAATCACAACGCACAAGGCCCCGTCCTTTTGCACATGCTGCTTCTTGTTCTGTGGACTTTCTGGGTGCCTACCACAGACCCTTCGAGCCTGAAGCTGTGTGGCTAGGCATCTTGGCACACCTCCGTCTCTGTTGTCGTCTCCCAAATCCTTCCTCGTCTGCTTGAGAGAATCCGTCCAGAGATAATCAATAGCCCCCGGTGAATAGGCCCCAGATTCACTCTGCAAGCTTTTCAACACCATAATGGCCATCTTCAGACGCACCAAGTCTGAAAAGTCCACCGCCCAAAACAACGCATTCGACGAGGTCCCCCCAGGCTACAAAAAATCCAAACCGACAGTCCTCCGCGCATGCACAGTAACAATCTATCTTCTGGCCACCATATTCCTCATCCTGGTCGAGATAGGCAACATCAACAACAATCCAGTCATCCGCTCGACCTATTTTCTTAAAATCGACTTGGCAAACATCATCCCCGCGTCGGTCCCCAATGCAGTCTTCATCAACAGCATAGCCCAATCCATCGGCCTCCACGACTTCTATCAAGTTGGTCTGTGGAACTTTTGCGAAGGATACAACGGCGAAGGAATCACGTATTGCTCTCCGACCAAGACGCTGTACTGGTTCAACCCCGTCGAAATCATCCTGGATGAGCTTCTGGCGGGGGCATCCATCACCCTGCCCAGCGAGGTCGTCAACGTCCTCGACCTCGTCCGGCTCGCCTCCGCATGGATGTTCTCCTGCTTCCTCATCGGCACATGCCTGTCATTTCTCTGCATTTTTGTCTCTCCTTTGGGCTTTTCCCAGAGACCCCGATGGCAGCACAAGGCGAAACGGATCTTCCTGCGTCAGTTTCCCGTCTCGATACTGACGCTGGCGGCTCTGCTCTTCACCGCCGTGGCATCTCTCATTGCGACCATCATGTTCCTCATTTTCCGCGACAAGTTTTCCGGGGCCGCGGACCTGAATATCCACGCGAGCTTGGGGAAGCCGATGCTCGCGTTCATGTGGATCGCCACGGGTCTCAATTTGATTGGATTCCTGATGCAGCTGGGCACCTGCTGCGGGGTCTGCTGTTGTACGGGGAGGAAGAGGGCCGTCAGACGGAGTCAAATGTACGAGGCTGGACGAGAGGAGGCCGATAATAATACCGAGGAGAAGACGGTGCAGGAAGGAGAGGGGAGCAGTGCAACAGCGGGAGAGTCTTCCGGTAGTTTCCCCGCATTCAGAAGGAGCAGACGAGGCTGATGGCGGTCGTTCGCTTCACTGTCGTCTCCATTCTCAAGACGGCACACGCTGGCCAGCATTGCAAAACCAAGCTCGTCCTTGATGTTGCAGGAGGCTGTTAAGCAGAGCGATCGCCAGACGTCCTCCGTGGATGAAACGTCCATCAGACGTCCGTACTTTAAGTCATGGTCCTCCATCTCTGCCTCCTTCGCACCGAGCCTACGAACCTCCTGCGGTTCTCCACACGTACGTACCACATGAGGTGCAAGCAAGGGGGCTCACTTGCTCAATTGGATCGCCTACCGCAGCATTGCCATGGATGTTGAGGCCGGCTATCAGAGCGACGAACGGCTCGAAACCTTCAGAAGCTCCTGAATAGTCCTTCCTGTACACATTCAGGATCCCGGAAATTGTGCTGGGGGCATCCATGGCTGCCAGTATGACAAGGACGTGCTCTCGACCGGAAACCAGTTACCCCGGCCGATGAGCGATCGAGTATATATCATGCGTCGTTGTGGACTGAGATCGGAGGGCGGAAGAGCCCATGAAAAGTGAATATATTCTCTTTGCTACCTGGGCCGAGTCCCATCGGACCAACCCCTGCATTTTACTGCCTTCTTACGACCACTTCCTGTCAAGAGTTGCCCCCTCCTGTCGTCGGACGGCATGGTCGAGGAAAGGGCTGGATACGTCCTACGCCAATGAGTACAATATAGAAGTGACTCGTGTGGTAGCACATATAATCCTCATCGCAAGCAAGGCTAGGTTTCTCCCTTGCGCTGAGACCTCGATTTTCTTCCCTCTATGCTTCCTCCCTTGTCTTTCTGTCAGCGGTTCAGTCGGTCGAGAACCCCTTCGAAGTGCAATATCATGGTCTTCCTAATGATACAATTAGGTTATTGCTGTCCCTTTACCGTACACGGGGATGGATAGCCACCCCAATCCCTCATTGACATGTCAACACAAATCTGGCTTCCTACCCTTCCCCAATTCGACCACGTACTGGCAGGTGAATGTCCCCCACTACTGCGCATTGCGGCTCCTCGTCCTCAATAAGAGACCCATTCCTGTGTCCAGATGAGGCCACCAGTCCCGCTCTCATCCCATCTATCCTCGCCGGTCCACAATCCCGTTCCTCGCAACTTCCCCCCTCGGCCCTCTCTGTCGGCGTGGCAATACCGCAACAACACCTTCCTCTCGTCCAAGAAGAAGGTGATATCTACCCATTTCGGTTCCAACTCATCCGCCACAGCACCACACTTGACCACTGCGTGTTCTTCGATACTGGCTAGCTTTTCCGCAATAGTGTACACGCCCAAAGCGTCCCATACGCGGGATTGGATTTCCGACTTGTTGAGAAGGGAGGTCACTTGATATCGAACCTTCGTCGACCGACAGTCCGTTGTTCCCACATAGATTGGAGGTCCGATTCCGCTGTCGACACTCATCGAGTGTTCGTCATATGCGAAGAACGATGAGCGGTTCAAAATACTCTCGCTCAGGACCAACAAGCGGGCAAAATGTGCGTTCAAGGCTTCTTTGCGCTCTGCATAGTTGCGGCATGACCTGTGACAGTCGCAGAGTTCCGGCGGGTCACAAAGTGGCACAATCACTTCACCCGTGTCAGGAGAGTGGAATGCCATTTGTGCAAGCAATAAGAGATATGCGGCTTCGCGGTACGCTTTCAGAAGTTGAGCCGGGTGGCGATCGTTCGGGTTGCTTCGAGACATTTCGCTCTTGCTGTACTCTGCGTAGGCCATACTCCATTGTAGCAAACGGGAGATATGTGTTTGATGACGCTGGAACCCCGTGCCTATCAGCAATCCCTGTTCCAGCAGACCCCACGTATGCCAGATCCAACTTGCTTCTGTGAAGAGCTCATCACGAGCCTGTGAGAGTGAATCGAACACACGAGGGATCGTGTGGGGATTCGGATCAGGAAACGAGTCAGCATCGCTCCCCGTAGGGGAAAACGGACTTAGATACGGGCCAGGTATTGAATCTTCAGGATTGCTCAGAATCTTGGCTGCGCCTCCAAACAGTCGGACGGATTCAAGCTCTAGTCTCAAGAACAAGCGTCGCAGACTGTCATGGTTTATCTCGACGGCACGGTATTGGGTATTCTTGTAAGTCGTGCGCATCTTTCGACTCAGCAGCCCCTTCAGGCCGTTGGTCATGTGTAATTGCGCTGCATCATAATTACCCTGGAAGGTTTCGAAAATGCTGAATAGTTTCATCACAATCATGTTGATTTCGGCCGCATTTGGATTTGAGGCCATATCATCCGACAGCTTTCGAAGCGCCTTCTGGTATAGTTTGTCGGCAATGTCGCAATACTCGAATGCCTCTCGAGATATCCCCAGCTCGAATCTTCGGTGAACGGCACCGACTGCCGCAGCAGCAGCAAGCACTGTGGGATGTTGAACACACGCTCGCACAATGTATGTCCGCCAGATCGAGCTGTCGAAATACGCAGCAAATTCGGGCCCTGTGCGAGAGCGGAAGAAATCGAAACAGAAAAAGTCGCTGTCCGACTCAAACATGACATTGGATGGCGACCGGCACAATTTGTCGACGGAGGACTTAGCTTTCGGTCTACCGATCGAAGGGATGGCAACTTTGTCTGTACCTGTCTTTTGCCGCTTCGAGCCGGGCTCGACGTACAAGGGTGAGGACTCTTCCGACGTCGAATGTTGGTCGGCAGATTGACTGGCATAGCCGTCGCATTTTCGACCAGTACTTGTACAGCGGCGACAGAAAGGTTTTTCCTCATCGCATTTCTTCCGACGGATCTTGCATGTTAAACATCCCGTTCTAACCTTATGGTGGGTTTTGCGAGTTCTCTTCGGCTTCTCCATCACGGGGAGGTTTTCGATCACTGCTGTGGTCGACATTCTGTTGAGGTGAACAGGATAGAGCAATTCACTTGAGGATAGAGAAGAGGGTCCATGTCATGCTTTCGAAATGCGGGGCATGGCGATATATGTAGAGCCCCCAAAGGCTGTCCCTTCCCGAATGCGTGCCATGGTATCTCCGGATGTGCCATTCCAGGTAGAACTTGCCTCTTGAAGTCAGTCGAGGTTCCTGACTAATGGAGGATTCTGGCGCATGATTGGCTTGGGCGTACTTTTCGCGACTCGAGATGCTGGACAGACTCCAGTTGCTGACATGACGTTCCAGGCAGCAACGGCGTGGGGATCCACGAGATTGGCTGCTCAGCGCCATGGGTATGACGGGCCCGATGGTAGCCGGAGAGGAGGGACGCACAGGGAAGGGTTGTTTTGGCGCAGCTACTGGCTGGCCTGACGCAGCTTTGAAATCGTGGATTCGCCAGTTCTAGAGCAACGGAGTCAATCATTTCTTCAATGCACGTGGAGGATCAGGGAGATTCAGCTTTCAGTGGACGATAAGATAGAGGCTTGTCATCACACCGTTTGCACCTTTCACCGAGAGGTGACTGTGCGCACTGGATGAAAGCATGGCTGAGTCTCGGGGTTTATCAGGTGAGCCAGACTTCAGATGGTGCTGGTCCCAATGAAGGATCGCAGAGCATGGCATGAACGAGGCTCCGTGGGACATTATCTTTCCGACGCCATGTCAGGTTCGCCGAATTGAGCAGTCGGAGGTCTCTGTAATACCAACAGGTGATGGGTGGGTGAGCAGCAGGTGACAGGACATCGGCGTCGGAAGCCTGAAGCTGCGAAAGCGCAGGCCAACGGCCAACGGTGACAAAGTGCCCCGCGATGCCCCCCAAACCCGTTTCATCCTGCACCACATCATAATAAACATTGACGATCTCTCGCTGCCTTTCCTACAGGGCACAACCCCAGAATCTCTCGACCCTCTCGTCGTTTCAACTTGACTCGGTCCCCAAGCATTCGCCCGCCATGACTCCCTCAAACAACATCGCCTACACCGCTCCCATCAACCCTCCTTCCACCTCCCCAAAGCTCACCATCCCCCAGATCTGGCAGGGTCTCGAGCTGAAGATCCGCGCCGGCCAGGACTTTGTCGGTGGCGCCCTCCTCTCCACGGACGTCATCTCCGAATCAAAGGATGACCAGGGTCGCCCCGTCACCGTGCGCGAGGTCGTTTTCCGAGACGGGAACAGGAGGGTGAAGGAGACGTGTGTGGCCTACGAGGCGATGAAGGTCGAGTTCCACCAACCCGACGGCTCCAAGGTCCAAAACATAATCTCGCAAGGTCAGGGAGCTGAAGGCGAGGATCTCTACATGACCTACACGTTTGAGTGGCTGCATCCGGAATGCGAAGGCGATAACACGGCACTGGAAGAGAAGAGGCAGAAAGAGACCAAGATAGCGAAGATGGCGGTGGAAGAGACCATCAGGGTGATGAGAGAGATGGTCAAAGACGGCAGAATCAAGTAGTCAGGAATCCTGGGCGATTATACAACACTCGACGAGACAAAAGCATCAATTGAGGATGGCATGGGAGGGAAAATACTTTGGTTACAGGACACCACGACTGGCATCGGTTGCGGAGAGATGATGACATGTGTCTTGGGGGTGCGTCAAACTGGTCCGTGGACAAACCACCGGCAGGAGACACCGAGGCCGTCGCACAACGCTGCTCCAGATTGCTCAAAGCCGTTTCAATGCCAAAGTACAGCATGCACAGAGAGATCCCAGACCGAACGACCGCCCAAAATTACACAAAAGCCCACTCCATTCCCCCCCGCCCGTTCTTTTCGTTTTCCAATAGTGCTCGAATTTGCGAATCAGCGAGGCCAAAGTGCTGCCTCAGAATTCTCCAGAGTGTGTCACGTTCCCAAGCTATCTCTTGTTGCAAGGCCGGGTCGTTGCGTGAGTGCTGTGCTTGTGACAGACGTTCCACCTCGGCAGCTCGAGTAGGTTGGAAGAATGGTGGTCCTCCCCTGATGCTACCCTCGTCGTTCGGCGTGACGTTGTTCGTGAATTCTGCCGCAGAAGCGCGTGGGGTACAAGGAGAAAGAGGCGCCAAAGAGGCGGGCGGTGAGAAGGAAGCCTGTCTATTTGAAGATACGGTTGTTGTAGATGATCGACGACCATAGACACCTCGAGCCAGAGGCCATCTCGCCTGTAACGGCGCTGGTTCCGCCTGCGCATTGTGTGCTCCAGCTGCAAGTTGAAAATAGGGAGCTCGCAGGTTCCGACCATACAGTGAGCTCTGAGCCTGCAAGTCGCTTCCGGATGAGTTGTGTCGCCCCTGTGACTCTCGCGCCATGGCCTGTGGAAGAGAGTTGCGCGATTGTTGACCTTGGCCACGAGCTGTTTGGTGCAGATTTTCACCGTTGGAACCAAGAGGTGCGGGCACCGTCTGAGCATCTCGAGGAAGTGACTGTCCCTGTAGACCGGCTTCCGGCTGGATTGCAGTACCCGACCCTGGCCTTTCCTGTGAATGGATGCGTTGTTGAGATGTCACATCCCTCGCTTGCCCACCATGATTCCCTCTTCCACGGTTACGTCTTCTCTTCGATTTCGATCCTCGTTCAGAATTGTTTGTCTTTTGGGGTGTGGACATCCTCGCCTCGATTTCTGCTCTGACCCTCTCAACGGCTTCTCTCCGCTGTTCCTCCATCTGTAACCTAGTTCGCCGAGCTTCTTCTATGAGACGTAGTCGGCGGCCTTCATTGGAATCGGGATCAACCAGGAGTTCTTCGGGTGCTGAATCAGGGTCGTCCAATACAGGATCAGCTTGAACTTGCTGTGTTCGTTTCTTTTCGATGAATTCCTCAGAGAACCTCTCCATCGTAGACCCTGTGTCGGAAGAATCGCCAGAGAATATTGAAGGGGTTGTACCATGACCGGAACCGATTTTGGTAGGCGGGATGGCCGACATTGCGCGATATCCAAACCAATATGGAAGCATTGACATATCCAAGGTTGAAGTGATAATGACTATGTCGGTTCAGTCATTGAAATGTTCCGGTGCCAATGTCCATTATTTCAACGAATTCACTCTGTTTGTCGCGGTAGAAGGATATGTGTCGTTTCCACCCGGCCGCGCAAACAATCTGTGCCCAAGAGGCTAAAGTCGTCGAAGAGACCAACAAAGGTCGCCGTACATGATGTGCACTCAGTCCTTTATGTGGCCGATTCACTAAGAAAGACGTGCGCCACAATGGATAATTTGAACAGAGTTGTTTGCTGCCCTGTCAAACGGCTCCAAGCATTACCACCTCAAAACGGGCCAGCTGGTAAACCGACGTCAAAGATGGCTACTGCTCCCAGAATCTCGATGCACAGCTTTTTGTGTCAGTCCCATGCCTCACCCCAGTCATCGTCATTAATGTCAGGCTCTTTAGGCTTTGGCGTGCCTTTCTTGATTTCTTTCTTTGCTGCTATCGGTGCTGCACTCCTCGCGGTCGCAATGACCGGTCTCTTTGCATTAATCCCGGCGGTTCCAACGCCTGCGGACACACTTCTCGCTGGGCCAGTAGGACGGACGTTCAAAGTTGACACCGTGGTATTCGTTTTAGACAAGCCCTTTGGGAGTGGTTTCTGCGACTTCGATTTGGACTGTGCGGCTAACCAGCCAGCGAAATCCGGCTCGCCGCCGTCATCGAAGGCTGCTGCAGGTTCAGGTGTAGTTGTGTTGGTACGTTGCGAGGACGATGCATCAAAGAAGTTATCTCCATCATCGTCCATGGTCCCCCAAGCATCCATCGTGTCCTCTTCTTCCCACGCATCTTCTGGCTCAATCGCTTGTGTGGAGCTTTTCGCTGGTTGCGAGACTCGCGGTCTTGATGGAGCAGTAGTCGCTTTGTCGGACGAAACATTGATGGCGGGTGTGCTGCGTCCAGAAGCAGGCATTGATTGCGTTTGTGCCAAAGGTGCTCCGTTTGCTGTCGCGGTGGAAGCCATCTCGCCTCTGGCCCCAGCCATTTTATTTGTAAACGAGGAAATTGCCCAACCTGCCCAACTGGTATCGCTTTGATTGCCGATCCTTGCTGGTGAGGCGGCAGTTGCTGCTCCCTGGCCTTGCTCTGGCGGAAGTGCCGTTTCAGGGAGAGTTGATGCATATTTGCGAACCCTAGCCAAGTAGGATTCGACGGCTTTCGTGGCTTGATCACGAACTATCCTCTCTCTGTCGACCAGGCTGACACAAATGACAGGCAGAATTTTCGTGGCACAATCATCGTCACTAAAAACGTCAATAGTTGCGCTGAGCGCCATCAACGCTGCACTTCGGGCATGGACGAAAGGATCTCTCAGAGAGCGGCCAAAGGCAGCAATCAGTACTTTTGAACGTGACCCGACCCCTAGATTTCTTGCGATTTTCCCGAGGCATATGGTGGTATTAGTCCGAATTCCAGGCTGATCATCGTTGGCCGTTTTGGCGAGGAATCGGAGGAGCTCGCCGTTGATGATTCTGTCTGACAACTTCGAAATCACGGAGAGGACGGCCTTTACTGTCTGCTCCCTAATGATGGGGGCTGTGTCAGTAAAACCTGTTGTCATGGCAGGCCAGATTTTGCCGTTCACATCCTTTTGCGGTATTCGATCGATCATCAGTGGGAGGTTATCCAACAAGCATACTCTCATGGCCCGGTCGGGGCTATTGAAGAGGCGGATGATAAGTGGTCCAAGCCGCGATTCGAATTCATCGTCGGACATTTTCAACCCGATTTTCATTATGGCTCCAAAGACACTGGGTCCCCCACCGCCAAACTCGACCGACTTCAGGAGCTCGGGCAAGATTTTCATCTTGAAGAAATCTTCGGGGAAGTCGTCCGTGAGGCTGTCGAGTTCTCTGTACCTAAGTAAGCAACGTGCCTTTCCAAGATCAGAGTGTGCGCTTACCTCAAAAACTCATTTCGTTCCTCCTCATTCTTCAACCCAAGACTTTCTGCTCCTTCGGTGATATGAATAAGGGGAGTCTCAAAAAACCCTCCAACTTTCTTTCCCTGCTCGACAAATTGGCCAGCATTCAGTCTCAGTTTTGGATTGGCATTGATCAGCCGCCGATAGCTCGGCACCATGTTGGCAGGTATACTCTTTGGCTGTGCTAGGCTGTCGCTGCTCATGAAACCACCATTGAATGCTTCATAGACGAGAGTGCCGAGACCGTAGGCGTCCGGGGCTCCCAAGGGGTTCTTCTTGATAGCAGACCACCCACCATTGACCACTTCGGGCGGGGCGTAAGCATTCGAATTTGGTAATGAACTTCCATAGTTGTAAATAATTGCGTCGTCGTCGTTCATAGAGCTCAGCACTTCAAACCCTCCCAACTTCCATTCTCCACTCTCGCTTGTGAATACTGAGGTGATACGCACTGCGCCATGCACAGAAGAGGCGTCGTTATTAATAAACTTGAGTGTGGAGGAAACGCTGTACAACCCCCATTTTATGGTCTCTTCACTCAAACTCTTGCGCCTAATATGCCAGGCCAGTGGCGTAACCTTCTCTGTGATGATGTAGATATTTGTATCATTTTCGATCACATCGATCACTCGTATCACACCGGGGTGCCGTATTGTTCGCAGTTTTCGGGCGGCGTTTCTGGCTAAGGGCAGTAGAGCCTTGTTGGCATGAATATCGAAGTTGAAGAGACAGCACGGCGAGTTATCATCCTGAACCAACAACTATCAGAGCAGTACCATAATGCCTAACGGTGTCACCGACTCACCTTCTTGGTCGCATTGTGCAGGATCCATATGGAGTCTCCGAAATCAATACGATCGCCGATGGTGACTGGGAAGGAGCTGGATTTGGCGATTGCAGAAGCGACTGCGGATTTGAGAAAGTCCATCGACCTTCACGCGACCAGGTCGAGGAGCAGGCAAAAGCCAAAAGAATCGTCTGCGAAGGTCCGCCCGCTGAGATGGGCCGGGCAGTGATGAGGTGAACCGTGAATGTCAAGAACTGGAAAGTTGTCCACAGAGGCTGCGGGCCATTTCACGCCGTCAATCGATGGGGAGAACGCGCCGCAAATAAATTTCCCCGCGCACGCTCCGTCATCCCACTTCTATGGAGTTCAAACCTAGCAGTTAAACGGTTCACATAATATATATGATTTTGTCCTTGCGCCGATCTCAAGCTTCGTCCTAATGGCAGACCATCCAACTTTGCGCCGGAGGACTTTCTCTTCCACCAACATGCCAAAGAACACGGAATACCGGCCGCATGAGGGCAAATTTGGTATCGTGACTGGCGGCTCAAGAGGTACGAGGCATTCATCGCAGGACAGACATCGACTCTGCAGCTTTTCTGACTGATGGCAGGAATCGGAGCCGCCATAGCTCGAAACCTAGCAGTAAAAGGATGCTCCCTCCTTCTCGTGTACACATCCGACTCATCCACCGAACCCACGCAAGCCCTCTGCAAGGAACTCTCTGAGGCCCATGATGTCCTTTGTTTCCCCGTGCAGGCCGACCTGGCAGAACCGACTCGCAGCATCCCTCATATCCTAGCCACCGCGAAGAACCACTTTTCGCATCCTCGGACGGGCACGTTTCAAGTGGACATCATCATAAACAATGCGGGTATCGCCGGGAACAAGCTGCTGAATGATCCGGATATGGGCGCCATAGAAGAAACACAATTCCGAAAGCAATACAATGTGAATGTGCTTGCGCCTCTATTGCTGGTTCAAGCATGCCAGCCCTACCTGCCCAAAGACCGATCCGGGCGCATTATCAATGTATCGAGCGTATCCGCGTCGATCGGGTGCGAGTCACAGTCCATATATGCCGGGACAAAGGCGGCGCTGGAAGCAATGACTCGGGTTTGGGCAAGAGAGTTGGCGGAAAACTGCACAGTCAATGCTATCAATTCAGGACCAGTGTGGGGAGACATGTACAGCCTTGCAGGGGAGAAGTTTTGGAAAACGAATCAGAAATATGTAGACAGCGCGCCGCTGATGGATTACAAAGGCGGGGATGAAGCGATCCGAGCACGGGCTGGAGGTGATCCTGAGGAATATGATCGCATGGTGTTGCAGGGTATGGGTGGTAAGAGGCCAGCTTTCACGGACGAAATCGCGGGCGTTGTTGGTATGCTCTGCTCTGAAGAGAGCGGGTGGACGACAGGTAGCGTCATTTGTGCCAATGGTGGCATGAAAATGTCCATAGCATAAGTGCAAGGATGAGCTTGAGAATTCGGAGTGGTGTTTCTCCCGAATTGACGGTGAAGGAAATCAAGCACGAGGCTGAGAATGACAGATAACCGTGTCATTTGAAATCGCCCGCACTTTCAACCCTTCCACTGCACGAGACAGTTTCTTAGGCATACGTTTGACCTTGCTGTCCCACAACCTTTTCCCTAGCATTTACTCCCCTCCGGTATCTCTCCTCTTGTCGTCCCGATCCAGGCTTTTCAAAATGGTCGACATTGTACCGGTCTCGTCATATCCTTCTCATATCTCCCTGCTCCCGTCCATCCAACAGTGCAACCTCACGAATCTGCCAGAAAACTACTTCCTCAAATACTACCTCTACCACGCCCTTACTTGGCCACAGCTCTCCTTTGTCGCCGTCGTCCGCGGTCCCGGCTCAAAACCGTCTCGCTACCCGAAAGTCGTCGGTTATGTGCTAGCGAAGATGGAAGAAGATCCTCCGGATGGGGTCCAGCATGGACACATTACGAGTTTATCCGTCATGCGGACACATAGACGGCTAGGGATTGCGGAGAAGCTGATGAGGATGAGCCAAAGGGCGATGGCCGAGGTGTTCAATGCGAATTATGTCAGCTTGCATGTGCGCATGTCCAACACCGCAGCCTTGCATTTATACCGCGACACTCTTGGATTCGAGGTGGAAAAGGTCGAGAGCAAGTACTATGCTGATGGAGAGGATGCCTATGCCATGAGAATGGATCTAAGGAGCCTACAGATCAAGAATCTGCCGGAGGACGACGAGGACGAGGGTGAGGCAGTGGGATCGCTGGGCAAGAAAGAAGACGGCGAGACGGTCAATGGCGAAGACGGGAAGAAGGAGAAGATGGTGAAGGTGAAAGTCGGGCGCGGGCTAGGAGTGGGGGACTTGGTGGAAAGGAACGAAGGCTCGACAAACGCACAGTATTGATCTCGTCGATTCGAACAAGCCGGGCTCGTGTCCCCTCCGTCTTTGGGACGGACCTCGACGTGCAGCAATATCTTTTCGCTTCGAAATCGCGGGCTTCATCAATTTTCCAACCGCCGCCATGGCCGCCAAATATTGCGGCAAAGTCTGCCAGACGCAGACAGCGAACCCTTTTACCGGGCCGAAAAGTCGTTGAGTTGCAATTAAAAATCCAGGTAAAATGCTAAGCAAACCTGAAAAGTTTCAGCGATCTTTCAAGCATGTTACTTGTACATGGGGTATCTTGATCTGCTCTAAGCCTTTTACAGGACGATCCACCGCAGGGACGTGGAACCGTTTGCCCTTGGACACACACTGGGTCCTTATGCGGCAATATACAGGCTGAACGAATGTTGACAAATCGAGCTCAGCTCTCAGTCAACAGCCGGGCGTCTCGACTTCTCTCAGGTGCCTGCCATACCACTCTGATAGCCAGGCAAGTCCTTTCCAGGGTTGTCCTCCAGATGTTGCTCGTATTTCCTTCTTGAAACTGTATCAGCCCCCTCAAGTTCGCTTCCAGTCTCACTCTCTCCGTCCATATCCCGTGTCGATTCGAAGTCCTTCCCATCGTCACTGCTTTCCATTTCTTTGGGATCCTTCCCCCTCTCAGTTTGCTCTCTAGCAATCCTCTCCTGCTCGTTCATGGCCTGAAGACTCCGCATTGTTTGTGTCATTCCACTAATCAGCAATCCAACTGGGGATGCGGCGCACTGATGATGACGATGTCGTCCCGCGCGGGAGCCGTGCCGGCGAGAGTCACAGCCAATGTACGCACACCCACTGCAGCTATCGATGCTGGTTATGCGGACAGTGTGGCTTTCGGCGGCAGAATCATAATCCGAACCAGAGCACATCGGTTGAGATTGAGGCTGAGGTTGAGGTTGCGTACTGGCTGACGGGACGGTGGGAGAGATATTGGAACGCTTGCTTCGGCATATGCGCATGTCTGCAGCCCAAGCTCTTGCTCGTGTTGCTAGGTTTCAGGGTCTCTTGTCCCTCTCTTCTCCTCTCGATCGTGGTGATTTCGAGTTCGTCTTCTGTTCTTCTTGGAAATGGCGACGTAAACAAACGCTCACTCGAGTGCCTCGTGTTAGGGATGTGTGTAGAATCGGCAGGTCTGCGCTTTACAAATACGTTGCTGTCAGACGACAGACGAAGGGAGCGATATATACTTCACGTCAAGCACGGGTAGAGCATTTTTGAGCCGCTCGTTAGGAGTGTGACCGGTGAGGTGAGCCCAAGTGACACACCGCAGTGGGGAATAATTGATCCGGTGCGGATGCGGGTTGAGACCAAAAGGCCTCCGACGTCCTTTACCGAAGGGACTCGCCGCTCCAGTTCCTTCTGCGAAGGGTTTGCCCCAGAATCCCGATGCCAACAACAGACAGTCTGCTATATCAAGTTAGCAAAAGACTGCATGTCAGTCCTCAATCCCTGCTCAAGTTGAGACGTCTGCAAGCAGCAAAGCCACTTTCACAAGTGGCGCCCCAACTCAGAAGCGAGCGGCCGCCATTCGTCTCTCGGCCTTGAGAAGCCCCGTGGACGCTCAACGGAGGATGCAGCAGACGTGCTTTCCGACGATCGAGGATATTTTCAAACATCGGTAATCTTCTCCCACTAACGGAATCTTCTTGAAGCCGACACACACACGGCGAATGGGTTGGTTGTAGCTTTGATTGATTTTCGTCCCGGGACGATACGGCCGAGATATTTCTCGGGGGCCAGCGGCTTTCTGCTTATTCGGCCGTTAACCATCGAATAAGAGCGGTGAGCAAAGACGGCGCCCTACCTGAAGTTAGCTCGCTCTGACGACATCGAACATTCCAGCAAAGACATCTTGCAATATCTACCCTCGATTTGAATCTTACCCGCACGGGCACAAGTCTGTCTCTCTTCATTGCAGGGCCCTTCAACAACCGCACTTTCTTCGCTCTTTAGCACATCCTTGTTTTCGATATGCTGTGAGCGGCAGAACCATTGGCTTTCGCCGCCAATCGGACGCGTGGAAAGGTTCCTGCGGAGATTTACCCAGCACGAAGAATCGTAAGGAAATGAAGAGATGACTCATCCTCTGCTGAGGTCATTGCGAGGCGATTGCTGTCACTGAGTGCGCAGATGAATGAAAAGGCCAGAGCCTCGAAGGGGGTAGTCATGCGCAAGGGGCACTGATATTCCGATCACACAGTCTGACACACTGGGACAGATCAAGCTAAGTTATACCAGGCCGATCTGTATAGGTGCAATGCCTATCCCGTGCGTGCTTCGGAGTTGGATTGCAATAGTCGAGACAGCATCACGAACAGATTCGACGACCTAGCTACAAGTCCAGGCCCAAATTTAGCCTGCGGACACATGCCCGGGCCCTGCATCGCTTACTTTGTGCCGCCCAATGTTAAGCACGTCGAGCTGTGACGGGAGCCTGTGTCTGGCAGTGTTGCTAAGGAGGTGTAAGGACTGTCACGCGCGAATTGATAATCGATGAAAGACCACATATGCTGGGCATGTGCTTAAGAACCACGATATCTGAGGGCTGCTCCAAGAGCATTCAGAGTCAATGGAAAAGGTATGGAAGTGACAGCCTCTTCTATCCGCCGCCGGCGCCCTTTTCAAGACTCGGAACGTTTACGGAAGATATACTCAAGGATCAAACCTTCGCTGGTGTAAACCTATACCAGAGGTAAGCGTTAGGTAGCTCGGTTGCGAAGCGAGCTGGAGACGAATCTAGGTCAACTCCAAGTGCTGTACGTACAACTGTGCTGATGGTTGATGACACTCAAAGAAGAACAATGGAGGACATAAATGTGGTGGAGCTTTTACCGCTGTGCTTTCTGCGTCTATCTCTTTCCAAGAGGCGCAGTTCAGTGCTACATATCGGGGACATAGAGATCAGCTTGTGTAGAGAACTCACCATCAGTTCGCTTCGTAAGGAATGCAACTCTGGTGTTGACCGATAGAGAACTAACTACGACAACGGTGAACCTTGCCGTCTGTGCTGCTGCCCCCGCGCCCCTTACCGTGTCTGAGGAAGGGCAAGACCATTACCACTAGTCAAGTACAGCCTAGGAGAATAGGGCTGCGAGGAATGCCAGTTCGTACAAGGTAACTATCGAGCTGAGGGTTTAGATTAGTATCTATCTCTAACGTTCGGGATTTGCTTTTCGAACTCAGGAACCATTGTGACGCTATTTGTGATCTCTGCTACCCAGTCGTGTCGACTAACAAACCTCGGCTCTGCAGGCGTAAGCAGCATTCCAGAAACCAGTAGGAGCCACCGGCCGACTAGATGTCAAGCAGATACCAGCATAACAGCGGCGACAACCCCCGAGGCGGCGTGGCGGTGGTGGTAACCTGCATCCTATGAAGGGTGGCTGAAACCCATTGTGTTTCGTAAACTACCGGGTACATAGTAGTTAGCACGGCAAATGCAGTTGCCGGTGCAGTGAAGGTCTGCGATGATTCTAGATGGAGTTTATCTTTCTGCAGCTCTCGTGCTATGTATATTCCGTGCCTGGGGTTGCAGTAGGCTAACGCTGATTGAAAAAGTGTGTGCTTCGACCTCGCTTGGTCTCCGCGGTTCTCGGGCTGGGGAAGTCCTCATTGGCTCGAATGCAATAGCGCAGCTTGACATTTCCCTACAATATTTGCCTCGAGGCACGAACTCCGCGCATTGAGAACGGGGTGGACCTGGGTGTTGCAGGTAATCCTATGTCCAGTTTCTAGTTCGTAGCTAGCTGTGAGTCTGCTCCCCTGAAATTTAAATCCAGGATTAATATGGCGTTATCCCTAGATGTTTGATAATGACTTTCGACGAGGAATCTTTAGTTGCAACTGTATACAAACATTGGTGCGCAGTTCTAAACAAGGTCGGCCCGTCTTGCGACTTCCCAGGAAGAAAGAAATCATGAGACAGTGATCTAGAGAACCATGAGGTCGGGCTATTTGACATTTCGCGACGAATTAGTCGTCTTCAGGGCAATGGCAGGCGAGATTTGAGGAATACTTCGGTGCCGCCTAAAGGCTCAACTAAAATTCATCGTCAAAAGTGTTTCCAAATCCCGAGAGTTCGTCAGGGCCAGGAAAGCCCATCCATGCGTTGAAGAGTAGTTTAGTGTTCCCTTGCTGCAGCTCCGGGAACAGATCGAGAGACAGCAGTAACGGCTCAGGCGAAGTCATTCCGCCGTGGAAGGCTTGGCCACTGGCCTGCCTGCCCCCTAGCTCTTCCCAGTCCACAGCACTTTCCAGAGACTTCCCTGTGGAGAACTGGCCGTCTCCTTGGGCGAAAGATTCAGCAGTCTCTTGGCTGTCGTCGACGAAGCCTGCTTGCAGCAAAAGACTGTGGACAGACAATCTCTGCCGGGCTCTAGCGTGCTCCGAGACTTCCCTTCTGGGCCGCGCATTGTTCTCTTGTTCAGAGACTGAGAATTTAGATGAGAGAGTCAGAGAAGTCTCGTAGCGCTGAATGAGAGCACCGAGATCGTTGAGCTACTCGTAGTCAGCGGGCGTTGTTTTTTTCTTAGAATTTGAACTTTGTGAGACCCACCATAGGCTTCACGCTGTGCGAGAGCACAAACATGCGAGATAAGATATCCAAACAGGCTTTTGCTCGACTGATAGCTAGTTGCATGCCGAGTCTGAAATTGCCTCTGTGAGAGAACGATCCGAACAGTACCAACCGAGTGCCATGATATGCACAGACGGCGGCGTCGGAGTCTAGCAACTGTAGTCTGTCGTTCTGTTCGTTGAAGTCAATCAAGATTTGGACGATTTTCTCGGCATTCTCCAAGCATTTGGTGCCCATCATGGCTCTGTCTGTGACTCCCACCGCCTGGATAGCGACTTGTGGAGCGGCGTCCGTATATCCGGTCAGGAAGATGCGATATAGGTCGCAATAGCACTGATGTACTGACATATAGCACATCACGGTCTGAGGTTGTACTTGATACGGGACGGGCTGGTCTGGGGCATATTGACCGAATGGACGGATTTGTGTCTGGTACTGCTGCAACGCGGTCTCGAAGTTTCGAACGCAGCTGATAAGCTCTGGAGCATCTATTTCATTGAGATATACGCGTCGATTCAATCTATTCATCTCGTGAGGTGTGAAGCTTTGTCAGGATACGGGGTGGAGTTACCTCATAATGGCACGACGGGTATAAGCTAACCTAAGGAACTGGCCACGGTCGCTGATAGTTTCGGAGTCTCGCCCACCGTCGGATCTCAAAGAGCCGGTAGTTACGGAACGTTCATTCTCAAAGTCGACGTCCTCGCAAGGAAGCTGGAGCTGGATAATGTCTGGCCTGCAAAGCTCGAACTCCTTCAATCCGACACAAAAGATGTCCTCCAGAAGATATAGAGACCAAAAGGTCCGACGACGCACTTCTTGTGCAACTGCGCCAACGTCCGACCGCTCGTAGTTGAGTCGAAGAGCCATTGCCAGTCTCGCAGCGAGGCCAGACAGCATGAATGCAGTGGGGAACTGTCCTGCGCTTGCGCGATAGCGGATCAGCAGCAACAGTGTCTGCAAGTGGAAGATGGAAGGTCGCTCGAGGTTCTGAAAAATCAAGTTTTGGGCCTTCTCGACCCAGGCAGTGCTAGGCAAAGAGACCTTGCCCAGTTGCTGGGCTGTAATTGCGCATAGGGAAAGCTTCACTGACTCATCTATCGTCGCCTCATTACACCTCTTGACAATGGTTGCTTTGTGGAAAAAGGCGTAGGAGGGAAGAGGGTAGAGCCAGTGGAAGAATTCAGCGACAAGTTCAGCGACCATGTCGGATGAGGGCGACAGCGATCCTGCCACTCCTGGAGATACAAGTACATTTTCATCGATTTCCCTGTAAGATAGAGGTGATGTTGATTGAACATGGTCCGCGGGAGGGCCTGGACTAGCCGCAGAACCGACATTGGTTGTGGATGCACTCGTAGCCGTGGCATGGCCTTGGGCTTTTGTATTGGTCGGGTAGACACATTCTTGGTTACGGCGCACACAGGTCAAGCATGCCGGTGTCTCTCCAAGGCACCTAATCTTCAGACCTCTACAGGTGAGGCAAGCCTGTGTCCGACGTTGGCGAGCTGGCAAAGGTAACGTACGAAGGCTCGCCGGGAGGTAGCTTTGCTGAAAGGAGCATTCAAAATGCAGGCGGTTGCAGGGGTGGCAAACTGGATGGGTGCCATCGCACCTGACCTGGAGACAGCACTTTAGCCCTCAGAGAGTAAAAGATGAGATTGTAGGATGTACATCGTGGCGTCGACGGCATCCGAAAGGGGGTGTTTGGACTAGAGACACACCTTTCTAACCCTGCATTGCGTGCAAGTCGACCTCACCCTCGCGGATTTGTCCAGATGCCCCGGCATCAATACCCCGGAGAGTTAGCGGTGTGATAGGTGGAGCTAATTGGCAAAAAGAGAGGTTTCTAGTTGGGAATGGAAGTAAGTCAACGCACAGGGAGGGGGTTGGAATTTCGTCGAGGTGGAGGACGAATCAATATATACAGCGACCGAGAGCCGTGGTGGGTTGAGGCCACCCTCTACTCGCCCCGCCGCTGCTCGGCACTCGAACCCCAATATCCATTTCTCAGAAAGCCCACATGCTAAGCGGCGAGGAGGTTAGGAGAGTGTCTCTTATGCATCCTCCTCCTTCTCTGGAGACCTTAGCCCAACCCCGGATCTGCCAGCCCAGCCGAACGCTGCCTATTGTAGCGATTCGCCGTTCGCAGAAAGAACGAGACCTCCATCAAAATGCCGAAACCCCGCGATCAAATTGGAAACTTGTCTGGTCAGACGAGCCTCCCAGAAAGTCAAGGGACACACCCTGCGGTCGCTGACCATGGTTAGTGTCACATCAGAGTATATAACTAGGAGGACATCTCGATATTTGGATCTCGGACCCTCCTCACCTCTCTACCCGACATTGACTGCCTCATCCCCACTACTGTTTACTGCTTCCACGTCGTTCATCTAAGGAACTCGTCCAAGATGTCGAAGCTCGGCAATTTCAGAGCCATATATCTTGTAGCTTTGAGCTGCATCGGCTCATTCCTGTTTGCCTATGACACTGGTATTGTGGGCGGCATCCTCACGCTCAAATCGTTCCAAACCGATATGAAGTATTCGGCCAAACACAAATCCACCGTCAGTTCCAACGCAGCCAGTCTTCTGCAAGCCGGCGGTCAGTGCCCTTTTACTCCTCCGGACCCGTGGGTATTGTTGCTGACTTGGCGTCTGTTTCTCAGCCTTTTTTGCCTGCTTTTTTGTGTGGCCGTTTACGGCGCGCTTCGGTCGTCGCTGGTCAATTGCTCTTGCGTCCGTGATCTTTTGTATCGGCTGCATTCTCCAACTAATCAAAGTCGGCGGCCTGGGCGCGTTCTACGCGGGAAGGACCATCAGTGGTGTTGGTGTCGGCATGGCCACCGTAATCATCCCCATGTACAGCGCAGAAATGGCCCCGAAACACATTCGTGGATCGCTGGGAAGCATGTTCCAGTTCTTTTTCACCCTAGGCGTCATGACCTCGTACTGGGTCGACTACGGGGTATCGCAAGATCTGGCGCCATCTACAAAGCAGTGGAGGATACCCATTGGGTTGCAGCTGGTTCCTGGCGGCCTCCTCGGGCTCGGTATGCTTCTCACCAAAGAAAGTGTGAGGTGGCTTGCGAAGCGGGGCCGTCACGAAGATGCGATGGCTTCTCTTGTCTGGGTACGAGGGGAGGACTCGGTCGAAACGAAAGAAGAGTGCGTTGTCTCTTGGATGAAAACCGTTGGATGTGAGAGGTTGCTGACGTTGGGTATCACAGGTTCGCCGAAATCGTCGCCGGGATCCGAGAAGAAGAGCGTGTCACCGAGGGTCTCACCTGGAAAGAGTTCCTGCTACCTGCCAACCGCTATCGTGTTTTCATTGTCATCACTCTCCAGATCGGTAACTATTCCTTCTATCGTTTCCATTAGGCGATCACACCATCTTTCTAACAAATCTGATGAACAGGCGTGCAATTAACTGGCAACACCTCTCTTGCATATTGTAAGTTTCCCGCCTACTTGCCTTTTTCTTGGACACTTCCACTGAGACATGATCTTCTAGTTGCTCCTCAGGTGTTCACGGCCGTCGGCGCCGGAAATCAAGCCCTTTTGATCAGCGGCTTCTTCGGCGTTGTCAAAGTGGTCTCGTGCCTTTTCTTTCTGTTATTCTTGGTTGAGAGGATCGGCCGAAAGGGTTCACTTCTTCTGGGTGCTTTTTTGATGGGCGCATATATGCTTATAATAGCCATCCTTACCGTCACTCACCCACCCAAGGCCGACGTTGGCCTGACGAGCACAGCGGTTGCGTCTCTAACTATGATCTACCTCGAAGCTAGTGAGTACACCTTTGATGCACCCCCTCTGGCGAAGCAATGGTAATCTGACCACTATATCTAGTGACCTACAACTGCTCCTGGGGCCCTGTCTCTTGGGTGAGCATGTGCTTTCTTTCCCCGATCCCAACCAAAACTGATATATCGTGTTTAGCTTTACATGAGCGAGATCTTCCCCACTCGTCTCCGTGAAGGCGGAATCGCAATTGGTACGGCGACTCAGTGGCTTTTCAACTTCGTCTTCTCGCAGATCACCCCTCATGCGGTCAACAACCTGGGTTGGAGGACATTCTTAATGTTCGCCATCTTCAATTGGTCTTTGGTTGTGTATTCCTGGTTCTTCATCAAAGAGGTGAGTGGTCGAGCTGCTCTCGGGTTGCGATTCACTCCACAAAGGGGCCTAATAAGCTGACGAAATGATGAATTAGACCAAAGGAAAATCTCTGGAAGAGATGGAAATCGGTAAGACTCCATGGTGCCCCCTAGTGAAATTTCGGCATCGATTACAAACTAACGTTTCTTCTTTTAAGTGTTCAATTCTAGTCAGGCTATTGATTTTGAGAACGTGCGGAAGCAAGTGCACCAGCAGCTCAGGCAAGATGATAAAGCTTCAGTGGAGCTCAAGGAAGCATAAATATGGCTGTAAGCCAATTCGACAGAAACGAAAAATGGCCACGTTGGGAACCTCCAAACAAGATTTCCGGCCGACAGTTTCGTCGAGGAGTCAGAAGTTTGCCACCATTGGGAAGTCCTGTGCATATCTCAGATCTCAGTCGCATCGGGGGCATCTTGTGTTGTGCAGATAACTGTTGAAATTGAGTCAAGTTTACCGCTTAGCACGGAGGATTGCTCTGGAACATACGTTTTTGCACAAATCAATTTCCTTTCTCATGGTTACTACTTCTAAACAAAGTTATGCTTCTCCTGTCTCCGCTAATGGAGCTGGGTACTTGAGTGGCCAACCCTCATGAAAGATACTCCATACACACAGAGCTAAGACCTGCTGCTGTACGAGGCACTCGATTTACTGCAGTAAGAGAATGAGTCCCCCCGTGTTTGTGACGGACGAACCTTTAGTTCTCGGCACATCTTAACTTGGGTGGAGACGGAAGTCGGCACCGGTGCGATATGACTTGCTTTCATCCAACGCTGACATGTTCTCCACCGACAATTTGGTGGTCAGGCTGGAACGGTCGAATTAATCCGAGGAGGAAGGCCAATCAAGTGCACTGAGGACCGACAGCCGCGACACGCTTATTCTGATCCAGATCGTCCATCTCCATCCCGCCATGCGGCCGTCGAGCCCCGTGGTGAGAGATTTTGTGGACAATGTGGATGACCAGAACTAGGGGAATGGAGTGCTATCTAAGGGGGCACCTCTGTCTTAACTAATGGACGGAGTGGCCGCGGAAGGAGCCATGCTGAGGTCTCTAATCAAAGAGTCGCCACGCAACTCGCGTGGTAACCATTGATTACCGCCAGTGTCATTCTGTCCATATACCAAGGTTTCGGCCCGAGTCTCGTCCTTCATTTATTGACATTCCCGGGAAAGGAGAAAGAATAGTTAATACGAACAAGGACCACCACCACATTAGCCACTAACACAGCAAAACCCTCGGTCTACCAGGAGGACGACGAAGCAGAGCAGAAACAACAACGCCCAAAGAACGCAATCTTCTATCATGGCAGAGCACATTCCCAGGGCGAAAAAGGCCTCCTCGTCGAGGCCCAATATCATCTTTATTATGGCCGACGACCATGCGTCCAAGTCCATCAGCTGCTACGGAGCTGGGATCAATCATACACCGCATATTGACCGCCTAGCCACCGAGGGCATGAAGTTCAACCATTGCTATGTGACTAATTCGATATGTACCCCTTCACGGGCGTCCATTCTGACAGGAACCTTCAACCATGTCAATGGAGTCATGACCCTTGATAACCATGTACGTACCGTGGTCATTCTCCTCTGGTACCGCTAAGACGACCAGGCCGGCTCTCGCGTTGTAAGCTTATAAATGCTAACTGCTGGAGCTAGATCAATAAATACATACCCAATGTTGCGAAACATCTGCGCACTGGTGGATATCAGACGTCCATGGTGGGTAAATGGCACCTTGGAGAGGGGACTGCCCATGAACCGTCCGGGTTTGACTATTGGTATGTGTCACACTACTTGCCAATTGCTATGTGACTGTTTCGGCTTTTGAGAGAAAATTATTTGAGGGTTGCTGACACAATAGCTTTTTCATTGTCTAATAGGTCCGTCTTGCCAGGTCAAGGCGATTATTGGGATCCCGAGTTCATCGAGCCTTCTGGTAGCAAGATTGAACCAGGTTATGTTACCGATATTATCACGAACAAGTCTCTACAATGGATCAGGTCACGCGATAAGACACGACCCTTTTTCCTCATGTGCCATCATAAAGCGCCTCACCGCTCGTGGGAATATGACACCAAGCACAAGCATCTGTACACCAAGCCTATCCGATTACCAGACACATTCACTGACGATTACAAAAACCGGGCTAAGGCCGCCAAAGCGGCCAAGATGCGTGTCGCCGAGGACTTGACTTACCAGGACTTGGGACTGGTCCAGCCCGACGGAGGCCGATGGGTGGGTGAGAAGGTGCACCAGGAGAAAGGCGCAAGTGAACGCAAAATCCCCGCCCCATCAGACGATGAGGGCGTGAGAGCCCTGCGGCTGATAGATAAGGACGATGGCACTATCTTCACCTTCAGCTCTACTGCCGAGCTCGCTGAGTTCAAATTCCAGAGATACATGCAACGCTACCTCCGCACTATCCAGTCTATCGATGACAACGTGGGCCGGCTCTTACATTGCCTAGACCACGAGGAAGAAGGCTCCTTGAGATCGGAAACGATCGTCATCTATACATCCGATCAAGGATTCTTCCTCGGCGAGCACGGGTGGTTCGACAAGCGCTTTATGTATGAGGAGTCGTTCCAGATGCCATTCCTGATCCGATACCCAGCCGAGATCGCACCTGGTTCCATCTGCAACGACATCATCTGCAACGTGGACTTTGCGCCCACCTGGCTAGACTTTGCAGGCGTCACGATCCCGAACTACATGCAAGGTACATCCTTTCGGGTCTTACTACGCGGCGGCCCCGCGCCGCCGACCTGGCAGCAGATCGCCTACCACCGCTACTGGATGCATAACGACATCATCCACCAGGCCTATGCACACTACGGCGTTCGGAACCAGCGGTACAAGCTCATCTACTGGTACAACGAAGACTTTGGGATCGCCGGCGCGCGACCCAGCGCCCTCGGGGAGGGGGAGAAAGAGTGGGAGCTCTTTGACTGCGACAAGGATCCTCTCGAGTTGTTCAACGTTTACCATGACCCTCACTACCAAGGGGTGGTGAGAGACATGACCCGCCTCTTAGAGATGAAAATGGCTCAGATCGGTGATGAACCTGCTCATCCTTGTGCCTTGACTGCAAAGCTGTGATGTGGGAGGATGCAACCGAATGAAGAGAGACAGACTTGGAAGACTATTGGTGGGAGACTTGTGAGATGGAATATTTCACTCTGTTGACATTTGGTACTCAGCACAGCTCGGATAGATCAAACATTGGACGAGAAAGGGGATTTTATAGGCTCATGCTCTGGAGTCAAGCTTGGCTCGAGACAATCACGGTTCAAGCAGGCTGTCTATTAACTGTGAGCCTTCCATGTCCGACCCAGGAGCAGGATATAGCTCGTCTCTTCTTCAAGCCGCCAGACCAAGTGATTGCGCTGGAGTCTATGCAGCACCTCTTCTCCTACGAAGACTATGAAATTCAGTCGTCTACCGATGGTTCACATCAGCTCATGCTCGGTGAGGTATGGGGTTTTACAAATGCGGCATGACTTCCCTCTGGGGCCTCCCAGGCTTCCAGTGATTCTCTCCCCATATAGGTGTGGGCCCGTTCATTCTCTCCTCGGTACCAACACCGATTGGGTCCTTTCCGTAAGGCAGTCGGTACCACATACGACCGTCGGTGATTGTTCCTTAAGCTATGATCAGCATCCTTACTTCGCCACTTATAACAGAGTGAAACTCCAATACCAAGAGTCTCCTGGTATTGAAATGAACTGCCTACTTAGATACCTAGGTTGTATCGTCGATATCGACAGCCTTCTGGCTGCTAAAGTACAGATTCAGACCCACCTTTACCTCCAAGTACACCACGTCGCCCACCCGAATTGGGTGGGCAATATGGAGAAGGAAAGGATAAGGTATGAAGATACCAAGGCACAAGTGTTCCACGAAGCTGCTTCCTGTATCACCTCAACTAGTTAGGCTCCTCAGTCACAGATCCTTTACTGCATGAGCTAGGTATAGAAGGCGCAAGGAAGGTATGGTAGTCGCGTAACTGAAGAAACAGTATAGTCAAGTATATGACATAAATTAGCTATAAAGGGAGTGTAAGCTATCTAAAGGTAATGAGCGTGGCTATATTCTTCGGGGTGTTTCCCAAACAGGAAGTCTTGGATGGGACGTTGATATGTTGATATGGTCGTCATCGACCTACCGATGTTTCGTTTTTCCATTCCTGGGCATCACGTGGTATCTCGTGACATAACTCAGCCTTGTTCAGTGTTTTGGACAGGCTGCCTCGCCCGGCAAACCTGCCCCAGGGCATCCCACCCTTGGCTGAATGAAAGGCCCTATCTAACAACAAGGCTATTGAGCCTCAGGCTAAAGCCTCAGGCTAGGGAGCGTAACTCTACCAGTTAACATTGCCCTGCTCGGACGCCTAACGCACGTGATAGAGAGGGGCATTACTATTGATAACAATCTCGCCCCCACCAAATTCGCGTTGGGGGTGATTTCTTCTTTCCAAGTATTCAGTCGTTGGTGATAGGGCTGTGTGAATAGAACAAGGCATTTACCTACTGTAACGAGGGTGCCTGATACGCGAGCAGATCCTCCGTTGTGCGCACATCACATGGTCGTGTGTCGATTTCCTGCTCTCGTCCTACGAATCTGATTTCCTCCACCTGCCTGACTGTCGCTGGTATGTTCTAGGAGTCTCCCGAGCATTGCTCTCTTTTGATGGAGCTCATCGTCGCAGCTTATGAGACTTCTTTCAGTCTTTTCTTCACATCGCCATCATGAGTTTCGGCTTTGGAATCAGCGATTTTGAGTACGTGTTCAGCCTCGTGCTGCGAGTAAAGAATTTTCTCGGCGACGTTGCAGATGCTCCCAAAGCATGGAACGCCCTCAAGGCCGAAGCAGAGTGCCTGTCCATCTGTCTCAAGGTGATCAGATACAAGCAAAGTAGGCGTCTTCTCCGAGAGATCTCGAGGAGGCAGCGTGACGACCTATTGGCCATTGTCAAGGGGTGCGAAATCAACATGGCGGAACTCATTGGCTTCGTGGCGCAGACCCAGAGTATTGCCGTAGCGGAATATGAGCAAGACGGTGGGAAGCGTAAGCCGAGTGGGGTTTCGTTGACCAGGTGGATGAAAGAACTTGCTGCAATTGGGCGAAATCTGTGGACGAGGATGACTTTTATTTGGCAAGAGAAGCAGCCGATGCGCGAGAAGCTTGCCATACCGACGCAGAGTTTGAATATCTACTTGGTAAGCCTGACTTATATCTCACTCTCATACAATACTCGACTGTCTGGCGGACCTGGAGGGACAGCCTTACCACCAGCTTGGACAGAAGAATGGGACGTTGTGGGCAAAAAGGTAGCTTTCAAGGATGTCGGCTTCTCTTTGAAAGACCTGATGAAGCCTGGTGTCGAAGATGTGATCGTCGATTACGCTTCGAAGAAAATCACCGGCGGTGGAGAGAAGGGAAAAGCGAAGAAGCCCGATTCATCAGGAGGAGCGGTCAAAGTCCCCAAAACACCACGTCGGAAGTCTTCACTTGGTCCAAGAGCGGGACATACCGACTCAGACGGTATGTTCCTCGTTCGACGAAAGGCTCAAGCTCGTTCCAGATCTCGTGTCAGTTCTGGCGTTGAGATCGTCACAGCAGACTACGACTTCGACAGTGACTCAGGTTCGAGCTCTGTTGGTTTTGCCGGGGGGTATCTCTCCCCTCGAGGCGGTGACGATGGAGTTAGCTACGAGGAGCGATCACCACGACAGGACACCTCGGAAAGACGCGGCCGGCGTAACGCTCCACGGGATCACGGTACCCTCGAGGACTCGGATGAAGATTTCGAGGGCGAAAAAGCAGCGATGTTGAATGCCCAATACCGAGGTTATATTAACGCAAGGGCACAAATCAAGAGAGATCGCAAGACTGCAATCAAGGAGATGGAAAGAGCGGTCAAGGAAGAAGCCGAAGAATCGTCTTATCACGGCCGGACGGCTCATATCAGATCTGCACCGCCTGGCCAGCCGGATGTCAGATCATACATGGAATCGCGATATCATATCGTCATTGGTGTCGCTACTCCAGCAGCTGAAGCACTGAATAAGGCAGAAATTCGCAGTCGGACTTCATCTTACGTCGGCAAGCCACCTCAGTCAGAGCGTGATCAAGAGTCTAAATTGAAGGAAGGTCTGGACGAACCACGGCATCGAACTCAAGCCGGCCAACATCTTAGCGACTCAGATATCTCTTCTGACCCTGACTCCGATTCTGAGCAGCCAGTCAAGCTTACGCTTGGACCGGGATCGAGGATGAGGAAGGAGAAGGCCAAGACAGAATACACTATGCACAGGGCACAGCTGTTCTCGATACCACGAACAGAGTATGTACCGCAGACATATGCCCACGAAGGACGAACATCAGCAGCGGCCGATCGCGGTCGTGAGCATTTCCTCCATCAACAGGAGAACTTCATCACCCGAAGAGAGGCGGATCTGGAACGAAGGGAAGCCATTCTCCAGCAGCGCGAGATGGATTTGCTGGCGCGGGAGAGAGCTCTTCACCGTCGCGACCCCTCTACTGGACCTCGAAACTCATCTTACGAATCTGAATACGGACCTCGAAACCCGTCCCACGAATCTGAATATGGACCTCGAAACCCGTCTTACGAATCCGAATACGGAGGCCCTTCGATCAAACTCTTCCGAGCACCAGACCCAGCGGATCGAGAAGAGCGAATGCCTCATGAGGGGATGGAGTTCATTCGTCCAGAGCGGCCCGGTCCGTCGTGGGTTAGAAAACGTGGGAGCCATCCTAGACCGTCGTACTCTGAGCATTTTTCTGACTCGGAGAATGAGATCAAACATGAGCCACAGAGATCTGATGCTCGATATAGTGAGCAAGATATCAGGAGGAGAAATCCAAGGGGCTCAGATGATGATGATGATAGTCAGGAGTTCATTGTTTACGGGAGGCGGTGAAGTATTCTGGTCCACTCTGTTACAATATGTTCACACAGTGGCCATCCGTGCCCGCCTGGTAAAGGGGATCAGCCTTTCCCCTCGCCCACATCAGCGATCGGGACGTCGACACGAGTCGTTGTTGAACATGATCCGACTGTCGCTGGGCATGTTGATGTCTGCACCGCCGAGCTGCACAAAGGATGTTGACCTCTGTTCATTTCCTCATATACCAGATCAAGCGTAAATCCACCAAGAAGCTGTGAAAGTATATTACGGCCCCCCGCAAACCAATCACTCGACTGAGCCGAGTGCAGCGGGTAGTGACTTGCAACCGGCTTCCGAGGCCTAAGCCGGTCGAATCGACCGTCATTGCTCCGTCACGGCCATCCACGAGCCAGGGTCCCCGGCGGACTATATCAACTGGCAGTCTTGAGCACAGCACCTCCAGGTTTTCAGCCGGATATGACACCAAACTGAAACGAAGATATACTCTTGCCCTTGGTCTTCCGATTTTTATCATCAACACATCCGCGTCTGGGTGAAACCGCACAATGAGTCGATTGTTCGGAACCTACCGTCAAAATGGGTACATCGTGGACGACCTTGAGAAAGCCATCGAGTACTGGACTGAAAAAATGGGCGTCGGCCCATTCTTTCTTCTCCCCAGCATCGCACTGGGCGAGTTCAGCTACCGTGGAAGTACCGTGAAACCCGTACTCGACATCGCCTTAGCCAACTTTGGAGACGTCCAGATTGAGTTGATCCAGCCCAAGGACGATACACCATCGCCCTATCGAGACTTTCTCAGGAGCAAGGGACCCGGGTTGCACCACATTTCGGTGTGGTCGGACAACTTTGACGATCATCTCCGCCGGCTGGGGGACCTGGGGTTGCGTCCCGATTGCACTGGTCAGATTGAAGGAGGGCCTCGGTTTTGCTACTTCGACGCTGCTGAGACTCGAGGCACGACCATCGAAATCGCGGATTCAGCCCTGGAAACCGGCCTCAGGGACATTGCGGCCAAGATACATGCGGCGTCGGTTGGCTGGGATGGTAGTGATCCTGTTCGGGATGCGTCACAGCTCAAGTGAGGTACAGGCGGTACAATTCGATCAGCTAGCCAATGCCCAGGGTTGTGAAGGGGAAGAGGCTCTCTGCGAATTATGATTGAACCTTGACTAGTTTTCTTTTCTCTTTCGAGCCATGTCATGTTGGCTGTCCTGTATCAGCCTGACTCCTAGTTGGTGAGACCGTGAGACACCATGTCATATTGCAGGTTATGTCCCGGGGTAGCCTTCTTACAATTGAAGACAGATATGATGCTCATAGTCCCTCACAATGCCTCCATGACCCATCGGCCAATACAAGGATTCAGTTTTTCAAAACTTGCTCGTTGCGAATGCCAACATGCTAACTGAATTCACGCTTGCGACAATATATTTGGCCACGTAGGACCTCTGCCCGAGCAAACACATCTAATCACAGCAAAGTATCTTCTCATTGTGTCATCTCACAGTCCCCCATCCGGGTTTCAGTGTTTCGACAACTTCATTGTAAATCTTACCGCCCTCGCTGATGGTTGATCCTGTCGTCACATTTCCATCTGCATCCACGCATGGGCATGCTTTCTACACGGTGGAACATCTCGCACCAAGCCGGCCAGGATCTCAAAGCACGAGCCGCCTTTGCCTCTGGGAATGATCCCTGGCCTTTAGAGCTTATATACCAACTTCTCCCCGCTCACTTTCCCCTGTCGCAGCATGTCCATCCCGTCTATGACGTTTTCAAGTCCATTTCCAAGTCGCACTGGATGTGGCTTCAGCTTGCCTTGATGCAATAGCGATTCGGCGATGGGGATGAACTTCTTCATAAATTCAAAATCCGCCGTGGTGTCGTCCTGTTTGAAGAAACCCTTATCGACCGGCTCGCCTACGCACGTGTACCCAAGCGTGTACTTGACTTGAATGTCATCTCTCGGCGAGTCGACCTGTAATATCGTGCCATAAACACCCCCGGAAGCTAGGGCATCGGTGCAGATCTTGGCCGAGCTTTTCTCTGAGATGCAATCCCACACCAGTTTGAGGTTGTCATTGGCGCGTTGTCTGATCTTTGCCGCGCAATCGGAATCTCGATAATCGAATACCGCATCTGCGCCCATTGACTTGAGGAGATCGAAGTTGCGCGGGGAGCTGGTTGCTAGGACTGTATACCCTGATCTGAAACGGGCGTCAACATCGACGTCAGCAATTCAAGGTTGAGCAGCAGCAGCAGCAGAGTTGTACAACTAGCTGCCTGCCGGGGAGACAACCTACAACTTTGCAAACTGGATACCAAATGTTCCCATAGCGGAGCTTCCGCCATAGATCAAGATAGGTTCCTTGGACTTGATGGGCTGATTGGGTAAGCTGAGACCTAGACTCTGATACAAGCCCTGGCCACAGGTGATAAACGCGACCCCGAGCGTCGCCGCATTTTCGAAAGTCATGCTGTCGGGGATCTTCATCTGGATGTCAGCTTTAGCCACAATCCTCTCCGCGAACGTCCCATCTTCTTTCTCGAGCTTGTTGGCTCCGAGCACGAAACCGCAAATGCGGTCTCCTCTTTTCCAGGGCTTGTCGTAACCCTGTCCGAGGTCGGCCACCACGCCAGCATAGTCGCAACCACACAATATACCGGGTACGTTGAGAAAGTCTACGTGCTTCCAATCCGCAGGGTTGAGTGCGACTGCGCGGACGTCCACGAGGACGTAGCCTGGACGAATCCTGGGGGATGAGCGGTCTTGGACGAGAGCGACTTTGCCATCCCCTTGGAGGACAACGGCTTTTTGGGTCGGCATAGAGTAAGCTAATTCTCCAAGCGTATCCGCTGCTCGACAGGTTCGACAGATCAAGTTGGATTAGTTCGTGCGAGGTTGGTTCCGTTTGAAGTTTTCCTTGGATGTTACGCAAGTTACTGATCTCAATCCGGGAGCATCGGCTAATGCCGTCAGTAATGGGAGGCAGACTCGAGTAGAACTCCCTTCTAGTATAGTCAGGTAATGGTGAATGTGCCAACAATTACACAAGACTTTGATTGTTTATACTATCAAGAATATAATTCGTGATGATGTAGGAACACAAGGTCAGGGAGACTGACTCGAGCCACGACAACGCCCCCTCCCACGAGTCGGCCGTCCCTCTATATTACTCTGTCAGGCCCTCCTGGCTCTCTAACAGACCAATCGGCGCGCGCGGGGAAGTGGTGAACATGCTGGGGACATGGAACTGGACTTTGTCTCCAGACTCAGCGAGGCGAGCTCCTGGGGTGAATTTGTGATTTGCTAAAGTGCTGTGACTGAAAGAACAAGCCGCCGTAATGAACGTTTTATTCAGGGTGTCATTCCCGTTCCCTTAGAACGACCCTTGACGCCAAAATTCCGATGCCGAGGCGGGATGGATGAGGGGATAGACACCATCAAGCCCGAGGTTGACTAGTATACACTATGCTTATCAGCACTGGGGTCTCCAAACTACGATCCTTGGCCGTAACCCCGGCGTACCCCAGATCCATGCATTTTCTGCAAGGCCTTTCGGTCTACTTTCGGAGTCGACCTCCCATTTGAGCAGCGGTCAATTGGTAATCCTCATGGTTCATTGTCCAGGTACCGGTTTTGACGCCAACCTTTTCCACAACCATCGTCTAGATTATAGAATGGACGGCGACCATGAAGTTTCGAATGGTGGCAAGCAGGCCAGGAGATCGACCAGTGCGAGGGCAAAGGCGCCAGAGTCGAGGTTGTTCGCACTTGGTCAGCTATGTAATCATGAATGTCATAGGCTGACAGGATGACTGCGACCAGAAAACTCCGAAATCGACTATCTCAACAGGCATTCCGTGAGAGACAAGCCATGTATGTCATGGAGCTTGAAAAACGCCTACAAAATGCGCAGAAGACAGAGAGCGCCCGGATGCGTGAACTTGAGGCCGAAAACCATGCACTGCGTGACCAACTTCTCGATTCGCGCAAGAGGCTTCGAAGTATTCAAGCCGCGTTGGAGGGCGTCTCGACGTCTATAACTGGTGCGCTTTTCGATCAGGTGAGACGAAAGATTTGATCATTATTCCAGGACTGCGACCAACCCGTCGGCCTACGGACAGGGCCGAGTACTAATATCTGTCGATTTTACAGCGTTCAGCAAGGAACTCAGCTGAGCCCGAGCATTTCAACGAAAGCTCTCGCCTTGACACAAATATAGTCGCAGAAAGTGACGCGTATGACAAGATCATGTGCAATTCACTGAACCCTCTGCCTGCTCCTGCAGTCCTGCCAACCCACATGGATGGCGGCATGGTGAACACGTCTCAAGCAGGGCACGAATCCCAGCCAGGTCGAGCGCCGTCGGAGGTCGCAACCGATGAAGCAGTTCTTTCCAGGATGCTCATCAACCCTTCAAAGGCGAGTATAGACTTACCGAACGACGGCGTCTTCTCTTCAATCGAACTCTCTGAGCCGTGTCCTTCCTGGTTGCCCGTTGACACCATTTCAATGGGCACAAGCTTCAATGAAGGGAATGTGGTTCCCAGGACTCAATTGAGCACTCCCAAGGGTATTCTATTCGGCACGAACTCGCTTTTTTCTGCACACATTCTGGTCTTCGAGTCTTGTTTGAAACAGAAGTGGGACGAATCGAGACCTCTGCTCAATCACAGTATGCAACGGCAAGTTAAACGGTTCTTATGTCTGACATTGACCATCTGGAAATTAACTTTACATTGTTGTCAGGCTTCGAAGCGCCACTGAGCTCATGATGTCGACGTTTGTCTCCATGGCCTGGTCCAATATGACGGCCTGGCATACCTATACCAGAGCTCATATTCATATCGCAAGACTCATAATGTGGCGCTTGAATCCCAATCAGATGACCTACGACAACCTTACCACTTGTTACCGACCTACCCGTCTTCAGCTCTCAACTTACCACGCCGCAATCATTGACTGGATACCGTTTCCATCCCTCCGCGACCGCGTGCTCCTGGGCTACTCAAACAGTCCTGATTTGGACCAGGTAATCTGCGACATAGGGACGTCTTACGTTGTCGAGGGAGACCTGTCGAAGCTGATCCAAGACCTCAGCCCACGGCCCGGATACGTGGGCGTATGGGATCTTGTCTCGGTGATCGCGCCCTCTCGGGAAGGCTATTCGAATTTGAGCCAGGAGCTCAAATCGCTTTTTTCGAGGCTGAATGGAGACACCGCGCTGGAGCATTTCCCTGAAGATGTCGGCCTCAATGCTAATGAACAAGTCTGGCTGCCGGCCCCGAGCGCAGCGTCACTCTTCAAGTCGCCCGAGTACGCGCTCCAGGCGTTCAAGTTGCTTGGGGCACACAACGGCGCCTCCACGTTTCGCATCGACCCGGCGTTTTTCGAAAAGTATCCCGAGCTGTATGATGCACAGGCAGACATCACGGCCAAAGGCACACACCTCAAGCCGCTGGAACGGAGCCAGATGCCGATGCCCGTGGCCATGACCACATCTGTACTTCAGAGATATCACGATCTTGCCACCTGGGTCTTCGACATTGCGCTGGAAAGCCTATGATGGGGCTTGGACTTCCACGGTGGAACAAAAATTAACCGGGAAAACAAGTGCTTGATCAATTCGGCCCGGTGGGAGGATTTGGTATTACGAAAAGTGCTCTTGTCCCACTATCGGCAGTAGTGTGAGCATGTCACCAAGAGCCAAGAGTTTGCCTCAACCGCCGGCCACCTCTTCATCTTTCCGGATGAAGGTCCAGCATGCCGACGACATTCTCAGCCGAGCCTTTCGCCGTTTGCTTGGGCCTCCAGGAATTTGCGACTCTACGGCCCACAGCTCGAATCAACATGACTTGGAGTTGTCAATGCTCGAGAATAAGCGAACCTATGACTTCCGCTTGGCACGAATTAAACTTACGTGATATCATTCATGTCTGCGCTGGAACGTTCAAATTCATGTGGCTAACTTGGCTGTGGAGTGAAATTTTCGCAAAGATCTCACTGCGGGTCAAGGCACGCATATAGTCTGAGAACAAGGCTCTTTCATCTTGCTGACTGACTAGACGAGCACTGACTTCGCGGGGAGGAGGGCGGACGATGGGAGGCAGAAGAACACGCATGAAAAGCGTGTGGTCTACCATTGTTACATTGTCCCTCTAGCAGAGGACGGCATGGGGATCTCAGCCAGCAACCATGTCGAAGTGGAATAATTGGAATTCATCGTCCCGCCTTGACGAAGAAAACGCTGACTGCGTTTCGGCACCGGGTTCTAACTAACGATGCCTGACTAAAGCCGGCCGGGGAGTTGCCTCTAGCACATCGAGGGTTCCATGCCCCTTCACATAAATAGCGTCACACACGAGTCCTATCGTCCTGAATTTTGCTGCAGAAGTATAAGTGCTCGGAAAGCGCTTCGTAGTCTCATCGTGTGAGAATCGCGCTTTTCATTGACACGAGGCAATCAGATGCAGTACCAATTCATACAGAATGCGATGCTGACGATGTTTTGTACAGCTTTTGGTCCCATGCATCCTGCCGATATCGAGGACCGAGCACGGCAGCTATGCCACGCTTTCGAACACGCGGCTTCGCACCTGCCAGACTCGATACTCGAGCATCTCGCTCCAGACGCGGAGTTCTATATCTGGGGAATGCGCAAGCCCCCATCCGTCGAGCATGAGGCGCAGCGCCGAGATTTCACCAGCCTCGCCGGGGTACTCGAAGATTTCAGGGTCACGGTCAAAAGCCTGGCCGTGACTGGGAATACGGTCCTGGTTGAGAGAGAGGAGACCTTTGTCTTTCTCGGACGCAAGATGTCATTGCCGGTCGTCGGCGTCGGCGAAGTCAATGAGCGGGGGAAATTCACGGTGTGGAAGGACTATTTCGATCCCACGGAAATGGACGCTGCTCAAACGGGAGCGTAAGGGTTTGTTCATTGGCCGCCTGGAGATGAGAAGTCATACCTGGGAACATGGGGTCGAAGTCACACTCTATTGTAGCTTGCACTGGCAAATTGACGTAGGAACTGGAGGCAATCCATTTATTGCATGCTACCCATGAACGTATAGCCTTGTGTATCCAACGAGGCAAAGCCCTGCTGGCGATGAGGACTAAAGGCATCCCCCGACCGTAGTTGACCTTGGAGTCGATATCGCGACCATCAGAGTTCCTTTTTTTTTTTCATCTCATCCCCCGTTTGGATCACTGCGTCATGCGCTCCGTGAAGATAAGAGGAAGTCGGCCTTTAAGGAGTGAGAGATTAGACCGCACAGCTTGCTGAAAGGCTTTCTCGTCGTGCGAGTCGTCAAGGGTAATGTCGAATCTCTTTACCAGTTCGGCCACGACGAGCCGCATCTCAAGGAGTGCAAGTCCTTTTCCGATGCAGGCATATTGGCCCAGGTTGAACGGGATGAACGCACGCGTATCGTGATGGTAGTCGGCGGGCCTCTCCTCGTCGACCCAACGTTCTGGGATAAATTCGGTGGCATGTGAGAAGTACCTTGGATCTCGGTGCATGCTCCATCCATGTACACTCAGCTGTACAAGGGCCGGGGAGTCAGTTTTCGGGGGTAATCAAAAAAAGACACGCGTTGAGAAGGGTGAATATAACACACCTGAGTTCCCTCTGGAAGATATTGTCCATCGATAAAACAACCGCCTTTCGGAGTTGTTCTCTGCATACCGTTTGGTCCCGGTGGGTAGAGTCTAAGGGACTCGTTGATAACACCATTCAAGTATTTTGCTTGCGCTGCTGGCGAATTCTCAGCAAACGACACAGAACACGTCGTCCCGGAGATCAGCTCACCCCAAAGTGCGCCATTTTGAGGCTTGACTCCATCCCAGAGAGCATCTACCTCTTCTTGAAGCGTCTGCAGAGTATGTGGGTTCTTGCAGAGATAGTAGAATAGGAATCTGGAGAACAACTGGTTGGCAGTAATTCCAAGGCGGATGGGGGTAAGATTTACGTCAAGCAAACAGAAGTAGTATCAGACCCTCCCACAATAATGACAGCGGCATCAGACGCAAGCTGCGCATCGGTCAATTGCCTGCTTCAGAGTCAGAGTCCTTTTCACACCATATAAAACGATGCGACTACCTTTGTCCCTCATTCCCCGAGAGCAGGTAGCTGAAAATGTCGTCGCGGTCAGTTCCCTTCTCCCTGCGGTGCTGGAATCTTTCATCGCTGATCTTGAAAAAGGTCTGACTATCTCTTTTGGCCTGGGCGTCCATGGGAAGATATGGAACTTGTGACTCTGTAAGCATCTTTGGAACGAAAGCGCTGTCAACTGCGCCTTACTGAGTTGTTTGAACCATGGGATATGCGAGAAGATCGAGAGCATGCGCAGCGCGTGATGCATGAATACCATGTAGGGGTGTGGTTTCGCTACAAGTTCCACCCTGAGCCATGCTTTGTCCGGGTACATAGTCTTTACAGGCGACTCACCTTCTAGGAGCATCCCGAAATCTTCGCCGAAGCCAAGGTCCCCCATGACATCAAAGGCGAAGAAGTCACACCAGTCACTGAAATTGAGGACCTCTGCGAGCCCCTGTTAGACACAACGGTTCTCTAAATCGGAGCGCCATCTATCAGGACATGCTTACGGCCAGTTCGAGCGCGTATTTGCTTCGACATGACGTTAACATGCTGCAAGATTCGTGCTTCGTAGCCCAACAAGGCCTTTGGACTGAATCCTCTGTCCCAGATGCGACGCCGGAGCTTGTGTTCCGCAAGATCTCTTACGCTGGCCATGGAATCGGCTGGTTGGTCGGGTATGCCATCATACCACGGACCCTTTGCAATCTTTGCTGATCGTGCCCCATGGATTTCGGGAAGGGACTCAACGGAGCGGTACGACAGCTCGTTCGGCCCTACACGGACAACGTCTCCATACTAGACCACACGTCAGAAATATCGATCTCGATTTTTCACGCCGTCAGTGTGGAAGTCTCAACCTTTTCGTGAAGGTCCTCTAGCCACAAGTGGGTGTATCCGTTGAACGCTTCGTAGACCGCAGCGGCTTTTGTGAGTCGCGCCCAGATGGGGCCCGGGAATCTTCTGAGCGGGCTGAGCAGCAGTCGATACGTGGCAATCGAAAGGCTGAACTTCGTCAGCTCACTGAGCCACGGCCTCCAGAAAGAGCTTGGTGGCCACAAATACCAAAGACTCGACCAAAAGGAGGCATTAGCGGCAGTAATGAGCCATACGGTGGTCTCTGTTCGAACTCCTGTCCAGGCGAAGTATGCCAATGCCAGAACATCGAGGAATGAGACGAAGGAAAGAAATCCTCTGATCAAACATCAGCATATCGCCAGACCTTTGGGGCCCTTGAGAAATGATCTCACAACGCTGTCGGTTCGAATCGTTGGCAGTACAGATGAGTTAGTAGCCCCAGGAACGAGCTAAACAGCGCCAGGACCGTGAGGTCAATATTCCCCTTGCCAGTGTACGAGAAGTAGTCTTGCAGAGTCGCATGTTCAGACATGGTATCTTGAGACGTATAGCAGTGCTAACATTGACTATACTTGTCGCACAGTCTGCTGTTCCCTTGCGGGCTCTATATTGGAACCATTCGGTGCCTCTCGAGCGCAGTCACGTAGCAGCTAGAGTCGAACCATGTCGTTTAATTAGTGAGAGATACTTAGTAATGTCCAAATGAGCATGGCGCTGGTGTTTGCCCAAATTACCATGGCCAATCGTCGCAGCCATTATTGCCTCGGGTAGCAAGCCGGTTCGGTTTGGGAGGAGCTGCCTCCTTCGACGACAACCTCTTCACAACCAGGCCTTTTCTATTGGTCAGCACAGATGACGTGCGGCGCGTTTAGTCAAAATAAACCAGTCAGAGTTAATGTTAGCCAACAACTGAGTACGTCAACAGCAGGCATGATAGCTTGCTAAAAGCGGATGGCGGTAGCCCGCTCTTTTGCTGCTGTGCTGCTATTTCACCGCAAAGTATTCTATTTCTCGAGACCTTTGGTATTGCGGTCCTTGTGTTTCTTCCCCCCACAGGTAGATGACATCACTGGGAGCTTTTGGCTCTTGCATGAGCCTCTGGTGGCGCAATCATGATAACAGTGTGCAGCGTCTTGTGGCAATTCCGGCCTGACGACATCTATCTACCGAGTCTGGTTCGCACGGCGCCGCTGAATTAGAAAAGTACTGGCCGTGCTCCCTCGGACTTCGAAACCGTCCAAGCATGAATATGGCCTACCCAGAGCTGTATATCACGATTGCGAGGCTTTGCTACCTTTTTGACATTCAAACGGGGGACCCTCAAGAGCTCAAGCAAAACCTCGAGCTGCTGGACCATTGACCATTGCTGACCTGCCAGACGTTCAACGAAGGGCCCTATGGCGTCTTACAAGCTTCGTGAGGGAAAGGTTCTCTGAGGCTTCTGCATATCACCATACTCAGCCGCGAGTCTTGACCTCTCCAAAGTCCATTTCCGTTTTCGGACCTGAGCGTTCCGCCATTTGGCCTGAGTGATGACTAGGCTATTCTGAGCTGTGGTTGTGCAACTTGGAGCTCGGCCTAGCGAGCCCTGAGGCGCGTACTGAGTAGCGTAAGCAGAGTCCTGAGTCTGTGAAGGTCCCCATAACTTGGCCCCTGGGTTCCCAGTCTTGGGTGTTTCACATATTTGGAAGGCCCAAGTTCCGAGCTCACTCTCGGTTATTGCTGCCATGTTACTGCCTGGAGGAAGGCAAAGTGGTTCCCGGAATCGCCTCCCCTTTGCAGACATATTACAACTGCATCTGTAATAGCCCATTTTTCTAACAACGAATCAGCAGCGAGCTGATTTTATACTGCTATACAAACTTTCCAATTGCATGACATATAAAGCTCTATGCTCAGAGCGCATGCTTCCCAGGTCCCACAATGAATGTGGACAAAGGGAGGTAGTTAAAAGTATTACGCACGAAAGATACAAACAAATTTGGCATTCCTTGAAGAGAATCTTCGGAATCAGCTGCTTTTCAATATCGTATATCGTTGGACGTCGGAATTGGATCAAGACCACTCGCTCAAGGTCTGAACAGCCTCAGGCGTTTAATCGCCATGGACTTCTGCTATAACAGTGGTATTCCTGATCCTGAAAGCCTTCAAGCCTCCATCGAAGGCTTTGGAAACAAAACCATACGAGGGGACCATTACCGTTAAGCATATGGCGACATGCGATGCCCACATAACGGTCCATTCATCCAGACCTGTAGAAACCGCACGCAGAATAACCTCCATCCACCGTCCAACGTGCTAGAATTCCGTTCTTAGTATTGGCAAGCTGGAGTAGGTGTGAAAGCGTAGCTCACCTCCTGTCACAAACGACGCATCATCACTCAGCAGGAAAACCAACACCTTCGCTACTTCTTCCGCTTTGCCCATGCGACCCAGTAGGGTTCCAGCGCTTAGTAGCTCAGAGTCAAACAGCCCTTTCTTTTCTCCATCACGGAAGATCTTAGTATCGACCGGGCCTCTAGGACAGATATTTAGCACAATATCCCGCAAGCAGTGTATGAAATTGGTTGACTTACGGTAGGATGGCGTTAACTCGAACTCCAAGTTTACCATATTCTGCGGCAGTTGATTCTGTTAGGCCGATGACACCGAACTTGCTAGAGGCGTAGGCGGCATTCTTCGGTAGACCTCTGAGGCCGGAGGTACTAGATACGTTCACGATCGAACCTCCAGGCCTCGAGATCTTCTGTAGTTGAGCCCTCATACAATTCATCACCCCAGTTAAATTAACCGAGATCATTCTCTCCCAGTCTTTCTGGACCTAGACTATTCCGTTAGTATATGGCTGACCGGACCGTCGAATGAATGAATCGGAGCTCGAGTCTTACTATATCTTCGGTTATTTGGCCCTCACCGCCGGCGACCCCAGCAATGTTTGCAGCACCGTCTAGCTTGCCATGGTCCCGAAGAACCTCATCAACCCATGCATTAACCTCCTCGATACTGGCCACATCGACCTTTTTCACCGTGACCTTTGCGGGATATCGGCTGCCTTACGAACAATAAGCCTAGAACATGTCTGCCAAACGGCTCACCTCGAGTTTCGTGCGTACATTGCTTCTTTGTTTCTTCCAGCATGGTCTCATTCACGTCGCTTATCGCAATACCTCGAGCGCCAAGTTCTGCTAACCTCACAGCCGTGGCCCTTCCAATGCCTGATCCAGCACCGGTCACAGCAAATACTTTGCCCTGCATGGTGGGAAGTTGTCGTCTCGAGTCTCGACACAAGGATGGGAGAGGAGGCCCCAGAGCTAACGTCCCTATCGGTAGGCTTGCTTTAGCTGCAAATCTCCTCCTTGTGCCGTTCAATGGTAATCGTAAAAATCAAGAGAACACAGGAATACGTGGCTTGATCCCAGTGAATGGTTCTATTCTATACTTTAAATGCCACCAGGGTCTTCGGCGGAAGCGATCGGGCTAAATCACGAAGACTCAACATGACACAAGGAGCTTGGAGCGGGTAATGGCTCGGTCTGATTCAACTACAGGGGCCCACGTCCGAAGTTACAGAGACGGAAAGGTGTCGACCAAAAGAGTGCGGCCTGCTAGGAGCAACAAGGTCGTCGCCTCTTTTTCCATCGGCCTAACTTCAGGAATGAATTGTCACCCGGGTGGCGCCCGCACAATTGACCCTTGGCCAGACTATACAGGCTTGGCGCATTGTCACTCCGCGACATTCTTTTTATTAAATCAAGTCTCGTCCGTTTTCCTAGTTACAGCATTGGTCGAGTTCAGCATTTTACCAACATCGGACAGAGATCTGTCGACCGTAGAGACACTGACTGCCCTTTGACAGATCCAAGAAACTTGCAACAACTCACTGCAAGCCATCAAATCGGCCAATACTAAAAAAAAAATCCCCTTTCATCATGGCGCAGAAGTCATTGAATGGTAAAGTGGCCCTTGTCACGGGTTCGAGCAGTGGCATGGGCCGTGGGATCTCTCTTGGCCTTGCGGAGCAGGGCGTCAGTGTCATCTGCTGTGATCTCAAACCTGAGGCCAACCCAGAAGGGTTCGAGAAGGACTTGCAAGTCACCACGGTTGAGCTGATCCGCGAGCAAGGAGGCCAAGCTATATTTTTCAAAGTTGACATTTCCCTAATGTCGGAAATTGAACATGCCTTCAAGGAAGGTATTGCGGTATGTCACTTTGTCGGCCAGATGGACTGGCAAATAGGTCAAAAGGGGCTAACCCAGACCCAAATATTTAGGAGTTTGGACGTTTGGACATCGCCGTCAACTGTGCAGGTTACTGGGCACCTTTTCGCAAGTTCGCCCTCGAGGATAATGACCTATGGCAGAAGATGGTCAATATCAACTTACTCGGTACTTCCACGTGTAACCGATTGGCGATCCGGCAATTCCTCAAGCAAGAGGTTGACGAGGCCTGGGGCAGCCGAGGCAAGATCGTGAATGTCTCGTCTTGCGCGGCGAGCATTGCTTTCCCATATGAAGTGGCATATTCCGCGACAAAGGCGGCCATCAACCACATGACCCGGGCCGGAGCCCTAGACCATGCGCAGGACTGGATCAACATCAACTGTATAGCCCCCGGCACCGTAGCGACCGGCATGGCTCGCAAAAACTTCGAGGACAAGGAGATTATCAAACACATGAAGAAGGCCACTCCCTGGCCTCGGCTTGGGACCGTCGAGGATATCACAGGTACAGCTTTATTCCTGTGCAGTAAGCACTCCTCATGGATTACTGGACAGATTTATGCGGTGGACGGTGGCATGACCCTCGGTGTGCCGCCTTAGCTTGAGAAACGGGTCCCATGGTTCGAGGTGTTCTCGCCAAATACCCTCGTGGGCAGAGCATTGAATGCTCAAGTCACTGGGACAAGACAGTGAACTATCTTCAATTCCATCAAAGTCCCCGTAATACACTCTGGTCACTGCAAACGACTAGAACCGAGAGGGCGAGCCCTGAACGGTCTGACGATGGCTATAGACTGAGCAGCTATGTCCCAGGGTGAGAGCGGATTGGAAAACCATGAGCTAAACCTCTGCAGGTCTCCGTCGTCGTCGCTGAATTCTCATTCACATGATGGAAAAACCCCCCAACATCTCTTTTGTAATTGCAAGAATCATGAGAAATTTAGCGATGCTGGACGCAACGTAAGCTTTCCTGTGCGCAATTGCATTCGGTGCAAACACAAAGAATAGTCAATCATCAGTTTAAACAGACGCCTCTGACGGCTTTGAATTCGATATACTGTCTCGAAAAGACTATGACCCTTCAAGCTGTCTGCGATATCTAGCAACCCAATCAAGGGTGAGAACAAACACAGATCGCTCCAGATCTTCCCCCAACTCATTCTCGCTAAATTTACAAGGGGCCCAAGCTGCCACAATATGACCCTGACAGAAGGTTATTGAGATAGAGATTTAGATCATCATCGTTGTTGCAGTCAAAATTTAGAGGAAAATCCATGGGATCCAACATTGGATCAGTTGCGGTCCTGTGGTCGAATTGGACATTTGTGTCCACTGGTCCCGTCTGGCAAGCTGTTTTGTTTTCGCTAGATAGGCCAGGCTGTGGGAACTGCATAACTGACGGGCCGAAGCTCGGTAAGATGTGTTTATGCTGTTCGTCGACTGCTGCTTGAGATGAGTGTACAGAAGAAGCGATCATCGCGTTCACTCCAGATCCGGTCAGGTTGGGCTCGGTCAAACCGCCCGTATACGGAGGAGAAGGGCGCTTTTGGGCAGTTGAGGACGAATCACCAAAGCGGATGGATGTCTCTGGAAATCCGAAAACCCGCCGTTCGTCGCGAACCCCGCCGTGGTTGGAGCTCTTGTTGACAGCGTCAACGGGAGACCTCGACCCCGACCCAAGCAGACGGTCAAATCGCTCTTCTAGAGAGTCTAGAATCTGTAGAAGGCCCACGGGGGTGTTCCAGAACCTGACAAACTGCTTGTATGTGAGTCTCAAGGCGTTAAATTTGGCGTCGGCAAGGTCTCGGCTGCCGCTGGGGGGAGGCCCGAACTTTTTATTGAGAAGCTGCACAGTCGCCGCCAGCCAGATGGTCGTGGCTAGGAATGGGTTGACGTAACGAACGTGCGTGCTGCTGCAACGGTTCAAAAGGAAAACAATGTTGTTTGAAGCTTCGACATACTGCTTCAAGCCTTGCACGTTGGGCTTGCGCGTGGTGCACATGAGGAGAATTCCGGGTTGGCTGTTTGCCTCGTGTATATCCATATCTGCGTTGCCGTGTGGCGGTCTAGCAGGCTTCGCGCCCTTGTGGAACGTGTAGTGGTGGGCAATCATGAACTTTGTGAGTTCTGTCAGGACATAAATGCTATATCTGGCGTGATCTAACACGCTGCTGACGGGGCTTTGATCGCAATCCACAGAGGTAAACCTGAGAGCCTCGTTGTGATATTGCAAGGAGTCTGGAAGTGCAAGAAGCGTGCACTGTAGAGTGTGCGAGAGCAGTTCCAGCTCTTCCTCGGTGTTGCTTGCCGTCTTCCAGGCTTCGGATGCGTGGTTGATGGTAGAGTCGTCTTTGTCTAGTGTTTCGCTAAGCGTTTTCTCTGATAGTGAAAGTGTCTGGGCATTCCGGGACAGTGAGATCATGACGATGATCCAAGCCACGGGGCTTTCATTCCCACTTCGTTGAAGAGCTTGCCACCGGTCCCCAGGCTTTGCCGGCAAAAAACAGCTGGGATGGAAATTCTGCCGGAACCAAAATTGATCTTCCACTGGCAACAAAGTCGAGCTTTGTGTCCAGCTGAGTCCAGTGGGGACTCGTCGGATCGTGCTTGCAAAGCAATCCATCTCCCAGACCGCCCACCAGCAGCGTCTACGTTCTTCCTCCTGGCTCCAGGCCAAGATCTCGGCCTCAGTGCGAGGGACATAGCCTTCGGGCTTGTGTGCGTCAATACAGTGCAGGTTCAACTCATATGCCACACGAATGCAAGTTCCCAGCCACCTCCAGGCGCGACCATGGACCCCTTTGGTCAATTGGAACCAAGTGGTCAAGATAATTGCTTGCAGGAACTCCAGAGGCGGAGTGCCGTCCGAACACTGAGTCAATGATTCTTCTTCGAAACGCAAGGCTACCTGGTGGAAATGTTCCGCGCAGGGGATTTTGCTCGGTTCTTGGTTGAAGTGGTTCATTCCGACCTGGTCTTCGGCATCAGTGACAAAGCGGGCAGAAAAAGAGCACATCGACGCTAGGAGAGCGTATAAATAGAGGGACGGCCCCATCTGCTTGAGCTTCTCTGGGAATGTTGTCCGATGGAACAAGGAGAATGCGGTCATGTTGGCAAAATACGCATCGATCCTGTGGGATTGAGTGTTAGTTTGACGAAGAAACCCCCTGTGTCAGGAGACTGCGGAAGGTTCACTTACAATCTCTCCAGCACGGCAGGGGAGATGTTCAAAGCGTGGGAGGCGTGCAGCATCGCGTCTGAATCACGCATGGACACGCTGATAATGGCATCCTGGGATACTGTCTCGTGGACAGGCTGCGACCAAAGTCTTGATTTGATCAAGGAGTTATCCGACCCAGGTTGAAGATCCATGCCGAACAATGAAGACTTTGTGGCGATATCTGGTCGATTGCTGACCGTTGTTGCTGCAGTAGTGTCTGGAGACAGTGGCATCTCAGGGGTGACAAGTGGTTGCAGGTATGCAAAGCCTTCCGTGGGTTGACTGTCTGAAGCCATTGAGAATTCGTCCCCATTTGAGTCCGGATGACCGCGGCGTGCTGTCGTTGCATTATCATCGCACGGTGCGCCCGCGGTTTTTTCGTCGTGAGACTTTCTCTTCTTCGACCGTCGCGGCTTCTTCTGGGTCGATCCTGGTACAGTTTGTTTGAGTCAGTGAAATTGAGCAAGTAGCTGACACTGGAGGAGCGCATTACCCGTCTTTGGCCCAGGCCGAAGCCGTTTGGATGGATAAGTACACTCTTGGAGACTTTTGAGACAGAGGCTACACGAGGGCACTCTACGATCACTACGACAGTCAGTTTCGACCCCATGCCACGGTAGGGGCTCCCCCTTGTCAGCACGACTGCGAAGACACTCACCATCTCGCCTTTCGTCTGTCGGTCCATAGTCAGCAGGATCACATTTTTTTCAGAGTGCCTGATTGTCGTACCTTCGACAAGCTTCACAAGATACATCGGGTGGGCCGGAGGAAGCTGCTGTTGTTCTTGTCGCAACATCATCCTCGACACCAGACCAGCTTTTGACGTCCATTGTTAGAAAGTTGCGAGATAGTAAACCCGAACGCTGCGACAGATACCCGCGGGGAGCTTATCTTTTGTTTAGGAGGCCCCCTGGGGTACCCCGCGCCGAGGTCATCTCCTCGCTAGACGGAAAACTTTAGTACCACGGACGAGAGGCACATTGACCCCTGCGTTTGATGAGATATGGCTGGCTGTTGCCCATTAGGTTCAGCCAGAGAGATATGGGCTAGCCAACTGTGGCATAACTGGGGTGGGCGAAATTGGCCCGCTGTGGCCCTCGGAGTAACTTGTGCTTACGGAGTATCTCCGAGAGATATTACAGTAGTACATGTAGACCCAGCTCCAAAACCTTCTACTAGCCGTATGTAGAAAGTAGCTCTGACGCTTCGGGCTTAAAGCACTCCGCGGTGATTCAATGAGGACCTGCTTGGTCTGGTCAAGTCCTGTGCTGCTCTTCTAAGTCTATTCGACTACTCCTATTGACTTGCTCCCATGTCCTTCTATCGGATTCCTCTTCGCCAGACCAAGGCCCTGTCTCCAGTGAGCCACAGCCACTTCTCGACAAGGCACCAAACTTACGGAGGTTCGCCTATCTGCCCAAGGCTGTGGAAGTGCACATAGCAGCCGCAGGGGTCGCGTCTAAGAAGTGGCCATGTTGGGACGTTGGAACGGGTAGTCCTTTTCGTGAGCAAAACTGTTTCCCATCTGTCTCCCTATTTGTCCTAGGCGCGCCACCGCAATACATTTCGGAGTGGTGCGTTAACTGGCCAAGCAGGAATTACGCAGTGACTGCGTGTGCTATGAGAATGGCCGTCTGTCTCGTCAATGATCTCGGCCTCGATCTCCCTCATCCACTATTCGTAAGGGGCAAGGAACTTTCTTGCGCTAGTGAGCTCCCGCGAGATGATGTCAATGTGCGTTTGACTCCTTGGTTTGAAAATGCACTTGAAGGGGGCCGGGCCATGTAGAAGACCCTCGTTATAGTTGTCCGGGTCCAATTTCAGAGGTTGTCCAGTCGCAGGATCGATGCCTGGAACAATCTCGAAAGCCCAAAGCAACTTTGCTGCGATTCTCCATTGCGTTCGTTCTGCTAAGTGGATTCCAGGGCACATCCGACGTCCACTGCCGTAGCCATAATGATGTGAAGAACAATTAGCCAGACGTCATTCAGGCATTCTTGGGAAGGGACAACTTATCTCGATTGTTATAGTCTGCGCCTCCAGCGTAATCATTGGCGAGTTTCGTGTGGTTTTTGTACCTCTCAGGCTTAAAGCTATAAGGATCTTCGTAACCATAGCGCTCGGCATGATGAAGAGCCCAGGAAGGGATGAAAATGGTCGAGTCTTTGGGGATCAACATTCCCTCATAGAAATCGTCTTCCGCTACTCGGTGCGGGATCCCTACCGGCGCCCTTTGATAAAATTAACATTTCAAGTGCGCACGGCTAAAACTGACTGGGTAACTCACGCCGGACGCCATCTCATTCCTTCCTTGATGACACAATTGATGTATGGAAGCTGGGCGAAGTCAGACCATTCGGGCATACTATTATGAGATGTTATCAGCGGTCCGATTGTTCAGGGCTCGGTGGTGAAGCCTACCGTTCTGTGCCGCAGACAGCATCCAGCTCTTTCTGAGCTTTTGCTTGGACTTGGGGGTTCATTGCTAGGCAGAGGATGAGCGTCAGCATTGTGGAGGAGGTCGTTTCCGCTCCTCCCTCAACCAACAGACCAAAGAAGTGGTCTAGCTCTTGCTTGCTCAACGGTGAACCCTTTTCAGTGTATTCATCCAGGAGCTTGTCAGCAAGAGAGCCAAGTGAGGTGCGAATATCGCCCCGCCGTCGTCTCTCGTCGACTCTTCTGCGTGCTTCTCCCCATATTTTATTCATCACTTTTCCAGCGTGCTTTGCTCGAGTTTTCCAGGGAGACATAAATTCAGGTAGGTACTTGAGTATAGGGAACTCATCGACAGGGGGGTTAGCCCCTGGTTCCAGCGCTTCGCCGAACTAGGAAGGGCCATCAGTAATAGTCGCAGTAGGCACCAGATTGGTGAAGTATACTCTGTCTAACGCGTCGTAGACACACTGTGAGGCTGGTCAGTAACTCAAACGGGTTTCTTCTCATTGGAAATCTGCCTTACATGGCCCCAGAAGTCCTCGTAACTTTTGGCTCGCTGGCCAAATACCAAGATGCAGGCGATTGAAGAGGTAACTCGTTTCATGTGATTGTAAAAGTCGTCGGGATTTTGAACGAGATCGTTCATCAAAACAGTCACTCTGGGTCAATTTAGCTATTATTCGACCCTGATTCTACACAGAAATGCAGGATTCTCACAACTTGGGCAAAGGTCAAAGGATATAGGGTGACTTTTACTTACTCGGCGTCTTGAACTGGAGCGACTCTCTCGTCAAGTATTTTTGGCTAGGGGCTTGTCAGTATTCTACAATGGCCGGGTCGCTGGGGACAAACTGAAAAATTATGTGTTGTGATCTTTCGTTTAGCCTTTTGCCGCTCATGGTGATCCTGGAACACAAGGCTATCGCCGTGAGTGACCAGATCATTCACGTAGCTGTGTGGTCTCTCTGCGTAAAGCAAACCCCTTTTATCCACGAGTTCATGGACGGCTTTACGGTCGTATAGGACAATCACATTGGAGGAAGCCAATTTAAGCGAATAGATGCCGCCGAACTCCTCACCCCAATCTTGAAACCTGCGTCGCAGTCAACAATCCGTCTGAAACTGGCCCAGGTCGAGACAGATTGGGGAACATACTTCTTGTACAGTCCAGTTAGTGGTATTTGATGAAGATTTCCAAGCAGAGGGAGCGTAGATGGGCCAGGAGGCATGCGCTTGTCTCTTCGTCCAATTTGAAGCAACCTATAGAGGCCATAAACGAGAAGCGCAACAAGACCAATCGTCCAAGCCGGGGTTCCACGGAGTTGGAGTTGGCGTATCCTCCCATCAGCTTCGTAGAGACCCATTGTGTGCTGCGCGAGTCTGTTTTGGTCGTGGGAAAACGATGCTTTCCCTTTCTCCCCAAGAGCCGGATGGTCTTATATACAATATTATGATAATTCTGAGAGAAATCTCCAGAGTATTAACAAGTTCCAAACCTGCAAGGGATCAATGAACGGGGTCCATAGAAGAGGTTTTCATTTCCTCCGGATCTCGAATAATCTTGTCTTGGAGACGGCCCGAATTCATGACCCTCATGTACAGATCTGTGTTGATGTGCTCCGCGGTCTCTACTTCCCCATGGGACAATTCAAACCTCCAGATGTTGCGGCCTAATTTCATGCTCTACGTTGCTGAAAATAGTTATGGGATAATTCAATAGGTCTTCATCCGTTTATAGTCCCATACATTCTTTGGTTTGTGGTGAGAAGGTTACTGCTTCTCCTTTGCACACCCTCTCTCTAGCTACGGTGCTCGGACGGTCAGACCTCGAAGGTTGAAAAGAGAGAAGCATTAACTCTGGTACTTACTCATCCTTTGTGCCACGTTGCGCTGTTGTTGTTGGAGAGTGCCAATACTGTCGCAAGCAAGGAAGAAGGCTTCCAAGGGGGGGCTCGTCATGGAATATACTCGGTGAGGTATAATGATGATTATTGTTTATGTCCTCTTTGCCTGACTTTGAGAACGAACTTAAGACTAGGGCAATCGGGCCTCAAGGTCTCCAAAGTCATCCTTGGAGCGATGTCTTTCGGAAGTAGTAAATGGCAACCTTGGGTCCATGACGAAGAATCCTCGCTTCCACTCATCGAGTACGCGTACAAATGCGGCATCAACACATGGGATACCGTGAGTTTTGTACACTTACGGACTTGCGGAGGCTCACAGCCTCGTCAAATCTAGGCAGATATCTATTCACATGGAGAAAGTGAAAGAATCCTAGGAAAAGCCCTGAAAGTATACAGCATCCCTCGCGAAAATGTTGTCATTCTCACCAAGGGCTATTTTGCCCTGAGTCAAGACGGCAGCCAACTCCCACTGTCTGAGTGCATGGTCAATGATGGACGTCTAACTAATCGAGTCGGGTTGAGCCGCAAGAAACTCTTTGATGCGGTCGCGGCTTGCGTAGAAAGACTGGGCACCTACATTGACGTTTTTCAGATCCACAGGCTCGACAGAGATGTACCAAAGGAGGAAATCATGCGCGCACTGAACGACTTAGTGGACAGCGGAAAGGTCCGCTATATCGGAGCGAGCTCAGTCAGTGTAGCCTCCACCTCGGCATTTTGCTCATAATTTACTGACAACAGTGGACGCTCCAGATGTCAGCCTGGGAATTTCAGCAGCTACAAACCATTGCCGAGAAGAACAAGTGGCACAAGTTCATCAGTATGCAAAACTATCTGAACCTCCTTTATCGCGAGGAAGAAAGAGAGATGCTGCCATTTTGCGCAGATACCGGTGTTGGTCCTATACCGTGGTCGCCATTGGCTGGAGGTGTTCTAGCGAGACCATGGGGCACGGTCACGAAACGATCAGAAACTGATGAGCACAAATTGCACCATGGAGCTGTTGAGGTACAGAAAGCTATCCTTGAGCGGGTGGAAGAGCTGTCACGCAAGAAGGATGCGCCAATGAGTGCTATTGCAACCGCATGGGTTATGCAAAAGGGCGCATGTCCGATACTGGGATTGAATTCCAAGGAAAGAATTGATGACGCGCTTCTGGCGTTGAAGGTCAAGTTGTCGGAGGAGGAGATGGACTACTTGGAGCAGCCATATCAACCGCGGCCTGCTGCTTGCTATTAGAAGTGGTTTAATTGCAATGAATTTGGTCTATCCAGCTAGTACTGACTTTCATGGTCGGCCACTGGAGGAGCTTGGCTGGGGAGATTTTAACATAGCTCCCTACTTCTCGGATTGAAATACCCGGGACTTCTTGCTTGAATTGACCAACATCTGGAGAGTTCCAGCGTTGACCCGACGTATTCTCCGCGTGGTAGGGAAATTTGTCCGCTTACCGGAGTATCATAATGAATCTATAGCGTTTCGGCTGTGCGGATGGTCAAATCATCTTCGTGGAACTACGCCCTGCAACTCTAAAAATCGAGTATTCTCCAACATTCATCTCCTTCGAGGCAACTATTTTATCATCTTAATTTTCATCTCAAGGCCTCGCGAGCTGCTACGTTCAAGTTATCACAGCGGTGAAGATGATAGCGCACCCTGTTGACCTTGGCAGTTTGTGTTCGCCAGCGAATCTAGTCAGTGGTCATGTCGGATATACGGACCTTATTACTTTGCTCTTCTCGACCTCAATCTACACCACCGTACGGGATAAACTGGTAAGTCCAGAGGACCATCACAATTGGCACCACTAATGAAATTTGTTCCAGCGATCGGTGAGCGGGATGTATGGTTCAGCTCTCCTCCTTCTACTGATTTTTGCCACCCTCCTGTATTTGGCAAGATGGTGCTTGATTGGGTGGCAGCCGGAGGAGGCACAGGAAGACCTCAAAAGAGTTGAAGGCTTCAAGAGCAGCAGTGGCTCCAGGAACATTGTTGAGCGGATAAAGGGAACGGAAACTAATTTGGTCGTTTTCTTCGGATCGCAAACTGGTACAGCCCAAGATTATGCGTCTAAACTGGCCAAGGAAGGCCACTCACGATTTGGGCTGGCCACTCTGGTCGCCGACCTCGAAGACTATGACTACGAAAATCTGGCTGACTTTCCCCGTGACTGCATTGCGATCTTTGTTCTGGCAACTTACGGCGAAGGAGAACCCACTGATAACGCCGTTGACTTTTATGAATTCATCACGGCCGAAAATCCGCTCTTCGCCACGGATGATGAAGCACCTTTGGGAGCATTGAAGTACGCGGCGTTCGGCTTGGGTAATACGACATATGAGCACTACAATGCTGTGGTGCGGCGGGTGGACAAATGTTTAGAAGCCCATGGTGCTTCCCGGCTCTGTGAAACGGGTGAAGGGGATGATGGGGGCAACAGAACAACAGAAGAGGACTTTTTGACCTGGAAAGAGACCTTGTGGAAGACAATTTCAGCGCACATGCACCTGGAAGAGCGGGAGGCCATCTATGAACCCGGCTTTGACATTCAAGAAACAGATGCCGAACCCAATGCACTGACTGTGTATCTCGGAGAACCAAATGCGGCCCACCTCTCCGGAGTGCAGCGGGGCCCATATGGGGTGCAAAATCCATACCTTTCCCCCATAGTGCAGTCTTATGAACTATTCACCATGCCAGGGCGAAACTGTCTGCATGTGGAGTTCGATATCACAGAATCTACGCTGGCTTACCAGACGGGCGATCATTTGGGGATCTGGCCGATGAATGCGGATATGGAGGTGGAGCGCTTCCTGAGGGTGTTCGGACTTCTTGAGAAACGGAATACTGTTTTCAGCATTCATGTCGACACCCAAGGCAAGGTTCCTTTCCCATCGCCCACCACCTACGAAGCTGCAGTTCGGTATTATCTGGAGATTTGTGGCCCAGTCTCGCGGCAGTTCCTTGGTACTCTGGCTCAGTTCAGTCCCACAGATGCCGTTCGCGCGAGCATGGCAAAGTTGGGCCAGGACAAAGATTTATTCCACCAAGAAGTGGCGGTGAAATGCATGACCTTGGCACAACTGCTGGAGAGGCTGAGCCCTTCTCACGCTTTCTCTGGCGTGCCGTTCTCGGCCATCGTTGAGGGTGTGCGGAGACTCCAGCCCCGGTATTACTCCATTTCGTCGTCCTCGCTGATTCAAAGCAAGAGAATTGCTATCACTGCAGTGGTGGAATCTCGGCCAGTGGACTCGGATGCGAAGTTTTTGAAAGGGGTTGCCACAAATTATCTCCTTGCCCTGAAGCAGAAGCGATCGGGAGACGTCTCTGCGGATCCGAATGGAAGGACTTACAACCTCGACGGCCCTCGGAACAGATACGTCTCCAAAGTACCACTCTTCGTTCGGCCCTCCAGTTTCAAACTTCCCTCTGACGCATCCTTGCCACTGATCATGGTTGGTCCCGGCACGGGTGTAGCTCCCTTCAGAGCCTTTCTCCAGGAGCGGTCGGCCCTGGTAAAGTCGGGCCAGATGGTTGGCAAGACTGTTCTCTTTTTCGGGTGCAGGCAGCGATCAGAAGACTTCATATACCAAAAGGAGTGGCAGGTAAGACACTATTTGGACAAGATATGCTTCGATTTAGGCTGAATAACACAATTACAGGAGCACCAGGCCACACTCGGTGATAGGTTTCAACTTGTGACCGCTTTCTCACGAGAGACGTCCAAGAAGATCTACGTCCAACATCGCCTGGCCGAACTATCCGACATGATCTATGAGCTCTTGCAACACAAGGCATACTTTTATGTGTGCGGTGATGCGGCGCGTATGGCCAAAGACGTGAATGATGAGCTTGTACGTATAGTGGCTCGAGGAAAGGGGGTGCCATTGAAGGAGGCTGAAGGCTATGTCAAGATAATGAGAAGCTCTGGTCAGTATTTGGTAAGTCTTCTACACCAAGTGTTTGAATTCATTCAACATTTTAGATACAGTCTACAGAGCATTTCCCCTCCTTTGGATCAGTGCTAACTTTGAAAAGGAAGATGTTTGGTCATGAGGTCTACTGGCCGCTACAGGAGATCAATCTCCCCAGAGTCAAGAATCTGAAGGTAGAAGGTGGAGGGGGTCAACAGACGTACTGGAAGACAGTGTGTGGTCCATTGTTGTCCTACTGCCAAGCCGCATGTAAATGGCTACGAAGACGCTTATTGGCGCTTTACTGAATTAAACCCGAGTTTTCTGAGTTGGTGAAGCAATTCTGAACCTAGTCAATATGATTTCCTGGTTTAATCAGTATTGATGGTACTATTCAGTTATGATTATGCCCAGCTACCTTTGATCACAGACACCCAAGAGGCGTATCTGTCACACGAGCAGACCCCAGACTTTGATGTTGTTTGTGTTGATACAGTAATGCTAGAGTACGAAGAGGCCGACGGACCAATTGTGCTTCCAGAGTGATCATATGCGGAGTAATTTGGTGGTGCTACTTTATCACGGTGCAATTGTCTCATCGTCGGTCCGTCAATCGAGATTCGAGTCGGGTATATGATGTACAAGAAACATTCGAAGTGCTGTATTCTATTGCAGTATTAACAACACATCAGCCTTCCAATTTCATCAATACTTCATCATATAACCATGGCCCATGGGAGGCAGTCTGGCTGGGTGCAGGATGAGGTAAATACTGATGACTCCTCAAGACATGTTGCAAAGCCCCCTGACTTCCCTGCAGGAGGAGTACCCAAGTATTGATAAGACCTACGACTTCCTGCATTTGCCAAAAAGCACGGTGGGAACGGCATAGTTGTACTGATGGGGTCACCAGAGAGTCTAATTTGACACAGGATCATAAACCCGAGTTTGAAAAAGAGGAGCAGGAAATTCTGGAGCAGCTGTATAAAGGATGGCTGCGCTACTGGAACAAAGAATCCATGCACGACCCGGGAGCCGGCAAATCGCGCAGATTCTACGACTTCGACGAGATGCTGAGTTATGATATGTTCGGGACTACTCTGCGCGGGAGGTTCAATGAACACTTCGAGAATGTTTTCCCGTATTATGTCGATGGGCAGATGGAGTATAAAGATCTAGAGATCGTTGTTCTTTCACCGACTCACGCCTACTCGACATGCTACCAGCATACGTGGGGAAAGGCTGGTGGGGATCCGTTTAATATCACGTTTCGAAGAACTGGAATCGCGAGGAAAAAGGACGGCCAGTGGAAATGGATCCACGAGCATCTTTCGTTCCCTGTGAACATGGCCACGGGACAAGCGGACTATAATTGTGAAAGCAAAGCATTGGAGTCCTTCAAGTTTCAGGAATGAATGTCATCACATATCCTTATCACACTTTGATAGAGCGTAACATTCTTTGGAAAACAGTCTCTGACGACCAGCCGGATTGCAAGTGTCTGAGCGCGTTTTGGGCGCTTAGTCGCACTGCACTTCCGCCTTGATCTGAGGTGACAGTTTATGTCGCTAAATATCAGCCGGTCTGTAGAGCTGCGCACACTGATAAGACTTGCGAACCCCAAGGACAACATTCACGCCACTTTTTTTGTTAGGGAGAAATGCGGCTTATTGTCAATAGTAGGGACCCTCCAAGGGGAGATGGTTACCCGGATTAATTGCGCGACAATTATCTGCAAGGACTACTACAGACGCTCAGGGCCAACTCATGAGCGCTCTGACTCCCGACAAATCATTGTGAACTTAAGAACAGCCAGGAATTATATCTAAGCTGATTCGTCCTCAAAGCCCATCATTCTTTGAAGTTCTTCGTGGTGAGCGCTTGCCCGCTAGCATTTCATCAATGGCACCATCCGCGAAGGACAAGACGTCCAAAGGACTGAAGACCATCTCCGTCGCTGAAGTCGTTAATCATCGGAGAAAGGAAGATCTATATCTTGTCATCCATGACAAAGTGTACGATATTACAAGTTTTGTCGACCACCACCCGCAAGTCTTCCCTGTGGCTATCACTCATTTATACTAGAAATTGCTAATTTCAGCCGCAGGGGTGGGCAGGAAGTCCTTATTGACATGGGAGGAGTCGACGCAACCGAAGCATTTGATGAGGTTGGACACAGCGAAGACGCACGACAGCACCTCGCTGAGTTCCTTATCGGCAGCCTGAGTCGCGAGGTATGTACCTCCTAACAATTCTATTGAAGTTGTAGCTGAGAATTTGTCCATGTATCTCAGGCTGGAGATGGAAGAAGCCTGGCGTCATCCGGGAAGGCTTACAAGAGCTATCATGATTCCCCTCCAAAGAGTAGCCCTTCGGTTTTGGTCAGGATCATACTCGTACTGGCAGTCTCCATAGCGATTTTCCTTGGATGGCACCAGCTTCTTTCTTGAACGACAGTGGCCCCGGGCAGAGTCGAATTTGGAGCATTTCCGGTGGATACTGGAGGTGGTCAGAATTGAGCACTGACGGATGCATCATATCTGCAGTCGGATCGTAGATATAGCATACCAGACAACTGTCGATTGTTCGTTCAACCATAGCCCCTTGACTTTTATTGAAGTTTGTAAATGTCTCAAGTCTCCAACGTTTTCAGGTCTTGACGCCATATCCATTACATGGAGGCCCCTGGGGACTTTTGTCCGTTGCCGATCTCGCACACATACTATTCAAATCTGGCGTTCTTTCCTTTCAATAACGTCTTTGAATATTGTCGAATCGCCGTCCTATACGCCAGCTGACGGATATCGTAGCAAATTGAGTTCTAATGTTGTCACTGTCGTCCCTAATTCACTGTGGCTTATGCGATCACCTCCTTCCGTGGACAACTATAGGGGTCAAGAATGGCATCGCGGATTCCGATGACATATTCAGTGGGAGTCGAAGATCGAATGTGGGCGGAACAATGGTGCACCTAACACGGTATACCGGGATATTATCCAGAGGCAATGCGTTGAAGGCAAAGGCGTCCACTGCTGGAAGCTTCCCTACAGGCCTTGACACCGATGTTACGGCCAGTGTGGCAAGTTGGCAGTCTCTGCTCCCACAGCAGTAAGGCCAGAGAGCGCATCAGAGCCTTGGTCGATTCGCATTACAAATTGGTGGATTGTCTCGTCTTTGCTGCCGGTTTCTAGATTTTCGCGTTCGGAATCATTTGGCCTAGCCACGGACCAACTTTCTGGAAGTAAATTCAAACAATTAGCCCGGCATTGCTCGTGGGGACCTGCGAACGATAACATCATATATTTTGCAGCGACGATGCAGTTGTTAACAAGTTTATCAACCCATTACGAGGAGGAAAAGTGTATATGCACCGACAGAACGTCTGATCAGCGAAGATGGCTAAAGAACTACCTTACCTCTATCTTGTCGTCCTGGTGCTGGGAGTCTATGGATTCTACCGACTTCTCCAGGTAGGCAAGCGAGATCCAAGGATGCCAAAGGGGCCCCCTACACTGCCAATCTTGGGAAACTTTCACCAGATCCCATCCACTGGAATGTACAGACAGTATGTGAAGATCCCTTCAGATGATGTTGGCACATGACTGACATTCCATAGGTTCCGGGAATGGGCAAAAGAATATGGTTCAGTATTTTCACTGAAGTTTGGGCCTTCCAACATCATTGTCCTCTGTGATAGAGAGGCCATTCACGAACTGCTCAACAAGAAAGGCAGCATTTACTCAGATCGACCCACAACATACGTCGGCAATCTACTGACTAAAGGAGATCATATTGCAATTTCTCAAGCAGATGCCCTCTGGCGAGAAAAGCGAAAGGTAATTGCGCATAACTTTTCTCCCAAAATGCTTGACGAGAAACATTTTCGAGTTCAGGAGGCCGAGTGAGTCTCGATTGGTTGAGTGTAGAGGCCCGAACGCTAATTTGAGATCAGAGGCATCGTTTTGATGAATGACCTCTTGACAAATCCGGACGGATTTTTTAATCATATTCGTCGATATACGGCTTCGGTGGCAACTACGTTAGTTTACGGCCAGCGAGGCGCTACCTTCGACTCCTTCTGGGCTCATGTCAGTGACATTCCGCGTGTTTCTGATGGAATCTAACAATGATTTAGGGTGTTTTCGATGTCATGGCCAAGGTAGGAAGACACAATCTCAGGATTTTCCTCAGCTAAACGTGCCAGTGGACCGAATGTATGGAACCGGGTGCCAATCCCCCGGTAGACGAGTACAAATTCCTTCAGTGGCTTCCTGCAAGTTTCGCGCACTGGAAGAAGCGAGCGATACAAGCAGGAGATACTATGGACGCGGTATGGGATCGAGCACGCCAAATTATAGATACACGGAGAACTAAAGGCAATCACCGCGATTGCATCGCCGACCACCTATTGGACGAGTATTACGAGAAAGGCTTCCCAATGAGCCAACATGCCTTTAACAATCTTATCGGAGAACTGGTAGAGGGCGGTGCTGATACTACGGCAGCTCAATTGTTGACGATGGTTCTGGCTCTTGCCCGTAATCCTTGGGTTCAAAAAAAGGCGCGCGAGGAGATTGATCCTCTGTGTGGAGCCCATCGATCACCTGAGATGAGCAAAGACTTCGAAAAACTTCCGTATATCAACGCGATTGTCAAGGAAGGCATGCGGTGGCGTCCAGTGTATGTATAGACTAAGTCTTCCCTCTTTTACCCATTCACTGAACTCAGCGGTACAGTGCTGTTACCGCACTCCCTCACAAAGTTAGGCAAGGTACGCTTACTACCCACCAACGCGCGGCCGGGATGAAGTATCTAATCTTTCGAAAGATGATTATTACAAGGGAATGCTTATTCCAAAGGACTCTACTGTCTTCATTCCCACTTGGGCCATCCATCACAGCCCGGACATCTATCCAAACGATGAGGATTTTAACCCCGACCGATTCTTGAACTACCCCAGGCTCTCAAGCGAGTACGCTGGTAGCGCTAGTTGGAAAGACCGAGATAAGTTCATGTATCCATGATTATAGAACAATTACTAACTTAGCTATCACACCATTATGGGTATGGGGCTGGTCGGAGAGTATGCCCTGGAATGCACTTGGCCGAACGAAATATGTGGCGGATTACCTCCAAGCTACTTTGGGCTTTCGACATCAATGAACCAATCGACCCTAAGATCGGCAAGACCATTCCGCTCGATCCGAATGCCTATAATCCAGGTATCACGCAAGCACCACTCCCATTCCAAGTAAGGATAACACCTCGAAGCCCAGAACACGCCGCTGTGCTTCGAAAGGAACTTCAGAGTGCTTTGGAATTCCTGGCCCCCTTTGAATCGAACGAATAATGGGATATATATACATGAACGACAGGACCTCTGCATTGGATAAACAAAGTCGTGAACCATGAGCTTAAGACGTGAAGCAAGGGTTACGTTCACGGCAGAAGTTTCAGAGCAGGGGATATTCTCGGGTTCTGTGGTTACAGCAATATTGTACGAGACGCGTCATGGGACTCGCTTCATTCAGACCTTCCTTGGGGAATGCGAAAGAAAATCAGATAGGTGTCCATACCTGGCAGCGAAGAACAGAGGATCCAAAACTCCAATGAAGTCCGGCCTGGTCAACCGATGGTGGTTCTTCACTTTCCCTGTTGTGGAGGCACGAAAGAACTGGCTGAGATGCTTGAGTCCCTCTATCTGGAGAAAGGACAGCACTTGCATACCCTACACCTACCATGCGGGTACGAGAGCTGCATAGTAGAAGTCGGTATAAACCATAGTTTTTATCCCCGCGGGACAAGGCTGTCGTCGGAAATTCAAGCCATTTCTTGCTTTGCAACTGACACACGGAGCAATTTTATGCCCTTCGGAGTAATTTGCCCAATATATTTATATCTCTCTGTGATGATCTTTTCTAAGATTGGTTCAAGTCCTGCTCTAACTACCTCGTTTGCGTTGACCAACATTTGAGCAACGCTTCCATCACACTTCAATTGGCTAGACTAGGTACTGGATATTGGCAAAGAACACAGCGACAAAATATACTGTTTGAACTTACAGATATGGGCCGACTGTACAACTGGGGATGCGCCATGGTGGCCGGGTCCGGCAGTATGCTGTACGGATATGATGCAGCGATTATCGCTTCAACGTAAAATCTTGTCTGAAGATTTCAAAGAGTACGGCTAATCGTGTGACAGGTTCGCGCAGACCGGATTCATAGACTATTTCAGGCCCAGTGCTACTGTTATGGGGTATACCCTACCCAGATCCGATTCCCTATCGCAGTCATGCTTGAGCTGACAGACTCCTTGTAAAGCGCGATAGGGTCGAGCTACTTCGGAGGAGTCGTCGTTGGACTCATCATCATCACGATAATTGCTCAAAAGCTCGGTAGAAAGAGATCTATACAGCTTGGTGGCCTGATAGGTCTTGTCGGCGCCATCATGCAAACCGCGGCGCAAGACATGGCAGTGTTCTTTGTCGGCCGGGTTGTTGCTGGGGCAGCCTCTGGTATCATGCTGACGACGGTCAATGTGTATCAGTCCGAAATTGCACCACCGGCGGAACGTGGCGCCATGGTCGCGTTCCAACTTCTGGTTCTCTCTGGCGCAGGAGGCCTCGCTTCGTGGGTAGGCTTCGCCTGCAACTTCTCTTCCAATGTCACGTTCTCTTGGTGCGCACAAGACAAAGACCAGCAGTGAGAAGGGTCGAGGTTTTCTAACGGCAAATAGGCGCTTTCCCATTGCTCTTCAGATGCTTCCAGCGATATTTCTGATCATCGGGTGCTTTTTCATCCCATTTTCCCCACGGTGGCGTAAGTGAGACTCATCAAGAGGTCATACAACGGTCGAAGACATGGATGCTGACAAAGGGTCTTCGCATTCACTAGTGATATCACAAGACAGGCATACCGAAGCTCAAGCCGTCCTGAAGAGGTTGCATGACAACCACAAAGATCCACTATTCTGGGAAAAGGAGTACTTGCAGATATCCGCACAGCTTGCGGAGGAGGCCAGAGAGAAAGCCAGTTCTTCTTGGCTTCACATGCTCACCAATAAGCGTGAAGCCAAAAGAATCTTGGTTGCCGTGGCGGCTTTAACTCTGCTGCAGACGAATGGTGCCCAGACTATCCAAGTCTACCAGGTACGTTGATGGTGTTCGCGGACGCGAGAGCCAGGATTTAACCTTCAGCAGTCAATATTATATCAAAATCTGGGCTTTTCCACCCGGCAGACCTTGCTGATGGCTGGGATTTTCCAGATCATATTGACGGTGGGATGCCTTGTAGGTCTGCTCTTGATTGATCGAATCGGGCGACGACTTCTCTTGCTTGGCAGTTTCGTTATCCTTTCCATATGCCTGGGCATATTTGCAGGATGCACTGCGAAATATCAAGCCACCGGAGAATCGAGTAAGTATTCTATCACACCGGAGCCATCCGCAACTAACATTCGCTGGTAGGCTTTGGAAAGGGAGGCGTGGCAATAGTGATGATTTTCATCTTCTTCTTCGGATCGGTGTCAGGGGCACCATATGCGTATGCAGCAGAAGTCTTACCCACCAAGAACAGAGCAATCGGCTTTGCTATGGGGCTCTTCTGCTCCAATGCCATCACCATAATTTTCACTCAGACTGCACCTATGGCGTTGGAGGCAATCACCTGGAAATTCAATTTTGTCTTTATATGCTGTAATGCCTTCTTCTTTCCCATTGTTTGCTTCTTCTTTCCAGAAGTAAGCACCATTTCCCCCATTTTTTCCTCAACGAGACTAATGACTGACTTCAATAGACGAAAGGGTTGACACTGGAGGAAGTAAACGCTGCGTTCGGCGATAAGGTACAGGTTGAAATGTCTACAATGACGGACGGAAAGGCCGTGGAAGAGATGGTTGAGACAGCGAAGTATGAGCAGCCGTTCAAGTCAGCAGAATCTGCTTGATTGGTGTGACACTATCTAAAAACTCACATATCTCTTTATAGAGAGCTTTAGGCTCCTGCTTATATAGAAGCACGGAAGTGCTAGACAGTTAAGCTATCTACCCATAAGATAGGAGCGAGCTACCCGAGAATTCCACATCAATAGCCTGCATATGAATATTCTTGCCGTGATGAACTCAAGTCCTAAATTGTGAACTCGCACGGTCCACGCGGTCGAGCCTTTGTGCCTCACAAGATGAAGCATAACTTCCCAAAAGGGGCTTGCCCATTGACTGGTAGCCGTCATGGACATATATAGCCTGGCCAAGACTCAGTCTGCTGAAGTCTCTCAACATTGAACAAGAACCTTTTTACGAGCTCCGTGAGCGCTTCTTCTTCACAAGCTTCTAGACAGACAGAGTGATAGATGACGGAAATCCTGAAAAATCTTTTGAATAAACCGCTCAATCATCGGCAGTCACACCAGAAGCCAAAATACTCAGCGGCGAATCTTGACCTCTTCGAGACCTGAGCATCTCGCCACTTAACGTGAGTCGTGACTAAGCCATTCTGAGCTGTGGCTGTTTGATCCTGAGCACCGCTTAGCGAGCCCTGAGGCTTACCCTGGGCAGCCTGAGCATATGTAACCCTGAGTGCGTAAAAGGGGCCCATAACTTGGCCCCCGGGTTCCCAGTTTCTGTGTTTCAAAGCTTTGAAGGGCCATATTCCAGACACTCCCGCTCGGGTTATACTTGGCGCACTCACGAGGCTGCTTTCCGGGCCAAGCTTTTGCCTGCTAAGCCTTTTCTCGAGTATCGAGGTACCTAATGATCAGCGACCGGTGGGGCAGACTTCGGTGTAGCCACCAAATGCAGTAAAGGCCCCTCTTTTTATTGAGGCTGAGTTGCTGAGAAATGTGATACTAAGCTTCATCAAGTCCTGAGAGAATTTGTTGTTCGTTTCAACTGTGCAAAATAAGCTAGTCAATGGCCTGAGGGGCAGGCTGGAGTGTTTGCTGGCCGCCACAGGGCAGTGGTTGCAAGTGACTCTACGACGATGCTCAGCCAAAGTGATATGAGCGGCATGTCGCTCGGGCTTGCCGGTATGCTGTCCACGAACAGTCTATACCTCAATACCAATGGTACCTGCTTCGAGGCTTTCGACGACTTCCCTGGGTGAGAAGTTGCTTCCGGGGCTTGCCCTTGTCCCAACGACCGCAGTTTCCCTTTCTCTATTCGCGACACGAAACCACCACTATCAAGGCCACTTCTTCGACCTTGTTCAAGACTCCAGATCAGCTGTCCAAGTTGTCGTCCAAATCTTGTCTCTAATTCTTGCTATGCTCCAGCTATACGCACTGAGGAAATTGTTCGCGTTGGCAACTCGACTTCTCTTGCCCGGACGCAGGTTGTCTCTGGAGACTCTGTCATTGTGGGTAGCCATCAGTCAGACAAAACTCGACAACACCCTTCCCATGGGCTATTCCGTGCCAATATCTGTCTTGGTAGTCCTCACAGGCCTTCCCTCGGCGCTTTGGGCAGGTGCGCTGACACCCATCTTGGCCATGGATGCGCAGCTCACTGGGATCATTTCAATTCCCCAGTTCAGTTCTCGCTCCCATTCAGTATGGGCATCTCAGTTCCAGATCCGCCCACTTTACAACAATGTCACGAAGGAGTACGATATGCAAGTCTGGAATATACTGGACAACTGCACTGAGATCCACGATCTACGAGGCACCATCCCGACTTGCCCTGTACCGGCACTTCAAGGACCCCTCCTTGCCAGCGCCGGCTCCGCAACAACTGTAGACGTCAGCATTGCTCGAGTGCACTCGAAAATCGACAGTGTAAGCTGGGCATACTCTGGGCGGTCCTACGGAGTAGGGGCCTCGATAGGACAAACCGGACCTACCTTCAACACAAATTACAATGCCCTTGTCGCGTACAGCTATCAAGAACTAGGATACCGCACTCACGTCGAGTGTCTGAAGAACGGCTCCTCTGGCGTTGCACTGATACCAGTGGAGACTAACGATAGCGGGAATACATGGTATGTCCTGTCAGGTGCGTTACCAAACGAACCTCCGGGAACTGTTGAGAACTTTGGTCTTGCGAGCCTCAACAATAATCCCTCGCTGTTGACCTGGGCTGCGCGATCTTACGAAGGAAATAACATGGTGGTTATAGCAGCTTCAGAGAAGGATTTGGACCGCTTCAACCAGACTCAATGCTCCATTACATTCACTCCGACCATTTTCGACGTTCGCGTTAACATAACCTCAAAAACCGTTCGGGTCGAAGAGGCGGAAACTGGCACGGAAGCCGAGGATTTTGAGCCCACCGGTGACCTGGTATTCGGCACGGTTCAGAGTCTCAACCTCCTGGGCCGAATGAGCAACTCGTTCTATACTTCCGTCCTAGGCAATGCGTTGCTATCCAATGTGTACAACATGGAATTTCAACGGAACAAGTTTTCTACGCAAGACAACTCCGTGTTGCTAGCTGCGGTTGAAGAATCCTACGCTGCGATGATTGACGACATACTAGTCGCCTATGGAGCTTCACAGCTACTCAATGCACAAGATACCAAGGAAACGGTCGTTGTGGGTCAAAGGCAGGCAGTCCACATTGGCAAACACATCTGGATATACTTCACCTTGGCATTCAATGGCGCGATAGTGCTTGTGTTCCTCTTGGAGTTAATCAGAACCAGATTTTGGAGTGGCCTGTCGCGGTTCGACTATACAAATATCAAATGCACCATTACCGCGGCTTCAGCAGGTGGAATGGCCATCGCCAATAAGATCGTCTGCGCACCGGACAGACAGGGCAAGCAGGATGGAGAGTCCAGCGTCCAGCCGTGGGACGGATCTCCCAGCGATCCAGCTTTTGAAAAGACTATCATCGTCTTCAGCGAGGGGTCCGCAGCCTCCACCGCCGGGGGATACGGTGGGACAGGCATTCCAACACTAAGATTGGCATCTGCACCATCGGCCGCAGCGAGATTACTCGAAGACTAGCACTGCGGAGGCGTTCTCTTTCGTCATCCAGGTTCACAGATGAAGACTTTCATAAATTCAGACGAGCCAATGCACATGCTTCGAAAGAGAAACAAGTAACAACATCAGTCATTCCGATTATTGAAGGAGATGTCACCGATCACAAGTACGTTGCGGGAGGAATCCCGTTCACAAACCTCGACCATCTCACAGACGGCACCCTGGTGCCTGGCAATCCTGACCTTTACCATGGTGCGCGCCCGGAACAGCTTAATCGACGTGTACGCGCTAAGTTGAGACACCATATTATTCCTTCCACGCAGGATGACCTTCCTGTAGCCCCAAATTTCTTCCTCGCAGTAAAAGGGCCGGATGGCTCAGCTGCCGTGGTAAAGAGGCAGGCTTGCTACGACGGAGCCTTGGGAGAGATAGGTATGCATAGCTTAGAGGCATTCGGGCAGGAGGAACCATGCTTCGACAATAACGCTCACACAACCACATCAACCTACCATGATGGAACCCTGAAACTATATACCATCCATTTTATCCGGCCAACTATCCCGGGCCTTCAGCGTGAATGCTATATGCATCAACTGAGGTCTTTTGCCATGACTGATACAGTTCAAACGTTCCGAGAAGTAGCCTGAGCCTACAGGCATCTCAGCGAATAGGCCAAGGAAATGAGGGATGAGGCAATCAGACAGGCAAAAGGAAGACCTACTGACAGTCAAGATCCTGCAGTTCTTGTCCATCCGGATTTCGACCAGACGTGCAGCTCTAGGAGTGAGTCTACATTTGGAGGAGTCTGACACCTTTCACCAATGCCCCCACACCAGCCGTACCGATGTGTCTACCGCTAAATTCGATGACTCGGACACATCATCGATTGAACCCTAGCTCGATTCCAGAAGCTCTTCCAAACGCCCGAACAGGCAGTCCAAGGAGTATTCATCGTCCTAACGGAAACGACACAACGCTGGTACCCCTGACGATGGATGCAACTAATCACCTTCCGTTGCTTCTCTTGTACGGGACAAGACAAATTACAGATGAAAAGTTTCTTTTGCAGACCGATGTGAATCAGAAAGATCGAGACACTTCCAACATATCTCTCCTAGACCTGACTGGCATCTGTCCCTTCTGCAAGCCATAAGCCACTTTTATTGTCCATTAAAATTGAAATTGGCGCCATCTGTAGGGGCCAGCAAGCAGAGTCGTTCTACATTGAAACTCGCGGCATATCTGACCTCGCATTTCGTATCCGTCCATTCCAGTGTCACAGGTGGACGCCAAGCCCCGCGGCTTCATGATCTTTTCGACCCTGTGGCGGCTTCTTACGACAATCAGGACAGTCAAGCCTGCTGAAGTACCCGCAGCTTTTTGCCTTGCCACTCGTCTTCTTGCCATTGTTTCCTAGAGGGTTCACCTAAGATTCTACTCTGGATGTATAAAGTTAAAGCTTTGACTGGTGTGATGTGTACGATATTGGCAGCCAGTCTGCACAGCCCTTCTTGTTGCCTTCTGCATCCTCAATGGCGTTTGCCATGTGCCTCGCAAAGTCTTGCAGTGAGCGTAGGTCGTACGGAGAGGCATCAGGGTTGTCTCGCACAAATATATTGAGCCTTATCAGTGGAATGTTCCTACCAAAGAACTAAGTCACACACTCATTCCAGAGATTTACCTGTTTATCATAGTTGTTCTTCGTTCCCGGTACAATTTTCCGGAAACTCGGTTTACCATCAACGATGCCGGTATCTCGTCAAGCGCCCTTTTCTTTGGCTTTGCGAAGAGTTTCGCTGGGGATTTACTTTTTCCCCATTGCGAGCGGACCGTTATGACGAGATCGTAGTAAATGCGGATGTAAGGGAAAGGGGAAGGATCTGTGAGCTTAAGTGAAATGGAAATGAAAAGGAGGGGCAGGGTGAAAGGGAGACGGGAGAAGGCACGACCGAGATAAAGAGCAGATTAAATGATAGAAAAGGCACGACATGCATAACGTTCGGATGGTCATCAGGAGAAAGGGTCGCTCGGGTATGAGGCAACATAGGAAGCGCGATACATCTTACGCAAACGGAACAGGAGTGTGAGAGATTGCGTCCACCGTCTTTGCAAGGAGTCCCAATTTCGAACCCTAGGCCCTAAAGCTATACCCTCGTTGAAGGTCGCGTAAAGCTTTCACATACTCGAAGAGATACACCTACCAAGCGAAGCAGGGACCTATAAACGGGACTGAGCACCGGTGATGAGAAGGATGAGGAGGGTGAGCAGCGGCTTGAGCAGGCTGAGCCGAAGTTTGAGCCAGGGCACCTGATTCCTGAGTAAAGCGGCTGGCCACAAACCAAAAACGGTTGTCAAGGCCAGTTGTAGTGTCGCCGTTGAATACCTGAGTATACGACTTGATTTTGATGACTCGCCTTGATAGTGCATTTGTATCACGTACGGAGATCCTACACTGATAGGCTATCTTTTTCTACTAAGGTGCCTAATAGTCCGCCAGGACTGGCGCGATATTCTGTCTTTTGTTGAAAAGCAATGGATTGAGGCACTATTCCTGGCCATTCGAGCGGCATGGTAACCATTTCTGCCAAATACATGGAGAAGTTTTTCCAATGACCGGTGGATCGGTCGATTTTGGCGCATCGGGGCAATTTTGCACAGAAGCCCTGGACAATTCTCCGGTCAGCAGCTGTCAAGGTACATATATTGGCCTCGAAAATCTTCCGACAATCTTCACACAGTGTCTAAGATTCGAAGCATAGGCACGATGCAGGAGACTCACTCAGTGTAAAATTCTGTGGTACCGACCGTCTGAGCACCGGTACAGCGTCATAAAAGGTGCTGAATTCCCAGAGAAATCAAAAGTCCACAGGGCAGTGCCCCGACCAGGGAGTATCGAGAAGAAACGCTTTGACACGGTCCTCGTATGGATACTATCCAACTCGCTGACTTTGGCTCCGTTGGAGGCAAAGTTTTAAGCCCTGATACACTGGCGCACGTTGTCCTACGCACAAACAATCTCAGGGGCATGACCGAGTTCTATCTAAACTTTCTGGGAGGCACGGTCACGTACGGCAATGATATCATATCCTTTATAACATACGACGACGAGCACCATCGTATCGCAATTATTAGAGTACCCGGTACGAATTCCAAAGCCCCGACCAGCGCAGGACTAGAGCACATCGCTTTTACCTTTCCTACATTACCGGCGTTACTTCTCGCCTACCGACAACGAAAAGCCCTCGGCATCTCTCCATTCTGGTGCGTTAATCATGGCCCTACAACATCTATCTATTACAAAGACCCCGACGGCAATAAGATCGAGACCCAAGTTGACAATTTTGACAATGTCGAATCCGCCATCGATTTCATGAACAGTAGCTACTTCGCCGAGAATCCAGTTGGCACTGATTTCGATGCAGAAGAGCTATTGGAAATGATCAAGGCGGGGGTGCCAGAGTCCGAATTGAAGAAACGAGCTGAGATAGGACCGAGAGAACTTCCTAGCTTGGAAGCTATGTAGGATTGTGATATAATATGCAGTGGAATTGTCGTTGTTAAGCTTTAGCTCTAGGGTAGCGCCAGAGACTCGGAGGATACTTTTTATCAACGTTTGCTTGCCCTTCATGTTGAAGACCGTGCCTTTTATTAATCTACGTATCTCTTGGAGGACTACATATCCATGTTATTCCTATTTCTTCAAAGAAGACTGCTAGAGAACTTAAGAATCCGGGCCAGGGAATGTGCCAGAAGCATGGTGGCGCCCCGCCTAACTATGATGGAGTCCTCCGACTGTCAAAGAGTGAAGGTTATAGTGTAAAACAGTGATATACGTAAATGTACTCTAGGCGCTGTACCAGTGACAGGTTTGACTGATCAGGACGTTGGGTAGATAGGAGGATCTTACATATGAGTCCAGGCTGTCTACACACCCGTTTTGGCACTTTGAGTACCCACGCCAGTTCGATCAAGTCGAGGCAACCAACATCGTGGATGATTGTGACTCTAATAATTTCCACATTTCGAGCTTTTGGGCACGGTAAACTCGTCTTTTTTGACCGAGAACTCGCGACAGCAGTAGGAGAACCCGACAAGTACGATCATTTTCGCAATGTTGTTGAGCAAGGAGCTCAACGTGAACAGCATGATTTCTAACCAAAGAGCAATAATTCTCCGGACTTATTTGTGACATACTGACAGTGTTTTCGCAACAGGTACAATCTTTGGTTCAAGGTGATATGTGGCAAGCATGATAGTTTCTGAAGCACCTTATACACTTATTAAAAAAGCACCAACGACCTGCCACGTAGCAAATTGCAACCGTTTAGAAGAACGGTGAGAATTCGCTCAACGAAATTGGAGAGGACACTACATTCTGATTTGCGGAGTCAACCCTCTTTTTTCCTGTCCACTCTCACCGCCGCAGAATTGATCACAAAAAAGCTGTTCGGCAGGTTCCAACACTTCCATTTGTCGTTATTAAAGTACTCACGGGCAAAGAACTTGTGATCTACGCCTTGTGCTTCGCGAGCAGTCTCAACATAAGGACGCCTAGCTGGTCGGTGCAGCAAGGTTTGCATGCTAAGGGTATCTAGTCTTCCTACTCCCCCTGGCCGATATGAGCACCCCCAAGTGGCAGGGTCAGACTCAAACGGGCCTGGAGTACGCTCTGTTTTGTGCCGAAGAGGTTCTTTGCGAGAAAAGGGGAGAGGCGGAACGATTTGGTGTTGCGGACTAGGTTGGCGGCGAAGTAAGATAAACCACAACTCGAGCAGCTGCAGAAAATTCAGATGATCAGCGGTTGCTCTATCACAAGATTGTCCGTCAAACATCTACGTCTGGAAAAAGCACGTAGTCGGAGAACGAGCAGAAGATACTCCGGTGATGGATGTGGAGAAATCTCCTCACGATTACTGGGCAGATCGTCCGGGGTTCCCTCTGGGGTTCCCGCTTGGGCTGGTGAGGCTGGGGTGTAGATAGATGCTCCGCGTAGGGGGACTTCCACCCTGGGGGCGCGCAGTGAATGTGCATATTATAACCACGGCTGCTTTTCATACGTCCGTGTATTCGAGACAAGAGTATCATACCACAGCAGAGCGACCCAGAGTCTCATCGAAAATGGTACACTTGACCGGATACAATTTTGCCATAGCGCTGTTCGTCGCTTCCGGCGGATACACTTACGCCTACGCGTACTCTGTCTTCGCAACTGTCATTGGGGAACCTGGTTTCTATGACTATTTCAATCTCGACCGTACGTCTCTTGTCTGTGAGAAAACATCAAATCCTTGGTGGCTAATTGTCTTTTTAGCTGCCAGCGATCACACTGCGAGTATCATCGGCGCCATGAGCGCGCTGTTTGCCGCCGGTGCCGGTATTGGAGTTCTCGTCCAGGGATGGACAGGCGACTGGCTCGGTCGAAAACGGGCTCTGGCGCTGGCGTCGACCATTTCACTGGTCGGTTCCGCCTGCGTAGCAGGTGCTGTAAATGTGGCCATGTTCATCGTCTTCCGGTTTGTTCAAGGGTTTGGCCTCGGACAGTGTTTCGCTCTGGTTCCGATCTACACGACCGAGATCGCACCTCCACACAGAAGAGGTCTGTTGGCTGGTCTGACAGGCGCTAGCATTGTCACTGGCTACGTCACGTAAGTGTGAAATACTCGAACAAGCTCACCATGTAGTCCAATCAACTGACTTCGCCGTTATAGCTCGGCTTGGGTAGGGTTTGGTGCCTACTTCGCCGAAAGCCAGACCGTCCAGTGGCGGCTACCATTGGGTATTTCTTGCCTAGCACCAATCACCCTATTGATAGGAACATATTGGATCCCAGAATCGCCGAGATACCTCACCCTCGTGGGTCGGGAACAAGAAGCCTTGAGAATTTTGCTAAAAATACACCACGACGATAACGACCCCGGCGACACTGCAGCACATAGCGAGGCTCTCCAGATCTCGAGGCAGGTCGAATTCGACAAAAAGCAGCAGGCTGGATATCTCGAGATGTTTAAGAAAGCATCCTGGAGAAAGCGATCTCTGATTGCCTTTGGGCTGATGTTCGCGACGCAATCGACGGGATGCTTAGGTATCACGACCTATCAGGTTGTCATCTACCAAGCTCTTGGGCTCGACAAGTCAATGCCTTTGCTCATGAACGGGGTATACGTTTCTGTTGCAGCTATTTTCAACTATGCAGGGGCATATTCAGTGGACCGCATCGGGCGACGAACCATGTTTTGTAAGTCCACATCAATGTCGTGTTTGGCTCACCTCCCACACCAACTGACGGGCTTCGTAACTAGTAATGGGCTATCCATTGATCGCAATTATCCTCCTCATCGAAGCCCTACTACAAAAGTACTTCGTGGGAACTAGCAACAAAGGCGGCAACGCAGCATGTGTTGTATTCGTCTTCCTATACATTAGCGCCTACTCGTTCTTCTTGGACCCTGCACAGTTCGCCTATGTGGGAGAAATCTTCCCTACGACAATCCGAGCAAAAGGTGTTGGCATCGCATTCTTCGCGTACTTTCTTGGGGCGATCACCTACACGGCACCGGCCCCGGTGGCATTTAAAAACATTGGTTGGAGGATGTATATGGTCTGGTTTGCCTGCAACATCGTCTCCACAATACTCATCTACTTTTACGTCCCTGAGACAACCAGAGTTTCGCTCGAAGAGATCGGAGCGCTGTTCGGCGATGAGGTTGTGGTCCATATGGGCGATGATGGTCGTGTGGTGGAGCTCGAGGCCAAGACCGACACGACGGACAAGGCAAACAGTTGGAAAGACGGCAGTCAACCATGCCAATTGGAATTTACCGAGGACGTGAAGGGCAACATGCGTGGCTAGGGGAGTCTTTTATCAAGACATCCGCCTGCGCCCGGGGATTCGAGAAGGACAATCTTTTCCACCATGAGGAATGCATTTACAGTTGCAGTTTGTTACCATATGGCAAGACACCTAGCACAACGTTCCTCCGTCAACGTCGAACGATGGCAGTTGTTCCAATCAAATAGCTGGACTCATCGCTCAGTGAGAACCAGAAAACCGTTGCGAAAGAGTTCCTCGTCTGGTCGGTCCATTCGACGTAGTCACACACCAGCAATTCCTGGGACCATGTTGCCCCTGTCCAAGCCACCTTTTGAAGCCACCATGGACGTCTTGACTATGTCACTGTGAGGTATGTGCCCACTATTGACTGCCAAATGGGAAGAAGGGGAAAGAAAGCTGACAGAGCAACGTAATTGACCCGTATCTCTCGCCAACTTCTCCTGCCATCAAGTCTAGGGCCGCATGTGTCATTGCCGAGTAGAGAGAACTTTTAGATGGCCTTCTAAGCCTCTAGAGTTTGAAGCATCAACGATGCTCGCCACGTTAGTTATAGCCCCCGAACCAGCTTACATACGATTGAATGTACTTTGATAGGACTCTGGACTCGATTCCTTGACTTGTTGTCTAGCCAAATACTGTGTAGGCGGTTGAATCGGCTGGGAGAAAATTAATCCGTTCCGAGATACCTCTTTAGGTATAGTTGATGGTCTACCCACCACGTGCTCTCCACTATTCAAGATATTTCCACAATTCCTCGAAGCAAACCCCCAAGTTGCGCCCACTAGCCCGTCCTCCCTTGCCCCTCCTTTCCCACCCCGCTCGCCCACACTGCTGGAGAAGGCCCAAGACCACTGGCCACGCCCCAGTAACATTGGACCATCGCTGCACAGCCTGCGAAGACAACAACTTTGTTCTTTAGGCTCTCACCACGCAACTTGGCTTAGCGCTCATAGTGACGAGAACCGAGTGTCACGGCTGCTTTTGCATTCGTGACCTTGTCTTGTTGAGAGACCCTCCGCATGTAACAGGAGGAGTAGGGGACAAAGGAAGCAGAATATGATGAGACCGTTGGCTTCCGCTCGCGGCATGGGGCTGATAGCTGCATCTGATCTCGATGAAGGATGATACCAAAGGAACCAGCGGCAGGGGAAGGCGTCTTTCTTCTAACTCTACCTGAAACCATCAGTTGATTGCATATCGACTTCTGACCACCGCACCCGGGGTCTCTAAGGGGCCAGCTATCCATTGGCGCGAGCAGAATGCTGGCAGCAGATATTGAAAGGGCTCCAGATTCTTTCCAATCGATCTATCTGGTAACACCTAGCCGTCCGTCCGTCATGTGGCTCCCAGGTGCTCGGAAGCTCCAGGCACCAAGGCGGTCCAATTATCGGCCCATTTTCTATAGCGTCGGCCCAATTTCGTAAGCCCAATGGGGGCACTCTGGCGTATTGTACAGGAACCAGGCACCCAGGAGAGGCGTACGGAGAAAGTGTCCCTGTCATGAGCGTAGTTTCCATTTGCCACGAGGAAATCGCTTGCCGAGAGAGAGGCTGGTCCAACAGGTCGGTACTGAGTAGAGATCCCATTCTTGCCCCACCTCCGACTCCCAGACCTTTGCACGACGCCTTTCGGGGTTCAAGCGAAAGATTAATATCAATCGCGTTGCTCACGTATACTAAATTCACCAAGACAATGACACAGGACGGCGGTTACTCGAGAGCTTCGCCTAAAGGACTGCAAGATAGTTGAGAAAGGATATACTACCGTGGAAGCGGTCGCGAACATTTTCTACACTGAGCCATTGCAGGACAAAGGTCTTGAACTGTGGGGAGGGGTTTCAACTGGCGGAGGGAAAAAGCGTAATAATTTACGACCCAGTCCACGCATTTCCAGAGGATTTTCGCTCCTAGAGTTAGGTAGAGTTCACTTTTTGAGTGAGGAATAGTCGTACGCGACCATCGATCGATCCGTCTGACATTTCTTACTCGTACATGGCCCACACTCTTATGTCGTCCTAGTGGAAAGTATTAACACCTTATCGCTTCAGGTCACAAATGAAGCTTCCTCACTGAGCAGTAAACCCAAAGCCTTCAAAACCTCCTTCGCTCATCTCGCAGGGTTGATTCTGAAGCACGGAGGCGACGCGAAGTCAACACCTATCGTACAAGTACACTAACCAATAGGGTTTACGGGGGGGGATAGAGGGCTAAACTTGTGGAGGGCGTTTCCCTCGTTTGCAGTCAAAGAAATGTTGGAACCACAACTTCGCACCAAGCACGCGAGTCGTAGATAGGGCTAGAAGAATGGTCTTTCTATAACAATGGACTGAAATTGCCAGGTGATCCAGAGGCACTTCTTAGTTCAGAAAAAGAGCAGCTAGCTCACAATCATGTGCTTTTCTGGTCAGAGTTTCCTCTTTGTGCTGCTGATCAAGATTGCTATATCACCTTTTACGGATCGCCCACCGGCGCTTCCTGACCAATATGGCCGATAAATGCCTTCGATCTATGGGCTTCTTGACGCACGGTTATGGACCCAGCATCTTCCATCAACCGTCTATAGTTTTCCGAAGCTTGGAACGCCAACCAGTCGCTCTCGGTTCTAGTCCTATAAGTCTATCAGCATCATAATCGCAGTGTCTATGTAGTAAGGTGATGAATTTGGCAAACTCAACCGTACCTAATATAGGCAGTCGCCAGATGGAGGTCGTTTACCTCCTTGAGAACACCGAAGCTTTGAACGGTTATCGATGTTGTCTTTTCTGACGCCTTGACTCGATCGGCCACATCTGCGAGGATGCCTAACAGTTGCTTGCGCTTGCCCTCAGCCGCCCACAAATGCACGACAACAACAAAGCTGTCCATGGCGTCTCGATCTTTGTCATCGTCGCGCTTAATAAAGCCGGAAAAGAAGTCATAGTGATGTAGATCATAATCAGGGCTGTTTAGACCCTGGACGTTACGCAGGAGCTTGTCGTCATCCACTTTGCGCATCTCCTCTTTGAAGATGTCGGTAGACACATGACCCAAGAAGAATCCGATTGGATGGTAGTAACCCTCTAGACCCCATAGCGTGTCAGGCTCGCCATCGAGATCTTGGCCCCAGTAGTAGGAATAGGAGTATGGCTCCGTCTTCGACACTGCACAAAGAGCTGCAAGCCTCTCTTTCCACTAACATTGGATACATGCAAGATTAGTCAATTCCCTTAACCCTTGTTCACTTCACGGATAAAGATTGTAAAAGGGTTGAAGACTATACCTTTTCAAAAGCCCCATCTCTACCCACGATTCGAGCGATGACAAAAAACAATGGAAGGACCATGGTACAGCCCTCTTGCCTTCTCTTTTTGCAGACCAAAATTTCTCGGGCAGCGCAAGGAATTGCCGCAGCCTTGCCTGGAGTTGTTCTAGCTGGATTGCACTCCTTCAGAGAGCTAAACGTGCCACTCCTCCAATAAATTCGTTGATACACAACTCGATAAGGTGTCCCAAATGTCATCTGATATAAATACCCAGAGAATTTTGAATAGAGTGAAAGGGAATTACTTCTTTAGAAACAACACCAACCCGTAATTGTGCGGACGGATCACGCTTCCAAATCAGGCCGATAAGTCAGGCCGACAAATGCTCCGGCATCCCTTGTGGCATGCAAGAAGGGTTGAGGGACATTTGCCCGCACAACGATATTCTGCAAGTCGACTGCTGTCGTAAACAGGTCCCTAATGGTGGTGCGGACAATTTCCGAAACACAACTCCCCGACCAGCTGCGTCTATAAAGCCGAATGAAAACCTCTAAATCGGTTGTTACCTTCGAGAAGAACTTGTCATTACTACTCTCATCATCCCATGGCCGTTCAGTGATCTTGTAACCTGCCAACGCCGCATCCCTCGACAAACCTTCCAACCCTTGCAACGGCCCGCACAGCCACCTCGTGGTGCTTTATCCGGACAGTCAATCATCCCTAGCTTCCTCTAAGAGTATGAGCCGCCTCGGAAACATGCAGCTCACCGCTCGAAAGGCGGGCAGCAAGCATCAGGAGAAAAAGGATGGTGAGGATGCAATCAAACGCGACATTTCAGATTGCCTCTAATCTCACCCTCACGGCGGCGTGCTATGCGATCGAGGCTGTCAATCAGATTGTGGCGGAGATCGACAATGCTGCCCAGAGTACGTATGGGAAGGCAAGGCCAGAATTGGAAATCGAGACCTTCAGTAATTGTACCTTGAACCAGATCTTCACAGGGCCCAGGGTATAATTTGAGTAGCCGGATGAAAGTCAGGCCTTCCGATTTCGTAAAAGAATACACTAGACTACTGCTGTCTCCGCTAGATTCAACATCGCCTTGCCACACGTAGCCTTGTGACCCAATGGAAGGCATGGTCCGACTCAAGAGGTTCTCGTGGACTATATACATTTCTAGACAATTACATCAACTTACGAGGGTACCCACGCTGAGGCCATTGTCGCAGCCGAATACCATGAGACTCAGGTTCACTGCGCTTGTGGCATCAATCAAAAGGATCGATCTCGAATGGCCCAAAAGTCTTTCACATCCTGACGGTCATGGAGAATGACAACCTTCCGGCATTTGTTTCCCTGTTTGTCCTGGAGCTGGTGTACTGTTTCAAATGCTTCGACGCTATCTTCGATGTGATAGACATGGGTAATCAGATCCTTTAGAGGGATCAGACCCCGTGCTATCAGGCTCACCGCATCTTCGAAACAACCGGCAGTGTATCGCGAGCTCCCTGGCCATTGAAATTGGTGAGATGTTTCTCTCAAAAGCGCCTCTGGATAGGAAAAGGAAGGGTAAGGGAAAGAGTGGTAATACACACCTCGAAGAGTCAGTTGTCTCGATAGTACGATCATCATTGGTATGCGGGGCGAATCTCTGGCACTACGTATACCCAGCTGGACATCTTCGTGAATGAGTTAGCATCTTGTCATTTTGTTTCGCGCTTTTTTTCGGACTCACAGGTAGCGCCAGGCCTGGCAACCCGGATACCCATATTCATGCACTCTTCAGAGCCTGATGCATCAATGACAATATCGAATCCTCTGTCTAGGTCGGGGTGTTTCTCCAGAATCAGCCTCGCTAGACGCTCAGCATAGACATCGACCTCCTCAGACTGATCCCGTGGAGGGTCAACGAACACATGTTTCGTGACATGATCCCGGAGAAATTGTGCTCGGTGTTCCTCTTTCTCAACAATCACAACTTTTATTGCGCCGTATCTGGTCAAAGTGGTGTTAGATTCTGGCGAGATTGCTAGAGACAGATCAAAGATGAACTAACATAAAAAGAAGTTGACTTACGCCTTTGCGATGAAAGCAAGCAGAGACCCGATGAACCCACCACCAAAGATGATGACTGCCTTTTGGGCAAAGTTGCCAGTTTGGCGTGTGGCCTGGACCGCAATGGCCAGCGGTTGGATGACTCCGGCTTCCACCCAAGTCACGTCTGGGGCGAGTCTCGCCAGCTGTATACGAGGCACCACTTTGAATTTCATTGCCGAGCCGTCGAAGGGGGGAGAACCGAAATGTATCATCTTGGGACACAGGTTGGAATTGCCCCTCGTACAGTCGGAGCATCTTCCCAAGTCGTTAGTTCATGTAGCCAAGGGTGGGTGTTAAATCTCGCCGGAAGACAAGATTGTACTCACTGTAGACAGGGGGCGGCCGGTTTGATCGCCACCCTATCACCCTTCTTCCAGTCCAAGACGTCGGAAGCGACCAGCGCAATTTCTCCAGCACATTCATGACCGACTACAAAGGGCTTCGTGACTTTGTGTGGCCCGCCCCCTTGACCGTGTTTCCAATAGTGAATCTAAGAGTCGGCACCATGCATTATCAGTTATCCTGTCATCAAGGTCAAAGATAAATCTGTAGATATTGCCGTCATCGGGCTAAAACTATGGAATCAGGGTGTTTCGTAGCGAGAACAGCCTCGATAGGTACTTACATCAGAACCACAGATTCCTGTAGCCTTGACTCTGACCAAGACGTGACCATCAGGAAGCAAAGGCTGACCTTGAGAAGTTGGAACATTCAACGGCCATAGCTTGATGGAGAGATCGTCTATAGCAGACAGCACCACGGCCGTGTTATGATATTCTTCTGTAAGGGTGAGAGTCATGTTGGAGGACCCAAAAACCGGTTGCTTGCTTTAGTTGTGTAGGTATGTCTGTCTGAACGAATGAAATGTATCTTAGACTGCCGAGCCACTCATCAAAAACAGATGCATTCGAGCTTGGACTTATCGCTTGTACTCTCCAACCTTTTTGAAGCCTTCAGTTCTTCCCGTCCAGGCAGCTTCCAGGGCTTTGGTTTCCCAACCGCAATGCTTGATTGGGCCAGTTGCAATGGCGAGCCCGCCCTTCTGGACATCCTCGGAAATGGCTCCCAGGATCTCGGCTTCCGTGTCCGAGGGCAAAATTAGAATCCTAGACCTCATCTCCATACCCCGGATTATCACTCCACACCGGACCAACCTCCCACATGCAGGTTGGGTGGTTGTGGAAGATATAGCGCTCGGCTAACATAAGAGAGGATGTATTCTTTGATGTTTTCTGCTTTCAGCTTCCTATTGCCCCCGTCTCTGTCAGTCTCTCCGTCTGTCGAACCCGGTCATCAACGCCAGGGCACCAGCACATCTCTGCAGTCCTTCATTACGAACCAACATGGCAGCTGCTGCAACCTCAACCCAAGCGCAGGGCAAGAACATTGGCTCAGTCGAGATGCTTGAGAATTCTGACTCCGCACGAAAGACCGACTTTCAGGTCCTCGACGCTAATCCTGATGTTGAGGTTGTCAAGATTTTCGAACAAGCGCACGGGTCCGACATCTGGGATCCGGAGGAAGAAAAAGCTCTCGTTCGAAAGATCGACCGTCGACTTCTCTGGATCCTCTGCATAGTGTAACTTGCTTCCCATTGAAATGCCAGGTTCGATGGTGCTGTCGCTGACTGTTTTGGTCTTCATCACAGATATCCTTTGCAGGCTTATGACAAAACTGTGCTCGGTCAAACGGTGAGCATGCACCAACATCAACACTGGTATGGAACTGTGCGATTGACACATTCATCACAGGCAATTTTTGGCATTGTGCAGGATCTCCACCTCACTGGAAATCAATGTACGAAGGTTTCTTGCTACTAGGCGCCTCCTTTTTGTGAGAACGCTGCTGACAGCCTCGGGAAACGACAGATGTGATGTGCTCTGCCTTTCTGTACATTGGCTACTTCTGTGGATCTTATCCGGCTTCGTTGCTCGGCCAGCTCTACCCCGTCGAACGCGTAGCAGCGTGCTTGATCCTGACCTGGGGCCTCTGCTTGACGCTGTCTATCGTTTGTACGGACTTCCAGGGGCTGGTGACTGAGAGGGTATTTCTCGGATTTCTGGAAGGAGGGTTGTCCCCTCTTTGCATGCTCATCATTGGATCCTGGTACACCAAGTGTGGGTAGCCCTTCCAAATCCGTTCTGCTGAAAAGAGGGAAAAAACGCTCGAGTGCTGACATTCGTACCCTTGCTCATGTAGCGGAACAAGCTCTTCGCATAGGTGTAAGTCGTACATCCTTTACCCCCGTCGCAACAGGCAGTGCTAACAGACAATCTCCCAGATCTGGTGGTGCTCGAGCGGCTACGCCGGTTTTTTTGCGCCATTGATCAACTACGGCATCGGCCAGATAAAAGGAGGATCCTTGAAATCCTGGCAATACATGTTTCTGTTTGCTGGAGCATTTACCATGCTCTGGTCCTTTATTGTCTGGTTCCTCCTACCCGGCGACCCACTGCGCGCTCGAGGCTTCGACGCACGGGAGCGATACATTGCCATTGCCCGTCTACGAACCAACAATTCTGGAGTGCGCGACCAACATTGGAGAAAAGAACAGGTGATGGAAGCCTTCCAGGACGTTCGATTCTGGTTGATGTTCTTCATTGCGTTCTTTGTCATGGTGGGCAGTGGTGCTTACACCACGGTATGTCGAACCATTTTCATCCTTGCTATTCTCCATCCGCCCTGCACATTCTCTACGTAGATCTCAAGCTGACACAAGAATTTACTCTAGATGACACCGATTATTATCAACAGTAAGGAGACACATATTTCTCACATCCACCGGCACATCTTCTTGTGTTTTGTCCTTCCTACATACGCGGGTCCGATCTGTTCGTTGATACTGATGCATATTTTCCGAGTAGGCTTGGGATTCGACTCACTCCACTCGCTGCTCATTTCCTGTCCTACTGGGATTGTGATCGGAACAGTTGAACTTGTCGGCGCATACGTCACATATCGCACCCAGAATTTGAGATGCATCATGATGGTCGTCTTCCAAATCCCTGTCTTTGTGGGAGGGTTGCTGCTATGGCTTCTACCACGCAGTCAAACCGGACCTTTGCTGTTCGCTCTCTACGTGATTCCGTGTTTTGGCGGAACATACTGTCTTGCACTTGCTTTGACCCTTGCGAATTGCGGCGGCTACACGAAACGAACAGTCTTTGCTGCGGCCATTTTCACCGGTTATTGTTGTGGAAGCCTCGCTGGACCGTTGTAAGTCTTTCTCCACTGGCAGATTGCTTTCCTCAGAGTATCGCATAGTTGTCACCGACTTCAGTTGCCCCCAAGTATGTCTTTGACGCTTATTTGCACTAGGACTTTCAAAGCGAACGACGCTCCAGGCTACGCCCCTGCTTTTATCTTTCTTGTGGTGGCAACAATCATGTGTGTGATACTCACGTTGACCTATCGCTACGTCTGTAAGCGAGACAATCGCAAGCGCGACGCAGCAGGTATCACGGAAGGTTTCGACCATGCGTACGACGATGACATGACGGATAAACTGGTAAGTCGCATTCTCTGCTCTTGATCTCCACATCACTGCATCTTCCCTTCAGGGCACTAACAAAGCCGTGCTTCGATCAGAACCCACAATTTCGTTATATCTACTGAGGCGGAAGGTGTGCTCTGTGTTTCAAGAGAGACTGACAACGACTTACCACTGAAACCAACGTGTGTTCTCCACCAGAAACTTGAGCTGCGATCATATTTTGGCATTCTCGATGGAGGCCATTCATATCTTTACCTTTCCGGCTTTGGCCACGGACTTTGTTCCAACAGCCAACTACCATGTACATACGAGAGATTTACAAATTTAGTGTCCCTCTGTCCGCCAACGATGATATTGTGCCTGTTTCAAACCCTTTTCACTCCATAGGAAGGATATATGCCTCAGTAAAAGCCAAGGGTTTTATCGTGCGATACCCTCTTCCTCACCTTCGGTCACTCCCATCTCGCAAAGACGTTTTAACCACATCAATAATCATATCATGAAGGAATGTCAATCACATTCTCAAAGTGTCACAATGGCGGTTGTGTAGTGGCTAGCTGATCTGCCCATTTCGAAGTGTCTCTCGAGCCAGTATAATTTGTTTGCAAGATACAGTACCAGCGTCTGCACGAGTCCCCCATTCCGAGGGATCGTGGATCTCGTATTCCCGATTCTCGGGAACCTCGGCCTGTAGAACCTCTGCCTCGCCAGCCATCGGGGACAAGTTCCAAGTCCCACTAACATGAGATCGTCCGTAGTAAGTAGACACCACTCACGAGCTCTCTTCGGCTGTCCATCCACTCCGAAGACATCGCACCGTCCGGAGAGCTGCTATGGCAACCCAACCCCATTCGGCAACATTGTCCGTGGACGAGTTCCCACTTTTATTTCCATGGGGGGAATGTAGCAGCAGCGGCTGATAGCTTCGAGAAAGACATTCGGGATGAGAAACCGGTTGAAAATGCAGTTGGAAGTCGGACATCAATTTTGCAGCATTAGATACAACAGATTCTGGGGTTGGTTTCTGCCTCTAATGATGCCCCTGACCAAGAAGTTCAACTTTCATCCCTCTCAACAAAAAGTATTCTGTTGAAGACAATCACTAGAAGGGCACCCCTCGTGTAGACAATGAATTTCTATCCGCCGCCCGAGACAATCATTGCGAAGGTCTACTGTGAAATCCCGAAGTCCCTACGATGCGTGGGAGAATCAACTGAATGGTTGGCGGCTGCGAAGTCGAAAGTGGATGATATCTTCCTCGAGGGGCCCCTCGTCGACAAGCAAGGCAATCTTTATGTCGTCGACATTCCTTTCGGGCGGGTGCTCAAGATCAGCCCAGATGGACACGCTGAATGTTCTGCTCGGTGGGACGGTGAGCCGAATGGTCTGGCCTTGTTGTCCGACGGGAGGATGGTAGTCGCCGACTACAAGCATGCAAGTTCGACGTACCTCTTCTCAAAGGCCTCCCAGCTAACCCTCGAACTTTATAGGGCATCATGCTTTTCGACCCGCAAGACAATACCGTGGTTCCCCATCTCACCCGACGCAATCTCGAGAGGTTCAAAGGCCCCAATGATTTGATCGTGGATTCCAAAGGCAACATATACTTTACCGACCAGGGTCAAACCGGCATGACAGATCCGACGGGGAGAGTGTATCGATACTCCCCGGACAAGAAACTCGACTGCCTGGTGGACAACGGGGCGTCGCCGAACGGGCTGGTGCTCTCGCCCGATGAGGAGGTCCTCTACGTGGCTATGACACGGGCAAACCAGGTGTGGCGTCTGCCACTCCACGACAACGGCACCGTGACCAAAGTGGGCGTGTTCTTCCAGGGATTTGGCATGTCGGGACCGGATGGATTGGCCGTCGACCAAGAAGGCAATCTATTCATTTGCATGCCTGGCTTAGGGACGGTGTTTGTTGTGGACGAACGTGGAATCCCGCTCATGTCGATTCGAGGGGAGGAGAAGAAGTCCTTTATTACAAATTGTACCTTTGGCGGGCCGGAGAACAAGACACTCTTTATGACCAGTAGTATTGATGGGAAGATCTTGAAGGTTGACTGGCATTGCCCAGGTGCAAGGGTGGCGTGAGAAACGTGTAAATATACCCGACATTCACTGCATTCTCTATACAACAGTGAGATCCCACGCATGCTTTTCGATTTCCTTCTAATCGCTTTACACCGTACGATACAGCGACAGTAGCCTTTACTATTATTCCATGTTAGCCGCTCCATTATAGTGTTCAACACAAGTCTTGTACCGGATCTAGATTCACATATGTAGTCTAGATTGAAGTCAAGTTCCCGCGCTGAACCCCGCAACGATTACCTAGGTATTTAGGTCTGGCCCGTGGTGTACATAAATGCTCTACACCACGACATCTCTGACAGCTCCCCCATGCGTCGGTGACTGCGGGAGTGGCCTGCGATTCCCTTTTTCATTACGAGGCTTACAGATTTGCACTTGCCAGTCACGAACCTTTTCTTCTCGTCCAACGCAATGGCCGAATGCCACTCTGCATCTGCGGATGCCGGCACCCGAGCCGCTAAACGCGTCAAGCGTTCATCCTACCTATCCGGAGCAGAGACCGGAAGAATTCCGAGAGCGTACGTGAATCTATCTACCTTTTCGACCATTGACTGGTGGAGGAGGTTCGCTGACCACCACGGGATTGCAGATGCGTCGCCTGTCGGGACAAAAAGGTCAAATGCTCCGGCAGCCAGCCATGTCAATATTGTTCGAAGCGGTCGTTGCACTGTCTGTTTCCCGAAGTGGAAAAGAGGAAGTTGTATTCTGTCGCGTATGTCGCACGATAGCCTTCTCCGTTACCTCTCGCTGATCCTGACCTGATACCTACATTTGTACAGCTATGTAGAGGACCTGGAGAGAATCGCGGCGACGAATGGCGGCGGAACTCCAGTGCAAGCTGATTGCAGTAATCTGCAACTGGGTGACTCGATAAACAATCGCTTACTTCTCTACAGTCAACGCCGACACCAGCAAACATGGGTACGGCCTTGCGGCGACCATTGGAAGAGCAGAAGAGGACAGAGGCCGTCAGCCGCAGATGGTGGAAGACGATGCAATCAGTGACCTTGGCCTTGGCCTTGTCGATACTCTGGGCGGCGCACACGATGGCGGGGAGTTTGCGAGCGAATGCTCAACCGTCTCTCGTATGCCAGATTCCGCGGGCCGTTGCAAGCCACTTTCAGAAGCTGACTGAATTCATAACCTTGCCCTCTAGCGATCGGATCCAAAACCGTCTTATCGTCCAGCTTGAATTTCAGCTCTCACATCAAGACGGTGTTCCATCAAAAGTCGGCCCGGGCATCTATCTCTTCTCGCCCGCTCCCGAACGTGATCGGATCTTCAGATAACGCGTGGAATTTCCACATACGCCGGCCCCGTGGCCACGACCATCCGCACGAGCTCCAGTGGCCGGACGAGCAAGAAGCGCAGGACTTGCTGGATTCCATTGTCCTGTCGGTCGGCGAGTACTGTCATCTATTTGAACCGCGGTCGCTTTCAGACCGCCTCGCTTTGATGTACGAGGGACATGACATCAACATCGACACCGAAGACCTATGGTATGTCGAGATCCTCCTGATTTTCGCCGTTGGGAAAATGTTGCAGAACCAAGCAGAGGGCGGCGAGGGCTTTCCGGGAGAACAGTTCTACACCGAGGCGATGAAGCGGCTGCCAGACGTCGCTTCGTTGCGAACCACAGGCACCGTGGGCCTGGAGATTCTCGGACTGTTGACGTTCTATCTGCAAGGTGCCGATCAAAGAAATGACGCTTACATCTACGTGAGGACGGTCCCTCGGCTCTGTCATCCCCACGGCGTCCATCACGATGACTGACGAACTGACCAGGCCGGTGTAGCTGCTCGCGTCGCTCTGTCGCTGGGCATATATCGAGAAACGGGATATTCGGGCTTGATCCGGTCCGAGAAGACGCATCGGAATCGCCTGTGGTGGTCGGTGTACATGCAAGACCGGTATTGTCCTTCATCGGCACATGGGTTTTGCTCTCGCTCATCCCGCGAACATAGGAGACTTGCCGCTGCCACGGGCAATCCAACGACGATCCAAGACGATGTGATCCTGGTCGAGCTACCGACCGAGTCGCCGGGATTCTGTTCCCCAGTCTCCATGAACCTGAATATTCGGACTGCAAAGGTTACCGGGCAAATCATGCAAAGTCAGTCGAGAAAACACATGTGGCGCAAAGCAGATTGCCCTCGGTCGTCAAAAGGACATGCTGACCGTTCTTCGCCAGCCATCTATGCTCAGAAAAATCAGTCGGAGCAGGCCTTCACCGCGGCCGTGCGGCAAATACTCGTCGACCTGGTTCAGATATCCCGCGAAGTGGACCAGGAAGCACTGCCGTATCACTCCGATAGCCCGCGCATGTCTCGCTCCAAGCTGTCTCTAAAGTTGACCTTGTACCAGGTGAGTCCGTGTCTTTTGAGAACTAGGGGGCCCGATGATTGCCCACTGCTCCATACCCTGAGACATTATTATTACCTAGGCCATGATCCTTGCAACCCGGCCGACCCTGCTCCATCTAGCCAAGGCCCGCCTAGACAAGGCTGGAAACCAAAACATAGCGCGGACGAAGATGGTCGACAAGTTCACAGAGATGTGCATCGACGGCGCCCAGCGAGGGCTTGTGGTCCTTCGCCGGCTTCAGAAGGCCGATCTCATAAGTACGTTGTTCCCCCCCTGGAGAAAGAGATACTTATTCCCGCATCCACTTCCTGACTGAGTGCCTCCAGTGAAATTTAGCTTTTTCGACATCGACGCGACGTTCTCCATCGCTCTGGTGTTTGTGTTGGCCGAAGCGATCTTCGCGGATACCGACCGGCAGCCTGATCTTCACACGGGTGTCCTCGGCGCGGTGGAAATCTTCGACTACCTCGTCGCGAACGGGAACAAAGCCGCCGAGAACCGCCGTGCCGATGTGCTCCAGATCTGCGCGTGCTTGGGCATCTCTACGGACCAGACGACGGCGACCCTTGACGGAGAGAAGGCCTCTTCGAACAGACCTGGCAGGACCGACACCGCCGTTTCCTTCCCGGAAGTTCAGGCCAGGTTCCTTCCCGTCTCCGCCGGCCCGGTGCTTGCTACGCCAACGACGCACGAGGGCCCCGGCGCCTCCAGGATGAGGTATCGGCATTCAGATGCGGACGGAGAGAGGGATGGCGACCTCAGCAGCAACACTTGGAATATCGATCTGTCCGCCGAGCCATTTCCCTCGCAAACCGCGCCTGGTTCGATGGGCGACATGGGCCTCAATGACTTCTTCCAGGGCGAAAACACGCACGATCTGTATTCTCTCTACTGCAATACTGACCTGACCCTCACCGGCGTGGCGGAAACCGACTGGATGGAGTTGGAGCGGCAGATCACTCTGGCCGAGTCGTGGATGTAGAACGAGCGAGCGGCGGCATAATTTGTTCGATCGTAAGCTGCAAGCAAGACTCGAGGTGGGAAGACATTGCACACTGGAATATCATCCTGCGGGATGTTTGGAGGGTTATCCCTATTCATTCGTACGCACGGAAAAATGAGGCTATGGAGCAGGTGTAACTAACCCTCCTTTCGCTTGACTTGGACTGGTCTCTCTATACGGGTGTTTTGGCCTCATACGGCAGTCTTCCTTTCTCGATGCATCTGCTCCTCCAACATCTGAAGGATGGGCTTTGGAGCATCAAGCTTCCCCATGAAGATCTCGACCATCCTCAACCCGCGTCCTTTCAGCAGCAACATGTCTTCGTCCTGCAGCCAGGCATCCAAGTCAGCTTGCGTCCTGAGCTGGCACGTCCGCGAGGCGTAGCCCTCAGAAACAAGACTGTCGGCACCGAAAGCCTTGGGGAGATCCAGATATCGCCATGGCGCGACATCGTTGTATTTCTGATGGCGGCCGTGAATGCAGCGTTCGATCGTGAAACCGTCGTTGCTGATGAGGACGACCAGCACGTCAAGTCGCTGGTGGATGATGGTGCTCAGTTCCTGCGCAGTCATTTGGAAGCTGCCATCTCCGATGAACAAAATCGTGCGGCCGGAAGGCGTCGACCTTGTATTCTCGAGCTCATTGACTCGACTTTTCTTCTTGAGCATGTCGCGCCGTGCGATGGCTGCACCCAGCGCTGCGGGCAGCATGTAACCAATCGACAGCCATGTCACAGGCTTGAAAAGATGCGTCGATGTCGGGAGCCGCAAGGCATGAGAGCCATAGCCGGCGGTGCCTGTCTCTGCGAGAATGATATCTCCGGGTCGGAGGATGGAGGATATTCGGCTCCACAACTGGCTGTGCATGATCTGAGCAGAGCTGGATGGCGTTGTTACAACATGCTCAGACCTAGCGTGAGCATCGAGGTTGGGATACACCGGGTATTTATGCAAAGCTGACACGTCCAGAGTCTTGGACAATTCCGTGAGAGCGGCTTTGATGGGTAGGTCGCGATAGATCTGCGACTTGATGTGTATATCCATCTCGGTAAATGCAATTGTTTTCTCCCGCGGCGGAATTGCATTGTTCCTGAATGTGTTGGTCCTGCTGAAGTGTGGTCCGAAGCACAAAATCAAATCACACGAGTTGAAGAATTCCGCTTGTGCCAGCGGCGCGAAATTGCCCATCCACACGCCCTGGACGTTGGGCAGGCTTTCGTCGACGAGGCTCTTGCCAAACACCGAGGTGAATGTTGGCCATCCTGTCTCGCGGACCAGAGTTTCGATTTCCTGCAGCGCGCCAAAGGCTCGGCTTTCACCATCAACCAAGATCGCCGGTTGCGTGCATTTGTACATGAGCTCGCGGACCATGGACAACACAATGTTCGAGTCCTTTGGCAAGGCTGCATCGTCCAAGACAATTCGAGATTCGAGCCTTTCTATCGACACTTTGACAGGAACCATATCGACCGGAATCGAGATGTACACGGGTCGACTTCGAAGAAGACACTGACGAAGAACCCTGTCGATTTCCTCGCACGCAGTCCTGGAGTCGACCAAATATGCCTGAGCGACCGTGATGTGTGCCTGCATTCGCGCAAAGGTGTTATACTCGCCGTCATTCAGGGTGTGGTGAATCAATGCGCGGTCATGCTCTGCTGATCTGGAAGGCTTGCCCACGATGTGACAGACTGGGACTTTTTCGGCTCGAGCTCCTGCGATGGCGTTGACTGCGGACAATTCTCCCACGCCGAACGTCGTCACCACGGCGCCAATACCGTTGACGCGAGCATAGCCGTCGGCAGCGTAGGCTGCATTGAGCTCGTTGCACGTGCCCACCCAATTGATACCAGCGGGTTCAATGTAATCCAGCAGAGTCAGGTTGTAGTCGCCAGGGACGCCACAGATGGAGTCAACGCCCAACTGGTGCAACCGTTTGAAAAGATACTCCGCGATTGTGACGTATGAGGTTGACATTGCCCACAACGCTATGCCAGAGATTGTTGTGCCTTGTGCTGTTGAAACCCTTTTTCTCTGATTTGACAAATGTTAGATCAATCCACGACTTCTTCAACCCCTGGAAACGACACGAGCAAATGTCTCATGTGTAGGGTCATCGGGCTTTTGCGCAGGAACGGTCGAGCCTCGGTTTGCAATAGAGCTCCAGGCTTGTAAAGTCCGCTCTCACCTCGTATGTTGACGGGAAAGTATGAGACATAATGCATAACACCATGATGGATGGATGGACCATACTGTATCGGACCTCGGGTTTTGCATCCGAGTTGATTCGTTGGGTTTGGACCACAGGATTGAGTTAGTAGACGCAATGTAACACATGACCCCCGGTCGCCAAATCCGAGGTATGAAACATTGATTTCGGGTCAGTGTAATCTCCTGAGTGTCGAAATGTGAGGCTGCAAAAGCTTCGGACGAGGTGGCCGGCGGTCGTCGCAGGTGAAGACTAGTCACCCGAAAGGAGAGTGCAGTTGTGCTCGGGGTCAGCCTGACGATTGCGTATTCATGCACAAGCAATGCTCTCGTCAGGTATGGTCCGGTGGAAGTTCCCGGAATCCCCGTATTGCGGGCTAGGAGAGGGACTTGCTAGTGCGACAATTCATCTCCAGGATGTTGGAGACTGATTCGGGCTGGTTGGTAACACGTATAGGACCGGTTCTTTGATTGCCGCAGCTGTAAGCTTGTGCGTGTACATATGGCAGGACACCTCGGGTTTTGCATTCACCGTTGAACTCCCTGGGATTTTCCAAGCCATCATCCATTGCAGGGATCACTTTGAACCTGGAAAGCCAGCAGTATAGCAGAGAAAGGTCTCGACAGGATGCCGACACCAGCCATCGCCAGAAACAACCTCATCGCCCTCACGAGCGAGGGCCAAATCTGCACAGGCTTTGGGATCAAGATCGTCGCAGGCGTCGAAATCGTCCAGATGGCAAAGTCGGCGGGATACGACTCGTTGGTCATTGACCTCGAGCATTCGGCCTTGACCTTGAAAGACGCGAACCAGCTTTGCATCACGGCGCTGTCGACGGGCATCACACCCCTGGTGCGGATTCCACACGAATGTGGCTGTGGCTTTATCCAGCGCGTCCTGGATGCAGGGGCAATGGGGATTGTGGTACCTCACGTCCGGAGTGTTGGTAAGAGATCTGGACACAATGTTTGATTGCCTCGAAGGCTCTTGTGCTCGTGCTGATACATATCCGACCGTATAGCCGACGCGAAGAAAATCATCAGCATCTGCAAATATCCGCCTCGTGGCAGCCGCTCGATCAGCGTGGCATTCCCCCAGTTCCAGTACTCTTCGACGGTGCCTCTGGCCACGGTCACGGCAGAGCTGGATCAGTATGGCTCCACCGTGTGCATCATGGTCGAGACGGTCGAGGCGGTCGAGGAAATTGAAGGCATCGCGGCGCTGGACGGCTGTGACGTGCTCCTCGTAGGGTCAAACGACTTGTCCACGGAGCTTGGAGTGCCTGGCGACTACGATTCACCCGTGTTCTCGGAGGCGCTGGATAGGATCAGCAAGGCATGTCGGAAGCACGGCAAGGTTTTCTCGGTCGGTGGCATCCGCAGCCGTCCAGACCTTATGGCCAAGTTCGTCAACGACCTGGGCGCTCGTTGGATCCTGAGTGCTCAGGACCTTGGGGTGCTGATTCATGGCATGCGTCAAAGCTGCGAATCTACCCGGGCACTGTATACACAGGTTGCTCAAAGTTGAATGGACTTGCTGTGACGAGATAGGGATACACTTGGGTGCTGTGAACGCGGTATCTGTTGTTGACAACAGTGAAGTGAATAAGCCTGGGAAGTATTCAACTGCTGAGTTGATGGACAAAGATTTCTCCATCATTGGTTTTTTTTTTGTTCTCTCTTCACAATTCCCACCACATCTCTCTCGCCCATCGCTGATACTGGTACTCGCTCCAGGACATCCCTGGTTGTTGGGCAGTTTACCACCCAAATGTATGACTTACTTCCATTCCGAAATCTCATTTTTGATATGCTCGCACTGCGGACGTCGAGGAGAGTCGTACATGGAGGGAATCATGGGCGTGGAGATCGTCAGGCTGTTGGAACGTGGGGAGGCAGCGGAAAAAATCCATTGTGTTGGTTTGATAGCCAGAAGCAAGAGCCGTCCTGCACCCACGGTTCCAACACTCTCACGTGAAGTTTCGAACAATGTCCTGCAAACTGGGCGTCCATTTTAAGGCGTGCCGGGGTGTGTGGAACAATATATAATCCTACTTTCCTGCATTCTCTACCCACAAAATGCCCAGCCCCTGAGTTCCCAGCCGTACAAAGAGTAGGTATCATTTCAAAGTGAGACTTTCCAGCACCATACCAGTGATTTTTAGCGCTTGATTTTTCAGTTCGACGTTTCTGAACGGAGTGCCGCAAAGGCAGATGACCTACGAATTACCGCGGTCGTCGAGCGCATATCAGAAGGTGAACCATTGGACTTGTCGAGTTCGTGTAAATGTACAGCCTCCCAACCCAGGGTACGGCCACACGCATCCTCTGCGTCCTACTTACTTCCCTAGCCCTGTGACCCTGTCGTAGAAAGCCGTGACGGCCTTGTTCGTGACACATCGGCACATCGCACCTAGTCAGACAGGTTAAGTTCCATCCACGTCACGCTCCCATCCTGACCTCCCAGCACCAAGACACTACGATCCGAGACACAAACGTGTGGACCGAGTGGTCTGAGATCTGGCGGAAGCCATAGAAGGCTGCAATCATCTTTGTCCCGTCGCTTAATCCAGCCATCATTGTCGACCTGCAGAGCGGAAAGGTATTGAGTCGAGTCCTCAAACTCGACAGTAGTGCTCATTTGACTCTGCTCCAGAGCGACGTCGCGATCGTCCAAGCAGACTACCTTCACCCCAACTTGCAAAAACTTTCCGTCTAGAGAAAACCCCAGCGAGAACTTTAGGATGTTATAAACCTTTAGAAAGTCGGATCCCCCAATTCTGCGAGTTTGGCCGGTTTCGACGTCCCAGATTCGGACGACAGCGCGCCAGTCGAGCGAGGCCAGATAACGATCACATCTTGTAAATTCGAGAGCCATGATTGACGTTTCATGACCTGAAAGTCGGACACTCGACATTTTAGAGGGCTCTCTCCACGATTTCCACACAATTACTTTACCGTCCGTGTCTCCCGATGCCAAAGTCGAATGCAGGTCGTCGTGGGACAGTGAAATTGTTGTAACACGCACCCTGTGCTGGCTGGATAAGCTGCCTGGCACGTCTTTTGTGCTCTGGGTAGTGTCCAATATCCGTATGGCATAGTCAGTGTGATGATTACATGCCAACGTTGTGGAGTCTGACGAGAAGTAGAACCAATGGTAATTATAATTGAACGACGCGGTTTTTTCTCCGGTGCCGATGGCATAGACGTCGATTTTGTCTTCGGCATGAACAGCCACCACAAGGCCGTCAGGCGAGAGCTGAGTTCTCCAAAGCTCTGACGGGATATCAGGCAGTCTGATCGTATGCACGACCAGTTCACTTTTGTCATCGACGGGAGGGGTGTCCTGACCCACCACCACCATGGAAAGTTGCTGTTCGGAAACGTAGGTCGCGGCGACAACACCGGGGAATTCGCGCAATTCCCCTGACTCTATGTCCACGAGACGGGTGATACGAGTGATTCGACATCTTGTGTCATGCTCTTCTGCGTCGCATCCGGTCATCAGAAGACTTTTCCCCTCGGGTGAAAATTCCGCTTGGTTTACAATCTCAAAGGGCGTAGCATGAAATAATTTCAGCTCTCCTGACGGGTACCAGAAACATAGATGGTTGCTGTCCTCGATCCAGCACCCGAACGCAACGACTCCTTCGTCTGAGACTGCCAATGGTTCCCAAACGCTTTCGGCGGGTTCTTCCACATGTCGAACCAACTTTCTCGAATTCATGTCCCATAACGACACAAACGGACTGTCAGTTTCCCATCCGCCCACAGCTGCGAGATAGTTGCCATTTCTCGAGAAGGCGACCTTATCAACGCCTAGGTTGCCCTTGCTCAAAATGCACACACAGACACCCGAATCCCCATCCCAAAGTCGAATCGTCCCGTCCGCCGATGCAGATGCCAGATATTTGCCATCTGGTGCCCACGCTATTGACGTAACCCACCTCGAGTGACCGTCCAGCGTCTGTCTCAGGCCTTGGGGTGTGCCATGGAACGTGTCAACATGGGGAGGGTGGATTATCCATTTCGGTATCTCGCCGCTGAAAGTTTGCCTGATCTGGCTTTGGCTTGGCGTGAATATCAACGCTGATGAGTAAAGCTGGAGAGGCGCAAGGTGAACGATGCCTGAGAACTTCGCAAGGAAACGACGGGCATCAGAAAGAAATCCAACAAAATCCCGGTGTGAATCGTTCTGAAATACAAAGTGAATGGTTAGCATTTCTTCTTGACCCCTGTGAGCCGCCAAATCGGGCTCGTTCGCCAGGTATTCGTTGAATAATGGCGACAGGCTTCTCCCGCCTGACGTGGAACATTGGAAACTAGCGCTTACCTGAATCATGGTCTGCAATAGCGATACCTGGGGGAGAGCATCAATTACTCTCCCCATCCAGCCCAAGGCTTCCACCCAGTGGAGAAAGTGGTTTTTGAGGAACTCGTAGGTGAGACTCGCCATTCCTGGATCTAGCCACGTTGTGTCGAGGCGACTCTCTGCAAGGTGATGCACCCAGTAACTGCATGCATACTGGACGTCTAGATTTAGACGCGCCATGATCTTCTCGCGGTCGACGTCAGCGACCTTGGTCCCGGGATTTTGTAGGTTGAATAAATTCGCCTCCAGACTTTCGGGCTTCGACAGAAGTTCCAAGCACCTTTTAGTGAGATCCATATGCGTCGAGACCTTGTTGATCCCGAAAGGATGAGATTCTACGTTGTTGTTTCCAATGAGAAATTCTCGGAAAGATTGGTGAAACAATCGAATCGGAGACTCTTGCTGGGGGATGATAATGACGGACTGAAACTTCGCTATGTGGGACTCAACGGTTCTTGTATGCTTGTGAAGTAGCCGCGCAAGAGGCTCAAGAGAGAGAGGTTCGAAAAGAAGGATAATCGAACCGACGATGGCTTTAAAGTCTTCAAGGAAGCGAGTTCGATCTGGGGGTTTTATATCTCCAAATATCTGTTCGAGAATAGGTCTGTAAGTCCGTTCGGTTCCGGAAAACTTTGCCTTTGTGTTCTGTATAAGCTCCCTCAGTCGGTCTTCAGGGGCGAATCCTTCGCTCGAGAGGTATCTAATGAGAGTGGCAGCATAGATGAACAGGGGCGATGCCATATTAGCCAAAGACTTCAACTGTGCCTCTTCTGGCCACGAGTTGGGTATCGGTGTTCTGCGTTTCTTGTTCTTTTCGAGGCGTATTCTTGAAAATTCGTCTTGAAGATACACGGTGATATCTTCTTTGATAACAGAATCAGATACATGGTGTAGTTCGAGCTGGCGAGATCCCGCCGGAGGGAAGTCGGTGCTCTCAAGCTCAGGGCGGCTGGTGAGAAAAATCCGAAGATGGACGGAGGTGAGATTACGCGCTGCTTCGAACAGAAGCTGGACGATGTTGCCAATGTCGGAGTCGTCGCACTCGTCAAGCGCGTCGAGGACGATGACTAGGGACGGGATGCTCGCTTGCGGCGTTTTCTCCACGTGAGTAAGAGGCTTGCAAATGAGATTCTGGAACGCATCTTTAAACTCCTGCAAGCTCTGCTTATCCTTCAGGGCTTCGCAAACATGAGGCGAGAGCTCAGGGTGCTTGCGGACTAGCTGCGCCGCGATTGTAGTAAAAAGCTTTGAGGCATTACTCCGGTCACCCTCGCCGCGCTTGAAGAAGAAATTGGCCCCAAGGATGCCATCGCTTCTGAGAGCACTACAGACGGACCTTGAGATGGTGGACTTGCCTGTCCCAGCCAAACCACAGAGCCAGAAGATGGACGGAGTGTCTGCTTTTTGGTCTTTGGCCCAAGAAGTAATATCACGAAGGATGTCAACCCTGGTCTTAGGATTGCAGAGGGGCATCCCACGAGTCTCCATTGCATCGAACGTGGCTCCATTGGCTTCGACGAGGTCCTTCAGATATAGATGTTGCTGTATTTGCATGTTAAGAAGCCTGAAAAGACGAAAATGTCAGCGGCGAACGACGGGGTCAAGTACTTCTTCGACCTGAAACAGAACAGGAACGACATCGCAATTGACGCTACACAGGTCCTCGTCAACCGAGTAGACATTCCGCAACGAGAAAAATATAGCACCTCGAAAGGGGACCATTTTCTGGAGAGGATTGCTTACATTTGGTCTTTCTGAAGCGCGGCCGCAAAGGTTCCTTGCCAGGCATTGAGCCTCTCAATGATATCTTTAGTTTCCTCCTTCTCGAATGGCCACTTCAAACTACGAAAGCCGACACGGTGCATGCGACTCTGATTGTGTTCTAGTTTCTGCTTCAGCTCTTTGAGCTCAGCGATACAGCCCTCTGTGTATGATCCGAGTTCATGGGAGCGGGAGGCTTGTAGATGTGAACCGGTGTCGCCTTTCGGAAGATCTCGCAGTTCTTTCGCAACCTCCAAGAGAGCATCGAGTTGGCTGCAGATACGATTGACCTCCTTGCGCGCACCGAGCACACCTCGGGTGTACTGGAGTGCTATTTCTCCAACTTTGGCTGCTACTTCAACCAGACTGGCAATGCTTGCTATCCCACCCACTGCCTCCATCTTTGCAGTCGGAAATCAGGATTTGGATATATTGCAGACTTTGGGTGCCGTAGCTCTCGAGTTCAGTGCATTGCCCGGAGTCGGTCAAGAAGGGGGGGAGGCTTATCGGTAGTGGAACAATATCAAACCGTGCCAAATCGGACGTGTAAGGAGCCTCGCTTAGATTCAGCTGGCGCACGAAGCATCGGGGGTCACAAAACACCACCTTTCAAGTCGCTTGGGCTCGATCAATAGCGGATCGCCATCAGATAAGCATCACTGTAGAACGTGAATGGTATCATACGCCTCAGAGAGGACGATACATGTGGGAAGTTTGGGGCGGGGGAAAACACTCTCAGCGCAAACATGCGGCTGAGGACGGGAACATTGTCCCTAGGACGTGGGAGGACGCACCCTTATCAAGACGGCAGAGAGAACTGGTGAGGCTCAGCCACCCGCAGCCTAGCCATGTGCATGCATGTTCAAGCGAGTGACAACAACTGCAGTCCGGGGCGGCTTCCCACAGCTCGCATCGTGGGCAGCAAGAACCGCAGAAGGGTCCAATTGGGCTGATTGACGTGGCACCAGGCTTGCCCAGATAGCTGCGGAGAAGATTCGATTGGGCGTGGCCGTGTGATAGATCCCAAGGTCGCAGCCCAAGGAACCGAGCTAAGGAAGGGAAGGAGAGTCAACGACGTTGCGGGAGAAAGCGCTTGTCCAACTCCCATCTTGCTACTACTACGCACGCCCTGCTGGAGTGGGAGACGAGGCTGACTGCACTCGCCTCCTCGAACCGATCCTCGTCAATGCGGCATTGGGTTTATGGTGGATGTAAAGCAGCCCCGCAACCCGAGACTTAGCGACTTGGTCTCGCGCCGTCTGTTCGATGGCCTTGGATGGTCTGAGGCCTCAAGCGACCGAGTTTAATAACGCAGGCAGCCTTATTCACAATCCTTAGCAACAACGCCATTGGGGACAACTTCCAGGACGGGGCGAAGAACCTGATCATCAACGACGTCGAGCTGATTGAGGCCAGAGTTGCACGCATTCAGGACCAAGGTGCACGATCAGGCTTCACGCCGCCGCATTAGGGGCCCGAGTGAGATACTGCAAGGCGCCCAGGCGGGGGGCTGCAAGACGCGATTGGGCCATGTAGGCGGTGTTCGACTTTCCTGGAACGAATGCTTGCTGGCTGCTTCGCCTGCCACCAAAGCCACAAAAAACCAGGCCAGCTTCATCTGTAGTGCCTGCTGCCTCGAGACCGGGGCTCAGCCCTTTGCGGAAGGATTTGGCTGATGAACCATCCACGCCAGTCACGGCAGACCCGACGTGCCCTTCTCGTTCGCTGTGTCCCGGCGGCATGGGCATGACTCCTGCTCTCCAGATAAGGATACCAAGTCGATACTCAACTGTACCCTCTCAAGCATTCCCAACTACGCATGCTTGTGATGAAAGGAGAATACGCCCAGGTGTCCATGACGTACCATTGCCTTGGCTTCCTTACGCTATGTATGTAGGGATGTGTGTAGGAATGCATGTATGCATCTCACGGGCGGTTCCCAACACATTTGCTGCCTCCCTTTCTCAACCCCCGTTAGATACCTGACCTTGGATCCTTCATTCCATCGAGACTACAATTGGCACACATTCCTGGACACGCTGGACAGTTTCAGCCCTTTTCGTATAGAGGGTAGATTGACGTCAGATGAATCCACATTCAAGGAGCCAGCTCGATATGCAAGGGCGTGCCCGCACCCGACGGGATGGGGCTTCAGCCTCATGCGAACAAGGGGCACAGGCGGATCACGGCACAATCCTTACAAGGTAGGGAATGCAGCTGTATAACTCAAGACGGCCGACCGACGTTCCACCATCACCTCATGAATCCTGCTCACATTCCCGATTGCCCTGCTTCTGGTAGCGCGAGTTGACAAGGATTCCGACCGTATCACCCCCTTTGGGATCTGACGGACCACCATTCCCGGCCCCTTGCAGATATCTCGACACCCATGCAGCTCCATCGGCCACAGCCTGATGGAAACTCGTAGTGTACGCGAGACGCAAACAATATCGATGGTTGATCCAATGGACCAGCCGTATTCTCTTTGAGTCGGGCATGAAAAGCTGATTCTAGAACGGCCAGTCTCTCTCTCCCTACCCCTCTCTCTAACCTTATCAAACGCCCGATCGATCGCCAGGGTCGCATTGGCGGATAAAGTGAGGCTGGAAACGTGGGAGACTTGAATCCGAGAATTGGGGGAGCCCCAATCAGAGGAATGCTGGAGAGGGGGGGGGGGGAAGGGATGGAATCTAGCATTCTCAGCACGCCACGTCAATTGCCAGCGCCGGCTGGGCAGCAGCGGCAGAGACACGGGATACCAACACCCCTCCTCTCCCAGCCTCACCACATCTCAAAAAGCCTGCCCTTTCCCCTCCTTTTCCGTTCGTTTCTGCCTTGCAGGCTACACAGATCACAAGAGAGACGGTAACACCACCCACCCGCCGCGGCAGACCGCACACACCTCGCATCAGACTCCAATCGCACGCCCCCTACCCCTCTCCGTTACCCAATCGCCCAAAAAAAAAACAACCACCAAAAACTGGACACACCCCAAGATGGAGACAGCGGGCTTGGTGATCACGAACGTTGCTCTCACCAGCCTCCTAATCGCCTGCTTGGATGGGTGTAATTACGTGTCGCTGGGCTCGCAGGGCGAGCGGGAGTTTGACATGGCGTTCACGAAGCTCGTCCTATTGAAGGGCTGGCTCGGGGCCGTGGGGGCGACGGTGCACGCGGCGTCGCAGGGCGGCGAGAACCACCTGCCGGCGCTGCGGGCGCAGTGGGACGCCCAGAAGGCGGTGGTCAGGTCGAGCCTGCGCAGCGTCCAGGGCCTGCTGCACGACTCGGCGAAGCTGCGCGACAGGTACGGGGTCGAGGTCGTCGGGGCCGGGGGAGCAGGCTCCTCGATGCTCACGACGACGACGCATCACGACGTGGAGATGCAGGCCGTCGAGCCGGCGCCCGCCGAGAGCCGCCACATCGTCAAGCCACGGGTAATACGAGGGGCAGGGAAAGCAGCAGCAACACCGCGACCATCGAGCTCGACTGCGTCGGGGTCGGGGTCGGGGTCGGGGTCGGGGTCGGGGTCGGGGTCGGGGTCGGGGTCGGCGACAGCAACGGCGACGGGGGGTGCGGATGCGTGGTCTCTGCGCGACAAGCACAAGGTCAACGCGCAGATCGCCGAGCTCGACGACTTCGTGGTGCATCTGGAGGAGCTGCTGCAGAACCTGGGCAGCACCAGCGGGCCGCACCAGGTCGAGATCATCCAGCAGGCGATGCAGTCGGTGCCGGAGCCCTCGAGCATGCGGCTGTTGCTCGAAGCTTCGGGCGGGTCGGGGTCGCAAAGGTCGGGGCCCCGGGCCAGGGGCTTCCCCGCTGCCGGGGCCTCCACCGCCGCGGGCGCTGCCGAGGCGCCGAAACAGCTAGCCAGCCGACAGTACATCCGCAACCTGATCAGTGACCAGGCCCACGCCATCCTCGGCGACATCGGCAACGTCGTCGACATCGGCGGCACCAACGGCGACTACAGAGACAACGAAATAAGCGGCTCGACCATGGTCGTCCTGGGCAACGTCGACGGCACCTTTGCCACGAGTTTCTTTGGCAAGCACCGGAGGACCGAGTAGGTCCTTGGCAGGCAAAAAGGTAGCTATGTAGCCATATAGGAGGAGGATGAGCCCATGAGCCCATGAGCCCATGAGCCTGGGGGAAACCAGCCCCGCCCCGACACATCAGGATGAACCTCTCAGGACGAGGTACAGGCCATGGAAGATGCAAACATGATTCTCCTGCATTCAAGAAAGCCCCCACTATCAGATGTGCTGTGGTCTTAGTGCACCCAACTTGTACCGAGTAACCTCGTGATATGGCCTGCTGAAAAACGCCCAGGGAACAAAATGCCACCAATATGCAACGACGGTAACATGCCACGCCTCGTGGATCCGGAGCCTTGGTCGTCAAACAGATGCATAGCACGTCGTCTCACATCAACACTCGTGTCACGGTCACCGTTTCCTCGGGCTCCCTGTCCCCTCGCTCGCTCCGTCATCCTCCATCTCATCTTCTTCTTCGATCAGAGCCGGCGTCCTCCTCTCGTTTCTTCGCTTCGGCCTTCTCCTCCGCGCACTCGAGATATTGCTGGCCGAGTCGTCCGGCTCGATCTCCCCGAAACCATCCCACTCCCCGAGGCCATCGTCAGTTTCGGCGTCCCATCGTCCGCCCACCCCGTTTTCTCCCTGGGGCATGATCCCGCTTGCGGGCGTATCCATTCGGACCTCGATCCCGCCACCCATCACACCGCGTCTTCGCTGGGCTGCGGCGGCCAAGCCAGCAGAGCGCTCTCGTAAGGCCCGACGCACCATTTCCGCCTTATTATGCAGAACCTCGAATGCATCTTCGAGAGCTTCCATCCCAGCGTAGATGTCGCGTTCTATCTCTGCAAGCGTGGCCAGTTCCGTCTCCTCGTCAAACGCGATGGGCGCGCCATATTGAGCATTAGGAACGCCATTGGTCTGCGAGTAAGGGTGAGAGTAGCTGCCCTGGCGAGATCCGTAGCCCGCCCCATTCGTCTGTGGCCCGTAACCAGGCGTAGCGCCTCGGGTAGGGGGACGATAGGGAGTCGGTCCTCTTGATGGGATGTGCTCGGGCCACGGAACGTCATCTGCACCGCTTCTGAGGAACCCGTCAAACCGGCCAGAGATGAGAATGTCCCATTCATCATTGGATATAGCGGCCAAGGTAGCCAGGGCGTTGTGCAACGAAGGATTGTTGAGTAAGAACAGCGCAGCCTCGGAATCTCTTGGCGTGATCGTTAATCGGTATAACCTTTGGATCGCCTGCGAAGCAATGGCAATGTGCGGAGGCCGAACTCGAGGGGCGGGTGTTGGTGTTGGTGTCGGCTGTGGTGGACGGGACTCGCCATTCTGCTTCTCCAGCTCTGGGGTCGGTACTCGTCTAGGAGGCTCGATTGGCCGATCCACAATACCCAGCAAATCCTTGAAAATAGGCCTTTGTTCAGCGGGCAAGTGCGTCAAGATGGCAAAGGTCAACGTCTCCTCGTCCACCTCCTCAGGTGGCGAACTCGGGTCGTCGCTTTGTCGGCTGAGCCACTTGTCCACGCTTTGCTTCGTCTTGCGTGACTGTCGGATATAGTGTTCTCGGTATTCTTCAGGCACGTCAATGTCGAGCTTCTGCATCGGTACCCGGAACTCCAACGAGATCCCTAATCCCACCGGCGACAGCGTGAAAGCGAAAGGTGGCCAACTGGGGAGATCTTTTCTACCAGAGACTAATTCTAGGACTTCGCCCCAGCTGACACCTCTCACGTCCTCGGCATGATCGTATTCGCACATCGGGCATTGACATGCTTCCGAGGAGATGTCCCGTGCGAAAACAGCTTCAAGTCGATCGAGCAGTCGACGTGCCACCGAGCGATACCCGGTGGCAACAGCCAATGACCCATTCTTCGACATGACTTTGTCGTAATCATCAAGCAGCGCGACGTAAGGTTCAAAGAGATTGGCGACCAGAATGGAGGGTTGGTTCGGCGATTGAGCCTGTTGTATCGCCATGGGCTTACCCGCCAGTAACAGATTCTTCGTTACCGACTGGTGTAGTCCGCCGTGCTGCAGCAGATAGTCGACCTTGGGCACAGAGACCGGGATGGGCGCCGGTGGCGGTGGCGGAGGCCCAGGAGTTTGTGAGACACCTGCCGGTGTCCCCGTCAATACTGAGGCATCATCTTCTATAAAGATCTCCAATGGGGTCACTCCCCTGGACTGTGGGAGAATGACTGCTGGGCCGTCTGGATACACGGCCGCTGACGGGATTTTTGACCCGGGCCGCTGAATTGTAGGTTGTTCTGGGGCTATAGAGGTGGCTTCGGAACTGATGTTCGTGCCCGATTCGGTTGCGCTGTTGGTGGTCGCGGGAGAATCGGTTCGCGTCGGCTGACTGACTGACCTCTGAGAAACGGGTATTGTCGAAACTGGGGTTACCGTCTTCAGCGGCGTAGTGGTTGTATCGCGCGGTTTCCGAGTCGGAGAACTGTCTGTCCCCAGCTCAGACGAACTGCGCAGACGGCCGCTAGATCCCCTTGTTTTAGGTATGAGTCGTGCCTTGCAAGTGGTCTTCGTGTCTCCGTCCATCTGAGAGGCCTTTTCTTCTTCCTGAATGGTGTCAACCGACACCGGCCTCCCGACATTGGCCTTCCATTTCGCCGTCCCCGAGTTCTTGTCGGTGAGCGGGGGACTGGGCGGAGCATCGTGCCCAAAAGTCGAATGTCTCGAGGGGAGTTTGTCTTTGGAAGCGTTCAGATCGGTCGCAGGGGGAGTAAAGACATTGGGAACTGGCCGACTTGCCAAACCGACGGCTTCGCGGCTATGTTCTTTCGAGAACGAAGGATACGGCAAGCTGGACTTGGAGTCCGATTTGACAGGGGTTTCTTCGACCTTTCCCGGCATGGAGGACCGTCTCTTTTCATTGACCGGCGAGATGGATGTCCTGGAGGATGTCTTTTCTCGCACGGAGGCTTTGCGATGTGATCGGTGCCTTTCCCTTTCCTTGTCTCTGTCTCGATCTCTGTCTCTGTCTCGGTCACGATCTTTGTCCCGATCTCTTTCTCGGTCTCGGTCCCGGTCTCGATCTCGTTCTCTCCGGTCCTTTTCTGATCGCGACGACTCCTTTTTCTCGCGCCGCCGCTCGGCGCTATTATCTCGAACTTTGGAAGGCATAATGCTGGACGGAAGGTCGCATGATGCGGCCGCAGCAGGTTGTACTTCAAAGCGCTTAGACCGCGGGTACCATTTGTGCCCAACGGCGATTTATTGTGGAGTGACAGGGCGCTTAAGCAGGCGGGGAGGAGACCCTGTCACCAAAACAACAGGAAGATGTTGCTGCCAGGATGTTGAGAGACGGTCGGAGGAGGAGAGAGGCAAGTTGCGAACGAGAACTGGGTTTTATGATGGCGAGCGTCAAGCGTCGAGTGTCGTGTCACTTTGTGGTTTGGTTCTGGCAAGAATGAGGCCCCCATCTGCGATGATGTAGTTGGTGGTCGAGGCGCAGTCGGTCGAATTGCTGGTGGCAGGAAAAATAGCAAGCGGGCCTGATTGGATGGTCAAGGCGCCCTTCTCAATTTCCACGGGATGGCCACACCAGCCAAAATAGATGCGCACAGGATCAACTCAGGATAGATCTTGCAAGCGCTTGTTTGTTATTTCAAGATGTACTCTAGCATGCCATGCGAGCAAGCGAGCCATGTGTCTCCCGCTTGACTGTCAAAGTGCGCAAACTCAGATCCCCCACAATTCTCAGACCAGCCCTCACCGAACCCACTGGGACCGGCGGCGGCTCAAATCGCACCTCATCACTCATGCGCATCCCATCCTTTCCGTTATTCCTCTACTGCTCATCCTGTCTACATGTTTAAGACTAAGAGCGCGCCACCGAACAAGGCCGCTGCACCCACCACCCCAGTTTTGGCGGGCGCCGCAGCTCCAGAACTACTGCTTGATGCCGCGGTCGCACCTGTGGGTGACTGGCTGACACTGGTGCCGGTTGGCGTCGGCACACCAGATGTAAATGGAATATTGCTGGCAGAGCTGGCACCGCTAAATGCAGGCGAGCCGGACCCTTGGGACGGGTTGGGCATCGCAGTGGCATTGTTGGGATTCAGCACGTTGTCAATGACGTGAACCACGCCGTTGGCGACGAGCACGTCCGGAACAACCACTCGAGCGCTATTGACGAAAACCTCCCCATCTTCGACTGTGATGGTCAGGTCGTTGCCCTGGACCGTCTGCACCGTGCCGTTCTGCAGTAGAGTGCTGTAGCCGACCGCGCCCTGAACGAGATGATACTGCAGGATCGAGGACAAGTCCTGTGTAGTCAGATTGGGAAGGGCAGAGCCGATGGCCTCGAACGCTTCATTGTTGGGTACGAACAAGGTCACATCGGACAGGGTGTCGACGGTTGTCACCAGATCGGCACTAGTGAGAGCACCGGCGGCAGCGGAGAGGTTGAGTTGAACGGCAGTGTCTGAAATGTTTTGCGGAACGGTCAGGACGTCGTCAATAATGTGAACCACCCCCCCACTGAAGTTGACGGGGCCGCTGCTGACGCTCGCATTGTTGAGCAACCCCGAGATGAAAACAGCCTGGTTCTTGTTCGAGACTGCTTCCACCACTTGCCCACCAGTTACATTGGTAAATTGAGATGGTTGCAGCAGAGTGGGAACGAACTGCTTGTCGCTAAAATCGGCATAGGTTCCATTCAAAACGTGGTAGGTGAACAATGCTTGGATTGCCGAGGTGTCGTTCTGGACCAGGGCAGCTCCAGCGGAGGAGTTTAACAGTCTCGCAAAAGCATTGTTGTTGGGTGCGAGCAGAGTGATGTTCTTCAGAGATGCCAGAGTCGCCGTGAGGTCTGGAAACAGCCCAAGGTAGGAGGTGAGGTTGGACAACTCTGGTGTATTCGCGAGTATGGTCGTCAAGTCTTGCGCAACAGCCATGCCAACAAGGGCGCTTGCAGTCCATGTCCTGAACAACATCGTTGGAGATCTCTGTAAAAGTGAGTATGGGCTCAGGAGAGCAGCAGGCTGACTTGACGAGAAGGAAGTGGAGAGCGCAAACTTCAAAGAAAGAGTCTGATCAAGAGGTATTTGAGAACGGCACTGCCCACGTCTTCCCTAGACAAACGGCACACAAGTCATTTAAGACGGGTGCTGCTTGTTCCGGTCTCCGGTGTGGCTCACAGACACTGCCGTGGGATGGTGTAACCCGACAAACGGCATACCATTCAGCATGAAGCAAACCGCTGCCTTGAATGACGAGCAAACTCAGCTAGTTGCCCCCAGAGCGATGCCTACAGAACGATGATTAACGCCGTTGCATTGTCCACTCATCCTTCCAAGGTTGAGGAGACCACAAGGAAGTCCCGTTGGTGCGATATGGACGAGGCATGTTTATCGTAAACCAGATGTCCACTCCGAAACTAGATTCGCGTGATTCATAGTCCAGGGTGTTGTGCGCGGATCAGGGAGAGGGATAGCTTGACACTGGGTAGACATTGTCAGTATAATTGATGCCGACCAGTAAGACACAGGAACAGCCGTTAGACGCAAAACAAGACAAGCAGACAACGAGGGACAAGTATGTGAGGACGAGGTAGATGACATTCGAGGGCACAGGTCTAGATCTGAAGATCGAATTGGAATCCTGAAACACACAAACAGGGGCTGCGATGCGACAGCCGAGGAGACGGACGCCTCATCTTATTGTTAAGAGAGGTGCCCCTCATACAAGACCGCCCCCCGAGTCTTGCGGTGCTGGGTCTAGCTTCGTGTCTGTCCATTTGAAGTGCTGCCAGTGTCAAATTGTGAGAGAAAATAGATCGGAGTTGGGCCATCCGAGGCATTCGCACTCTCGGGCCATTGAAAGAAGGGGAAATTGATAGAGATATCGTCACCCGCCCTTTGGTGCCGTACCTGGCACCTCTGGTGGCTATCGTGAGCCTCAGATCGGTTTGAAATCGTCTCGGGCGTTGCTCCTAATCTAGGAGGAGACAACTCCGGGGCAGAGTATTCTCCGCCGCACAGCCTGAGCGGACCGAGGTGGGCAAGGGGAAATACTTCTTTCTAAAGCACCCCATTATGCTTTCGTTTGGCCAGGCCAGGAGCCCAGACCACCTCCTCCTAATTCGAATGCTTTCGCAGCCTTCATCACTCCAAGATCATCCCATCTCTTGCCAATCACCTGCATGCCGACAGGGAGCACCCCACTCGCGGTTCGTGCAAATGCCCAACCGCAGGGCACGTTCAAGGCCGGATGGCCGGTGGAATTGAATGGGCAGGTGTTATTGGTTGATCCAACTGCCAGTTTGATTTTGTCCATAACGTTGCTGCCGCCCTCGGCCTCGGGTCGCAGATCAGGGTGTGGAGGAGCAACCGTTGGTGTGGTAGGAGTGATAAGGACATCAAAGTCTTCCAGTGCCTTATCGTAAGCTGCTCTTAACTGCAACACATGGCGATGAGCTTTAGCCTGAACTTCCGGACCAAACTTTTCTTTTAAAAACGTCTCGCAGAAAATTATATTTATGACGGCGGGATTGGCCACAGTCAACAGATCATACATTTCCTGATCTGGAGGCCATCTCAGGGACAGGTGCGGGATATTATGGCTGAGCACGTCGGGTATTCGGCCGCCAACGGCCAGTCCGGCAAGATGTGTCCTTGTCGCTGCAGTCCAGATAGCAGGGCCGAGCAGATGCATCGGGATCGAGACCTCGGATACTGTCGCACCGCTGGCTCCAAAGTGTTTCAAAGCAGCGGAACGCACCGTTTCTGCGACTTCTGATTGCGTGCCTGGAGCACTGAATGACTCTGTGATGATACCAACTTTAAGGCCTTTGCCCGGGTTCTCTGCAGCAGCTAGTTGCTTCGCATAGTCAACAACATGTTCCCGGAGTGGCGATTCGGGCGTCATGCGCGTATCCAGGCCGTCATAGCCCGCAACTACTGTGAGTAGAGTGGCTATATCTTCCAATTTTCTCGCCATTGGACCCGTGTAGTCGATCATTGGATGAAGTCCAGCAATTCCTGTATACGGGACCAAGCCATGGGTGGGTTTAAGGCCATAGACTCCGCAATACGAAGACGGAAGGCGAATGCTCCCTGCCTGATCGCCGCCCATTGCCAGGTCAACATCTTCCCCAGCTTTGTCCAGACCAGGGACTCCGGCAGCCCGAGCGTTCCCTAGGGCAAGAAGACATGCTCCTCCACTAGTGCTCCCGCCAGTATTATGATCGTGCAGCCACGGGTTGTGGACCGGTCCGTTGGCTGAAGTATAGGACATGGGCGTCAGAGAATAGTTCTCGCACGTCGATGTCCCTGCTATGGTGGCTCCAGCCTCTAGTAATCTCCTTGTTATCGATGCGTCGATCGAAGCGATCGGGTACTTTCCGTCCTTGGAAACAAATTGAGGGAAGGTTCCACAGGTATGGGGAAGACCATAAACAGACATGTTATCTTTCATTATGATTTTGCGACCTTTGAGAACGTCTGACAATGGGTTTTCTGCCACAATATTTGCTTGGTGGCTCCAAGCATTATGGCTATTATTCTTGGATTTCCAATATTCTCGTCCGCCGATCGTAGGGACAGGCTCGAGCCGAGGATCGATGTAGTCGGGCAGATTGTTGACACTTGCAGCCGTCATATCAGCCGATTGGAGGACAAGCAGGTATGCTTCTTCATCTGCCTTGGACGCAATTTTGATGTTATTGCGCGCCGCGACATCGTGAAGAACATCGAGGGTAACACTGGACCTTGAACAACATCAGAGAGGTATCACAAGCGTCATGAGGGCTCAACATACTGCTGTCCGTCTGCTAATGCCACGATAGACATCGGTTATGAGTTTCGCCCTTCGAATTCGCCCCTTAAGGTTGAACAGAAGTTTCCAGTCCGAGGGTTATGGGATTTGGAAACATAATGAATATTCAATCGAAGGACGCTGATGTCCGGCTGCGGGCGTCGATCTCCTTTGACATTGTTCGTTCGTTGCATGCAGGGTAGTAAGGCGAAAAGGGCTTCCTTTTCCAGGCAAGGCAGAGTATACCGTTCGTCAATAGGAGAATACTGTCTCTCGGGCAGGGAGCGGTTGCGGTGTTGTTCCATCGAGCCGGTTTGCAAGTGTCCCGATTTCGTCTCCCTTCATAACAGTGTGCTTCAGGCTTGGGCTCCAGCAGGGACATTTTCCAGCCAGTTCCATTGCACCAATACTCTACCAAGGTCGACGTCGGCCAATTCAGCAAAAGTATCAATGGTGACGTCGATGTCCATCGGCTGACAGCCCGTGCACCGGTCTACGACCGTCAGATCCACACTCTTGTTATCCTTTCGCGCCCTGATCTTCTTTCCGCACAATGGGTTTGCGTTTGGATTGCTGCCAACACTGACTGCGTCAAATACAATGTGTGAGATGGCCACAATCTTGTCGCTGTCACTGGACGAAATCCCGCAAGCTCCCAGACCCGGCTCGTAGTAGGTCAGATCGCCGGTATAGGGACCCCCGTTTCCCGAAGGCAGTGGTAGGTTCTGCTTGTGTTTGCGCGTCGAAAGACCTGCCGCGAGGCCGATAACAAGTGCAATGATCGCAAGGATAACGACCAAGACCAGGATGCGGGCTCGGCGCGAGAGTTTCTTCCATCGGTTCACGAGGTTGCCAGCTGTATTAGGGGTTCGCGGTGGCAGGGTCGTGGGTACAGGTTTCCGCCGAATTGTAGCTGTTGCAGCCTTTTCCACTTCTCCTACTTGTATTTCTTCTGCTTCACCCATCCTCGCTGTCGGTCGCGGCCGCTGCCGCTCAGGATCTGTCAAAAAGAAGATGGAATGGTGTGTAAGGCTCGAGTCGGGGGTCAGAATCGTCCACGAGGTGTTGTATGAAAATCTTCTCCAGCTGCTCAGTCCGAGCTATCCAAAATCTGTTTCAAGTGTCACAACCGCCAACGACCAAAAGAGAACAGGAAATCCCTCCGTCGCAGTCAGAGCGAAATTGCGCACCAAAGGTTTGTGGAGCTGTCTCGCCTCACTCAGGCTCTTCGGATCGTGATTGGCTCCCTCAACATTCCCCTGGCAGATGGCGAGTAGCGAGGCTTGTACCGAGCAGGGTCACCATGTTGCCAGCCAGATGTTGGTGGGCTCGACTCGAGTGTCAGTGGCCATGGGGCAGACAGATCTGGAGGAGATTGTTCGCAGACTAGCTATATGGGTTTGGAGGATAGAATAAAGTCCCTAGAGAGTTACAATTAGTGGTTTTGTGAAGTGCACACTAGTAGAAACTGCCTGCCTTCACTCATTGCAAAGTGATAGAGATGCAGATACATTATTGCTTCACTCGTCGACTGCTCGACTGCATGCATGCTGGCAGTAAATCGCCGTTGCAGGGAACTTCTAGGCAGAAGCCACAGAATCGAGTCCCTGCAAGTCCTTGTTCTTTAGTTCTCAAACTCTCATTGACAATCCGGCGTGTCGCGTCGTCTGACGATGATCCCAGCGGCGCTATTCTCCTCTAGTCTGACGTTGCTGTCGCCACCTCCTTCTCCTTTCTCAGAAGCCGAGTTGCCAGTCATTCCTACCGATGATCTGGGCATGATTGCTGACGATGAATGCTCGCGGGAAAATGTTCAAGCTGGACCAGCGGCAAAGACAGTTCAAAAGCGAAGAGCCGCAGGTACGCGTCGCAAGGTGACCTATGTCTCCAGGCATTTCATCAAGGAGGTGTCCAAGGACGAACGGCAGGACGACAATTCGAAGGAGGAAGACAAGATGCTCGACAAGACATTAGATGCAGACCTCGAGGGCGCTCCAGTCATTGCCACACCGCCAGCAACGCCCGCCAGAAGCCGGGTCTACTATGGACTCAACCTCGATGACCTCTCCTCAGATTCAAGTCTCACAGATGTGCCAGATGATATTGGGCCTGACCCATTCTTGCCACATGCTCAGTCCCCTTTGAGTGGTCCTATGACTGGGGAAGTGAAGATCGAGACCAAGAAGCCACGAAGATCAACCACGTCGCCCTACTTCCCCCAGGTGCACAAGCATCGACCTACATTCCTAGCTACATTGCCATTCCCGCCTCTTTCCCACGAAAAGTTCGGCCTGATGCAAGAGAGACTGGCGCATGACCCATTTCGTCTCCTGATCGCGACCATTTTCTTGAACAAGACGCCTGGAGAGCGCGCAATGCCGGTCTTTTATCAACTCATGTCACGCTACCCTACGCCGATAGATCTTGCTAACGCTGAAGTTAGCGACATTACATCGATCATCTATGGCCTAGGATTTCAGAATCAACGGGCGAGGAAATGTGTTGCAATGGCAAAGGTCTGGCTCGAGAGGCCGCCTTCGCGTGGGAAGCGATATAAAAAGCACAATTATCCGGCGAAGGGCGATGGACGAGACGTCAAGCAAGACGAAGTCCTCGATGACGAAGATGGCCGTGTGGCGTGGGAGATTTCTCACTTGCCTGGACTTGGACCCTACTCTCATGATAGTTGGCGTATGTTTTGCCGGGATCAGCTGAGAGGAGTCGCCAAGAGTTGGAATGGCGAGGGAGCGGAGGATACTGACACTTTTGAGCCAGAGTGGAAGAGGGTGGTTCCATTGGATAAGGAACTACGAGCGTACCTTACTTGGATGTGGCTAAAGGAAGGCTGGGTTTGGAATAAAGAGACGGGAAAGCGAACAGAGGCGAGTCCGGAGCTTCTGTCGAGGGCAAGAGGAGGCGGGATCGTGGTGGAAGAGAAAGACTCTGCCCATCTGGTCGTCAAAAGCATCCAGGAGGAGAACGTCGATACTCTGAAAGAGAACAAAAAAGTCGAACGGACTGCTGGAGAGTATTTGCCCTAGGGTTCTACCAGTGGGAGCTGAAATCGAAAAGAATGGACTCTTCAAAGGTTCCAACCACCACCGTTGCGCTGACTTCGAATTCCTCGTTTCGTTGGAAGTCAATCTCTCGATGAATGAAGAGCGGCGTTGACTCAGCGGATGTGCAAAAGGCCCATGTCGACCAAGACAGTAGCCGAAGTCCTTCAGTCCCTTGAGCGTGTCAGGAAGTGAAATTCCCAGGGACTTAGCCGCATTGACCCCAGGTCACCATACCGAAGGTTCAAGCCACATCATGGCACTTCTGCAAGACTTTTGGCGAGACACGCGGTCATGAGGATTACCACATACGAGCAACAAGGCAACCCCGCTCCGCTTCTCCTCCCTGTCTTCCAGAAGTCTCCTTACAGAATACGGACCATCGTGTTGCGACGTCTTTGTGAGTGAGCGTCACTCGCACGCGGATGTGACGGATAACGCCCTCGTGTAACCAGCCCGCAGATAAGCGGACTGCTTGGGGATTTTGGAAAGGCAACCAACCCAATGTGGCGCCCAACGAGAAATGGTTCGCAAGGCTGTGGGACTCGGATTGCTGCCTGTCAAGAGACACACCTCTCGATGTCCCAAGAAACTATAAAACAAAGCAGCAAAGGGCCATGACGAGCACAGTCCCAAGGAGAAGCTATTGTATGTATCACACTTATTTAAGGCGTGGCCCCTGGTGGCCCAACCATCCGCTGTCATTCTCTATCGACCACGAATCTCACACAGCATCAGCCTCACTCGATATCGTGCTGGTGCAAGAGAACAATCCCCTGCTCTCATTTTTGTCTATACATAGGTACCAGCACACCAGAGACTAAGCGACTTCAGATGTTCTCTAGCACGCGGCGCACAGTCCGGCCCAATCACTTTCATGACTTGGGCGACTTCATTGAAAGCACCGATACGAGCAATGCGGACAGAGATTCGAGAATCACTTGGGCCAGTGGCTACCAAGAAAGACTCACCCCTGGAACCATTATCTATGTCAAGGACAAACCAGGCAACAGTCGCATAAACGACACAGTGATGCTAGTCCTGCGCAGGAGCACCGACACCCAGTCTTCCTTGACATGTCTGTCCTTCTGCGCGCATCGGGGGCGCAAACTGGCCTCACTCCACAAGACTCATCGGCTTGTTGTACCCCCGGTGCAGGGACCTCGTACAGACCCGACCCTGTCACGGCAACAAACTCCTACCAGCGCAAACACCAGAGGCGGAGGGCTGAATCTAGAGGATGCTGAGGTTGAACTATATATCAACGGCTTCCGGCTCAAACAAGAACTGACACTGAACTGCGAAGAGTTATGGAACGTGGAGCGCGAGGTCGATGTTGCGGTCATCGGCGAAGTGACCGCATCGTCATTTAAGGAGGTGGTCAGCCATGTCAAGCAGCTATTTGTTGAGTCGTTAGAGCAGGCAGTGAAAGATTCGCAAGGCGCTGTTCCGGCCGAGGCGACACCAACTCGATCAACTCCAAAGAACAAGACTAACGACCCAGCCAAGGCACGTAAGCACCAAAGCAACGACAAAAGGAAACGAACACGATGGTGAACCGAAGGCCAAGGAACGAGGCGCGCCCTCGAGAAAACTAGGAAACCCATTTCACGGGAGACTGCTTCTATGCTGGACGTCGGACTGTCAATTGAAATTGTATCTGGAAGTTCGGAGTCCTGTCAGTCAAGGGGGACTTTGAGCCATGCGTGGGAATGACTTTGTGTTGTATCTTGATACCCTATGGGTGGCTCTTTGATTTCTGGGTGGAAGGTCTTTCTTTCCAAATGCCAGCAGATGTTGAATAGTAAGCGGACTTGGTATGGTTGACGCCGTATTTCTTCTTCGACGTCCTTGGGCGGGTTGACTGTCAGTTCGTGGTTTCTCCGTCATGCTTCAGAATAATCCACACTTTTGAGCGGCATTGAGTATCGCTGGTATCCTCTCTTTTTCTCTGCCTAGCAATGCAAATATCTTCTGACAGTAATTGGACCCAACGGAGATTCGTGCTTCTTTGGCACCATCTTCATGCGATCAGTCTTGTGAGCATATACGAGAGCCGTCTGATCCTCGTCAGATACTGGCAATGTTGCCTTCCATGGGCTCTGGGAGGAAACAAGCCAGATCTCATTCAACGAGATATTTCAACTCTTCAGGCCCGACACGCGGATGATCGAGGGATCGGGAAGGATCTGGTGCCTGGCAGGCCTTGGGAGAGGGTGGAGCGAGCGAGGCTGGACATTGGGGTCCTTGAAGGGGCATGATCAGCTTTCCTCCTGAAGGATGGTTCCATGGTTCATGCCAACTAGCAACGGTCGAGAACTTCGATTGTTGAAGAGAGATCGCCAATCTGCCGATTCGTCGATGTGGGAGTTGGTGAAAGCTAGTTGAGTTGCATACGTATGCATTGCTCTGAACCCTTTGGCCTGCGCCCTGAGCCCTGAGATAGCGCAGGAGGAGCTGCCGAGCTGCCCCTCGTACCTTCTTACTAGTGAGAAAACTATGGCATCATACCCACGACGCACCTGGCGCATCCCTCTTCGCACCCTCCACTACTTCAACAAACCCCCTCAAAAAGGGTCGCCGACGTGGCCACACCGACACAACCTGCGCCAGACACAAGCAGCATCTACAACGTTCCCGAACCGGTTTCACCTCGCCGGTTCCTCCTATTTCACCCTATAGATTTCCTTGGTCTCAGCAAGAATCCGTTACGCTGCTTTCGAGATCCGCCCTCCCTGTAATTCCTCCGACTTGGGTCCGCCCCCGAACCCCTCAATCCTTCTCTTTCAGCTTCAATCGAACCTGTTTCAGCCTCAGTCCCACTGCCCGATTGCCTGACTCCTACGCATGGTCAAAACGGCGTCGGCACCACCGTGACCATCCGACGATTCTGACCTCCTTCAACGACACCAAACATGGTGCACATATCGCTTCCTCGAGGCCTGAGCCAACTTGGAGGAATAAAACACAAGGACAAAGATCAGGGTGCGAGTGGTTCTGCGGGCAATGGAAATGGCAGCAGACGGCCTAGTCCCCCAGGACTTGGGAGTAACAACAACAGCACCGTGGCCCTAGTTGATCAAAAACCACTTATCCTCAAAGTCTATGTCATCAAGGTATTTGTCCTCCTGTCGGAATCGACTTAGGCAGCCGCTCACCGTCTCTGCAGGCGAGAAATCTGGCACCAAAAGACAGATCTGGCACCTCCGACCCTGTACGTTTGTAACCCCCTCCCTTGCAAGCCAGAGTATCCTTAACAATCTTCATAGTACCTTGTGGTTACCCTCGGCAATGCGAAGCAGTCTACACCCTCGATCGCAAAGACTCTCAATCCGGAATGGAAGATATGCTTCGATATGCCTTTGACAGGCGTTCCCCTACTTGAATGCATGTGCTGGGACAAAGACCGCTTCGGTAAAGATTATATGGGCGAGTTTGATATCCCGATCGAGGATATCTTCCCCAATGGGCAGATACAGACCCAGCCTAAATGGTACAGGCTGAACTCGCGGAGACCAGCATCGAAGAAACAGAGCAACGTGTCTGGAGAGGTGTACATGCAGTTCTCTCTTGTCGACTCTGCGAATCCATCTGCTAGCCCGGATGAGATTCGGAAAAAGTTCCAAGCATATCTCGGAGCTGAGGAAGAAGACGACGAATTGTCCCGTGTCTCCTCCAATATAGATGAACTAGCGGCAGACGATGACTTTGATGAGCTTGACGAAGATCAAGAGGAATCCGTCACCGAGACCGAATCCCCGCAGAAACCGGAAACTGCTGATAAGAAAGCCAAGAAGAAACGACTTGCACGTCTCCGTCGCCGATCGATTGCGGCAAGAGCTTACAATTTCCTTTCAGAGGACAATGATGTCAATGGCATTATTTTCTTGGAGATTGTCAAGATCAACGATCTACCACCTGAACGGAATATGACCCGAACTTCCTTCGATATGGACCCCTTCGTGGTTACTGCATTAGGTCGCAAGATCCTCCGAACAAAAGTGGTTCGGCATAATCTGAACCCGGTTTATAATGAGAAGATGGTCTTTCAGGTCAAACGCAATGAGGTTGGCTTCTCCTTCACATTCAGCGTGATTGATCGAGACAGCTTGTCGGGCAACGATTTCGTGGCTTCGACATCATTCCCCCTGCAGAAAATGATCCAGTCCGCTCCCAAGGAGGATCCAGAAACTGGTCTCTATGACCTTCCCGAGCCACCAGAATATTCGCCGGCAATGCAGCAAAAGGGCAGATTCCGCATACCCTTGTCACGCACCACGTCAGCCAATAGTTTAACAAAGATGTCGAGACCCGGGTTGAAAAAAGACGACTCTCAGATATCGCTGTCCAGCACGAATAACAGCACGAGTAGTGACGACGCCAGTCGGCCTCCACCACCTACCAGTATGCCGTCCGACAATAACGGAAATAATTTGAAGTTGCCCGCCGGCATTGACCCCCTACCAGCTCAGCCGGCAGAAGACCCGACCATGATCCCGTACGTGATTCCATTGGAATTGAAAAACAAGGAACGATGGGAAGACAAGCATAGTCCGGAGCTCCACATTCGCGGGCGATACCTGTCCTACAAGGCGCTGAGGCAACAGTTCTGGAGAGCAATGTTGAAGCAGTATGACGCAGATGACAGTAAGCGGATCAGCAAGATCGAATTCACCACAATGCTTGATACGCTAGGCTCGACTCTGAAAGAATCAACGATTGACAGCTTCTTCAGGAGATTTGCCGCCGAAAACGAAGATGTTGGGGAGGTGGATTTGACCTTTGACCAAGCAGTCATGTGTCTGGAGGAACAATTGCAGAAGAGCAGCCAAAAGAAGTCCCAACTGGAGAAGATCAAGAGCGCCGAAATATTTTCGACACACAAAGATATCATTCCCCCCAAGGTTAGCAACAACGATGAAGTACCAAGCATTACACAAGAACCCACTGGCGCTGCGGGTGAGGAAGGGAAATTGCTCGGAAATGACCTTGCGGATGAAGGAGACGAAGAGCACGTAATCGAGATCCGGGAGTGTCCAATATGCCACCAGCCGAAACTGAACAAGCGCACCGAGGCCGACATTATAACGCACATTGCCACTTGTGCCAGCTCGGACTGGAGACAAGTCAACAACCTGGTGATGGGCGGTTTCGTGACCCAAAGCCAAGCTCAGCGGAAGTGGTACTCCAAGGTCATCACCAAGATCAGCTACGGAGGCTATAAGCTGGGCGCTAACAGCGCCAATATTCTTGTTCAAGACCGGATCACGGGGCAGATCAACGAAGAACGAATGTCTGTATACGTTCGCATTGGCATCCGCTTGCTCTATAAAGGATTGGGCGCTGGCGAAATGGAAAAGAAACGAATCAAAAAGATGCTACGGTCGTTATCAATCAAACAGGGCAAGAAGTTTGATGACCCAGCCTCGGTGGCCCAAATTCCTGGATTTATTGCCTTCCACCAGCTCGACATGTCGGAAGTGCTGCTGCCAACTTCCGACTTCCGGAATTTCAACGAATTCTTCTACCGAGCCTTGAAACCAAACGCTCGGCCTTGCAGTGCACCGGACCGACATGAAATTATCGTCTCTCCCGCAGATTGTCGGTCCGTTGTGTTCAATACAATTGATGATGCGACACGAATCTGGGTCAAAGGCAGAGATTACTCGCTTGAGAAATTATTTGGCGAGGCGTATCCATTGGAAGCGAAACGATACAAAGGTGGCAGCATGGGTATTTTCAGACTTGCGCCTCAAGATTATCATCGTTTCCACATTCCTGTCGACGGTACCTTGGGAACCCCGAAGGCTATCGAGGGTGAATACTATACGGTCAATCCCATGGCCATACGATCGGCACTGGATGTCTATGGCGAAAATATCAGGGTGTTGGTACCCATCGATTCTGTTGCGCACGGCAGGATCATGTACGTCTGCATCGGTGCCATGATGGTCGGATCCACCGTTATTACTCGGAAACCAGGGGAGCGGGTCAAACGAGCTGAAGAGCTTGGATATTTCAAATTTGGCGGCAGCACCATCCTCTTGTTCTTCGAACCGGGGAAAATGGTGTATGATGGAGACCTGGTCGACAACAGCACTGGAGCTCTGGAGACATTGGTAGGTTTTACCTTCACAAGATTGCATTCTACGTGTGACGGTCACTGACGCTCTACTCCTCAGCTCCGTGCCGGTATGTCCATTGGACACTCGCCGAACGTCGAGCCACACCGGCCGGATATGAAGAAAGACGAGAGCAGTATTACCATGGAGGATAGGCAGGAAGCCAGGCGGCGAATTGAGGGCAGCATTGCGCCTGACATGGACAACTATGGTATAACACCTCCAGACATAGAGTCAGGCGATGCAATGAGCTCACTGCATCCGGCAAATGTCTCATAACAACTACCCTGGACGACGAGATGAATGTACGATCAACCAAGACGGAGCGTCAGAATCGAGGACGACCTGCTCGAGTTGGACCAAATGCATATGCAATGCCGGGCATGGGAAACAAGGTATTCATCTAAATGTTAGGCTTGGAAACTGCGAAACACTGGCGAAGCCTTCAACACTCGTTGCTTAGGTTCCAATATATCGTGCTTGCTCTACTATATCACGAAAGAAGCAAAACCACAACGCGCGACAACATCCGCTAGTCCGAGCTCAAAGACGTTGAACCAGGCCCGAATCCACTATACAGATTGTGGAAGGGGTGTGCTCTTCATCATTAACGGTGAGTCCCTAGCTTTCTAATTTCTTACACATTCTACGCAAAGACGTCTTCGGCGTTTTTCCTCATGACCTTGTCTGCCTTGTCTCCGGGAAAGAATTGCAATAAAGCACCGTCCAGGACTGCCCTCGCTGCGACAAGTGCATCGCCAGGGGTGAACGGATAGTCCGTTCCGTACAGTATGCGTTGGGCATCTGGCATCACCAGCAGCAACATCTTCAAGTGGTCCGGATACGGCGTGCCAGAAAGGTCAAAGTAGCACTGGCGCGCAAAGATGTCCTTGACCTCCTGTTCGGAAACCGCGATGACACCGGCATCTCGCCCCGTAGCCGAGGCCACTTGGACCATGAATGAGGACACAGCCGCAAAGCGTGCAATCAAGGGTGGGAGCACGGCACCAGCATGGGGGATTATGATTCGAATATCTGGATTCCGTTGAATTGTGCCGTTGAGGATTAGGGATACAATCGCCCTCGTCGTGTCGAAGGGGAATTCCAACATCGGATTTGGGAAGACAGGGATCGGGTGGTATGAAGGGACTGCTCTGCCGCCGTTTGGTGAAGTTGCTGGTACAGACGCTGCTTGCGCTTCCTCATGGCCTGCAGAGGCAGAAGACGGGCATAAATGACAACTGGTTGGATGGACGAAGACGACCGCTTTACGCTGATTCAGCTTGTCCCATACCGGCGCAAGAGACTTGTCTCCAGGGTAAATCCCAGCGGCATTGGACAGAATGACGAATCCGACGCACATCCTACCCTTCGCGAGCCCCGTCTGCTCACTCGACTTGTCATTCTGATCGAGGACGCGATCGATTTCAGCCAGCGTCCCCTCCACATCCGGCAGCGGCAGACTCGCGAAGAACCTGAACTTGTCCGGGTTCTCCCTGCAGATCCCCGCCAGGTCGTCGTTGGCTTCGCGCGTGATCTTGCGGTTCAGGTCGTCGTCGCCCTGAACCAAATACGTCCCTGGCGAAGTAATGCTCAGTATGGACGTGGAAATGCCCATCCTCTCCATGAACGAGAGGTGCGAAGAGGGGCTCCAGGCCGGTATGTACGGCATGCCGTCCGGGCGCTCGTGGTTGTGCGCGACGAGGCGGGCGCGATAGGACGGAGGAATGGCATGGGCGTGGACATCTATTTTCTCCATTTTCGTTTATCGTTTTCTCTCGTATTTCCGCGTGTAGGACTTCTTACAGGGCGAAAAGAGTTGCTTTTCATAAGAGACCAGAGAGTACTGTTCTACGCTGAACCAGTCGAGGGCTTTCCCTCCGGTTATATAACCCCGTTCTATGTATGCAAGGAGATGCCGGGGCAGATCCTACATGTTACACGAATAGTACAGCTTCTTCTTCTGCACCCTCGCAACGCGGGCCTGTTCTAGGAAGCGGCGAGGCGGGTGCCTTACATGGTGTCCTTCCATGCAAGCTGGGAGGGAAAGTGGGAAAATGCGGGACGTTGAGGTCCCGCATCGAGATAATCCACCACATTAACTTTGGCTATATAACGTGGACAGCCTTGTTCCTTGCGCTGGTGACGAGGCTTGGTTTCAGTACCTCGGTGTCCCGCAAAATGAGGAGCATCGAACTTTGAACTGAACTCTCCGCGAGGGCCGATTGACGTAGTCCGTCTGCGAGGAGATCGTATAGGTGGGTTTCTATTTGAGCCTTCACTATATCCGCGGGGTCTCATCTCTGTCTTTCTCTTAGCGTCTCTAGGATTGAGTTTCGTATTTCCGCCACGGATCCCTGCGTCGCACCGTTCGAGTAATCTCAGAGAGAGGTCTACACCTGCTCAACAATCACCGGTTCGCGCCTCGCGAGACTCTTCAATATCGCCTCGACCACCATGACCGCGCGCAACCCGTCTTCGGCAGGACAGTTCGGTTCTGCCTCACCACGCACTGCGGCGATGAGCTGTCTCAGCTGGCGGGACAAGGGCGGAGTGTCATCAATCTGCTCTTTCAGTGTGTCGTCTCTTGATAATGGAAAAGACCAGTTCTGCTCTTGAGACGTACGGTCGTCCTGGTGGAATCGTGTCCTTGAGATATGGTTTAGCAAGGTTCAGTAATTCTGTCTCAGAAAACACAACTAGCATGTTTCGTAACCAAGGACGCAAACATACAGTGCAGGAATTCCTACTGATCCTTTCGTGCCAAAGATCGTGAGGCATGTCTCGCCGGCGGCGGGGATGTGAGGGTTCTCCCCGGTCGCGGCTTCCCAAGCATGCGGCGACGTTGCAGTGCTGTTCGACGACCAACAGGTTAGCCATCAGGTTCCAGCTGGGGAGTGAGGAAGATTCCCTACTCGGAGAACAAGAAGGATCCCACCGCGCCACTGGCAAATTTCATAGTAGTAAGGACCGTCTCATCCACCGGGTGAGTTCTCTCTTTGACGCCTTCAACGGCATAGACCTCAACGATATCGCCCAGCAGGTATTGAAGGATGTCGATTTCGTGGATTGCGTTGTTCAAGACCTGCATGCTCGTCAACATAACGCGTAAGTGTCAGAGTGCCTTTTCAATTCTTAGAGACTTCATACAACTCCTCCCGAGCCTAGTTGTCGCCGCCAGTCGACGGCAAAGTATTCGGGTGGCTTGCGCATTGCCCATACTATTGGTTGATCAGTAACGACATCTTAAAGAGACCTGGCTCCGGTTTTGGAGATGCATAATTTTACCTCCATTGATGGCAACAATTCTCCCGAGGCGCCCTTCATCGATTGCCTTTTTGACAGCGATGGTGTAAGGGTTATGCCTTCGGTGATGACCGACCATGATGACAGCCTTCCCCAAAGGAGCCTCGCTGCGGGCCTTCAAGAGAGCGCGTCCTTCAGCACCCGTTGCGGTGAATGGCTTCTCGACCAGTACTGCTAGGCCTGCTACCACGAATTGTGTGGCCAAAGGTGCGTGCGTATGGTTCGGCGTGGCCAGAATGACTGCATCTGCCGAGATCTCTCCGGCTTCCAACGAAGCCAGGAAGTCAGGCACCACTCGAAAACATGGGCAGTGGTGCTGACTTGCAAGCTCAGAGCCGACCACATCGGGATCGCTATGTTGGTCAATACTATAAGCTAGGGGACTGTTGACTGACACGTGCGGCAGGAGTTGGCTTACATGATTGCCACAAGCTCTGCTCCAAGTTTATCAACTCCGTTCATGTCTCAGGGTATTTGCAGACTCACCAGCTTCCGGTTCCTCGACCACATGCTGCAAATGCCTCTTCCCTATAAGACCACTTGCTCCTGCGACAACCTTTGTCTTGTCAGAGACATGCAGGGTACACGGGCCACTCGGAGCAAACTCACAATCTTGACTGGTGGTTTTGGAGGCTCACGCCGTCCTTCTGATTCCATGACGACAATTTGACGCACTGATCCTTTGCAAGTGGACAATAGAAGCAGAGAACGGTAGTCGTTGTAATGTCAAGAGAAGATGCCGTGCCTTTCTTGTAGCAGAAGTCCCAGCGCGGAAAAGAACTTATCCGACGACAGACTCTCCTTCGATCCACTTCCGAAAACAAAACGTGACTAGTTCTTTGGAGGCCGTAGTGCCACCCAAGGGAGCTGTCAATATATCAACACCTCCTGAACCTCTTCCGACGTCCAATACCGCTGTATGCAAGCAGGGGGAAGAGACCCATCGATAGTCGCTCCTGAAGCCCCTCAGCCTTGCCAAGCACCCTGGCTCGGATAAGCTTCCCTTCCGGTACAGCCGAGGTTGTACCGAAGTTGAATGGCATGGCATGACACCGTCACGACCGACTCTGCGTGTGACATTCATCTTGACTTCATTCACGATTTGAATCCATCACTTCTGTCATTGTCCTTGTCCAAAAGCCGTCTCTTTTTGGTCGTGTTGCTGCATATATTTGTTGTTATCTCCTTCACTTGTTGTTCTGCTTTGGTTTGAGTGGAGGATGGAGGGGAAGAAGGTGGTAGTCGTGGGCGCTGGCCCCGTCGGGTCACTGGCAGCGCTCTATGCCTCTTCTCGTGGGGCTGTGGTCGAGATATACGAGCTGCGTGATGGTATGATCATCCCCTGGACAACCCGGACTCATAGCCCTCTCCATGCCTGATGATAGGAGCACCGTGAGAGGCACGCCCTTCATGGGCGGACCCGTCGATCTCGAGCTCGCCTTCTCCCTTCTCCCTCGGTCGTGTGCCCTGAATCATCGCATGGCCTTCGTCTTGAAGCTAATCAATAACGTCTCTTCCTAGATCTCCGCAATGTTGACACTACACCTCTGAATTTCACAAAGTCCATCAATCTTGCCCTATCCGAGCGGGGAATCAACGCCATCCGGTCAACAGGCAGTGCCGGTCTGCTCGACAAGATCCTGGCGCGGACGATCCGCATGTATGGCCGAATGCTCCATCTTCGTTCCTCCAGCGGCGCTTTACTTCAGCAGTCCCAAGCATATGATGTTCACGATCGGTTCCAGCGCTCCGTCGACCGCGGAGAGCTCAACAAGGTTCTCCTCGACCATCTGGACTCGCTACCAAATGTCAAGTTCTTCTTCCAGCACAAGATGACAGGCGCGGATTTCCGGAAGAAGAAAGCTTGGTTCGAGGCCACGGACAAAAACAGTACCGCTCCGTCAGACCGTCCCAAGGAGATCGAGGTGTCCTTCGATTTCTGCATCGGCGCCGATGGTGCCCATTCTTCCACGAGGCATCATATGATGAAGTTTGCCCGCATGGACTATTCTCAAATATATATAGACTGCTTGTGGTGCGAGTTCACCATGCCCCCGACCAAGGAGGGAGCCTTCGCGATGCCCCCCACTTACTTGCATATCTGGCCGGCGGGCAGTTTCATGTTCATCGCCCTCCCCAACCTCGACAAGACTTTTGTGTGCACGCTCTTTGGCCCTGTTGAGCTATTCACCAAACTTGAGAATGGGACGGATGAAGAGCTGATCTCGACTTTCGACAAGTATTTCCCGGGAGTCACCACATTTATCCCGCCTGCCGACCTGGTGGCCCAGTTCAAGCGCAACCCACACCTGCCGCTGATCAACATCAAGTGTTCACCCCACCATTTCGGGGACAGTGTCGTCATCGTGGGTGACGCTGCCAATGCGATGGTCCCATTCTATGGTCAGGGGATGAATGCAGGATTGGAATCGGTCCGTGTGTTGTTCTCCAAGCTTGACCAAACCCCGAACAGAGCGGAGGCCCTTGCTCAATATAGCGCCGAACGAACGGAGGATGCGCATGTCATCGCAGACTTGGCATTGGCAAATTACATCGAGATGCGATCTTCCGTTACGTCTCCTCTGTACAAACTGCGCAAGTACATTGAGGAGAGGCTCGACAAGTATGTCCCTAGCTTGGGTTGGGCAACCCAATATTCAAGAGTCAGCTTCAGCAATATGAGATACAGCGAGGTCATCAAGAGATCAAAGAGCCAGAAGCGAATACTCACTACGGTTCTGCTCGCTGTGACAGGAACGGGCGTGGTTGGCTCGGTGGCAGGCGTTTGGTTGTTGTGGACGAGGTTCCGGCATCAAAAGATGTTTGGTCTTCCGTGGTCTGGCAGGTGATCTGCTCCGAGAGCAATTCACTGTCTCTGCACAGGTCAAAAGTTTGCAGGAACTAGACCGTCGTCAGCAGAAATTCAAGTTTGGCCAAACCAGTCTGCCTCTGCTCAGTGTGCCTTCGATTCCGTCACCCACGAACACCTTATCCAGAGTTATCTTTCTTGTCTTGAATCTGGTCACCGTCCACAATATCTCCTCACATCAAGATGGCAAGAGTCTCTATCTCCGTTCGTGGCGGTTTCGCTCGCCCCAGACGACGACACGTTCCACCAAACGCATTCTCCGGGCCTCGAGTCATCCGTCGTCATGAGAAATTCGCCGTCCCACATCGTGTACGTGGTTCTCATCCTCAGGATCCGCTGCCGTGACCGACTGACCGTGTTTTAGATTCTCTTCAGCGGTCGCACTCGTCGCAGGCGCCAGATCAGAGCCCAAAACGCGAGCAGCAACCCCAAGCTGACCCTGTGCACGCTCCCGGTTGAACTTCAGCTCAAGATCATGGACCACCTCGACAAGCCATCCCGAATCGCCCTGGGCCTGACCAGCAAACACTTTGCCGACGTCACTCGGCTCTCCAAGACGGATCTCACCGACCGCCCGTGTCTGGTTCGCTGGTGCACCCCCGGCCCATGCAGCGAGCGACGCTACACCCAACACATTTCCGACCGACGCATCTTGATGCTGCAACTCAAGACTTGGTTCCCGCGCAGCCAACGCCTCTGCTGGGTCTGCCTCAAGTACACGCCGATCAAAGGCCACAAATGGCACTTCACCGCCCGCGTCAACACCCTCGACGGCAACCACATCGACCTCGCCTTCCTCAACAAGAGGCCGGTGACAAGAGTCTGGGCGCACGCGCGCTGCATGAACCTCAACGGTCTGACCAACGGCCGCGACCTGGGCAAGTGGGCCGTGAGGACGGCTGGGGCGGCTGGCGGCCTGGACACCTATCACACGGTGTTCAGCGGCCGCCTCCGCCCAGCCGGGCTGGAGGTGTACGAGCACTAGAGGGGTGTTTTGTGTTGTGTTGTGTTGTGTTGGGGGGCTCACGCTGGCACATCGAGGAAGATGTGGGAACGAGAGCAACGGCATACTGCAAGTGAGAAAATGCGTTGTGGCAAGAGTCGGCTGAGGCCGTGGGTCTCTTTCCTTACAAGAGACAGAAATGAGAGAACAGAGCTTCATTTCCATGACATTTCAACGTTGTTTACTTCGTGGCCGCACCGCGCATGCATCGTGTAGACCGCGAGCGAGCCAGCGGTTTGCAAGCCAGGTCGACGTCCTGTCCTGGCTATCAGCGCGAACCCGATGCATCGTCTATCGCTGATCCTGGAGTCGATGGTCTCGACGTCCGTTCCTTGTCCATCTTGTCTGCCCCCTCGCCCCTTTTTCGACCCCAGGTTCGCGTCTTGCTCACCATGCATGACAAAGGAGGCACCGGGCTGGACAAGCAGGTTCGACGCTGCTTTCAACAACGGCGAGTGTCTTGTCTGACTGACGTTCCGTCCTTTGCTTGCACGTCGCCCGTCCTTTGTGTTCTATGGCCCTTGAGTCGTCTGCCCTCGTTATTTTCTCTGTCCATGCGTCACAGTCGGCGTCCTGCGCGGGGACATCGGTTGGAACATCGCATATCGACATCGACATCGACATCGCATGATATTGATGACGTCCAGGATAGATGCTCTTCATGCATCGACCTGGCTCCATCCCCAGACTTTCGTATGCGACATCCCGCTCTTGGCAAGATAGACCAGGTTGGCTCCCCGTCTATATCTATCTGACTTCCAAAAAGGGCTTCCATACAGTCATCATATATCCGAGTTGTTGGATCAAATCGAAACCAAAGGAACGAGATTCTCTTAGCCAGGCCAACCAAATAGGCGGCAGTATCATCATATCATTGCCGTACCCAAAATAAAGACCGGCGCCCGTCGCTAATACTGATGACAGTGGCTCTCCTTGTAGTTATATGAACCTCAGTTTCAGCCTCGCCAATGTCTGGCATCATGGCCCTCAGACGTGTCCTAACCCAATACCCTCTAAGAGAAAAGCTCTACTTCGTTCTCCTTCTCCCCATCCTGATCCCTTCCTCCATCTACTCCACTGAGATCCTTCTCACCTCTCCCTTCCAACAATCGCCTCTCCATTCTCACCGGCTTGAACTGATGCCAGCAGTCGGGCGCCTCCAAGACATACCGGTTCATGGCCTCTCGAAATCTTCTTTTATATTCTCGGGGGGATGTCACTGTTGGCCTGTTCTTGTTTCCGCCACGGACTGGGACAAGGCCACGATCTTTGATCCAACTTTCGAGTTTCTTGTCCCATGTATAAGTGCGTATACAGTCAATGATACCCACGACAAGCTCTTTCCGATTCTCGTCGATGGCGACCATGAGCGAATAGTCCATGACGTTTTGGCGCGCAAGGAATAGGGTGTCGTTGTGGACAGAGGACCTCAAAAGTTTCTTGCTATGCTCGCGAGCAAAGAGGGGTGATTCATAGATGAATTCCACCATGTTCTCGTCCAGCAAAACCTCGCCCTTTTCGCCTGTGGCGTTCATCTTGCGGTTTCGCATGCTTCCCTTCAAGTCAAAGATGCGTGTCGGGACGCGATCATAGAACAGATTCTCCATCACGAGTAGAAACCAATTATACTCGAGACCTGTGGCAGAATTTTTCACAATGATCTGGTAGAAGCCAAACATCTTCGCAATCACCGAGGGCAACTCGTGGAAGAAGGCCTCGGACATGATTTGGAAGTAGTTCGGCGCGAACTTGAGGAAGGACTGCGTTTCGATGGGTGACAAGGACTTCAAGATGAACCGATCATCCAGGGTTTTCAAGAAGAGGGACCTGGTCTTGCCACCCTTGGAATCCCATTTCAGGCATCTTGAGAGTGATTCGACAAATCGATCGGCGACGCCACATTTCCTGCGCACGGCATCAAATTGCTCGGCGAAGAAGATCTTGCAAAGCATCTTTGCCGGCCCTTCTTGGAATTGGTATTTGAGGTGAGTCCCTGTCTTGCGAAGGAGCGAATGCATGACTTCGGATTGCAGGTCGTCGGCGTGGTCGTGGCCACTGAACTCATGCATTACGTCCTCTTGCGGAGCGCGGTTCTGCATGTTTTGAAGCATAGTCGTGTAATCATGGGAATCTAACGCAAAGGCAATGATAGAACTTGGCTCGTCCTCGCGCACAATAATGTCGCAATCGGCGAAGATGTGCTCAGATGCTCCCAGAGGATATTCCAGATTGGTCCAACCGCTCGAAGACCGCTCAGCCCAGAAATTTGTTAGCATCTTCATCAGCGAGGTCCGCTCATGCTTGGGCAATTCCTTGAGATCAATGTCTTCTTGAGACATCCGCATGAGGTCTTCGGGCGAGTCTGGCAGAAAGATCTCTTCCTCGGCTTCATCAATATCACTCTGTTCCTCAGCTTCCGAAGGCGCATGGCTTGAAGGTGGAACGTCAGTGTCGTTCTCCGCAGTGTCGGTTGCCGGCTCTTCCACATGAAGCCCAGTCCCGCCTTCCTCTGGTGATCCAATCGCGGCCATGCCTTCGGCGGTGCCTGAGGTCTTGCCTGTCTCCTCCAGCAGAGGTTCATCATCCTTGCCAAAGATATCATCGGAATCACCTCGTTCATTCACAGCCACATCGACGTCCTTAAAGACCTCCACGATGGGTTTCGATGCTGCCAGAGGATACACTCTCGATTGCATATTCCTTGCAGCGCGTAGTCTTCTCTCACGGATCCGCTCTCGCTCGAACTCGCGACTGAGCTGCTCAAAGTGTTTGGCAAGGTTGGAGACCCTAGACTCTTTCCGGTTCGTGACCGCTCGCGGGATCAGCGACTGACCTTTTGAGAACGTCTTATTCTTCAAGTGTGAAAAGCCCAGTCGTTCAGAGAGCTTTTTCTCGGGGATGTTTAGATCGGCATCGCTGCTATGAGCAGATAGTGCCGGACTCTGCTTAGGAAAGCCGTTCATCGCATTGACGGCCGACAAAGTACTCGGAGTTGTCTGCGCAGCGGATGAGCGAAGTGCGGCAGAGCCAGCAGGCTGCGAGTGAGCTCGAGCGAGCGCCGGTGAGGATTTCCCATCTATCCGCCTCCGCAGCACATTGGTTGGAGAGGCGCCATGGCCGCCATTCTGAGGCAGATCTATTGGCTGGGTCTGTTGAGATGAGACAACGATCTCTGGTGTTTCTGGTGATATTTCGACTTTGTCAGAGATGGAACTGCCGATTCCATTTCCACAAGTTTCGTCATTACCGGTGTGATCCAGGGTGGAAATCAATGAATTCTGCGGGGTCATATCTTCTGCAGCAAGGATCGCCTGTTGGGCTGGAGATGCTACCGCCAGATCGAGGTGTTTCACATCTTCAACATTGCGGGGGCCATCCAAAACGGAAGGGAGGCTCTGCACATCCGACTTGGTGACCTCTGGCACCGCTGAGATGCCAATGTCTTCTGCAGGGCTAGTGGCATGTTCCTCAAGTACGCTTTGAAGAAAGCTCTGTGTTTTCTCGGGTGAAAGCTTACTGGGTCGCCGCCCCTCAGTTGGTGTCTCTCCAGCCTCCCTTTTCTCGTCAACGATCTCTTCCGTTGGAGGCGTGGTCGTTCCTTCATCATCGGACTTCAAAGATGAGACCGAGACGTCGCGATCAAGGAAGATCTTCTTAAGTTGAAGGGTCGCAAGTCGGTGAATATCTGTTTCCGAAGGGAAGTAATTTCTTTCGAAATCTGCAAACGAATCGTCCCATTCGGACACCTTTTCTTGCGTAGCCCGCAGAACAGCGTTAAGCGGGATTGTCTCCCAGTATCTCGTATTCGTATATCGTTCTTGAAGCTGTTTAATCAGGCTTGCATGTTCTTCATTGGCTTTCTTCGTCAGTCGTTCAATCTCCGTGCGACACGCGTCGGCTGTTTCTGGCAAGACAGCCTCTGCATTAATGTTCTTCAGACGAAGCTTGACAGACACCATAAACTTCGTGATGCGATGCTCCAAGCGTGTGTAAAAGTCATTGCGGAACTTCAAGTCGTTGTCGATTTTCCAGGTAAGCCTCATCCTTGGCACAATGATCTCGAGGAGATCGATTGGATCGTAATGAACTCGAAGGGCAAAGTCCTTGTACCCAAAGAATCGGAAATGATCTCTATGCAGATCATGCGGGCAGATACCGGCCCGGGCGTGGAGATCTGCACTCCAGAATGAGAGTTCCAGATACTTTCCAAACGAGTACTTCCAGGTACTTGTGGACATTGGAGTAACAGTGGTCTCTACACCGCAGATCTTGCATTGGCTCCACATCAAAATCACATCCTGGAAGCCACGCATCTTGGAGGGATATGGTTGTACGAATACTGTGATCTGCGCTTCGCCGTGAACGTACTGACGATGATGTTCATGCATTTTCTTTTCGCAGGCGTCGGAAGGGCAGATGTCATTGGCCCGGTAGCAAAGATCCTCAACGTATTGCCCAAGAGTACAATCCGCCTCGAATTCGGCTTCGGTCTCATGTTCGTTGTAGAAACTAAAGGCAAGGAGATCTGGGCCAGAACAGGGAACAGATGTCTCTGTGGAAACTAGACTGAACAAAACGACAATGTTCTGGTGAGCGAAGGGGTCGAAGAGATTGCGGTTTCCGGAGAGGTAGGTCTCCCACTGTTTTTTCTGGCTTTCGTAGTTGTAGACTGCCTTGTCATACTCAGCGTCGTGTACCGCGTGAATGATCTCGCGAACCTTCTTGCCGGCCCCAGCAAGAGGTCTATGCACCATCTCTGGCTGGATCAAGGTGAACTTGGAGGTCTTGCCCTTATCTTCCATGGTCTGTTCAGCCGAGAGATCCTGATCACGAAGCCGCTTAAGATACGCCACGCGTCTTTCCAACTCTCTCGCACGCATGAGAAGATATGGCTGCATGAATTTGACGAATGGCGAGGCCGAAAGGATGCGGGTTTCATGCTTGAGGACCAGGTCTTCATAAAACGTAGGCACAGGTATGTCATCTGGTATGTGTGCAGAATCTGCGCTATCCGTCCTGACTGCCTGAGCAAAACGGACTTCTTTTTCCAAAGCAATGATTTCGGCATTCGAGACGTTCCCGGCCTCGGCGACATGGCTGTCACCCTTTTCCGTATTCCCGTTGGCATCTTGCGACGGGCTTTCATTCTCTGTTATCGCAGTTTTCGCTTGGATATTGACTGTTGTCTCAGAGGCGTTTGCAGAAGATGCGCTCGGTATCAAGGCAAACTCATCCCTCATCAAACAAGTTTCGAGTTTCAAATTATAGACGACGTAAACCATGAATTCGGTGACGCGTTTGATCTTGGACAAGGTCTGCCGGTCGGCACCCCTGAGTGCAATTGTACACCCAAGCTGAGGTGGACAACCCGAGAGATATACGTATGTTTTCCTTCGCCCATCAGCCACGAAAGTCTTCACTTCAAAGGAATCGCAGCGCCCGAATGGATCTGACAAGGAGGTTAGCTTGTCCATAGAATGGACGACGCGGGCCTCCGTGCACCGCGATACAGCTTCGAGCACCGATGACTTTACATTGAAAATCGTCGTTATTTTGGCCTTTTCAAGTAGCTCAAGAGCGAGGCCAGATATGTTGCGCTGAGCTAACAGAACGTCTGGCTTCAGAGCGGCGATGCGGCCAACAAGATTGGCAAGATATTCCTTTTCTTGTCTGATGACCGGATCCAGACTCATAAAATGTTGTTCGTGCCTGGCATACTCAAGCGCGAAAGTGATGATTAAAATCTTGGGATTTGTGTGGGACCGAGCCATACTCTTCAAGGCCACATTTTTCGTGAAGATCAAGCCAGAGATGTATGCAGTGTCACCAGGTTTGCCTCCGGGTATCTTTTTCAGCTTGACGTAGTTGCGAATGTCTATGTCGTCTCCGCCCTGAACATCTGGGTCGACGTCGTCAGTCGCTTTGAGCAAGATCGGAATCAGAGCATCCTCCCAACTTTGGACTTTGGGTATGTTCGCATCTCTGAGAAGCTGCTGGAGCATTTTATGCACATGTTGGATACTTGCACGATTGAGCTCCATGGCTGGCGCGGCCATTCCGTGCATGGACGCACTTCGAATCATTCTCGATCGGCCTCGGTAGATACTTGCTGAATCGGCTAAACCGTCTTGCTGATCATCTTGATTCCCGGGAATAAGTATTTGCAATCGCTCCCTGGTTGTTCTGGGCGTGCCGCGATGTATACTGCTTGAAACACTAAGGTTCCGCTTCCGAGAACCTTTGAGTGCTTCAATGTTGCGAGAACTAATGACACTAACTTCGTCCGCTTCTTTTCCCAAGTTGAGAAATCCAGCGATACTCCGATCCCCGAGGCGAGAACGACCTTTGCGTACGGCTGCCAAGAGGCCACCTATCGCGCTCTTGTCGCTGTCAGGTTCGCTGCGGGACAATTTATCTTGGTTCAGGGCTTCGTTGATAGACTGGTCCTCCTCACTTGAAGGGTCATCTGAAAGATATTGTGCGAGATCCGGGTCAATGATGCTATCTCGATGGAAGGCTGAAGACTTGCCAGCTTTGAGCCCGTCCTCAGCAGCACGACGTTGGAAAGGTGCTCTGTCTTCATGGTAGGCTTTGAAATTGCGTATGTGCTGGTGCCTGGAGTGGTGTCTCTTGTGGCTGTGGCCAATAGAATGAGTGGCTTTCAAGGACCTGGAAGAGCTTGGCCGAGGGAGTGGTCGATCAGTCGTATCAAATTCCAGCACGGCGGAATTGCGGTTGGCTCCATCAAAAGCTCGTCGCACCGGAAAACTCATCGTGGGCGTCCTGGCCATCTGTTCCAAAGACTGCGAAGTGACCGAAGTATTGTCATCCTCAAATCGGGGGAGGCCGCGAGTAAACAGAGCGGGCTCGGGAGTTCGTGGCCGGGCAGTCGATTCCGTCAAAGCCAGATCCTCAGCCGAGTAATCAGAAGAGTCGTCGTCGTGGGAAGTGATGATTGATTCGCAAGGTTTGCAGACTCGAACGGCACTGTTGGATCCAAAATGACTCCCGCTGATGACAACTGTGCACTTGTTGTCAAAAATCTGACCGCACGTGCGACAATGGTGCTTTCGTCGGAATGTAGTGAATTGCTCGCCACAATGGAAGCAGTCTTTTGCATTCTCATCTCGCATCCAGAATTCCTTGCTCAACAACTTGCTGCGCAGCTTGCTGATCGGTCTTACTTGATGAGTGCGATTTATGACAATACTACGCGTCTCATCATCGAGATGATCCAGATTTGCACGCAACAGACCAGCAGAGACCGACGAATCCGATGAAGCCGTTCGAGAGGCGTAGAACCCCGGCAATCTTGACTGGCTTATTTTGGGAGCAAGTTTCTCGGACGGCCTCTGCTCCAAAGACGATAGCAGGGGTGATTTTAAGCCAGAGAGTTCATTAGGTTTACTTTGGGAGGATGACGATCCTTTCGTCGAGTTGACCGCATTTTCAGCCAAGAGGTCCAATGGGTTGGTATGCCTCTGCTGCGAAGGGATGTCCTGTCTGTTCGCCATCACTACACGAGCTGCTGGTCGCTCCGCCTGAGGGGATGCCAGCAAAGGCGGGCTGGCGACACCATCGACGTGGCTATAGTGACTGTGATTTGAGGCAGTTGATAGCCCTCGATCGTGGGAGGCGGTCATCCCCCTCGCACCCAGGAGGGGCGACGTTATCAGCTTGTTCCCCCTCTCAGAAAAAGAGGTCTCGGTTGCCTGCTTGGAGAGGGCTTTGCGCAGACTTTCGCTGTCTGCAGAAGCTGTTAAACTCCGTTCATGGGGAGACTCAAGCTCGAACGCTGAGCCAGCCCTCGAATGATTTGCCGAGCCGACAGCATGGATGTTGACCGAAGTGACCGAAGGGTCAGCAAGGTGAGAAGAAGGCTGGGGAGGGCCGGTGGGCGAGCGAAGAGCGGGAGTAGAAGGTATGGAGGGTTTCGAAATGCTAGTAGCCTTTGACGACGCCTTCGAGAGGGCCGCATCGGTTGGAACCGTGGCGTCTGAGGCTGTCAGGCGTGGCGACGGCGCCTTGGATGTGAGGCCAGAACTGACTTTCGAGCTGGCTCGATCATCTCCCACTGCAAGAGCAGATGATGCTTCTTGATGGTTCTCTTCGCCGTCCTTGGTGACACCCACGGTAGCCTTCAATTTGTTGTACAAGCCAGATATGCCTCCTTGTATTTCGCTTGCCAAAGACTTGTTCTCCGTTTGAGAGGAGGCGGTCGGGGGATCGGTGTAGTCGTTGAAGACCGTCAGGTGGTTTGACTGGGATGCCGCAGTATGGATGCTGTTGAGAGCGTGGTTGAGGGCATCTTGGTCAAGATCGTGAGACAAGGATGACTTAGAGTCTCGACGAGCTCTCCTTCCGAGGGGGAGGAAAATGGAGGAGGCGGAAGGGCTGTCCCTGTCCTTCTGGATGTCCTTGTCCTTGTCCGGTGGGATGGAAGCAGTGGAAGAAGGGGGCATGGTGTGAGGCTTTGTTGTCTAGTCGTTGGGCGTCAATCTGGAGGCCTTCCGCCCACATTCAGACGGTTATCGTGATGAGACTCGGACAGCGTCATGCTCGTGGACTCATCTCGAGGAAGGGTAACAGATATGCCCACGGTTGAGAAGATGTCTGCCACCATCAACAACAATGCATGCAGCGGCCTTGAGGCGTTGTATCGTGGATGTGAATGCGATCATTTCTCCACAGAAACATGGGACGAACCCGCAGGAGCCCGCTGTCTGCGCCACTTACTTCGTCCGACAAGGGATCACTTCAATTATCCGACCGCTAACGTCACTGCCTTGGCAGAGGGAGTCGCGTCGGAACGCGTCAAACCGCCCACCAGCAAGCGGGCACGGATGCGGCACCCCAAAACACTCACAACGAATAATGCGACTCATCCACCCAATCTTGTATATTCGAATGTATTGCTCTACCGGGGCCTATGGAATCCTCGAAGCCATGGCTGGCCGATTTCATCAAGTCCAGTCTTGATGCGTGGTTTGGCGAAGTCGAAGGATGCCACTCAGTCGAGTATCGATTCCAGAAAATTGACGATAAACTGAAAGCAAGTTACGGTGCGCCATGTCAAAAGACTGTGGTTCTCCTGAAGGTAAAGACGAGTCCGCGCAATTTGTCGAGCCTACATTGTTGACCCTTTGCATCAGCCGCCCAAACTTGGTACAACAGAACCACGGGGGGAGATATCAGACGGAATACACAAAATAGAGGCCATCTTCACCAAGGGCACCGCAGCTGAAATAACAGTTTCAGGTGCCCAGCATGGAGCACTCTTACACCTCGTCGATCCCGTCCTCCGAGTCACTCCCCATGTCAACCCACCGAAACCATTGCTAGAGATTGCAGCCTTCAAGATTTTGGATGAGACAGACCGGGTGGAACAAAGCTTTTCTTCAGGCTGTGCTGTCACTGAGGATCAAGATGTACGCGAAAGGATGTCCAAATATTGGGTCGTGAAAAGGCGCAACCGTGGTCTCTCAACACCGGCATCCTGCGGCAGTCCCGACTCTTTCAAGTCGCAGGTTGATATCAATACACGGGCAATCGAGGGGTTTGCAACCTCTGATGGCGATGCTGAGGATAATGAGCAAAATGTCTCTCAGCAACCATTCTGTACCCAAGTTCCAAATTGCCTCAGTAGTTGGAGCCTGACCATCCCGTCCGAGTCGACCTCTCGAAAAGCAAAAGACTCGGCCATCCCTAGCAACGAGGATCATTTTCTGCCGTCGCCCGATAATATCCAAGGACTAAGCGGCTCTGCAGACTGTTTCCGTTCAAAGCAGACACAGCAGCCTGCACCAAAAGCAGACTCTGGCACACCTACAGCGGAAAGCACTACGCCCCGTAACGAATCGCTATTGCTTCCATCCACGACAAGTGGCCAGGGATTGAGACCTGCGCCTAGGCCTCCCTCGCGCTCGGCAAACGCTAACCCATCGCGACTTCAGGTTACTCCTGTCATCACAACAGACAATGACAAAAGCAGTCCCGTGGAAGTGTCTGAGCTTGGAGGCAACATTCAAGAATCTCCTAAAAAGTCAGCGGACCACAACCAGGAAGAGCCACCCAGTCCATCCACAAAACTCAGTCCCGGAAACCGAGTTGTTGTCCCGCCATCGGCTGAAGAGCCTCATAAACCCTTTCAACGTTGGCGAAAGGAGGCGTCAGCATGCAGATATCTTCCCAGACACAGTCAAAAGATACCGCGACAACAAGCAAAATTGTTGGCTTCGCTTTTGGACTCCGGAGACAGTTGGCAGCCACCTCTTGTTGGTCGCACACAGAGGCCAGGAGAAGTGCCTCTACCCCTCCTCGTACAACTCTCGGACGCTGCAGATAAACACGCGAGCGATCCCGCACTGCGCTCGAAGAATGTAGAGCCTGAGATTTCACAAGATCCATGTCCAAGTCAAGATGGACAAGATCAAGCGCCGAAATCAGCCCATCCCAGCGAGGGGAATGAGAGCGATTCCGAGGAATTTGCCGAGTGGTCTCAGAGCCCCCCAACGCAACAGCGTCGAGCGACTAGATTACCTTCGAGCAGTCCTCCTCCAGACCTGACGACGCGACAGAAACGAACTTTACACCTCGCTGATAGTGGAGAAAAAGAAGAGATCGGAATGTCAAGTCTCCAGGAACCGTCACTCAGTAGCTCCGCCAGTCAGGAACGGGGTCTTGAAGCTCAATCAATGTTACATGATCATAGGCCTCTCTTTTTGGGACCAGGTTCACATCGGAATGCCGGTCCAAGATCTTCGGCCGAGGAGGCACCACATTCTCCCCAATTCCAGCATACTGATCTGAGTAACAAGAGCTCGTCCCAAGAGGACACGCCTTCCATGGTTGCAGAGCTATCAGATGGCTCCAGTTCAAAGAAAATACAAGTCACGAGGACGCCATACAGCAGCAAAGGCTCAAATTTGCCCAAGCTCCTTGCTTCGCGAATCACTTCGATCGTTTCCAAGAAAGGGGTCGATGATGGAAATCCTACTTCGACTTTCGTCCCCGGAACCTACTTTGAATCAAGCTCAGGAGTTGTTACTGCGATCGGAACTGCAGAACGAAGCATCGAGGCCGCACCGACGGGTGCGAGCTCAAATCCAACCCCGGACTCGGATCAAAATAGCCTCCTGATAGCAAACTTTGAACCACAAGTGGTTGACGTGAGGAAGCTGGAAGATGCCAACCTAGGCAAGGCCTCGAGTCCTAACCGCAATGCCAACTTGGACAATACACTTTCTTCAAGCGCGAGCTCGCAAAGAAAGATGGAGGCTCGTCCTGACCAGCGAGATCTGCCGAATTCCCGTGGTGATAGCGACGGCCCTGGCTCTCGACTCTGTAGCTCTGAGACGACGGGAGAAAAGGTTCTTGACGCCGACATGGCCGCTGGAGGACAAGACTGTGACATTGTGGCAGGAAACAGCCCAGGATCGCCCGAAAAAGCTGCTCCTGGAAATAGTGAAAAGGCTCGTGGAGAGGGCATGACTGAGACTCGCGAGGTGATTTCTATATCAGCAAAACGAAAACGAACAAATTCGGGAAGCGGTGACGTTCCGACCAAAAAGCAGCGGCAAGAGCAGGAAGTCACGAACCCCGATCCTGAAAACGTAGCGGTTACCAAGAGAACGGTAGAATATCGCGAGCAGCGACTACCGCAGGTTGACAGGCTCGAGGACTCTTTACGACGTCCTATTTCCCCGCCTCCAATAGCAACGGGTCGCACCAGCGAGGTTCCAGTGTGTGAGGAAAGGAGGCAGCGTCGCCTGGAGACCTCACGGACGATGGATAACCCCAAAGCGTCAACACGACATTCTCACCCGTCATCGATGGCAGACGACGACAGCAGTAGCGGTCCCATGCAACCCTCACCAAAGCAGGGGGGACGCCATCGACAGCTATTCTATACAATCAATGCACCGAGGCGGTCGTCGACACCGATCACCCGTCAGTCTAGCTACGGTGAAGTGGACAATGGCGAAGTCAGAGTCATGGCGGACGAGCCAGGCGCAGCTGACGGTGTGTTCGCAAGGTATCGGGCAGCATACCCGGACTATCAAGGGAACGCGGACGACTTCCTCAATTCGTACTGCTTTGTCAAGGAAATCTGGATCCGTGAGCCGTGGCCCAAGTCGATCCATCCCTCCCATCTGGACGATGCAGTCTTCCACCATTTTCATAGTTACCAGCCGTATGTAAGGACTGTAGGCACCGCAGCTGTGGGATTTGTTGAGTTCTTCCATGGCTTCATTGAAGACCCCAGCCACCACAAAAGGATTATCAGACCTTCTACGCTCGAAAGGCTTCCAAGTCGAGAAGGAACACTACGAAGGTCGACTCTCGATGAGGTCTCGATACATCAGCGAAGCCACATTTTGGCGGGCGCCCCGGTTCCGTCAATCGAGACAGCAAAAGTATTGACGGGAAAAGAAACGATTGCTCGACAGCAACGGCGGGTTAAGTGTCTCCCCGAAGCTGGAGAGCAGGCTGTCGAAGACCGCATTGACTCCATCGAAAGATGGCGTGAAGAGGCTGCTCACACCGCATCGCCCGGATTAGGAACGCCAGACGTTGAGAGGAGTCTTTGGCAACGGACGGCACTCAAGAACGAGTCTCCAGAGCCAGCGATGAAGACGTCTGTACCTACCACCACGCCCGAACCGCGGAAGCCCCCTGAACTATCAGCAGACCTATTTGTCAATCCACAAAAGCCTGTGGCCGAAGCCAGACCAGAATCGGTGACAGCTAATACGACCAGGAGCTCGTCGGTCCGGGTAAAGAAGCGAGCCTCAACACGGAGATTTTGGAGAGGGACAAGCACGGCCTTTACGACGTTCGAACAGCAGTATGCGAGGTTGGCTGGTGAGAAGAAGGGCTGGGCTTCGACCGAGACTGTCGGTGGTTCGTCGTCGGGGCAGAACAGGAAGAAGCAGGGCAGTGATGTCAGCGTTGTGGTTTGTTCGGGGAGATAGAAGCAGCACAATGGACTACAGGTGTACCTCGTGTAAATGATTGAGCGTTCCAGCCTGTGAACGTACTCGAAACAGCATTCGACCGTGGACCGTCGTCGCCAATGTCGAGGCGAATTCGGGCCAAATATCGTCCCGCGACGGTGCGCCGTTCAGCTACGCACGAAAGCCTCGGTTCCGCGCCTCACCAAGCAACTGAATAGAACTTCAGCTCGGAAGCCAAGAGGAACGAATGTCAGCTGCAACGCTGCCCGAAAGGATTGTGGGAGATGTCAAGAAGTAGATAAACCAATCGATCTCATCAGGACCGAGTGCATCTGGTCCATCGTATCAAAACCCGGCGCTTGTGTGTTGTGTTCATCTGTCACCTGTCACGACTAGTTTAATTGCGCCTTTATCACTCCAAGCTCCAGGAAGCACACACACACACACACACACACACAATCATCCTCGAATTCTTGCCACCGGGCGACTGTCGCGTCGGTAGAACCGGGTGTGCGGTGCGGTCTTATTGCTTTTATCCAGGCGGCTCCGGCGATCCAATATTATTCACGAGGGCCAGGGCACGTCGCGGCCCACGACGTCGCCGACTCTGCAAGCAGTGGTATAAACAGGAGGTGGTGACAGAGCGACCCAGTCAGCCAGCCAGCCAGCCAGAACTGACGGACCGCGCAAATCGAGCAAACGATAAAGCCAGTGTTGAGGATTCAGTTTCGACACTCTGCGAATTCGGTACAAACCAAGCGACCACCACCAGACTCGGAAGAGGCCTGTTCACAGGTCGACAACACGCACACGCACACGCGCAGAAGGATGTCCCGGGTTGTGTTGGCCACCAGCATCACCCACGCCCTCGTGGCAGTGGGACACACGGTACGTGATCACATCACATCCAGGTGTCATTCATCTCTGGGGGTGGAAACCTCCCTCCTTTCCCCCTCTTGTCCTCCTTACGCACCTGTTGCATCCAGGTCTCTCTCTCCGCTCACTAACTAACAATCCGCAGGTCCACGGCCTCAACACCTTCGCCCTGCCGCCGTGGTCCTCCCTCCCGGCGCTGCTGCGCTGCTACGCCAAGGCGGGCTGGTACCAGGGCAGCGTCTTCTTCGGCATCGCCGCGCTGTTCACGTTCCAGCTGGCGCAGCGCGACCCGGCAACCTGGACCGCCGTCGACCGCGCCATCACCGGGTTGGCCGCCGCGCTGTACTGCGCAAGCAGCGCGTGGTATGTCGGGCACGGCGACCGGGCGACGGGCGCGGTGACCGGGTTGGGCGGGGTCATGTCCGTGCTGACCTTGATGCAATAGCCGGCGATGTGATGGGAAAGTGATGAAGTTGGTCTCTGAAGGAGAGGGGACCTGAGGAAGGGAAGGGAAGGGAAAGATGGGTGGATGGAAGGGGTTGTATTTTGTTACTCTTTTACCCGACATCCTTGCAGGCAGAGATGCGAGAAACAACAGATCAAAAATGCATTGATTGATTGATACACACAAGGTCTAGTGTCAAGCCCAGCCAGTCCGTCAATCACAACTTCGCCTTTCGCTTCCCTTCCTCTCCCTCCCCCTCCGCTGTTCCTCCCCCTACAGCCCCAGGCTCCATCAGCGCCTCATACCCGCGCCTCACATGCGCCGGCATGCCCTCGGGGACGGGCCGCCCGAGCACGCCCCCCTGATTGCTGACCCAGACGTGCATGCTACCACCGACGGCCTTGACGACGGGGTCGCCGCGCTTGAACACGCCGACCTCGTAGAGCACGCTCGATTTGCCGAGGCGGGCGACGCGCAGCCCGACCTCGAGCACGCCGGGGTACTCGACGCTGCCGAAGTAGTCGAAGTAGGTGTGCGCGATGATGGCGGCCTGCGGGGACTGGTGCATCGTGTACCCGCACCGCTCGATCAGGTACTGGTTCGCCACGCTGTCGCACAGCACCCCGTAGTACGGGTTGTTCATGTGGCCGAAGACGTCGTTGTCGCTCCTTTGTGACTGGTGTTAGAAATATGTCGAGACTAGAAAATAGGATAGAATGTCTGTGCGTTGGGGGTTTGGTGGATGGTGCGAAGGGATGGGAATAGCAATATAGTAGCTAGGTCTCCGGGGGCCGTGGTGAAGGAAAGGGGGGGGAGAGAGAGATGCTGGTTGTGGTGATGGTGATAGAGGTACTCTGCTTACCATCTTGTCCGGTACTCCAGGCGGTACGGGTAATCCGAGATCTTGCGTTTCCGCTTCGCCGCGATATCGAGGCCCAGCATCCTTGCGACGGAGCGATATCGATCCCCTCGATATAATCTGAAGGTCCCGAGCTCCCTTGAGTGGGGGATGAAAGATACCGTCAAATATCCAGTTGGGGGAAACGACACCAGGTATTATAGCCCACCCTAGCTCCGACCACAAAGCGACAGTTCGCGCACCGCAGGTTTCTCCGGGGATGATGGATCGTTTCAGGATCTATGGGTGCTCGTAGGTTCCTCGCCCCCAGAAATGTCGGTCGAAGCCTTGCGGCAGCATGGAGATGGAAGATGGACGATTGACGATTGAATACCTCGGCTGATGACATAAGAATTGCTCCCCCGGACGTGATACTTTTACCGACTCAGCCTCGTCCAGCCTCGCCTGTTGATCAATAGGTCCATTCACAAGCACTGCTCTCGTACGGAGGAATAGAGAAGTTACAAAGACAATTCATTAAGAGACAGTCCGGCACTCAAAGATCATTTCATTATATCAAAACAAATGGTGTATAAACCCGTGCTAAAAGTACACCTGCGCTTGCCAATAAGATCTAAACCAACACAAAATTCTAACCCAGAGTCTTAGTTACAAATACGTAAAATGGCGTCCCAGAATCCCTCATGAATCAGATCAAGACCTCAAGACCAATTCATTTGGGCCGATCATAGATGCAAAGAAACGTTGGTAAAGTCGTCCGACCCTCGAGGGCCACCGCCCGTCCTGCTCCGCGCCAGGCTAGGCTGGACCTGAAGCCCTGTGCTGCCCACGGGTCCCCCAACCGCCACCCCGATCTCACTGGCACCGGGGCCGTTCTTGGGGATCATCCGCTTTTTGTCCTTGTTGTCATCGAACTTGGCCTTGGCCGCCTTGGCCACGTCGTCCGTGATGGCGACCGTGTAGTTGGGCGACTCCATCGATCCGGCGGACGGACCACCGCCTCCGGGCCCGTCGATCGGCACCTTTCGCACCGCCGACAGCAGCGCACACACGAACTTGCTGCGGTGCTGCGCTCGCACAAACTCGGAGGCGTAGTTGCCCTTGTGCTGGAACTCGACGCGCAGCTCCAGCTTCGACAGGTCCGCAATCGACATCAGTTGGATGTCGACCGCAGGCATGAAATCCCGCTTGTGCTCGGCGACATAGTTGAGCATCTCGCCGCGAAGGGTCTCAATGTCCTCGAACGACGTGCCCACCGAGACGTTGAGCGTGATTTGCTCTCGGAGCTCCTTGGACCGCGTGAGGTTCTTGATCCAAACGCCGTTGATGACGCTGTTGGGGATTTGGATCTGTTGCTTCGACTGCACCTCCCGGAAGACGGAATACAGCAGAGAGATCTTGACGACGTCCATTTCGACGTCGTTGACGTTGATGCGGTCGCCCACATCGTAAGGGTGTTTGATGAAAACGGTAATGCAAGCGGCGAACAGCTCACCTGCCGTACTCGAGAACAGGAAGGAACAACCAGTAAAGGTCGTCCAGATTTGGGTGTAGTGGTTGGCGAGATAGTTGGAGAAGAAGGCGGCGTAGATGAGGAAGACAAAGATCAGGACGATGACAGCAAGGACGCGGTCAAGCACTTTGATGGCGTCCTTGACGTCGTTGGCACCTTCCCAGATGGTCTTTCGGTCGTAGGCGACCTTCTTCACCAGATCGACCATCTCTTCCATGGTGAGGTCACCGTTCTCGTCGGCATCGACTTTGGAGTGGATGTACGCTGCTTGAGCCTCGCGGCCAGGTCCGAGCATTGTGGTGATGGCGGCTTGATCCAACTTGATCTCTCCAAAGTTGGTAAACGAGTTCCAGATGCGGCGGGCAAGGGCTTCGGAGCTGACGGGCCGTTCGAGCGCCGCCTCGACGACGGGGCCAGATGCAGTCGGCATGAGGACTTGTCGGCCGGCAATGTCGCTGACCAGGTACCCCAGAACGGAGGTGGCACTGGCTGCTGCATTCCCGAGATTGGTCATGAAAATGGCCGTGGACTGGTCCTTGCTCTTCAAACGACCGAGCCGGTCCTTGCGGTATCCCTTGGTGTCGTGGATGTCGAGGTCTTCCTCCACGAACGACGGATGATTGTCGTGGAATCGTTGACGCGAGACGTCGTACATGGTTTCGATTGCCCGGCTAAGGGTCTTCAGCTCCTTGATGTTGTCGTAGAACTGCTTGCCGTGGTAGTTGACGCTAACCATCTGGATCAGCATCTTCTCCACTAGATAGAGTGCCGACACGCCAATGGTGGCCTTGAGGACTTTGTGCAGCGTGCTGAGCCATTCGATGCTCCCGGCGTGGTCCTTGTGGAAGCCCTGGTCAAACACGTAGATGAGCGAGTAGGAACAAATCGAAAGAATGGCCCAGAAGAAGAGCGACAGCGGGATTTCCACTGCCTTGAGGACGAGCCAGTACTTGCGGAGCCCCGTGTGAATCGCTCCGCCCACTGTTTGGAAGACAATCGGAACAGCTTGGGCCAAGAGTTTGGCAATCCACAGGAAGACCCAAACAACCTCGATCCATATGAAGAGACCCAAGAGACGGATTCCACGGGTATCTGTCGTGGTGTGGATCTCATAGACGGTAGCCGTGGTCGTGTTATAAAGCGAGGTGACCTCGGTGGAGCTGTTGCCCGATACGGGATCGATCTGGGTGACGTTGGAGGTGGTGATGGGGGTTGTGGACGTTGTTTTGAAAGTGGACATGATCCGCTTGTCCTTGTATACCGTGGCGCAGAGAACGATGGGGATGGCCAAAAGGATGGCGACGGGGACAATGTAGATGATGTACCGCAGGAGGACATTCCTCCTGATACGCTGCCATTTCAACCCGAGTTGTGTCAATCCCTCGTCGTCGGGGTCGCTGTCAGAGAGCTGTCTCTGGGGTGGATATAGATCTCTGTTGATGGGACTTGTAGATTGTCGGACCATCTCGATGCTGCGGGTGGTATATTGTGTTGACTGCTTGTCCTGGTAGTCGGAGATGGCATCTTGTACCGTGACAATGGCGTCTTTGACGGCCATCTTGGAGGATCAGTCGACGACGAAGTAGGATCTTGGGGCTCGTCTGCTGTCTGAGAGACGCAAAGAATCTCCAGAATCCGAGGTCGAAGAATAGTTATACTGAGAGACACTTCAGGGAGAGCTTCGTAGCTTTCTAGCCGTCCCGCACCACGAGACGACCGTTCCTTCCCGGCAAATCTCCACGCCATGATTTTTCACGTTCTGTCGGAGCCACCACCCGAACATGCTCCCTATGCGGCGGTAAGGTTTCAATTCAGATGCGCCGAGAACAGCACCGCACCAGGAACCAGCAAGCCACAAGCACGCAAGGGAAAATGGACAGAGACAAGCCCCAGCACCAGACGAGGAGCTATGACCTGGACTAACTCCAAGACCCGCCGTGTACATGGCCTGGAAGACGCAGTGGCACGAGACCTCGCTTGTCTGAAGGTCAAGCATCACAAAGGGGAATCATGGACGAACGATGGCGAGCTCACACGTGGCGGACCAGGGGGCCGAGTGGGCAGCTTTCTCGTACTTGCGGCACAAAAGTCCTCGGCGATTGGGTTAGCGAGGCTTCTTTGCCAAACATAGAAGCTCGTTCCAGCCAATTGGTGCGATGGCAGTGTCGAAGTTTGCTCCAAAAGGGCACCCGAGGACTCATAGGGTTTTGATGGGACGACTCCACCGAGCCCTAGCCAGCCAGACCTGTGGGAAAAACGTGGATGTTATGGTTTTGTGTTCGGGCGATGGGAGTTTTCTAGTATAGAGACTAGTTGGGCAAGTGGAGACAAGGCTGGACCCACAAATATCCACCCCTTTTTTTTTTCCTCGCACGCCATTGAGAGAGTCCAGACCACCGCGATCAACACAGACCACTTTCGCGCCCTGAGCCTCGTCGTGTTTCTGCCAAGCGTTGGCGTGTGCAATTTCCACTTTTCCTTCTCTTTCAAGCCATGCCCTCCCCCCTTTGGGAAATCTGGGCGGGCACCCGTCGTCTGATATCCCTACCCGCTAACCTCGTTGCACGCTATGTGTGTCTCGGATAACTATTGCTCGTTAGGGGGCCCCGCATCCAGCTACCCAAACTCGACGCCACCACGGCGTCGCCGTTGAGGTCCAGATACGATGATCAGTCAGGCACGTGAAAGCGGCCGATTTAGCGGGAGAACACTCAGGGATGATGGGGCACTCAATAATAAGACGGCGCAGAAAGAGGCGTTGATGCTATCTGCGTGGGCGAAGGGAGTCGTAACAGAAAGCAGCAGCAGGAGCACCAACAACGACGACGACGAACAAACATGGCCGCATTCCCAATGGAGACCCTCGACAGCTCCAAACGGCATGGCCACATCAAGATCACAGATCTTCCCGAAGATACCCTGCCACGGTCCGAAAAGGACGTCGAGACATCAGCACCAACACCACCACCAGCCAGGAACTTCCAGACCAGGCTCCTCAACGCCGTCGAGAGGTACTGGCTGTTCGAGTTCTTCGGCTGGACGTTGGCGCTGGGCTGCCTGGTCGGCACGATCGCCCTGCTCGCCGTCCACAATGGGCGAGAGGCGCCGACGTGGACGCTGGCCGTGGGCAGCGGGCGGTACCGCAAGACCTTTGGGCTGACCATCAACACCATCATCTCGGTGTTCGCCACGGCGTTCAATTCAGGACTGTTGATCCCCGTCGCGGCCAGCATCAGCCAGTTGAAATGGATATGGTTCCAGAAGGAGCGGCGGCCGCTGGCTCACTTCCAGAAGTTTGAGTCCGCGGCTCGGGGCCCCTTGGGTTCACTCATCCTCTTGTGGACGTTGCGGTGTCGGTAAGCTATGTGCTCTTTTCCACATGCTCTTTCTGGACGAGATCATTAAGCTGACGTGGGATTAGACGTCTTGCGTGTCTAGGAGCCATAATCGTGATCGCCGCCCTGGGGACTGGATTCTCGTTCCAAGCTCTGGTGGTCTACCCGCTCCAGCCGGTACAGGTGGACACTGCGCGGATCCAGAGGACGAATCTGGACTGGGGCAGCAACTCTCTCAGTACGTACTGCCTCATCCCTCTCTCCATCCAGATGCTCGCGACTAGCCACTCCCATGCTTCTCTCTGGCTGACTGGCGCCGGGCTATAGCCACAAGTCTCTCCAACGACATGGTGGGGGCCATATATTCGGGCATCTACCAGTACACGGACATGTCGCAGATGAAGAATGTCTCGTGCCCGACAGGGAACTGCACCTGGCTTGAGACGTACACGTCGATGGCCGTGTGCAGCGCATGCCACGACGTGACGGCTTCACTGCGAAAATCCTGCGGGACAGCCCAGGTACCGGGGCAGGACGACGGCGCCGGCAATCCGGTGGCCAACATCTCCCTGCCGTACTGCAACTACACACTGCCCAACGGGCTCAAAGTGTCGGGGGTGCCGTCGGTCAACTACTCGTCCATCGACATCGCGAGCAACACGTCGAAATCCGTCCATTTCGACGCCGACTCGGCGCTGTCGGTGCTATCGATCATCCAGACGCAATGGGGCTACGGGGTCGAGGGCTGGGGCGACCTGACGCCGGCGAGTGACATCAACGGGATCGCGACCAAGCAGGCCTTCGAGTGCGGCATATACTACTGCGTGCAGAAGTTCAACGCCTCGGTGTCGCGGGGCAAGCTGAGCGAGCGCGTGGTGGACCGCTATTCGAGCGGTGGCCGCTTCAGCTCGCCGGGCGTGTACGTGCTGGAGCCGCCGTCGTCCTTCACGAACCACTCGAGCGCGGACTCGGCCAACCTCTACCAGAGCAACAACATCGGGCTGATCCGCGACTTCTTCTCGACGCAGTGGCAGGGCCAGGTGCTGATGTACGGGACGCCGCCCGAGAACAAGCCGACGACGTCGATCGCGCTGTTCCTGTGGGCGCTGTTCTACGAGGAGTCGCCCTTCCAGCAGTTCCAGCGCATGTTCGCCAGTCTGGCCAAGTCGCTGAGCGACACCATGCGGTCGTACTCGTTCACCACGGACGCGATCCCCGCCGCCCTGGGTGCCGTTTACCAGGACAAGCCGCACGTCCAGGTGCGCTGGGGCTGGGTGGCGCTCCCCGCGGCGCTGCTGGGCCTGGCCCTGGTCCTGCTGCTCGGCACCATGGCGGCGACCGTGCACGACGGGACCCTGCTGTGGAAGGCGTCGAGTCTGGCGGCCTTCTCGCACCCGTTGACCAGCGACGCCCGGGCCGTTGTCAGCGACGTCCACAGTCCCAGGGAGGTGCTGAGGATTGCGGAGCAGATGGACGTCAAGTGGGAGAAGACGGATCGCGGGTTCAGGCTCGTGGGGTGAGGAGGGAGGAGCAGCGGCAGCAAACAAGTATCTGAGCAGGGCGAGGTGATTCATCGGTATCATGGTAATGGATTCGCTGCTGCAGTACAACATGACACAACACAAGATGGCACTGTCAGCCTGTCCAGCCACCCACCTCTCCAGAGCATCATCCCTCAACTCGCCGAGAGCATCCGCTCTTCCACCTCCTTCCATCCCTCCAGACACGCCTGGTTGAACTCGTCCGGGAACTCCCACATACAGGCGTGCCCGCCCTTGGTGGTGCGCCAGCGACTCCCGGGGATGAGGGCGTGCAGCTCTTTGGACAGCGACACGGGGATCAAGATGTCTCCTTCGCCCGCGAGCACGATGACCTCCATCCCGGCGGCCTTTTCACCGACTTCTCCACCTTTGGCACCCGACTCGGCAGCCGTGGCTCCTAGCCGGCCCACGGAGGCCCGCGTGTCGAAGCCGGTAATGACGTTCAACTGGGCGAGATAGGCGCGCAGGCCCATGTCGCTGTCGATCTGGGCCATCTCGGCCTCCATGGCGGCGACGTCGTCGCGCGTGGCCGGGTCGGCGAAGAAGGCCGGGGTAAACGCCCACAGGGCGACGTCGCGCATGACGTCCGCGACCGACATGCGCTGGGCCATATCGCGCCACAGCGCGAACATCCTGCTGCAGAAGGGCCCCGGAGCGGCGTACGTGCACGCGAGGGTGAGGCTGGCGATTTCACCATTTCCCTCGCCCTCGCCGCCGCCATACCGCAGCGCGTAGGTCTGCGCGATCATCCCGCCCATACTGACGCCCATGACGTGGTATGGCGTGGCGGCGACGTGCAAGTTCAGCGCCGTGACCAGGCTACGCAGATCTGCGGCCATGGTGTCGGCCGTGGAGACCTCGTCGTCGGCCTCAGGCCGCGAGGACAGACCGATGCCCCGGTTGTCGTACGTGAGCACCGTGTATCCCGCGCGCGTGAAGGCCGGGATCTGCGCGGCCCATGTTGTCTGCGGGTCCGCGAGGCCGTTGATCAGGACGACCCATGGTTTGTGCGCCCGTGTGGGCGGGTGGTGGATCAGGTAGTTGATGCGCACGGACGGGGAGATGATGTGGTAAGGCATCCTGTCGAACGAGGGGTGGGCGGTCTTGAGAGTCCTGCAGTCGAAGAGGTGATGGCTGCTCGCGCGATGAGCAGTAGAAAATGCGATGAAAATTCGAATCGGAGTGTTATCCTTCGATTTTGTGACTGTCTTCTCTTTCGTCGCGCGCTTCCTCTAACCCCTTCGATGATATCGACAGATATCGAGTGCTCAACTCCGACCAGACAGTAAATGCGTGCGCGGGTCCTTTATGATCGTTCTCAAACTGCTGGGACGCTCGTCTTATACACCTGAATTCGAGGGATTGAGGTGCGAGATACTAGGACATTGCTCAATCATATAATAACATATCCGCAACCTGGTTCTGGCCGAGAGGAAACAGGACAACGATGCCAAATACGAGAGATAATGAATGGTCTACAGTGCATGTCGAGCAGCGGAAATTGGCCGATAGCTCGCCTGCTCCCACTGCATCAAACCGCAGTAAAACACTCACGATGGCGTAGATCCTCTTCTTCTATTTCATTATCGTTCTCTATCTGACACCAAGACCAAACACGGACTGTCACCTCTAATTCTGGCCAAAGAAGACGACTTGGTTATACACAAAATGTATCCCTCCTCCCTGTCATTTCCCCCCGACGCCGCGCCAAATCACGAGCTGAAGCCCTGGCCCGCAAGCAATTTCTCGTCTATGATCTCGTTATAACAAGCAAAAATTGGCCCGGGCAGAAAGAAGAACAAAACCCATGATATCTCTTTTTTGTACTCCGAAAATTCCTCGTCAGGGACAAACCAATCCTTCATCATCAGACATTCCCAACTCCGGGTCTCATTTCCCATCCCCGTGCCCGTCCCCCCTCTTGGTTCTTCCCTCATTGATCTGCCATCTCAAGCTTCTGTACATTGCCGTCGTCATGGCCGCCACTCGTCCAGGTGTGGCTCCAGTAGGTGATGACATAACTCGGCCAATGGTCGGTCGCGAGCAGCTGTTTGCATCTTTCGGGGTTGAACTCCTCCTTGGTGGCCCAGCAAACCTCTCGATATGCCTCGCCGTCGCGCTCCCACGAGTACGGGTAGATGTACTGGAAGGGCAGCACCTCGATGGAATGTTTCAATCCCTTGCGCGGGTTGAACTGCTTGGCGGTCGGGTTCTTGGACACGTGCTTGTCCAGGGCCTCGCCCGCCCATTTGCTGTCGTCCTGCCGGTATTCGTTGATCATGTCGTACAGCTTGCCTGGGCCCGTGATCCCTTCGACGTTGTCCATGTCGCCTTCTTCAGTCATCCGCTTCATGACAGACTCGAGCACGATCAGGAAGAAAGGGTGGCCGGGCGTAGACGCCATCCAGGCGTTGGGGATCGAGTTGGAGGAGCCGTGGTCGGTGCCCATCCGGCCAAAGAAGGCTTTTCGGCCACTCTTCAGCATGTTCTGCGCGGACTGCGGTTTCGGTTTGCCGTGCGAGGCGGTCGTCACGTTGTACTGGGCAAATAGCTCATCGATAGGCCGGAGACATTCCACGTCCAAATCGGAATAGACCCTACATCCAGCGGTCAGCCCAGTCCAGTGGGGGGATGTTGTGTTCGCGTATACTCACCCTCCGAACATGTACATGTAGAGGTTTCGCACCAAATCCGCGCGGTAGATCACACTGGGCAGACCCAGGTATGTCTTCAACAGCCATGGGAAGTGTGTCCTGACCAACTCTTCATTGTCCTCATCGGTCCACAGCACCCACTCCCAGTCGGGGTGTTGTTCCCTGCACGTCGCGCTCCATCGTTCAAATTTTGCTGGTAGCTCGGTTGACGACCAGCTTTGGTGCATCAGCTTGGGGATGGTCTGCAGGTCGCGGGAGATCGGTCGCTTCATCAGATCCACCGGACTCAGGTTCTTGGCCTGCTTCTTGTGGGAATGCTTGAACCCAGAGGTGGATGACCTGTGGCCGGAGCTGCTGGTGCCTGCGCCGGCGCTGCCGGCCACACTGTGAGGCTCGTAGGTCGATCCGGTCATATAGATGATCACGAGGGCTGCGAGCACGAGGAACACAATCCAGCGTAACGACCGCCGCGAGCCATAGAGCTGTTGTAGGGGGTTTCCATTTCGAGACGAGGGGCTCAGGTCCATTGCCGCAGGAAGGACCGAAAAGAAGGATTGGAGGGAGGGGGCCGAAAAGGAGAGAGGCGGTCTGTGTATTCCTGCCACACAGATCTATGGAGATAGGTCTCTCCAAGCAAACGAGGTCAACTAAATGAGCGACAGTGAGTTGGAGGCATCAGACTGCACAGACAAAGGAAATCGCTGGGTACGGAGTCCAGGACAGCAAACTGCGGTCTCACCAATAATGACACATGTTCCCAATGATACCAGCTCCCAGCAAGGGAGGAGACCAAGACTCTGGCATATCTCAGACCAAAGTCTAATCTTGCCAGAGTCGGACAAGCTCAGGGGCAAGTGTGGGCTTGTGGGATAGCCATGGTATTTTACTGAATCTGGTTGAGGGTCTCGGCCTCCGCGAAATACTTGGGGGAGCGGTGGCTTGCGCGCTGATGGTAGTGGTACAGGTACTCGCAGGTGATACAGAGGATCGGAGTCATCTCAAGCTGGGATTGGAGATTGTGCTGTTCTTTCGTCGTGGGTAGAAAAGGGATGGTTGCGCAACAGACTTGTCCCTCCCTGATCCCTGATCCCTGCGTCGAGGGGGTTTTCGGACTCGCAAATCGGGCATCAGGCCAAGTCTCCAGTCAAAGAATGGACTAGACACTCATCCTGCCTAGTTTGTGTTTACCGATCGATCAATCCATCACCGATCTAGATTCACACACGCGTCTTTACGCGTTAAAGGTGAGAGGATAGGTGTAGAAGAAGTTGGGATACGAGTAGTTCTGACGGAAGAATAGAATATCAATTGCTGCATCTAATCCAACAGGGGTATCGCTCGACTATCCAAAGACAAATGCAAAAAGGTTCTTTCCTCTGCCAAATCCTTACCCAATGTGTGGCTTTCGAATCTCAAATCAACCCGAGAATGTCCAAGATTCTGGCAGAGCGTAGATCAATCACGGCGCAGGCAGTGCTGCGACTGACCCGCTTCAAGCTCGGGTCACACCAAGTCTCGAGCAGAGGCTGGTAGGCGGGAGCGGCAGGGGTCCTTGCCGTGTTTCTGGAACTCGCACAGGCTCCACCGACTTGAAGAACAGAGCCAGTTTGAAAAAGGTGATGGGGAATTGTCGCTCGTGACATATGACCTCGTAGACCCGACAACACGCTGATGATTAGGCGGAGCTGCTTCGTGAGACATCCGTCACCACCGACTTCAAGATCGGGACGTTGTAGACTGGAGCGACAGAGTTGGGGTGCGGCTGCCTTCATGTGAGCGAGGCCGAAGCGCAATCACTCCAACATTTCATCCCTGGTCGGGCAGATTCTGAGGTTCCAGGATTTCAATGTGACCGACCGCCTTTCCAATCTCTTTGATGCTCATTGGTGGTGCAATATCGGGATACTGACTGTGGAATGTCGTTTTCCCGTGGAGAAAATTGGGGATGTTCTGCCGGGTAGGATAGACCAAATGCAGTGAGCTACCTTGCTCGACCACTCTCTCCGAGTCTGGACCATATCCGATGTCGCTCCATTTGGCCGTGTTCGCCGTGGGTCGAGAGACCCCAACGAGTTGCGGCCATGGTGATACGCAGGTGAATTCGTATTCTTTGTTCTTGCAAAGATTGGCCAATCCCCAGTCGACCGGACTGTTGTATGGCACCATGGAGAGATAATATAGAGCCTTCCGGGCGCCTTTTTGAGAGATCGCGTATGACGCTGTGCAGACCCCTCCCTCCGAGTGGAAAACGATTCTCGTCCGATTGTCGCCATGAGGACCGCTTTCCCAGTGACTCATATCGGGCTGGTCGACGTTATCGGCGCGGGCCTCGGGAGGTTGGACGGTGAAGTCGTCTGGGATGACGAAGAATCGGCGGTTGTCGTCCGGAAGGACCCAGGTGCCGCAGTGTCCAATCCACAATATGTCCCAATCATGCCCATACGGAGAGTGGGAGAATGCATCCTCGGAAGTGTTGGTGATGAACCTCGAGCCTCGCGCGAACTGAACCAGTTGCTCTTTGAAAGAGACGTCCCAATCAGCGTCATCTTCGAAAATCAATGCTGACGAGACCTTTTCGTGCACCATTCTCTGGTAGACATTCACATGCGCGCGCCAACATCCGATGACATTGGAACTTTGGCCCATAGTCTGCTTGGGTTTAGCATTTATTCAGCGTGTTTATTTCCGTCCAACATACGTGGGGTAGCGCCTTCACAGGAACCTCGTGGCCATAGACTCCGTCCACCTGTTTATAAGAAATTTCGGAGAAGGCGGCTTGCATGGCAAACGCATCTTGCTTATCCGTCCTTCCCGGTAATGATATCATGTATACCTCTTGGAAGCCCAGCGTCTCGTTCTGCACTCGAGAGGCGAAATCGTCCGGTTGAATTCGATGGGTTACCTCATCGGCATGGGTAGTTTGGACTGGGGAATGCGCCAGGGACGCCTCGAGGAGGGTGGGAATGGCGTCTGCTTCTGCGGCATCAAAGACATCTTGCTCTTCCAGGCTGGGAGACCGAAAGGAGCTATAGAAGAGGATGAATGCGGTAATGACGAGTCCGACGACGATAAAGTTGAGCCGCGTGGGCGCAGCGAGGAGCATGGCGGTGTCACAAGGGGGACCAAAAGCGAAGGACGGGTCGGCGGAGGAGGGTGAGTGAGGACATAGCCTGATTGAGAATCACGAAAGAATGTGTCACCCCCGAGCGAGTGACAGTGTCGATATTCGATATTCGCCTCATAAAACGAGAGTGGCCTGCCTGCAGCGCTGGTGAGGATGGACAGTGACAATTACAGTGGTATGAGTAAGATGTCGAGTTGTCGTTCGGGCAAACCTGAAAAGGGCAAGTTCAACGGCCCGTCATCCTCATCCTCATCATCATCCTTGTTTGTTCCTCGCCTCACAGTTATTGGTGAGTCCAGGATGGGTGCATTGAGCACAAAGTCACCAAATAGCAACAACAATGGCCGGAGTCGCCGTTCCACCCGCTTCGTCTTCCGCAGCCGAATCGAGAAAGTCGCTGGGCCCCTTTTCCATTCTCCCTGCGACTATCCAGGGGCTCGACTCCCAATCCAGACGGTCCCAAGTTCCCCCATGCACGACAGAGGTGACGAATTGTGCAGATCCTTTGCCAGTTACTGTGCCTATTCAGTCTGTCTATTCCGTCTCACTGGCGAAAAGATGTGCACAAGAGTCGTGGCTGCCTTATATAATGTATACAAGAACACCGAGTATATGTACCGAGTATATCACCCCCTCCCAATCATCGAAGAGAGGATGACCCGGCATGGCTATTGTATATATATATATATATATCATGATCCCTCGTCGGCCATTGCCCCTCTTGGTGTCCTTCTAACAAATCCTTTCACTCATAACGTCTGATGTCAGGCTTGCAGTTGGACATTCTCTTCCAAGGGTTGGCTGTATACTTGGGGCGACAATTGCCCTGGGTATGAGAAGATGACTGCATAAAACACGAATATTGGGCTCTTGTCATGGCGTAGCTGCCTGCGCAAGCCATTTTCCGTTTCTAATTACACCTTCTGGGTGTCGTACCACGACTGATGGCAATGCCATGGAGCCTCGCCAGTCCCGTCCCTCTTCCCCATCACACGACTACCAGAGATTCAGCTGCCACTGCGGGGAGCGCCCAGCATTGGCTTGGTCCCTCGTACTTGAGCAGACGAGGCTACAACCGGGCCGGATGCATGGTCCCACGATGCAAAGGCGAGCCGCCACCCACAACAGCCCAAGTCCGGCCCCTGACCGTTGACCAACTACGGAGTATTACCCCTTGCCTCTTTCGTCCTTTTTTTTTCTCTCTGTTGCCCCTTGCCTGCTCCTTTGTTTCAGGCAGGCCGCGTTGCCATCGCCAGGTGGAAACATGCATGCAGGCCGTTGTCCAGTTATGCATAACGGTGTGATCGGTGTGTTTCGAACACCCAGACTGCGTGCTCGAAGCAACGGACGGGTCTGTATCTGGCAAGGCACGATTCGCCGTGGCCATGTTTCAGCTCCAAGCATTCAAGCTCTCTCCAAGACCTTGGCCGTTGTGTGCAACGAATTTCGTCGGTTCTCGACCCAGCACAAAACGCCTCGATGGCGCTACCTACTCGGCCCCCAGTGGGTATCCATGGTCTTCTCAGGGAAATCGACCATGCTCTGCTAGGTCGATGGAGCACTCATTTCTCAGCCGTACTAACGAGTACGGAGTAAGCACCAGGAAGGATTGCCAAAGTTACATAAGACATGCGTTCTGGAGCGCGTACTTTTCTTAACCCCATGTTCCTCGTGTCGCAGCCTCAACGGTCGCCCTTCCCGGTTCTTGCGCTTTGGTCCCTTCAAAAGTCCTCTTTCTCCCCTTGAGCAAACCCGTTCAACCTGCTATCCCACCTTCGTTGCTCCTGTTGTGTTCTGTTCTGTCCTCATATGGGTGTTGATCACCGAATTTAAATTACCTTAACACTTACGAACGCAGTGCCATCGAGCCTGAGCCCTAGTGGCTATAATTCCATACAGAGCATCCCCGTTCACAACCATTGGATCTTTCAGCATGACCAATATGGAGGGAAACAAGAACCTCAAATTGGAGGTCACCGACTTCGGGTCCTCGACCTCTTCCAACAACCCGAACCTGCTCCCCTCTCCTGGGCGAGTCGTCGACTTCAAACCACTGGCCCTCCGAGCCCCGACACACACCTCGCTCGACATTGAAGACTTGTTTGTCGGTCCCCGGGACATGAACCATCATTCCAAATGGCCCTTCTTCTTGCGTCTGCACGGGAGTGTGCTGCCCAAGATGATCCTTCCGCTGTTATTCGTCGCAGGCTGGGCGACGTTGTTCACCTGCATCAACAAATTCGTCTACGAGCTGGTCTTCAACTCGGTCCTCCTCACCATCACCGGTTTCGTGGTCAGTTTGGCGTTGTCGTTCCGGTCGACGACGGCGTATGAAAGGTACAGCGAGGGACGGAAATACTGGGCACAGTTGATCGTGACGTCGAGGAACCTGGCTAGAATCGTCTGGATACACACCAAAGAACGGCAGGGCTCGGACGAGGGACAAGAGAAGGCGGACCTGCTCGGTAAACTGACAGCCCTGAACCTCATCAATGCCTTTGCCGTGGCACTGAAGCACCGACTCCGGTTCGAGCCGTCCACCGACTACCCGGACCTGCAGCCGCTGATCGGAAATCTGCACACTCTCGCCAGCGAGGCCGACCAGAGCAAGCTGCAGCCCAAGAAAGTGGGCTCGTGGAAGGCGGCGGGCGAGTACCTGGGGGTGACGTTTGCCGAGTCGAACCCGCGCAAGCTGATCAAGCGGTCGCGGGACAACCTGGGCAACCTGCCGCTCGAGATCCTCAACTTCCTGGGCGCGTACCTGGACGAGGTGTGCAGCAACGGGCAGCTGACTCTGCCCATCCACCAGGCCAACGCGATGAACAGCATCATGCAGCTCGCCGACATCCTGACGGGCACGGAGAGAGTGCTGAACACGCCGGTGCCCATCGCGTACTCTATCTCCATCTCGCAGATCACCTGGGTGTACATCCTGACGCTGCCGTTCCAGATCTACAGCACGCTGGGGTGGGTGACCATCTTCGGCGTGGTGCTGGCCGCGTACATCATCCTGGGTCTCGCGGCCATCGGGTACGAGATCGAGAATCCCTTCGGCGTGGACGTCAACGACCTGCCGCTGGACGCGTACTGCCGCGAGCTGGCGTCCGACATCGACGTGCTCACCAGCATGCCCGCGCCGACGACCGCCAACTTCATCGCCACGGCGCGCAACAAGGTCCTCTTTCCGCTGAGCATGAGCGACTACGACCTGTGGCACGACCGCTCCGTGGCGGAGATCCGGGGCGCCCTGCGAGCCAAGGCCACGACGGCGGCGACGTCGGTGGACTTTGAGCGCGCAAAGGCCCAGGTTGAGAGCACGAACGACTCGATGGACACGCGGGCGAGCCCTGAGGAGAGCAAGAACCGGGACATCATGGCGGCCGACGCAGTGTAACGGCGAGCCGACCATCGTTATGAGAATGGGAAGCTGAAGCTGGCAGCGGGCGAAATTGTCATGCAAAAGATTGATTATCGTTTGGGCGTCGTGTTTTTTTCTGCTGCATATTAGCGAGGGTCTGGCTCGAAGCAACAAAAGCAATTGTCACATACAACCACCAACAACACTGAGATGGCGAGTTTGAAAATAGAGCGGGATTGGCTGGGCACCGGGAACAGCGGGAATGTCTTTTCTATTTTGTCTTGTAATGGATGGGGTGGATAGATGGACTGTGTATCTGAACACTCTTTCTACCCTCTTTTCCTCCCTTTTGACGGTGCCTGTCCGTGTCAAGCAATCACCAAGCATCCGACCGCTCGCTCGTTCTCTTCCTCCAGATTCCGCATCTTTTCAGTTCGTGGTCCACCGATCCGCCTTGTATCTTGTCTCGTCAGTTGGCCCCTTCGCCTTATATCCTCACTCTCCCTCATCATCAAACCTTTTTTAAGCGTCCTTGCTCTTCGCGCCCAGCTGGCGGGGCATCTCGCCCTTCTCGGCCATGTCGTTGAGGACCTTCTCGGCGGTCTTCATGGCGTCGACGCCGGCGGGCACGCCGCAGTAGGTGGTGGCGTGGATGATGGCCTCGCGGATCTCCTCCTCGCTGAGGCCGTTGTTGCGGGCGCCGCGCACGTGCACGGCCAGCTCGGGCGCGCGGTTCAGCGCCATCAGCATGCCGATGTTGAGCAGGCTGCGGTCGCGGCGTGACAGCCCCGGCCGCGTCCACGCGTACCCCCAGCAGAACTCGGTCACCAGCTCCTGGCCCACGCGCGAGAACTCGGTCGACCCGTTTTCCAGCGCGCGGTCCACGTACGCGTCGCCCACCACGGCCCGCCGCACGTTCAGCCCGGCGTTGAAGAGCTGCTCGTGGAACGGGCGCAGGGCCGGGTCGACGCTCGACGTGGGGGCGTTGGTGTTGGAGGAAGACATGTTTGGGATGGGATGGGGGAGGAAGTGTGTGTGTGTGACTGGTTTGTCTAGGTGATGGTGTTGTTGGTGATGCTGGGGCTCTTGATTCTTCGTGTCCGGCGAGTATTTGTCTGCCGCAGGTTTCTTTTACTCTGTCTCACTCTCTTTCTGTTCCGTGTCTCTGTCTCTGTCTCTGTTTCCTCTCTCGTTCTCTCCGTCAGATCTGACTCTTTATTGCCGTCTCAGTTGGAGAAAAGGCCACAAACCGCTTCGAACGAGGACAAGCGGGACTGACTGACTGACTGACTGCCCGACAAATTCTCTTGCTTTCCTTACCGAAGAGGAACGAGAAAGAAACGCCCCCTCCCCTCTCTCCATCCTACGACACATTCTTATTCCCTTTGTTATTTTACCCCTCCAACGATCCACCACCACCCAATCCCTCGACACTCCGCTATCGGGGCCTCGTTTGGTTTCATTGCTCCGCACGGCCTCTTGTGATGGTGATGGGTTTTCTCCAACTTTCTCCAATTGCGAGGGATTCCCCCGAGGCTCCGGTTAACAGTGGCGTGCCACGCGTGCAAGGCTTTGTTTCGGGAGAAGACGTTTGAGAAGGGAGAGAGTAATTGGAACAGTCTCAATTGGAGGTAGCAGAGATCCCGATTTCTAGCTCGCTAGGGTGCTCTAAGGCCACTACTGGGGTGAAGATTTGCATGGTGTCTTTCCCCCCTCTATTCTAGATCCGTTGCAATGTTTTATTATGTCAGTTTGCTGGCCGTAGCCTCGTCGGCGTCCTTTTGCCAATCCTCGTTGCCCCCCAGGTATCGGTAGACCACTCTCGAGTCTAGATCCATGCACCGGGGGTCTTTGCTGGCGCCGTCGTACGTGGCCAGGCCAGCCTCGCCCAGGACATTGGTGGCCCCGACCCGCTTGGCCATCTCCAGGGCGAGCGAGAAGTCCTTGCGCATCAACTGCACCTTGAACCCGTTGGTGTAGCCCTTGGACGACGGCGCTTCCGCGTACACGCCGGGCACGGGGCAGAAGCGGTCGCAGATGGTGTTCTGCGCCGTGCCCGCGGCGTAGACCTTGGCCAGCACGCGCGGGTCCAGCCCCGAGCGCATGCCCATGTCCATGGCCTCGGAGACGGCAATGGCGATGATGCCGGACAGGTAGTTGTTGGACAGCTTGGCCGCGAGGCCCTTGGACGGGCCGCCGCAGGGGATCACGTCCTTGCCCATCAGCTGCAGCAGGCGGGTGAGTTGGGGCAGGTTGGGGTCCGCGCCGTCGCAGCCGAGGAAGAAGGCGATCGTGCCCTTTTGCGCGCCCACCACGCCGCCGCTGACGGGGGCGTCGTAGAAGGCCGTCGTGGGGAACTGCCGGTTGACGTAGTCCTTCACCGCCAGGCTGCTGGCCGTGTCGATGGTCGAGCAGTCGATCAGCAGCTTCCCAGAGACGTCGCTGGAACAGATGGTCGTGCCGGCGGCCCCCTCCATGTACACGGAGCGGACGTGTTTGCCCTCGGGAAGCATGGTCAGAATAACATCCTGGGTGGGTGATCACACCTGCGCGTCAGCAAACACAATGCCCCTGTTGACCCGATGGGTGAGGAAAGGGGTCGATTACTGATTTATCGGCCACCTCCTTCGCGCCCGAGCATTTTGTCACTCTCTCCGGGTAGTCGTGGTGCAGCTGGTCCACGCTTGATTGGTTGATGTCGTAGGCATATATGTGGACGTTGGAGGGCAGCTTCGCAGCAAGGTGGCCGGCCATGGGAAGCCCCATGGCCCCTAATCCCACGAACCCAAGGCCCGAGATCTTGGATAAGTCCATGTTTGCACCGTTGTCGCCGCCACCCAGCTTGTGGTGGATTGTGGAGAGAGTCGAGAAGTCGCCGCTTACCGACGAAGGCCCAGCAAATAAACAGACAAATTGCGGTTTCTCTATCAGTGGTATAGGACAACTTAGTCAACGTATAAAGATGCAGAAATTCCCAGTGTTAGAATTCCCCCATGTGTCTCTAGAGTCAGGCCAGTAGATTTCCGGCACGATTTAATTCGCGGATCACCTCAATTTGCATGTTTGCACGTTGGACCGAAGCAGGAAATTGGGGTAATTGAACCGTTTATCGATTGTTTTGGAGTAAACGGGAGGCGTAGAGGGGTGCCACGGGTCCTGAGAGGGGCAATACTTCAACCCACCGTCTCTGTTTCTAGAATCTTTCTGCTTAGGGAAGGCCATTCTCTTACAAATGATAAAATCAAGGGGAGCCCTTCCTTTTTATTCCGATCAGCCATCGGCAAGAGGGCCGACTTCCATCGCCTGTCTTTGTAGGAGGATGACCATAAAGAGAAAGCCGAGTGGCCAGCCTTACGAGGCTGTGTCCCAATCGCCTCTCCCCAATAAGCAGTCTCTACATTATTTCCAAAACGCTAACTCTGGTCTTCATAGGCCTATGGTTGTTTTTACCGCTCGCTTATCCCAGGTCAGCGCCATCATTCAGCCTGCAGCTCGGCTCGAGGGAGTGGCTACATGTTTCCTCTAAGGTGCCCGAGAAGACTCCGTAGTAGTATTACGGGTGCAAGTACTAGAACCACCCGCACCAACAATCTCATTGCTGACATGCTGCCCTTCTCTGGAGAAATCCTCAGCGAATCACGGTCGCCACAAGTCCTGCCACATTGTGATGGCGCCGGCGGAAGAGCCCAGTAGACGCCAGACACGGGTACGATGCTATCGAATATTGTTTTCAGCTCATTGACCTGGTCTCGATAGGGCTGTGACGGGAACATGTAATGCCTCAGCCTAGCCGGCGGATGGTGGTGGTGTTGGTGATGGCCACAACTGCTTATACGCCATCCACCACATTTGATTCCAAGGCAAACCCCATCGGGCCCAAGGAATCGTCATTTTTGGATATTATGTATGCAGCTTCATCTTTACAACCTGCGGATATGCAGACACGTCGCACTTTTGAAGGGTTGGCACATTGTGTCCTATCCGCACGGTTCGATTGGATTTCTTTATCCGCCACTTAGCCGTTTCTTACATGATGCTAAGGCGCGAATCAGCCTCCTGCTGACAGGAGATGGGGGGATGTGGAATCACTTCCTCGGTTATATGATCCTACTACCCTACCAGTGCAACGAGATACCGACATCTGCGGAAGGCGTATGATGATTCCACAAAGCCGGTTGGTCGCTCACACATGCAGATGGAGCTTAACAGCTGCTCTCTTTGGTCCCCCCGTCGCCCATACGCAGTCCTGGCACAAAGAACCCGTGCTCGTGTTGGAAGATGACACAAGACGGACACGTCGCCTATCACAAGAAGCCGTGCAAGCATCGGCACCCGAATTGGCTGCAGCTGAACCCAACATGGCCCCCGTTGCGTCGATATCAGGTAGTCGGTCAAGGTCAAGGACCACAAGGCTCCACGGCGCTTCTACTCGTACCAGAGCAGTGCAATCCGCCCTCGTTCTCGCTTCTGACTAAATGCTGATGCTGTAATTACCGGGATCCTCAGCAACCCCACAAACGAAATCTACTCGTCCCAGCTGCTGCGCGGGTTTTGTGGCGCAGGGTATCCAGTTGTGGGATCTGTAACCGTTGCCTATCTAGGATACGTTTACCAAAGGCCGCCGCCACAACCGCCCGACTTCAACATTTCTACTCTTCACCCCTGTCGGCTGTTTGGATATGTTCGCTCTGATCTCTGTGGAACGCCATCGAAAGGCTTCGCAAGAGGCAACCCGCTGCCCGGAAAGTCCCAAACCATCCGCAGGGCGCCACTATCCGTGCAAGCTGGGATACAAAGTACCTGCTGGACCAAGGGTGGGCTGATGATCAGTGGAGATCCGAGTTTCCTCAGACGATGACCCCCTGGTAGCATTACCACCACGACAGGGTCGGTAAGGACCAAAGGCTCTAATTTGAGAAGTGTTACATCACCAAGGGCTCAGCAAGCTACGAGTTCCTGGGGTGGCTACCAGAACCCTCCACCATGCTCTTGGACACGAGTCTTTTTGGATCTTTGTTATTCAAATCCTCCGCCCGCTTCATGACTCGCTCTTCGGCCCAGGCGTCTGACAGTCAGCAAGATATGGCGAATCCCACTTGTGGGTGACCTCAGGTAGGGGAGGCATCAGATGGATCATGTTCGGATATAATGGTATAAGAACCACGAGGAGATCTCTGTTGCTGAGATGTTTAAAACGACCCTCTCCCCCTGTCGCTCCAAGTCTCACCCTATCTTTTTCACACCAGGGTTGCTTATAGGGACCTCGTATACCGGCCGAATTTTGCCAGAGAAAAACCATGGCTGTCTTCTCTGTAGTAGACCTGCTATCCGTTCTCGCGGCGGCCAATGTCGTCTATGTGAGTGCCTTCTACCATGGACGCCCCCCCTTTCCCTGCTCTCACTTCTAACATGTCTGCCGCAGTTCATTGGCCTGGCCATCTATCGACTTTACTTCCACCCTCTCGCCAAATATCCCGGACCTCTACTGTGGAAACTGACACAATGGCCCGAGGCAAGATCCGCCTGGGCGGGAAGAAGACACATTGACCTACAGCTGCTGCACGAGCAATACGGTAAGTAACATGATCCGCCATCAGCCCATTTCGTATCGGAAGAGGCACAAGAGACACTGACCCGGTTCTCGCACAGGCGACATCGTGCGCTTCGGGCCCGACAAACTGTCCTTCCGCACCGCGCAGGCCCTCAACGACATCTACACGGACCGCCGGGCCAACATGATCAAGACGGGCTGGACACACACGGGCGAGACGATCAACCCGGGGATCACGACGCACATACTTTCGGACCGGCAGCTGCACGCCGCGCGGAGGAAGCTGCTCAACAACGCCTTCTCGGAGCGCGCCATGAACAGCCTGGACAAGTACATGCTCGAGCGCATCCGGGACTGGTGCGCCTACCTCGGCCAGGGCAGCAGCGACACCAATGGTGATGCAGAGAAACCTGCTGCTGCCACCGGCGCGGCGGCGACATGGGGCAAGGAGCGCGACATGGGCCAGTGGTCGACGCTGTTGACGATCGACGTGCTGGGCGAGCTGTGCTTCGGGGCGAGCTTCAACGCGATGAAGAACGGGGCGTGCTACATCATGGACCTGCTCCTGGCGAGCGCGCGGTTCCAGCAGCAGGTGGCCTTCCTCCCGGTGCGCGAGCTGCTCTTCCCGCTGATGAAGCCGGCGCCGCTGGCGCGGATCGGGCGGCTGGTCGGGTCGCAGAACCTGCTCAACAAGGTGCGCTTCCGGCAGGACGTGGGCGTGTACGTGGAGCGGCGGTTCGCGGTCGAGAAGGCGGACGCCGACAAGGCCGAGGACGACCGGCGCCGCGACTTCTTCTACTACCTGCTGCACGCCAAGGACCCGCAGACCGGCGCCAGCTTCCTGCCCAAGGACCTGGTGGGCGAGGCTGCCCTGCTGATCGGGGCCGGCAGCGACACCAGCTCGACCGCCATGTCAGCGCTGTTCTTCTACCTGCTCCGCAACCCGCCCGCGCTCGCCAAGCTGCAGGAAGAGGTGCGTGGCGCGTTCGACACCGTCGAGGACATCCGCTACTCGGCGCGGCTGACGGGCTTGCCGTACCTGCGCGCCTGCATCGACGAGGCCATGCGCATGTCGCCGCCCGTGCCGGGCCTGCTGGACCGGCTGGTGCTGGCGGGCGGTGCGACAATCGACGGCCACGCCGTGCCCGCGGGCACCACTGTCGGCGTGCCCATCTACGCCATCCACCACAACGAGCGCTACTTCCCCAACTCGTACGCGTACATCCCCGAGCGCTGGATCGCGGGCGCCGAGTCGTCGCGTGAGGCCGGCTTCGCCGTCACCCCGACCTCCGTCGAGGTCGCCCGCTCCGCCTTCCACGCCTTCTCTTCCGGCCCCCGCGGCTGCGTCGGCAAGAACATGGCCTACATGGAGCTGCTGACCGCCGTCGGCCGCGTCATGTTCCTCTACGACGTCCGCCTCAAGCCCGGCGACCACACCGGCGAGGGCGGCGCTCTCCCAGAGAAGGGCCGCGAGAGGGCCGCGGAGTACCAGCTGACCGACTGGCTGATCAGCGACCGCCAGGGCCCCGTCGTGCAGTTCAAGCCTAGGGAGGGTGTGGTGGTGTGATTGCTTGTCTCTCATTCACTCCCCTCTCCTCTCCTACCATTTTGCCGCTCTATTTCTTCTCCCTGTGGTGTTTGACCGGTACGAAGCGGTCTTGACGGAGACTCCTTTTGGTCTGGAGAAGGCGTATATATATGGGAAGGCGATATGGGAGTTTTTTTTTTGCATCATCTCTCAACGACCTTTTTTATCTATGTGGACTTTTCTCCTTTTGGGGGGCATCTGCGTGCGTGTATTGTTATTGTATTGTATCCAGCGAGCTGTACAAGGATCCTGGAGAGGAGATGGTCTGATCAGCAGAAGGTGCAGACGGGCTACACACATGCAGACAGACGGGGTGGGCGACGAAACAGACAGACAGGCCGGTGGAATGGGAATCCACAAGCTATCAAACAAGCATAGAATGAAATGAAATGAAGAGCATGATAGACCAATCATCCCACAGATACCTACGATAACCATGATATATTATCCAAAGAGTCTTTATCCATTAGTTGCATCAAGTACGCGCGCTTGACTATCCACGATACGAGGTACATATCAAGGTCCCTTCCCCACCGTCCTAATAGAACCTCCAAACCACCGCAAACGGCACGCGGTCACTGACCGTGCGGAAAGGCTTGACCACCACCTCGACCTTGCCGCCGGGTATCCGCGGCCAGACGACCTGCTCGACGTTGTTGCGGCGGTCGAACGGCCGGGCGGCCCCGACGTCGAACTCGGCGTCTTGCTGGTTTCCGTGACGCTCCTTGCCGCCTGCGACGACCACGAGATTCAGGTCGTTGGCGAGCGCCGCGCCCGGGAGGTCGGCGTACGCCATGGTGACTTTGAGCGTTCGACCGGTTCCGGCTCCGCTGATGCCAGTGCTAGAGTCGCCGTTGGGTTGGTCGGGCCCCGTGTTGTTGGGCGCCGTGATGGTGAAGGTGACTGGCTCTTCGTCTTCCTCGATGGCCCCAATCTCGTACCCCGAGGACTTGTCGGCGGGGTCGACCAACGAGCTTGCCACGTCGACGCGGCCGAAGCCCGAGTGAGGGTTGGGCCCATCGTCGTCGTTGACCTCGCGAGGCACGTATTGGCCCTTGACGGCGACCGCGCCGTTGACCAGCAGCGCCTTGATCAGCGAGCCCGTGGGGTTCTTGACGCCGTCCTCCTCGTCGCGGTAGCCGTTCTTCACCAACGCCTCGCGGAGAACGGCACAGCAGCCCGCCACCAGCGGGGTGGCCATGCTCGTGCCCGACAGGTACATGTACCCGTCGTCGCCCGAGTCGCCCATGATCTTGACCTCGTCGTCGAATTTCTGGTTCCTGGAGCGCGCGGAGAGGATGGCCGTGCCGGGCGCGACAAGGTCCGGCTTGAGTCGGTTCTCCGCCGTGGGCCCACGACTGCTGAAGGCCGCGAGGCCGTCCGGGTTGTTGGCTTGGTGGTCGTCTCGGAGCGGGTTCTTGGGGAAGTCCTGGCGCCAGAAGCCACCGTAGGTGTATGGACGGCCTGCCTCGCCCGACTGGAGGGTCGGGCGATTGTTCTCGGAGGCACCGACGGTGATGCAGTTTTTGGCCGCGGCCTCGGCGCCGAGCGAGCGTTCGTTGACCTTGCCGTCGAGGTCCGAGTCTTGTCCGTCATTGCCTGCGGCGAACAGGATTGTCATGTCCTGGTGTTCAAAAACGAACTTGTCGATACTCTCTGCGCCAGCGTCGTAGGGATTCTGCACGCCAGAAGGCGACAGCGGAGTACCCCAGGAGTTCGTGTGAATTCTCGCACCGGCTTGGTAGCCTTCGTCGAACAGTCGACCGATGTCATTCGGGATGCCACCGAGTTGAGCTCTGCGTCTTGCGTCGAATCCGCTGAACGTCGACTGCATCATCAGGGTTGCCTCGGGGGCGCCACCTTGGATCAGACCTTGGGAGTTGTGCTGACCGCTACCGAGGACGGAGCCACATACATGCGTGCCATGGCCGTCGGGGTCATCTGAGAGGTTCAATCTCCTTCGCCCCCAAGGATTGAGCTTCTTGACCCGGCCGAGGAAAGCCGGGTGCACGTCCGTCGGGCTGCCTCTGTCAAAACCTGTGTCTGCCACACATACAATCTGGTCTTTCCCCTTGTACTCTGGCTTGCTGCTTCCCTGCCCATCTAAGCGCAAGATACCACGAGCCACGTTGTTGAAAAGCCGGCGCTCGTTGATCGGGTGGATGACTCGCACCTCGTCGACGGCGGCGATCTTGTCCAGTTTCTCTGGGTCAACTTTCACTCTGACGAAGCCTGGCTCAACCGTAATGGCCGACGTCTGCACATTACCGGCCTCGGCAATCTTGCTCACGATGTCGTCGGATGCCTCCTTAACATCGTGGTGCAGGAGGACATCCACTTCGACAGTGCCGTCACTCTCCTCGTTGGTGCGCAAGGCCGGGGTGCCGGTGGTGGACTGCAAGACATCCGGGACCACAAACGTTGGAGAGTAGATGTTGGCGTAGCTGATATAGTCCAAGTTACGGATTTGGTCCAATGACGCGGGCTTGAATCCGCAGAGGTACAACTGGTCATTTTCATTCCCGACGAACTCCTGGATCTCGACGCCCAGGGCCTTCAGTTCTGTCTTTTGGGCTTTGTTCAATGGGCCACCTGTGGTGCGAACCAAGATATAGTTCGAGTCTGTGGCGTCGGACTGCTGATCAGAGCTGGCCACAGTTCGACCATTGATAACAATATCGTCAGACATGGTGGACGCAAAACAAAGTCAGCAGCTGTAGTTTTGACCCGGTAGGTAGACCCTGGAAGGACCAGCTGGAAAGAAAGCAATTCTGTACAGGAATCCACTGTTCTCTCCAAGGGCAGCTGCGCCTGAAGTACCTCGTTTGGGCCGAGATATTGCGCATACAAGACTGCTTCTCATTCAGATACGGCCCGGATGTTCAGCTACGGCTGATTTGTACAACGCAGAGGTGTAGCTTGGCTCCAAGTCGGTCTCGAATATCTTGCCTGTTGGAAGGTCTGGGCAACAGACGGCACGAGAAGGGGGGCAGTCGCAGACGGCAACGCAAGACCACGACATTCGTATTCGTGTATCAGAGTGAACCTTGGACGACGTTGATCTAGTCTGTTGCATAAGACCAACCAGGAGCCAGGCTCCCCGCCACCGACATCTCCATAGTGTTGCGGCGAGCCAGCCTTGAGAAGTGTTTCAGGGTGATCGAAAGTAACGCTTTCCCAGAACACTTCTCAATGACGCTGGTAGTGGAGTCACGAACCTTGCAAGGCGTGCTTGATCTGAATTCCGATATTGAGCTCCAGTGTAGCTGTAGAAAGTGTCGTAGTGTCTTTTACTATTGGACCCTGGCTCCTGCGGCAGCCTAACGTCGTGGAAGGCAACATGAACACGAGAGAGGGTGGTTGGCCACATGGGTTCTGCATCCTTGGCTCGGAGAAGGTGTGCATCTGACAGACTCAGCTGAAGCTCATACTTGGCAAAGGTGGTGAGGCTTTGGCAAACAATTTGCGAGACTTTCGCAGGAGCTGAGCAGATCCCAAGTGTTGGCGTCCTGGCAGCCTTGGCTCTTACGCAAGAAAACTCGTGCCAGGCAGCACTTGTTGAATATGAGGTTATAAGCGGCTCACTTGAGGAGGGGTTGTCGTTGAGCTGCTTCAGGGCTGGCTGGATAGACTGTTCTGGTCCCAGAACAAACAATTTCTACTTGTCCATACCATCGCTGTTGGGAATATCAACTTGGCATTGTGTCACCAATTTACGAGGAACTGTTATTGAGACAACGCGAGATTCGTCGCCTTGAGATCCTTCGTCTGTGAGAGGGGCCGTCGAAAGTAGTCGAGGTAAGTCAATCAGGTATTAGCGAGGGCGACCTAGGTAGTTGTAAGTTGTTCGTGTTGGGTTGGGTCCAAGGTCCGAATCGAGTGCAGATGGATGCCTTGGTAAAAGTCAACCGCCCATTCCGGATGCCGAGGATCCCATTGCGATTGCGGAGAAGACGTCGCCTTGACCAATCTATCTCAGAAGAATAGCATCTTTCAGTCCTCTCGGGCAGCAACCATTCAAGAATCCGGCTGCCGACTCTGCCGTACTGCAGTTTCGGCCAGCTGTACAACCTCCTCCGTTGCCTCGTGGATGCGTGTCTGTTGCCGTGCCTGGACTCCAGAGGCTGTCAAGGGTTTTGGAAACCGCTGCTTGACAAAGGACAAGCATTGTTTGAGGAGCGTGAGATCTGAAAGGGCCGTTTTACCGGAAGGGTTAAGGAGGATGTGGCAGACGAGGATCAGTTCCGCTGACAGCGGATAGAACAGGATTACCCTACAAGGAAGACGGGGTTAGTGAACCCACGGCCAACATCTGTCATATTTTTGAAATCTGGGATGGTCAAAGCTATTCAAGCCGGACATACCAGAAGAGATTGGGCGGTAAGATGGCAACCGCGGAATGTAAACAGGAGAGCAGGCAGCGACTACTTTTCAAAGCCAGTTCCATGCTTGAACTCAGGCCACCGTCGAGATCGTGACCATTGGTCCAATCCTTGCAGCGGCTGCTCGCTTGGTGTATCGTGGTTACGCAGTGATAGTATTCCAATCGAATCAGGAGGCTGGGAAGACTCGCGGGATTGTTCTTGTCCGAGAATGACAGCGTGGGCCGGGATTCGGCAGGGTGTGACAATCTCCAACTTTCTAATAAGCTATCGAGCTCGCGAATGTCTTTGAGTAGTTCGGCATCGGATTTGTGCCTAGAGTGTGGTGAATAGAGCTTCTCATATGCTTTGGACTTGATAGTGCTCAGGCGCAGATCACCCGGTAGCCGCCACGGCCCGTTGTATCCTGGTGATATTTGTTTCAGATAGGAAGCCGGGAACGTGAGGTCACAGGAAGTGTCATGAATCACGGGGGCTCGCCCCGTGCGGAAGGTTATTTCCCGGTCCAAGGTATAGCAGATCCAGAACAAGTCGCGTTGGTGGAGGACAGTTCGAGCTTCTAGACTTTGCGATTCGACGGGGAGACCGTCAAGCTCGGGACCGGGGTATAGGTGTGCGCCCAGCATGAACAAAAACCGAGATGCGAGTGACAGGATGATATCAGTGGTATGAATTTTTCCACAGCAGAATTGATAGACCGCCTAGAAGCCAGACCGTGACATGTTAACATTCATGAAGTGGGCGTTGAACCACCTTACCTTAGGAGAGGAGGCATGGCTGTAAACATGCCTATGTAGCGAAAGGAATTCAAAGGAGAATGCAAAAAAGACGTGGATTTGGGCGGACTTACTATCATCATGAGAGCATCTACGACCTCGTTGCCAGCTTTTGCGCGCATAAGATCAGAAGAGAGCAGCTGAAAAGCAATCTCACATCCTTCGATATCTTGAGGCGAGCACAAGGTCTCATCCGACTCGCCGAGCAATCCCCCCACAGCGAGGAATGCGAAGATGGATGCTTTCTGCGGCAGTGCCTCATAAGAATCAGAAGGGCCATGCTCGTAAGCTTCTTCAATGGTCGCCGAAAATAGCACGGGGTCGATCACCGGCAAGATATTCGAAAACTCTGATCGTTGATAAGCTTCCAGAGAAGATTGGACAGCTTGACGAGGAGGCAAATCTCTGATTTTGGTAACTGAGAGATGTTCATAGCGTGGCAGATGATGCTGATTGTGCCAAAGAGGGCCGGGTACCTTGTCATTGATATTCGCCAGACCATCTTCGTCATTTCGAAAGCCAATCCATCTTCGGCCACTGCGAGATAGATATGGTACCCCATGGAACAGGTTGACATCGCCGAGTTTGTAGGAAGCCATATATATCTGTCTAGGGTTGGGGACCTCCGGGCTTAAAGATTTGCTATCCGCTGACTCAGATTTAGCGGGACGCAATGCGCCCGGAGAGCCGCGTCCGCTCTCTTCAAGAAATTCTTGGTTGAGCATCAGAATTTAATCGTTCACTTCCTCGAAGGGCGTGGGACGTACCATGCCGCTCTCTGAGATTGGTTGTGAGGATATATTCTATCCGGTTCATACGCTCGATGAGATTGGTTTCCTCGAGCTTGCTGTCGTCAATGGTACTTAAGCACAGGGTCATATAAAAGATGTTTTCACGTCATTCGTCTAACCTTGACCGAGTCCGCCTCCGTCTCGAGCCACGGGTTCTGGTGAACGCACAAATATCCCCATGGTGTCGGCACCAGTCGCATTGAGGAGTAGCGCCATCGCATTTGATCTTTGAAGGGTCAGCCAATCTCTATAGCACGACAGGCCGGCGTTAAAAACAAAGATTGGCGGACCTTTCTTTGACGGCACGCATCACAAGCGCGGCGTGTTCGTGGGGTTGTCGTGCCACTACTTCCAGGCGTGGGGTTAGAAGCATTGGACAACGGAGTTGACGGATTTCGAGGCATGAGTGGTCTTTAGATCTTGTGTTGACTTATGGCAGATCGACGCTGCAGACCGAGGAATGGTTTAACATGGAGAGTTCTCATCTGGTAATCTGGTCCCCGAGTGAATGACAAGATGCTGAAGGTGAAGCTCCATCTAGAGCTAGACCTGGGTCGAATATCGGCTGCTACGTACGGGCGCAAGGGTCTGACGGCCTTTTGATTAGTGCTCTTTTCCCGTACTCTCTACATATGTAACTTGGAAAGTCCGAGATGATGTTGAGCACTCGACATTAACCTTTGCTGCTGCGGATTAACTGGGTACCGAATAGGTGTGGGTTCTTGTAGAGCCGTGAACATGATTGGCTCTGGGTGGCGGGATGAATCGAGCCCCATTCGGAGTTCGGAAGCAAATTGTCCGAGTTGCCGCTTATATAAGCGGCATATTTTGCAGCCGCCCGATGTGGGCCCGGCGTCAATCGGGAATCTATGAATTGCCACGTATGGGACATCCCCCAGGGCTAGAGCCTTGCAAAGCACAGCCGTCAATCCGAAGACGAAGTGTCTTGCAACAGTGGGCCGATTCAATCGCTGGATCTCTTCATTATCTGAGCAACCACTCCTTGACAGTGTGGAGTGCACAATACCGGACTCTTTCTTGCGTTTCACCACCTTTGTGACAAGCTGTCAAAGCACAACTCCGAGCACGATTATCTACATTAGATTTGTGTTTGATGTGCCCATCCACCATGTTTCAGTCGAGCTTGATTCTGGCGTCGCTCACGGAGGTAAAGGAAGATCATCAATTCCGTGCGAAAAGGCAAAAGGATAAGATTGTCCGCTGCCAGCTGGATGCTAATCAAGATGGATCAATTTGGAGCTAATCAGGTGCGTCTCTCTCGTCAAGAGTTATATAGTGCCCGAGAAGGCCGCTGGAGCTTATTACAAAGCGGCTCCTAGTATTCAGAGCCTTCCGAGCGCATTCATAGATGGATAGGGGATCGGGCCCATGTTCATACCGCACCATGACACCAGACACTTCGACGCCCAATCCTGAGGTACAATATGTGCTCCGCCATCTTGGTGCCTATTTTAATTGCGTGTTTCTGGGTCCCCTTTATGTCAGTCCAACAAAATTGCGGTCGGAATGCCTGCTAGATCGATTTTGCGTGGCATATCGATAGGAGAGTTCCGTCGGCGCCATTTTTATTTTTAACCTTCTGTTCTCTTCCATATAAAATCTCCAGATATGCCATCTCGATGTTCCCTGCAGCCGTCCAGACTACCACGGAATCCGACGCAACATGGAGCAGACAAGGTCCTCCGAGTCGAGGCGATCTGTCAGCACCGTGGCTGGAGGACCAGCCCATCGTGAGGAGTCAATGTGGCAGACGCTAACACGGCGGTCGACATATTCCACGCACGAGGCCGACAGAGAGACCTATGATGTCGACAAGGACTACACCGAGTCTGATCCATATGATCCCACTTGGGACATGGCCGGCGAAGTCAAGAGAAGGCATGAACAAGACCAGGACAGCGGCCTCGGAGAACGAAAACTCGGCCTCACGTGGAAAAACCTTTCCGTCTACGGTGAAGGCGCAGGCACGGTTGTCCACGAAAATGTCTTGTCGATGTTCAACATCCGTGCTCAGATGGCCGACGCCAGGGCGAGGAAAGCGAATGGTCTCAGGAAGACGATCCTCGACAACTCGCATGGTTGCGTCAAGCCTGGGGAAATGCTTCTCGTTCTTGGCCGTCCAGGCGCGGGCTGCACGACCCTGCTCAACATCCTGGCCAACGCTCGGCACGGCTATGCAGAAATCAAGGGCGAGGTCTTTTATGGCTCCATGGACCACAAACGTGCGAGCCAATACCGAGGCCAGATTGTCATGAACACGGAAGAAGAACTTCATTTCCCCTCCTTGACGGTTGGGCAGACGATGGACTTCGCCACGCGGATGAAGATCCCTGCTCATCGACCTCGAGATGTGCCCAGTCCCAAAGAATGGCAGGAAAGCTTTCGGGATTTTCTTCTTCGCTCCATGAGCATCGAACACACGCGCGACACCAAGGTCGGCAACGAATATGTCCGCGGTGTATCCGGGGGCGAACGAAAACGGGTTTCGATCATCGAAACGATGGCCACGCGCGGAAGTGTTTTCTGCTGGGACAACAGCACCCGGGGACTGGACGCCAGCACCGCCCTCGAGTGGGCGAAGGCCATGAGAGCCATGACGGATATACTGGGGCTTTCTACCGTGGTCACGCTCTATCAAGCTGGCAATGGCATTTTCAATCTCTTCGACAAGGTTCTCGTGCTGGACGAAGGCAAGCAGATCTTCTATGGACCAAGGGAAACGGCCCGGCCTTTCATGGAGTCCCTCGGGTTTGTCTGTGATGATTCGGCCAACATAGGAGACTTCCTCACGGGTGTCACTGTGCCCACCGAAAGAGTGGTGAAACCGGGATACGAGCAGCAATTTCCTCGCACAGGTGCCACGATCCGGGAGATATACGATCAATCCGACATTAAGAAGCGGATGGAATTGGAGTACGAGTATCCCGCCTCAGCCACCGCGAGAGAAAACACCACCGAGTTTCAAGAGGCCGTGAAGCAGGAGAAGGCCAAAAGCCTTTTCAAGAAATCGCCGCTCACCACGTCCCTCAACAGTCAAATACTGGCCTGCGTGGTTCGCCAGTATCAGATTCTGTGGGGGGACAAAGCCACCTTCGCCATCAAGCAGATTTCCTGCCTGGTCCAGGCCCTCGTCGCTGGATCGCTATTCTACAATGCCCCGGACAACTCTGCAGGACTCTTTGTCAAAGGGGGTGCGTTGTTTTTTGCCCTGCTGTACAACTCGCTCGTCGCCATGAGCGAGACCACCGACTCCTTCACGGGCAGACCTGTGCTGGCCAAACACAAACAGTTCGCCTTCTATCACCCGGCTGCATTCTGCATCGCTCAGATCACCGCAGACCTTCCCATCCTCTTTATCCAAGTGACCATCTTCTCCGTGGTTCTGTACTGGATGGTCGCGCTCAAGGCCACGGCGGCTGCTTTTTTCACCTTCTGGATCGTGGTGTATTCGGCAACGATATGCATGACCGCGTTCTTCCGCCTTGTCGGCGCGGCGTTCAGCACCTTCGACGCCGCCTCGAAAGTCTCGGGTTTCGCTGTGGCGGCGTACGTCACGTACATTGGGTACGAGATCCCCAAGCCGCACATGCATCCTTGGTTCGTCTGGATATACTGGATCAATCCGCTGGCCTATGCCTTTGAAAGCCTTGCCTCCAACGAGTTTCACGATCGATATATCCCGTGTATTGGAACCAACTTGGTCCCCAGTGGGCCCGGTTACGACGCTGACACAAGGTTTGCCGCGTGCACTGGTGTCGGTGGCGCTCAGTCGGGAGCCAATTTCGTTACTGGTGACCAATACTTGTCCTCTCTATCATACTCGCATTCGCACCTGTGGAGGAATCTCGGCATCGTCTGGGCGTGGTGGGCTCTCTTTGCCGCCCTGACAGTATGGTTCACGAATCGCTGGAAGCCCTCTTCAGGAGGAGGGGTGCTGCTTGTGCCGAGAGAGCGCAAGGCGCACGGCAAGCTCATCGTCGCCAATGACGAGGAATCTCAACTCAAGGAGAAAGAGATGGGGGCCGCCAGCACCAGCACCAGCAGCGCCAGCTCTGTGACACCTGGTGAGAAACAGACCGAGGAGACCGGAAGCAGGGAAGAACCCGCCGGTTTGATGAGAAACACGTCGATCTTCACGTGGCGCAACCTGTCCTACACCGTCAAGACCCCGTCTGGCGACCTGCAACTCCTGGACAACGTGCAGGGCTGGATCAAGCCCGGGACGCTGGGTGCGCTGATGGGGTCTTCGGGCGCGGGCAAGACCACGCTCATGGACGTCCTGGCCCAGCGCAAGACCGAGGGCACCATTCGCGGCAGCATCCTGGTCGACGGCCGAGAACTGCCCGTCTCCTTCCAGCGGTCCGCGGGCTACTGCGAGCAGCTCGACGTCCACGAAGCGTACGCCACCGTGCGCGAGGCCCTAGAGTTTTCGGCCCTGCTTCGCCAGCCCCGCGACGTCCCCCGCGAGGAGAAGCTGCGCTATGTCGACACGGTCATCGACCTGCTCGAGCTGCGCGACATGGAACACTCGCTGATCGGCAAGGTCGGGGCGGGCCTGTCGGTCGAGCAGCGCAAGCGCCTGACCATCGGGGTCGAGCTGGTGGCGAAGCCGCGCATCCTCATCTTCCTCGACGAGCCCACCTCGGGCCTGGACGGCCAGGCGGCCTTCAACACGCTGCGCTTCCTCAAGAAGCTGGCCGCCGCGGGCCAGGCGGTGCTGTGCACCATCCACCAGCCCTCGGCGCAGCTGTTCGCGCAGTTCGACACCCTCCTGCTCCTCGCGCGCGGGGGCAAGACGGTCTACTTTGGCGAGATCGGGGACAACGCCGCCACCATCAAGGACTACTTTGGCCGCCACGGCGCGCCGTGCCCGGCGGACGCGAACCCGGCGGAGCACATGATCAACGTCGTCTCCGGGGCCCTGTCCATGGGCCGAGACTGGAACCAGGTGTGGCTGGAATCCGTGGAGCACGCCGCGGTGGGCGAGGAGCTCGACCGCATGGTCGCCGACGCCGCCGCAAAGCCCGTCGCGGACACCGTCGACGACGGGCACGAGTTTGCCGCGCCCATGTGGGAGCAGACGAAGCTGGTCACGCAGCGCATGAACGTCTCGCTGTACCGCAACACCGACTACATCAACAATAAATTCGCGCTGCACATCGGGTCGGCGTTGTTCAACGGCTTCACGTTCTGGATGATTGGCGATTCCGTCGCCGACCTCCAGCTCACGCTGTTCGTGCAGTTCAACTTTGTGTTCGTCGCCCCCGGGGTGATCGCGCAGCTGCAGCCCCTGTTCATCGAGCGCCGCGACATCTACGAGACGCGCGAGAAGAAGAGCAAGATGTACCACTGGGTGCCCTTTGTGACGGGCCTCATCGTCTCCGAGGTGCCGTACCTGGTGATCTGCGCGGTCCTGTACTACGTCTGCTACTACTACACCGCGGGCCTGCCCTCGGCCGCGAACAAGGCCGGCGCCAACTTCTTCGTGATGCTCATGTACGAGTTCCTGTACACGGGCATCGGGCAGTTCGTGGCGGCGTACGCGCCCAACGCCGTGTTCGCGTCGCTGGCCAACCCGCTCCTCATCGGCACCTTGGTCTCGTTCTGCGGCGTCATGGTGCCCTACGCCCAGATCCAGGCCTTCTGGCGGTACTGGCTCTACTGGCTGAACCCGTTCACGTACCTGATGGGCGGCCTGCTGGTGTTCCCCCTCTTCGACAAGCCCGTGGTCTGCAGGGAGTCCGAGTTCGCCCTCTTCGACACCCCCGCGGGACAGACCTGCCGCGAGTACCTCGCCGACTTCATGCAGGGCCAGAGCCCCGGCGCGAGGATGAATCTGACAAACCCGGACGCCACGCGCGAGTGCCGGGTGTGCCAATATACCAGGGGCAGCGACTACCTCTGGACGGTGAATCTGAAGGATTACTACTACGGTTGGCGAGACAATGCGATTGTCGTGATTTTCGTCATCAGCAGCTACGCCCTAGTGTACGCCTTGATGAAACTGAGGACGAAGGCGACCAAGAAGGCCGAGTAAGAAGCCATGCAAATGTATTTCACCGTGGTGAATGAATCCCAGGAGTTGTAAATCGACTGCGCGGTCAAGATGTATCTACAAGTGGCTAGAAGGAGGGCATCATAATCTTTGTGGACATCGAAGAACACCATGGGAAAATGGTGTAGTTTCAGAAAGTCGTTTTTTGGGGCTGGAAGTTTCAAATGCCAATGCTTGGGCGAGTATCGGATGTAGATCCCAGGGCGCTGATATAGAAATATAGACATCTTTACTCCTGAGGAGTTGGGGGAGGAAAGGCTCAGCGTCAGGGAACTCGTTGGACATGGTATACCATACTCAAATACTGTAATACTTCCCCTTGAACTTGGTAACCTGCACCAGACGGAGTGTTGACAGGTTCACGACCAACAAATAACCTATGAGGTCTATACAGAATACCATCGAACATGTACAATGATATCCAATACTTCTCGATTACCCCAGCGCATAGATACCTCGCTCTTTTAACATCAGATGCTGCCTATACCAGGCCCTGACAAGCACAACATAGTGCCCAAAAAGGTGATAGACAGCATCCGAGGTTGCTTCAGAGGTTGCCACCAGGTGATGCTCTCATAACGACCACTGGAAGGGGATATGGAATAGATTATGTCCCGAAGCGTGGATGAGGCCGAGGTATCCAATAGTGCAGGATACAGTAATCGCTTCGATGTCGCCCTCCAGGACTCCGGCCTCAGTGCAGCCTTGTCTGTATCGGGGATCCGCGAGATTTCTCAAGCGTACCGAAGGAAGTGTTAGCACCCGGTGAGGCGTGCACCAAGCGGTTTTGTCTCTGCTTGGGCATGGCACGTCGTACTCTGATTGATGCTTTGGAGCCCGACATGAATGATTCTCATCCAAATCACAGCCATCGTCACCGACATCATCCGACGTGACCTTTCCGGTGCCGTAATCAGGGCTGCCAAGTAGGTTTGGAAATGCCTCCTGTCTCATTGTTCGCGTCGCTTTTCCCAATCTAGTATCTCGTGTTTTAACTTGCCGAGGTGATTGTAAGATAGAAGTGATGGTGGTTTGTGGCGGGTGAAGGCGTCGATGCTCAGAACGGCACTGTTATTTTGACGTGAGAAACGCGGTGGCCACAGTGGCGCACCGTCGCTTCCTCGTACACCCGACGGATTGGGTGGTAGACCTCCTTGATATCAGAAATGGACCACTTCATACGGTGAACATTGCCCTTCTCTCTGGCTTGCCTTTATCGCTGTGATCCCTCTGCTCTCACACGACTTTGACGCTTTCCACCTCGCTGTCTGGCACGGTCTTGACCCATTTCAAAAAATAACTCACGTCCTTGGATATCATACCAGGCAAGCTCATCTTCTGCATCCACATTGGCAGATTACCCTTCGCATCACTTGCAGTTGCCATGATCCATTCCACCTCATTCCAGTTTTTACCCACATTGACATCTCCCTTCTTCCGCCGGACGATTTCTATAGCGGTGTAAACGCCCAGCACGACGGACTTCCGTTGCTGCGAGGTCTTGCCGTCGCGGGTGTTGCGGCCAGAGGAATAAATGGCATCGTGTACGCTTGTGCCCAAGGTAACAGGAACAGTGACGGCGAGGAACTCATCTGCGCTGATGCTAGCTGTGGCGACGAGGACTGGAAAACAGCGGGGACTTGTCGGTGGTGGGGTTGCGTGACACATTTCGTAGACAGCTATTGTCACGCATGAATATTTCTGACCCGATTTCCCCAGCACCTTCTCCTGAGATTCAAGATCTTTAACCTCCTCGTTCCACGTACATACGCAATGCGCATCGTAGAGAGTGGGCGTGAAATCCTCCTCGTGTTTGGAATGATTGTCGCGCAGGCCGAAGATGAATTCCTTCCAACTTGCGTTTCCTGGCGACGAAGTGTCTTTCGAGGAAATGTCCTTGTGGATTGATTTGCGAGCACACCAATGTTCGCCAGCACTTAGAACCCTGGGTGGCGGCTTACTTCGCCCAGGCCTAGTGTAAGTGTCTCCCTGTCCTGCGTCCTGCCCTAGTTGCGCTGGATTCGCGTTGGCGGTTGTGTTCTTAGAGGCGCCCCAATCAACGATATCTTCCAACTCTTTGGCTGCGACGGAGTAGGTGAGCGCCTCGACCTTGGCTTCACTGGGAGGCGCGGACTTGACAGAGTGGTGTTTAAAGTTGGCGGAAAAGCTGGCCGGCGAAAGGAAATCGGCACCATCGTCTAGTAGAGTCAGCAGGAAGGGGAGGAGGTTTGGGCGGCTGCTGTCCGCGCAAGGGAGCGCTGGGTGTTCTGGGAGCTCGCCCAGTCGGAGGGGGGCGAGTCGGATGAGGTTGCTTTGAGTTGTGTTGGTAGCCATTCTCAATGTCGCGTCGGGGGCTTCAACCCGCGGGTCTATGGATGTGCGTGGATTTGGGGATTGGAGGCAGTCCTGAGCTGCGGATCTTGAATCTTATGAGCACTTGGGTGAAACTGGCAAGCGAGTCAAGCAAAGACTGATGGTTTCCATGTTGGCGCTCGTACAGCTGGCGACATCACCTGGAACACGACGTGCATACGCCATCACGTCGTTGGCGCGCATACGCCGGGTCGCCGTTTCATATTTGGATCGTCGTCATCATCAACGGGCATGACTCGGGTGCCATCCCTGCCGTGTGTACAACGAATCATGCAAGGCTGAGGCGCGACCGCCACCACTGCTGCAACATGACGCCTAATATGTCAATTGCTCAATGCTCTGCCATCTAGAATGCTAACGCTCCCAGCCTAGGCTTCTAGCAGGGCTTTCGCCTCGCATTGTAAACATACTCCAATCAACCCATTACATTTCATCTCGTAATGTTGCACAATTTCATGCCTTTTTAGGGGGACTGGGCTCCGGCTCATCAGCCGCCTCAACCCGGACCAGGACTTCCTCCAAGAAACCCTCCAGGAACTCTGTGACTCCGCCTCCCATGCCAACAGGGAATTCTTCGTCGCACTTCTGAATCTCATGGAACACACCCGCCACTTTAGCAGCAAGCTTGCGAACCTTCTCGTGCGTTTGTACTCTCTGCTGGTGCAGTTCGGTGGCCGCAGAGGAGCTCAACTTGCTTGTTCGGGCTAGCTCTTTCAACATATACGTCCGACGGTGCATTGCTGCTTCAAGAGCCGGAATCAGGACTGAATTGAGAGCGGTGAGCTCCTGATTCGGGTCTGGCTTCGGTGTCTGTGCAGGTGTGCTGCTTGCGCTATTTGTTGTTTGAGAAACGTTGGTCTTTGTAGTGAGCGGCGGCAATGGCTGCTGGTTGGAAATCGATGCAGGGCCCATTGCCAGTTGATTGGAGAGCATGGATGAGGAGGATGGAAGCGGCTGTTGGCTGACGGGTCTGGAAGATGTAGATTGTTGAGACTTCTGGACTGGATCACCACGTCCTGGCTTTCCCTTAAATGGCGGGATCTCAGGGATGATCATTTGGGGCTTCTTTCCTGGAGGAGTCTGGCCTTGAGATGGCGGTGACTTTGGACTATGCTCGGCGTCAATCTTTAAGAACCCCATATCTTTGGCCAGTTGAGCCTGAAATGCTTTGTTGTATTCATTCGACCCAGGACTCTCTTTGTGCGGGGGCAAAGGTGGGTTTTGAGTCGCTACTCGAGCAGCTGGCGTTTTTGGGGGAGCAGAAGGGACAGAAATCGCGGATGGAGCCCTATTCTCGTGGGGTGCTGAGGCTGTCGCTTTCATGGGCGATGGGGGTAGTGGCACCTTTGCAGGAGTGGGAAAGGCAGCTTTGACAGGCGATTTCTGAGGCGATGAAGGGACTTTGACCGTCTCATCCCAATCTGATATGCTCTTCGCAGGGGCGGCAGGATCTGCAGAAGCTCTTGCGTTGGTGGCAGAGTCGTTCATCGGCCGAAGTCCTGGCCCACGGCCTCCGACGGGTCGGACAGTACCGAAATCCCATAGATCCTCATCCTCCGGTTGATGAGTCGCTGCCCTTACAGGTTCTTCGTCTTCTTCCTCATCGTCGGATGCACGGTTGCCGCGAGTTGCCATGTATCTTTCATTCCGCTCAATGAGCTCAGTCAAGTAGGTCGTCTTCTTTGCTTTCTTGACAAACGGGTGCTTCAGCAGCTCTTTAGCGGAGGGTCGTTCTCTTGGATCCCGGCGGAGACAGAGCTCGACAAAGTCCTTGAATGTCCGAGAGAAGTTTCCATGTAAAGTCGGTGGAGGATTTTTCGGTATGAGAAAGAGAACCTTCATAGGATGGATGTCAGCGTAGGGCGGTTCCCCTTGAGCCAGTTCGATGGCTGTAATACCGAGAGACCAGATATCCGCTTTGTGATCATAGCCAGATTGCTTGATGACCTCAGGTGCCATCCAGAAGGGAGTACCCACAAAGGTATTCTTCTTGGTCATCGTGGCTGAGAGTTGTCCTGATACACCAAAATCCGCGAGTTTGACCTGTCCGTTTTGGCCTAGTAGTACGTTGGCGGCCTTGATGTCCCGGTGCAACTTCTTGTCGGAATGCAAATAGTCCAGGCCCATCAGCAGTTCTCGAATGATGATGCAGATGTAGTCTTCGTGGATCAGGCCTGGTCTCATCAGGTCTGAGCAACTGCCGCCCGAGCAAAACTCCATGATGATCCATAGGTCCGAGCCTTTCAGATATGAGCCGTGGTACTTGGTCACGTATGGCGACTGCAATTCCGAAAGTATCGATATCTCTTGTATGATGTCTTCAACTTCATCTTCGGCGTTTTCCACATCTATCACCTTGATAGCCACTGCTTGACCTGTGCGCTTGTCCACTCCTTTGTACACTTTTCCAAAGCTTCCCCCTCCGATGCAGCTTTGCTTGGTATAGAGTTCCTCAGGGTCCATTTTGTCTTCTGCTTGTGACCAGGCCTACACTTCGTGAGACGCTCGGGTGAGTGTTGTGGAATCGCGTAGATCTCGACGGTGGACTGTGTTACTATCGCGGGCGGAATGTCAAAGTGGAATGCGCGAGTGTGAGGGCGGTCAATTGATCGTAGAGTCGTTTCAATTCGAAGATTGGAGCCGAGCGCAAAAGACCTGCGATCCCGCCCCAAATGCCGACGCAGTCTCGAGTCTTGGGCGAAGATGCACTGTCAATTCCTCAGTGCGCATTGGGCAGGTGCTATTGTCGGCGTCCGCCTCCCCTCCGTCACGGGTCGTTTGTCTTCGTCATGAGAATTCGTGAAATCGTCACTCATGTCAATTCATAGGGATGTAGGTGTTGCCCAGTCACTCGCATGGAGTGAGCAGTGCTGGTGGTGAAGATGAAACACTCGATGGCTAGCTTGTTTACGGCCTTCCTTTCTGGGTGACCCTATACCAACTCCCATTGGCTATCCTCGTCACATTACGAATTTTACTACGACAGCCACTGAAGATGGACGTTACAAGGATCTTGGAAACACTTTCACGATCTGTTCCGTCTTCTCATTTCATCTTGCGGATTGTAGATTACAAGCTCAGCCGCCTCGTTCCCAAGCACCTCCATGCACCAAACCCATGCCAGGGTCACGGTCGGTGGTATCATCAAGTAGCAGCAAGATTGATAACGCCTTGCAATGCCTGTCTACGAGTGCTTCCGAGTCCACCAGTCTCGTCATTACTCCAAGTATTCCACCATGACCGTTCCGTTTTTCAGACCTGCACCTTCGATCGACTCGTGTCGGACATCCATGAGGTTCTTGCCCATTGACACGAGGTCAAATGCTGTTCCTTCCTTGCCCTCAAGCGGTTCCGCCTTGAGATACTCATAGATCCGCTGCACAGGATCTTGTTCTGCAAACCGTCGAACAACGCGACCGCCTGGGTGTCTAATTTGTACTCGCGTCACGCCTGGTCCGGCGGGTGGCTCTGTGTGAGGGCGGTCGGACGGGATTTGGGCAAATGCAGTCGACTCCGCTGTTTCTTCTGCGCCGTTCTGGTCAATGTCCATTGCACTGGCAATTTCTGGCATTTCTGCGCCTCGGACATCTCCAACGCTTCGCGTGAGATCGTCAGGATCTTCTGCCGGCGGGGTTCTGTGCTCTTGATTTTGGGTAGCCAGACTAGCCTGCAGCGCCCGTTCCAGCATCTCCTCTTCGGTGAGTTGATCAACAGGTTTCTCTTTTTTGGCCTCAGACTTGCGCTTGGCTACAGGATTTCGGGCGTTGTTGTCGAGGCTGTATCGATCCAGGAATTCGTGCAGTTGCATGAGAAATTCAGGTGGTGAGGGAACCTTGCGCGACCAGAGTTTGATTTGTTCCCCTGTTCGTGGATCGACGATGGCGACATGAGGGTATTCACTCTGCACCTCGTAGCTTGGAAAGTAATATTGGATGTATTGCGAAGCCCTCGGATCGTCCCTGTTGTATTGCAGAAAGATGAAATTCTCCTTGACCGTTTCCACAATACCTTCGTTCTTCCAAATATCGCGATTCAAGGCCTGGCAGTCAAAGATTGAAGGGTCCTGGATATCTACCAGTAACCATTTCTTGTGTTCCTTACCCTCATCTCTTGCGCCCTCCCAATTTCCCTTGTACATTAGATCCCAAGGGGGTTGAAAGAGCCTGGCAAGCCGATTTGACCTCGCAGAGGCCTCTGATGCTCCCCCAGTGGACTCTGCAAGAGCGTCTGGGCGACTCGCGTTGATCACTTCTTGGTCCCAGATGGAAGTCGGCTGTTGTTGATTGAAAATTCCCGCCCGTGCTGCTCTAATATTAGTCACAAGCAGCGGCCAAAGGCACCCAAGGGCACCCACCTTGTAATCTCCTTCTTTCAAGGGCTCGCATGCGCTCTTCCACGATCGAGGAATATGAACTAGCGGTCATGGGGGTGACGTTTGATCCTGGTCCCACCAAAGTCTCTGCCTGTCGGGCAATGGGAGCCCGCACGATATCCTCCATGGCGCCTTCACCGTACATCTCATTCTGCAATCGCCGTGCCATAGCCTCGTCATCCTCGTAATCTGTCTCTCGTGCAGTTCCCGAAGAAGTATCTCTGTGTGGAATCTTCCGAAAACCAGTAATTTCCGGATCATTGTCGTCGGAGATATTATCTTCGGCATCGGCGTCGATGGGGTTCAGCGGTCCGCCAGGCATGCGGTTATCGGAGGAAGGTGGTGGAGGTGGAGGAGGGCGAGAGGAATTACCTGCCAGGTCGGCACCGCCATTTTCGAAGAATAGCTGGACTGCTTGATTGGGATCTCCGTCCGCAAGCTGTACATATTGCGAGGCCAGTTCTGGGGTTGTCCCACAGACGGAGACGACAGTGGCGATGGCTTCATCCATAGTGAAGGAGAAGGGACAGTGCTCGGGAGGCGAATGGCTTGATGGTTTGGGTTGGTGGGATGAAGTTTAGACGACCCCTGCAAGAGCCTTTAGGGGATGATGGTAATCATGAAGAGGATCAAAGTCGGATTATTGCAGGAAACAATGGAGAAGCAAATAGCAGGAAGAGGTAGAAGATGCCATGTGTCAAACAGTAGACTGGCAGTCACCGCAGTTAGTGGTGATGGGGGGGTTTGTTATGAGGCGAGGCAGGCGCAAGACGAGGCACAGCGCACAAGGCGGCGGCGTTATGACGAAAAGGGCCGGCGTCACAGCCCGAGACCAGGTGAACAACCCCATGTGCACGGGGAGGGAGACAAACCTGCCAAGGAATGTCAGCGCCTGGCGGGGGATTTCAAATGACATGAACGTCAGAAGAATGAATAGGGCGGACCATAGAGCATAAAACTGCGCGACAAGCAAGAGATGGATGGTAGTCACGTGTCTGTGCTGCGCTCGAGCTAGTGGTGGTACGCTCCTTCCCCCTCGAAACGCGGTCGCGTCGAATCTTGGCAGGCGCGACTGGTCGCTCGCGGTGCGGCTGGGATGCATGACTCGCGACTGCCACTTCTTGAGTCGTGTCCCTCGCGCCTTCCACAGCTTCAACCTTCTCCAACTCCAACCCATCAAAAGCAGCGACGACCACCTCAAATGGCTGCTACAGTGCTGGGAAAGCGTTCTCGACGAGTTCTGGATGAACAAGGTCCGTCTCAATGATCCTGCTTCTGGACTTTGGTGAAAGCTGCTAACAGGATGCGTCGGCAGATGGCTCAGATACACTTCCCATCCCAAAGAGACGAACGCGACGCTCTGCACCCGAGATATATCAAGATGCAACAGAGAACAATGTGTTGGGGAAACAGAATACACGTCGTGTTGGAGCTCGTAACGGACGAAAGAACGATACTGTACAAGACAGTCCTGTACAGAACCAAACGACCACAACCAAACTCATTGGAGATTCCAACCTTCCCACAGACGAAAATCTACCGCCATCGATTCTGTCGACTCCCACCACTGCCCGCTTCAAGGATGTCCTTGCTGTATCTGCCCCCAGCACACCCAAGCACCGTGTACGACTTGCTGGCAGACTTCTCACCCCTCAGTCGTCGCGTTCATCCACACCAGCGAGATCACAAAATGTATACTCGCGTGCTCGACAGTTATTCACTCAAGCCAGCAATGGAAAGATCATTGGTCGCGAGGCTGAACGGCGCCAATTGACCAACTTTATTTCCAATGCTATCGAGACTCGAATTGGAGGCTGCACATATGTTAGTGGACCACCCGGCACCGGCAAGAGTGCCTTGGTCCAGGAGATCATGCAAGAATTCCAGGCGGCTCCCGTCACGGCCACCACGATCAATTGCGTGTCTCTGAAGTCTTCCGGCGACGTCCTCGCGCGTCTGATCGAAGAGTTTTGTCCTGGCAAGGGCAGCTCAAAATCATCCAAAGCTGCCCTGGCGAAATTGTTCACGACAAAGAGAGTCAATCCCGAAATGCGTCTCGTTTTGCTTGATGAGATCGACACGCTTCTCGGAGGGGACTGCGAGGTGTTGTACAGCATCTTTGAATGGGCCATGCATCCCTCCTCCACCCTCATCTTGATCGGAATTGCCAATGCTCTGGACCTGACTGATCGCTTCCTGCCTCGTCTGAAGCTGAGGAATGTCAAGCCCCAATTGCTACCATTCCTTCCATGTTCGGCCCAGCAGATCTCTGCCATCATCTCGGACAAGCTACGCTCCCTCATAGCCAATGGACCCACGACCTGTGCTGACTTCATCCCTCTCATGCATCCGGCGGCGATACAGTTGGCGGGCAAAAAGATATCTTCCCAGACGGGGGATCTACGAAAAGCTTTTAGTCTAGTTCGCCGCGCCCTCGACCAGGCTGAGCAAGAAACGCTCTTGAAGTTGAGTCAAGAGCAGAGCGTGACTCCAACGAAGCAACCGCTCCAAGAAATATCAAATGTGTCCTCCGGTCAAGATGTCCCATCTGCTGTCAGGATAGACCACCGCTCGGTCCTCAATCATCTTACCTGGGAGACGGCGCCTCGAGTGTCTATTTCACACGTGGCCAAGATCGCCGCGACCATTTTCAACAACGGCACACTTTCTCGCCTGAGCGGCTTGAATCTGCAGCAAAAAGCTGTTCTGTGCTCATTGGTGGCGTCCGAAACCCGCCGATACCGCCGCGATCCTTACACCACACCGTCCAAATCAGGATCCAGACTACCGACGATAAAGAATTTGTTTGAAAAATATGCTCAGTTGTGTAAGCGGGATGACGGACTGTTGCAGCCGCTTAAAAACACCGAGTTTCGAGACGTTGTTGCTAGCCTCGAAACCTTGGGTTTGGTGCAAGAGGCGTCTGGGCGAACGTCTGGGCTGCTGACACCCACAAATACACCGTCTCGCAGTGGGCGAGCGGCGGATGATAAACAGGTGGTAAGCGCCGTGTCTGAAAAGGAGATGCGAGATAGCCTGACGGGGCCGGGGTCTGATCTGTTGTTAAGGCTACTTGAAGAATAAGAATTGGGAAGTAATCAACTTCTCTGTTTGGATTTTGCATAGCACAGGAATGGATTTTTGCATGAAGCGAAGGAGCCTTTGTCTTGGATTTTGTTCTAGGCTGCTTACTCGTACTCGACTGGCGACGCCGGCCTCTTGGAATTGGGGCGGGCTTGGAGCTGTCTGGAGTAAAGGAAATGAAGACCTACCCAGCTAATCGTATCTCGAACTTCTCCTCATTCGTTATGCGAGCGAAGGGAACAAACCTTGATGTTTTCCCATGGCGTTATACAGCTTGAAAATGATGTCAGTGAATGCACTCGATTGCGCGTCCCCTTCAACCCGGATCATTTCCCTGCATACGAGGCAGAGTCGGGAAGTTGATCGTCGGCTGGGTGGCCAAGCTTTTGCTTAAGCTTCTGGGCTGGTGGCCATGTTTTTTGCTCGACGTCCAGTTGGGTGCCTGGGGGGTGTGCCCGAGGGGTGTGCCTGGGGGTTACTTAGAGGTGCCAATTAGTGCCATCCTCCCACCTAAGGGTCTCCGGAGGAACCAGGAGCCCATAGCCAGCCTGTGTTGCATCGCAGTCCGCAGCCCCAAACAATCCATTGGAGGAGGCCTGCGTCAGCGTGCGCCATCGCTCATCATCCCATCCTCCCTTCCTCCCATCATCACCCATCATCCTCCCAGAACGACCCTAACAGCGCGTGGTGGGGGCTTCACGACCATCACCCCATGCTGAGCTGATCCATGCGCCCTCAAATCTTCCTTCGCCGCATCCAAGATTCCTGAACTATCCTCCGCAATTGCTGGCTCCAGAGCTGCGCCCATTCTCTCACCACGATTCTACCTGACTGTTCAAGTATATCTAATCGTACTCATTCCCTCCCAGGTATGCGCGCGAGCGTCGACTTTGGTCACATACAATAATCAGCATACGTTGACACAGACAACCCCGACAACACCCCTCCGCGTCCTCAATGGCCGAAAGCGACCCCAACACACCCGCCCTGCGCAAAGATGGAGTACTTTCCCAAGCAGACAAACTAGGACCTAAGCTGGTCGATAAGTCAGAGAAGTTGGAGGGGAAATATCGCGGAGCCACTGGAACCGAATCCTCCGAGAAGAAAGAGAAGAAAGGCCCTGCCGGCGGGTTCGATGACACGCCTCTACCGAAGGCACCACCAGGATATACCGTCAAGATTACATTCCACAGGGCCGAGAATCTACCATTTTCCGACTTTGGCACCCTCTCCTCAGATCCCTATGTGCTAGCGGTGCTCCGCACAGAGTTGCCCAAAAGGCACAAACAAGATCCCGATCTCAAGCTGAGGACGCCCACCATCCATCGCAACACAGACCCAGAATGGGAGACCGAGTGGATTGTTGGCAATGTCCCAGCTAGCGGGTTCCATCTGAAGTGCAGATTGTATGACGAAGATCCGTCGGATTACGATGATCGACTGGGAAATGTCCACATTGATGTTCCCCACGTCGACGAGAACTGGAAGGGATTCTCACACCAAAAGTTCCAATTGAAGAAGCGCATGGGGAGCAAAAGAGCATACACCTTCCGCGGATGCGCCGCCTTGGTCTCGCGAAAAGTCAAAATGAACGGAAGCCTCATTGTCAGCGTGGAGAATCTCGGCAGGACAGATGCAGAGGACGGAGGTCGCATATATACAATCGGTCCTTTGCCCTGGAGTCGACATTACTCGCCTTTGATCGGGCGGATAGCGGGAACCAAGGATACTGAACAAGGCAAAGATGGAAAGGAGGTTCAGAAATATAAGTACGTCTTCGCGTCGACTGGCTTGCAAATAGCCACCCACTACTAACCACTCGTCCAGTTTCCAATCCGTGCAGATGCAGTTGCGTGGACCTGTCCCGGCAGATCTCTATCATCGATATGTCGAATTCAGGCCCTTTGTGTCCGGCATGTTTACTGCCCATACTATCCGTGGCCGCCTGCTCAACCGAGCTTTGCACCATCAACACGCTCGAATCTACAACTACGACAAAACCACCAAGTATGGTGTCTTTCAAGAGCCCTGCCCCGAGATGACCGAACTGTTTCTCGACATGGTACACTATGACGAAGGGGGTCGCATCTTCACATACGTCTTGACCCTGGATGGCCAACTACGCTTCACGGAAACCGGAAAGGAATTTGGGATTGATTTACTGAGCAAACACACCATGCATAGTGATGTGAGCATCTACATCGCATTCAGTGGCGAGTTTTTCATCCGCAGAATCAGACACGCAAAGGCACACAGGAACGATGACAGCGTCCATCCAAACGAAGACACGCACCCTCCCGCGACTCCGCCGGGTGAGGAAAGGGACAACATCGGCACTAGCAGCAGCGGCGGCGGGAGCTCCAGCCACGGGAATGACGCACGGCCTCTGACAAACGGCACGGCCACCTCGGAGGGCAGGGAGCCCTGGCACTACGAACTCATCATTGACAATGACTCGGGCACGTATCGACCCAACGCGGCCAAACTCCCCATCCTTCACAGCTACCTCTCTGAAAACTTCCCCGGCCTCAAGGTTCGAACCCTCGACTGCCAGGCCGACGCGGAGCTGCAGCAGAAGCTGAAATCGGAACAGCGGGAAAAGAAGAAGCAATCCCGCGGCGGCAAACAGGTCATGTACCTGCAGAATATGAGTTTGAGCAGTCTGAGCTCGAGCGATGAGGAAGATCTAGCCACTCGAGCCGCTGCGGGAGGCGACGGTCAAATCCACGAGAGCAGATATAAGAGGGAGATGCACAAGTTTATGGACGGTGGCCGGGATGAGCATCATGGTGACGACGACGTGGAGCAGAGGCTAGCGATGCCTGTTGAACGCGAGACGCAGGAGAAAATCAACGGCAATTTTGAAACCCGGACAGATGGTGCAATTGATGCAGAAAAGGGTAAAGAGAAGGATGTGCCTCCGAATGAACCGGCCGCAGCTGGAGCGGAGAAGTGAGTAATAAGAAGCAGCAACGACACACCACCAACAACCATAACAAGAGTTTTGTCGGGTTCCAGGGAGGGGGCAACATGTTTCTGTGCTTGTGTTTATTTTCTGCTTTGGAGGTTCTTTGAGTGAGCGAGCAAGCGAAGGAATGGGTCGGGTCGGGTCTGTCTGGTCTGTCAGAGAGTATCTCATGGCTCGGTGTGGCTAGGATGAACGCAGGGCAGGCCGTGTTCTTGAACCAGGACTCTGAGCTCCTGGCGTAATCTTGTCAAACGGTTTGCTGGCTGCTGGCTACTGTTTGCGATGCGATGCGATGCGATGCTATATTGCGATACCCTTTTTCCTTTCTTGCTATCCCCCAAAAAGGAAGGTCAGCTACGTCTTTGCGCGTGGTCGTGGTGACGGTCGTGGTGGATATATATTGTTGTCGGCCACTGGGCACTTCTTCTACCTCGATGTTTCGGAGGGGTTGGTTAATTACTCCATCGCCGACGGCTTTCTGATAATGTAATGGCATTCAAACCCACCTATCGACTCGGTCATTCATATACTTATGTGCCAGGAAGGGAAAGGAGAGAATTGTCACCTTTCGAGATTGGGTACTTGCGTATGGGCTTGGGAGAGGGGACTGTACCGAGTACAGGGTAGGTTCTGTCGGTACTGTCGGTACTGTAGCTGTCTGCAGGGTCATATTGTCGTAGTAATAGTGGTTGTCAAGTGGGTTACAGTGTAGGTACATGGCGCTCAAACGATGGAGATCTCTAAAGGAGGAGTCATTGTCGATTCACCTCGCGCACCGGCATTCGGGCCTGGGACTTCAAGGAGAAGGAGAAGGAGAAGGAGAAACAACCGACATGAGTTACATGATACGTTGTTGATTCAACACAATCTCTCTGATCTTTTGCCTGGTAGAGAACAATCTAAGAGGGCATTTTCACCATCTCGTCATCTGAAATCCCGTCCGTTCCAACTTTTGATTTGAATTTCCTTGCGTCAAGTCACATACATGTCGTGATCCGACTCTGAAACGCGAGTGTTATTTGGTCCGATTGCTGTCGTCCGCCCGCCGACCGATCGTGGACAAGGCCAGTTTTGTCGGCAGTGGGCGAAGTCGGAGACGGGAGGAGGCCAACGTCGCTTCAGAAAGTCCAGACCTCGACTCCAGGTGGTGACTTGTTTGTCCAAAGAAGAAGCCTCCCAAACACCTTGCTTGTCCCGAAGAACTGACTGTTACCTGCCACCCTCTGCTGCCACAGCGCTCTCTCTCTCGCACTGCTTTGTCTGCAACATCCATCAACAGTTCGCATCTCAACCCACCCGAGGCGAACATTGTTAACTCTCCTGCCTCCGTTTCGCCTCCAGGTCTTCCAGCACCTTGCCCGTGGCGTCGACAATAAGCTTCCATTCCGTTTGATGTATCCTCTCCTCCAGCTCACTTTGCGGCTCTCCGGCTTTTATCTCGATCTCCCTCACCAGGACGGGGGCGCCCCGGTCCACTTCGGCGGTCACATAGTGGACCATGACTCCCGTACCAGAAATTTCCCCCCTTTGAAAGGCCTCGTAGGCACGCCCGATGGCGTTTGCCCCGTCAAACTGGCCCGGCAACGCGGGATGGAGGTTGATGATGGGCACATTCGCCGAGGCCAGGGCGTTGATGAACACTGGCGACAGGATATGCATGAAGCCTGCACAGACTACCAGGTCCGGGCAAGGAATATGCGTGAGGATCTTCTGGGCCAGATCCGTGTCGTACTGATTCCGGGCAGCTGTGACCCCGGCCTCGGTGTCTGGGAATTTCTTCTTGTACGACAGCAGGTTGTGATATGTCACCGGGATGTGAGCGTCTTGAGCACGAGCAATGCCCTTCGCTTCACGACGGTTGCATATCACATGTGATATTTCGGCATTTGGAAGAAACTGTCGGGAAGCTGGTTTGGATCTGGTAGGAGGACCAAGAGGATCTTGGCCGCAGGCGTTGATCAGGGCTTGTAGATTGGTCCCTGAGCCAGAGATGAGGACGGTCAGGCTAAACGATGTCGAAGTGCTGTAGGTTCGGGACTTGTCGGTGGATATCGATCTCGAGGCCATTTTGAACAATGGCCAGAAGTGAAGTCTCGGAAGTTCGACGCGAGGGAGATAAGGTAGCAAGCGATAGAAGCTCAACAGCTCGGTGAAAAGAGAGCCAAGAGTTGCTGAGGCCAAGATTCAGCTGATTCCCATCTCAGAGCGATCCCTCTCCAGGTGAGCAGGAGGATAGAAGAGCACAGGAAGGACGGAGCCGCGACATTTGAACTTGCGACAGAGGGACTCGAGCCAGGAATGGGTTTGAAAATGCGACAACCCGGTCGTTAGTGGTGGAGGGGCTTGGTAACTTCAGTTTGACTGCGGGAGCAGCCCAGGGAAAAAGCAACTAGCCGCGTCCCAACCACTAAGGACCTGCATTGGCGTGCCTGGCAGGCCTTAGGGGCCATCCACGGAGCCACCCAGGGGGTGTCGTAAGGTTGCGTAGCCCCCAAACAAGCGACGGGGATCGAAATCTCGGGGGACGTGGCATGCGCCTATGCGGTCCATCAGGGCCTAGGACCTGCCGGAGTCAGCCACCGAGCCCTCCGCCCTCAAGCTACCTGCGACTTGTGTCTGCAAGTTCCCCTCCTCACCGTCACACCACTGGCGCTGCTGCATGCCTCTGCGCGCGCAGTGTGTCATTGTGTTTCTCCGATCTCGAAGCGACGAAACCTCCTCTGTGAACCACTCCTCTCGCGGGAAAAGTCCCATCGGCCAAGAGCAAAGGGAAAGCAGTGCGAGCAGACCTACACTTTGTGTTGGAACGAACCTTTGCGGGAAGCGGCAGGCCCCCTCCCTACTATCCCTCAGTCTGATCGACAGACCGATTTCCACCATCGGGCTTGGATCTCCCGTCCTGCTGTCTGAGAAGATCTTCCTCCGGGTTTGCCAGCCCACGCAGCAAACATCTTTGGGCGCGGATGCAAGAGAACAAATCCCGGGAGGAGCCCCTCCACAACTGCCAGAACGATGTCGGTAAGATCGGCATTTGTTGGAGGGCCAGCTGAATACACAAATGTGTCTCTAGCGCAGGAAGCGTCATGCTTAGCCGTGTGCTTCGCCTCGCTGGCTGCTCACTCGTCGACGCCCATTGGCTTCCTCCGGGGACGAACACTTCGATCTGCCAAAGTGATCACGGCCGATCGCCAATCTATCACGAACTACACGGTATTCTCAGGGAGAACGTCAGCCCCATGGACCTTGGTTCTTCGGGTCCAAACAGCCGATGCTGCCATCAGGCCCCCCTACCTACCTTTCACTGCTCGATTCCCATCTGCTTTATACGAGCTATTGAAAGGGTAGGAGCGGACTGACAGGAGCAAGATGTAGTTCTGTTGGCGATCATCCACTCGACAATCCAAGAATAAGAACCGGAAAAAGGAGAGACGTTGACCTGCTATCAGCAGATCTCCGTTCGATACAACGGCCTCTGAGAGTATACGTGGAGTGTCTTCCCCGAGCTAGTGCAGATCATTACTCTGGTTGCCGAGTGGGCGGGAGAGCAAGACTGAAAGTTTATGATTGACAGGGAAACAAGACTGGGGGGGATCATCCTCCTTCTACTCGTACAGTACGTCCTACCTGCGGGACGCAGGGATGGGCAGAGAAGAGCCACCACCAATGACAGCATCCTCTACATTGCCGATATTTGTGCCTACAAAGGGTACGGACTCAGCCTGGAACCGAGACACCTGCAAGACACATCCGAAAACATTCACAGTGTTTGTTCCCTCTATCCCTGAACTAGGATTTGTTTGTCCCTTGGGCGCTGGACGTTCCAGTTGGTTCCCACCAGGGATCCAATGCTTCTCACATATGAGCTACTGTAGGAGCTTTCATCCTGGCTCTGCCGAGCGTCACCCACGTTAAATTGGGGCCATCGATCAAACAAAGTGGATGGACTCTCGAAGTAGGTTCGCCGTCGTATGCTATACCAGTGGAAAGGGGGAAGAAATTGATCAATCACCCGAAAATTCCCTCCCCATGTGCGTATGTCACTCTCCGGCTCCAGCCCTGTGATGAGCAAAACTCCAGAAAGAATACAAGGGCGGTCGCAAACAATCGTTTTAATGGCACGTCCCCTGCCGGGAAAGCCCTATCAATACATGAAACCCCGACGGCCGCCTCCATCACCTCCTGTCGGTCTGTCTGGCTCGAACACCAATGCATTCTCTCTGTGGCATTTCACCACCGTTCTGTCCCAGTCCATTCCATGCAATGCCACGCCATGCCACGCCCTGAAACTCCGCTCCCATCGTGTACCACGCACCCACAGAATCACAGCTTGGGCCTCGCCTTGCCCAGCTTCCGGTCCTCCTCGTCGCGGAACTCCTTCTTGGCCTGCTCCTTGAGGACGCGGCGGAGGATCTTGCCGCTGACGCTCTTGGGCACGGCGTCGACGAACTTGACCCCGCCGCGCAGTTTCTTGTGGTTGGCCACCTTGGCGTTCATCCACTGCACGATCTCGGCGGCGTGCTTGTGCTGCTCTTGCTCTTGTCCCGCAGCACCACCAGAGACGAGCCCCCGGTTCTTGGGCACGATGTACGCGCGCGGCACTTCGGTGCCGAGTTCCTGCGACTCGACGCCCACTACGGCCACGTCGTCGATCAGGGGGTGCGAGGCGAGGTACCCCTCTAATTCGGCGGGGGGGACTTGGAAGCCTGCGCAGTTAGAGAGAAAGGTAAGTCAGTCTTTGGGTCATATGTCTTTGTTTAGATAGGAGGTGGGATTTCTTCCCGTGATAAAACGACAGAAGAGGAAACAAGGGGGGTGAGGGGGAAAAAAGGGAAACATAGCACTTACCCTTGTATTTGATCAGCTCCTTGACCCGGTCCGTGATGGTCAAGTTGCCCTTGTCGTCCAAGAAGCCCACGTCGCCGGTGCGGAACCAGCCATCCTCGAGACACTCGGCGGTGGCGTTGGGGTTGTTGTGATACCCACCAAAGACATTGGGACCCCGGACGTACAGCTCGCCGACCTTGCCTCGGGGCAGCTCCTTGGAGCCATCCGACTCCTCGCCGGAGCCCGGGACGGCGCAGAACTTGGCCTCGAGGTTAGGGACCATGACGCCTGTGGTTCCCACGGCGGACCACCAGTCCTCCCAGCGCTGGACGAAGATGGTGGGCGAGGTCTCGCTCAGGCCGTAGCCCTGCTTGACGCGCACGCCCTTGCGCTTGTACAGGCTCTCGACGAGCTCACGCGTGAGTGGCGCGGCGCCCGAGTTCGTCATGCGCAGCGAGCTCAGGTCGTACTTCTCCACCACCGGACTCTTGCACAGGAGCAGCACAATGGGCGGCACGATGTAGCTAAAGGTGACTTTGTGGTTCTGCACCAGCGCGCACCACTTCTCCAGCTCGAACCGCGCCATGACCAGCGTGTGCACCCCGCTGTAGATGGGGCTGAGCACCAGGCAGTTGAGCCCGTAGATGTGGAAGAAGGGTAGGCACGCCAGGATCTTGTCGCCCTGCCCGTTGGGCGGCAGCGGGATGTCGCTGCCGGGAGGCGTCTTGGACCCGTTCCAGGTCACCCACCCCTCGGCCCGGTGGATTTGTTCCACGTTGCTCGTCATGTTGAAATGTGTCAGCCTGACGCCCTTGGGTCGGCCAGTGGTGCCGGACGAGTAGACCAAGAAGGCGAGGTCGGACTTCGGATCCAGCTTGGGCGTTCGATACCGCGCCGTCCCCTCCAGGTTACGGACGAGCGTCCAGTGCTTGAATTTCCGCGACGAATCGTGCTGCTCGCCGAGCAGGATGATATGAGTCTCTGGGATGCCGACTTCGCGGGCCGCCTTGCGTGCCGTGTCGAGGGCGGATAGGTGTGTGCACAGGACTTTCGCGCCAGAGTCCTTTAGTTGGTAGGCCAGTTCGGCGACTGTGTAGCCTGGGTTTGCGGGCGAGACGACACCGCCGGCCCAGAGTGTCCCCAGGACGACAGGCGGGACATCAATGTCATTGGGGACGAAGAGGCCTAGGACGTCGGCTTTGCGGAAGTTGAAGTTGGCTTTGAGACCCTTGCCGAAGTCGATGCTGGATTGCCGCAGCGACGAAAAGGTGTATTTTCGGGCGAGGGAGTCGGCGGATTGGAATATGACTGATCAGAGGGATTCACAGGTCAGTATGGGCTTGTTCTGGTATGGTTGGTAGCCGTTGGTAGAAGGGGATGTCCATCAACAGCGTCCCATGTTCACATTATTATGCTCTCCCCAATAGCGAGGGCTTTCGAATTTGCATGGCGACCTCTTTTCATACCCAGACTTCATCCATCCTGCTCAAGACGCTGGGGAAAGATCTCCAATCTCTTCCAGCTCCTTGGGTCTTAAGAGGACAAGCTCACCAGAATCAAAAGAAGTAAAAACAACGACAAAGCTCACCATGATCATCAGGAAATTCCCGATCTTTTCTGTTGAACAAAAACGACCAGATGTCTGTGACCTGAAGGTCGACGTCCGGGAAGTCCGACTTGATAGGCATGGTTCTGTGACCTCCTGGTCGATTCAGGAAGCGGCAGTGATATTTTTTCAGAATCGAAAGTATACGTCTTGATCTCTAGAGCAGGCCGGATGTGATGCTGAATAATTTGTGCCGGAGCTGCTCTGCCGTGCAACGTTGTCTTGTTGGACACCAGTGGTAAACGAAGAGGGGAGAGTTCTCTGCGAGAAGAGTTGAGTGTGCTCGAGGAGAAGCGCAGACAACCGCAGTATCTTGGGGGTGTGTTGATAGAAAAGACCAAGAGATCTTCCAGAATGTATATCGTCCAGCACGAAGCCTCTCGCGAGCTTGCCTGGATCTGGGGTAAAAGGAAAAAGGCCGATCCAAGTCCGCAATGACCACGACAATTCAATGTGGACTCCTAGTGGCGTCTCCTTGATGAATACTTCGCACATAGCGAATCCTCTCTGGGGGTCCCGCAGTCGTCATCTGGCTTGCTGAATGGCCACTGTGGTCGCCTCTCCGTCTCGATGCGCCAGTGGCCGACATTGGCCGTATCTCGTCCCTCCCATCCGCTGAGAGAAGCCGAGGTTCGCCAAAGGGTTGCCAATCAAAGCGTCTCCGAATAGCCTTAGTGGCTTCAGGATCGGTTATTGCACACGCCGTATCGGACCCGGGACGAGCCCAATAGCGAAATTCGGAATCCAAGCTGCTTAACGTGCGTAGGTAAATAGAGATCTAGTAGACGACTGTAGATGACGGCTCCGATATTTCCCACGCTCCAGACAATCAGGTCGATCACAAGGAAGAACTTGCCTTGTCGTGCTTGTGCAGCCTTGCAGGGACCAACAGCCTCGTCTCTAACCTCGAGATGCCAAAAGATCTTTCGGATATCGAATATAGGCAGTGCTTTTTTTTTTCAGCATAAAGCCAGGCACAGAGAAAGAATATAGTATATATGTACTTGGGTAGGCTCCCATTATGTTGCTGTCGTTGGTTTGAGCCTCGACACCTTGAACACCTGTGAAATCCAACATGTCTGGGTATATCCATGTCATCTCCACATGTGTGACAGAACAGTGTCTCCCCCATATCCAAGCAATTCCACAATGACATTGCCCACGGTCGACACTGACCACAGCAAGATCAATCCTAATCCAATCTTGCGATCCATCCTCCATCCGTTCAACGGAACGACGATGAGCAAGCCCACCAAGGTCACTAACAAGGTAATTCCCGATATCATCAACGTCGTGCTCACATCGATCTCGTAGGGTTTATACTTGATTGGTTTTTGAGGGTGTTTGGCGTGCTTGTGAGTGGCGTGGGTGATGCTCATGTACATCCCTCCAATGCCAATTCCGAGCAAAATGTTCAACATGGGTCCACCAAAGCACGCCGACAGTGCCATCACAGGGTAACCTAGTTTGGCCACGGTGATATCTGCAACCAAGTCACCACACGAGTTGCCCACGGCGAAGATGGTCAATCCCAAAATAGCATCCGATATGCCCAGAATCACCCCGAAAGCTTTAAGGACGCCAACCACTTCGTTGGCGATGGTTGAGATCCATCCTATGGCCACAGCAAACCCCAAGAAGCAGAGTAATGGCCGATATTTGGGTTCGCGATCGGGTGTGGTCAATGAGAGGAGGATAAGAAGCGATACGAGCGAGAACACCAGTGATCCCAGTACCATCCGAACATAAAGCTTCGTGGTATGGTCGTCGTCCATGTTGGCCCAGGCAATTGTCACAACAAAGAACGGAGCAGTGAACACTTGGAGGAACACCAGCCATCTGTTCCATTCCTTGGGCCCACCCAACTCATCCGCTTTTGGCTGAGGGCTTTTGGTATGCTCCGACATTTGTCTGGAAATTCCGGTTCCGTGCGGATGGGGTGGTCCATCAGAAGAAGCAGACCTAGGATTAAGGCCGAACCCGTCTTGTGCGGCCTCGAGGTAGCTGGCTGATCTGCGCCGGATGCCATCAGCCGGCGTCAGGAGCTCGGGATCTGGATCCGCCGCGGTTTCTTCCTTAGGTTCGACGACCGGAAGGGTGATAGCCAGGAGAAAGACGCTGGGCGCGGTGACCACTCCCAATACCTTGTCCATGTACGACTTTTCCCGCCACCCGTAAATGGTGGGAAATAATGTCGCACATATAACCTGAGGAGCAGGCAGGTATCGGTACGGCCACCATGCAAATCTCCGCATAGGTGGTTCCTCTTCGTCTGGCAGAAGCCCTAGATGTTGTGTTGACTGCGGAGACATGCTAGGTGCTGGTAGGTGAATACTGGGAGGCCGCGAGGAAAGCGGCGTGAGGATCATTGGAGAATCCACGTATGGCGGAAAATCCTCCTGACGCAGCACTCCCTTGGAATGGTCAGGATGTGGAGTATGCAGGATCGGGACTTGCAATCTCGGTCCGGAGCGAGGCGACATCACCGGACTTCGACTGGCAGAGTGATGATCCTCATGGTAATCCGGTCGGTGGAAAGTCGTCGCAGGCGGTGCCAACAGGTTGGGCGATTTGGAAGGCTCCGAAAAAAGAGACCCCGTTTCTGGCAAGTTGTGCCCTGACGTGGACACGACAAGTTTAGGTGAAGGTGGTCTCTGCGATGATGGTTCATTGAGCGTTCTCAGAATGTGCGCGCTCGGCCGCGTGTGTTTCCCAGCAGCTGCATTTGGCGTCGAATCGCCGCTGCTAATGACATTCTCTGAGCTCCGATCAGAATGTCGGTCGCTGAGGAAGTCTGTATCGATGCGCAGATGAGTTGCATCATTCGCAGATACGGCGCGCGCACGACGTGGACTCTCAGCCTCCAAGTCTGAATAATGGGTGCTGACTAGCTCCGGTTGAGAAGCGCCGGGCGGCGCACTGACGGGCAGAGGAGAGTGGGCGGCGGATGCATCGTCGGAGTACCTCCGAAGACCAATAGGTTGTGCATGAGTAGCTTTCTTCTCCAATGAAGTCATGAGAGACCTAAATTCCAGCGCCCCTATCAAACTTGGTCGAATGGGAGTCATCGTATTCCTCCGCTCGCCTCGTGCTGGTCGGCCGACTCTCATCCTACTTTGCAGTTCAGCAAGGTATCGGTCTCGGGTTTCGTCATCCTCGTCGAGGTCTTCAACCTTCCAGGCTGGAGTTCCCGGTGTTCGTAAGGTCGGGATAGTCTCGTTTGACTGCTCGCGCAAGAGGCCAGTGCGTTCCGTAGCAGGGCGTGCTTCCTCGTCTTCCTCGATTTCAGGCACCTCCAGCTCTTGCGATTCCGGAATGTGGTGATGCAATCTCGCCGTAGTCTCAGCAAGCCTCCTCTTCCGTCGTCGGGAGAGCCACCAGTGCCAGCCAACCACAAAAAACACATAGAAAACGTAATACGCAATCATGGTGATGGATTCCCAGAGTCGCAGGCTCCCGTCCGCCAGGAACACCAAGCTGAAACTCGCCGACACGGCAAAGAATCCCACGTCCCGTACGAAACTCTTTTTGGCGACTTGAAAAGGCGCAACCAAGGCCATACTTCCCGCGACCACAGCAGTGATGAAGCCTGCTGCACCCACCAATTCTCCCACAGCCAAGCTGCCACTGTTACTGCGCATGGCCGCAAAAGTGGAAAAGACGTCGGGACTGCCGTTTCCGAAGGCCAAAAAAGTGACACCCGTCAAACTCTCGCTCATACCCAGTATATTCGCAATAGTACTCAGATTGATGCAGAGGAAGTCCGAGGCAGCAATGCCGATCGTACTGAAGAGGAGACTCATCCAGAGGACGAGGAGCAGAAACGCTAACGGTTGGGCGTCGGAGAGAGAGCAGTAGTAGAGTTGCAGGTAGGAGAGGAGGCCAGCTTCTTCGTCGGGACAATTTTGCTTGACAAAGGTACATTTGTCTTTGGCCTTGTGGACAAGTCGACACTAGGAATCGATCAAGAGTCAGTTGAGGAGCTCCATTGGAGGTAGCTTGAGAGCGCAGTCAATGTGGTACCTCAAGGTCGCGTGCTGCGAGACTGCGAGCATCAAGCCTCTGGCCATGAGAAGAATCGCCATGATTAAGGTCTCGCATGAAGCTATAACAAGCAAAGAGAGTGATGACGAGGGCAGTCAAATAGAAGGCGCGACCTCGTTGGCGGACTGGGCGCAGTCTCGGGGGACGATAGGAGGATGTCATGGCGGGCGTCGTGATTGCGCTTCCTCATGCTGGACTCGGAAGCAGGCCACGAAGAAGACGATGATGAGGATAATGCATGTATGAATGAATGCTACCAAGGATACATATGTGTACCAAGTGAAGGTGATGGCAATACCAAGGCAGAAGGCAAACGGGGACAGATGCAATCACCCAAGAGATAGAGATGCCATGGCTCTCGTCTTGTCACTCCACTAAAGATCCCACTTTGCGAGAGACCCTCGTCATGGTGCAGGCTTGTGGGCGTCGCACCGCCACAGATCACCGGCATGATGAACATTTACCCGCCTAATCCGCGCCACGGGGCTTAATGGAGGGGGGCTCTTGGGGCGCTTGGGGGACGAGCTTCTAGACTTCTAGGCGTCACCTCTGGGTAGGAGCTCACACCAACCAGCAGCCTGCAGTACCAATGCAGTAATATGATATCCGTGCGTCCTTGCCGAGGCTCATTGTCACCTCGTCCCGAAGCCTTTCTCACTCTTCCTCTTGATAGCCTCCATCTCTCCCATGTCGCTCTTTTATTCTTTCGCGCCGTGTAATTTTTTGTGATGCTGAGCTGACAGTTATTTCCCTACTTTTCCCTACCGTTTGGGCTCGCCGACCATGGCGCCTCCAACATTCGCAGATGTCCTTCCGGTTAAGCAAATCTCCTCGCATCAATATGCTGTCACCTTCGAAAATGAATGGTGTATAGGAACCGGTAGGTCGCGCGATGCACTCTCTTTCTACACCGATTGACAACGTCCTGCTTTAGTCCCCAATGGCGGTTACGTTACTTCGGCCTTCCTCATGGTTGCGCGCGCCCATATGTCTCGCACCCACCGCAATCACTCCGGATCACTCCCCATCAATTTGCACCTGGAATTTCTGCGCCGCACCTCCGTGGGGCCGGCCGTCTTCACTGTGAAAGACATCAAATTGGGTGCGCGTATCAGCAACTTACACGTCGTTCTGGCACAAAAACAAGAACACAATGATCAATGGCAGGATGAGGTGCAAGGCTATATAACCATGAGCAAGATTGCAACCGAGGAGGGCCTGAGCCTTGACACCCAGTATCAGCCCTGGCCGCCCGCTTTGCCTGTGAATCTTGAGCTTTTGGGTGCCAAAGGCCGAGACGAAAACTACATTATTCGCGCAAATGATCCCTTTCCTTCCTTCCGTCGCGCCGCACAAAATATTCAGATTTTCCTGGTCCAGCCTGATCGCCGACCACCACCGGGCCAGTCTGGTCGACCCCGAGCAATAGTGGACCAGTGGGTTCGGTTTGCGCCCAAGACGCCTTCGCTCAATCCCAGCAAGAACATCACAGGTCGCTGGACCAACGACGCTCTTGGGTTTGTGGTTGATATGTTTCCGCAAATCGTCGAGTCATATGTCAATCCTTTCGTCGAGGAGGCTGCAATCGGGCTACACAGCGAAGCCGAACTCAAGAAATTCCTGACATCAAATGAACCGCGGGCCAAGTTTTGGTATCCGACGCTCACTTTGAACTTGGACGTTAAAAAGTTATTGCCAGAGGAGGGCGTGGAGTGGTTGTTTGTGCGAGTAATGGCCAAGGCAATCAGGAATGGCCGGTTCGATTTGAATATCGAGGTTTGGGATGAAGCTGGGGAATTGGTGGCGAGCAGTACACATGCAAGCCTCATTTTGGACGCTAGTCGAAACATTACCAGAAAACCGAAGGAAAAGAAGGATGTAAAGCTATAGGACTGTGAGCAGTCGATGAGAAGTATATGGTCGGCGCCTCTGGGAATAGGAAGCCACAGATGAACCAGATATAGACATAGATTTGAAGAGAATATGGCATGCTGCCACCGTAAATGAAAAGATGAGCACTCTACAAGGTTGCCATAGATTCCAGCCCAGCTGCATAGTGTTTATATGTGCAGGTGAAACTCGCGTGGATGTGTCGTGGATATGAATGTCGCTCTTCGGCGGAATTTGACGGGCGGGGCGGGGCGGAGTGGAGCGGCTTGGCCAAGACGGATCCCATTTCGCGGCGGCTTCGGCGGTTTCCTTGTTGGCGGCGAAAGGAGCCAGGAAAGGAAGGGGGGAGCTAGGAAAGGCAGGCGAGGAGCCATTAGTAGACAGGAAAGGTAGAGGAGAGCTCTGAAAATGGAGACTTATGCCTTCCTTTCTGCTCTCTTCGGGCTTCTCGACCGAACCAGCACCTCATCGAGGGCACTGTCACCCTCAGAGCCTTGGAGATCTGCAATTACAACTTGGTCCTCTAAACCAATCAAAGAAACGGGTAGAGCACTTCCTGCTCAGCATGCGGCATGTCTCTGCGACTGATTGCTGTGTCTCTGGAGCACTCTTATCCAAGTATTATTTCTGACCGAAAATGCGAAGAGGGTCGCTCGCATCTTCCACACTGCCTGACCATCTTGCTCGAACGTTTCCACGCCGAGAGTTCTCTCGTCAATGTTGCCGATGAAAAGGGCAATGGCTGGGTTATACTGTGGGACACTGTCATGTTCATAAAAAACACGCCTTCAGCTTCTTCTTCTGTAAAGTTGTTGCCGGGAAATCCGCTCCAGTATCCAGGGGTCACGTTCGCTAATCATGAGCTCACGTCAAGCGCAATTGAAAACAATGCTGATACTTTGTACGCACATATACTATACACTTTTCACGACACCATACGAGTTTTCGACAATTTACAGTCCTTTCCCAAGATGGCTCAGATACAGCATCACAAACACCAGAACACCAGATCTCATCCGCCATGACTCCGCCGCTATGCGTTGCACGAAGGAGAGACCAGATATCTACCCACCTCTTTTTCGTACACTGCAAAGTCCCTGAAGCTTTCAAGCAAGCGTCCCAGCACAGAATGCCTGCATTTCAGGCACAGTAGCAACATCCTCCAATGCAAACTCCGGCGCAATCACAGCCAAGCCGATTTCGAGATCTTCAATAAAATCACAGAGGAAGTCCCCTCCTGGAGCAGCTTGAAACTCCCACGTCGCGTCGATATATGCTTCCGCGCCAGGGAGTTGGGCTTGCCGCCATTGAGGTGAGAAGTATCCCACGCCAGCGAAAGAGTTAGTGTGGCAGAGGAGAGAGTGTTCAACGACTGCTTCAGGTCGGTCGCGCTGGAAGAGATTGTCTAGGGCTTTCCTGCCGAAGACTCGCGATGGTGGAAGTCCGACGCCACGTTTCTGTTGGGTTACGTACGTCTGATTCGAGCAGGAGCTGGGCTTTTCAGAGCCTTTCTGGGCTGTTAAGGCTGCTGACTTAATCATCGCGTCGCGGAGGCTGGTTGTGTTATAGGAGCTTGCCGCTACTTTGATCACGAGTTCGCCACCACTATCGAGGCTGTCAGCACTGACATACTCGATGTCTTGGATGGCTACACTGCTTGTCTCGCATACTGTGAAGCTCTTTGTTTGGGTTACTGTTGGGCATAATTTTTCCAAAGCGCTGGAAATAGAGGTGTAAAGAGCTGTGCCAGTGAGAGTGCCGACATGCACGGCAGAGCTGCCCGCTTGGACGGTCACTTGCGCATTCGTGGGTGTGCATTGGGCAATAGTGGTGCAACTAGGAGCGTTCAAGCCGACTTCAGAGCAAGCCTGGCAATTACTCGTGTAGGTAGAGGCAAAGGTTGTGACGGCTTCTTTCGCGGTGGCTGGGATGGTTGTGTATGCACAGCTGTCACTTGACTGGCCCGTTAGCGGCACGGAAAGAGGTGATAGAGTTGCAGTGCTGTGGCACAGGCAGAATGCTTGGGTAATGCCTTGGTCAGGGTCCTGCTTATGCAAGACGCAGGTAGGTGTACTCGGAAGAGAGGTGATTGTAGAAGCTCCAGACGAAGCCACGGTGCTGGTAGAAGTAGATACTGGTAGTGGGAGGGGACACAGTGTAGGTGGATCAGGGATCGTAGTGTTGTTGGTGTTGGTGTCCCGTTTGAATGGCCCCATAGCGGCAGGCACAGGCGGAACAACCATGGCACTCGCGGTGCTCGCAGGCATGAGAGGGTTATTCAGTCCAGGTGGGGATTGCCCATTCTCCCAATCAACATGTTGTTGATCGTTGTTGTTGATGTCAACGCTGATGATTCGGGTGACGGTAGGGTTACGTTGCAAGCTTGGGAGCTCAAAAGTCTGGAAGATATTGGGACCAGGGTTGGGATCGTTGGGGTCAGGAATACCGGTCTGAAAAGAACCGAGCAACCCGTTATTGGGCTGTTCTGGGCATTCTAGATGCGGAACATAAACAAAGACATCACCGCTGGCAAGTCGTCCAAACGCCTCTGCAGAGCGAGCAATGAAGACCTGCAACCTCGCGTTTATATCCAGGCGGAAAACCGACTTTCGACCGGCCATGACCCTTGTCCAGTAGGCTTCGTCCCACTCGTCATTGTAGAGGTTGCCCGTTGGTGTAATTCGATCGCGGAGTGCGGAAATCTGCGCTCCCCCCTTGATATTGAAGGAGTAAAACACACTTGGGGCGCCGTTGGTGATGATTCCGCATGTCTTCATATCCGCCATCAAACACTCAACCGTCGGAAAATCAATACTCGGATCTTCACAAGCCCATAACTCTCCCGTGGGAGGTCCTCCGATACACTTCTTGGGAGGCACTGTTTTTCCTTGGGGAGACGCTACCGGCCCGTTTGACTGATCGGAAAAGCAATTGCCAGCCGTAGCGGACAAGACGTGCGTTCCCAGCCAGATCGAGAACAAAGCCAAGAGCCGAGTCATCGATCCTGTTTTCGGGAAGAGACTAATTTGTGCTGTAAATTGACAAAGAGAACCCGTGGCTCTTTGGCTTTCGCATTGTTAGAAAATGATGGTTTTTGAGTATTCAGGTGTTTTTCGAATGAGGGGGCTGCCTTGATTGGAACATGGAAGTCCTCATTATATAGCACTTCAGAAGGTTGCAGTACACTCCATGACTCTATGAAGGACTTTGCATGTCCCTCCACGTTGCCGCCATAAATCTGGTCCTTCATTTCGCAAGATACGATCATGATACCATGTGAGGTGTTTCGACCTAGGAATAGGTCTAGTATGCTCTGTCATAGCGCTTGGGACTTTCAGGATGAAGGCCGTGTCGGCCGTGATCTTCCTGGCCTAACTCAAATATGCGCTTCCGTCGGCAGCTGCTTGCAAGATCAAGTCGCGGCGTCCATAGCTGCGTTTCCTGCCTGCTGAGCAAGCAGACCTTCGCAGTCGGTCGTCATCAAACGAAGCGCCATACCAATACACCTTCGATCAATGTGGACGCGTGCTTCGCGCCTACGAAGCAGATTTGCCCAGGCCAGACCTGACACTTTGCCGCGCTAATCAAGGGTCGTCTGCTTAATCTGTAGAGCTGTCGGGCTTGAAGTACAAAATAGGGCTGACGAAACTCTTTCATCAGCCACAAGTCGGGTTACAAATAGGTCATGAATAACTTGAAAATGCTCAAGATTAACTTACTCGCAGCCTTGCAGACATTAGATTAAGCGATTAGGTTTAGGTTATGGTTGGCGTCTACCAAAACAAGATCAAGCTCGAAGCGCCAAGCCTGACTGGCCGCGGCCTTCTCTTGACCACTAGGCGTGTCGAGCCACCTTTCCACCTTCTCACTTTGTAGATACATAGCCCGCAAGACCACGGCGCGTATCTGACTGCAAGGCGCCACCCACATCTAGTGTAGCCATTCTCCATGAGATGTCCCATTTACCGAGCCTGCTGGCTTGTCTGAGTTTGGGTGCTAGCCCCCAATTTAGGATTTGACCACCACTGGTCCGCGTCAAGTGAGACGGTAGCCATTTGTGTGTGCTAGATACAAATATGGTGGAACTCCCTGCTCAAATATCAGCACCAAACACACGTTGTCCCGAATTCTATCATCGTTCTCTTTTCGGAGTCAGCGCTTCTAAAGGCCAAAATGGCCCAATCTCTTTCCTCACCCGAGCAGAAAGTACCGGATCCTAGGACGTTGCCTCATAAGCAGGAAGCGATGATCCAAGCATGCAAAGATGGTCAGCTCGATATCTTAAAAACGCTGTTCGATGAGCTCGGCGCCAAAACGAGCGAGGATTCCACGAAGCACCTCGAATCGCCACAAGACCTTTTCGCAGCGGCGATTTCCCACGGACAGCAGTCCATCGTCCGTTACCTACACTCGATGTACCCGGCATTTGACTTTTACACTGGTGCAGTCGTCGGTGCGCTCCTCAAACGAACATTCGACCTGGACATGCTTCAGTTGATTTGTTCCTACTCGGCCGAGGTCGTTACCTTTGAATATAGTGACAACATGACGAGCATCTTGAGTAAAGCTTGTGAAGGTGGTGCCGAAAACGCGCCATTCGTCCGCATTCTTCTGGATCACGGAGCATTCGAAGGTGGCATGCCAGGCAGCTACACATATCGCGTTGGTGCAGCGCTGTTGCCAGCCGTTCAGCACAACCAACCCCTGGACATCATCAAAAGGATGGCTTCGAAGACCACCCAGCTGTCCTATCCCATCTTCTCTGCAATCGAGCGCAGACGCCCTGACGCCCTGGAAGTACTCCTGAATGCACGTTTGAAGCTGGATCGGGACGACTACGACCTAACACTGGCTCAGCAGTTGCTTGGTGACGCGCAAGCAACCCAAGACAGACAACTGATTGCACTGGTGGAACAATATATCGAAAGCCTGGAACGGCAATCAAGCAAGTCTGACAGCCGAAGCACCGACCAGACTTCGAAAGGCGGCAGGAAATGGTGGCCATTCAGTACACGAATGGAGAATAAAGACGAAAAGGCCAAAGATCCAAGCAGCTCGGCAGATGGAAGTGGCTCAGCCAAATCGTGGTGGCCATTGTCGAAGAGTGGAAGCAATCCCACCCCTGCCAGCAAAGAATCTGTGGAACAGCAGCTCGACGACTCGAGTTCTGATGAAGACACTACAAAACAAAATTGAGAGGTGATCGCCGTGGCGGGGACGTCGATCCCTAATGTGAACCATAAAAGTAGGGTATTCAAAGGAACAGGAGGCTGACTGAGCGCCGAGTCACAAAGTGGCAAGGCTGAAGGCTCAGGAGGACCGCAGAGATCGAGTCCTGCTTGGGTGTGATGCACTTGTTCGGGGGAAGAACGACCGCCATTCTTCACTCTCTATAAAAGTATGTATATATATATATACATTATATATGCCCCGAACTGTGCTTTATCCCTTCCCTTTTTTATTCAGGAAAGGGAGCGAGGCCGCTTTAGTTGGGCACGTGACGGAGCATCGAGGAGGAATGGCTGAGCACAGGAGAGCGTCGCGGGAGCCACGGCAGAGGACGGGGGAGCGTGCCCGAGCACTGGGCGAGCCACAGGGAGCGCTGCCTGATGCCCATTCGCAGAAGCCAGTTCGGGCTCAGGGGTCCCCGTTGGGCCTCGACTATAGTTGCATAGCGTTGGGATCACTCAGCTTAGCCTCCGTGTTCCTGCTTCTGATGTTTCACATCTTCCGAAGGGCCATCTTCCGGGACATGTTGCCAGTCGACACATTGTCTGGGACCCTGCGCGAGAAAAAGGCTTATTCAGATCAATACTGGAAATTTTCAGCCAGTCCTCGCCCGAGCCAAAAAACACAGCCACAGCAGTTAAATGCACAAGAGAACCCCTAGCAGAATTACACTCTGTCATCTCAAACAACCGGCAGTTGACGCCCCGAAAGCTCGTTCTTACGTCTCTAACTCGCGTCCCTTCCAAGGAGGCCATCGTACCGGGGCCACAGACCACTTCATCGGCAGCTTCCATACGTGTTAACTCAATGGCAGAAGGACAGGTTGAAATGCGGAATCATCACAATCGCGTGGAATCCTCTGCTGGCGCAAGACCTGCCATGAAGCAAGTGAGGCGTCATAGTGATCGAATCAGCCGCAAGAAACGGTATGCTCGCCTGGAAAAGGAGTTCAAGCGACTGTCACGGATACAGCAGATACATGAGCAATTGAACAGGACGAGGGCCCAATTGAGGTAGAAGAGAGTGACTTCGAAAGTGACTTTCGATCATGAGCGGGTAACGTGGTGGCCCTTAAACTCGAGCACTGCTCGATTACACTATCACTCCATATCCGAGCCCTCAAGCAAATCGAACCCGCTCCTCTGAATGCTGGGTGCGCTTCAGATTGTTCCGAGGAGACAACTGTCCAGCCCCCTGATTTTGCCAAGCAGGTCACAGGCACGGTGGGCTCCTATCCAATCATACGCCCTTACCACCCAATTTTACTATCCAAGTTCCTCACTCTCAGTGTATAGTATGGCGTCGAAAAAGACAGCCTATGTATTTGACCGAGCCACTATGAAAGTTAACGACCTTTCATCGGGTGTCATTAGACCAAGATGTGAACAAACGTCGTCATTCCCGTCATTAATAGAGCCGAAAAGAGAGTGCCCCAGCAGTAGCCGCCGACCGAGCCCAGATCAGCCCTGATCCCGGAAGAGAGGTCTTTCGACTTAGAGTAGAGAAGGTAAAGAATAATTGTTGGGAGGAGGTAAGAGATACAACAAAAGAGCTCAATAACCAATCTAGGTATTAATGGTAACATCAGATCCTGCAACAGAGTATCAGCGCCGGAGGGCCAGCTGAATATAGAGGTGAAAAAGACGACAGTGATCACCAGGGCCGTCGCTATGCCGATAATGAAAGGATCCCGGATTCACCCAGGGGTAGCTTTTGCGAAGATGCTGCGCAGGTGATCTAAATCTTCCATCTGGTCGCTCAGAATATTTGTATCTATAGCTTAGCAACAGCCCGGATCAAAACGCGTCCTCTGTCGACACAGCCAAGTACAGTTTTTGCCCTGGTCAAGCCCTGTGTAAATGATTTACATTCTTGCTTCCGCGAGTATGCCTTGTAGGTCCATATGGGGTCCTTGATAGTGCTTCCTAGCATGCAAAATCCAGTTCAAAACACCCAAGACCAGCCCGATTCCGAGGATCGCGGAAGTGTAATCTGATCGATGAGGTTAGTCCTTTGGCCTCATGGCACGACGCAAGTGTGATATACTCATCGATGATGCAGTAACAGGCAGTAAGAGAGGAAAGCAGAAAAATATGGTTGTGACTGATGTAAACAGCACAGCCAGGACGTTGATCGCAAATCCAAGTCCACGTGGTAGTGCGAAGGAGCGGCTTTTGGGCAAGTATCTTGAATCACGCTTCCGGTAGAGAAGCAAGGCGATCGGGATCAAGAAAGATACTTGTTGGAGCACGACGGCCGAGTTGACCAGAGCATTGAAGGCTGTTTGTGAAGATCAGCAAAAGTTCTCTTCGTGCACGATGTTGTACCCAAGAGTGGGATTGTCCAATCTGGTATAATGTGCAGGGAAAGGACAGACATCCAGATTGTTCTTACCTGTGCTAGAAGCAAGATATATGCATCCACATATGGCTAGAATAGCCCAGGTTAGGAGGAGAGACCAAACAGGCACCTGAAGACGGGGATGGATTCGGTGCAGATGCTTTGAGAAAACTAGCCCATTGTCACGGGCAAAACTCCATGCGAGTCGAGATGTGGTCTCTTGAACGGCATTGAGGGCAAAGAATGCCATGATGATGCCGCCACAAGAAAGGACCGTTGCAAAGTTGACCGAACGGAGACACTGCTGTGACACTACCAACGGTATATATCTGCGATTAGTTAGTTAATTGTCCTGATAATCAAAGCAGAATGAGCTTACGTAGTAGATGTTATGATGGCGTCCACATCTGTGATCCCATAAAGAACAGCGACCGCGTAAGGAAACGCGGTGCAGAAGCCGATGATGATTGCACCAAGGACAGCTTTCGGCACTGTACGGCCAGCGTTGGTACATTCTTCGGCCAAATGGGTCGCTGCATCCAAGCCGATAAACATGAAGCACGATGTTGAAAGACCCAAGATGAAACAGACTCCATCGGACCAGCCGGTATAGTTGATCCAGGTAGACCAGACGAGTGAGTTTGGGGCTTTTGGACTGGAGCGAGCGAGGATGGCAATAAAGGAGATCAGGAAAAGGGCGATCGTGAGGCAGACTAGCACACGGCAAAGAAGTGGTCAGTACTGGTATCCTCGGTTCAGAACGTGGACTGACTTACATCCTATCTCGTGCACCCACGGAGTGCGTTTGAGGGCGAATAAATTGTACGCAAGCACCACCAGCGCAACTCCTTCGTAGATGAGGAAGACATGCCACGGGTGTTGGACAAATGAGGGACTGTAGGTGGCGACCAGGGCTGGAATCTGCTGTGCGGGTATGAGGGTCACGGAACTCCCGATGGCGATCCACGACAGCAATGACACGAGCCCACACGCGAATGAGATGCCCCGATTGATCGAATCCGGTGCCAGGATTGATGTGAAGTGATATTGGCCGCCAGCAGTGGGGTAGACACTTGCAAGCTCTGCAAGAGAAAGAGCGATACAGATGTAGACGATAGAGCTGATGAGGACGCCATACACCAGGGTCACAGGGCCGCCTGCAAGTAGTGCTAATTGGAGACTACCTGAGATACCAGCCCAGCTGTTGCAGATGACGAATGCTAGGGATGTAATGGTGAGGATGCCGAATTGCTTCTTTTTCGGAGCATTGATCAGGGATATTTCACTACCCAAAGTAGAGCTTGCAGCAGTTGCGGCTGGACCTTCAACAACTTGTGTTTGTCTGTTAGCATCGACACTGGATCTAGAACGACATGCCTGACCTTCTCCGCGACCTTCAGCCGATTTGGTGTCCATCGTACCACTTGTCAAGAAATAAGTGCGTGCTGGGCTAACACATCCAGGCATAGAAGTTGTCAGATCGATGGACTTGACCAATATATAGGCATCCTTATCATTTGTGAACCGTGAGCTGCATCGCTTCGTCCCTGCAAGCCCGGGAAGGCTCATTTGCTATCGGTCATGGATGGCAGTGGCGCGTGAGTCAACCCCGCCCTTACAACCCGGAAACCTCGGCCGCATGGTTCCCAGAGGGCTCGACGAAGGCTCGTTGTTCTTTTCTGGGGAAACCAGTAAGCGCGGTCTGATCTGAATGGGTCTAGCGCCGTTGATGTAGTGCGGGATGGGTTGTATTGAACGGCCCCTACTGCGTATTCTTCCCACAATCAGGCTAACCCTATCAGGAAAGCGAAAATCTCGAGGTTTGAGCTCCGCCTCGTCTAGATCTGTGCACATTTGGTTGCTCGGCCAGACTCGCTGGTGCCTCTCTAGTACTCGGTCGAGACTCTGGCCGCGTATCCTCTACGAATTCCATGAGCATCTCAGTCAGACTACGCGGCCGCGTCAGACTTGTACGCTTCCAGGCCTGGAGCTCGTGCCGAGCAACGTACCAGTCGCGATAAAACGCGTCTGCCTGGGCAGTGGCACGCACCAGTTTCAAATCGGAAGGCACTAAATACGTCCTACGAGGCGCACCTCGCCGCCTAGGCGTAGGTGCGGACTTCGCAGGCAAAAAGCGTTGCTACCAACTGTCACCGAAAGGTAGAACCCTTGGTCTCTCTGTGATGTATGTATGATTGTCTGTCCAAGTCCAGCATAGCTCAGACCCGAGTACGATGATGGAGGCATGTCGCAACCAATGGCCGTCGACATTAATTTCAAGCAGACCATCGCATGGTAGCGCCCTTTACTGAAGACCTCACATGATGTGGCCCTCTCGAGGACTATATAAAAGGCCGGCCTGATTGAAGTAAAATGTCTCTCCCTCACTCATACTTCATTGCAAGTAAGTCTTCTGCAGTAACAACCAACCTGCGACGACAATGGCAAAACTTTTCTTCTATACAAACTCCTTTCTCATCCTCTTGCTCTCAGAGATTGTCCAAACCGCGCCGCAGCAATACTGCAAACCTATCCCAGGCTCTACAGACTGGCCATCCCCTTCTACATGGCAAGCCCTAAACACATCCGTCTCAGGCCGCCTCATTGCGCCTGTTCCCCCAGGCCTGGTGTGCCAGACAAACAGCTCGGTTCACAGCGCCACAGCTTGCACACAGCTCTTGAATGAATGGGGCAATTCGTCATTTCACGCTGACGATCCATTCACCGTCGACTATAACGACGAGTCGTGTCTTCCATACCCGCGGGCACCTTGCTCTCCAGAGCCTCTGCCTGCGTACGTGGTTAATGCAACCGGTGCGGCAGACGTTCAGGCAGCCGTTTCGTTCGCCTCCAAGACAGGCGTGAGACTAATAGTCAAGGCGACCGGACATGACTTTCTAGGACGGTACGTGTAAACTAATTCTCGGCAACAGTGCAGCTTAACTAACCGAGTAGATCATCCGGTCGTGGGACCCTCTCAATATACATGCATAATATTAGAGGCGTTAATATCGCTATAGGCGACCCCCTCGCAAAACGCTACGGAGGTATCGCGTCCGTCAAGATCGCCGCAGGAATGCGCTTCAGAGAGATTTACAGCGCCGTCTCCGCGTACAACTTAACTATTGTCGGCGGATCCGATCCAGATGTCGGGATTGGAGGTTGGACGATGGGAGCTGGCCACTCCCCGATCAGTAGCGTGTACGGCCTCGGGGCAGACCAAGTGCTCGAAATGGACGTCGTGACCGCGAACGGGACGCGCTTAACTGTTAACGAGGATTCCTATCCGGACTTATTCTGGGCAATAAGAGGCGTGAGTAGTATTTTACCCCGGTTACTATAGCTGGATCGACTAACGATATATATAGGGCGGTGGTTCGACCTTCGCAGTCCTCCTCTCCGTCACCGTGCGAGCGTATCCTTCCCTTCCAGGGACGATTTACACCTTCAGCTATAACACGACCGCTAACACCGACACGTTTTGGTCACTGGTGGCCTATTTCCATAATCAACTGCCCGACCTCTCCGACGCCGGCGTTATGGGCTACTACTATATAGAGCCCGATAATAGCGCTACGCAGCCCGACCCTCGACAAGGCACGATCTATGGGTTATGGTTCGTTGCGAATAAAACCGTGGCGCAGACACGACAGATCTTAGCACCCTTTGAGTATAACCTCACGAGCAATATATTTAATTGGACCGATCCAATCCTGACGAGCAATGACGCCTTTTACGTCCCAGACTTCATCAAAGCCTGGCTGGCCCTCAACCCACCTCAATCAGTCGGCACTGACGTCCGTCTCGGCTCTCGGCTCCTCGACCGTAAAGCCCTTAAGTCTAACCCGATAACCCTGAAAAGACTGCTGCAGCAGTCGAGCGCCGCGAATCCGCAGTCCACGACTCTTGGTAACCTTATCGCCGGTCAGGGCGTTAAGAACGTCAGAAATGGCATCCCGGGCGGAGGTAACGCCGTCCTCCCTGCCTGGCGCCACGACGTCTACACGCACTTAATCCTCCCACGGATGTGGCCCTACCTCAACGAAACCGCTAAACTTGCAACGACGACGTACCTAAGAGACGTTGAGACGCAGGCCCTACGAGACCTCGCGCCCGATACAGGGGCGTACGTCAACGAAGCGGACCCGACGGAGCCGGACTGGCAAAAGACGTTCTGGGGCGACAATTACCTGAGACTGCTGTCGTTAAAGAGACAGTGGGATCCGAAGGGTGTGTTCTGGTGCATTCCTTGTGTGGGACACGCGGACGGGTGGACCGTGAAGAGTGATCTGGGTGTGGAGGGCGCAATCGGCCAGAATGAAGGCAGAATTTGCAAGACTACATAGGAGGCGGTACTCGCGGCGATTGAGTCGTCAATGATGGCAATCTGGCCGTAGATCCTCGTTCGATGAATGATTGACAGGTCTTCACACACAGGTGTAGTCTCCTCTGGCCTCTAAATATACAGCTCTATAACCCCGTACGCTTCGATGAATCCTTTCTATTCCGTGCCCATCTCTCGTTGTGAATTCGTGACGGGTTTCGATCTTCCAAGAGTGCCTCCGCCACGCGTCACTCAAACTTGTCTGAAAATCTCACCACCTTCATGTATGCACATTAGGCCGCTTGTCGCTAGAACAACAACGAAGACTGGCCGCCCATCGGAGGGCCGATGTGATTTCGGTCAAGACGACGGTATCTTCGAGTCATTGACTTTGACGAGGTCTGATTTGTGCAATGAGTCAGGGACTTTTGTGGCTAGATGAGCTAGCCCGGTGCCTGCCCAGTGGGCCACGACAAGTATTGGAATTAGCTGCGCCATGGTCATGCAGGAGGGTACAAGTGAGAGTGACACGCTTTGCTCTTGATCTTCTGGTGTTGTTTTTTTGAGATGGCTTGACCTGCTACCTCCCTCACCCACGAGTTCCAAGTGTAATCGGCGGGTAGGTAGTGAGAATTCACACAAATGTGATCTCCCAAGCAGGCCCTTACCAAAGGCCCAGGAGGTAATCCTCAATTCTGCTCGCATCGCTGGCCGTCTCACGCTACCGTGACATAAACTTGACCCCTTCCTCTTCTCCAAATCCACGCTCAAAGAGAGACTGGAGCTTACGCCACGTCCTCGGGGTCACGATTGTTCTTCACGTAGCGCTGGTCTAGCTTGTAGATGATCATCTAATCACGGCCGTCTTTCCCACCTTCAACAGGTTGCAAGATAAGGTCGACCTCCTAGTTACGTTAGACGACGATCTAGGTTAGAAAGCCGCTCGTAATCCTCGGCAACAAGCGGAGCTCCTCCACCGGGAGAGTCGAGCTGTCCCGCGTAGATGGGCTGTCTGAATCACTTGTATGTGGGCTCTATACTGAATGGCCATCAATGCAAGGCAGCCGAGGTGCTGCTTAAGCGCCATCACGCAGTTTCGAGACTAGTCAACATGTTCTTTCCCAATTAGGAGCAGCCGCGCTTAGAATGCGGCATGTAGGGCTAGTGCCCACCTTACACTGCGGCAGCCTTTCGGTACAAGACAGGAATCAGATGATGTTTCTCCTATATTTGGCCGACGTTTCGTCTTGTTTGAGTTCTGCGTGGGGAGGTCGCGGGACTGTTGCTGGCAGCCGAGGCAGTTATGGGCCATGTGAAAGAATGCATTTTTCTCGTGGTGGTATAAATGTGCTCGAACCTGTAAATGACCACTTGGTCTTTTCATGTGCCACGTTCTCAGCTCCAAACCGTGTGTCTTGACTTCCAGGCCCCGATCCTTCTCAACACAGTGCTGGAATCCTCCCCCCAATTGAATAGTCATGTCTGCCGTCGACAGCTCGAGCGCAAATGTATCCGTTGATTGCGACGCCCTCATCGTCGGAGCCGGCCTCAGCGGCATTTCAGCCATGCACAGGCTCCGTAAGCTCGGGTTGAAGACCAAGGCTTTCGAGGCTGCGCCCGACTTTGGTGGTGTCTGGTTTTGGAATCGTTATCCTGGCGCTCGTGTTGACTCGGAGACACCCTTCTACCAGTTGAACATCCCAGAAGTCTGGAGAAGCTGGACTTGGTCTTGCCGTTATCCCGACCAGAAGGAACTACTGGCATACGTTCAACATTGTGACCAGGTTTTACAATTAAGAAAAGATGTTTACTTTGATGCCGAGGTGGTGGATGCACGCTATAGCAAGGAGCTGGGTACCTGGACTGTCAAGACTGCCAGGGGCCATGTTGCAACGGCCAAGCACCTCATTCTGGCCACGGGCTTACTCCACAAAAGCCACTCTCCGGCCTATCCAGGGCTGAGCGAATTCGCCGGGCGCGTCTATCATTCGAGTGCCTGGCCAGAGGGGATCGGTGCCAAGGGCCAGAAGGTTGCAGTCATCGGTGCCGGGGCCACAAGTATTCAGATTGTCCAGGAGCTGACCAAGGAAGCTGACCAGCTGACGGTGTTTATGAGAAGACCCAGCTATTGTCTGCCCATGCGCCAACGACCCATGGACAAGAACGAGCAGGCGGCTTGGAAGGCGTACTATCCAAAACTGTTTGAAGCGAGTCGTGACTCCCGAGCTGGCTTCCCTAGCCAGTCCCCGTCTTGCAGTATCTTCGACGTCGGCGACGAGGAGCGGGAGGCGTATTTCGAAGAGTTGTGGGAACGTGGGGGCTTCAACTTTTTCAGCTGTCAATAAGACGACGTCCTGGTCGATAAGCGAGCCAACCGGGTGGTGTATAATTTCTGGGCCAAGAAGACTCGAGCACGTCTCTCCGACCCGACCAAGAGAGATCTCATAGCTCCCCTTGAGCCAGTTTACTGGTTCGGCACCAAGCGTTGCCCACTGGAGAATGATTACTACGAGATGCTGGATCGGCCGAATGTTGAGATTGTCAATCTCAAGACATCGCCCATTTCCGCTTTCACGAAGACGGGCGTGCGCTTGAGTGATGGATCCGAGCGGGCATTCGACATGGTTGTGCTTGCAACGGGGTTTGACAGCTTCACAGGCTCGTAAGTGGCATCGCTTGTGCTTGGGACAATTTGACTAACAGCGTCAGGCTCACGAGCATGGGCCTAAAGAACAAGGATGGAATTGATATAAAGCAAGTGTGGGAAGATGGAATCTCTACTTACATGGGAATCTTCTGTCATGGATTCCCAAACGCCTTCTTCATCGCCACTGCTCAAGGTATGTGAACAGCTACTCCTGCGTGTCTTCTTACTCAGTCCACAACAGCCCCAACGGCCCTTTCAAATAATCCCACGATCATAGAAACGCAAGTGGACCTGCTCGCAGAGGCCATCGCCAAGCTGGAGGCTGAGGGGGGCAAGTCGGTCGAGGCTACGACATCGGCAGAGGAGGGCTGGGGGCAATTGATCACCCAAATGAACGAGCACACGCTGTTTCCTTTGACGGACTCGTGGTGGACACGAGGTAACATTCCTGGGAAGAAAGCGCAGCCCTTGACTTTTCTCGGTGGCATCAATCTGTATGAGCAGATATGCCGAGAGAAATTGCAGGATTGGCATGGCTTTGAAGTGGTCATACCCTAGGATATCGACAGTTGGGAGCATCGAGATGTAGTCTTAGGCCTGTCCAAGAACAAAGCGTGTGTAGCGGTGGAAAGTCTCTGGGAGGAGGCAAAAGTGGGATGATGGAGGTCGACGGCGGCTGAAAGCTACGCCAATCAGTGCCCGGGGCCCCGCCCATAGCCTCGGCATGGAATGCCTAACGATTAAAACCCATTACCTCCCGAGTGTGCCGTTAGTTTGTTCCCCCGTCCTTCCTGCTCCTCCATGAAAAAATCTCATCACAACGCTACGACAACGCCTCGCATCTGCTATGGTACGAAGCCCGTCTCTCGTATGGCCTCATCAAAGTCAGCGCCGCCTTTTCCAGTCCCCAAATCTCGAAATTCACGGACCAAAACTGGCTGTCTGTGCTGTCGGCTTCGTCGCAAGAAATGCGATGAAGCAACACCAGTCTGCAACAACTGCGTCCGAAACAACCTCATCTGCTCGTGGCCACGGACGATTGCTCACGACTCCTCTCGGCGACGCTCTGATCTCGGCTGGCGGATCAGGCTTCAGGAAGGGTTGTTAGAGCCGACCCCGCGTCGACGACACGGATTGAGCTTCGGTGATCACCCCACCAGTTGCGATGATGAGAGCACCAGCGACAGTAAATCTACGACCCTCTCCCGTTCGAGGGTTTGGGGCATGCCGTCTCTGTGGGAACCAGCCCTCATCAAAAGCACAGAGTCCCAGACTCTGCTGAGCCACTTTGTGCACAAGACAGCGGCCCAGCTGGTCGCCACGGGGCCCCAGGACAACCCACTTCTCAGTCGCATACTCCCCTGGGCGTACTCGGAGACCATGATAATGGACGCCATCATGGCGCTGGGCGGCGCCCACGTCAGCCACAAAACCGGCAACCAAGCCTTGAGACACGCCACCATCAATCACTACCTGTCTGCTATGCGAAAGCTCAAGTACGCGCTAACCAAATGGGACCATGGAGCACCACAGAGTACGTTACGGCTGTTGACCATTGCCATACTACTGTGCCAGTACGAAGTAAGTCGCGTGCTGCTGGCCATTCCCTTGCTATCCCCATCCTCCGTATTCTCCGTCTATGGAGATTGACTATCCCGTTAGGCTGTCACTTGCAATCGTCGAAGTGTTGCGTATTATCATCTTCGTGCTTGTCGAGAGTTCATCAACGCGATCCTTGAAGCAGGTCGGGACAATCTCTCCTGCTCTGAGCGCGATGTCTTTGGCTTTTTGCTCGAGTACTATTCTTATCTAGCCATCGTGCGAAACGTCACAATTCCCCCCGACCCGCAGACCGATGTGGTGGCTTCGGACTGGTTCGTCCGGTCGCTGCAGCATCTGCAAGAGTACCATACCTTTGGCAGCTTGCTTGGGGGTTCCTGGGAGCTCTACGAGCTGATACCCGTCATTCGGCTCCTCCACGGATTAAATGAGGACTCATGGTTCGAAGCTTACGGCACTTTGGAGTCGAAAATACTGAATTGGTCACCTGGGCTAACCACGACGTCCGAGGCGTCACTCGCTACCCAGCCTCTGGATGCAGTGGAGCGTATCTACCAGATCGGCGTGCTCACATTCCTATATTCCGCACGGTACGTCAAGTATCGCGACAAGGACGAATTTTGTCGGAAGCTTGCGCCTATCATCGTTGAATTCCGTGGCCTGTGCCTCAATTTGGGTGATTCGCCATCGCAGAGCACACTGCTGTGGCCTTTCATCGTCATTGGTTCGTGTCTCACCTCGCCGGAGGACCGACAAAAGATGTGCTCGGGATTGTCAAGGTCCTCGTATGACATGGCGATCACGCAGCGGGCTGCGGAGATCCTGAACATGACCTGGGAGCTTCACCAGGAGGATATGTATGGCCCAGTCGCTTTGGAAGCTGTCATGAAGATTCATGACTTTTGCGTGAGCTAATGCCACACATCCGAGCCACTTCGGGCTGGAGGTCGTCTGGTTCATATTTGGCGAAACAATAAAATCAAGACAAGGAAATCGTGGAGCTACTTGAATACGGCCGCCAACCCTTGCATGCAACTTGAGTCGGTCTATTCTAGTCACCTTGTCGGCAGAATAACTTGAAATTCCGCTCTAGTATGCTGCGGTCTCGCGACCCGGTTTCGACCTCGCTTTGAAGTATGTCAATGAGTCCAAAATCCATGGCAACAAAAACAACTAGCCCTCGGCGGCGACAGATGTCGACAGCAGGCTGGCCACCACCTCATCAGCGCCTCGTTGACCCGACCGGATGGCACCCTCCATATATCTTTTCCAAACCAACGACGTTTCTGTTCCGACGAAGTGAATATTTCGAAAAGATGCCCGGAGTTCACTACCAAAATTGTTGAGATCATTCAGTCCATAGACGGCACTCGGCCCGCCCCGGCAGTACTGCTGCTTAGACCAATAAAGTTGATAGGTTCTGGGACCCGAGCCCCGGCGTGTTCGAAGGCTGCACGGAATTGGTCCCAGATAGATTTCTTTCGCATCATTTGAGAGAGTTGGGACCACCTCCGGCCCGGGTTGCCGACTATAAAGCAGCTAATTGACCATTGCTGAGCCGCTTCGATGCTGGTATCTCTGGTGAATGAAGCAGGGCCGGCGCGAGATTGCAGGATGCCCGAAAAGCCTTGGTCGCGCCACCATGGCTTGTCCCACACCAAAACCATCTTGCTATAGTAGCCGAGGATAGAGTTCTCGGCTAACGCCTGCTTTTTAGCCGGAAGAGGTGGCGAGAAAGTCATGGTGGGATATAAAGTTGTCGGCACCGAAACAATCACCTTTTTACTCCGGAAGACTGCGCCTATGGACGATCGTACTACACAGCCGCGCTCCGTCTGTTGGATCGTAGCGACGGGGGTATGAAGCTGTAGCGAACCCGGCTTGAGTTCCTTCGCCATGTAGTGGCAGATTGACTGCATACCTGCAACGACCACCACCACGTTGCCCAGTCAGTATACAGTGGTGTTGATGAACAAAACGCCGCAGTAGTTCTGCTCACCTGTTTTGCACCGTATATACTGTCCGCCATCCTTCTTGTCCGAGACGATATTGGTAAAGCCGGTTGCACTCTTGATATAGTCGGTCAGGAAAAGGGCGCTGATCTCATCAGCTTCCACACTAAGCAGAGCACGAGTGATTTGGTTTGCAACCTCGACGACAGCGGGCAACTTCGACTCGTCCTCGCGGTAGCGCGCAAAGCTCATACCGTCGAGTCGCTCCGCTTGCGGACTCATTGCAGGGTGCTCGAGATTGTGCTCTTCGATCAACCGAGACCATGCGGGCAACAGCTTGGCGACTGCACCTGCACCCTCCTCACTCAGCTATATGCAACGGGAAAAGTCAGCCGCGGCTCTTGATGAAAAGTCCATACAACACCATGTCTAAACGGAGAAACCCGAGCTTACTGGAGAGTTCCCATATGGAGCCGCAGCAACAGTTCTGTCTCGATCCTGGTGCAAAGTGTTTCCAGATGTCCTCTGAAAGTCACGCTCCAGACGATATCTTTGGAACAGTTTGTACATCTCGCTTTGGCTGGTGTCGTTGATCCAAGCAGCTCTAACATCGTCGATGGTTGCTCTGCCCGGGACGGAAGGCACGCTCAGTGTCTTCCCTCCCACTCGGTCCATTGCCTCAAGCACGAGGCACGACAGGCCCGCGGCTTGAATCTTGCGAGCCGCTTCCAACCCGCTCAGACCAGCGCCGATTACGACCACGTCCGACACTGTGCCTGCAGTTGACTCGTCTGGTGCCACTGCGGTGGCATCAATCTCAAAGAGGAACTCGGGGGAAGCCAGTGCCGGGACCGGTACAAGCGTGCAGGGAGGGAACCTGTCCAACGCGAAGGTAGCTTGAAGACCATCTCCGACAGCGGAAAGCTTACTGGGGTCGTAGTCCACTACGTAGTAGGTGAGCTTGGTGACGTTCGTCGGCGAAGTGCCCGCCGCGGCGAGACAAGACCGTTGATTTGCAAACGCCTGGGCGACCTGCGTGTCGTACGCCGGGCTAGTCTGTCCTGATGAGTCCTGTCCGACCTGTCCGGCCACCGTCCCGCTTTTGGTCGCAACCCCAACAGTGCTGACATGTGAATAGCCCAACGGCGGATGCAAGTCGGGAGGGTTAATGTAACTTGGCGGCGGTGAGATTGCTGCTGCCATGGCTTCAAGATCGGCGAGGAAACTATCGATCGGGGGAGTCGCGGATCCGAGGGACCTATGCCGCTGCAAATCCAGATGTCTTTCTTATACAAGCCCTATTGAATATCACACGGGACCTTCAGCCTTTGTAGAAAGGGAACGGATCTCACGGCCTAGTGACCAACTCCGGGCAGAGTCCCAAGGCTCAGGCCACGACATTGCGCGCTTAGATCCCCGGCCGGAGCGTTTCCAGGGTATCGTTATGCCCACTGCAAAGTCGACCGAGAGACAACCGACCGCTTTTGATCCAACGACTTCTCCACCGCGTATTGGGTGATTGTCCTTCCTCGTGTGGGCCATAATGTCGTTGCTGTGAGAAGATTTCTACAAGATCCGCATGGTGTCTTCGCCGTCGAATCACTTTTGAATCCAGCCCCCGCCAGATTATCAGTAAATTGGTCAGTTGGGCAGCTGTTCCCCTTCTTTCTGTCCCCCTGTCGCTGACGCTTTGGACACGGACGGTGTAAGTCCCGATACCAGCCGGACGCTCCACTTACCGCGCTTTAATAGCGAGCCCCCTGTCCCTGACTTACTGGTACTTGTAAATCACTAACTTGTGACTGGCACAATAACTCAATTTGTCCATCTGGGGGGTGACTGGGGATTCCCGACGCCTTGCACTTGAAATGAAGACTCAAAGTCAAATGAACCAGGTCAAAGTTCCCACTCCACTTGTGCAGCTCCCGCTATGCTCCCTTACGTGCCGGTGAGGATCCCGTTTGGGCTCCAGTCCTATAGGCGCTAACGTTGCGCACATCCAGCCTCGTGGTAACTTTACCCGATCACAGTGATGAGGGCTCGTTTCGGCCCTGATGAAAGGTGGGATCCCTAAGAGGATGCCCTGCTACATCGCTGGACGGGGTTGACTGAATCCCCCAGTTCTATAGGACAATGCTTCTCTTCCTCTCTTTCTTTCCCTCTCCCTCTCTCGGTCCTCACATTTTCCCTTGCCCTCCCTCTACTTATCGTGCGAATTACTCCTTCTATCCGGTCTTCTGACTACCTAAACGCACCTTACTGGCGTTTCGTCGTACTTTGACCCTCCCTCCCCAGTCGTCTTCTTTTCCTTTCCTCTCGGCGCTCGTCTATCCTTAGTTTTCTGCTATACTGCGGCGCTCACTACTCCGCTGACTGTTTCCCGATGCCGAAGAGAAAGAAAACCGCGGCGGAAGTGTTTGATGAAGCGGAGGAGAACGGCTGGTGGTAGATTACGAACGCCGACGTGAATAGCGATCGAGTTAGTAAACCTATCGAATCGGGGACTGAGCTGAACTATAACCGAATGATAGACCTTTAGGACGAGTGAGTCCTTCGCCCGCCTAGGTATGGGTCGTACTTATCTTTACTAACGAGGTAGACGCTAGCGCGTAGGTATGTAAGGCGAAATCCTAGCGTAAGCCCTTACGATTTACGGTCCGCGAAGTATTTTATGGACGGTATTATAAAGGATAATTAGAGTCTAAGCTACGTAAAGTAAAAGTAGACCGACTTTAGCGCCGCTTAGAAACGACGACCGGATAACCGAAAGATCCCGTACGAGGTATCGGAGTCGGTATACTACGTTCGTCTCCTATCTCTTTATCCTACTTCACTTCTATCGGTAAAGCTAAGAGCTCGTATTAGTATATTAAAATGGAGTTAAAGAAAAAACATAACCTTTTAACTAAATAACGATAGCTACATTTTATAACGGTGCCCTATTTTATTATCCTAATTAAATATAAGTAGTAAAAAGATTAGTATTAGTATACCTATCCGAGAAGCCTAGTTTAGAACTATATAGCCTATACCCTCTTCGTTTATATACCGTCAAGGGTGGGAGAAATCTTCGAATCTAACATGCGCCGCGGCTCTAAGCGAGGGTTACTATATAAGGTGAGAAGACCGGGCTATCCGACCTAGGATGGGCCTATACTAACGACTAGGATGTAGAATATCGTCTTCGTCGTCTTTAAGAATGAGAAGGGTGTCAGAGCTGCTTCCTATGTCACCTAAACGGGTTAGGCTCCTCAGTCATAGATCCTTTATTACATAAGCTAGGTCCAGTAGACGTAAGGTATAAATAGTTAAGTAACAGAAGAACAGTATAGTTAAGTAGATATTATAAGTTAGCTACGAGAGAGTGTAGCTATGAAAGGGTAATGAGCGTAGTTATATACTTACGAGGCTTATCCCGAATAGGTAGTTAAGGACGGTATGTTAGTATATTAGCCTATTAGTATGCCCCTATACTAATATGTCTTTAACTCATTATATTAAACATTTCCTTTTCCGGTGGTTACGTGTCGTACGTAACCCTAGCCTTAGTTCCTTATGCATATGCTCCCCTGCCAGGCCGCTCGCCTCGGTAGACCTTCTCTTGGGCATCCCGCCCTCAGGTCGCATGTAAGGCCGTTTCTAACAATTGGCATGCTTTATCTTCTATTTCAGTCCTTTCTACTTCCTGGCACCATCGGCTTGTACATGTACGCTGTGTCCTGGGTTTTCGAGAGCTTCGAGGGCCATCACGATGGAAGTTTCAAGAAGCAGCCGCCGAGCTTTTGGAAAACGTGTTTGAAGAATTTGGATCCTCGGAGTGAATCTGAGAGACGGAAGGAAAATTCGGCTAGTAAACGAGATGAACCCGGATCGTAAGGATCCCGAAACAGTGTAGCGATCCCCCTCCTCCTACTAACTAGTGTCTTATAGGCATAAACGCCGTCGAATGCTGGACAAACGAATCCATATTAGAACAGCCTTCATAGCCTTATGGTACGTAGTCACTTTTATCGCTAGCTTATCCTTCATCATTTAGTCTATACTTACTATTAAGTTCACGTTAATTTAGAATAATACGTAAGGCGTCTATAGCATTAAATCGACCGGATAGCTCATTCCGTTTATCGTAGGTTTCGCGGGAATACTTAAGACTTTATTTTCTCTATTTTTAATCGTCTAGTATAAGGAGAGTCTACTTAGTCCGCGCTCTTCTATCTTTATACTAACGTATAGGTAGGTAGCTAAAAAGGCACTAAAACCTAAGCCGGTACTTCAGAAGGATTCTGCTCTCTAGAAATATCCATTAAATAGCACTGAATACGCTATCTTCTATACTAAACTTCCTCAAAGAAGGTGGAGTTTCGACGATAGAAACGCATAGCCTACCTAATACGGCTTAGATAAGCCCAGAAGTGCTAAAGTAGATCGTCTTGCACCTACATTTCCAACCTCTAATATCCGCATAATCCCGAAATCCGGCCGTTTTCTCTATTAGACTAAGGAAAAGAAAAGCCTACACATCTTTCACAATTGTTCACTCACACGTCGAGACAGTCTGGACGACGTCAGCGTCTTTTAGCGGAGCGCACTTCCAAAGCTACACCCTACGCGATCAGGTACCTAGTTACCATTATCCCAGTGCAAAAACCATCAAGAAAATGAATCTAAGCGAACCTACTGGCTCGAACATCAGCAAGCTAAACTTAGTAAGGCCGTAAAGAGAGAGAGAGAGAGAGAGGAAGAGATAAATTGACCGATACCGATCCGAATTATGGCAGACACTTCTGGCTTCCGGGTGACGTCAATTCCCTATCCTTTTGCACGCTCTCTTCTATGGACTTAGAACCAGACTAGGCCACTCTAAAGCTACGAAGATGGAGCTTTGACGAAAAGGATATTATATATTTAAATTACGACGACCTAAATTATCAGTACCCTTTCTTAACCGGATCCGCCAGCGTCTTCGACTATAATCTACCTCACTCTTAGCGCCCTATCCTTCCCCCTAGAGCATATTTTCCCGAGATAGCTTTACGCTTATCTAGACGTAGTAGAAGCCTTAACAGTATTATTTCCCGCATAATATCTTTAAGTAGAGACAGGACTTTAACTCGAAGATCTAGTAGCCCGACATCAGTTGCGCCTCACACAAACTCCGGATCAAGACGCCGTGGTCATGGAACTGTAAGATCTCCGTCCAGTGCGCGTACCGCAAGCCCGGGGAGGACGTTGCGCAATGATATGCACTCAATACTCCGGGGCAATATACGCTCAGTCCATCGGACTCGGAGGCTACCAACGCTTATACTTCTCGTCTTCTCGTTGATTGTCACGGCGGTACTATTGCTGGCTAATTGCTTGCTCCAAATTATGGCTTTTATCTTCAATACTGTTTTCCTATGTGCACCTTTTAGCGCAACCAGACGCTACTTTCACCGACGACAGACCGTTCGCTCGTGGTCGCGACGATTTCCCCACAAGCCCTCCCACCTTCACCCACACGCCGGGTCCATCGTGGGGTTCAAATATGCATCTCAGTCCGTCCGTCGCCGCTGCATGTGTGAATACTGTGATGAAGATTTCAGGCTCGAGGATCGTCGGCGTAGATAGCTTTATCTGACGCCGCATAGTCTACCGTTTCGGTATGCACGGTTCTGGGCGTGGCCGCTATCACAGAGACAAAAGCCGAGTTCGAGCTTATCAGAAGAGCACTCTAGACCAAGTTACGTATTTAGCCTCTCATACACCAGAGATTTTGGGGACCGACTGTTTCAGAGGTGGAAAAGGCGATGGCCGGAAGCGTGGGCTAGCTGGCGGGGGGAGATAGAGATGCTGCGGTATGAGAAAAGGGCCGCTATGGAAGCCAGGAAGGCGAGGAACGATAAGGAAAACACAGAGGCTAACGGACCGATTGCATAGACAAGAAACCAGTCTCCATAGTCATATATTTAGCCGGTGTGACTCTTGCCTTATGTCTCAATGGTTCCATGATCTTGCTATAAGCACTCAAGGAATCCTTGATTGGCCGGTGTTGGGACATCAGAGGCGCCTCCCAACTGATGTGGCAGCGTCCAGGGGCCGTACCGCCCTTGCCTTTACCGCGAATCAAATATGTCAAGCTGAAAGCTCCAAGGCATGAAAATCCCTTGTAAAATTAGGCTCGATTCGGTTACTATGGAGGATGTCTAAGCACCCTACGCGCT